GCCCCCCCCCCCCCCCCCCCCCCCCCCCCCCCCCCCCCCCCCCCCCCCCCCCCCCCCCCCCGGGTCGGAGAAAGTATATCATTTCCTCCTTCCCCGTCCCATGCCATCCTTGGGCCCAGGCACTTAAGGTTCTGCCCTTCCTCCGCTCTTTTTTTTATACATTCTTTCACTCTGCGTCCTTCGTTCAAATCCTAGTTTGGCTTCTTGGGCGTGGTAAATATATAGATAGCTATGCATTTCCTTGGAGCCGCTGTAGCGGTGCTGGGAGTTGCTTCCCAAGCGGCAGCGAGCCCGCATCCACGGAGACCAGTTCCTCGTTCCAGCCCAAAGTATGTTGCGAACGAGACGAGGGCCAATGGTGTCAAGGAGGCTTTCCAGACCGCCTGGGACGGTTACTACAAATATGCATTTCCTCATGACTCCCTGACCCCTGTCACGAACGGCTACGCGGACGATAGGTGAGTCCCGCAAGGGACGACCTTCCCTACCACCAGAGGCTTTCTGACACCCGACAGGAACGGCTGGGGCGCCAGCGCCGTTGATGCCTTCAGCACTGCGCTGATTATGGAAGATTGGGAGGTCGTGAAGCAGATTCTGGAGTTCGTGCCCACCATCAACTTCGATAGCACCAGTACCGAGGTCTCGCTCTTCGAAACGACCATCCGCTACCTCGGTGGTCTGTTGTCCGGTGAGTGAAAGTCGTATCTAGGCCAGGCGTGTTCATTCATCTCTTGCTAAGATCTACCCAAGCCTACGATCTCCTGACGGGCCCTCTCAAGAGCCATGTTGAGAACACCACTTCGGTGGACGCCGTCCTGAAGCAGGCTAGACGTCTGGCCGACAACCTCAAAGTTGCCTTCGACACTCCGAGTGGAGTGCCGGACAACTCGGTCTTCTTTGGCCCGCCACGCAAGGGAGGCTCTGATATCAACGGTGTCGCGACCATTGGAACCTTGGTGTTGGAATGGACACGCCTGGGCGACTTGACGGGAAACAAGACTTACGGCGCGCTTGCTCAGACGGGCGAGGACTATCTTCTGCACCCAAAGCCAGCCTTCGGAGAGCCGTTCCCGGGCCTCCTTGGAACACGTGTGAACATCTCGACAGGGCTCTTCACCGACAGCGTTGGTGGCTGGGTCGGCGGCGACGATAGCTTCTATGAGTACTTGATCAAGATGTACCTGTACGACCCGGTCCGCTTCGAGGAGTACAAGGACCGGTGGGTCACGGCCGTGGAATCGACCATCAAGAATCTGGCGTCGCACCCGAGCTCGCGACCCGACCTCACCTTCCTCGCCATGTACCAAAACACGACCCTGGGGTTTATTTCTCAGCATTGTGAGTAACGCTACCCCCCTTTCTTGTGCGGCCCCCCTCACACCGCGTCCTGCGTCCCCCCGGGCCTCTTCCGTCCCCGCCTCCCCGCCCCCTTTTCTCCCTGCTGTCCAAAGTTATGACTCACGCCCCGGTCCTTCGACAGTGGCCTGCTTTGACGGCGGCAACTTCATCCTTGGCGGCCTGACCCTCGACGAGCCGCGCTACGTCGACTTCGGGCTGGAGCTCGTCGCCGCCTGCCACGAGACGTACACGCAGACGCTGACGGGCATCGGCCCGGAGGTGTTCAGCTGGCAGGACGGCGCGCTGTCGCCGGACGCGCCCAACAACCCGGGCCCACCGGCCAACCAGGCCGACTTCTACGCGCGGGCGGGCTTCTGGATCAACAGCGGCAACTACCTACTGCGGCCTGAGGTCATCGAGAGCTTCTACTACGCCTACCGCGCCACCGGCGACCCAAAGTACCAGGAGTGGGCGTGGGACGCCTTCCAGCGCATCAACGCCACGTGCCGCGTCGGCAGCGGGTACAGCAGCATCAACGACGTCAACGCCCCCAAGGGCGGCGGCTTCTCTGACTTCCAGGAGAGCTTCTGGTTTGCCGAGGTCCTCAAGTACAGCTACTTGATCCATGCCGAGGTGAGTTCTGTCTTTCCCTGACATCTGGCAAAAAGAAAAAAGAAGAAGAAAAATTGTGCGGGATAGGGGGTATTTTCCCTGCAAGTTGGGGGCAAATGCTGATCATTGTGTTCTTGTCCATAGGAGTCGGATTGGCAGGTCAAGGCAGACCATACCAACAAGTTTGTGTACAACACGGAGGCGCACCCTGTGCGAATCGCGTCCGGGCAGGAGGGGGGCGCTTAGTTGCGTGAGATGTTAGTTACTTGGAGATGACGCATCCAAGGATCCCCTTTTCTGGCATAGGTTAGGAGTCGGGGTGTTTCTGGGCCTTTTTGTGTTTGCATTTTGGTTCTCGCGGGCCTGTTACATGTATCCTGCTTCTTACGTTTGTCATCTATGTTGTCACATTTCCTTTGGTGGACCTGCCTCTAAAGGACATAGACCTAGTATTTCTTATGATAACTGACTACTACCTTGGCAAATGTGATATTATTCGAGGAAGAGAAAAGTCCCGGGCCTACTACTCATTGCGGTAGATCCTACGGCTAAGAGAACGGCATGCGGCTAATGCCGGAGGTAGCCAATGCTTGTGTGTCGCCGAGGGTTGCCCGCCAGCGACCATCGGGATTTAACATCGGGATATCCGAAGCTGATGACAGCCTACCCATACCGGATACCTGCTGCCTATACGTAATGAATAGCATTGCGGTGCATTCCAAGGTTGACGATAATCCACTCCGGGCCGAACTGAGCCGAGCCGATCCGGTCGGCTCCATTGTGCGGCTCTCCTGCCCTGGGTCTGGACCAACGCTACAACCCGGCTGACACAGCCGATGGCCAATTTTCCTTCTTCCCTTTCGATCCGGTCGTGGGGAGAACAGCCGGCTCAAAGCGAAACGGACCGACTTACCAGCCCTGTCGAAACGGATCGAAACGCTGCGCATCGCTTTTTATGGCTTCCTGCCCTTCGGGAACCGGAGGGTTGTGGAAGTGGGTGGGGGGAGGGAGCATGGCGTTGATAGATGTCTATGCCCCTCGACGATAGGCAGTGGGGGGTTGCCTTGCCCGGAGCCTTTGGGCACACGCGGTAGGTACTAGGTTAGCAGGGACACACTGTTGTCCAACCAACCGACAAGGCAGCAGATACCACTCTGGCCTGCACTCGCAGGCGGCGACGGGACCTTCATCCGTCCGTTGAACCCGAAGAATCACCTGGGCTTCTTTCCTGGACTACGACTAAGCGCAGGCCAATCCCATCATCCATCCTTGATTTCCGCAATGCTAACAGCTAACAGCAATGCCGCGAGCAGCACGCTCTCCGGACCGGACGGCAGCAGTTGTTTCCTCTGACGTAGAGGCCCGTCCTAAGTCACCGCATCCAATGACTCGGAGCAAAGCCCGCACCGACGACTCGAGCACTTGCGCTCAGCACCGTCGGCAGTCATGACTTTCGTCGTGTTCCAGGTTTCCAATGAAATCTCGGCGCCGAGTGGACCAAGGGACTCATCCGAGCCGGCGTCTCTTCCCCGTCAAAGTCCGGCAGCTCCGCAACTCCCCGGGGCCCGGCTGACGAGGTTGAGACCTCGACCGGTGCAGACCCACACGGCCCGCAAAAGGTGCCGCTGCCGACAAACTTATAACCAAGACAGCACCCTGCGCTAGTTGTCGATCGGCCTAGGATGTTCTCTGGGGCCGGATGGGGAAACTGTTGCATGGGTACCCACCTCGGTGTAGCTCGGGGGCTCTTTCTTGGTTGTATGCACCTTTATCGTGGTTGGAGATGTCTTGGTTGGAGAGGAGATAGCTCGGGATTCGGGGGAGGAGGGGTGGTCAGACAGCAAGAGGAGAGCAGGTTGAATCAGTGGGAGGGGATTGGGGGATTGGGGATTGGTATGCCATTAACTTGCACGTGAGAGGGGAAGGCGGGAGGGAAGAGGGATTGTAGGCATGAACGAACTTGTGTGAACCGCGCGAAGCGGCAGCCAGTCATTTAGATGTCTGCTGCGATCTCGGCGCGTATGGATGAGGAACGTTTGCATGTTACATACATACTATAGTACTAGTTACTGCAGCGGAGGCATGAAGACAGCATCACCGAGGCTGGTTGGAAACTCGGCGAGCTCACCACTGCTTGATATAGTGTGTGGTGTAAGCCAGCGTGAGGACACAAATATCGACACTGTTTGAATGGCATTTGAGACATACCAAGGCCACCACAAAAGCCACCCGACGCCCCTTCCATGCTCGTCGGGGTTGGTGATCTCTTGCGGTCTCCGGATATCTCGCTGGGTAATTAAGGTAGCCAACCCCTCACCTTGCTTAATGCGGCGAATTAGGTGTCCAAGCACAAGACCAGACCAGTGAGGGGCAGGGCTGCCTAACTGCCTGGGGTACCTATAATATGAACGCTTTTAGGTCTGTGAAGTTGGAAGGCGAGGTACCTCTCAATTCCAATCCAGTCGACGTCATGCACGGTTGGCACGGGTGACGACAAGTGCGATCGCGATGGCAGCTGCTACTTGACCAATACCAGTTGGTACTTTATTAATGGAGTACTACTCCGTCCCTACCGAAACACAACCCCGCACTTTCGTGGTGTGGCATCATGCCCCAGCAACCTTTGTAGCTGCAGCCAGCTGCTATTATTGATGCCAGGAGACGGCGACGAAACCCCGTCCATGTGCCGCTGTTGGCTGGGCGGCAGTCCGTAGTGGTGGGTTGGTTGGATGAACTTGGTGGTGACGAGTGCGGGAGGTCGAGACTGATGCATCGGTACCTGATGTTGCAGACACACAAGTAGGTACCCTCAAGTAGGCAGTAACATGATCAGAAGCAAGTCCTCCCTTCGCCGTACCTTGAATGTCGAGTGTGGTGGCCCTTTATTAGACTCTGGCCACCCCCGCAGTGTAGCTTCCCAGACCCTTTGTTTTCCCTAACCTCCCAAACCCGTTGCTGATCTCGAGGACGCGCGTGCAATTGAAAAGGCCTACCTTGACAACGATAAAAACCCATCTTCCTCGTCGCTCTCCTTCCCCTCGGCTATTGGTGGGGGTCCGTTTGGCCGGCCGTCTTACAACCGTACGAGCGTCACACACAGCTGCGACCTGTGAGTTGAAAAAGGCGCCCCGCTTCTGGCACACGACACCAGCACACCAGCACTCCAGCGACACAACCGGAGCTTCAACCGACAAAGAGCTGGGCTGTGCAGCAACGCTGGCATCCGAATAGCTCCTGTTCTTGTCTTGTTGGTAGGTTCTGCGCACTCTTCTCACAATTCCCTCTCTCCACAAGCTCCCACCAACATCTTCCCCACACGAGGCCCACTACCGCTCGCATTACCGAACCGGGCCTGGACCCCAGTCAAGTCCTATCTTTCCCGACCATTCCCGTCGCCAGTGCGATCCACGGGTACGTAGGTATCCACCTGGGCACCGCCGACCTGGTCGGCGTAAGGAAAGCAATTGGGAGGTTTTGGGACACTTGCCCACTGCGCCGGGGCGACCCGGCCCCAGACTTTTTGACTAGGGATGACGACTTGGTTAGTTGCAAGTTTGACCATGGCAAGAAGAAACAAATTCAATCGGATGCCAATCTCAATCCCCATGCCACCAAACTTGGGACCGCAAGCTAACCCGTTGCTTCGGCCATTCCTGATAGCCTAGAGCATTGATCTTGCTTCGAACCGGTAAGCACAAGCATTGCCCATCTAGCAACTGGGCGGGAAGCCTCTCGTCGGTTAGCCGCTCCGCACTTCAACAGCACAAAACCTCTCCTCGGTGCCTCGACCCGCAATGACCAACACCGTCAAGCAGGCTGCCGAAACGGCCCAAGTAAAGACATCCGAAGCCATGGGTACGGCCAAGGAAGTCGGAGGCGAGACTGTCGCCGTGGCCAATGACTTCCTGCACACCCCATTCATGCGGGGGGCCCTGCCCTTCATCAATGGCGGTCTCAGCGGCATGGTGGCCACGACCGTCATCCAGCCCGTCGACATGGTCAAGGTGCGCATCCAGCTGGCTGGCGAGGGCAAGGCCGGCGGCCCCAAGCCGACACCCATCTCCGTGACGCGCGAGATCATCGCCTCGGGCAGAGCCCTCGACCTGTACACAGGCCTCTCGGCCGGCCTTCTCCGCCAAGCCGTCTACACCACCGCCCGCCTCGGCTTCTTCGAAACCATCATGGGCAACCTGTCAAGCAGGGCCAAAAGCAAGGACAAGAGCATCGGGTTCGCGGAGCGAGCAAGCGCCGGCTTAACCGCGGGCGGCCTGGCGGCCATGATCGGCAACCCGGCCGACCTGGCGCTCATCCGCATGCAGAGCGACGGGCTCAGGCCCCTAGCCGAGCGCAAGAACTACTCGTCCGTGTTCGACGCGCTGCGCTCCATTGCGAGGAGCGAGGGAATAGGCGCCCTATGGGCGGGCGCCACTCCGACGGTCGTCCGAGCCATGGCGCTCAACTTTGGCCAGCTCGCCTTTTTCAGCGAGACCAAGGCCCAGCTCAAGCAGCGCACCCAGTGGTCCACCAAGACGCAGACATTCACTGCCAGCGCTGTCGCCGGATTTTTCGCCAGTTTCTTCTCCCTGCCGTTCGATTTCGTCAAAACCCGGCTGCAGAAGCAGCAGAAGGGCCCCGACGGGAAGCTTCCCTATCGCAGCATGATCGACTGCTTTACCAAGGTGGCGAAACAGGAAGGCTTGACAAGGTTTTACCGAGGCTTCGGAACCTACTATGTGCGCATTGCGCCTCATGCGTCAGTTTGCCCTTTGCTCTCTGCTCCCCTCCCCCGTCGCGTTGAACCTGGCAAGAGTACTGACTTGGCTTGCTGGATAGGATGGTGACACTAATTGCGCTCGACTACCTCACATTCCTCACTCGATAGCCACGTCCGGTTGCATATCGTCGAGGCTCTTCTTTCTTCCCTTTCCCCGTTCAGATTTTGCGATCTTGCATCAGAAAGATTTCGTCCTCGTGGAGTTTTTGCGGCATAAACCTTTGCTTCGGCAGGATTTAGTGCGGTATACCAAGGGCTTCAACGGCGGGAGCCCTGGTGGCAGTATATTCGTCGTCGTCTCTCGATGTGCCCGAGTCTGTTGGCCGGCAGCGCATGTGTTGTTGTCGTAGAGAGATTTTAGTCGTACAAAACAGACATTTTCAGCGGACTCCCAAATCTCTCATTTAATTGACGAATCCCAGAGGGCAATTCCGCAAGGTGGCATGGGTGCCGCAGTATTTCCTAGACCCGGCACAACTTCGGGAAATGGTACCTATGTAAGTATCACAAAACTCAATCCCCAAAAAGGAGTAAAACAAAGGGGCGGGAGCCTCCAAGGCGAAGCTGAAAAATACCATTTGGTGCCTAAAAATACCACCAAGCTGGTCAATCCCGAGTGAAAAGTGGTGGCTCCCGAATCTCATCGAAACCTCTCTGGGACAAGACCTCCATACACAGTACTCGCCTCGTCCTGGACTCCCATTTAAGTGGGTCCTTTGGTGTACCGAAAACAAGCATAACCCTCGACCTTGACGTGGAGCTTGTCTCTAGCCCTGTGTGACTTGGTGCCGTGCGGCTCTGTATGTTAGTGTCACCATCCTTGCTCGGAGGGGCTGCAATTGATCTCTGGAAAGCGCTTCGTTCGACTCCGTTCCCTTCCTCCACGCTCCGTCCATTCCCTCCAGCTCCAATTCCTGGGCTCTGGCTCGACAATCCAATGGAATACCCCGTCGGGTACTAAGATGTGATCAAGGGCTAAAACACCATGGACGCTGACTGGGACGAGGCAAGTACTGCCACTCTGACCCGATAAAAAAAACCGGCATGCTGCCCCGAGGCTGCCGCGAGGCTGCCGACGGCGAGCTGAATTGCAGTTTGCTGTCATTGTCGCCGCGCTCCAAGTCACGGCGATGCTTCATGCTAACCTCTCAATCTTATTCGCCAGGTCTCGCGCGTCGCCTTTCCGCCGCCTGGCGCGAACGAATTCCCTCGACCAGTTTCGACCCTCGCGTTCGATACGAGCCAGGAGCTCCTCTGGACTGGCAATGACAGGGTATGACAACCTGCCGCTCCGATAACATTTCCTATCATAATCTGACAGAGTCAGGGCCGAGTCGCGTCCTTCTATGGGACCGAACTTCAACGTTACACATCGTTCAGAGCACACCCTCCCTCCGATGGCCCCGTCCGCCAGCTGCTTTTCCACGACAAGGGCGTCATCGCCCTGGGGCCCCGGAGCATCCATATGGCCCTGCGAAGGGGTCCCAAATTGTGGAATATTCGGTATGCTTGACCGGGTTTGTGTGTGACGCTATCTATGCAAGCAGTGCTGATGAGCCTACCACAGACACGAGGCCATGAGAGATTTGTACTGTATGAGTTTCACGTCCAAGGGAGCCTCGGAGATCCTAGTAGCCGGTTGGCAGGACACCATGTTTGTCGTCGACGTCAATAAGGGGGAGATCGTGAAGCAGGCAAGTCCTGTGACTTTCCCATCCGAGTCTATCCTCGCGACTAACTCCGGGCAGGTTGCGACCGAGCATCATTACACCATAATGAAGAAGAGCCGGTATATCTGTGCCGCAACCAAGACCGGCCATGTCGACATGTTGGACCCCCTGTCCTTCCGAGTTGTCAAGACCTGGCATGCGCATGTGGCCTACATCAACGACATGGATGCCCAGAATGATTTCATCGTCACCTGCGGCGGATCCCATAAACAGCAGGCTGCCCAGACATACATGCTCGACCCGTATGTCAATGTCTTCGATCTTAAGAACATGACCTCGATGAGCCCGATTCCCTTTCCGCCCCTAGCCGCCTACGTTCGCATGCACCCGAGGATGTTGACGACAAGCATTGTCGTCTCTCAGCAAGGGCAGATGCACGTTGTCGACATCATGAATCCCAACACCAGCAATGTTCGTTATGCAAATGTCTTGTCGTTCCTGAATATGGTAGATATAGCGCCGTCCGGAGAAGCCCTCGTCATGGCCGACTCGGAGTGTAACATTCATCTGTGGGGGTCCCCGTCCAAGATCCATTTTGCCGAATATGCGACCCCCGTCGAGTTCGCGGATACCGAAGAGCCAACCACTCATGTCGACTGGTCCCCGGATACGTAAGTTGATCTCAACGTCGGCAATCTGGGGCGTTGGGGAGAGGGAGTTGCCCCTGTTCTAACCATGTTTCAGGCCCTTAAACTCTGTCGGTATGCCTTACTACCGAGAAGTCTTGCTCTCGGCTTGGCCGTCCCATCTCCTTTCCGACGTTGGCGCCCCCGCCGTGAAGTACGACCCAGCTTTTCTGGCGAATCTCAAGCAGACCGAGTGGGGTCTTTATGGGCGCAACGCCCGTGGCTTACGCCGGAATCAGGTCGAGAATACTCGCTCCCTGAGTCGGTCTGCCAATTCCATGCAAGCGCCGAAGTTCCTGAGCGAGAAGGCTCGCGAATCAGTGAAGTCTTCGGGGTGGAACCGACCCCCAGAGACCACAGCCGAACAGGCTCCAGAACCGTCATCCAACCGGGAACTAGAGAGTCTGAAGCCGGACCCTCCGCCCATGTACACGAACGTTGAGATCAAATACAGCAAATTCGGCGTTGACGATTTCGACTTTGGGTAAGTCTTCGCCGGGCCGCATTATCAAGGGACTCTCTCTGTTTCGGCACTGACGTGACACGGCAGATTTTACAACAGGACCCGATTTGCGGGTCTTGAAAACCACATAGCGAATTCGTATGCCAATTCGCTTTTGCAGGTGATGAATTATACCCCCCTATTGCGAAATCTGGCTCTCCAGCATACTGCCACTCCCTGTCTAAGCGACCCTTGCTTGCTGTGCGAACTGGGCTTCGTCTTCGATATGCTGCAGAAGGCCGAGGGTTCGACATGCCAGGCGACGAACATGCTGAAGGCGTTGAGTAACCATCCTCAAGGTTAGCTCCACTGCAACGCGATTTGTATATATCCGTCATGGCTAACGCATGCACCTCGATGGAAGCGGCACCCCTCGGGCTTGTCGAGGAAGATGCCCGCGGCCCATCCCTGCCCATCATGGTACAGGGATTAACCAGATTCCTCCTCGACAGGATATCGCATGAATATCGAAGCATTGCCCCCGCTTCAACAACCTTGGAACAGGCGCTGTTCGGCCTGTCACCCCCCCTCAACCTGGACGACCTACTCTCCAGGGTTCTTGCGACCTCTGCGGACACCTCCATCAGATGTATGAACTGTAGGAGCGAGACGACCAGGCCGGGATCAACCTTCGTCAACGATTTGATATATCCCATACAGAAGCCTCCGATTAGGTCCGGCAGAGCCACTAGAACGACCTTCTCGCAGGTGCTCAAGCTGAGCGTCGAGCGAGAGACGACATCCAAGGGTTGGTGCAGCAGATGCCAGCGGTATCAACCTCTGCAGACCCGAAGGACCATCCACAACATCCCTGCGGTCCTTACACTTAACGCGGCGATAACAAGCCCCGACCATCGGAGGCTATGGGCAACTCCTGGGTGGCTTCCTGAGGAGATCGGAATCATCGTCGATCAGGGCCAATTCTTTTGTTATGAGGGAGAGGATTTGAAGCTCCATCTTCAGCGCGGCATCCACCATATCACCGTCTATTCGCTCGTGGGTTTGGTCGTCAACGTCGAGTGTGATCAGCCTCCGAAGTCGCATCTAGTAGGCATGATAAACAGTATGTACCCTGTACTCTCGGTGGACGAAGCTGTCAAGTGGCGGCCTCTCGTCCACGCCCGGTACCCAACCAATTGTTTGATGTTCGAGTACTGAGGGACGACAACTTCTAGTCTCGCATGCGGAAGCGACGGCTCCGAGCGATAGTCAGTGGCATCTGTTCAACGACTTCTCTGTGCGGCCGGTATCGACGGTCGAGGCATTGACCTTCAATGCTGCATGGAAAATGCCATCGGTCATGGTATACCAGTTGAAGGCCGCGAATAACAAGCTCAGCAGCGAGTGGAAGGAGAGGCTTGACACGTCGATACTATTCACGGATCTCAGGTCAGTTGCCATTCTCGAAGGGAGAATAGTCACGACATGCTAACCCGACTTCCCAGGCCCCCGTCAGCGGACAAGACGTACCGTGTCCTCGACTCGTCCGAGCGGCCGGGGGCCGGCACCATTGTTGCTCTCGACACTGAATTCGTGTCTCTAAAACAGCCAGAGATCCAGATGAACTCGGACGGGGAGAGAGAAACAATCCGTCCCATGTCTCACGCATTAGCCAGAGTCTCGGTCGTTCGCGGAGCAGGGGAGAACGAAGGACTTCCCTTTATCGATGACTACATTGCCATCAAGGAACCGATCGTCGACTACTTGACCTTCTACTCTGGTATTACCCCTGGTGACCTGGATCCCCGCACGACCAGGCACAACCTCATTCCCCTGAAGGCTGCGTACAAGAAGCTTTGGGTGTTGTTGAACCTGGGCTGCAAGTTTCTAGGCCACGGCCTGAAACAGGATTTCCGAGTTATCAATATCCAAGTTCCAAGGGCGCAGATCATCGACACAATCGAGCTCTTCTATCTAAAGAGCCGCCTCCGCAAGCTGTCGCTGGCATTCTTGGCTTGGTACCTGCTGAAAGAGGACATCCAGACGGAGGGGCATGACTCGATCGAGGACGCAGGGACGGCCCTCAAGCTCTACCGCCGGTATCTGGAGTTTGAAGATGCCGGTATACTGGAACCAAGGCTGGTAGAGATCTACCGGGTAGGAAGAGAGATGAACTTCAAGCCACCAAGGAAGGATGATCAAGCTGTCCAGCGGATGGACACGCCTCCAATAACCATAGATGGAGGCCCGGGTCCCATAACACCTTCCCGTAGGGTGGCAGGTTCTGGGCAAGTGCCGGGGACCGTGTTTGGAGCCGCCGTGGCTTGGACTCCAGGGAAAGGGTCACCCATGCGGGAGTGACTTTCTCTCGTTGGCAATCGTTGTACGGGCCATGAATAACTGTGCCCTCACACAAATGTCAAATACCTAGGTATATTATCTATATATATTCCCGTGCTACCTTCGTTTTCTTTTTTTCTGACCTCCCCACCTACCCGTCCATCTACCTATCTCTCTATGTCTTGTCGTTGGGACCTTGATGGAAGCCAAGTCCCCATAGGCGTGGGAGCTACCTACCTTTTCCACCAAATTCATCAGATCACCACCCCGCGGCCTTCCTTTCTTACCGAAAGCCGAGTCAGGCCATTGTCTAGGTACATCATCGAAGTCATCCCACCTATCTTTCTGCTTCTCTCGAGCACGACGCGTACCCCCCTTCCCTCCCCCGGACCACGACAGCCTCGACACGGGTTTCTATTTATACGACCCACGCTCGACACAGCACCGATTGGCTCGGGATTTTGGGAATCCGGACCATGACGAATCTGCTACAACACGTCGACGTTGTTTTAATGGATTTCGCCACGCACACGTGCTGGATACGATTCCTAATCGCCGTCTCTTCGGCGCTATCCCTCCATGGGTGCCTGGGGCAGCAACTGAACCCCCCCTTTCGCACGGCCATGGAATACCCAAAGGGGGCTCGCCGTCTCCTCTCCGGTGGTGCCTGGGGCAGCAACTCAAACCCCTATTCGCACTGGCCACGGAGTTCCTAAAGGGGGCTCGCTGGGGGCCGTATTTGAGTTCTCGGTAATGCAGGTACTAGGCCGCCCGAAAGCTGGAGTCATATTTTGAGTTCTCGGTCATGCAGGTGCCGGTCGCCCCAAAGCTAGAGTCGATATCTGTTTTGTCAGTCTGCCCATAATAGGTCTAGCGACAACGAGTGATCGTGGGTGATTTCATGGCTACGCCGTCTATATATACCCGTCCAGTCCGCGCCCTCTTGCTCTTTCCTCTTCCCCTCTACAAAGTACGTACGAAGCTAGATGATTTTGACAAACTGCACGCTCTACACGCTCTACATACACTCACGCTGTCACAATGCACTCTCTCCGTAACTACAATGCGTCGGCCTCTGAGCACTTCATCGGCAGTGCTCAGGGGTCGCTGGCTAACTTGGTGAGTCGCTGTTCTCCTTCTATTCTCTCGTCCCTTGGAACTTCGGTATCGATCGCACCTGCCGTCACGCACGCTTCTCGCCTTCCAGTTCCAACGTAGCCCTCCGACGTCCTCGTAGTCTTTGGATTCCTTCGTACCTAGTCTTTCGACTCCCTCGTGCTTGTGGCCTTTTTTCCTCCGCCACATCGCCATCGCTATCGCCACCACCGCCATCGCCATTGCCCATTCTCGCATCTCGTGTCTAGGTAGCCACATCTGTACTTGGAGATGGGCTAACGTCTTCCAGGTCCAGCACTCTCCCCCGTCGATGTCTCGTTCACGCCTGTTTCCTGTCATCTCTGCCCCCAAACGCGCCCGATTCGGGTCCCCCCTATACACCAACATTCTTAACAAAACACCAAAAAAAATCGAAAACGATAAAACCCACAAAAAAATTGCTTCTTTTCCTTCTCTTTCCTTTGTTTCGTCTTTTCCTATGTCGTCTTACGGCCCTTGTGCCCCTATTGCTTATTTGTCTTCCCCCGTTTCTAGTATCGATTCTCCCAGTCGCTTTCCGAGGACACCGCCCCCACTCCCAGGATGGTCCATGTGTACAGCTGGTCCGCTATGCCGTCTCGTCTCGCCAGTCGGTCAATCGCCTTCAACTCTTGGAACGTCGCCGGCTCTCAGGCCATCGCCAACTCCTCCAGTGCCGGAGCTCCGACCGCCGCCAACTCCAGGGCGACCGCGGATTCTCCAACTCTCACCTCGTCGACAGCGTAAGGCGCCGGTCACTTGTCCAAACTCTGATCGCCCGACTCAGCCTCCTCCTGAGGCATCTGACCCGCCGCCTGCTCGTCGCATTGTCAAGATTTACGTTAAGCCCAAGGATGCCGCTCGTTCCAGGCCAGACCAGCCCAAGGATGCCGTTCTTTCCAGGTCAGGCCAGTCCAAGGATGCCGTTCGTTCCAGGTTAGGCCGGTCCAAGGATACCTCTCGTCCAGTCCCAGTTCTCCAGCAGCCTAAAGCTAAGATCACTTGTTCATCCCCTGATCGTCCGAGTCAGCCTGGTCTCGAAGCTGCTGGCGCACCGCCTGCCCGTCGGATTGTCAAGATCTACCTTAAGCCCAAGGATGCCGCTCGTTCAAAATCCAGCATCTCCAGTGGTCCTTCATCAGCGACAGCCCTCGAACCGCCATCAACTCCTCAGCGACTGCGAGCTGTTCAACGGTCCAAGGTTCCAGTGACTCCCGAGGCTCCGGTCGCCCCCAAGGTCCAAGTAACCCCCGAGGCTATAGTCGCGCCCATGTTCCCGGTCACTCCAAAGGCTCCGGTCGCTCCTAAGGTTCAAGTCACTTATTCTCCCCGACTCGTTGCCACCGCACACCTTCGCTACCGTTCGCCCGAAACTCACCTTCTGTACCCGAAACATGTGGAATCCCCTCCCACTAGTCAAATAGAGCTCTGGAAGGCACTGGCCAAGCTCTCCTGGGATCAACAGATCAGAGGCCGTGTCGATGCCACACCTTCGCCAGCTCCTAGGACTCCCGAGACTCGCGCCCCAGCCACTCCTTCAGTCACCGCCGATATCGGATCCAATCTCCTGGATGGCTCCATCCCCATGTATCTACTGGCCGCTGGCATCGAACGCAAGATACAAGGCGACAAGACACCGTCATCTGCGCGCCCTCCCACCCCTTCACACCTCCACGGCGGTGTTACCGACTACGCCATGACGCCCCCAAGGATCTGGTGGCAGGAAGACTCTCATCCAAGCCCATCACGGCACCGTAAGAGATATCTGAAAGATGACACCACGGATGAGTACGACGAGAGCCGGTCAATTGCGTCGGGTTCCACGCAGACGTGGGCGTCCCCGGTCGGTGCCAACGCCGTCCTGCAGGCCATGAAGAGGGAAAAGGAGGAGCAGGATCGTAAGATTCTCGCCATGGCTGCCAAGATCATCGCCGAAGGAAATGCCAAGCTCAAACGACCGATCAAAGCAGGAGCTGATATTCTCGCCAAATACTTGCCAGCTGATACCCCGGCGAATGATCCCCAGGTGGCCCCTCCCGCACCCATCGCCGGTTCTCCGGTCCAGGCTTCCCCGGTCCAGGCTTCCCCGGTCCAGGCTTCCCCGGTCCAGGCCCCCTCGGTTCAGGTTTCCCCGGTCCAGGCTCTCCCGGTCCAGGCTTCGCCAGTCCCTCGCCCCAGCTCTCCAGACAATCTGTCAAACTCTGATGGGTCTGATGGGTCCTTCGGTCTTCCCCCCAAAGCTCATTGGATTGATGGCCAACCGTTCTGGGTCGACTCCAACGGCATCTGTGTCTTGGCACCAGCCGACTTCAAGTATCTCGAGGGCAAGCCCTGGGTACCTCCAACTGTTGCCTGTCGTTCTGTCCCGGCTGCGTTATGCACAATGGCATTTGCTCCAATGGTCCCTTCTCAAGCGCCCGCCACAGGTTGGTCACCATGGAAGGTCGGTCTCGCGGCGACTGCGGCAGCGGCTGTCGGCGGACTCGTCACCTGGTGGCTCATGTCATGAACACGCTCGCTTCCACCTTGGTACCAGTTGCATCAACTCTCCTTCGCTCGCTTGTCACTCTCTTTCATTCGTTCTCTTTCCATCTCATGCTTCTGGCAGTTCTCGCCTTTCGGCTTGGTCTTCAGCAGCTCCGGCGACTGCAGTCTCTCTTTTGATCGACGGCCCTCGGTCGATTCTTGCTCATTCCGTTCAACAATCGGCGTTCACTCTCTTTCCGGTTTGGTCCGAGTGACACACTCGTTCTCTGAGGTCCGCTCAGGTTTCTCTCATTTCGCATTTGCCAGACAAGTATCTGCCGAGTCTCTCCTTTCAGAAAATCAACCTCGGTTCCTCTCAACTAGTATCGGAAAACAGGTAAGTATTCCACCCCCTTTACCTTCTGCTAACGAGTCACAGGTCCTCCCGGTTCCTCGCCCTCAACCGGTTTCGGAAATTCAGGTAAGTGTCTACCCCCATCCGCTTTTACTAACGAGTCACAGGGACCCTTTCAGTACGGTCTACGCCTTGACGTGGCGAGAGGGCTTGTAGCCACGTCTGGCAAGGCCGGCGTGGTGACCAAGTAGGCCGGCATCTCCTATGTTCATCTGTCTCTTATGTTCCCTTCTCTCTCCTATGTTCTTTTCTCTTCCTTTTCCTTCACTGTGCCTCAAGTGCTGGCATGGTTTCCCTATCAGGTCTATCCTTCCCCCTGTCTGATTTTGTCTGGTCTCTCCTTAAAGGGCAGCCCGTTACCTCTGATGGCTAGTGTGGGTGATCAGCAGCTACCTCCTTCTCCATGTCTGCCATTTTGAAGCCAGAAAATGCCCCCTGTCCATATCCCTTAGCCTGTCCACATTCGATCGTCCCTTTGACATGCTCGTGCTGTGTGACTGTGATCATCTGATCCTGATAGGTTTATCACTCTAGATGGGAGGGACTGGCAGTCTCAAGGATATCCGGGGCGGGAGATGTATTTACAGCCTCAAGTCCGACGGACAATTAAATAGCAACAACCTCAACTTTGATGTCAGATTTCCCAGTCTCTGCGAATGATGTTATGAGTGCATATCCCCATCGCAGTACCAGGGTCACCTCTCGGATCTGCCTTGTCTCAGCAACCTGTCTACCACTTCTTTGGCTAGATATTGCCCCGCTTTGACAAACCCCTTGAATCTGACGGATAACTGAGGAGCAACCACCACCTCCTTAACGCCCTCTACGTGTGAGGTTCTGAAACGCAAAGGTAAAGTAGACAGAAGACAGAGACGCTCTAGTGAGAGGCAAGCGTGTCCGAATGAAGCTTTAAGTTGCGATAGTACCTAATTATACAGCCTAGGCAGACGCCCCTTAAATCTCCTTCGCCTTCCCAGATGTTGACAATGATCCATGCCAACAGCTCAGCAACCTTTGCTCCTCTAGCTCAAATTAACTCCAGTTTCCAGCCTTTTTTTAGTCTTCAGATTCCACATATTTCCACCGCTGGCAATGCCGAAACCACAGACGAGACAACAAAGGAAAGTTAATTGCACAACAGTTTATAGTGGAAGCCAAAAAAATAAAAATAAAACCCCCGGAATCTCAGTTAGGCCCTCCTGGTCCGACGCCAGGCCAAGCTTTAGTATGGCAATGCATGATGATGCGCAAGGAAGAACCCATGAATAATACAGTGTAGAGGAGCATTCATCATCAGGGGAGCAACGACAGAGCAAGGGGATAGTGGTCAGCAACCCCCCTCCTCGTCCTCGCGGTCGCTCATGCTCCCGTAGCCCGGATCGGCCTCCATGCCGACGACGCTCTTGGTGACGGCCAGGCAGCAATCGACCATCTTGCGCCGGAGGTCTTGGTCGAGCCCGCAGCCGTCCCCTCCGCTGCCGCCGACCCAGATGCGCAGGGAGCCGGCGAGCATCTCCAGCGAGGCCGAGCACGCCTCCCTGCCGACGGGGTGGGACCGCAGGAGGTCCATGAGGTGGAACGCCGCGGTGAAGCTGAGCAGGGACATGCCCTCGGAGCCGGGCGGGGGGACGATGGTGTTGATGACATCCAGCGCCCATTGCGGAGGCGAATGGAACTTCTGGAGGTGGGCAATTCCCTGAGAGCACCGCAAAGCCATATGAGTGTCTGGGTCGGGGAAGTTGGGCGCCATGCGCGAATCGATAAGGGGAAGAGGTGCGCCCCTGGTGTATTGAGGGGACTGCTCGGTATCAATTGACGGCTGCATCGCCTGCATCGCAGCGGCAATATTGGCGCCACGCTTCTTGTCGAGCAGGAAAGTGCGTGCGACGAGGGCCCGGACCTGGGCATTCGAACCGATCGGCGCTACCTTGACCGCAAGATCCAAATCCGCTTCCGTTGTCCTGTGCCTCTCACCCCCGAGGTTCGAGGCCAGGATGCGCTGGAGGATGGCGCTGGAATACCAGGCGGACACGGCGTCCATGGGAGATCTAACAGCAGTATCGTCGACAACGCTGTTCATGCCGTCGATCATATCAAGAGCGTTGTGGGCTGTGTGTCGATTCCAAGCCAAGTTGTGGGCCCTCTGCACAACGTCGTCATTGAGAACATCGTCACAGTCTTGCTCCAGGAGGACAGAGAGGTGGTCGGGAAGGTCGTCGTCAGTTCCCGTGTTGGATCCCTTGCGGAGCTGGTTCAACAGGCGGTTCAGATGCTTGGCTTCGTTCCAATTCGACCTGGCCAGTTTCGATGCCAGCACGTTGAAGATGCCGGGCAAAATGTCGACTTGCCACAGGAGAACCCGGATGTGTAATGCCTTCAGCATCAGTCGCTGGGGCGTATCAGGAAGCGTGCCAGAGGCCAACAAGGTCAGAGTGAGACGGCTCTTGTTGATCTCGACATCCCCGCCAGCGAGTTGGGCATCCAGCGCAATAGTCCAAGCCTTGATTCTAGCAGTTTCTTGCTCTTCAGTCAGCCCAGTCAACAGCTGGTAGCCGCGCACGCCCATGGTGTTCCTCAAGGTGAACTTCATGGTCTTCAGAACAAGAGCAGCCGCCTCCAAAAAGAAGTTGTGCCTTGGCACCCAAACGGTCTGGATTGCGGTGAGCCATGCTTGACGTCTGACATGAATAGGTGAGGCCAGAGACGGTACGCCTCGGAGGGAAGGATTAAACGCCTTCTCCCCGCTCTTCGGTGGTTTCGAAGCGAACAACGATGGTACAAATGCCCATAGCATGGCACCCAACAATATCAGGAGCTTGAGTGACGAAAAGAACCGAGCCGTGGAGATAGTATAGCCTCCAATGGTGAAATGGGTCGAGTTCACGAACGACATAAGGAGCTGGACAGGGAGAGCAAATAGTCCCCGGCCTCCCGGGCTCTCGTTGCTCTGTTCGTTCTCCCGGATGGCCTCGACGATCATCAGACCAGCGAGCGACCCGACCATCAGCTTGCCAAAGTACGGAGCGCCATTTGTCCAGCGACTTGCCTGCTGCTGCTGCTGTTGTTGTTGCTGTATCTGCTGCTGGCGAGTGAGAGTGGGGTTTGTCTGGAAAGATTGTGCCGGGATCGCGTATGATTGTCCGGCCGCCACTTGCTGTGCGGCCAAAATCTTTCTCATGTCTTCCGGTACCTGAATCATCCCGGGAGGGTCCATGCCCCTCGGTGTGGCCATTGGCGTGTTCATGTATTGTTGGGGTCCCTGGGCATACTGTAGTGGAGGGGAGTGCTGCAGGGAGCTGGGCATTGCGGAAGTCAGGGCGCCGGCCATGAAGAGCTTCTCGAAGGCGCTTATCCTAGCCTGCATCGAGTTGTTTTCGTCAATCAGACGATTATTCCTCTTCTCTAGGTGCCTGATGTACTCGGTGGCTTTGCTTAGGACCTAATTCAACTGTTAGAAGCGTCGCACGACCGGAGCAACGGGCAAGAACGTACCGTAGCCTTGTTGAGCTTGTGTGCGGGAGTTAGACCATGTAATTCTTCTCTGTCTTCCGTCGTGTCCTCTCCCCGGGCACTCTTGGACATGATCCTCAGAGCCGGGACGCTGTCTCGTAACGCGGCGATCTTATCGTTCAGGTTTGTCCGGTACCGCTTCTCGATCATATTGTGAGCCGTCTTCTTGACGGGTTGCTGGCCGTCAATCTCATCGTAGTCGTCATCGTCTTCAACTTCGTCCGTGGACTTTCGTTTCCGGCTACCGGCCTTCGATGGGTCTGCGGTATCTGGGGACGATGCTGCGCCTTTCTCATTCCCGCTCATGCTCGAGCCGGGACTAGGCTCGCTCTTCGGCGAGTGATATTGAAGGTGAGCTGGCATGGCAATGCTTTTAAGTTTTTCCTGCTGAGCAAGGGTTAAGCCGTGGAGGATCTCAGGGCGTAGGTTCGGCCGGATAACTGCGTCGTCGGGAGTTGCGTTGGGGCGCAGGTTGCTGGCCAGCGAGAACCCGGCGTGTCTAGCTTGTCCAATATGATGCCCACTAGCAGTGGCATCAGCTCGGAAGTCCCAGAGCTGTGGGCACAACCCGGTGGTGTCGAAGGGATTCCCGTTATACGTGTCGTAGGGAACCGAGTCTTCAAGGCCCCAGTCGGGAGCGGAGGCGGGACTGATGAAGGGTTGGGTCTCGGCGGACGTCGATATCGCTGGGACGGAGGATGAGGGGGCGCTGGAGTTGCAGAAAGGGAAGTCGCCTACAGCGCCAGTACTCGAGACACCGGCGGAGGTGGGAGGATCGGAGGGCGGCGGGGAGTTGTCAAGGAACGCCGATACTGCGAGGTCGTCATCAAGGGTATCGAAGCCAGCAAACAAGGCTGCCGAGTCGGCATCGTTGTCGGCCATGGTGTGGTCAGCTCTTTATTGAGGCGCTTGTGCAGAGGACATGCAACTATGGCCTGACATGAATCAGAACGTAAGAAGGGAGGGTGGGCTTCTGGGCCTGTCCTTCCACTCGGTGGCCAATCCAGGGCCACAAGGTTGGAAGAGGGATCAGGTGGTAAGCAGTTTGGCCTTCTGCCAGTATTCTTTCGTCTCCGCAGCTGTTAGAATGGCAGCGCAACTTTTTGATCGTGCGATGCAATTTTACTTTGTGAGGTTCCAGTGGTACGATTGTCATCGATTCATTGTTGCTGATCAGGCCATCCGCGACCGGTTTGGCCCGCCACCAAAGCGGTTTAGCCGTGGATTATTTCCAATAGCGGATTGGCGCGTGCCAGGATTGTGGGACGTCAAAGAATCTGGAACACTTTTGGTGACATAATCTTGTACATCTCCTTTCGCATTATTTGTACCTCTCTCTACATTTACATATCTTCAAACGGATGCTGGTAGCAGATTTAACAAGGTATAGAAGATTGCATCTGCAAAATCCTGCCTGATTATATCTTTAAGACGCAAATTAGAGGCTTTCAAATGTCAGGTCTGCAATGGTATTCACTAGGTGGTCAGTTAACCGGGCTGTTTCAATACTCTCTAACCATCGTGTTTCAGCAGAGCGAATCCGTGTACGGAGTACCCCGCACTGACATGAAGACACGAGTAAACGTACTTGTGCAAGGGCCTTTGAAGATTTGAGAGAAGCAATATAAGAGCAGCGCCTCCCGAATACTCTTCCAACCTCAGTAAACCAAGCGGCTCTCGGTGTAATACCCGGCTGCGTCACCTCAACCACCAGACTGGCATCCTCACCTTGACCCACTCTCTAGCTCTCCCAAGACTGGATACTCTTCAACAGGACCTCCGAAACGTGCAAGCCGGAAGCCTGGATCACAGGCCCTCAGCTCTCCCAGGAAACGGACGGAAAGCAATATCCAGCCATTCGGTTGCTCTTCGTGATGTGATACTGCCCGCTACGATGGTCCAGGGTGATCCAAGAGGAAGAGTCCCTTTTGTGCTATGCCTTTTTTGGGAATGGTCACCCACCTCCCTAAACCAGACGCTGTCGCGTCTCAATGCTGCCTTACATTGCTTATTACAACGATTGAAATAGCTAGATCCCTCTAGGCAAACTCCCTGTCTTACAATTGAAATCCCACCACAGTACGGAGTAGACGACCAAAATACCGTCCACTTACCACCCTTGCAGCCCCCTTTTCCCCTATCGCACCTCGGCCAGTTCAAAGCCAAAGAAAAATGGCAGACCCCGCAGCTCCACCCGGCGTCACCCTCCGCCCCGCCACCGAAGCCGACGTCCCCGCAATGCTCGGGCTGATGGACACCGCCATCGCCTGGCTCGTCTCCCAGGGCCGAACCGGCCAATGGGGCGACGGCAAGGAGGCCTCCATCAGCAACCCGGCCCGCGTCGCCCAGTTCGACGACCTAGCCCGGCCCAACTCGCCCATCGGCAGCAGCTGGGTCGCCGCGACGGACGCCGGGATCATCATCGGCGCCCTCAGTGTCGGCGCCGCGCCCGACTACGTCCGCCCCGCCGCGGGGCCCGAGCTGTACGTCCGGCTGCTGATCACGGACCGGGCGTGGAAGGGCCGCGGCCTCGGCGCTTTCCTGGTCGCCAGGGCGCGGGCGCTGGGGCGCGCCGCCGGCGTGCCCGTCCTGCGGGTCGACTGCTACGCCGGCGGGGACGGAAAGCTGGTGCGGTGGTACGAGTCCGTCGGGTTCGAGAGGGTCGAGACCTTCGAGGCGAAGGGGGGCACGTGGCCTGGCCAGGTGCTCGTGATGCGTCTGGGAGAGGACGGTCTGGGGCAGAGTTGAGAGGAGAGTTACGGTTGGTGAGCCGATTGTCATGTTCGACCCATCCTAGCAGACTGTGAATTCATGACCATGGATAGGGTATGCCTATCCTCAAAAGACTTTGACTTGGTAATGGTCAAATAGCGGGTTGAATCCTCACAAATATGCAGCTATAAGAAATATACTGTTGCATACCTACTAAATCATGTTCTGAGTTTTGACATTGATGAAGCAAAGGTGATGGTGTTCGTTTCATATTACCGTCCCTGAAACATCACTACACGCATTTGGGGGGGCTACTACGAACAGAGATACAAAGCATGGTAGGTAGGTATTTAATTGCTATCGCCAGCTCCCCTAGCCGTTGAAAAATAAATAAAAAACACCGCAAAGCCAGGCCAGAGATACCGATCCAAGGAAGCATTTCAAGCAACTACATCTGGACTACGTGCATCATCATGGCCAGATAAAGGCGAAGTGCCCGGGCCTCGCGGCGCCGCCCCTTGTTTGTTCCTCGATACCCAAACATAACGAGGAATGAAACGGAAAGGAGAAATGAGGGAAGCAATTACATATTGCTAGGTTTAAATGTCTGGGCCGGAGAGGAAGGAACAATATGGCACCCCCTTCCTGTCATTCCTCCGGGCGGGAAAAGAAGTCCTCCGGGTCTATTCCCGGGTGCTGAGCGTCGCAATCGAGGAACAGGAACACCGAGTTCACCAAATATCGTCACTGCTCTTCACCAACTCAACGGTCGGCGTCTTGGGCTCCATTCTCTTCATCCGCTTCCGGTCGGCCTTGGTCACCAAGCTTGGGGTGATGGGTATGACGGGAGAGAACGGCTGGTATGGGCTGTACGGGACAGCCATGCCAGTGAAGGGCGTGTTTAGGCCAGGCGACATTGGATTGGCGCGGGTGAAAACTGTCTGCGTGGTGTTCTGCTGGCGGGGGCTAGCTAGGCTAGGCTCATATGCTCGGAGCGGCAGTGAGCCACCCGTACGAACGGCAGATGGCGCGTTAGGCCGTTGGAATGTCTGGCCCGGCTTGGGGCTCGAAGGCAGGGAGGGGAACCGGGACGCCTTAGGCGAGCTGGGCAGGCCCACAAGTGGGGTGGTCGAGTTCGTGGAGACGGCGGAGTCCGGGTCTCCATCGGCGTTGGAGCTTGGGGCGGTAGAGACGTCGCGGGAATGCAGAGGGGCCCGGGATTCCCGAGTTTCCGTGGGTTGCGCAAGTGCCGCATCCAAGCGCCCGTCGATACTCATCACACTGGTAGGGGACATCTCGGGAGTCAGAGGGAGGGTGCTGCCTGTGTTGCGGCGGAAGGGCAGCTGATTTGATGGGACCGGGGGTGGTGGCATCGGCACGTATTGGCGTGGCGGGATTGGGCTCATCTCCTCGCCTTCTTGTCGTGGGAAAGTTCCCGACATGGGGGTCATGATGGGCGACGAAATGCTGATACCCTTCATGTTCTTCTTCCGGGGCGACATGAGAGCCGACAGGATGGATGTTGTGCGTGATTGCTTTTTCTCCCCCCGATCCAGGTTCAGGTTCGCTGGTTTATTCTTCTCTTTCTTCAAAATGCCATGTGGTGATGTCGGTGTGTCTGCTTTAGGCTGAGGGGGTGGGAGGGATGGTCCCGTATACTCCCTCCCCTCTTCTTTAGCCGCCTCCTGCTCCATCACATACTTGTACATGTCCTCCAATTGCTGTTGCGCCATGATCCTATCTTGCGCGACGATCTCTTGGTCGACCGAGAGATCAACACCCGGGCCCCTAGTAGTCGACGTCGGCGAGGGGCAGAGGTAAGAGGAGATCCCGGTATGCTCTGTCCGGGTGGTATGCTCTGTCCGGGTGGTATTCTCTGTCCGGGTAGTGTGCACTGTCCGGGTAGGACTGAGTGGATCCGGATATGAGAAGTTTGGGCTCTTAGGTGTTTGGAGAGGATAGGGGGGCTGTTGATAGTCGCCCGACTTGTTGACAGGATCTGGAAACTGGAAGGTGGGCGCCTCAAGCAGAAGAGCGTCCGGGTCTTCGCCCGCTCTCAGGTGCTCACGGCGTCGCTTTGAAAGGGCGAGTAACCCGATGGCGACCAGCACCAAGGAAACGGCGTACGAACCAACGATACCGCCAATCTGTGCTGGGAGATAGGCCGAATCCCTCAAGGCATCTGCTGATGCTAGAGAGCCGTCGTCAAGGCTAGGGGCCGGATCAGAGTCGATGTTCGGCGAAGCGGCAGCACTTCTCGTCAACAAGGAACCAGTCCACGGCGCGGGGGCGCAGAAAGCAAGTGAAGTGATGCAGAGAAGGAGAAGGAGGGCCGGGTTATAAGTTCCAGTTCGCATGATTCCGAGACCAGGCCAGGATGCTCAGGAGATGTCCAGCTTTAATGAGACTCCATCACTTTGCGACAAGTCGAAACACTGGCTGACGGAGATGTGCCATGGAAGAGCGCAGGAAGGTCTGTCTGCACGGCAGGAGGCGCTGCTGGGTATTTAGCGGCTGGTGATACTGTGGATGTAGCTCCAAGCGTCCCTGTCCTGCCTCGGGTGGGACGCCCGCACCAATACCGATTTGCGGACATTAGCAGATGTGTGAAATGGCCTCTGACTTGCTGGCACCTGCATGATGGACAGCCCAAGAAAGGCGGTTCACGGGAGCGAGGTGAGAGATACGGTAGCCGCTGTGGCTTATGGTTGGACGATACCCCAGCTCACAGCAGAAACCGTGGGCGGCAAAGATATTGATTCGATTGGCCAAGTAGCTGCAAGGGTAAAGTTGGTCCCTTCCAATCCCGAGCTGACAAGGATTGTTGCGCCAGCCCCGCTCACACAATCACGATCTTGTCCCCGCCTTCCCACCAGTAAACGCTGACATGCGGTGGATCTCCTCTTCACACACTGATTCACAGTGATATCCCGGACAACTGGAGTCTTGGGCAAGACGATGCAGAATCGGCGCAGTTATGCACTATGCACACCAAACTCTCCAATGAGGCTCGGGTCGTTTAAGAATGTGATCACCGGAGCCATCACTGGATCTGCCAATACATACAGCCGTGACAGCGTACTACAGATTACGGCATGTGTATCGCACGGACCGGCCATGCAGGCGATGGTGATCATGGCAGTTATGAGCAACTATGATTGGCTGCATGATCGTAAGTCCTCTCAGCTACTGTGTAAACTTCTATAAACGAATGTAGTTGTTCATTTTCATCATTTCATCACGTCGCGCTCAACCAGCTCGCTAAGTAAACGCTCCAACGCATGGGCCTCAATGATCCGCATCGCCAGCTGTAGCCCTCTCAGAAATGAAACGAAGCATGTTGAGCATGTTGATGATGAGAAGATGAGGCCGCCTTTGATTCTATCCTGAGAACCTCCGTCCTTCATCCTTCGTCCTTGCTGCCCCCTGTTGTGACAGAAGCCGTTTCTTCGACGTGATTAGTCATCAGCCTCACGTGTGTCGCGTTCCTTTGGTGTAAATCAGGCGCGTCAACCCTCCAAAAGTTGCTGGCAGGGAAACTAGCCTGCGCGTCGGATCTAACTTGCATTGCGTGCCAATTCCAGCACTGTCATATCCGTGAACTCAACGGGGCCCCGATGACCTCTCTGCCGCTCCCTTAGAAACGTGTCGCATCGGCGCCACCACCGGTCCCTACCCATCGCCAATGGATCCGTCTGTACCTAGAAATGCGATACTCGACACGCTCAACAAAGCCCAATACAGGGCAGTGAGTTCCACTGCTGCTACAGTCGCCATTCTCGCTGGCCCAGGAAGCGGCAAGACACATACCCTGACCTCACGAGTTGTTTACCTCGTTGATTCTCTCGGCTACCGACCACAAGATGTCATCGTCGCGACATTTACTGTCAAGGCTGCCCGCGAGATGCAGGACAGGATTGGCAAAGCACTAGGGAATGGGAGAGAGCGGAAGATTGTCCTGGGCACCTTCCACAGCATTGCACGCCGATATCTCTCGGCATACGGCCAGCGTATCGGCCTCGACCAGAAGTTCGGCATTGCCGACGACTCGGATTCGAGAGCCGTCATATTGAGAATCTGCAAGCGTTTGCGGTTATCAATTGATCCCCCAGCGGCTCGAGCATGGATCAGTAAAAAGAAGGCCAAGGGAACCGAACCCGAGCCGGCCGCGAAGAAAGCGTCAGCTGCTAAGCTGCCTCATGCACAAGAGCTTGAGACGTGTTTTGAGGAATACCAGAGTTATCTGGAGCGATCAAACCTGCTTGACTATGACGATCTACTTGTCCGCTGCGTGGAATTACTACGCAAATCCCCTTCATGCGTGTCAAATGTCCAAGCAGTCCTCATCGACGAATACCAGGACACCAACGGTGTTCAGTACGAGCTGATGAGGCTGTTTGCCCAAAGCCGCCGAAGAATCACCATTGTTGGAGACCCTGACCAAAGCATTTATGGATGGAGATCCGCCGAGATTAGGAATCTCTGGCGCATGCTTCGGGACTTCCCTGGCACGGACGAGATTGCACTTGAGGAGAACTACAGATCGTCGCAGTCTATCTTGGACATCTCGCTGATGGTTATTCAGCAAGACACCAAGCGATACAAGAAGCTGTTACGGCCGGTTCACAACAAAGGCTCGCGTCCCGTTCTACGCAAACTGAAGGACTCGGGGACGGAAGCGGAGTGGATTGTCTCCGAGATTCGCCGAGCCCTTTCCATGTCAGGAGGCATGATGACGCACAACGATGTGGCAATACTGCTGAGGTCCGCTTCACTATCAAGGCACATTGAGCATGCACTTGGAAGGGCCGGTATTGCTTACAGGATGATCGGCGGCTTCAAATTTTACGAGCGCGCCGAGGTCAAGATCCTCCTGGATTATCTGAGGGTCGCTCATCAGCCAGAGAACAATGACGCTCTCGCAAGGATTATGAACGTTCCGAGGCGAGGCATTGGTGACGTTACGATCAAGGCTCTGCTAGAAGAGGCTGACAATGCTTCGTTAAGCCTGTGGGCCCTGCTCGACAAGCATTGCCGGGGAGATCGCTTGGCGAAAACCAAGATCATGAAGCACGCGGAACAGAGGATAAGTGGTGAACTTCTTCGCCTCATCAAGGGAATGAGGAAACAAATCGACGAGATCGCACTTGGCACACCATTCGGACTAGTCGAGATGATCGAGCAGCTTTTGGTGCAACTCAAGTTCCAGAAGTACTTACAAGACACTCATTTACAGGACCACGAGCAGAGATGGGCCAACGTGCAAGAGTTTCTCAGCCTGGCGTCAGACTTCGTTAGGGATTCGAGGCAGACTCCTGAAGACGACAGTCTCCCCGAGATTGCGGGCTTGGAGCAGGCAAACGAGCCAGATATTCTTGCCAAATTCCTGGCAAATGTTTCTCTGGCATCTGACGTTCAGAAGGATGGCAAAGGCAAGGAAACCACGCAGGTGGTCACCATCTCAACGATCCATGCCGCCAAGGGACTCGAGTGGCCCATTGTCTTCATCCCTGCAGCTTGCAATGGCTCTATACCCCATTCAAGATCCGAGGATAGCGACGAAGAAAGACGGCTTCTTTATGTTGCAATGACTCGGGCCCAGTCGTTGCTATACCTCAGCTACCCCTTGTACGGCTCACAAGGTAAAGGAGAAAAGCAGGAGCTGTCTCCTTTTCTATCTCCTATTTCAGCATCCTTTGCTAAGAAGGGCCCCTGCTTCGAGCGACCTGTCATGGAAGGGATCGCGCGAGTTCTGCAGCGCCAACTACCGCCAGATGAATCTATCTTCAAGTCGATGCCCCCAATGTTCGCAGTCGAGGACAACCTATATCCGGAAGATCCAGAAAACACGCCCAAGGAGGTCCGCAAGGGCGGAGCGGACGACTTGTCTCGCGCGAAACGACCGCGCTTATATGGTCCAACAGCTGGCGGCGGCAGCGGCAGCGGCAGCGGCGGCAGTGACGAGCAGATGTGGCGGAAAGAATATGCAACTACGATGGAACAAGCTTGCAGCTTCACTATGTCATCTCTCCCAGGCTTCGTCACTGCTAGCGCACACCAGGTCGCCCTCGCTGCGGCATCCCCAGCGGCTGGGGGAGCAAACGTGGCTCAAAAATGGATGAGAAGATCAACAACTAAACGCCCAGCGGACCAGAAGAGCATCATGGGGTTCGTGAAGACGGGGCCGGCAAGCAATAGCACAAATCAGCCTGTGCTCGCAGCGAATCCTGCAGCAAAGGTCGTAGGGACACTCGCCAGGCAAACAACTTCCGCGTTGCCGAGTGCGAGCCATATCTCTAAGCCGGCTATCAAGCCTGAGCTCGCCGAAAAAAGATTGAGCGCAGGGAAGATGGCCACCCGACCGGTCAAGCCAGGGCGCGATGAAGACGGTCCACGGCAACAGTATGCCTGCTTCTCAAGCTCTCCAACCAAGCCGCATCTTGAGAAGGACAGATTCAACTCGGCATTGGAAGGCGATGACGAGGATAACGCCCCGCCCGAACCAACGCGGGCTGCGGCCTGTCTGCATGCCACGACTTGCAACATGCCAAAGGGGCTCGGGGGATTTCGGAAGCCGGCCGGTCTTGGCAGAGATGGCATTGCACCGGTTGACAAGCTGCGAAAGCCGTTCAAGCCCCTAACTATAAACCGCTCCTGATGGATGAGCCGGTTGGTGACTGTTGCACATTCGTGGTCGCCGTGTATATCTCAAATAGATGTGAGGATGATGATGATGAGCATGTCAACCAGAATATGACTTGTGGTAAACCATCCTAGGTAGGTAGGTAAGGCTTACTGCGGGGCCATGCTTGTGTCCAATAACACGACTTCGTAATTACAGCCTGAGCGCCCACCACCCTTGACCCTTACATTTAAGGATGACCCATTCCGTTATTCCACGATCCTTATGGTTAGATGTATCCGTAATGCCACACCTTACCTGGGTCTCTGACAGCCTAGGGTCACTGTCTAGACGACGCGTGCGGATATATCTATATATATAGCAAAGGCAGTGCCACTACACTGGTTCTCCATCCCAGCATTCAGCACTCAACACTCAGCACTCTGCATTCAGCAGAGCACCAGAATCTTGAAACCCTCCAATCATATCTCGATTCAAGAGCTCCTCACCACATCTTCACCCCCAAAACAAAACAAAAATAAAGAAAAGGTCAACACACAATGACCCCCACCATGATGACAACCCGTCTCCTCCTCAGCCGCACCATCCTCGCCGGCCCCGCCAAAACGGCAGCGCTCCGGGCCCGGCAGCGGACCTTGTCCACAACGCCCGCCCGGCCGACCAACAACAACAACACCAACAACGCCGGCAACGGGAACCCATCATACCCAGCCTTCAGCCTCAACCACATCAGCGCGAACCCCAGGGTTCGCTACGCCCTCGCCGCGGCGCTGCTGGGGCTCGGGTTCGTGGAGGGCGCAGCGTGGATGAAGTACTGGCCCAAGATCATGGGGAGGGATGTGGAGGGCGAGGGCGAGGGAGAGGCGGGGAAGTGAGATTCGAAGTGGTTAAGGGCATGGACGTGGTAATCGCTTATTTGGGATGTCTGGGACAGTGGATGGTGGAGTCAGATCATGTTATATTGTGGTATAGATGTTTGTTTGGCTGTACTGTGAATATCTTGGACTTATAAGGTGTATGGCACTGGGACTGGCACAGCATCACTCATATCTCACTCAACCTTGTGTTCGGTGGCGGCAGGAGTCTAGTTATATCGACTCACATGAATCACATCTCTTCCTTGAATACCCGTCTCACCTTGTCCATGACATCGACTTGATCAAGCCAAGTCAGCGTTGAATAAATAGTGAACGAGATTCTAATTATGAGCATGAAAGTCCAGTAGCTACACAGCCGTATGCCAACAATTATTCCATGCCGTCCATTTCGATGTATCACAACCATGGCCTGGAATTGGGAACAGCGAATAGCAAATGATTACCAGGAGAAGTCGACTAGAAACTCGTCCGTGTACAGAGTTAGAAGTCGGCTGGTTGTGAGGCTCGTCACCTTCTCGGCAGAAGCCCTGCCTACTTTGCTTCCCCAACACGTCGTCTCCCTCCTTCGTACGGCCACCAGTGGACAGCAGAAGAGCAGACTGGAAACTGAACCGTCGGTACAGCTTTCCCTGAATTCACATTAACCCGGGGTTCTTTGCTTCACAGTTCCCGTTCGCCACTGCCCCACCGCGGAGCAGTACTCTTAGGCCTCCAAATTTGGCCGATCACTCCCGCCGCCCGGGCACATCATCCACAAGTCCACGGACAAACCAGCCTTAAAGCCTCAGCTCCTTCAGAATCTGGTCAGCCATGTTCTTGTATTGCCATGTGTTCCCGCTCAGCCTCTTGAACTGTATTCCGTGGAGGCTGATGACGGGAATCTTGACCACGAAGATCTCAAACTCCAAGACCATGCTGCCGCCCAGATCACTCTGCACATGCGTTCTGGTCTCGCCTGCGGCCACGCGTTTCGGTAAGCCGCCGTTCGTCTCGCGGATGTCGCTGTCGTCCGAGAGGTCCGAGTTCGAATAGCTCCTGTCGTCTCGATCCTTCTCCCTCCCCTTTCCTGACGCACGCGGCGTAGGCGGGAACTTCTCCTGTTCCTTGCTAGATGTGCCCTCCCTCACATCGTCCCTCGAGCGGCCGCTCCGCAGCCCGCCAAAGCTGAATCGCCGCCTGTGACCTGGCGTCTGCGGTGCCCACTGGCCCTGGGGGCTGCTCGGCCGATCCGAGACTTTCTTCAGGTCGATGCTTGGTGCGTGGCGACAGCTGAAGCCGCCGCGGATTTCGGTGAAGTCGGCGCCGAGCTGTCTGAGAACTCGCTTGATGTCCGCCCTAATCTCTGGTACCGGCTTCGTGCTTGTCGTCGACACACTGAAGAGGCCCTTGAGGAAGACGGGCTTCGCCAGATCGGGGTCCTCGCGCTCTAGTCGCTCGTTCGACTGCCCGCTTTGCTCCCCGACGTCGGCATCCGTCTCCTCCGGGACCGGACCCCGCTCGCCGCGCGATTCTGCCTCGCGCCTCGTCGCTCGGCGAGCCTGGATGCTTTCCCGTCGGGCGTGGCCAAGCGTCTTCGCCCGCATTGACACGGACCGGTTACTGATGGTGCCTGGCTTGCGATCAGATGACTTCTCAGTCGGGGGCCCAGACTGATCTGACCCCGAAGTTGGCGGTGGTTCTTTACCGAAATCCCCTCGCCGACGGTGAAACTCAGCCGAGTTGACACTGGTCGACCGCCCAAGACCCTTCTTGCCTCGCACATTGGCCCCAGCGGAAAGCGGCGGGCTCAAGAGGTCGCTATGCTGAGGCTGGCTAGACCCCGACCTGAGCCTTGGCGGAGCATCGTCATCTCGATCGGGCCGGCTCCGCCTGATACTGAAACTCTTTCGGAGGCTGGGAACTTCGGCGGGCGAATGAACATGGACTGAGGGTGGGTGAGAGCGGTCCTTGTCTAGTCTCTCGGGCTCCTTGCGCCGACGCGTGCTGAATCGCCGGAGGAGGCCAACTGCTGCGCTTTCCTTCTTGGGAAGAATCCGATCCCCTTGGTAGTCTTGTGGGTGGTGAGGTGTGGTGGGTGATGGCTGTGCATTCTTCACCTGCTCGGGAGCGTCATCTTCGCCGTGCGTCCTGGCCCTGGGCCGCGATCGGCCACCGGTTGCCTGTTCCCCGGGCATCTCGTACGCAGAACTGTTGGTGTGTGCCGCTTTGGGAGGAGCGATTTCGGTTCTAGATTCCCTCTCCTTCTGCGAGGCAGATGCCAGACCTGCGGCCTGGGTCTCTTGGCGCTTACGATCCTGCTTCTCGCGCACAAGGTAGTATATCGACACCAACGGGCTGAATGCATTTATCGGGTCGGAGCCGAGCTGGAGACCCTCGGAACTTGGGGCAGTCAGGGTGTCTCTGCTATTTCCCGAGTTCCGCCTCTTATAGAAGTCAAACCCGAAGCCGCGCTTCTTTTCCATGTCTTTCGGGGGTGGCGGCAGGTCTCTCTCCTTCTGTAGCAGCCGGATGGCCCGCTGATATTCTTCCGACTCGATTATTTTGGCCAGCTGGGCTTTGATTGCCTCTGGGGGTCCAAAGTTGAAGCCAGTCATCTCAGTAATGACTTCCGGGTCCAAGGGCAGAGTCAGGGGTTCGCGATGTGGAAGATGGTTCTCGGGCGGTCCTCCAAACCCCTTGAGCATCCAAGGGTGGGTCATGACCTCCTGCATCGTAGCTCGCTGCTTGGGGTCGGTCACAAGCATACGAGACAGCAGGTGTTTGCACTCTACCAAGGAAGTTAGATCGTCTTTTCAAAGTAGGTGACACCGCAGAATAACTTACCAGCTGAGAGCCAGCCGGGGTAGTCAACGACACCTTTCTTGATCTTGGCATGCAGTGCTGGCATACTCTGGTCATCAAAGGGCACCTTTCCACACACCAGCACGTAGAGAACGATACCGAAGCTCCACACGTCGACCTCGGGTCCTGTGTAGGCTCGTGCCTGGAGAAGTTCGGGGGCGGCAAAGTACAGGCTTCCGCAAAACGTCTTGAGGTGGCCCCTCGGAGCGAAGAGGTTGCTGAGTCCAAAGTCGATGATCTTGATATCTCCGTTCTTACTGATCAATATGTTCTCGATCTTCAAGTCTCGGTGGACGATGCTGTTACGGTGGCAATAGTCGAGGGCGCTCGCAATCTGGCGGCTAAACTTCCTGGCCTGCTTCTCCTTGAGCTTGCCGTGGGATATGATGTAGTCGAGCATCTGGCCGCCGTTGACGTATTCGAACAACATGTACCAATGGTGGTTCGTTCGGATGACATCTCTCAATCCGCAGATGTGTGGATGGCTCAAAAGGCCGACGATTGCAGCTTCACGTGCTGTCCGGATCTCTTTCGACTGGTCGGCTCGTTCCCTGTCCGCTCTGTTGTGGTGTCCATCGTCAGGGGTTTGCCTGGGGATGATCTTGCACGCAACCTAGAGCCAAAGCATGGTTAGCCACTGTGGGGGGTGCCAGAATATCCAACCGAGGAACCAGCCTACCTGCTCGTTGCTGTCTTCTTTCTTTGCCAATTTTACCTTGCCCATGCTCCCAGCACCGATTGTCTTCCCAAGAATCCACTTGCCAGACTGGGAGGGGATGGAGGTGCGGGTGCGCCCGTGTCGGACCGGAGCTGCACCCGACGGTGTTCGAGCGTCTGATGCGCCGCGAGGCACGACGGCTGGGCCGGGATTGTTTGCAGAAGTAGATGTCATTTCGGATTGGGAGGGTGTGTGCGAGATTGTTGATCGATGGCTGCCGGTGCGGCGATGTGGGCGCGACGAAGGATCGGGCCGAGATGAAGTAGGCGGGCGGTCCTTGCTGGAGCTGCGCTTCGACTGTGAGGCTACATTGGATGCCTCCCTTGCATACTCGTCGTGGGGGATGATGTCCTGGAGCGGTCGGCCAGAAGAGGATGGCCGGCTCCTGTGAGAATGCGAGGTGGAAGCGGCACGATGTGGCGGTAAGGCAGCTGCTGTTCCAGATGTCGGCGGCCGCGAACGGGTGGACTGCGACCTCGACGGCACTCCGTACGCCTGACCACGTGGTGACGATGGCTCAGGTCCGGTTGAGATTGCTGTGGTCATGGCGGCGGAAGGAAGAAATAGACGAAATGTGCGGAGGTGGTCGGTCAGGCTTGATGACACACCCCCTTGTGTGTTTTGGCACCGACACCTTGTGCGGGACGCGGGCCAGTTAAGACTCGGGAGGTTGGATCTGCGAGTCGGCGTCCGGTGGGTTGGCAATGGGCAGAGTGCAACCTCGAGGCGGGCGCCCTTTTTTGCCCTTTACCTGTATTTGGAGTAAATCGTAATTGGCAATCGGCAAGGGGGGAAGTTATTATTACTACTACTGACCGTGGAAGGTCAGGTATGGATGCAGGCGAGCAGGGGGCAAGTTGGCACGTACCGCTATACGTACAACCGTAAGGCACCCAATGTTGAAGTGGGTATACTATCCGCCGTAGTTACCTAACTAGGTACCCGGGATACGGTCGCTATGCCGTATTGTCGCACCGATTACTGCATAGGATGGGTTGATATTCATGTTGGGCTTTGTTGGAGGAGAGGAGAACCCAAGGTGTGACAACAGCCCTTCAGCTTTGAGGGGTTTGTGAGTCGAGCGAGTTCACACCGCAACCCAACCAAGTCAACCCGTCGAAGGGGGGGTACGCTCTGCATACGAGGTATTAAATACCTACCTAGGCTTGGTAGTCCTTGTTTCTCCTGGCCTAGTGTACTTACTATGTAGTAGTAGATATCTATCAAATCCGTTCTCCGAGTCATATCAAACTCGTTCCGCCTGCTGCTCTGCCTCTTGATAGAGTAGAGGGCGGTTCCCTGTTTGTCAGTGCCCGAAACATGCGCAAGCTCTTCCGGCTTCCGTTCACCGAACAACATCCGCAGATACAGCCAAATGGTTAGTTACATAAATATATGCCCATGTGTATATAGGTATATAGACACTTACATGCCTACCTATCTATCCAAAAAGCCGAATTGGCCTTTCCTTTCATGAAGTCGGTGCCTCCTTGATTGGATGTTCAGATCAACGAAGAGACAGTTCTCAAGCCATTGAGGAACTAGCATTCCAAAGAAAAGAAGCACTGGTCCAAGCTCTTATCCAGAAACCCAGTCGGCGAGCCCCACTCCGACGACTTGTCAGCTCGGCATAATAACAGCCGCAGCGTAAGCCACCCTACCTACCAATACCTACTTATTAGTAGGTATTCTAGCTTCACTCGTACATACCTACCTACAATTCGTCGCTACAAACGGCCCTCCCCGGACCAATTATTGGGGCGAGCAGGAGCCTGAAGCTCTACTACCTACTCAAAGTTACCAGAACTTACTATCTGCGACCTGTGCGATTTGCGATCACGCTCTCCGCACTCGCGCCTTGTCATCGGCGCTGAGGCTATCCATGTCCTACAAGAGGTCTCATGCCACCTATGAGGCTGATCTTACTGCACAGCAGTCGCCATACGTTGCCTTTGGGACCCCCCTCCCGCCCCTCGATCCCGACGTCCGCGACGATGGGTCCTACGTGCCTGTCTGGAAGCAGGAGGTGAGGGACGAGCGAGGGCGGAAGAGACTGCATGGTGCCTTTACTGGAGGGTGGAGCGCAGGGTAAGTCACGCCAGTATTTACCACGGGCAAGTCTTTTTAATAGCTCGTCCCCTCGTCGTAATTCTAGATCTGATCATCTCCTGCAAGATACTTCAACACTGTTGGCTCCAAAGAAGGATGGACGCCTTCGACTTTTGTCTCCTCGCGCACGAGCAGGAGGAAAGATGATCCCAACACCGCCCGCCAACGAGCCGAGGATTTTATGGATGAGGAGGATCTTCAAGATGCTGAGGAGGCTCGGAAAATCGAGACAAATGCTGCGTTTGCCGGCCTGGGCTCCGTAGGGGATGACCGAGGAAGGGCAGGTGGCTTAGTGGGCCTCTTCCGTGTCCAGGGGGAAACAATGGGCACGAGGCTCCTTAAAAGGATGGGCTGGAAAGAAGGTCAAGGGATCGGGCCCAAGATTCGACGGCGAGCCCGCCTCGATACGACGAGCGCAGCGGGCGACGATGCAGAGACCTTCCTTTTTGCGCCGGAGAATATGAGAATGATCTCTATTGTGCGGAAGACTGATCAAAGAGGTCTAGGTTACGACAGACCTCCCGACTTGGCCTCGCTCGGCTCCATCAAGAAGAATGACTCGGCGGACCAGTCGGATGATGATGAGGAGGAGGGGGGGAGTTTGGGGCGGCCAAAGATTACTGTCCTTACAAAGTCGAGACAGACAGAGAACAAGAGCCGCGGGGGCATCGGAATGGGCATTCTGAACGACACCGGCTCGGATGACGAGGATCCCTACGAGATCGGTCCACGGATATCGTATAGTCGAATCATTGGTGGTGACAAGAAGAAAAAGAAGAGCGGCAGTACTCCTGTCAACCCATCGGTCAAGGCGAAACCCACATTCCTGCCAAAACGATCAGCTTTGGGGCGAATAGCCGTTGGGATTCGAAAGTGTCACGACGGCAGACTTCCCTTGGACGGGTTTGTCTTCGGCCAGGGACCAGATTCGTCAACATCTGTTATAAACCCGGATGGCATGTATCCACCTCCCAAGATCCCTCCAGGATGGATGTCGTCAAAGCAACCAAAAACGGCCTCTGATGATGGTCAGAACCCATACGTCTCGACCGCAGATGCTGCCAGGGCGTCGGATCTAGACCCAAAGGCACGCGCTGCCCTCCTTGGTGAGAAGCAGCTTCCCGGCAAATCGGTCTTTGACTTCATGTCTGCGTCCGCACGTGAACGCCTTGCTGCTGCAACGGGCAAATCGAATTTGCCACCGGCGAAAGGAGAGATCCCGGAGGGCTATGCGCTCACTGAAGAAGAGCGACTCCGAGAGCTGATGAACCAAATCCCCAAGATTGACAAGGAAACTGCCATTGCGGCCATATCGAGAGGTGCAAGCGGAAGTGCGCCATACGCTGATGACGAGGCAAAACGTGCACGATACAGAGCCTATCTCGAGTTCCAGGCCGGTTTTGGTAAATCCTTACCACAGAAGCCGCCCAAGATGACCAACGATGCTTGGCTGAGAGAATTACACGAGTTCTTTAATTGCGCAAGGATCTTCAAACCTATGACAGGAATGATGGCAAGCCGGTTCACGACCTCGTCCACCGTCTCTACGGGGTCTCAGGGCGAAGGCGACAAGAGCAGTCAACTTTCTAAGCCTGCACCAGCACCACAAGATCCGGCAGAAGAGGCCGCAAGGCTCGGTATGTTTGGGCAGATGACTAGAACCGTCGCGGATTTTTATCCGCCGAGGTTGTTGTGCAAACGGTTCAACGTGAAGCCTCCCCCACATGTCCAGGCAGACCAAGGTATGGACACTGGCAGTTCCAAGCAGGGTCCGGCGGCCTCTCAGTTTGAGGTATACGGAGAGTTCACTCCATCGCTCCAACAACCCTTAGCCATCGAGTTTGGGGGCGCGTCGACAGACTCGCTTTTGGGCGGTGTGCAGAAGGAGTCGGAGCAAGATGTCGGAGCTCAGAACCCTATCATAGACTCTAGCAGGAACGACGCTCTAGAGGGCAAGAGAGCGGGCGAGGATGTCTTTAGGGCCATATTTGGCGATGACAGCGACGACGAGGAATAGATTTGATGCATGTGATGTAATTGAGGCGCAAACCGCGCGAGATCCATAGCATAATATGCGGCCGAAACCCAGCGCATCCCAAGTGCAATGGTGATGGATATCCGATGCCCCAAGATATACGGATCCATACCGCTTCTAATTGGTTTTGAGCAAGGCGGCTATTAGTGGAGTTGCACCACCGACGATTGGCTGGCCAAGTAATGGGCACCCTTGATTCAGGGGACTGACACGGAACCTAGTGACATCCCATCTGCAGATAACATCACAACACCGAATTTAGAACAACTGTTTGACAAAGTTAGGCTGATCCACCCGGCATTGCTTTCCATCGGATCGCAATCAATTCCTTTTCTTCTCCAGTCCGCCCTTGGTAATCCAGATGTATTGAGCCGTTACCCAGCATTTCAGCCCCGTTCGTCCTCTTCACCGATATCTTGTTTTATGGGCGGGTAACCATCCAGCCGCCATTCTACCGCCGATAAACGCATCGGTGCCCTTCTCCGTATCCCAACCCGACTTCGTTCGCCAAGCGAGGCGGCAAAGTTATTGAAGTCACGGCCTCGAGAAACAGAAACCAGGACCCCAACGATACAGCGAGGACTACTAATCTTGAAAGACGCCTGCCACCTGCCGTCAAGTTGTCTGATTCACGAGCGCCAAGTATTAGCGGACAGTCGGTGCCTTCGTCGGCTAGACCAGCCTTCCCCAAGCGTCGAAGCGTCGAAGAAGAAGCCGGACTGCTAGAGGACTCGACCGAGACGGGCCTGGTGCGCTTTGCTGAACACGCCGCTGCCGAAGCTGCTCCATTTCCCTCGTGCCAACACCCTCAGCCCCCGCCTCCTCAGTACCCGGCCTCCGAAGCCTCCACGAGCAGCGCGACTTGTCGGCCTCCACCCTCGTTTTCTTCGCTCTTTACACCCCTAAACGCCGCTGCCGCTGCCGCCGTACTCGAGCCATCCGAGCCTTACAAGCATTGCGTCGCTGATTTCCTCCCCGAGTCGTCTTCTCCCGCCGCTGCCCCAGCTTATGCCCCAACCGATTCGGTAACTCCAGAGTCTTCGAACGTCGCAGCCGTCGCCTCCCAGTTCCGGGACGAGACCAAGCGCGCTCTACCACGGGATACCAAAGGGGGGTCTTCGCGAAGCAAGGACGAGGACACAGAACCGCCACCGGCATATTCCGAGGGACCCAGTCCCCTCAAGTCATTCACATACCTCATGGCTGCCGCGGGTGGAGCGTCGAGTATTATTACTCAAGTTCAGCAGGGTGGTCCCCCGATCAACCCGATCGGAGGTGAGTTGGGTCGACGGGCACGAATAGCTGGAAACCCCGGCTGTGGGTTGAATGTGAGACTGACTGAACCTTTGCAGATGTCGGCGCTGATGAGATGATTACTATGGACCTTCGGTAAGGATCCGGCACAAGTCTAATCGAGGGTCTGTTTGTTAACATGTCTGTTGACAATAGGGGCACACGCTTCACACTCTCAAGAGATGAGTTGCTGACCCTCCCGGAATTTGTCCTCCTATCGCTCTTCCCGAATGGCCTTTTCCCAGAGGGCCACATGGGCGGCTTCTCGGACGGAGACGCAGTGCAAGTCGATGTCAGTAGCTATGTTTTCACTCGAGTCTCTTCCGTGACCAGCACCTTCAACCAAACAATCGTCGCGGCACTCCCCATGATCGGATTGTACCGTATATTCTCAGGATACATGTTGCTAACCTCGTGTTTCTTCTGGTACCATAGTATGATCCCGCTTCCCTGCAGTACATGCTAGACTTCTTCCGCAACGTCGCCCAAACCATCCCGACCGAGACCTCCGCTTCAGCATCGCAAGACGGCGACAGCATGGTACCGCTTGACCCCGCCGGAGGACGGGACGACGGCAGTAAACGTGCGGGGATCATCGTCCTCCGAGAGGATCTCGACTTCTACGCCATTCCGCCCAGGCCGGACATCGGTCAGGCTGAGATGATCGAGGTCAAGAGGGCGGCTGCCCGAGCATTACTAAACCAGGACGGCATATTCAGCGGACTTAAGAGGAGCGACGAGCCGGGAACGACAGAGGCGCATCTGATTGAGATGCTGACAGCTGGGTTAGTATTATGTTCCCCTTCTCCCATATGTATCCTCTCACCTTTCCCCACCACATATGGATGTCTCAAACCCCACACCAGACCTCCCCCCAAGCTAACCAACACGACTAGCGGTTTCAACCACGAGGACCAGTGGGGTCACCGCGCTGGTGAGCCCAACAAGGCTGTTATCTGCAGCCTGGCGCTAGCCCGCCTGCGCTCAGACATACGCGGCAACGACATGGGCAACAACGCTGTCGGCATGGCCCAGAAGCTGCTGCTCTTCTGGCGGAAGCCGGCCCGGCGATGCTGGTGGGAGGGCGTCGAGCTCGACAACGTCGAGGGTGTTGAGGGCAAGAAGCTCAAGGTTTGGATCAGGAGGGTGTGGACTCTGGAGATGAGTGTCATTGGCTTGCGCTGATCAAGGAGTGCCGTCCCGGAAGGCATTTGAGGGAGGCAAGCAGATGATGGTGAGCTAGCAGCATGGGAGAACAAAGCGAAAGCACGCGTGGGGGATCTTTTTTTTGGCTTCAAAGAGAATATAGCTGCAGGCAAGCGAAACGGTTGCCCTGCGTGCGGCGAGGACGCTGTCACGCTCGGCGCGGCGGTCAGGAATGACTGTTGGTTTTCTCTGATTTTTTGGTTGTCGTTTCTTTTGTTGTGTTTCCCTCCATAAAACCCAGGGCTTCTTTCTGCGCCTCCTTTGCCAGGGTTTGCTTGGGAATTTCTGAATCTCTGTTTATAATCACTTTCAAACTTTGGAGGTACAGAACAAGCAAGCTCCAATACGGAGATCATGGATGGCATTCTTGTCGATTTCTCGTTTCGAAATCCCGTTCCTAATGTGTGCTTCTTGCAAGGCGTCATAGCCAGCTCGCATTAGTCTTCTCTTATAACCTTTACATGGCATCAGTTGTTCATCTAAAGGGAAGTGCCCGAGGCTCGACATCCCCAAAACACAGCTGGGAAGTCTCTTGGGCGAATCAAGGCGGGTTTCACCATGCTACTGCCACCACTGCTGATTTATACCTGACATCCATGGACATCAGTACCGTGGAAGGTGCGTCAGTCCTGAATGGGTCAGGCTCCGAGTTACGGGTGCCCATGCTGGGCATTCACATCTAGTATGCCCCATCAATGGACGCGAGGGCAGTGAGACGTTGCCTCAAGATACCCCCCTGATTTCCACCATAACATCAATCCAGCAGCCCTTCACAAGTCCCCCGGCAGTGACCATGCCCAACCCGGAAGACAGAGGGGCTCAACCCGGACAACCAAGCAATGGTCCTACGCCTACCTTTCAAGAATGGGGGCTCAGCGGCCTCGCCAGGGAGTCCATCAGCTCGTCTTACCCCATCGGTGGGCCCGGACGGGGAGGCGACGGCAAGAGAATCTGACCAATACCCTTTTCTTGACGGTTCAATGTCTGCGCTGGAACGGATTTGACTCGAACATCCTTCGTTGTTGTGTTGTTGCTGCTGGTATTGTTGTTGCTTTGTCTTTTGATACTTTCGTCCCCTCCCTCTCGGCCTGCCTTCTTCACTTGGACATTCCAACACCAGTTTGGCATTTTGACTTAAGCTCGTATAGTCACGGGCCGTCTCCTGTGATTATTGGGACCCCAAGTTATGGGTGGCCCCGTCGTCGTAAAATGAAGCCCTCTTGGCGCATCCTGCAGGCGAAAGTAGCGAAAATAGGGTTGGTAAAGCTACATAGCAAACGTCAAGCGAGCTCTTCCAAATCTAGTCTTTCGAGCCGGGAGGTATGGGTTTGTCCATAGCTGGACCCCCCCTTGCCCCCTTGCCCACGGCATCATCCGGTGGGAATACCATCCTGGTTACCAGCAATTGGATTTGCATTGAAGTCCTGGCGAGGACTCGGAGGATACTCACCGGGTAATCATCGCGGGTCCATTATGGATCACGCAATTTTAGACGACAGATCGCTTCAGATAGCTTCTTGGGAGAGGCCTGTGCTAATCTTCCATTAGGAGGCAACTAGGACGGTCAGGGAAGAGGAGCCGAGGTAGTTCAAAGGTGACAGCGATCGCGATTCCCCATGGAGATTTGACACTAATAACAAGACCCAGTTGTTTCAAAACTTGGTGGATCAAGGCATGACGAGCCGACGAAACCATTTGCCACCAACTGCATGGTCTTCCGATCTTGAGCAGCGAAGTGTGGCTGGAGTTTGTGGTTCAATATCGGATAACCATTGTATTGGATATGTCGGGAGTCGAGACCTGGGTGGCGGCAGTTACCTTCCATAACATAACCAGGTAGGCGGGCAAGGACCTGGTCACACGTTAGCGGAAGTTTTTCCCCACAAAAAGGTCAAGTGATGAGATCGCAAGGGGTGACATTGTCTAATGCAGGCAGGCTTTGCTTACCTAGGTGCCTATCTTCTTCACGTTTACGGATCCGTACAGACTTCCAAATCTCAGGGCACCCGTCCTTTCTGGAACATACACTAGGTAGAACCAACAGCAAACAACTACCTAACAACTTTGTTAGCAGCCTTATGCACAGCAATCACATTGCCGGGCTGATTGGTGAAGATGTTTGCTGCAGGGCCGCATCCTGCACACGTGGAGAGCAAGGATTTTCTTTCCGTGTCGGGGCGCCACGGGGGCAGGTTTTACGCCGATGTGGATGGGGCTCCCCTTTCCCGCTGGTTTCCATGATTGTTCCCTCACGGGCAGCTGCCTACATAGGCAATAGACCAGAACTTTATTAGTTACGTTCCTTGGGGGTCTAGAAGTCCAGGCACGCAGCCGAGTCTCGAGCAATAAATAACGCTAGCCCCTCTGCCCCTATGCTGATGGGAGTCGCGACCCAACGCAGTGGTTACTTTTTGAGTTTTCCTTGTCATTTTGCCACCGGTAGTTGAGTTAGGTAGGTAGGTGCGGATAGTAATGCAATTGTGTACCTAAACAATGGACGAACAAGATGCCCGTTTCACGACAGATTGCCACTACATAGCTGATCAAGGGCTCTTGTAGTGTAGACAATAAACATGTTCCACGGGCGGCGCCATTCGCGCCCGATTACACTGTTGGCTGTGTACGCTAATCCACGAGGGTGCCACGCAGAGGCAGATCTTGTGTCAGGTTTGGCGGTATCCCTGCCTGCCGCGAGATGCTATCCAAGGTACCAATTGCGATTCAACTTTGCTTGTCGCACTGCTGACAGCTGTGCGAGGGTGATGGATTTAGAGGGCACACATCAAGAGAGCACCTCTACATTGCTCCTTACTCATAATTGCCAGCCACAGGCTTACAGCAGCATTTGAGAAGTTCCATCTTGCTAGAGATGGTGAAGTGTACTTAATATATTCAGGGGAGACGCTAGGGGTGTTTGTACCCTTCCCCCCACCCATACCCCCCTGTCCACTTGGTCTAACACCATCAAACAAAGCAGCCATTGACCTCCACGGAAGCATCGCCACGGACCACCACCCAGAGCTCTGCGTCTTTCCCCTTATTTTACCAGGGCTCCAGTCCTTTCCCCAGCTGGCTCCATTCCCTTTAAGGAATGCTGACCGCCTGGCATTTCATTCCGATTCTTCCCAGCTTGCCCTTTAGCTATTTTGCATCCTACACCGTTTCCGGCCGTGTTCGATCCAATTCCCCGACTCCACCCTATACTCCCCTTGACGACGTGACGACGGCACCGGACCGGAGCACCTCGTGTCACAGCAGCAGCCTCACGGTTACCGACAGGAACGCTACCGAGCGAATCATCTCTCCTCCCTGGCCCTCTCCCATCTGCGATCCGCCCTGCTGCTCGCCCTCGAATTGCACATCCATACCCTCTCTCCGAGCCCATCACACGCTTCCTACATACATATCAGACCCTGGACTTTCAGATAGGGGGAAACCATAGGATGTCCGCGTACCCGGTGCCCTAGCTTGACTTTCCCGTGTTGGAGAGAATCGATAAACCGTCGTTCAATGGGTAACAGCCAAGGCAAGCCCGTCGAGTTCGACGGTGAAGGTAGCTTCTCCCCATTGTCTCTGGCTAAACCGCATCCTGACCGCTTGCTCCCCCCCCCCCCCCCAACAGCGAACCTCAACCATTTCCGCTTGCTACGAGTCGTCGGCCGAGGAGCCTTCGGCAAAGTCCGGATCGTCGAGAGGAAGGATACCGGCTTGTCTTTCGCCCTGAAGTACATCCGGAAGGATGAAGGTGCGCCCCCATGCCCAATCGCTGTCTCGAGTCCACAATGCTGATCTCACGTCCCTCCCCTCCAGTCGTCCGATCTGAGAGTGTTCGCAACATCATCCGGGAACGACGAATGCTCGAGCACGTAAACCACCCATTTATTTGCAACCTGCGCTACAGTTTCCAAGATATCGAGTACATGTGAGCTCTCCCGAGTGGATCTTTCCAGACCGTCGGGCACAATCTTACTTAGCGGTAACAGGTATCTAGTCGTTGATCTGATGAGCGGCGGTGATTTACGGTTCCACATCTCCCGAAAGACCTTCACCGAAGACGCTGTCAGGTTCTGGATCTCCGAACTGGGCTGTGCCTTGAGATATATCCACGGCCAGAACATCATCCACCGAGACGTGAAGCCCGACAACGTACTTCTAGATGCAGACGGACACGTGCACTTGACAGACTTTGTAAGTCGCCTCGACCTGTACAAGGCCTTGTTGGCTAACTTGAACAACTAGAATGTTGCCTCGGACGTTGTTCCTGGCAGAATTCTATCGAGCAAATCCGGTACTCTGGCCTACCTTGCGCCCGAGGTCTACGCAGGCCAAGGCTACGATGTCCGCGCCGATTGGTGGTCATTGGGGGTGCTCTTCTATGAGTGCATCTACAACAGAGTATGTGCCCCAACCGGCTCGAGGTTCTCCCGTTCCACCTCACTCGCACATGCAGCCTTTACGCTCCTGTCTGTCGTCTGTCACCGCTAACCAGTTCCCAAAGAGACCATTTGAAGGCAACTCCGAGGCTTCGCTTGGCACAGTCATACAGGCCGCAAATCCCAAGTATCCTGTCACCTCTCCGCCGGTCTCGTTACTCTGTTTATACGCCATCAAGGATGCCCTAGAAGTGAACCCAGATAAGCGATTGGGTTCGACATGGGAAAGCTTTACGCGACATGACTTCTTTTCATGCATTGATTTCGAAGCCCTCGAAAGGAAAGAGATCGAGCCCGTATTCGTCCCGTCCTCCGAAAAGACGAACTTCGATGCCACCTATGACCTAGAGGAGCTGTTGCTCGAGGAGGCGCCCCTAGAGGCTCGCGCTCGGAGGCAAAAGCCGCGCGATAGGTTAAAAGAAGACGCCACAGTCAAGGAGATCAGAGAGGAGGAATTGTATCGCATGATCGAGACAGACTTTAGGCCGTTTGACTACACATTGGCGGCATATAAGAAGTAGGCTTCCCAATTCGTCGTATTGAATGTCCCCCCTACAGCAACTAACGTTCCATCAGGATCACGGCACAGGTCGAGGGTCAACAAGCCGCTGGGTGCCCAGTCCTCGTCATGCCTGATGAGATGCATGCGCCGCAAGCACTGACGACCGACGAGGCGACGCCAGTTTCTCAGATGACAACAAATGGAGCTACCAAACAACCCTCACTCCAATCACAACCCGCCTCCGAAACCCCCCCCGGCCAAGAAAATGGTGCCGGCCCCCCAAACACTCACAAACTGCACCCCCCGTCAATCAGCAATCGTCGACTGCCATCACCCCTACAACCGTACCCTCAAGCCTATACAAACAACGCCAATCCCGGCAGACCCGGCCGCGGGGGTGCGCCGGGCATGATTGTCGAGTCCCCTACCGGCGGCGTCCAAGTCACTCTAGATGGCGGCGGTAGCTGGTCTGATCTCGCTCGGCAAGATGCCACATTACCGGCGGATGCCAGCGGCACCAACCACGAGATGGGCGGGAAGCTGGAAACCGGCGGCGGCGGCGTCTTCGGGTTCCTGAGCAGGAAGAAAGGCCGTGCAAATAGCCCCAAGCCAAAGGAAAGAGGCGTGCTTGGGAAGGAGGGCGCAAGAGTCGTTATTGGCTGAACTACAGCCGCTCTGAGACGTGTGGCCTCCCTATCGACGAGCAAGTCCGGCAACAGCGCGATACACAGTTGCTTCGTGGCGATGTTCGAATTTATCCGTTTTTCTATGTTTTCATATCCTTTGGATACCCAGGGGATAGGAGTATCCTGCATCGCATACCCCAGTCACGGGGCCCATGGGCCCCCTTTTCCAGTCGATACCAGTTGATTACGGTGGATTCTAATAGCGCACCGAACTCCCCACTCTCTCGGGCCGGTAGGGGACTCCTCCTAAGCGGCCAACCTGGAAGTATGGGGAAGTGGGAGTGGCAGTGGGTCAGGGGTTGGCGGTTTTTTGTATTTCCAGATATGAGAGTTACTCCACTCCTATTGAGTATCTTGGATTATCCGGATCTTAGGCCCATCATGGTTAGAAGCTAGGTCCGCACCAGACTTTGTTCTGACCATGTACGCGCATTCTCATCATACACGCATATGGGTGGTTGGAAAGGGGGTGGAACGGAACGCCACTCCAGTTGGCGGCAGCGTAGCGCAGAGAGGACCCATGGCGTTACCGGGGCCGAGAGATTTAGCAACCGCAAGGTCGATTTCTCCGCACCAAACGCACGGTGACGATGGGGCCAGAGCCCCCGCCCTATTGCAGAGAAAGGGATGTTCGGCGAAGGAATGCCGTGTGCTTGGACGTTCTGTCATTTCTGTACGGGCGCGAAGTCTAGCTCAGGCGCGAGAGAAATACAAAATGATGTGGCAACGATGGTGTTCTTGTTCAGGGGGCGCATAATAGCATCTCGTCGAGTAGGAGAAGTGCTTTAAAGGAGAGAATCCCGCCACCTGGTGCGATTCGATTTTGGACACGGCATCTTCTAGACGATATTCCCCAAGTTCCATGCAGGTGTGGCTATCGTCAAGGAGCCGCCAATTGATCTCTGTCAAAGAGTAGTCTGCCTGACACAGCTAGAGTTGGGTGGACAGTTGCTAGAAAACATTCTGTTCACCATGCAAAAGATCGACTCGCAGTCCTGCCACTGCAATCCCAAGCAGTATCAATTACCCTCAGCGACTTTACCAGTCTACATAAGAGTGGCCTTTGTTCGCCTGTCCTGATCCCGAAACCGTATAAACTCCTGTTCTTTTAATAAGTGATGGTGTTGATAGGTGCTCCACCCCCTTGCTCCCCTTTCCCAAGACACAATGTGCCACCTTGGACAAAACTGCCAGCCGGAACCGAGGTTGATACCTCCAGGCTCAAAGCATGAGATAAAGACGGCTATACAAGTTGTACAGAAGCTTGGTTGCCCCGGCGCCCGTTTGTTAGGCCTGGACCAAAGCATTTCCCTCCTGGATTGTATTTTGCGCTGTCAGGCCACACTCGGCCAACTCCTTGTCCGACTTGCCCAAATACTTCTTCATCACGTTCTTGAAATCATGTTCGTCAACCACCGCACCAGAGCCTGAGCACTTGGCCTTCTTCTGCAAATCCGAGCACAGGCCATCAAGGTCGAAATCGCCGCTCTGGACCTTGGGGCAGTTTTGAAGCTTCTCCCTATTGTGGTTGTTAGCGCAGCTGGGTCTCAATAGCCGAGGGAAATGCGAGACGCACCATATCTTGTTGCACGTTAACAACTGGCCATTGCTGTCGAGCAGGTCGGCGCTCTTGGCGGCGTCGATTTCTGCAATCAGATCCTTCTTCTTTGCCGGTAAGGTCACCGGCAAGTTGTAAGGAGTCGTGAAGTCCATATCGAACGCATCCTTGAAGAAGCTTTCATCCAAGTCGACATTTGAAAGGACACTATCCTGAGGCTCCCGGTAATCATTAAATAGCTGCGGCGCAAACTGGAAGTTGTTCTGCGGTACCCAGTTGAAGTCGTTGATGTCAATGTTGGCGAAATGGCCCATGTCTGTTGGTAAGCTTAGCATCTTGCGTTTATAAAAGCGCAACGACTAAGGGGCTGAAGATATACAGATGTATACACCACAGTGCACACTTATACTTCTGCTAGAGGTTGTATTTGAGGAGGTATATGTGCCACTTGGCCGGGTACGAGAATGGTGAGAACGGTATTTCCAATCTTACCTTGATTGGAATTGGCCAGGGTCGGTTGCTCCTCGCCAATGGTGGTCAAGGTGTCCACAGGCTTGAAGCCCATGGGCGATTGCGTGAAGGGCTCTGGAGACGTCCCGCAAGATGAGCTAGTACCACCCATATTCGAATTGGACGAAGAGGATGGAGAACTTGATGATCCTGCAGCGCCGGCACCAAAGTGCGACTCAAAGCTGCTTCGTGAGGTACTTCCCATGCTGCTGTGGCTGGCAAGAGCAGGGTTATAGAGGCCGGCTGAGAGATCCTCCTTGCTCGGTTTGTCTAAGCCGGCTTGGTTGAAACTGCTCAGATTGGTGGGACTCCGAGTGTCCTGGGGGCTAGCTTGGCCGCTACTGTCTCCCTTTGAAGTGTTTGGTGTGGTTGAGGCAGATGACATTCTATTGTTTCCGCCATTGGCCCCGCTCGGAGGACCAGGAAGAGCTCCGAACTTGGGGAACTCAAACTGGAAGTTGACGTCGTTGATGTTGTTGACGAAAGCTTGGCCAAACGTGTTGCTGGGAGGGGCTTGCACCGTCGAGCGGCCACTGGAATTCAAGGATAGTCTCTTCCTGTACTCGCTCAACTCGACGGTCATTTTCTCAACCTTTGCGCGCAGGAGCTCATTCTCATGGTTGACGGTCTCGGATGCCTTCTCCAACTCCTGAACTTTGGTCTCGAGATCCTTCAAGTGCCTCTCCTTGCGCTCACGGAAAGCGCGCTGGGCAGCGCGGTTCTGGGCCTTGCGTTTCTGATTGACACCTGTTAGTGTATGCTCATCCAAGACTCTGAACGGCTGAAGCAGACTTACCGAACTAGGCTCGGTCGTAAGAGGCTTCCTCCCAGGCTTCTTGGCGACTTTATCCTCACTCTCGCGCCTTTTCGCACCATTCTCCTCATCGTCATCATCGTCAGGATGACTCCGTTTGTCCTGGTTATCAGCCTCGGTAGAGTCCGACTTGGTCGTGGACGGAGCGCCACCAGGTAGGTCACCGATCATCCTTGTGTTGTTGATATCATCGAGGGAGAAATCGATGCTGGAGTCAGGGGCGCCAAAATCGTAGTCGTAGTCAAGTAGAGGACTGTCTTGGAACCCGGGAACAACACCATTCCGCTCTTGAATTGGAGAGCCATCGAAAGATGACAATGAACCGTGAGGCGCATTGTTGGCCAGAGAGCCGGCGGCTTTGTTGGCGTTGAGGGCTTCAAACAAGAGGCGCTGCTGGTGCGGGGTCAGGACGAAGTCGCCCAGAGGGTTTCGGGTTGAGGCCATGTTGTCCTGATATAGATAGTGATGCTGGCCGGAGGTAGATAAGTCTGGGTGGTTCAACAACCTGTGATTCTCCTCCACTGGGCGATGGCGGATGTTTGTTGCCTGCACTGAAGGGAGTATTGGGACGAGATATGCGTAAGGGGTTTCACGAGTGGGGAAGTGGTATGGAAAAGTGGGATGGAGAATGATTGTTCTAGCTCGGGGATAATTGCCCAGTGTGGGCGCAGCACTTGAAGGTGGCTCTTCAAAACTAATGCCTCGAGCAGACTATGCACTCCAGAAAGAGAGATGTCTGCAGTAGGACTCGATGCGCCGCCTTGTAGGGCTCAAGAGGCTCAGAGGCAAAGGTTGAGTGGATGTGAGGTTGGGGGACGGAAGTCGGCTCGGAGGTGGCGGGTGGAGAGGGAAAGCAGAAAAGTTGTGGCCTGTCGGCGGCAAGTTGTTGCCTGAGTCAACTGATTCTAGGCCTTTCCCCTTTAAGAAAGCTGGAAGGTCTAGGAATGGGGCATGGAAGTGCGAATTCTTAGCTGTTCTCCAGCCCTCGAAGGTGAGTCTTTGATTTGTAATTTGTCAGCACTCATCAGGGAGGGGGGTAAATTGCAGGGAGGTGTACGGTGTGTAACTAACGTCAGCCCGGCGCTAAGGTAACCCCGCCACTCACCTCGGAGCCTATGTACAGTACAGTACCTAGGTACCTATGTATGTGCTTCAGTGCTCCTTGGTTTTTCTTCCCATTACATGGAGTCTCTCTACCTGACAGTATGTAGTCATTGGATGATAGTGACTGTTGGCGCTATCAATTAGAGATGTTTTTAGCATCCACCTTGTCACCTTCGACAAGCCAATGCCAACTGCTTCCGGCACGTGGATCTATCCTACCGATTGCCCCGCATTTCTTTACCCATTGGGACTTAGCCTATAGCCTAGCTGGGGCTGGCACAGATTCACGCCTCACACATGCAACAAAGCGAATCACCTCAGCTTGGTCACAGCGCCCTGTCAACCTAAAACAGACTTCATTCAAAGTGTATAATGATATCATGGTCTTGCCTGCGCTTCCTCATATGTTAGGCATTTGAGACGCTCAAGACTTCACCTTGCACTGCCAGAACACATCACCGCCATGGATCTCGCCTACGACCATATCCAGGAGCAGTCCTTCCCCCAGGACAATGAGGGCTCCTCCGACAACAACGACGGCAACAAAACAGAGCAACACTCAACACTGAACAACGACCTGCAAGAGGCTTATCGAGCCATCTCCACCAGCCCTTGGGGCTCAAAGATTGGTGGTTTCTTCGGCAGTGTTGTCAAGCAGGTACGTATTCGACCCAATCGACGGGCCCCCGATTAGGATCCCATCTCATATCAACATCTATAGAGCGAGTCGGTCTACAGAGAAGCCCAGCAAGAGCTCACCTCTGTGGGGCATGACGCCACCCGGGGATTCTCCGACCTCAGGGATTCAATAATCAACCGGACGCGATCTCTCTCGCTGACCACCTCGCAGGCGCCGACGAGTGATCAGGCCCCCGATGAAGCGGAGGAGAAAGACAAGGATACCACACCAACAACTTCCAAGGGCATGTCCTCGGATGAGGCCTTGAAAGAGTCGGAGACAGTGCTGTCGAGACTTCGTGTCGAGGCTGCTAAGCGACTCAAAGATTTGCAGAAGGCTGAGGATGCCGCAGATGAGGCTCTGTTGAAGTTCGGCTCCAACCTCCGGAACTTCCTCCGAGATGCCGTTAGCATTGCCCCCCCGGAGGACGGGTCTGACGGCCAAAGTTCAACTGTCATGTTTGAGAGCAAAGACGCCCAAGGAAAGCGGGTTATCCACACCTCACGCTTCGACGCCCAGCTGCATGTCATCCATACCACTACCGATAACTTCATCAAGGACCCCACTGGATCCGAATTCGACTCGTGGTCAGAGGGCTTTGACATTGATAAGAAGACTATCGACATAAGCAACGACTTGTCAAAGTACCCTGAACTCAGACAGACTATGGAGAAGTTGGTACCGGAGCAGATTCCGTATGCCGATTTCTGGAAGAGATACTACTTCTTGAGGCACAGCGTTGAGACTGCAGAGGCCAGGCGGCGGGATCTACTGAAGGGTGAGTAACTATGTATGTTGTAGTCCCCTTGACATGTCCACTAACGCCCTCGACAGCGGCTTCCGCCGAGGAGGAAGTCGGGTGGGATGAGGATTCTGAGGACGAAGCCGCGCCCGGAAAAACGACGGCCAAGACAGGGCGACCGGAGTCCGCCCAATCGTCAACCACGATCCATCCTCCTGCCGACCGTGGTCTCCTAAAGCCATCGGAATCACGGAAGTCGAATGATGAGAAGTCGCAAGCTGATAGTGATGCGAGCTATGATGTCATTGGAGCCGCTTCAGGCAACCCCAGCCACGCACCCAACAGCCCCAAGGAGTCCCGAAAGGGCGATGACAGCGAGGAGGAGGACTGGGAATAACGGCCTGGGAGACGAACTGAACGATCTATAGGTTATGAACGCTTGCGAATTGGCTTGGTTATGCTCGTCATGGTCGGCGGATGTCTATTGGATGGGTTCGATTCGAAGCCGCGGTCAGCGGCTGTAATAATTTTGAACGTGCGATGCGTAGATACTTCGATATCACGATAGTTTCCGCTTCAGCCAATCTACCTCTTCTTTTTCGATACTTTGGTAAAGCCTTCCTCATCCACCTCAGGGGCTTCCTTCTCTTTTTTGGTTGATGTTAGGGGAGGGGCGTCTTCCATTTCGATTTCGCCGCCACCCTCCTCGTCGTCTTCGTCGTCACCCTCATCGGTGTCCCAGTCTGTATCGTCGTCCTGGTCCTCGGCCTTCTTGAACACCACCTTGCTGCTCTTCCTGCCCTCCCATCTCCGCCTCAGCGCATCCACCTCGTCGAACTTCCCCTTCAGACACTCGCCCCGCACGCGAACGATCTGGTCCGCGACCTCGAAGCTCGAGTCGTCGTCGACGTTGACCTCAAACTCGTCAAGCATGACCTGCAGTATAAACTCCTCGACGTAGCCGACATCCGGCTCCGCGCCGCTGTCGCCGGCATCATCCTGCACCGCGGGAGGCGCCTTGGTGAGGTCTGGGAACAGCTCGACGACGGCGCCGCCGAACCAGTCGCGCTTATCTTCCGAGTCCGGGCCACCCCAGTTGTTCTGGACGGCGAGGGTCAGGTCGGGCCAGAGATGGAGCGCCAGGGCGACGCCCTGCTCGAAGTTGGATTGGCATGTCGCTGGTAGAGAGAGAGAACCGTCAGAGGAGGGGGAATTGAGGGGTGTGGGACAGAATCTGGGCAACTTACCTGGAGAGTGAGCGTCTGTTCCTGAAGCGGAAGCCATGCTTGCGCGAATCGCTAGGGAGTTCGCAGGTCAATGTATGGCGGGGCACTGGAAGATGGTGGGGTCTTATCTCGCCGAACATTTTTGAACATTTTTCGATTTTTTGGAGTTGGGCGGGGGAGCCATACAGTGGCTAAACACACACCCTGCGCTATCGCAACCCCTGGCCTCGATCTGAAGGTACTTAGGTACTTTGAACAGGTATCCATTGATGGCGTAATTGTACATACATTGGTTAGTCGGCATCGTCGGTCGTACGATGATATATCTGTGCCTTGGCTTCCATTCTTTCGATCCCAATCATAAGAATTGCAGTGCACGTGCTGCCACTTCTGACCCTCGTGCCTCGTTTGGTTCGGAAAGTTCCAGATACCGTCACCTTAAAAACATCAACGCGCAGACTCGGCGATAAACTCAACTTCTCCTAAGCCCTTCCTGCCATTTCCAACATGTCGTCGGCCGCAATCTTTGGCAGCACCGGCCTCGTCGGCTCACACATCCTCTCGACCCTCCTCGCGAGCGAATCCGCCTTCGCGACCGTGCATACCGTCTCCCGCCGGGCGCCCAAGTCGGAGGGGCCGAAGCTGCACGCGATCGTCGAACCCGACACTTCGCAGTGGGTCAGCAAGCTCACGTCGATCAGCCCCGCGCCGACGACGGTGTTCTCGGCGCTGGGGACGACGCGGGCGCAGGCGGGCGGCATCGCTGCGCAGTGGAAGATCGACCACGACCTGAACGTGGAGCTTGCGCGAGCGGCGCGCGAGGCGGGCTCGCGCGCCTTCGTCTTCGTCTCCAGCGCCGGCACGGGGGGCCTCAGCGGGATGGCGCCCTACTCCAAGATGAAGCGCGGCGTCGAGGAAGCCGTCGAGGCCGCCGGGTTCGAGCACGCCGTCGTCCTGCGCCCGGGCCTGATCATCGGCGACAGGGAGGTGCCGCACCAGGGGGGCCCGCTGCTCAACGGCGTCGTGAGGGGGCTGGGCAGGTGGTGCGGCCAGTGGGCCCAAGACAAAATCGGGCAGGACGCCGAGGTCATTGCTAGGGCGGCGGTGCACGCTGCGAGGATCGCAGAGGAGGGCAAGGCGCCGAGCAAGTACTGGGTTTTGGAGCAGGCCGATATTGTGAGGTTGGGGAGGACGGAGTGGAAGGACTGAGAGGGGCCGGATACGCCGAGGATGTCGACAGAGTTGGACTCCATGAGTTGGAACTCACGAGCATGGACTTGTCGAGCAGCAGAGAAGGACGCGAGCAGGAGCTGATACCCACTATAAGCCTGACGGAAGGAGAAGAGATATAATTATATAATTGGCAGATCTATCTATCTAGCCTCACTAGAGGTACTACAGGATGCTACGCCGCTCTCTTAATATGGACAGAGTTCCTACAACTTACCAGAGGAGGGAGATTATTTGCAACTCGAATTCACCTACATGTGCTTGCTCTCGACTGGCGACAAGAAAAGGCCCAGCCGAACATTCGTTATTCTGCCTCTACCACAGTTGGGAAGTATCAACTACAGCCGCTGTTTCATCCTGTGAGTAACTCGAGGTCCATAGGGCTTCGGACATGGAATTGTTATTCCCCCGTCTCACGTCCCACCCGACCTACGTACCACCGTTCCGGTGTCGCGCCTTATCTGCCCGACCCCTGCCCCACTACCCCACCAGGGATGCCCCTTTGCGCCGACGGAACCAAATCCAGGACCTACCTCGCTACCTACCTCCCTACCTACTACCTATCCAGCGCTCTTCCTTGCCCACGGCACATCGCCCAGCTCTGATGCGCATCTGAGCTGTGGTACATTGTGACCAGGACAGCCAAAGATCCACCAGGCCACCTCCTCGAATCGACTCTGAATACTCACCACACCCAGAAAGGTTAAAAAAGGAGAAAAGAAAATGGCAACCACCACCCGGCCGTCCATCGTCGGCCCCGACTCAGGTCCCAAGCCCCCCTTCCCGCTGCGCATGTCCGGCGCCGTCATCAGCGGCTTCGGGCGGGGGTCCAAGGAGCTCGGCATCCCGACGGCGAACCTCCCCGTCGACACCTCGGCCGCGCCCTGGATCTCGGACGCCAAGTCAGGCGTGTACTACGGGTGGGCGTCCCTGCGGGGCCTGCCGGCGGACCACCCGGACGCCCCCCCCGCCGGCGGCCAGGCGGCCGTGTCCGTGTCCGTGTTCCCCATGGTCATGTCGATAGGCTACAACCCGTTCTACGGCAACGCCGTGCGCAGCGCCGAGGTGCACGTCCTGCGCCGGTTCGCGGCCGACTTCTACGGCGCCGAGATGCGCCTGCTGATACTGGGCTTCATCCGCGAGGAGAAGGACTACGCGTCGCTGGAGGCGCTGGTCGAGGACATCAACTTCGACTGCGAGGTCGCGAGGCGGAGCCTGGAGCGGGAGGCGTGGAAGCCGAGGGGGCTGGGGTTGGGCGAGGGCGAGGGGACACTGGATGGGAGCTGGCTTGTTGCCGCTGCCGAGGACGGGGCGGCAGGGCCACAGGAGAAAAACTAAAGAGGCTGTTTTGGGGCGTTCAAGGTGTGGGTTCTGCTCTGCGCGAAGCCTGCCTGCCACTTGGGTTACACCTTTCGCGTGGAGTCAAATGGCTTGTGGCGCGATAGACGGATGGTCTCAGAAATATATAGATATCAATGTTCGGTTCTACCAACCCATTATTATTGCAGGGATGAAGAAAGAAAAACCCCCCCAAAAAAACCCAAGCCCTGTCTACGCCGTGAAACTCTCCTCGTAAGACACAAGAGGTATCTCAACGCCGTGACCTGATGCGAAAACTCCGCAAATGCCAAAGAGAAAAACCCCATAAGACTTTTTGTAACCCATTTTCCTTCACCAGCCCTGTTCCCTTAATTATACGACAGCTCATACAGCTAGTTGGTTCCGGTTGCGGTAATAACAGGGGAGAAACTGGGGAATATCGTTAGTAAGACAGCACGACAGGTCGGTCATTTGATCCGGGGCATGCTCACGTTGATGATGATCATCATCGGTATATCGAACGTGTCCCTTTTAATGGTCCACGTGTAGCTGCATTCGAGCTTGCCATCCCTCTCCAGCTTCGAGATTCCATGCTCGCCGTCGATCCGGGCAACCCTATTACTTAGGATACTGCCTCTCAGATCCTTCTGAGGGGTCTCGTCCGTGGGACCTGCTGCGTTGTTGATACTCTCTTGAGTCCTGTACTTGAGCAGGCGACATTTCCTGATCATCCGACCTCGGCTGTCGTTGAATGCTAGCTGCGCATAGTCTTCGTAAAACGCGATGACGCTATCGTCATCCATGAGTTCTGCGAGAAAAACTGGCTGCGGTTGACCCTCGGTCGACGTTGTGGACTCCAGCTGGTTGAGTGTCTTCAATAAGGGTGTCGACAAACCCGCCCGCCCAGTGTTGACGGCGCTCGACGAGCCAGAAGACATACCCGTGTTGACGTTGAGGTTGGGTTCCTGCCCGAGAAGAACCCCCTTCGTCCATCCGGTAAGCGCAGCGAACTCCTTGTTCACACCTGCTATCTCGCCGGTTCGTCTGCATACGATGGCCGGGCTGGAGCACTGTTGCATGAACTCATCGTACTCGAATAGGGCGCGTTGGAAACTCTTCTCCATGAAGACCAAGTCTTGCCTATTCAACGTCCGAGTGCATGATATGAATGGCGGACGGATGCTCGCGAGCGACTTGGCGATACGAAGCGTCTTGGCGGCCGAAAAGCGGTGCTGCAAGAAGGCGATGAGCTTGTGAAAGCTCTTGACGTATTGGTACGGCTCTTTCACAGTCTCGTATATAAAAGAAGGGTCGCGGTTGCGCTTGCCTAGTATCGACTGAGGGCCCAGCCTCGTCGATGTCGACTTTGGTTTCAGGCGGTTATGGGGAAGAGGCTGCGTTGGAGGCCCAGGTGTGCTACTGTATGAAGGCATAGTTGGCGAGCCTTCAAAGCCGAGGTTGGTCGGCTGAGGGCTGTTATTCTCCGTGCTTGGACTTTGGAGACTTGAAGGCCCAGCCGCAATAGCATAAGCATGGGGAAGGCCATGCTGCAGATTCCCTTGCGAATAAACGCCAGCTGCATTGTGGTCCATGCCGATAAGGTCCCCCATCACATTGGGGTCATAGACCTTGTTGGTTTCATACTGGTTGAGCCCGTTTCCAAAGACGCCAGCCGAGCCGAAGTTCGCATCACCTGCTCCCTGTTGCGAGAGGGAGGAAGGATCGCGGGGTGGTGTCTCGGCAGCCCCGGAAGACATGTGGCCGAGCATACCAAACTCCATCGCCCCATACTGGCTCCCAAAGTTCAGGCCTTCGAGGTTGAAGTTGAATATTGCCGGGTTGCTCGGGTCGAAGAGCGCCGGGGCGAAGTTCGACATTTCTCCGGACACCTGTGGAGCAGCCAGCCCCGCCATTTGGGAGTTGGGTGTCTGGAACGTCGGTGACATGGGCGATTGCTGACTCCCAAATCCCAAGCCATCTTGTAGAGACGAAATAGTGGGTTGCCCGGACGAGAATACCGGGTACTGCGATGAGTTACCGGGGGAGAAAAACGTCCCGACGGTAGACGATGCGTCGGATCCTGCGCTGGACGGGTGTCGCTGGCCGTTAGACTGTGTGTGCGCGGACGAAGCTGCCGTTCGGTTGTAGCCTGGCCCCAGGACGGGCCCCAATGCTTCGGCCGGAGCATCGTGCAGGTATTTAGCCTTCTTCCGCACACCGTCCTGGCAAGCATCGGCCAGACCACGCTTAACACACCTCTGACAGGGTCGCTCATCACCTAGTAAGGGTATTAGTGAGGTGTTCCGGCCATGCGCGCTGTGTTATCAAAATCGAAGACTTGGCGTCTCCTATCTATCTAACTGACGCCAGGGGTGGGAACAAGGGGGGGAGAGGCAAACGCGAAGGGGAGGGGGAAGCGAAACGGAAAAGTGCCGTATCCCACAATGTCTAGGGTGGCAGGCAGGATGAGGTAGGCAGAGATAATAAACCAAGTCTTGCACATACCGCAGGTTAGGTGAGCCCTTTGACAGGCAAAGCAGGCTCGCCGCGCTTTCTTCCTCCGGGGGCGCATCGGGTCTTTGGGGTCATATTTCTTCTTAACCTCCCCATTGGCATCGACGCCCGCTGAAGCCACGTTTTGGTCTGACATTTTTCCGTCCTCGTTTTTGACTGGTGTTTCAATATCGTCGTATTCGTTCTCACTCTCAGACATGACACGCAAGTAGTCTTCGTTGGCCTCTGCGTCTTCTGGCATCGCGCCTTGGTCTTGTATATATATACAAGGCTACCAAGGACCAGGCCTGTAATGAGCGGCACGGCAATGCAGCCAAGAGGCCAGCAGCCTTTCTGAGTGTTCCTGTCAACACCGCACAGCAAGGGTAGGTGGGGTCTTCAACTCGTGCAGAAGGTCCCCACGGCTGTGGTAGGATAAGAGTGAGTGATTGGTGATTGGTGATTGGTGATTAGTGTTGCGTACTGCGTGCTGCGTGATGTGTTGCTGCACCAAAGTGTTGTTACCAAGACCGGGCAGCAAATAGAATAGGGGTAAGGGGCTGCGTTGCTCGATAATGTGGTTGGCTCGGCATCTGCCCGACCACAGATAGAGTGACGATCGCGGTCGCAAAGCTGGGGTCAGCGGCGGATATGGCGTCAATGATCGATTTGATTGATGCTGGCACTGCGCATCAGCAATACGATTGTAGATCCCTCTTCCCGGCCAAGTTGCACCTCGCAGCTGCTGCTCGATACACGATCACAGCGTTTCGCCCCTCGTATTCTCAGCGGTAGATCTGAGGCTCCCTTCCAATGGGCGCGAAGCCGGATGGGCAGAGGCGCCCTCGTGTGACGGTGCCGACTCGAAGGCTGGATCAATAGTAGGCCGCATCGACAGCTCGGCAAGGTCGCGAGTCTCGCACAGTCACGTCCCGGCGGATGGGGCTCCTGGTTTTGGGATGGGCGCTCGATTGCTGGGATGTGCTGCGTGAGAGGCAGTTGTGGGAGGACAAGGAGCTGCTGCTACCCGTCCGCCTTATGCTTGTGTGCATCTGGCACTGACGCGCAAGCACCTGGGTGAGGAGTGAGGAGGGCAAGGGATCCTGTCTAGCAACAGTTGGTCCTGCGCAACGTAGGGGAGCCCTTGGATGGCTCTGCACCGTCTCCTGCTCGTGTCTGGTCTGTATCGAGAGTTGCCCAGATGTTCGCGGTCGCCAAAATCGAAGGTTTCTCGTTGAGGAAAAGCGAAGAGAGGCGAGGATGAGCTAAAGGCGGGGGATGGTACGGATCGACATTCGGTCGAGAGAGTGATTGCAGATTGTGGCGCTTTGGATTTCCCAGATCGACGTTATTCGTGGTCCCAAGCTGTGCGGCTGTAGATCGACTCGAAGAGGAGCTATCTCGATGAGTGGGTGGGTGTGACTGCGGGGTTTTCCTCTCCTTTGGAGTAATCAGAGAATCTCGATTTCAGCACCCCGGGATCCCAATTGCGGTGATTTGCCGAGCTATGACCAAATTCTTTTGTACAGCCTGGGTAGATTTGCTGCGTAGATGCCGAGGGTGGTACGAGGGAGTACTTAGCCTTGCCAGGAAATTCTCCATGCATTAGGGACGCTTGCTCAGCTCGGGTACCTCTTTCCATTTGCCCACAACTTTCATTACAACTAGACATACATACATACCTATTAGGCACCACATGGAAATACACAGCCTGCTCCTTCTGTCCGTAGAGATACCAAGGGATAAAGGAAACGTCTCAGCAAATCTCAACACGCCGCAACTGCAACTGCAGCTACAACTGGGTCCTGCTTGGCCTGCTTGGCCTACTTGGCCAACCACTGCCACCTCGTGAGTTTGTTTTGGTCACCTGAAGGCTTGAAGCCTGACGGAGGACCTACTGTGCGTGCCAAGACCCTGGCCCCATAGCCAAGGCTCATCAGCTTCATACGGACGCACCCCCCTGAACGTCGATTCACATCGAGCAACTTCACGCACATTATAGGCGAACAGGGTCTGTGTGTATGTATCACCAACTGGAAAGCATGCAGCACATCGAAAGCGTGTAAAATATCACCATAGAGCAGGCAGCAGGCCAATAGTTGCGGGCAAGAGCATGATGGCGTTGAGTCTATCGTTGACACATGGCCAACTAGCCTCTAACTGTCTATCCATGCATGTGTTAACCCTGCAACCGCCTAATCATATTGGTTGTACATCCGTATCTCACAAGCACTTTCTCAGTCCTTGACACCGAGGCATTCCATCACAAGCACTTATTTTCCTCATTATCTTCTCCTAGTTGATGTTATCTTGATTCCACATTAGGTTTTTCAGCTTGCCCCGAGTTCAGTGGCTCTGAGCAAGGCTTATTAGCCCCCAGGCTGGTCCTTGCTTCTATGAACCAGCCTTTGCATCTGATGTATTACACAATTTCCCCCATCCAAAGAGTATAGGTAATACTCATCAATATCATATCCGTAAGTTGTCGAGCAACCTCCTTGTGGACTAGACGCGCCCCCAGCAGGTCGATGGTACTTCCAGACTGGCCCAAAGTTTGGCCATGTCTGCAACCGCAGGACCCCTGCGTCGTCTCCCCTTTAGCTGTCGAGCTTTCAACACGAACGGACTGTCCCAGTCTTCCGCGCCCATTGACCTCCCCCAGTTCCCTCATGCTGTTGTTGCAAACCTGCTGTAACTTCGTATTTTCTTCCCGTAACGGAAGAACAGATAAGGGAACGGCAGCATAGCTACTGTCAGGAAGCCCAATAGGCCCGTTGCCCATTGGAAACCCAGCTTCTCGTACATTTGTATTCCAAATAGGGGGAAGGCAGCTGCATGAGTCCAACGTTCAAAATTAGCAACCTGAAATGGGTACCACATGAAGGATCCAGCAGAGCGGATATGAACGTCAGCGCAACGAAACACTGACTTACCTGCAAAGATACAGCGCACGAAGGCATTGCCCGCCAGAGCGCTGGCCGCGTACAGCGGGTATGCATCGACCTGGCACTTTGTGTTAACCTCGCATTCTCACCAATCCGTTCCAAGATGCCTGGGACGGTGTGACCACACCAGGGGCCGCTGGGGCTCGTTATATTGGGGTGTATCACTTACAAGAAACGAAAAGATACCAGTAAATGCTAAGAGGGTTCTGTGAGACGTTCCGATCGGTTAGCCGCATGCGTCGTGCAGAAATCGGATATTCAAGATCACAAAAGCAAGCGACGAAACCGAAAAAAAATTCCCCAAACCCCCATGACAAAGCCATGACTAAATGGTGTGAAGTTGCTGATGCACTCTTGACTTGTTATCAACCAACCGAGGGGGATCAAGCATTGATACCCTGCTGCGCAAGCATATCAGGGAGGACGATGCGGCGCAGAGATATCCACATGATCTTCCAGAGATAGGATGAATACATCGCCACCACTCAGGGGCAAACAGCAGATGGAGGGAGGGAGGGAGGCGGGGCGGGGGGGGACGATGAATAGGACGCGGACGACACTTACCCAAAGCCAAACACGGCGGACCCAATGATAGGGACGATCCAATGTATCGAGGGATATGTGGTAAATCCAAACCAGAAGATGCCAGCAGTGATTAAAGGGGCACCAACAATGGCCGGCGGTAGCTGATCTTCGGGCTCCGGCTTACTCTCTCCTGTCTCCCTCTCGCGTTTGGCAACCAACCCATCTCGAATCTTACGCATGATAGGGACTGACAGGGCAGCAGCCACCATACCGACGAGCAAGCCCAAGAATGTCAGGCCGATCTGCCAGAGGTTGAAACCATGGTTGGTACCGAAGACCAGCGGGAAGGCACCGAAGAAAAGATAGATAATACCAAGGAGGATCGCCGAGTAAAGGTCCAGGATCAGGCACATGGGCTCAAGGGCAAGGAGTTGGAATGGCCGCAGCAGCGAGTACGCCACCGTCCGGCGCATCGATTTGTTGGACTTTTCGATCGGCGCCTTCCACCTCTTGTCGCCGGTCTCCTTTCTGATTCTGCGAGCCTTGTTCTTCAATAAGACAGGATCTGTTGTTCTGTTAGTGGCCCCGATCTCCTCACCAGGCTTGCCTATAATAGAGGAGGTCTCGGCCGGGGGTTTGGTACTCACGATAGGTTTCCGGCACAAACAGAGCCAGCGCAACCAGGAGAACGCCGCTCCAGATGAGCAGGACGTAATGGGTCCACCTCCAGTTGGTGTAGCTGTTGATGAGACCCCCGATCAGCGGCCCGATCGACGGGCCGATGAACGGCGCCATGGTGAAGACGGACATGGGCGCCTGCATATCCTTGCGCGCGAACAGATCGCCGACGGTGCCTCCCGACACGGACAGGAAGGCGCTCCCCGCCAGGCCCTGGAAGAAGCGCGCGACGATCATGGTCTGGATGTTCTGCGCCACCGCCGAGGGGATGATCCAGATCAGGTAGGCGAGGAAGGCCGCCAGATAGATGGGCCGGCGGCCGTAGAACTCGGCCAGCGGGCTCCAGAACGGGCCGAGTGCTATGCCCAGGACGAAGGTTGAGAGGCCGAGCGTGGCGACGAGGCGCGAGTTGCCGAACTCGGCATCCATCTGGGCGTACGTGGACGTGTAGATGGAACTGGCGTTGGTACTAGAGGGAGGAGTGTGAGTTTCCGTTGCGGCATGCGTCCCATCCCACCACCCCCTTTTCTCTCTTCCCGGCAGAACTTACACGCAGAAACTACCACAAGAGGTGATGATGACAATTGACCATTTCCTCCACTTCTTCATGCTCCGCGGACAGAGAGGGTCTTCGTCGCCATTTTCCCAGCCAACTTCGAACCGGTCGCCTTCTGATGGCCTGTCCGGTCCCGGTTGACCGCCGTCCTCTTCCACGTCGTCACAACCGAATCCGTTGTTAGATAACTCCCGGCTAAGAGACTTGCTACTCCTTGCGCCTGTTCCTGGTCGAATTGGTTCGAACCTAGGGTCATGGCCATCATCGCCTGACTCACACTTGGTAGTCGGCGAGTCGGGCTGACTACCAGCAACCTTTTCGATATCTCTCTCCATTGTGCTCATCGCGGGGTGGCGTCCGAGTGCCAGGAAGCTCAAGTGAAGTTGTCCAGATAAACGCCTGGGACCGACTTCCTGAAGCGGTTCCTTATGCTGTCGAGCAGACCAGGGGTTGAGTCACACATGGAGTCTTCTGGGTGGCTCGACATCACAAATCTTAACTCCTAGAGCTGGGAGGATGATGCCGCGATTCGATATTTGCTGATTCATCAGCTGTGGACCTCGCGATTGTCCAACCGAAGGGACCGAGCCATCCTGGCATGGCTCCTTTGCACGGTAGGTACCGGGTTCCATCGGCGCCTTGTCGGAATGCACTCCGGTTTCCGTGGGAATAACACGGCAGTGGGTTTGGGGTCAACCCCATGTTGGGCTAGATCTGGGCTAGAGAATGGGCCTTTACCAAGCATGTTACGTAGCGATGACTAACAGCGACGCAACACTAGTAAGCCCCCTGATGTTGACTTGAAAACTCGGACGTTCGCGCTGGATGAAAAAAGGGCGCCGGCTCGGAGATAAAAAAAACTGGTCCGGTACCGGTGGGCCTGTCCCGCCGCGGGCCTGACACCCGGAGGATCCAGATCTGACACATCATTTATTGCATCCTTAAATCCCATGAGACGTCTTCTATACAGTGTATGCAAGATTGTCGTAAACACCGATCTATCCTCATAACAACCCTGATTTCTCCGAAGGGATGATGCAATCTTACCGCCCTTTCCTTTCCCTTTCTATGAAGTATCAAGCAAACCCGTTCGTTAAAGGACCCTAACGCCGACAAGCCATGCAACATCGCCGATCCCTAATAATACTCCTCCAGGTCCGAGAAGCTGGGTATGCCCCCGGAGCAGTCGAAGCTCCTGTCGTACGCCTTCGCCGGGAGGATCCCCGCGGCCAAGCCCTTCTTGTAGCTCCACTGCGGCGCCGACTCGGTGTCCCAGACCCAGTAGAACCACCCCCAGCCCTTCTCGAAGCTCTCCATCTGCGCCTCGGCGAACATGAGCAGGAACCGCTTGTAGGCGTCGCTCCAGCCGGCCGGGTCGGCGTTGGCGTCGGAGCACTCGCACCGGTCGTCCGTCGTCGGGCAGCGCGGCGTCGTCACGTCCTGGCTCGCGTTGCCCGTGAGGTACGTGCCCGTCCACCGGTTGCCCCACCCGACGTTGGTCAGGTGCCACGCGCAGTCCGTGTCGGCCTGCGACCACTCGGCCACCAGCGTCGGGCCGAAGCCCGTCGCCGGGTCCATGCTCTGCTGCGTCTGCTGCGTCCAGCCGTTGCAGGCGTATTGGATCTTGGCCGTGTGGTTGAAGACGATCTGGTTGGTGTTGAAGATGACGTACTGGTGCACGTCGAGCGCTAGGTTGTCGAGCCCCGTCAGCTTACCTTGCCAGTTGTGCAGGCCCATGAACCCGTCGCCGAAGACGACTATGGCGTCGCTAATGCCGTTGGAGCGGACCAGCTTGTAGGCTTTCGTGGTCCAGTCTATGACGGCTGACGCCGAGAGGAACGTCATCTTGGGCTCGTTCGCGAGGCCGTAGTGGCTGATGATGTTCCGGTAACGGTCTTGCGCAAAGAATTTGGAGAGCCGATCATGAATGTCCAGCGACCTCTGCGCGTTCAGATCGCCATCCGTGCCGCTCAGCCATCCGATGGGTCCCTGGCGACCGCTATGGTTCCATCCGTTCTGGCTTCCGGGCAGGCCGTGCAGATCGAGATTGACGCGAAGGCCGTACTTGCGAGCCCACTCGATTCCCCGGAGAAGATATCGCCAGGAGGTCCGGAAGAGGTAAGGGTCGCCGTCGTACGTCTCGACGGCCCAGTACGAGAAAGGTATCCTGACGTGATCCAGGCCGGCATCTGCAATCTCCTTGAACGTCTGTTCCGTGACGAAGGTCGAATAATGCTGTTCCAATGTGCTTGCGCAACTCGGACCTAGGTGTGCGCACAATGTGTACTCATCGATAATTCCATCGCTCAGGTCGTAGTTGAAGAGCGACGGCGAAATAAATGGTTCCAGAACCAACCAGCCACCGACATTCACCCCTCTTGCCGGCCTGTTGGCGTAGGAGCCCCATTTCTGATTTAACGCAGGTACATGTCCATTGGCGGCCTTGGAGTCGTCCCAGCTTGAGAATAGGCCCATGACCGGCAGGTCCCCGACCGACTCGGTGGTATAGGTGAGGTTGAAGCCCGTCGTGTCTTGCCATTTGAAGGGATCCAGCCACGATGGTGCGCCTGACGGTATGCTATCGGGCGAGATCTTGTCTAGCCCTGAGCTCTCCTCTGAACTATCCGACGTCTTCTTCTTCTTGCTGACAACGACGGCCACCACCGCGATGATGACAATCAGGCCTACGAGGCCGATTCCGATATAGATCCCTAGATTGGTCAGCCGATAACGCCTTGGCCCGAAGCAGACTTGTCTCACATAACCGCTTCCTTTTGCTCTTTGTTGGTTCCGGCCACGGTTCCTTCTCCAAGCTGTCATAGCTGCCTACTGCGCCACCTCGGAGCCGGGTCCCTCTTCCTTCTTCCAGTATTGCGCCGCTAACAACCCGCTGTTTCCTTTTCTTCCGGTGTCTCTCGTCCCTGGCATCCCCGGACGCACGCGCTTCTCGGTATTCGTCTCTGTTTGCTCTTTTCGGTCTCCTTTCTGGGTCCCTCGCAGGCCTCGCTTGTGTACTCCGTCTTGCGTTGTCGCGGTCTAATTTTGCCAAAGCATCGGCTGAGAGCCCATGTGACCGTCGAGGGGAGTCTGCTTCTTCGGATGCCAAAGCATGTTTTCGTTGGCTTGATTTTCGTTTCTTGTGTCGCCGCGTTCCTGAGTCCTGGTGTCTCCGTGGCGGTTTATTCGCCTCCCGGGGCGCCATTCTGGCATGGGGGAATGTGTTTGTTGGAATGATGCACGGTGTGTTGGAATGTGGATAAGGCTGGTATGCATGGCTTCATCTATCCCCCTTACGATGTCAACGTCATTTCTTGAGGTATGTGCTGTACTTTGTTGTTGGCCGAGCAATAATCGATTGTGGCTTAAGTGGGTGCAGCTGACAGGGGTTGTCTGCTGAAAGCCGGTGCAAGCCGAGCAGCAGACGAACGTCCTCCAGCCCCTCCGCTCGACAGAATCCTCCAGCTTCTCTTCCTGTGGCCTTCCTTGTGTCCTGTGGTCAGATTGTGAAGATTGATTCATATTACACTCGAGTCCTCTCTGGCGTTTAAGACCACCGAGATTCGCCATGACTGCGATGCCAATTCGCGTTGCGAAACGGGTGCTGGCGTCAACCTCATATCGTCAACTACCCGCGCCGTTACTTGGAGCATTGGCACAACGCCTCTACTCGACACACCCTCCAAATGCGAAACTCAACCTCCCAATTGACTACTCAACGACGCCCCTGCTATCTCACACTTCTCAGTTGGCACTGAGCAGCCCAGAGTTATCAGCCGAAGTACGCAATGGCACGACGAAGCGGATGAACTTCTTTCAGGCCATCAACGACGCGCTTTCGCTCGCCCTGGCCACGGACGAGTCGGTGCTCATCTTCGGCGAGGATGTCGCCTTTGGCGGCGTCTTCCGATGCACCATGAAGTTGGCAGAAACGTACGGAGGCGATCGGGTATTCAACACGCCGCTGACGGAGCAGGGCATCGTGGGCTTCGCGATTGGTGCAGCGGCCGAGGGAATGCGTCCGGTGGCAGAGATCCAGTTTGCCGACTACGTCTACCCAGCGTTCGACCAATTGGTCAACGAAGCCGCCAAATTTCGGTACAGAGACGGCGCATGCGGCCGGAGCGCTGGCGGATTGACAGTCAGGATGCCCTGCGGAGGAGTCGGGCACGGGGGGTTATATCATTCGCAGTCACCAGAGAGCTTGTTCACCCACATCCCGGGACTACGAGTCATCATGCCCAGGTCTCCTTTGCAAGCGAAGGGCTTGCTGCTGTCTGCGATACGAAGCAACGATCCCTGCCTCTTCTTGGAGCCCAAGATTCTCTACCGGGCAGCTGTCGAGCAGGTCCCGACCGGTCCCTACACCTTGCCTCTGTCAAAGGCCGAAGTGCTGAAAGAAGGGAAGGACGTCACCATCGTTTCGTACGGCCAACCATTGTATAAGTGCATGGCTGCTCTTAAGCAAGCCGAGGAAGATCTTGGCATATCAGTGGAGCTCATCGACCTGAGAACGGTCTATCCTTGGGATAAAGATTGTGTCTTCGAGAGCGTCCGGAAGACCGGTCGCTGCATGGTTGTCCATGAGGCCATGATCAATGCCGGAATAGGAGCAGAGGTAGCTGCCGCCATCCAGCAAGACTCCGATACATTCCTCAGACTCGAAGCACCGGTTGCTCGGGTAGCTGGCTGGAGCATACACTCTCCACTATCATTTGAGGCTTTCAATATCCCGGACGTAGCGAGTGAGTATCCCCAAAATCCAGCTGCACGAGAAGACAAGTGAGATGCTAATAAAAAAAACTAGGGATATACGATAATATCAAGAAACTCGTCGAGTACTGAGGCGGTAGATCGAGGGCTCCATGCGTAATACCGAGGTGTTTGTCGGCTAGGTGAATATCTTGCCGTCAGCGAGAAAGCAGTGTTAACTAGCAGCTGCGGATAGAATATAGTTGAAGAGGTAGAATATACATTGAAAAAGAAAGAAAACAAATATTTGGAAGCTGTTTAGTGGCTGGAGTGACCGTTCTGTTGTCAGTTGATGACGGGCCGTCAGGAGGTTTTATGTTCATTTCAGTAAGTCTGTGGGCTTGCCTGTTGTCAATCGATAACGGACCGGCAGTATCGATGTCAGTACGGTCATGCTGGCAAATGGTCCCACAGCAGGAGAAGTACCCCGCATCGCGTTTCGCTCTGAGCTCTCTCGGTCGGGACTTCATCATCGGACCTATTTATCTAGGAACAATCTGTTGCTAGAGCCGGCTGGCGCTCTGTCGCCCTCTTAACTCCCCACTCCCATATTTCAAGATGTCTTCAAACAAGGCGGTAGTTTCTTCCTTTGTGGAGGGAGCTCCTCCCGGCGAAGTAAGTCGCTCAGGTGCCTGTTGCCTAACTGGCCTCAGCATGCTGACCATTTCACAGCTCACAGACGTCATTGCTGGTTCGTTCTCGCTATACGACACATACACGCATCGATGCGCTGACTCTGTTCGCTTCTAGACATCAAGGCTTTGACTATATCGACCCCAAACCTCGTCAACGAACTAGGGCCCGCCTTCGAGAAGTACAACGAGGAGCAATTCGTCACGGTGAAGCTCCCTGGTAGCAGCCAACATGTGATCATAAGCTCCCACAGCTCGCTCGGCGGAGGGAGATACTACGACGTGGAAAGCTCGTCAAGTTTCGACTTCGACCATACCACACAGGTCAGAACCATATCGCTCGAGACAGACCGTTGGACACGATAGTAACCAGTCCACAGAAAGCCAGCGCGGTTCAGAGCTACGTCCTGGAAGGCCCGCAGTCAGAGATAGTGTAGGCAATCGGGTTATCCCGCGCGTCGAAAGTCGCTCTTCGAGCCAGGAACTGATATCTGCTTTAGAAAGTCGACACTCAAGAGCCTCTCCACATACGTCCAGGACCATTTTGCGAACGCAGCCTATGGAGTTTACCCAATAGAGAACAATTCCAAGGTTGCCATCGTCATCGTCTCTAACAAATATAGCCCGAATAACTTCTGGTAGGCCCTTGCCGAAGCCAACCAAAAACCCACCTTGGCTGATCAGAGATATAGGAACGGACGCTGGCGCTCTCAATACATCTTCGACCCATCCTCTGGCACCCTCGAAGGCTCCATCAAAGTGGACGTCCACTACTACGAAGATGGAAACGTCCGTCTCCTCACGAATAAGCCTGTCAACGTGTCGGTTTCGTCTGGGGCAGGCAGTGGAATCGCGAAGGAGATTTCGACGAGCGAGAAAAAGTATCAGGAGGAATTGAATCGGGGATTCAACAACCTGAGCGAAGGCGCATTTAAGGGCCTGAGAAGACAGTTGCCAGTAACCCGACAAAAGATCGAGTGGGAGAAGGTCGCAAGCTACAGGTTAGGCCAAGACATTGGAGGGGGTAGTTCAAGACGGTAGTGCTGTCCAGTGGAGACCGGAAGGGGCTCGAGGACGAATGGAAAATAGAAGATCCATATCAAGTCACGGATGGGGTTGTCGGGAGATGTGGCACTAGGCAATGGTGCTTAGAAAGGTGCTGACCGAATGAGCATTGTGCCATCCAAAGGTGGTGCAAAAAAAGCAACTAGCAGGAAACCCCTATCGGCAAGTCGAATTTCTTCGGTGACCGGGACCCGCAAGGAACTCAAGTTCCCGGATCGAACCATGCACCCTGTAGCTCACCCCAACACTAATAGCGTCTGGCCAATCAGGAGTAAGGTTGCCCAATTTCGGCAGATGCTGATTGGCCCAAGCAGACCTTGTAGCCATTGCAGTACTGCGGAGAGAGACGGCGAATCTGAGAAAACTGTCAGACCTCCCTGAGGGTGATTTGCACTCTACTCTTCCAGAAGCCTCAGCATCCCAACCAGCCAAACAAACCGTCGTGACGACCTTGCTGAGTCCACTGTCCACTCATTTCGCCATCCATCTCGTCATCAAGAGTCGAGCCTCACAAAAGCCCCTCAAAATGTCTAAGGAATACACATACCAGGACGTTGCCGAGCACAACACCAAGAAGGATCTCTTCGTTGTCATCCACGACTCTATCTACGATGCTTCGAAGTTCCTTGACGAGCATCCGTAAGCTCCCTTCCCATCTGTTCCCTACCCCCGTTTCTATCTCGAAAGATGTTGACCCTGACGGCTGGGTAGCGGTGGTGAGGAGGTCATGCTAGATGTTGCCGGACAGGATGCGACCGAGGCATTCGAGGACGTCGGCCACAGCGACGAGGCCCGGGAGACACTGGAGCAGCTCAAGGTGGGCACTCTAAAGCGACAGGTACGTTACACCCTCTCAAAGACCACGACTCCGGTCCTTGCCAGTGGCATCAATCCATACCTACAGACGTGAATACAAACTGACGTGCTTTTCTCTCTCTCGCAACCTACAGCCCGGTGACCCGTCCCCCAAGGCCCCCATTCCCGGCTCCCTTGCTCCTCCCGCCAACAACACTGGCGCTGGAATAGGCGTTGGTCTCTACGCACTCGTTGTCATTGGCGGCGTGCTCGCATATTTCGGCTACCAGTACATGCAACAGCAGCAGACACAACAGGCGTGAGCCTAGGCAGTTGATAGACCCCGATACGACCCCGAGTTGGGTATATGGATTTTCAACACTAACAGTCATTTTGGCGTCGACCAGCGCTGGAGCTTTCGAGGGGAGCAAAGGGCTCGCGTGAAATTGAGTTGGGAGCCGTCATTCAATGCCGAGGCGACCTACTGGAGCCGGAGGTGGAGGTGTGGCTGCGGGCGGGGAGATGGAATCTCGGGGAGGTACGGATTATGCTGAGAGACACTCACATACTTGAGCGTATAGACTTGTAATTTTCACGTCTCGTTATCTTACCCATGACCTACCTACGTGTGATTTGCCTAGCAAACCCATTGAGTGACTCGTGTGCCGTGTATGAAGGTCTACGAAGCATCCATCTATCTGGTCTTTGTTCTATCGCCAATCGAATTGGACTCTCGCCTAGGCTTATCTAAGCCTCCACAAGTCTTGATAGGGAAGACTAGGTCGCTTTCACTCTTTACCAGAAACCCTTCAAGCAGTCCCATTCTCACACTGACGAGGATCGAGACAGAATTTGCCGAGTAATTTTCGAATCCCGACCCCAAGGATTCAAATGCGAGGCATATGCTTGGCTTCCTCCCAAGTTCAAGGGCTCACGCTGTTAACCGAGGCTTTAGCGCTAGGCTAGCAAGTCGGCTTTTGGAAATTCTAGCCTTGGCCTGGCTGGCTGCTTATCATATCATTTTCTACCTATTACATAACCACCAGGTTCCTGAGGCAACCTTCAATCAAGCTTGACATTTCCCCAACCTACCCGCGAAGACGGAGCAACTGCACGCCCAAGGGAGAACCGGACCATAATGTCTTCCTACCTAGAGCGGCAGCGCGAGGCCTTCACAGGTGGGCTCTCGGCGGCGGCTTCCAAGATCGGCGGCAGCGGCAGCGGCAGCGGCACCACGTCGAAGCGGCCGAACGCTCCCCCTTCCCCCTCGCCGTCCATCACCTCAAGCACATCGGCGGCGGCCGGTGCGACGCCGACCAAGAGGGAGCGCGATGGCCCGACGGTGGTGTACTCGCAGCCGGTCAACACCAGCGCGGGCACAACGCTCCTGGCGCAGGTGACGTACGTGATCGACTGGCTGAAGCAGAAGGACGAGCCCAAGACGATGCAGGAGATCCTCGAGTACGTGTCGGCGCGCAACAAGTCGGCCGAGGAGCAGGAGGAGTTTGCGCGGTCGGTGCGCAACAGCCCGCGCATCCAGTGGAGCCCCGACGCGGCCCTGAGCGAGCAGACGTGGCGCAGCGGCACCTACACGCACCGGCCCGTGATCCCCAACGTCAAGACTAAGACGCAGCTGCTGGGGTACCTGCAGAGGCGGGTCGACATGCGCGGCGTGCCGGTCAAGGACCTCAAGGACGGCTGGCCCGCCTGCGAGGCGGCCGTCGACGAGCTCGAGAAGCAGAACCGCGTGCTGGTGCTGCGGTGGAAGAAGGACAACCACCCGCGGACCGTGTGGATCGACGACCCGACCCTGGTCCACCACGTTGACCCGGAGTTCCGCTCCCTGTGGCACAAGGTCGAGGTCCCCAGCCTCGACAACATTGTGCAGCGCCTCAACGCCGTCGGCCAGAAGCCTACTAGCGAGGACCCCCGCCTCAAGGTCATCGCCGCGCCAAAGGTCGAGAAGAAGAAGAGGGCCGCCAGGAGGACGGGCAAGTCGACCAACACCCACATGGAGCACCTCCTCAAGGATTACAGCCATCTCAAGCGGTGAAGGACCTCCGTTCCTCGGACCGCGTCCACGTCCACCGGAAGAAGGCTTGCAAGGGGTTCGTTCATTCGGCTCTACTGCAGTGGTCATTATATCTATACACACACCCTATAGCGTCGCAGATTGCTACGAAAGGGAAAGAAAGAGAGAGAAAACAATAATGAAATGGCCTAGATTACGAAGAAGGAAAGCGGACGGCACAAAGGAGTTAACGGAGTCTGGCGTTCAAGTTGCAGGAATAAATTCCAGGTTGCCCAATAGCGAATTCAAATTTTGACGTATTGAAATTGGAACCGTCCAGCGTGTACCGTACCTAGCCATAGAAAATACTACAGTGGTTAACGAATTCAATTTCTATGCCTTTTCAGGGACGTAGGAGAGCCACGATTCTGCAGCCCGTGTTGGATGCCCGCCTCTGAGAAACACGTGCTGTCCACCGAGACAGTATTGTGGGAAGGACATTAGGCGGTCTTTCTGCCAACATGCACGCGGCTTCGGGCTCTGCGCCAGCTGGAACTGCGCATGAACTGGAAAGACGGTCAGATATAGGTAGATGGGAGGTGAATTCCAGTCAATCTCTTCAATTCCTTGGTCGTCTCGGGAGACCTATGATACCCGTACGGGGGTTTGAAAGTCTAGGTACCTAACCACGGGCCGTTTCTTTTTGTCTCCCCAGGAACCCTCTGTCGCAGCGCGAAACGAAAACAGTGCAAAACGTTTTCCCCTTAACACCACAGACCACTCTGTGATCCGTACAGCCATGGTAACACTACAAAAAAAAAGGGGGGGGGGAACGTGAACACGGGACCAAAAACACCTGCTTCCAGTCTAGGGGTAATGAGGGAGAGTGTGGTCGCCACGACGTAGACGCCGGGTTCCACATTGACACAGAGAAAACAAAGGAAATAGGGGGAAAAGAGGAAGCGGAACTGAGGTGCGACTTTTGCCAGTATCATTAAGGAAGAATATTTAAGTTCCACACACTGGTCCTGATCGTCGTTATTCTAAGCACCTGTTGTCCCGCAATTCGTTCGGTGCGGCCTTCCGAGACGGCTCGTCCACCATTTGACTGCTGCCTAGCGAACAAGTTCAGCCGGAGGGCGTTCCAGGGGATTCTTCCCCCATCGCCATCAGTCGTAGTGGCTCTCGGGAGCCGAGGATATAAAGCAATGAGCCAAGTAGACGGGAATTGGTCACTGAGCCGCGGCCCAGAGCTCGTTGGATCGGGATTTCGCGTCATACGAAGCCGACGCCGGTTCCGTGCTGCCAGACCTTCGGGTGGTTGGTGCGCTGTTGTAGAACATCTGGCCCATGGTAGCACTGCTCGACGGATACCCTTCCGGGTCGGGATAGACGTAGCCGTTGCCACTAGCACTGTGAGTTGGCGAGGCCGCGTGTGAGGGAGACTGCCACCCGGCACTTCCCATATGCGGGCTGCCAGTAGCGCTGCCTGATCCTTGTTGATTCTCGATGCTGGGCTCCAGAGTCGGAGGAGGACCGTACCGAGTAGGGTGAGAGGTCGGCCGGATGGCACCGGTGTACCCAGACGACACGGTAGAGGCAGGGCTACCAGCATGCACGTCGTTTCGGAGGTGCACTGGGAGGGAGCTGTTGCTCATGTACTGAAGGTTGCTGATCCCGGCCATCTCGGCACTAGGTGACATGGACATGTTGCGCTGAGCAGGCGACGGGGTCGACATTGGCGATGCGTGGTTGGATGCTTGCTCCCCTTCCGATTGGGGCTTCGTTCGGGGTTGGGGCTGGTTCGCACGTCTTGCCAATGCTTCCGCCGTGGCTCTTGCCGCCTCTTCGATCGTTCCAGTATGGTGATTTTGGTGCCTCGTGAGAGTGGTTCGGCGGGTGAATGTCTTCTGGCAGTCCGCAAAAGGGCATTTGTACGGGCGTTTGCCCGAGTGGATGCGCCTATGCCGTGCGAGTGAAGAAGAATCGCTGAATGGCTATAGATGGGAACGTTAGCTACGGCAGCCTAGTCTCCGGAGACGCGCCGACTTACCTTTCCGCATCGTTCACACTGGTGCGGCTTCTCTCCCGTGTGTACGCGCTGATGGACTGTGAGGGCAGAACGCTGAATGAACTGCTTTCCGCAATTCGGATAATCACAGACATGAGGCCGGATGCCGCTGTGGATACGTTCTATAGCCTGTCAGTACCAAGGCAATTCCTTTTGCAAAAAAAAAAAAAAAAAAGGATAACTCACCATGACGTGCCAGATCGCTCCTCCTCGCGAAACCTTTGCCACAGGTACTGCAAGGATATGCCTTTGGTGGCGGTTGGGCCACATCTTGAGGCTTGTAGGAGCCGGGTGCCATTCCATGTGGTGCCAGCACACTCGGAGGTAAGTTTGGGATACCCATAGGTGCGACAGCCATGTTGGCGTTGGGCATCGAAGGTAGGGACGCTGCCATGGCAGTCGGCGACGGGTACGAGGTGTTCATAGGACCAGAATACTTGGAGTGCTCCGAACCGTGGGGTGAGTTCGCTCGGTCCAGGGGAAGTTGGGACATCTGCTGGCTAGACTGTTCGTGGTTGGCGCCCTGTGCGGCCTGTTGTCCGGCTTTATTGTTCAGCATATTGCCGATTCCCATGACTTCAGTTGATGCTGGCGATTGTGACATTATGGGGCGCTAAGCGCGTCGACCAGCAGTCTGTTCCGGATCTTTTGGGCTCGATCAACGCAAATGTCTCACGACAATGCGACGGTTCGGTTGGGGCTTTTGATCGTTCAACGGTGGTCAATATATGCCCGCCTACCTAACACTGAGAAGGTTTGTCAGTATAAAGTTCAAGATCATGACCAAGAGCCTCCGGAACGTGGCGTTCGGCTCAGCTCAAAAGGAACGACAAAACACAGCGCCCGATATCCAGCCACACGAATGGCTCAATGCCGTATCGCCATCGTGGAGCCAATGATCCACGAGTTAGGATCTCATAGGAGGTGTGAAAGATATTCTTGCAGCCTCAGGGCAGTCAGGAACGCAGGGAAGAGGGCTGCTTACCAATGTTGCTGAGATAGAAGAGAGATGGGGCGATATTTGATCAGTAGTGATCTTGCCCGTGCAGGTCTATATCACCCTAAGGTTTGAGACGCGCTCAGGATGCCGTAACGGAGGTTGGATGACACTGCTCGAGATTTTTGGACGTTCCGAATCAAGGATTTTCTCGCCCCGAAACGTGGATTTCCGTCGCGACTCGCGCTGAGAGACTCCAAAGCCAAGGTACACGACCCTGATTTTTCGGGACTAGCTTATAGATTCGCTACTGAAAGCGCTCTCAAAGCAAGCCCAAGGATGCAGCGACTGTTATATAACAGACGGGGCAAGGTTTACGCTCTGCAGTCTGGCAACAATGTGGGGCCCTCGATGGGATTCGTCGCAAGAATATGAATAGTGACGTATCGAGCTTCAATGCGATAAGTTTCTTGGGTCCAGTTGAGGCGCGACCTTAACAAAGAAGCGTAGAGCGGCCCGGTCAATGACAAGTGCCCTGTCGACTCCCTGGGTACTAGGCATAAAGATCGCGGTCTGGGATCCTGGCTGCCAATATCGCATGCCGTTTCTGGTCGGATATCTCGAAAGGGGACGTGCGGACTCGCAGGTGGTTGCTCGTGCTGGGCGGTGGAAAGCGGGTAGTCGACCGCGATAGGGTCGGATTTTCTCTCCAGAGCTCGGCCCTGTCTTTAGACGTAAGTTAGTTATCTGGCAAGGATATGGCTGTAAAGGCGGTGTCTGGGGGGAATGTACAAAATGCGCCCTCGTTGATGAAGGAATGCCGGGGCTGATGGTGGGTGGTAGGAGGCGGTGGGAGGGCGGTGGGAGGGCGGCGGGTGGTGGTGCGAACAATTTGACGCGAGAAGGTTGATGCGACTGAAGTCAAAAAAGGGACCCTCGAACGAGGATGTGGAGTTTGTTTGTCGGGTGGTGCAGCACAGATGGTGCCGATGTGGCAGTGGAAAAGTCAAAACACTGCTCAGCTTTGTTGTGAAGGTACTTCCTCGGCAGACCGGAGGTCACAAAACAGACGCCGGGAAAATGTGTGATTGGGCGCCACTGCTAGGCTCCTTCCCAGCACCACAGTATCGCAGTTTTGATTTCTTGGCAAGCCGGAGTCCTGTGCATGGAAACGCGTTCCTGAGTAGTAGGTACGTACCGAAGGCTGCGGCTGTGTTTACGTATGTCTACGTCTTTTTCTCGTGTATTGTAACGATAAAAAGAGGCCGTGGGAGAAAACACGCTTTGAAATACCAATAAGTTCGGCACCAAATTACGTGATGCCCTGCGAATTTCATTTTTTATCTAAAAAGTATCCCAGTCCTGATCGAGAGTTGCCTGGGCAGGTTAAGTGAAGTGTTGAGATCCCTAGGATTACATGGAGTGGGTCCCCTGGGTTGGCACCTGCACTCTGAGGCTGTCTGTCTGTGGGGTACCTGCCCTTGCTTGGACCCACAGAGGTAGACTCGGGCAGTGAATAGGTGAATGGGTACCTAACCTTGGGGCAGTCGAGGCAACCTTACCTTGGAACTTTGAAAGGACGCATGTGCCATCCAAAGACCAGACAGCCCTCTAATCGATGCCCATCTTTCTCTCATTATGGGACATGGATAAATGGAAATAGGCCACAATCTAAACACCAATTCGGCTACACACACAGAAGATCGATAGAGCACTACTTTACGCAGTAGTATAGCGCTATTATAGGCCGTACTCACTGTCCGTTTCCTCCATTCTTCCAGCTCATCCTTCGTCTGACACAGCGAGTGGGAAGTGGGAGCTATCTCGCGCTCGGACATTAACCTAAAATAAACTGACGAAACGGACAGGGGTCAAGGAAGGGCCAAGGGTCAGTTGGCTCTCGGATCACCAGCTGCCCGTTCGTAAAGCCTTCCACGGCTTCCATGGCTTCGATTCCCCGCCCCAATATACGTACTTCGTTTCAGGCCTGTAATTAGGCCGAGCTGCTGTGTATCGACCTTTTTGTCAGGGCCGACAGCTTATAATGCAGGCAAAATGTCCGACTTTGCATATAAACAGATGCTAGATGAATTCTCGCTCATGACGGTTATGGGCTGAGGGACTGGCTGGCTCAAATGGCGAGACGCCAGGGGGAGCCATACCCTATTTTACACTAGATCGAGACCATGCCAATTCGATGCTGACGATGCTCATGGGTTTTCAGTTACTCGCCGCAGGGCGTCCCCCATGCCTTGTGGCGCTGCTGGGTCCACAAAGCGAACCTGGCTGGCTGTGGTTGATGGCCAGTGCATGAAACCCATTTCCTGACCCATGTCATTACGCTGGGTAGGCTGCGGCACCTAAAATTGCACCATGTAATTTTGGAAGGTTTCTGGAAGGCTGCTCCCTAGTCCTTGCTCAGCCAGACGCCAAGCCAATGCAGAAGGCGTTTTGGAGCAGGCTATTCTTGGGTGTGTGCCACAGTGGCTCGCCTGTGCCACTTCTGTGTCCCGTCGTTGTCGGACACTCAATCGAGGAGGTATCCCTGATTCTGAGACGTCCTTCGAGGCTCACTCGGGAGAGTCGATCCAAAATTCCAAATATGAGTCCGAGTGTCTGCTACCTGGCGAGTGATCGCTTCCTGATTTCCTTCTAGAAGACTTCTCTGCAGCTACGGTTTCAGGCCCCCAGGCGATCTTCAACCACATCGGCTGACGAAACTGGTCTGTTGGGTGTGCAGCCTCAGATGTGAACTCGCAGCTCACAATCATTTGTCTTTTGTCCCCCCATCCCACGGGTACCTGCTCTCTCGTCGGTCCTCCAATCGTTTCGCTCAGTTGTACTGACTACTGACACCACAATGTAATGCGTATGGTTTGACCGCCCTTTCCTCATCAGCCATCGTCCAGGCGGACTCCACGCAGGATCATAGACTAGCTGAACTTGCTGAAGGGACTCTCGCCAAGGTTGACACCCCGCCAATCCAGTCCAAATAGTCCTATTATACACTAAGTGGGCGAAGTAATTACGGGCCAGCCGAAAGATCTTCCGCTGTCAACCAAATCCAGGCTTGCCAGGGACAGATTGGCTTTCATCCAATAATGAAATATGGTACCGGAAACTCCGTAAGGAAGGCAGGTATCCTATGTATGGACCGTACCTACAAATTTTATATTTGGTTGCTAGCTGATCTCCCATGCCCATTTCCCGCCCACTCTAATTTCGGGCTCTCCGTTAGGTGACCAAGATTCTCGACGGGATGGCCGCCTGTTTTTGGCAACCATCAGCTTGGTAGGATAGATTGTGCCCATAGGACACATTCTCATTCTGGGTACCTGCATGGTGCAGCACAAGGGTGGTTGGACGTGGCTCGTCGGTCCGGGCCGTAGCCCCCTGCCCGGGCCCCGAGCAACACCACCCCGAAACCTTCCATGCTCCCGTCCCAGCAGTCTGGTCCCGAGAACTAGGGGCCGGCCAGTCCGGGCTGCGCCGTAGCATTTACGCAGCACCGTTTTCCGCCCTGACTCTCCACCCTTTCGGAATCCAACGCCACCCCCGCCTGGGTAGCAGGTCGCTGTCCCTTGCATTCACAAAATGACTACTGATACGCTGGCTGTCGTGGTTTACAAGCGTGGATTCTATTACAGTTATGGCCGAGCATTCCCCACCGGGCCTTTAGTGTTTTGGGTAAGCCACTTGGATTCTCAATATGGTAGCTGTACATAATTGCTCTTTCAATGCTCATCGTACGCAGGTCACTGCGCTCTGGTGGTAGCATGGCCAGTAAAGCATCGACGGCTCGTTCTCCGGATTTGGTCCTCAAGACGAATCTATCAAACTGCATGCAAAAATCCAATCCTGCCACGTTAAATGACGCCCTAAACACATCAGCGACAAAAAAAGAAACCCCGATACCGAGCGGCAGCACCCCGGCCTCAGAAGTCTTAATTCACCGGCCCAGACCCGAGCCGTTCACATCGAGCTTCCCCTCCGTGCTCTCCAAGTAGGCGGCCAGGTCGGCGATGGTGCAGACCTTCAGGCCCCACTTGCGCGCAAATGCAAGGCAGCCCTCGCCCCTGAGCATGCCGGGCTCTGCCCTCACGGCCCGCCCGGGCACCTCCTCGCCGTCCTCCACCAGCTCGCAGATCGCCGCGGCGGGCCTCTTACCGGACAGGCGGCAGAGGTCGACGCCGGCCTCGGTGTGGCCCCTCCGCACCCTGACTCCGCCGGGCCGGGCGCGCAGCGGGAGGACGTGGCCCGGCCGCCGGAGAGACTCGGGCCGGGGGTTCGCGGCCGCCAGGACGCGGCAGGTCAGGGCGCGGTCGTGGGCGCTGATGCCCGTGGTGATGACCTCGTCCGCGGCGTCGACAGAGACGGTGTAGGCGGTCACGCGCGGGTCCTGGTTGTGCAGGACCATCTGGGGCAGCTCGAGCTCGTCAATGCGCTGGGGGTCCAGCGCCACGCAGATCAGCCCGGAGCTGTGCCGGATCATAAAGGCCATCTGCTCCGTGGTGACGTCCTCGGCGGCGATGATGATGTCGCCCTCGTTCTCTCGGCCTGGGTCGTCAAGCACGACGACGAATTCGCCATTTCCTGCGGCGGGGAAGACGAACGTTAGCGGGGCTGGACGGGTTGGAAGGCGGGGCAGAATATGCCCACTGACCGAAGGCCCTGATGGTATCCGGGATAGAGTCGAAGTTCGACGCATCAATTACGGACGACGGCATGGCTACTTGGGGGGGAATTGGTTGGTGGGATGACTCGAAATGAGTCTGATATTGTTGCCCCTCGTTAAGGAAAAAATATTGACTTAAACGGGATGCAGCCTCGGCTTCCTTGGATTGTAGATGCAGGCGGGGCACCTGCAACCTGAATGTGAAAGCGTATAGACAAGCCTCAAGACAAGGTCAGAGCATGAGAAAAATTGACAATGGGGAGTATGGAGAAAATAGAGTTGGAAACCGAAGACCCGTGGGCGCTAATTATGTGTACAAAATCCCGCCCGCATTTTCGGAATTCGTTATTCTTACTTTCGGCCTCGGCCAGATTCGTCAGATTTCAACGTGCTAGTCTTGCTCCGATTTCCAAGCTTCAATTGCCCCCTGACAATTACCTCGTTCTCCGTTACGAACTCATAAGGATCAGTCGCATGTGATGACAGTGGCTTACAAAGTTACACAAGGTTTCCGGTCTCGGCACCTGGTCCTGGTGGCGCGGGGCTGAGTCTCCGCTCTGGGGCGCCCGGACGCTTCCAGAATCGGCTTCTTGTGTTGGAACGTGCACCCGCATTTTTGGGAACTTCCTTGGCCCTGTCAGGCTGAGCTGAAGCCAGAGTCGGGAGCATGAAGTCGTTACTGCGGCATACCGCATCGCTTTCCCGCCATGCGCGCGGGACCCTCCCCCGGCCGACCGTTACTCGACCGATAATACCTTCGGCCACCTCGAGCGGGAGGCGGTTGCAAAGCAACACCAGCACCGTCACGGGAACACCTCCGCCGCCGCCAAACCACTCCTCCCCCTCCGTCAATGCCTCGGAGATATCCCACTTTGACGCCCTGGCGTCAACCTGGTGGGACCCACACGGCTCCTCCCGCATCCTGCACCTCATGAACCCTCTCCGCCACGACTTTATCCAGTCGTGCCACGCGTCGAAGCCCGACTCCCCCCCTCCGCCTCCCGGGCGCCGCCTGCGCTACCTCGACGTCGGGTGCGGCGGCGGCATCTTCGCCGAGAGCGCCGCACGCCTAGCGACGACCGAGTCCGTGACGGCCATCGACCCGTCCGCCGAGATCCTCACGGTGGCGCGGCGCCACGCCGCCCGTGACCCGGCCCTCGCGGAGGGCAACCGGCTGACCTACCTGGACGCGACTGTCGAGACGCTGGCGGCGGCCCCGGGGTCATTCGACGTGGTCACGCTGTTCGAGGTCGTCGAGCACGTCGACAACCCGGCGGCGTTCCTGGAGCGGTGCGGCCGGTTCGTGAGGCCCGGCGGCTGGCTTGTGCTCAGCACCATCGCGAGGACGTGGACGAGCTGGTTCACGACGAATCTTGTGGCTGAGGACATACTGGGCATGGTGCCCAAGGGGACCCACGACTGGAAGAAGTACATCAATGAGGACGAGCTGAGGGGTTACTTCGCGAAGCAGCCCGGCTGGAGCAACCCGCGGATTATGGGTGTCGTGTATGTGCCCGGTCTTGGATGGAAGGAGGTCGGTGGGAGCGAGAAAATAGGGAATTATTTCTTTGGCATCCGGAAGGACGTAGAATGAGCGGTTGCTAAGCATCGAAGATCCTGCGTAGGTGTCTTCGTGTACAACATGTAGGATTAGAGAATACATAACTTTGAGGAGGCACAGGGTGCCACTGTCGGTATATTACCATCAAGGGCATAGAATAGAGGGCATTTGTGCTGTCTTATAAAGGGATGGAGGACTCGACACCTCGAAGGCCGCCTGGCACTATCCAAGTCGGACTTTTTTCCACATCCGCAGGCATTCTTGCAAGTCCACCGACAAGGTCCCCTCTAATGCTGCAGAGGTGTCTTTGATCATTGCGATCAGCAGCGTGGACTGGGCAAAGGTAATCTGATCCGCCTGCAGCGCACTCAAGTCCGACTTCCGCATCCCCCCGTTTTCCGCCCAGGCCTTCCAAAGATCGAGCATCCTGCACATGGTGGAGGAGAACTGCCCGTCCAGGACCATCCGGTGGAGCAGTATACCCACCGCATCCTTCAAACTCGTGGCGTCTGGAACATGACCGCGGTTCTTCAGCCAGGTCAAGTTGTGCTCCGCCACCAACTTCGTATCCCACTTGGGACTCTGGATGGCTTCCATCATGCGTAACTCTCTCCTCTGGGTATCGAGGCGCATCTTGTCACGCACTGCAGACGCTGGTTAGCAGTTCGCCTCACAGTGTCTTGGGGCCGGGGTGGTTACGAACTGTCCTGCAGCCTCTCATCGTTCTCCCGTCTCACCCTATCCCTAACGGCGGCTTCCCGCTGTGCCGGCGCCATCCGGGCCTCGGCCTCCATCGCTTGCCGCTGCTCACGGTGCATCTTCACATGGCGGTCGAGCGCAGCCCCCTGGTCGTTATATTCCGTCGCCCACTCGGGGGCGGCCGACATATCGACGACATTCAGGAGGACAAGGACACCACAGGGGATTGTCTCCTTCCTGGCAAAAGTGAGGATATCATCCGGAATCTTGTAGTTCCACAGCACGGTCTGGCTCGTCGTCCCATAGGCCGTGGCCGCGCTGGCAAACCAGACACCATCAGACTCGGCATATCGGACCCTGATGTGCTCAATGTAAAGACTGTCGAGTTTGACGGAGCTCTGGAGTTGATCTTCATGGGTTAACGCCGTGACAATGCCGTCCATAGAGATCTGGCAGGTGATTGGTCTCCTCGAGTTTCCCTCTGCTTCCTGCTGCGCCGAGTCCAGAGATTCCTTGCTCATACTAGAGCTCTCTCCTTGAGGGTAGGGAGGAGCGTCGCCCTCGATCGAATCTGAAGCCTCGGCCGAATTCTTCGTCTTCGCTGCCTCTTCCTCCTGCGGCGCCGGTGGTAGCCGGACCCAGTAAGGCGGTAAATCTGAATAGTTCCTCGTCGTCCAGTGGCTTGACCAGGTCGCCGTCAGACTCAAATGACCGTCCGAATCGACCAATGGCGCAATAGATAGAGCCGGCTCTCGACCATCGGGAGATGTCATCAACGTGCAGCCCACAGGTGTCCACAGCCCCGTACTCCTCAGCAGCCGCCAGCCAAGGGGGTCCGGCGTTGCCCCCAGATCCAGGAGATAGCAGACCAGCTCGTCGAGGGCGACCTCGACCTGGGGCTGGCGGAGCTGGTCAGCATACTCGACGCGCTGAGTCTTGAGCCCTATAGTGTTGGTCCGCCAATTGAACGTGGTCCAGCTCCCGCCGGGGATAACGCTTGGGTGGCGCGACAGCGTCCAGTACTCGGTGCGGTCGGTGAACCTGTCCCAGGGCGTCACCGCGTAGCGCGGCAGGTCGACCTCGATGACTCGGTTGACGACATCGCTACGAGTCAAGGCAGTCAGGCGGGAATGGCGGAGCATGCGCTTGATCTTGGACAGGGCAGCCAAGGTCACAGCCGTGTTGTACAGGATTGGCAAGACTCCAAGCACGGCTAGGGGCACCCCGATATAGGTGATTATATCGCTGGCCGAGGGCGTGGAATTGGACATGGCGAAGGAGACAACAAGTGGCTACTTATCAATACCTTTCATTCTCGGCAACAAATGCGAAGGAGAGCAAAGGACAGAATGAGCGTGATAGACAGACAGAAAGGAGGCAAGCCGGCAGCTTCATTTCAGACCGAAGGTCAACAACCTAATCAAAGCTGGTGAGGCTGGTGCAGGGCTATACGCTATGGCTCAGCCGCAACACCAAATAAGGATAGTGCGAATACATAGGCTCTGGGTCTAAGGCAGCCCTGCAGAAGAGCCCTGCAGAATGAGGCGTTGCAAGAGCTCCACGCGTACCTTGGACAGGGTCCATCTCTGTGTCGGGACTCGTAGCGATGCCATGTTTGTGTCAGGGAAAGGAGGGTATATCTCATATACTTGGATTTTCGAATAATTACGGACTAGGTGGTACCTTTTATACCTCAGGGATTTAATACGGGGATAAAACCTATGACTGTAACCATCCATCGCTTAGCGCGAGGCTCTCTCCCACTTGCCCTGCAGGGCTGAGGCACATCATCCCCGTCCCGGACAGGACTGGCAATTTACGTATAACTTCTTCCCTCATTCAGGTTTGTTTTCCGTTCTGCTTCCCACTCCAACCTCTCTTTAAGTTGTCGTGCATTGGGAATTTGGGAGTCTATCTTTTCATGGCATTCGCTGCTTCTTCCGACAACGCGGTCCTGGTCGACACTGGCCTGGCGGCGTTCCAACTCCAATGATCATGCCGTCCGCTCTGAGTAGCCGCGTGTTGCTGTACAGTTTTCTAGCCGCTTTCCTCGCCTTTCCCGCAGCCTGCCTCAACCAATTTCCCCCCAGCACGGCAAACCTGACGACAATCTCTTCCCCCGTCGATTTCGACATCAAGATCTCTTTTAAGGTCCCTGATGGAGCATGCAAAACAGCGTTTGACACTCAGCAGCAGTACACTGGCTGGGTCAGTGTCCCGGGCTCGTTCCCGACTAATATATTCTTCTGGTTCGTTGCAGCACGGGAGTCAACTTCGCTGCTCACCATTTGGCTCAACGGGGGGCCGGGATCGAGCTCCATGTTTGGCTTCTTTGCCGAGTCGGGGCCGTGTGAGGTTGTCGAGGCAGGCGCTGATCGGCTGGAAACGGCTGCGAGGGAATGGGGCTGGGACAGGGCTTCCAACATGCTCTTTATAGACCAGGTAAGGGCTCCTCTATCCCTTCTCCTCACCTAAGGCTGCCTCGGACGGCGCTGAAAGCAACCGCTAGCCCAACCAAGTTGGCTTTTCCTACGATATCCCAACAAATGGGTCCATGGACCTTGTCCATGGCGTCACATCTACGCCTCCGAGTCGTCTTCCTGAGGATCGCACACTCCCAACCTTCTTGAACGGTACATTCAGCTCACTCAACGCCAACAACACGGCGAACACTACCGAGGTAGCGGCCATGGCTATATGGCACATGCTGCAGGGTTTCCTGGGCGCATTTCCCGAGTACAACCCCCCGAACAACAGCTCTCTTGGTGTTAATCTGTTTGCTGAGAGCTACGGAGGGAAATATGGCCCCGTCTTTGCCGAGACTTGGGAGGAACAGAATGCTAAGCGTGCGAACGGCAGTCTCAGCGAATCGACGCTGGACATCCACCTCGTCGCTCTGGGCATCGTGAACGGCTGTGTGGATGACCTGATCCAGGGGCCGAGCTACGCGACAATGGCCGTGAACAATACGTACGGCGTTGAAGTCATATCCCCAGTGCGTGCGAACCTCGCCAACGCGACCTTCTACCAACCCAATGGGTGCAGGGACAAGATTGTCCAGTGCAGAGAGGCCGCTGCTGAATTCGACCCGGACAATAACGGCGATATTGAGAGTGTGAACAGCCTCTGCTCCGACGCGACTCAGACTTGCAATGGCCAGCTCTTGAGCCCCTATGTCGATACCGGGCGCAGCGTCTACGACATCGCGCACATGACGCCAGACTCATACCCGCCGAGTTACTATATCGACTATCTCAACAGCCTCGAGGTCCAGGATGCCATCGGCTCCGTGGTCAACTACACGGACAGCAGCAACGCGGTACGCAACGCCTTCTCCTCGACCGGCGACTGGGAGCGGGGCCCGATCGTGCCGAAGCTCGCCGCCCTCATCAAGAGTGGCGTGCGCGTTGGGCTGATGTACGGCGACCGTGACTTCATCTGCAACTGGATCGGCGGTGAGGCCGTGTCTCTGTCCATTGCGGCGTCGGTGGGCGAGCCCTACGCCTCGCGCTTCCCGTCGGCCGGCTACGCACCCGTCATCGTCAACGACAGCTATATCGGCGGCGTGGTGCGGCAGTTCGGCAACCTGTCCTTCAGCCGCATCTACCAGGCCGGCCACTTCGTGCCGGCCTACCAGCCCGAGACAGCGTTCCAGGTCTTCGCCCGCATCGTCATGGGCACGAGCATCTCGACCGGCGAGCCCATCGCCGTCGACTCGTTCAATACGACGGGCCCCGCCAATGCGACCTCGTCGCTGCGCCTGCCCGGCTCGCCCGCCCCGACCTGCTACGTCCGCGCCCTGGGCGCCTCGTGCCCCGACGACGCCGTCTCGAGTATCCTGCGCGACGAGGGCGTCATCGTCAACGGCGCGTGGTACCCCGCGTCCAGCGACTGGCCCGGCGCCTCCGCCACGGCGAGCCCCTCGTCGTCGGGCGGTCGGACCGCGAGCGGGAGCGGCGGCGGCGGCGAGGCGTCGCAGACGCTCACGGGCCTGTTCACCGCCACTGCTACCCCCAAGAGTGCGGGAATGCGGGAATCCCCTTCGCCGAGAGGCCCGGTTCTTCTGGGCCTCATCCTTGCTGTGTCCTTGGCTTACAGGTCGTGAGGTCTAGGTGCTGTGGGAGAAGGATCTCCAAAGGATTGGCTGCCTCACTCGTTGGCTGCCGCCTGTCACGATTACGAATGAGTGAGGATTTGCTAATGAGTGGTAATCGGGCATGACAGGCGTCTTAATTTAACGAACCTTGGTTATGGCATCGGAGAAGACTGGCAAACCTTGTGTATAGGACATTGTATATAGTAGGATAGATGAGAAATGGTAATGTCACACAGATCAATGGATACCTCAGAGTCAAGTTTCATTGCGATATATTTTCCTGAAGACTATGACGGTGCAACTACGGATCCATACAATGATCAAACATGGTTCGTTGATACAAATGGTCGGATGCCACTCTACTATACAAGACCACGGAATTGGGCATCAAGAATTCGGGGTCACGGATACAATAGGGGCATGTATAACTCACCTGGACTGGTCTATGGCGGCCGAAATCCGCATTTGACATCATTGTCCGTCCTAGGGAACTTCTTAGGTTAGCTATTTGATAGCCGAGTCATGAGTGGCCGATAAAAGGTGTTGGAGGTGGCAAGGATCAGATTCAAATGCCTTGTCAAGGGCAGTATCATCAAAGCAAGAAAATGCTATGTAGACCGTCGTGATAAAATTGGAATCATCATGGAAAGAGGCTGGAATGTGAAAAAGAAAGGAGCTCACCTTACTCGGCTGCAAATGCAGAACCCGCGTTGATATGTCTTCCAGGCGATGTGGCTAACCAATCTGTCAACTTCGAAATTGTCAGCATCAAACAGCACCAGCGCGGGAAGTACAGCATGACAAATTAGAGATATCAGGGAAAACAATATCATCAACGCATTGAGCTCTGATATATGCTTGTCAAATGTTTTTATTGGTCATCATGGTGGAAGGGCTGTTGCTCCTTGGGAAAAAGAAATGTTGGGAGACGTACCATCAAGACAATTGGAAGACTCGCCATGACAACGTATTTGGATCGACATCTGGCTTTGGGTCTGTCAGCATTGCTTCAGAAAAATCAAGAAAGGAGGAATGGTGACAGTAAAAATCAGTAAAAGCATGAATGGTAGTAATATATGTTGTCTGCACCGGTAGACCCGAATAAGACTCGTCATCTAGAATCATCATCTAAAGGGATGTTGAAAGTTGAAATAGTACTCACTTTGACCAAGTCGAAAGGCAACGAACGGGAAGGCCGAGCCATGAGCAATTAATGACCCGACGTGACGTCTATACCTTGCCAGGTTAGCTTTGACTCAAGTATTGATATCAATGCGTGCACAGAGAGATGTGATTGCTGTTCAGTGGACGAGGTTTTCTAGGCCTGTCACGAAGTGGCATGTCTGCTCATTTGATGATCGGAGCCCAGTGCCGCTTCATCATATGGATCCGGGATGGGGTTAGAGAAGATGTGACATCCGTACCTACAGAGTACCTATGTTCCTGATCAACGTATTAGAAGGTGGATCCAAACGCGTTGAGAAAAAAAGAGTTTGCAGTGCCCATACAAGGTCAGAAAACAGCCAATTGTATCGTCAAAGACAAAGAGTCTCAGTCGGTAATTCCAACTTGCCGAAGCAAAGTTAAGATCATCAGGAAGTAGGGGCTAAATTGAGAGAGGAAGTATGACTTACCATCACCTTGATAGGGCCCATCTCTCACCGGAATTAAGCGAGGGCAATTTCCAATGGTTGCAGCATACATAAACTGGCATAATCAGGAACCAGATAGTTCCAGTCATAATACCTGAGCAAAATATATCTGACCAGCACGACGCGACGCCGCCGGGTCCGCGTTGTCAATGCTATTCCAACACGACGAATTCGGAACCTCGAACGGCATCGGAAGTGGTCTGGAAGTCCAAGGAGTAGGACATGACCAGGGATGGAACACCTAACAGATTGTTAGCACACTGGTGATGTTCAACAGAGCTTGTGAATCGGTAATGGAGGTGTCTATCTCAGACTGACGTGACAATGCTAGTTTCATTCCTTAAAAGGTCAAAGACTCTAGTTTGCGGTGTTGGTTGTGTCATCAAGGAATGGAGGAGTGAGAGGACGAAGGAAGGTAGGAAACTTACCATCAAGATTTGGTGGTTGAATGGGAAGGAAAAGATATCGAGCTTCTCTGGCCGAAATTTTCTGCTTAAAAAGCCTGGGTGTGGAGAGCTTTAGAGGGTTTCCTATTCGCCAGCAGTTGAGATTCGCTTAGACATGCCTCACGTGTAATCTCACGTGCCTTCGTGGGAACCACGCGTTTGACCATGACGCGCCCCATGATTGATTGTCTTCTCCAACCTCCAAACTGTGGAAACGGTCATCAAGAGCCCCTTGCATCCCATCTCGACTGCCACCATTTCCTATTTGACAAAATGCCTGAGATTGCTGAAGGTAAGCCCTTTACCCAACACCGGGTCGCTGTACTATTTTCTTAATTCCACGTGCTCCTCAGTTGCCCGGGTCGTCCATTTTCTCCGCCTTCACCTCGTTGGGAAGACGATCAAGAATGTTGTTGCTGCCGACGATACCATTATCTTTGGCAAGGTTGGGACGACCGGCGCTGCGGTTGCTGCTGCGTTGACTGGCAAGAAGGTATGTCTCAACTCCACTTGAGCTCCACCACGAGATTCCACCGACTTGAGTCTTGGACTAACTGGCAAAACCTAGGTCATATCTGCTGGATCTCAAGGGAAATACTTCTGGTTTGTCATCATATTTCTCTATACACTGCCCAAGAATGGCGTCTGATAACCTGCGAAGGCTTGAACTAGATCAGGCCCCCCATCCCGTCATGCACCTTGGAATGACTGGTAGGTAGTTCGTCCTTTTCCCGATGACGCACTCGCTCATATCGATAGGCTGGGTGCATATCAAGGGGCAACGTACTTCATACACTAGCTATTACAAGAAACAGAAAGCCGAGGAGGAAGGCCAATGGCCACCGAGGTTCTGGAAGTTCCACTTGGAGACCGAAGCTCCAGCAGTCGAAGTTGCCTTCACAGATCCTCGACGGCTTGGCCGAGTACGACTGGTTGATTGTCCCGGAAAGGACATCCGGAAATATTCTCCCTTGGTTGAGAACGGACCGGACCCAGTCGTAGACACTGACATCTTCACGGAAGAGTTCCTACGGCAGAAGATGAAGTCCCGACACGTCCCAATCAAAGCCTTGCTCCTCGACCAGACCACCCTCAGCGGAATTGGTAACTGGGTCGGTGACGAGGTCCTGTATCAGGCCAAGCTTCACCCGGAGCAATACTGTGACGAATTCAACGACGCCCAGACCAAAAAGTTGTACGAGTCGATCCGTTACGTATGCCAGGTATCGGTTGATAAGCTTGGTGATTCGGAAGAGTTTCCCAAGGACTGGATGTTTCACTACCGATGGGCCAATCGGCCGTCGGCACCAACCAGTCACTTGCCAAATGGAGAGAAGCTCGCGTTCCTCAAGGTGGGCGGGAGAACGAGCTGTTATGCCCCAGGCGTCCAGAAGAAGAGTGGCCATGTCGCGCCAGGAGTAAAGGAAGAGCCAATCGTGTCCGATAGCGAGGGCGAGGAGAAGAAGAGGAAGACGAAGAAGAACACCAAATCGAAGGCGCGGCACGAGGTAAAGGAAGAGAAGTCGGAGGATGATGGTGAAGAGCAACAGCCCCGAAAGAAGAAAAGAAAGGCTGGAAATCCCGTTACCAACAAGGCTCAGGCAACGGAGGCCAAGACGTCTAAGACGCCAGATACTCTTCAACAGCCAAACGGCGGTGGGGGCGGAAGGCGGTCAGGGAGACTCAGCGGGAAGGCGGCTTGAGTCTCAACCATTGTGAGATTGCAAGAACGAGCGCGACAAGCAACTGCGATCTAGCATTCTATGATTCGCAGGTGTCATCGGGCTGTGGGGGCAAGCAAGAAAGATACCTTTGTGGGAGACACGGTCAAACCATTGTCACTATTTGGGCAGGGCTGTTGGATGATCTTTTTATTGTATGCCAATATCATCAGAATTGGTCAAATGCAAGTTTATGGTTCCGACTCGACGCCGGGTGGGAAGGTCCCGAAAAGTGCCATTAGATGCTGAGAGTCGTTTGCAGTAAGTTTCTTTCCATCCTCGGTTCCCTTCGCTAGCATACGGAAATCTAGTGGCGTGGTCAGCAAGGCTATGCCGTAGCTGCCTCTAGGTTCGGGAGAGCTGCAAGTACTTACAGTCGATGTAATATCCTGCAACAACAGAAGCGACTTAACACATGATCGGCGAGTCCAGGGAACGCGGCTTACCGGGCGTGGCGGTCATGAAGAACTCAGCATCCTCCTCGTCAGACGGGTTCTTGAACGTGTGGACGGCCCTCGGGGGCACGACCATGAGTTCCCCCGCCGAAGCGTCAACATTTCCATCCGGAGTCTCGAATCTGACAGTGCCTGGGACGGGCGGGGGGGGGCATGTCAGCACATGAATCCCAACGAGCGCTGGATCCTCTTCTATTCCCAACCTTTGGTCACCAGGAAGCATTCATCGTGGAAACGGTGCCAGTGCATCGGTGGGCCGCTTGCGCCCTTGGGCAGCTCAATGGTCACACATCCCACGCGGTTATCGGTGTTGCTGCCGTCTTCAAAAATATAGCACAACAGCGGGCCGAGCTTGATAACCTCGGCTGTCTCCTTTTTATAATGCTTGACTGAAACGGGGCCGCGAATTGGCATTTTGGCGATGGTAACTGATTCTCCTCGCCGGTTGACGTTGTAGGGAAGTTTGCCACCACGCTTGTCGGAGGTCCGGGGAAGGTTGACACCTTCAGCCTCCAGCCATGCTGCCGGTAATTGTGCTACCTCTGTCACAGCCTCGCAGGTAATTACACCTCTGGTATAATATTCTTCTAGAATTATACACACACCTACCGGGCTTACAACCGATTGGACGGCTGCAATTCCCGGAACCGCTCCGGTTTATGAGTGATCGTTTATACATGGTTCGTACTGCCCCGTTCATCCTTCGCTGGCTAAAGGCGACTGTTGTCTGGGTAATCCATCTCGACCAGGTACCAGTACTTTGCCTGATCTCGAAACTCCAATTCCTCCCCGCATTTCCCAAGAGGGCGGGAGCGCCGAGTGACGAAGCGGTCTACCTCCCCACGTGCTCCCTTCACCTCAGGTGGTTAATATCGAAGCTCGATTTGAACCACGAGCTGTTTGTCAGCCGCACCTTCACACTCAAGCTTTCTTCCCTACCTGGGACTTGGAGAGCCTCGCCCCTCGACTTCCCGAATCATTGGCCGTTTTCAATGGATTTTGAGCTGTCTCAAAGTGTCCAGCCTTGAGCGACTCAACTTCGCACTCAGCAGTGTCTTAGCTCATATAGAATCTAGTGATCTTTCCCTATGCGTCCCAGAAGATATTTCTCTCCACTCTCTGAGTATATAGTCCCACGTCTGCCCTGAGGCTCTGCCGGGTCCACTTCAAGGAATTGCACCTACTTTTTAGCCGGCCCTCTTCAAATAGGCTCAACGAACCGCTGAGCTCCGGAGTGGGTGAGTCTATGGGCTCAGTCTGGACTCATCCTCCTCATGAAGGCAACCATGGGCAGGCTGGCACGAGATGCCCCCCCTCCTCCGCATCCATCTGCCACTCGGGATACGGCACTCCCTTAGGGGAACTATGGGGATGTCGGGGAACGGCGCTGCCTGAGATACACTTCTGCAAGGGAAATAGTGCGACCGATGCCAGGTACTGAAATTCAGATACTCCATTGGAGTACATTGGGATCCGTATGACCGAGATCTCCTCACTGGACTTGTGAACCGATGCCGGGTACACTGAGATCCATGTGACCGAGATCTCCTCGCTGGATTTAGGTGCCGATGCCAGGTATACTGAAATTCAGACAATCCATTTGGAGTGGCATGGGGATCCGTATGGCCGAGATCTTCTCGCTGGATTCGTCAACCGATGTGGTCATGGCTCTTAGGGCCACCTTACCAAGGCAGCAATGGCAGAAGGCCTAGCTAGAAAGTGCCGCTGTGAACAGAAAGCCCTATATCGATATGGAGATGGTCGTCTGAAGATGAAGATTATCTATAAAGGGGATTCCCCAGATCCCCCTCTTCGAAGGAGGCAGGCACACAACAACCCCCTACCGACCCCTCAACACCAGATCTTCAGTCAAGATCTCAAGCTGTTCAGATAAGCATTTGCTATAGTTGATAAGATGATTGCCAAGTTCGCCGTCCTCGCCGCCCTGCTCGGCGCTGCCACTGCGCAGCAAGTGGGCACTTCGACCGCCGAGACCCATCCCAAGATGACCTGGCAGAAGTGCACCGCTCCTGGTTCCTGCACGACGGTGAACGGCGAGGTCACGATTGATGCCAACTGGCGTTGGGTACACAACACGGGAGGGTATTACAACTGCTACACTGGTAACGATTGGAACAAGACCATTTGCTCTGACTCCAAGACTTGCGCGTCCAAGTGTGCTTTGGATGGTGCTGACTACAAGGCTACCTATGGTGCTGAGGCCAGCGGCAATTCGCTCAGCCTGACATTCGTTACTGAGGGGACATATGGTGAGAGACCTGATCTGCCTGTCCCTGAAGACTACCTCTTTGCCGTGCCCATGCTAACGAGGGCTATCGCTAAGCCACCAACATCGGATCTCGTCTCTATCTTATGGCTAACGAAAGCAAGTACGCCATGTTTACGCTCCTCGGAAACGAGTTCACCTTCGACGTGGATGTCTCCAACCTTGGGTAAGCCATGGCCACCTTTCCAGATCGAAGTATTTGGTGATGAGAGCGAGTTCTCCTTGGCCACAAGCTAACCGGACCGGAGGTAAAGGTGCGGTCTTAACGGGGCCCTGTACTTCGTCTCCATGGACGAGGACGGTGGTATGTCCAAGTACTCCGCCAACAAGGCCGGCGCCAAGTACGGAACCGGCTACTGCGATGCTCAGTGCCCGCGTGATCTGAAGTTCATCAACGGGGAGGCGAACTCGGCCCAATGGTCGCCTTCGTCCAACGACAAGAACGCCGGTGTCGGTCAATACGGCTCCTGCTGCACTGAGATGGACATCTGGTAAGGCCCCCTTCTCCCTTCACTAGTAACCCCCTATCTTAGCCGAGCGCTTGCTCACTGTTTTATAAGGGAGGCCAACTCCATCTCCACCGCCTACACCCCTCACCCATGCTCCACTGTCGGCCAGCACCGCTGCGAGGGAGACAATTGCGGCGGCACCTACTCTTCGGCCCGGTACTCCGGCACCTGCGACCCTGACGGCTGCGACTTCAACTCGTACCGGCAAGGCGTCAAGGACTTCTACGGTCCCGGCATGACCGTCGACACCAAGTCCAAATTCACCATTGTCACGCAGTTCATCAAGGGCGACGACGGCAACCTTAGCGAGATCAAGCGCTTCTATGTCCAAAACGGCAAGACGATCCCCAACTCGGAGTCGACCATTCCCGGCACCTCGGGCAACTCGGTCAACCCCGACTTCTGCAAGGCCCAGAAGGTTGCCTTCGGCGACGGCGACCACTTCAACGACATGGGCGGCTTCGCCCAGTTCAGCAAGGGCGTTGCCGCCCCAATGGTCCTGGTCATGTCTCTCTGGGACGACGTAAGTGTCTTCCTACATCTGCACCCCCGCTCCAGGCCTTTGTTGCTCACATACTCTGCCCTAGCACTACGCCAACATGCTCTGGCTCGACTCCACCTACCCGACCGACGCCTCTCCCGATGACCCGGGCAAGGGCCGTGGTACCTGCGACACCAGCTCGGGTGTTCCCAGCGACACTGAGACTAGCCAGGCCAACAACAAGGTCATCTACTGTAAGTCTCATGGACCCCTCGACTCCCCTTTGCCGAATTCGCGCTGGCTGGTTGCAAAAATATGCTGACACATCTTATCTCGCAGCCAACATTAAGTTCGGCCCTATCAATTCCACCTTCTCGGCTTAAGCAACCATGGAGATTCCACTTGGAATCTTCAGTATAACCCCTGGGGGGTGGGTGCTTGGTCGGAGGGACGTGAGCTGGGGAGGAGACTTGTCATTGGGATGAGAAAAGGCCTCATACATGAACCACCCCGGCCATGGAACCTGACGAGTTGTATTTCCAGGGGAAACCCAAGTTATTCATAGTTTATAGTTTCTTGTGACTAGTTGGGCCGACGGCGAGGGCCTTGTCTCTAGAGCAGAAATAATGCTGTCCTTACCTTTGACTGCATCTTGGGTGTGTCTGGCTTGACGATGCAGTGCTTGTGGTGGTAAGAAGGCTTGTGTGGTGGACAGCATGTTCATGTGGCACATAAATCAAGTATTAATAAAGACGTAACTTTACAGCTTGAGATCAAATCTAGGCCTATTCAGTACCCGGGCAAATCACTCCCCCCCTTCTCCTCCTCCTCTTTCTTCTCGCACAGGAAGCCAACACAGTAATTATACTCCTCACTCTTCCAGCGAAGGGGTATCAAGGTCAAGATATTAACAAACGCCTCCCCGTTCTTCTTGAAGTTGACCACCTCGACCTGCAGCTCCTCGTTCCCGTCCACCGCCTCGTGCATCCGCCAGCGCACGGCAGCAGCAGCAGCAGCAGCAGCAGCAGCAGCAGAATCCGCGTCACCGCCGCCGCCGTAGTCGTCATCATCGTGGACCCTCCGACGCCGCTGCCGGATGCCGGGGGGCGGCGCCTGGAGGAAGCGGCAGTTCCTCCCGACGACCTCCGAGGCACCGTAGCCCGTCAGGGACGTGAACGCGTCGGAGGCGTAGACGACGGGGTAGTCCGGCTGCCGCAGGTCGCATAAAGTGAGGGCGCAGGAGGCGTCGACGGCGCCGAGGTCGACTTGCGGGTTTGGTCGGGCGATGATGTGAAGCTGGGTTGGGAGTGGGAGGGGGTGTCTTAGTGTTAGTCTCCTGGTTTGTTTTGGAGGAGAGGAGATGATATTGGAGTCGAAGATCTGGGGATCAGGGCTGAGGATGCCGCATAGATGCTAGTAGAGGTGCTGGAACAGAGACGCCTACCAGGATACCGACTATATCAAAGCCAGTTGAGGAGTAAAGCCCGGGGTAGATGAGAGGGATGTCCGTCGAACATGTGACGGCGGTTCGGGGAGCTATCGCCGTTGTGACCCTACCATCTGTATAGCTCAGGTTTTGATACTGGAAGAGGAGACGGTGAGATACGAAGCTTCTCGACGAATCCCCTGTGCACAACTGAAGTGCTTTGGTCAGGAGAGAGACTCACCTGGAGCATGCGTGATTCCCAGGGGTTCATTCTCGAGGGGGCTGAAGTGTACCCCCGAGGCTGAGTTTGCGACTGCATCCAGCGAGTATCTTGGTGTTGCTCTTAGCAATCCGGTTAGGGGTGATATAGCGTAGAAAGACCTTGTCGGAGGCGCAACAAAAGCAACGAGGACTGTGGCAGGAAGTCAAGAGATAGATAAACAAGTTGGGTCATGTCCAAATGCTTGTAGGGCTTCATATTCCTATTTGATTTGCAAGAAAGTACAAATATACGAGACATTCCGGTCGGTGGGGAGTAAGGAGTAAGTATAGGGGCTGAACAAAGGGGCCATTGGGAGAACTGGATATGAGAGCAAACTACGGATATACAAGATGCCCTCGTGGCCAGTAACCTCGATGATTCGATAGCAGTTCATGCGCGGAGGCTTCGATCGCAGAGCCTTCATGTAGGCAAAGCGATCGGTCCCGAGTACTACGCAGTTGGGCGCATGCCTCAAGGCCAAGGGGAGACACACTCTTATGTCTTAGACGGCGGGTTAGAGGCAGATGTGATCCGAATTCCGATACGACAGGGCACCCATCCGGATTCGGTTAGTGCTAGTGTCTACTATGCGTATATTTTGCTGAGGTGGATGGTCTACGATCGGGAGAAGGTACCAAGATCTGGATAGATCGCCCCACAACCACCAGTGTGAGCCTGTGAGGAAACTCGAGGCAAGACCAGACAAGAGCCGGAAAAGCGAAGCTGAGAGAGGCATGACATGCATGGCAGTACGGGGGACTCAGAAGGATACTTCCACGTCTCCGCCTTCATAAATCCGCTTGTGACTTGCTGCTCCGTCATGAGGCCATGTTAGCCGGTGTGGTTGTTGAAGATTTGGCTGGCCGTCGAGCAACCCTAACCCTTGCGATGTCATTTCCAAATGCTCCGAGGCTAGTTGCATAACTCCCTTAATGCGACTTCCTACCTAGGTACCGAGGGTATAAGTTAATTAAGGCTACCTAGGTATGCAGGTACGTACCTAGTGCCCCGCAAACGCGACTTCTAAAGCCAGGCGCGTCTGCTAAATGAACGATCCTCGCAAAGTGGTCAGCATACCAAGATATTTGGATATTTTCGGCCTTCCCATCTCGCCTTTTGATTTTGACCGTCTCCTGCAAGGCCACGACGCATATTGAGTTGCACCTCAACCTACCGTATCTTGGCGTTCCCCCACCTCAACCCATCCGAGTTTGCGGCAACTGAAGGCCGATCCAGGACAGTGTCGTTAGCCAATACTCGCCATGCCTCGACTTCTGCAAAACTCCAGACGTACGAGGCCCCCTCCTGCTTCCGGTGCTTCCGGTGCTTCGACTGCCACATCTGCACATAATGGACCGGTGGAATTACCCCCCTACGAGGCCCCGTCGTTCCCCATGAACGACACAGCAAAGCGGGCACTCCTCGAGATTTCGAACAATCGTGATACAAGGAAATACGAGCAGCACCTGACCAAATCTATCGCCCTACTGAGAGACAGTGTTGGTGTCACAAATGACCGCCTCCGTTTCAGGACGGACCATGTTGAGCAGTTTCAGGCACGACGGACGGAACGTGGTGAAGATCAGAAATCGGCTGTTGAGATAGCGACAGAGGAGTGCGCCGAGAAGCTTGGCGATGAAGTGCCTGCCCTGACAAGCCGAGCGGAGGCGGCTTTGCGCGAGGTTATTGATTATCGGGCTGAGTTGGAGGACGAAAGGGCCGTTCTCGATGAAGTGTACAACCAGGTGCGGGCACAACTGCCCAGGCAGCCCCGGCCCGAGAAACGGCGAAAAGTGCAGCGTGTTGGCCCTGGTAGCGACGGGGACGACGACGATGCTGACGACAATGCGGAGGCGCAAGCGGAAGAAGAGGATGCTGAGATGGAGGACCCCGAGGACAAGATACCTTTCACTGGAGCCAGTGAGCTCCTCGAGTCGATTCGACAATCCAAAGCGAGCGAATACGGCAATTTGAGTATGTACGAGAGATACGGTTTGAATAACGACTACATCTCTTTCAAGAGGACTTTGCACGATGCCCTATACCAAGACGACGTCCCCCTCCCTGATGCGTCGACTTGGTTTGGTCCGGATGGCCGTCCTGCTGTTGATACCATTAACAGCCGGAACAAATCCGCCAAGAAAGAATCTGGCGAAGGGGAAGAGGACCTCGTCATCGAGCGAGAGGTGCTCAGCTTCAGGTGCCCCCTGACTCTGCAAACCATGACCGAGCCATACACCAGCCGCGTTTGCAAGCACACATTCGAGAAAGCTGCCATCTTGGTCTTCATACGCGACAACCGAGGAAAATGCAAATGCCCCGTGTGTCCCTCGGTAAGCCATCATGATATCCAGGACCCCTTCCGTAAGCATGTCTAACATATTCGACCTAGGAAATCCAAGCGAAAGACTTGTTTCTGGATGAGATCATGCAGCGCAAGATCCAAAGGTCTCAGAAAGCAGCAAAGGAGAACGTGGATCGCACCTCGGACGTGGAACCCGATGATGATGATGGTGACGAGAGTGTGTGTGTTGGGAGGTCGACACAGGTAAAGCGAGAGAGGGGCCGGAGGCGTCGAGTTGTAGACGACGTAGAGGATGAGGAGGATGAGGAAGGTGAGGAAGGTGAGGACGGTGAGGAGGATGAGGAGGATGAGGAAGAGGCTTGATGCGGCCCGAACAAGCTTGACGAGAAGAGCAGTCCAGGTAAATTCACCTGGTCTTTACCCATCGGCTCGCTGAGCGAGCTATAACACGAGCAGTAACGAGACAAACGTATGGTTATAGTTGCTTTTGAAATGCACTCCGGATCCTCTTGTGAAGGGAACGGGCTTGCAAACGCCAGCTTCTGAACTCAGCCCATAGTCTGCAAAAAGAACCCAAACGCCAGGCTTCACCCCGCCCCATTTCATGGTATCACGCATACAAGCCATTCGGATCGTCATCCTCCTCATCATCCTCCACCACGACCTCTTTCTTCTTCGTCAAATCCTTCCGACACAACGGACAGTTCCCCTTGCTCAGCAGCCACGGCCCCACGCATTCCAGGTCAAAACGGTGGCTGTGGTGGCACGGCAGCTCGACTACCAGGCAGTACTGGTCGTCCAGGTACTTCTCGGCGCATATCGGGCAGGCCTCGTCCTCCTTGACCTGCTTCCGGGGGACGCGGTCCAGCCCGTCCAGGTACTGCTGTGACACGCCCTGGATCCGGGTGGGCGGGTTCGAGATGTCGTCCTCGAGCGACTCGAACAGCTGCCGGAGGAAGTCGCGGTTGGCCTCGGTGGGCGCCGTCATGGCCAGAGTGCCCATCTGGTCCTGCAGCAGCCGGAACAGCGCCGCGAGGTCGACCGGGTTCGGAGTGGCGTGCGGGTTGTGGTGCCGCGGGGCCGATGCCGTGTCGTCGGTCGAGAGCTGGTGTAGGTGCGACGTGAACGTGGACATGTCGACCTGGCGACGCCGGCGGCCACCGGACTCGGCGGTGGGCTTGATATTATGCTCGACTGGGTGGGGAGGAAAGGAGAAGTGTTAGCCTTGTGTATTTTTCAAGCTGGACGGAGCATGGAAACAGAGGACCGACATACCTTCGTACTGAGTAGCCATCTTGATTGCTTTAGCGACGGTTGTTTCTTGCGGGGTTCCCTATGTTTTGTAGACGTTCATTCCGCTAATGGGTGGTGGATCTGGTGAATCTGGTGATTCTTGAGGCAATGCCGATATTATGATCTTCTACCCTCCATTGTCTTCTCTCCAGGCACGCCGGTGACGCGAGCTCTTGTTGGCCAATGCGCCGGTCAGCTCAATCGAGGGGTCCTTTTAAGCTAAGCGGGGATGGCCTTAGGCGGGGTTGACGCACGTACCATCGTTATTCCTTGAGTACCTAGGTTTATTAGGTTCCCGCCATCTCCAGCTTCGGACGAACCTACCTATCGCAAGCTTCAGTACAAAACCCTGTCAGTATCCCGACCGCAACTTTTGTAAGGCGCCAATTTCTACATCTTTGTCTTATTCTCCAGTCGCCCAACGCTGTGCTAGGCCCAGATCCCCCCAAAAAGCAATGGCGCAGCTCGCGCCCCCAGCGCCGCCCCTCCTCCTCACCAAGCGGGTGACCTCGTTCCTGCACGCCAACCTCTCGGCGCACATCCACACCGCGGCGCTGACGACGCCCTCGGGCCGCCTGCTGGCACACGCGTCGCTGTCGTCGTCGGCCCGCGCCCTGCGCCGCCAGTGCGCCGTCGCCGCCTCGCTGTGGGCCATCCACGGCCCGTCCTCGCGCCTCGCCGACGCCGCCGAGGCCGCGCTGCCAAAGACCTGCAGCTCCACCCCGGGCGGCGCCGGGGCCGTTGCCAGGGCCGTCACCGTCCAGCTCGCGGGCGGCGCCGTCTTCGTCGTGCGCGCCCTGCGCTGCGGCATCCTGTTTGTGGCCGTCGGAGGGGGCGGCGGCGGGGCGTCAACGCCGGGGTCGGACCGGCCGGTCGGATCGTCCCCGCGGGGGGAGGGCTCGGGTGTGCTGCCGCATCTTGGGGTCCGCGAGCTGCCGCTGGCCCACCAGGGGAACGCGGGCCCCGCCGTGGTGACGGTCAGGCCGCCGTCCAGCCCGCCGCTGGGGTCGCCGTCGGAGGCGGAGAGCGTCCTCAGCGCGGGCACGGGGGCCGGGGCGAGCGTCGTCAGCCATGCGACGAGCAGCGCGGGCGGCGGCGGCAGTTCCGGGAGCGGCAGTGCGGCGACGGTGCTGGCTACGCGGAGGCAGGCCGAGGAGTTGGCGCGGTGGCTTGACGAGAAGCTCGGGACGCTGTCCGTGCCTGAAGAGATAATCGGGCCTGGATGGGATGCTCGGTAGGGATGGAACATGGTCAGGGGCATGCCGAGGACGATGCGGGACCGATTTGAAGTTAATGTGCCCTGGATGGGAAGGGGGCGGTGGCCACATGGTGGAAAGCAATCGGACATTCGAGCATCGACAGGTCGAGATCCAAAAAGCCAGGCCACGCGGGCGCGTCAGAGGTGGTTGCCGATGGGTGTTTGGTGTTATGTGCGTAGCAGGCAGGCAAAGGTAGCCTTTCTTGTCAACTGTTTGGCATGGCATTCCAAGAGCGGGCAATTTGGATATAGGGAATTAGTTGGCCGGCGGATGGGTCTTGTCCTCGAGACGTCTGGGCAGCGCGCCCTTACTCTCGGAGATCGAACGGCTGCAAAATGCTGCGAACAAATCCGCCGTGTAATGGAGGAGATCGAACGCTGCGCAGTTACGCCTACAGTGGCGTCAGGACGAGCAAACTAAATGCTGCCCAACCTACATTGAGACATGATGTCTTCCCACCCACCCTGGACGGAGCGCACAACGAAGCCGAGGAAATAGATGACCTTCTTAGTTTCAAAATTATAACTAAATCGCTAATGTATATACCTAGTCATATACAGGATATTACCTGCCGATTGGCAGAAGAGGCTGAAGGAGTGTCATGTCCCATGCCCATATACACAAACTCTCTCACACGAGCGGCCAATGTATGCCTTCCTCCCCATCAAGCAATGGCAAAGAATGCGCCACTCACGGCTGACAGCGCAATGGTCAGCGAAACTAGCAGCAGCCCATTCTCCCCCCTCGCCACGCCCATGCCCGCCGCGGCATTGGGGCTGTTCTTGCTCGTCGACGTCACCAGCGTGCCGCCGCCGCCGCCGCCCGTGCTGGTGCCGCCCCCACCGCCGCCCGTGCCGCTGGCCGAGACCTCTGCGCGGCGCAGGACGTAGATCTCGCCCGTCGCATCGCTGGTCATGAAGATGCGACCCTCGCCGTCGATGGCCAGGCCCGCGGGCCGGAAGCAGGCGCCCGGACAGGCCGAGTTGTCGCCGTTGCTGAGGACGTCGACGGCCGCCTTGGTGCTGTCGGCGGGCTCGACGGGCTCGCCGCCGGCGAAGGACACGGCAGAGAGCTTGTAGCCCGCCGGCTTGTTGCGGTTCCAGCTGCCGTGGAAGGTGATGTACGCGAGGCTGCCGTCCTTGGTGAACTTGATGTCCAGGGGGGCCATGTGGGCCTTTGGTTCGGGGGGGGGGGGGGGGGGAGAAAAACCTAAGTGTTAGCTGGCTGTGCCATCTATTTTGGGGCATAGGGCATAGGGCCTTAGTTGGTGTCTTGGGCTTACCTGGAAGGTCAACCGTGGCGCGACATAGTCGTCGGCACAGGTTGTATCATTCAGAGTAGCGCTTTGCTCGAGCGCGAACTGGCTCCCCACCTTCATGCCGCCAACATCTGGGACGTTCTTATTCCACAACGCAAAGCAGTGGGGATACCCGTAATTGCCGCCCTGGCTCTCCGTCGACCCGTTCAGGAAGCCGTGGAAGTTCATCTCCTCGCCCGGGTTGTCCTCGTGGATGTCTTTGCCCGACCGCTGCAGCTGGTCGGCACTGTTCTCGACGCTGTAGATGCCACCTGTGACGGGATGCTCGGCCACGCCGACCGAGTTGCGGAGCCCCCAACCTATCAACTTGCCCTGGCTCGGGTAGTCGTATGGCTTCCCATCGGCGGCGTCCGAGATGTTGAATGCGCGGATCTCCGAGCGGCCCGTCGAGAGCTCTGCTGCGCCCTCGTCCATGTTCTCGGCACTGCCGCGCGAAACTAGGAGCATACCCGGCGCCTTGCGGGAGAGGAGGAGCGTACGGGTTACATGATCCGAATTGCTCATGTTCCCTACTAATGTCTGCTTAGTGTCGCTGACAGATATCGCCTCCGGGTCGTATGCCCAGGAGTAGACCTCATTTGAGGATGAGGCGTAGAGTGTCCGACCGTCGCCTGACAGCTCAATTCCATGGTTGAGCTATATCGGATTTGTCAGTGTCAGGCCCTGCATAGTATAATATGGGGCTTCTTACGTTGGAATCGTCGATGAGCTTAGTGGTCTTCTTTACCACAAGACAGGTACCTCCATTATCAGAGAATGTGACGTGGACGATACCAGTTCCTTGCTGAACAACGAGCAATGCTCCATTCGAGTCGAACAAGAGACCGCGGGGTTTCTTGAGCCCTTTAACAATCAGTTGCGCAACATATCCGCTTCCAACCACCGGCGCCGAATATGATGGGGTTAAGACGGTCGGGCAGGCACCTGAGGCCGAAGATGTCGAGGTCTGGGTTTGGCAGCGGCCGGAGTGGAGCAGAGCTGCAATAACAGCTAGTCGCAGGTGTTGGTAGAACATCTCTTATCTATGTCGTTCGTATGAAGCTATCGTCGACGTGATTGATTGTTACGAGACTTGTGAGGCTGGAAGCGATCCAATTTTCTTTATGAAGAAGAACAAGCGCAAATATGAAGCCGCCACATCCAATGATCTAAGCACGCATCTCTCGTCTGAGTTTCTCGACAGAGCGAACGCTATGCGATAAGCTCCCATGGTGCGAGTAAATATTGGCAAACTTCTGAAACGCACCCAACCTCTACAATTGGTAGATCCAAGAAGCTATGACCCTTGGCTCGCGACCCCTCCATCTGGTTGTACAGCCATCTTGACATGATGTCACAGCATCCATGGATCCTGATTTCGCATTGCCTGAAACTGAACTGCTGCCAGCCTGCCAATAGAACGAGCCTCTATAGCCTTGGCAAAGAGTAAAGCTATGCGTAAGGCTTAAGATATCGACAACCTAATCAAAGACGAGGTCTAAAAGTCAATAAGGATCAATGGGGAGGTTGCCTGCACAGCCCATCATTAGACGCCGCTTGGCGAATATTTGCAGCACCGTCCGGATACCTATTTCAACTGCAATGATAGCCAACTTGTCACCAGTTCCCAAGAACCAACCGACTCAACTGGCGATGTCGAGATCCTAGTCCGGGAAACTTGGTTACGATCTGTCGCCAAGAATAGCCGCGTCATGGCACAACCATAACTAACCACCAGCTGAGCTCTCAGGGGCAGGAACGGTGACCGGCTGGGCGGCAGTCCGTTGCCGGAACTCCTCCCAGTCCCATTGAACCTCAGCAGCAAGTTCCGAGATGCGTCCCCTGCCGTACTCCCGTATCTTCTCTGCCTCGGCATTTCTGCCCACCTTGTCCAGGAGTTCGGTGAGCTTGAACATGGCGAACTGTATGGCGTCTTCGTCTCCGCTGTACGTCGACATTCTCAGCGAGAGACGATGATAAGCTTCGGCCGCCACCATATCCCCCCTCTTCTCTTCTATGATGGCCGCAAAGCACCAATGTCGAGAAGCGTCGGCATGGCTCGAATCAGTATAGGTGTGTTCCACCGCGCGGAGAGCTTCCTGGGCCTCGTTAAACTTGCCCTGATCTCTCTTCATCTGGCTGATTTTCCATGCATAAAGTCGCTGGTGTCTGAGAACCCAGGGGTAGAGCTTCGCATCGTGCGGGATTTTGTCGAGCTCTTTCTTGATACTCCGGACTTGGTCTGGGGTATCCTCCTTGACGACGGAAGCCCCATACCGGTCCCAATAGACCTCGAGGCTCAAGTTGCTCCCCGGCCCGAACAACTCGTCAGACTGCTCGATCATCAAGTCGTATATCCTCGGAAGTACCTCATCGTATTTCTCTACCTCAAGCCCGCCGAGCCGTCTAAGAACGACGGGGAGTTTGGTATTACTCTGGCTGATGGAGTCTGCCTGGCTCTGAATGTATTTCCGGAATATGTTTAATGTGTCCCGCTGGCCGCGCCGGTCAAGACGGGAGAAGACTGCCATCAAAAGAGAAAGAACCCTCGGAACGTTGAGCGAGACGGCCGTCGCAGTCGAGCGGAAGGCCAGGTCCAGCAATCTGAAAGCCCCCGAGAAATCGGACCGGGACAGAAGATCTGCCGCAGCGAAGAATTTGGCGAGGATGTCATCAATGGCTTCCGAAGCGCGGCGTCCAGCATTGGCCCCGACCACGACGCCTTCATCGTCAATGCTCCAGCTGCCTGAGTCCCGGGAAGACCGCAAGTAATCCCTGCAATCGGCAAGTACGAGTTCCGTCTCTGTCAGGGTGCCTGGGACCCGCCAGACAGACTCGGGCGGCGGTGGGGGGGTCACACAAGTGACCCGTACGAACTCCTCGGGATTGGGCCGGTGGCCACGGTGATAACGAGTAAGCAGATGGGGCTTCCTCTTGAGATAGCGCTGGATGTTCGTCTCGTTCACTCGCTTGCCCATGATCCAGTACTCAGACTGCTTGCCCTGGGCTCCCCGCTGAGCCTTGAGATGGAGGATGGCGAGGACATCTTCATCGTTGAGTCGCTTGCCGATATCCCATTCTTTGATCTTTGTCTTGTAAATCTTTACCCTTGGATGAAATGAGATTTATTGCCCTTCGATTGGCCAATGCTGTAGGGTTTCTGACTTACGTGGAGAAGAAGTTATGATCTCGTTCCATGATCTTCATGACATCTTCCAACTCCTTCTCCCGATACAGTCCAATGATGGTCTGCTTCTGGGCGGCCCATTCCTCCGAAGTTGCCCACCGCTTCTTGGATACAACAGAAGCCATAGCTCACCTGATATTGCCGGATTGGATTGATAGTGGATAAAGATTAGTTACTCAGACAGAGTGAAATACCACTCAAGGTTAGCTGTTAGCCAGATAAACAACACGAGGGGTTTATTTGGCATTTCGGCATCTTCGACCCCAGCTTGGCTTGCCGCCGACGTTCAAATACGAACAATGGCATATTAATTTGCCTTCTCCATGTGACCTTGAAAGGGCTGTGTAGCAGGGGTGCAGCATTCACACCATTCAGAACTCTGCCAGTACAGAGCACGGTTGCTGACAGAAACCGTCAGCAATTTTGGCCCCCCTTTTCCCCGTAGGGCTGGGTTACTAATGCCATAGCGTTTGTAGGTAGGTATGTACAGGGTACCGGCAGGCATTTGGTGGGGAACATTTCGATGGAGCCATCCCCTATCATGACGTCACGCCATCGACGTTCCAGCATGGGAAGGGAACAAACAGATGAAGAGGGAGGAGGGAAGGGGTACCTATGCCATCATTACTGACAGAACTTAGGTGTGTGGCTACCTAGACACAACCGACCACAAAAATAACCTACCACGATACTCCAATCAACCCAATTGCAAAGAGAGAGAAAACATGTCCTCCCTTCTACCCATCCGCGCCCTCCACGACGCAACCCACATCCGGCCATTCGCCCTCTCGCTAAACCACAACCTCTCCCTCCTCACCCGCCGCTCGCCCCCTCGGCGAGCCTACCACCCCACCCCGGCGCCCCGCCTGCCCTACAAGGACAGCCAGGACCGGCAGTCCCTCAAGCCGCGCACCAACGGCAGCAGCAAGGGCCCGTCGGACGAGGAGATCGCCTCGGGCGTCGGCGCGTCGTACTCACGCGACGCAACCGAGCCCGGGTCCGAGACCGAGACCGCCAAGCGCGACTCCGCCGACGGCGTCAACCCGCTCGAGATGACCGGCGCGAACCAGGAGTTCTCCAAGCCGCAGGGCGACGGCGGTGCCGCCGAGAACCGCGCCGGCACGGACAAGAAGCGGACGAGCGGCGCCGGGAATAAGGGGAAGAAGGGGAAGGCCGTGTAGCAGAGAGATCGGCCGGGGTGGGTTTCGGGGAAAGGAGAGAAGAGGGGTGGGGAGAGAGGGAGCTTCGGAGGGTGACTGGGCATCTGTCAGCCCTCGACCGCCACAATGTCATGCGAGATAATGCATCCTCCCGCGCATACTCGGTTGTCTGTATAATATAAGGGAAATACATAACCACGATGTCTCAATTTTGAAACTTAGGACGATAGGCTTGCGCTCTCCCTTTACCGCTGGTCGAAGCGGCTTTTGTCCTGTGCGTATTAAAAATTGGATTAAGTACTAAGTATATGTAGATACAGTAGAGGGGGGTATCATGTCTTGAGGTAATGGGGGTATTGCAAACTCGTGTGGGAGTAATGTGCATGGAGACGGGAGTCGTGATGGGAATGGATTGGGCCCTTGGCCCTAAATTGAGCTGCCGAGCTCACATGGAATTAGTCGACCTCCGCCAGATCATAAAGGCCGCGAGTGCGGCACATGCCGTAGCCCCCAGCGCGACGTACAAACTCGTCCGGTCGGGTGGTGGCTCCTCACTCTTCGGAAACGCGGTGCTGGGGTTTGTTGCAGCCTCTGCCAGGCCGACGAAAAGCTCACTGAGGCTGCTCCAGGTGACGCTGACATGCAGCGGGGTGGCCATGTTGATGCTGGACGTGTATGCGTCTGGCTGTAACTCGCTGCGTTGAGTCGTCTTATCTTTGTCTGCCTTCAGCGCGGTATAGATAGCAGGAAGCTCATCGAGCTGCGGAAAGCGTTTGCGCAGGTCCACAATATGAGAGAAGGAATCCGGGTCTGACGAGTCGTAGGCATAGCATATCAAGTCACAGGCATCCAGCTTCGCCTGATTCTCCAGAATGGCAGGCTCCAGTTCACCTAGCTCTTCCAGGATCAGATAGCACTGCTTCCCCCCATGAAGCTCCACGCTATTGACGGCACGCCGGGGCTTGATGGTAGGATGGTAGAGCGGGTCAAACGGCCTGTTGAGGAAGGCATCCAGAAGAGAGGATTTGCCAGCGACGGGGGCGCCGAGGATGTAGCACAGAATAACATTCCGTTCCACTCTCCCCGGTCGCCTCCGTCTCTTCCGCGCCTTGGTAATTTTGAGAGCCGCCGTGATCGGCTCGCGGGGGTTTGGCGCCTCAAAGCCAAGATATGCCAGATACTCCAGAGTCGTCTTGGGTTCGAGGAAAGTAGTCATGCTCCACTGAGCCAGCCAGCCCTGAAGGGTGATGTGGCCCCCTTCGTTTCGTACGGTGGAGGATGGGAAGGACGACTCAATCCATTGGGCAGGGAGACCGGGAGTTGGGGCAAATAGGGCTGACAATTCTTGGTCGTTAAGTCCGCCGTCGCTATCCTTGTCGAAAAGCAGAAATAGATCGACAAAAAAGCGATAGCCTGCAGGGCTGAGTTCGGCCGAAGTGTACTCGGGAACCTCGAACTTGGGGTGTAGGAAACTGTCCTCAAGACTTAGGCTGTCGGTATAATGATGCTTTCGGAGGATGGTCCATATGGTCTCATGGCGCCCTTTTTCTGCGTAGATCTTGTTCAGGTGGAGGAAGCCTTGGAGATTCAGCCCCTTTTCCACGTCGCAATCCGGGACCGCCTTGCTCAAGGACAGCTTAATGTTGTCGAGGTCATCTTGCGACAATGGCTTTTCGAAGGACTTGGCTTGAAAGTCGTGCATCTCTTCGTCGTTGAGATAGCCATCTTGGTCTTTGTCGCAGAGATAGAAGATCCTCCTCAAGGCATCCACGCAGGCAGGTTTTAGGTTGCCCTCCTTGTAGTCGAATAGCGGAGCGATCGGATGGGTGACGGCTTTCTGGCAGAGGAAGAAGACTTCGTTGACATTGCGGTGGTCCCTTGCGCTGGACCGGATGCATGAATCGATCTCCCTAAACTCGGCCATGACGGGGAGCATCTCTTCCTCGACAACCTGGGCAGTATTTCCATCGCCCGTCAGATCAGACTTGTTTGCGCAGAGCACGACGGGGACATTGACGCCGAGAGAGCGAAAGTAGGGCATCCAGAACAGGGCGACGCGTTCGTAGCTGTAGTGGTCCGAGTAGACAAGCAGGATGACATTGGACTTGCGGATCTCCTTGCGCAGCGTTGTGCGGTCCTGGGGACGGGCAGATGTGTCTACAATGGTTGTCGTGACGTTCTCTGGGGTCCCCAGGCCGGGAGGAATGGTGATCTGGGGCAGCACCGACTGGATCTTGTTCGCAACGAAGACATCCTTAACGAGGGAAGCGATGAGGCTGGACTTGCCAGTCCCTTCGTCTCCGCAGACGCAAACACGGACTGCAATCCAGAATTAGTCAATTAATTGCCTAGGCAGACTAGGGAACAGGTTGGAATGCGCACCCGTCGTCATATTGACCTCTCGGAAGGCTTGAGAAGCTACAGAGAAACCATGGCTCACAGCGGCGCTAGAGATGTTTTCCAATCAACCTTGGGAGGTCTCAACTTTTAATGGTTAAGACAAATAAAACAAACAAACCACTATCGACGGGTATCAGAGCGCCCAAGAAGGAAAACCGCGTTGTGGTCAACTGGTGATGTGATAAAGTTGCTGTCAGGTCATTCAGGTCCCGTCATTCCATCAGTGCGACTGACCCAGTCGCATTTTTCCGAGGGCTAGGATAATCCTGGGGACGGGTCACTGCCCCGCCTATCCCGTTGCGCTTCGAGTCCTCCACCACCCCATACGCTCGCTGGCTAAGTTAGGTTTAGCTAATAACCTAGGTGCAGGGATAGAGAAAGAGGGGTGCAGGAGCATAATGGAGACTGGCAAGACTGGCCAGCCCCCACGGCGACCTGGGGACTGAGAGCTAAACTTCTAATCCTAGTGTAGGCCGGCTTATCTGCTTGGTCAACTCCATCCCCTTCCTTTCCAGCTCGTACGTCCTCCCGAGTCCTCGACCAAAGACCAGACGAGACACCACCACCACTACTATCACCACGATTATACCCGCCTTGCCGTCGCGTACACACCCGAGTCTTGTGGCCACCGTTCCCTGTGCCACGTGCTGCTTCCGCTTCTGCTGGTGTTGTATCGAAACTCCCGCAGTCGAAAGCCATGTTGTGAGACCTGCCCGTTTAAATTTGTGCAATCAATGGCTCGCTTCAGCCCTGGCGCATTCAGGATGGCTGACCATTGTGCCTCTCCGCAGCGTCCTACCGCCTCCGCCGAGATATCCAACTCAGGCGTCCTACAATGCCGCTCTCGGCGCCGGGCATATCGCCCCGATGATCGAGACGAATAACATCCTCTCGAACCCGTCGGGGCCTGACTATCAATTCCTAGTTGGCGAGGGTAAGCCCTGAGACTGAGTATGTGCCCACCCGATGCCGTGCAGGGCTGACCTGTGATGCTAGGTCTCTACGTCCTCAAGGAAGACCTTCACCTTGCGACACCCCCGCCGCACCCATCCGAGGCACCCATAGTGAATCCCAATCCACTCGCCACGAACCCTCAGCCCGCAACGGCGGGGACCAAGCTATCGCTGATCAACCTCGACGTGCGACCGCTGCCCCCATCGTTCTACAAAGTTGCCTCCAGGTCCTCTGGCGGCTTGCAGCCAAGCATTCAGGAACATCCCAATGAGAGCCAATCCTCCACCGACATGCGCGAGAGCAGCGAGGCCGGGCGCATGAACTCGGGCGACCTGCCCCCGGTTTCAAATACTCCAGCGTTCGGGGAGGGAAGCACCTTACTGACACAGGGGAATCCAAAAGATGCTGGGAAGAGGAGGAAGCCCAAAAATAATATGACCAAGAGCAACTCCTCCTTCATATCACGGGTTATCTTGCACGAAATCTTCGCCAAAAGATTGCAAGACAGGCCTGCCGACGGCCTCTTCGCCTTTGCCAATATCAACCGGGCATTCCAATGGCTGGATCTCTCGTCTCCGACGAAGGTAGGGCGACCCCTTCCCAGGGTTAAACCAATGTGCAAAAGTTGAGTCATTGCGTAGGCGGAATACTTGACCAAGATACTATTCACCAAGGCGCATTGTTTGTGTCATGACGTTAACAGGTTCACCAAGAGCGCGACCCATATTGATGTCATCATGGGCTTCTCGACAGGTGAGATCATTTGGTGGGAACCGATATCACAACGATACACACGGCTCAATAAAAACGTAGGAGGCCATTGGATCTTATCGCCTAGCGAGGTTAGGAAGACGTTGAGCTGACCCAACTTAGGGCATCATCAATGGAACTCCCATGTCCGAGATTAGATGGATACCTGGCTCGGATACCCTTTTCCTCGCCGCCCATATGGACGGGTCACTTGTCGTGTACGACAAGGAGAAAGAAGACGCCCTCTTCTCCGTGGATGAAGAGGGATCAAAGGAAAACGGCGACTCAAATGGAACGAATGGTGTCCATCATGGAGTCCAGGGTGTCAACATCCAGGTCAACAAGTCTGTCAACTCGAAAAACCAGAGGACAAACCCAGTAGCTGTGTGGAAGCTGTCGAATCAGCGCATCAACGCTTTCGCCTTCTCCCCAGACAAACGCCATCTCGCTGTCGTTTCGGAGGATGGATCCTTGAGGATCATCGACTACTTGAAAGAAGAGTACGTGAACTTCCCCCGCCCCGCAGGTCCTGCAAACCTTGCTCACACTGGCTAGGCTGCTGAACCTCTTCTATTCTTACTACGGAGGCCTTACGTGTGTCTGCTGGTCGCCAGACGGAAAGTACGTCCTCACTGGTGGACAGGACGACCTCATTTCGATCTGGTGTCCATCCGAGTCGGCACTCATTGCGAGATGCCAGGGGCATCACTCGTGGGTAACCTCGGTGGCATTTGACCCTTGGAGATGTGACGACAAAAACTACCGGTTCGGAAGTGTTGGAGAGGACTGCAGGCTTTGCCTATGGGACTTCAGTGTTGGTATGCTCCACCGGCCGAGGGCTGCCTCGGTGCGCCAGAGAGGTGCAATGCCATCCCGGTTGGTGTCCTTGCAAAGAGGGGAGTCTCAGAGCACGCCAACGAGCCGCGTACGCTCAGACTCGAGTCTATCGGCCGAGGGAGAAGAGGAGAAATCGTTTCCTCACCCAGTAGAACCGAGATCAAGGACGGCGATGCTCCCTCCTGTTTTGGTATGTATGCCCCGATTCAAAATTGGCACTTGGACCTTTTAACAACGTGTTGCAGAGTAAAACAGTTGACAAGGACCCGCTATGCTGGCTGGAGTTCACCGAGGACTCGATAATAACTAGTTGCAAGTCAGGTACGTTTCACTACAGACTGGGAGCGCAAAACAAGGTTACTAAAACGCAATGTTAGGTCACGTACGGACATGGAATCGCCCGTCCGACAACCCGGATCTTCAGGCCAAAGAGAAAGCGCCCCTGGACGGCTAGCAGCTTCAGTTTGCTCTTCGTTCGAGACAGTAGGCGCTCTCCGTGTCGAAGCTGTTCTTGCATCGGTTCAAACGCCGCGTCCGTAATACCACCAGCAGGTGCGCTCCTCGGTTCCAATTCATGTCGCAGTCGATACTTTGCGGAGGTTTGGTCTACGACATTCTCGGTGGATGAAGAGGGCCATTGGGGATTCCCTTTCATGTGAACTCCGCAACCTGCGATTAATCTGTATATTTCATGTGCATAAACCAACTATTTTGATACTGAGCGTATATAACAATACCTACTTAGTAGTGTAACGGTTTTACTTTGCTAATAATGCCTAAGAACGTCAGGAGAAATCATGGGCTTGGCAGTTGGAATTTATGCATTCGGTCTAATGTGCAAATGATGGATTTTTGTCGCAACTTCAAAGTGGTGGGAATGAGTGGATGGATCTGTGGACCCAGAGACATGGATCGTCGGGTCGAGGCTGCTGCTTCCGGTCAGTCCCGTTCCCGATCAACCACAAGCCGGACTCTTATCGATTGATCGACAGGCTAGCAAGAGGCTCAACCGATCCGGCAAAGAATTGATGACTTCAGTTTGCATGTGAATTCTGCGCAATCCCACGTGTTGCATCCGGACGTGGCTTGTAATCTCCATGGATTGTAAGGCTGGCGTGAGCTACCGAACCGGGCCGATGATTAAACTTCATTTTCCATGCTGCACGCAGAGACTCCACCTATGTAGACCTTGCATCTCTTTGTAACTCCCATGGTAAAGCGATGGCTACTGTGCTAAATTTCCGATGACCTGTGTTTTCTCACCACTACCCAAACTACTAAGAGGCGGAGACCAACCAAGCCAACGGCTGTGAGGGACGTTGGCGCAATCAAAAGAGACACCGAAATGTGGCCATCCTTCATTGAACATTCTGTCAGCCCATGTTCGTATGCTTGTACTGCGTACCTAGCCTCAGAGCTCCCGTCCCTTAACCATAACCGATATTCGGAGGTAGAGCGGAACATTTGCGTCTACTGTGGGTGGGTCACACGGCTAGACGTCTGCCCTGACAGATTCAATTAATAACAACGCAATCAATAACTGCCAGCTTGAACTATTTATACGATTATTCAGCACCCAGGGCCCAGGGGCCGGTAACTGACGATCCTTGCGTCGACATGGCCTCATGGATGGTACTGTACATACAAGTACATGAATGGGTGCACCTGCGATATCCCTCAGCCCTGACTCGGCATGCAGCCACGCTAGGTAGGAATATCACCATTCGGAATAGCATTGCGCAGTTCACAGGATATTTCAGTCAAGTACCCCTCGTCCTCTTAAAGCTGAACCGCGGCCTGAAGGCTTCTACACTGTAGAACACACTTCCAAAAGTCTACGTGCAGGGGTTCAGGTTTGGGTCAGGCTGCCACACCATTAACCGTAGTCACATACAGAGGAGCAGTGGTAGTATGGCAGAAGTGAGACCTCCTCCTTTAGGAAACGTCGCAGGGTAGCCGTTGGCTCTGCCTCAATATTCCCGTTCAGCAACCGGGGTTGCCAACCGCATTCCAAATCCAGAAGCTGGTGATCAGCCACCTTTGTTGTCGTCATGTCGCGCCATCAAGGAGCTGCCACGAGCCCCGTGTCTAACACCCTGTGGACCGTGACTGCGGATTGTGATGTGTCAAAAACTGCCGCTGGGCGATGGGGCAACAATCGTGTGGTCTTTCGGGCATCCTCGCCAAACCTCAGGCTCTTTCCCTCCTTTTTCCAAGAGAGGATCTCCGCGGACCATTCCAAGGAGACGTTCCTGTCTTTTTTTAACAGACTCATCAGTCTTGACTCTTGGCGCTTCGTATTATTTTCTTGAGTCTGTGGCTGGGTCTTCGGGATATTGATAGCTCTTTTGTATGCATGTATGTAGGTACCGTGGGTGCATCCCGCTGAGGAAGGTCCTTGCAACTTATATAAGCAGGTGGTGCGGTACCTTCCACTGTCGGCTCCTGTAGTCCCACTTACTCCTACACTTAGAGAAACCGCCACAACCTGGCACTTCCAATAATAATACCGGCTTCGGCCATGCGTTTTTATCTGTCTCAGACATATCTGGTAGGTTTTCATCCTTGCTCCTTTCTTTCTTTCTTCCCTTCTGCCGTGTACGCTACCGCCGCCAAGGCAAGCTCGCCACATAGTGGGTCCATTTTTACCTTTAAACGGATCCGTAGGTACCTCTCTACGCGTAGTTTGGGACCCCACCTTTTGCCCTCATATGCCTTGCCTCTCCTTGGCTTCATGATGTTATCCCGTGGTCGGCCGTCATGAGACACTAGTAAGTCCCCACCGTCTCTTCTTGAGGCTGCTCCTGGCCTCGGTACCTGGATGGTTGGTGCTTGGTACTTGGTACCCTGCGCAATATGATGACTCAATGAGCTGGGCATGCCACTATGCCAATCTTTACGGGTCCAGCATACATATGCATACATGCGTTATCAGCTCGAGATGGCGCAAAACTTGCGTACTCCCGATATCTCCATGTAGTCACTGCTATTTTTTCTCAGCCTTCGCCTTCTGCTCAGAGTGACCTTCCCTATCTTCTCACACTCGCCAAGAGCCGCAGGATTTCTTCTCTTGGAAACACCTTCCTTCCGGAACAAACCTACATGTCTCCGTACATCCTTGCTCCGCTCCTATCCTACTCTCACCTGTCCACCTGCACTTGATCGCATTCTGTACTGCCGTATGGCGGTAATAGATTATATCTAATTCGGCACCGTCCGTCCTCGTCCAGTCCAACATATCCCCCCCACCCCATTCCCTGACAATGCTGTCGTCGTTCAACCCATTCAACTCGGTGACAGGGAGGAACGCCTTTACCCTATTTGACGTCCGGTACGTCTCGCCGCTGGCTTCTAACTGCTTCCCTGACATTCAATTTACTAACTCTTCAACCCAGCCTTGACAATGACTTCATTGTCTTTCGTGGGAATGAGCATGAGTCCTCTGGCCAATTGTTGAAGGGCATGGTTGTCTTGTGTTTGCCGTCGTCCCTGAAGATCGAGGATGTCCACCTCAGATTAACTGGTACTATGAGATTAACGTAAGTCAGGCGCATGTGTGGTCCTGTCCCTTCTTGTTCAAATTCCCCAGTTCCGCACTGACATGGAGGGTAATGCAGGTGGAGCGACTTGAGACCGACAGCCACAGGCGCATCGAATCAGAAAGTCGACAAGACAACAAGACAACAACAATCCTCACCCACAGATGGCGGCCGTTCGCAGGTATAGGTGCGCCGGACCCGTCATCTGGCCTACCAGCCACAAAGGGTGTCACGCTTGCTGCAGGGAACTATGAATGGCCTTTCGAGTTTATGTTGCCTGGAGACACATGTGAAAGCGTGGAGGGTATGCCCGAGGCAAGCATCACATACAAGCTAAAGGCAACTGTGGCAAGAGGAAAGCTGTCCTACGACTTGCATGCCTACAAGCGATTGCGGGTTATACGGACACTCGACTCCTCGGCACTCGAATTCCACCATGCTATGAGTGTGGAGAATATCTGGCCGAATAAGGTGGAATACTCGATTGTGGTGCCGCAGAAGGCTGTGGTTTTCGGCAGCTCTATACCGTTGGAGACGAGGTTTACACCGTTGTTGAAGGGGCTGGACATGGGCGACATCAAGATTAAGTTGGTCGAAGTTCACGACATCATACTGCGAGGGGCGGCCGGGCACACCTTGAGGCACCACAAGAAGGAGAGGGAAGTCGCTCATTGGACCTTGACGATGAACCGTGAGGAACATTGGCGTGATATGATTGAAGACACCGGCCAAGAAGGCTGGGTTTTGGATGCAGCTCTCGACTTGCCCAGGAGGCTCGGCAAGTGTGTGCAAGATGTCAATGCTCACGGGATCAAAGTTCGACACAAGCTCAAGTTGGTTGTGGCATTGAAGAATCCCGATGGCCATATCTCAGAGCTCCGGGCAACTCTCCCGGTTACCATATTCATCTCGCCAACCATGCCCTTGGACGAGGAAGGGAACCTTGTCCGTCAGTTACCGCCAGGAAGGACGCCCGAGTCGACCAACGCCATAATTGCCCCGCCGGGATATGGAGAGCATGTCCTTGACGAGCTCTACGACGATGTCGACGCCAGTGGAATGCAGACGCCAGGCGTTCAATCGGGGGTAAACAGCCCGTTCTACGCCCACTCTCATGCAGGCTCTGCCGAGAACCTGGCAGCAGCGCTGTCCAGTACGGCTGTTCCGCCAGCGGCTCTCTCGTCTAGGTTACAGAGCATGTCGCTAGAGTCATCGCACCGCAACATCTCGCTGCATTCCAGGGCTTCGGGCTCTGGAGGAGCCACGCCCCTTCATGCCAACGAGACCAGTCATTCATCGTCACAATCACACTCGGCGCCACTATCGCGCCGGGCCAGTGGCGAGCACTCATCAGGGTCCAATACCCCCGAGCACGTCGATTTCCCCGACCTTACCGAGCTGAGCAAAGTCCCGAGCTACCAGACAGCGGTGAGGACTCCCGTCCGCCCACTACAGATCGCCCAGGGTTCCGCACTGCCCAATTACGAGACCGCAATGAGCGCTCCGGGGTCTCCTATCCTCTCTCATACCCCGGTTGCGGACGTTCTGGCCATGATTCCCGAGGTGTCAAACGAACACCGAGAGCCCAGTCTAGGTGAACCCAGGCCGACTACAGGGAGAAGACGGCAGTCGTCACTCGGCCTTTCAGCGTATGCGGGTGACATGGACGAACGGAGACGGCTAATAATACTACGGGCGCGAGAGCGTTGAACGGTGTATATGTCCACGGCAATTTGTACTCTTTGCGATTTTGATTGAAACGTCGCCTTTCAAAGGCAGGTAGGAAGGCTGGAAACCAGCACCACACTTGGAGTTGAGGTACCGGACTCACGGCAGGTTGGAATTGGAAGGTCATAGACAGGGGACGGAGTTGGCGGCAGGTGATCAAATCTCTGTTGTTCATGTTCATGTTATGTTTTAGTATGATTTCGATACCCCCCTTAAATCGGCCCACAAGGTTCGAAGGGAAAAAAAACGATTTGAAGGAATCGGCGACCCCGGGTTAAGTGCTCCGCGGTGTACAGTGAGATTGACTCTCCAATTGAGGTGCTGCTGTTCTTGTGTATGCGACAGACAAGATCGAGCGTCCCGTTCACGCGGTTTGATGCACCATGTAAATCTGTGCATGGTATGCGGATCTCAGCTGGGGACGGAGAGTATTACGTCATGGCGGGCTGCTACTGGCTTCCATTTTCCCTTATCTAGCAAGGCCTGATCTTAAGCGATCGACGCCATGCCTTGGCAACCAAATCGCCCACTTTGCTATTGACCGCCCGATCTCTCATGCACGCCGAACTCATTATATACAGCGTAATATCTTCGCCGAGGTTATATAATAGCCACCTCTGACCATTGCCAGTTTCATATCCTCCAGCTTCAACTCCAAATCCCAAAACCTTCCGAAAAGTGCAATCTCGTGAAGACAAATTCTCACGCCAAAGCAAACAATCATGGCTCACCCCAAATCAGGAGTGGATCTCCCTTCGAGACAGGGCACTCAGGCCAGCACGTTCAGCGACGATGCCGTGCCAGAGACAGACCCTAGCAGCGTAAGCTTCCGGGTTCCTCCAAACTTACACAGTTCGGCTCTAACAGTCTTCCCCAGGCCGCTGGTCGACTTGCAGAAAGACTGCAGGCATGGAAACATGCTGTTGGCTACCTAGAGGAGTATATGGAGGCGGTGGAGAAGAGCCACAAGGCCCAGGCTAAAGAGTATGAGAAAGTCTTGAAGGTACGCAACCCGACCCTGACACGGCCCGGACAGGACCCATACTTACCCTCTCTTCCTACCCTTATACAGACCATTTCAAAGCCCCTTAAGGAGGGGCAACACTTTGACCAGAGCCTTGGTGGCATCGCCGGCTTCTTCGAGAACATGAGGGCCAATACCGAGTCGCTCGTCAACACCAACATAGAAACCGAGAAGAGCATCAAGGGCTCCGTCCTGCCCGTCCTAGAACGTCTGCACAAGGAGATCAAGAGCAAGGTCAAAGAGTTGGCGCATGGTGCGCAGAAGGGAGCCAAGGAGGTGGAGAAAGCTCGCAACACGACTCAGAAGCACATCGAGTTGCTCGGCCAGCACACGGCGTCCTTCGAGTCGACAGGAGGCAAGATGTCACCACATGACGACCCCTACGTGATTCAGCGCGGAGTGATCCACAGGCTCAATAAGCAGGTGCTGGAGGAGAACAATCAGCGAAACGACTTGATTGCGGTGCAGAACAACTTCCAGGCCTTCGAAACCCATGTCATCAGCGTGCTGCAGCAGGCTATGGAAGCATTTACCCAGTTTGTCGGAGGCCAGGCCGAGAAGACTCGGGCGCTATACAGCGACATGCTCGGCGCCGTTCAGCGGATCCCGCCAGACTTTGAATGGAAGGGATTCGTCACCCGCAACGCTGACACGCTCGTTAACCCCAATGACCCCCCGCGATCAGTAGAAAGCGTCCAGTTCCCGAATATGAACCACACCTCGACCAAGGCACTGATCGAGGGCAGCCTTGAGCGGAAGAGCCGAAACAAGCTGTCCTGGGGCTTCCAGACAGGCTACTACGTGATCACGCCGTCCAAGTTCCTCCACGAATTCAAGGATAGTGACAACCTGCGCAAGGATCCCACGCCCGAGTTGAGCATCTACCTGCCCGATGCCACCATCGGCTTGCCGAACGGGGAGAAGTTCCATGTTAAGGGCAAGGACAGGTCGAAGACGATGAGCAGCAAGCTAACTGGCGCGTCCGAACTCTCCTTCAAGGCGCACTCGGCCTCCGAGGCATCCAAGTGGTTCGAGGTGATCCGCTCGGTCGCCTCGGGCCCCGTCGAGCCCAGCTCCCCGGCCGTCACGACTCCAAGCCCGGGTCTCGAAGAGGGCAAGAAGCTCGAGGTAGACACTGGGGACCACAAGGGCCAGGAGGCGGGCGTCATCACGGGCGGGGAGACGGTCAGCAGCCCGACAGCCGTGTCACCTGCGTCGGCCGCGGCCACCAGCGCCACAGCGGCAACGGCCCCCACCGCGCCAACTACGGCTGATGCCGTGGAGGCCCCTGTCGAAAAGCCCCCGGTAGCGGCGTAAACGGGAGAGTGGGTTTGCGTCTCTGCACACCGACTGACAGGTCATACGAGGCTGTCGGCATACGACGAGGCGCGCTGGTGGTGGTGAGCGGTTGGTACACGTGTGCGGAGGTTATGCAAGCGATGCAACGAGAGTCTTGATTCTGATTGCGTGCGGAGTGCGTTACAAATATATCCATGGTCATGACGCTGCTAAGTTTTCCGATCCGATATCCCATCCACGTTTTGGCAAGGATTCTATGTTTTGTTCCTTCGCTGCTCTTTGTTAGTATGCTTAGTTACCCCTCACGTCTGTTTTCGAAGGGCCTGCTTCCTAATAAGCTGGATGCTCCCGCATAGGCAGAGGTGTGGAGGTACATAATATTTTGACAGCTAATCTATATTAATACACGGTGCTATTCGACGGAATATCTTACTGGGCTACAATCTTGCGACGCCCGACCCAATTGTCCCCCTGCGGCTGAGACCCAATAAAGCTTCTGCTTACCTGCCACCTTCGCTAACTGGACCTCGTTGGAGGTGTGACAGGTTTTTGCACGGCGTTGACCGGCGACTCTTCTGGGAGGGCACTCTGGCACTGTTGCTCACCGGTCCCGGCTGCCCGCTCTCGTCCACCTCTGACAAGCCGGGTACGGCCAGCGAACTGATCAATGCTAGAAACCCCCAGCTGTACCCTCAAAGAGCTCGGAGACAGGAGAGACGCAGCCACTGCAACATCCTTCACAGCGAGGGTGGGCCCCACGCTTACACGTGGGGTTGGGTAGCCCAGCGCAACGACTCGCCTCGCCAGAACTTGTAGGCAAATGCGATCGCATCTATATGTACCTACCAAGCCTGCCGGGCGGGAGGGGACCCTCCCGAGAGGTTCCTCTTGTCGCTACCATGGCGGGGGTGGCTCCATGGATGCGTGTGGTCAATTTTAGTCATGTTAATTCACCGAAACAGGGCGCCCTCCATTGGCTACGAAGGAATGGTGACGCAGCACTTTAACCACTAATCTAGAACTGGGGCTTGGAGGAGGCGGCGATGGTGCGAGAGGTGGAGGAGCTGAGGATCCCAGCCTTGTGAACTTAACACCAACCTCCCATTACAAGGCGTGCTTCCCATTGGGAATTGTTAAGTCCCAGGTTTAGAACACATATTTGGACCGCATACCCTATGTCCTACGTAAGGAGGCCTGGAATCTGAGGGGACAGTTGATACGTCTGTTTTCATTGTAGGACAACAGGCCCTCTCGCCCGCCCCCTTCCAAAGAAGCCGACGTGTATCTCGGATTGATCTCGACTCTTGCCTCACCGATCTCCTGGACAGTTTTGTCGAGCCTCCTCAATGGTTGCCCTGCCATTTCCAACATGTAATCACTAAGTCTTCACAGCTGCTCACAGCTTCTGCCTCCGCAACGGCAGGCGTCCGACACATATATGTCTTGCGTACCTGTATCCAAGGTTGCCTTTCCTCCTCGCCTCTTTCATCTGTACCAGCCCTCCAATGTCAGCATCACCGTGCCAGCCCTGCCATCGGAGACTGCCTCGGCCCCAACATCCCGCCTACCCAGTCAAGGAGGGAAGGAAGCCAAGCATCAGCTAGCAAACAGCCCGAAATCCGCCGACAGATACCCTCTTTCAACCGGCTAGAACATGACTAAGAAATGGGATGAGCACATGGCCATCATCATGAGGCTCTACAAGGAGCAAAACATTCCTCTCCACGAAGTCCAGACAATCATGGAGCAGAAGCACAACTTCAAGGCCTCGTGGGTGACCACCCCCTCGTTTTACAAACTCGCGCAAGTTGAATTACCTCCTGACTCCCATCTCAGCACACGGGCGTACCGCTCTCGCTTCGAAAAATGGGGCATACACAAGTACAACTGTCGGCGGAAGGGCTCCTCGGACGGACAAGTCCATGCCCTCCCGGCGGCCCCGCTTGAAGGGGGGGAAAGCACCGCCGCTGTGACGCCGCCGGTAAGCCCGGGAAACTCTGACCAGCCGGGCACGCGTTCCGGCCCCTCGAACGGCCCCTTCTGCGGCCTGGAGTCGCAGATATATCCAATATCGCCCGTCAGTGTTGATGACGATGTTGGCAGGTGAGCCACCAAGTCCACTTTGAGCTCGTCACCAAAATAAAACAAGAAAAGCCCTTCCCCCCTTTTTTTCCCTCCCCGTTACGAGTGAGTCTGACTTTGCCTTCTCTCCAAAAAGGGGTATGCCAGTTGAGCAGAGCAGAGCCACCAGCCCGGCCGGAACCCTGACGACCATGTCGCAGTGCTACCAGGGCGGCGACCAGACGGCCGATTTCAGTCAGCAGGTGCAGCTGCAAGGGTACTACAGCCCCTTTGAGCAGTTCCAGCCGCATTCTTCGGACCCGTACCACCAGCAGCAGCAGCAGCAGCAGGTCATCCCGCTGCAGGACAACCCTTACTACTCTACCTCCTTGGCTAACCTAGTCCGTCCCGGCTGCGGGTTGTGGGAGTCAAACCCCCCGCCTCTGCTCCTGACTTCCAATTCTGGGAGAGTCAAGGCCCCCTAGGGCTGGTTGTGAGTTCCTTGAGTCAGTCTACGTTCCTGTGTTTTGGATGAGACTTGGTGTCCCGTGGGCAGGAATAACGTTGAGCCCCTCCTCTCCTGCCCTGATCCCCCTCTCACCCTTACCCCTGACATCTTTGAAGGGTATGGGTCCATATGCGTAAATCGGGGGCGCCAAGGGATGGTTTAAACCAGCTGGGTTCATCTTTCATGAAGTAGGAGAAAAGTGCATCGCACGAATTCGTTGTGGAATCTTGGATTTTGAGTTTGAAACAGGGGTCTCTCTTCCAAGCTGCTCTTTCAGGTCAGCCAGCCCTTCCTTCACACGTCATAGAGCTTGCCTCTCTCCATGGGCAATAGTAGCAACGAAATTAAGTCTTCCCCTGGCATAGTTGTCTCGTGGCTTGCTGCGTGATTTCTTATCATACAAAAACATAGACAACAGAACAGCGGCCCGGCTGCCCACGCCTAGGAAAAATTTAACGCGTGTCCAGCTTCCAGCCCCTGCCGGGTTTTTTAGTCCTTAAACGTCCTGGGTGCTATACTTTGTAGAAGCAGAACGCCACGTAGAAGCTCGCAGCCTCCATCTCCTCAGGGGTGACTAGAAGCGGACCGCCGCCCCTCTCTCTGACCCCCATGCGCTCACTCAGGGGCCCCAATTCCGGATCGTCCTTCTCCGTCTCCCAAACGCTTGAGAAGGACTTGTGGTACTGCAGCTCCAGGTTGTAGTCCTCGGCCAGGGCTCTGAAGGCTTCCCAAGGCACCACGTACTCGGGCACCTCCTCGACTGCCTCGTGGAGGAAGAAGTTGTACTTCCACCCAAACGGCGGCCGGAAGATGCCGTCATCGGGAGTCTTCCCCGGGAACCTGACTCGGTAGATATCGTTGCCCCACTCTGCTGTCGCCTCGGCCTTCCCCTCTTCGACCTCGCCGTCCTCGACCGGTTCCTCCTTGTCCCCCCGGGCCTCGCGGCTCTTCCGCTGCTCCTCGGCCCGCTTGTTGAACTCCTCGACCTTGCTGCTGATGACGTCCGAGTTCGGGATGCAGCCGATGAAGCGGCCACCCTTCTTGAGCGCGCACGCCACGTTCTTGAGCATCTGCCTCGCCTTCTCCTCGCTCTCGAACGCGTAGTGCATGCAGAACATCATGCTGACGACGTCGAAGCCGCGGCTGCTGCTCAGAGTCGACGAGGCGAAGCCGACCTGCCGCACGATCTCCACGTCCCCGACCGAGCCGGCGTAGCAGTCCTTGACGTGGAATTGGGCCTCGAACAGCGGCGGGGCCGGCCGCCTGTTGTACCCGCCCCTGCCACCACGCCCGCCGCCCCTACCGCGGCTGTACATCTGCCGGTACCGCTCCCTCGCCTGCTCGATGGACACCTCGGCCGTGTCCAGGCCGACGTACAGCTGGACGGGCTGGGTGCTCTGCTGCCACTTGCCCAGGTCGCCGCCCTTGCCGCAGCCAATGTCGAGCACGCACAGCTGGCCGTCCGGGCTGATGACGCCGCGCTCCATGGCGCCGGGCACGTGGTCCTCGGCGGGCGCGAACTTCTGGATGACGCAGCTCTTGACCCAGTTGTTGAAGCTCCTCAGGCCGCGGATGCGGCTGTCCGTCTTGCGCCAGTCGCGGCCGCGCTCGGGGACCGCGTTGTAGTGCGCCCGCACCACGTCGTTGATCGCCGCCCGCCCCGCGTCCGGCGTCGTCCCCGAGGACGAGGCGACGCGTGCCTCCTGCTCCGCCGCCCGCTCTCGCTCCAGCGCCCGCTGACGGATCTGCTCGCGCTCCGCCTCGCTGATGCGCGCCCGCTGCCCCGGCCGCTTCAGCTTGCGCGGCGCGCCGGCGCCGTCTGACCCGGCGCTGGCGCCCGGGGAGGGGGAGCGTGCGCGCTTCTTGGCTGGCTGGAGCTTCTTCGCATCGAAGGGCTGTGGGAGGTCGTCATTGGCGTTGTCGTATTCGTTGTTGGGCCGGCCGGGTCGTGGGTTCGTGGAGGAGGACGGTGTGGTTTTTTTTGTAGGTGAGGCCGAACGTTTTCTTTGGGCGGGCTCGAGCTTGCGGGCGTCGAAGGTTCGAGGTTGATCATCAGCCTCACCTTCCGTCACGCGGTTGCCCGGCATTGTCGTACAATGTGAGGGAGGCAGATGGAGAGTCGAGGAACAAAGGTATGATGACAACCAAGCAAAATTAAAACTAGACTATTGCAATGACTAGGGCTTTGATGTGTGTGTAGGCAGGTTGGTTGTATACAGTGACCTGATTTGCTTCTGGTGTTGGATGTTTGGAGTTTTTACCAAGACGCTCCTAGCCTTCCAGGTTAACGGCATGTTGCCTAGCACTTGTCCATGCTTGCTTATTCAGCTCCCCACGGGCCACCATAACTCTAATTCTACCCCTGTCCCAATGCGATGATACTACACTTGGGGGTCTCTGCGAGAAACGTCCTGTTATGAAACTCCCTCTTGGAGATGGGAGTCTCGAGGAAGTTGACGAGGAAGTTGACGAGGAAGTTGACGAGGAAGTTGACGAGGAAGTTGACGAGGAAGTTGACGAGGAAGTTGACGAGGAAGTTGACGCTTGCCCCGGTTTGAGCCACAACGTTAGCGACAGCATCCAGGTCGATGGGAACGACCTTATCGGAGAGCTGCTGTAGAGTTTTGGCAGCGCTGATAGTTAATGCTGCACGTTCAGACAGCGTGAGGACCGACAAGGAGAAGTTGGTGTAGATACCTGGCTTACAGACGGCCTAGGACTTGGAGTAGTTTACTGCTGAGGAAGGGCAGGCTTAAATCTGCTTGGAAGGGACGGAGAGCTTCCATATTTGGTACTATCCCTTGTTTTAAGCGTGCGAACGAAGCTTCGCGACACGCGACTAGTCTGTGGTTGGCAAAGAGGCGCACCCACGTTGTCCATTTGGGCCGCGTCCATCCCGTCAGCGTTCGTCGCCTTGAAGTTCATTGTAGCGGCTGGCTGCACGATCACCTGATGGTGATAGTCGAAGATGTAGCTTTGCAGCGGAAGTCACAGCAATAATACAGAGGTGGATATCTCCCGTGGTCCATGTTCCCATGCGAAGCTTCGCGGGCTCCGCATATTGTGGCGCCTGGGACGGATGCTGACAGGAGCCATAGAACCGATCTGGTCAGGCAGTTGACTATAGCTTCGCACTGCCTCGGCCGCAGCATTGGTGGCATCCAGGCGGCGGCCCACTCCACAGTATTGTAGAACCAGCGTGTATGGCGGGGTTTCTCGCGAAGCTTCGCAGCGAAGTTTCGCAAGTAACACAGTCATGGAGTCGGTAAAGAGGATTCGGGGAAAGGGACCAAGATATGTAGGCCTCGTCGTCTCGTTTGCCTCGTTCTCGGGCTGCCTCGTCTTGTGGTATTGTTTTGCAACTGCCTACTCCTTCACGAAACTGGTGTTACTCGAAGGATTTGTTCGAACAAAGCTTGCCTTCGATTACCAGCTAGATGGAGATGGGCGGTCGCGTGCAGGACCCCAGCGGCAAGGATCCCGCGGTTGTGTTGCCGCCAGGCATTTGGTTACCCCCCACCTGCACGCAACGGCAGGACGATGACAATTTCAGCCTCGCACAAGCGTCTGTTACTCTCGAACTCGACTCTTCTGCAGGGTCTGAGCTCCGCGTAACAGACACCCATTGTGGGAGTTCCCAGACAGGGAGGAGCACGAAGAGATACCCTTGCCACTTTGAGACATACCATCGTAATGGTCTGCACAGTTACTGCGGAGTCCCCGGACAGCAGAACCACCACGGGGGGTTCGACACTGTTGCTCGGGTGAAGTAAGTGACAAGCAAGGATTGCGACTGGGATGGGATGGGCTGGCGTTTGCTGTGCTAACATGTTATTCAGGTCTCATCTCCTGGATAGACACAATCCCGAGGTGCAGTGCGATAATTGCGGGCAGTCTCACCCGGACTTGAGGAAGCATGGGAAGGGCAAGTGCCAGCAGCGCAGCTACTGCCTCATGACTAAGGAGCAGGCGGAAGCCATTCGGAAATTCAGAGTCAGGGAGTCGGCGTCGGACGTCCCATGGTATGAGGTCCTGAAGATTCTCATTCCCAAGATGAAGCATGTGTCGACCGATAAGCTTCGTGCTATGTTCCCGGCCGGTATTGTTCCCAACATCAACGTGACCCATTAGGGACTTGTCACTGACACCCTCGACAGACTATATTCCACCGAAGATGCGCACCAACTTCTTCGATATGGAGGCAGATTGGACCCCAGTTTCGAGAACAGCACCCCCGGATTTCCAAACCTTCGGGCCAATACCTCCATCAATTTCTGGGCTTGGGGCTCAGGGTTTGACCTCCCTTCGTGGGACAAACCTGAGCCCCCTAACCTTCGGGCCTGCCCCTCCACTGATATCTGGGCTTCAGACTCAGGATTGGGTCTCCGGTTTGGGCACAACGCACTGGGGTTCCTTGTCAGTTGAGCCAAGCCCTTCACCCGCCGCTGGGCTTGGAAACCGGGTAGACGCAAACAATGGTCTAAGCAACGTGGGCGCTTGGGCCGACCGTATGCCTACGATGATCATCGACAGCACCCGCCCCTTCGGCCCGGAAGTTGCCGTCGCCGGCAGCCATACAGGCCTGACATATCCAGCGCACGGTACGGATGATGCTTTTCAACGCCAAGCCGAGCATCAGCAGCTGTGCCACACGGGTTGCCCTCATGGATACATCGGTTTTGCGAAGGAACACTTACGCAACATGGCGAGGGCTATAGAAAAAGGAGAACTTGCCTTGGATAGGTACAGGCTTGCCGACCTCTTGTCAACTGCCCATCATATGCTGAGCATTGCCGAGGGACAAGCTTCACCTTAGCAGAAATCAAATCCGCAGGATATCAGCGCCCTCGCAGCTTTCTCATCTGCGGTCATGGAGGAAAGAGGGATGCTAAACAGGTATTTGACTTCAACTTGTGGTGTTGGCAGCTGTAGGATGCTTATATATAGGTAGGCCCTCAAATCAGATTAGACATGCTTGTGAAAAGGGGTTGACCTTACTTTACCTCGTCTCTCTGAGATTGAGATTGCTCTGGTCCCAAATGCTGACACGGGTGGCGCGTTACGTTTCTAAGCTCATTATTTGGAGTACGATACAGCCGAACTCGAATGAAACAAAAGGAAAATCAAGGGAACATATACGAGGGTGAGGGCGTAGTGTATAGTTGACTAGTTGGCTTAAGTAAGGTAGGTATAGTACATAATGGAAGGCTAGGCTCAGGTAAGAGTGGGTCCCTCGCTAGGTTGCTAGGCCCCTGCCAGCTGACGCGAGCTTCTTTTGACGCCTTGCAGCCAAACTGTGCTTGGACCAGCTTGGAGCAACCACATCGAAATCGAGCTCTGCTCTCCATCTGCATCTGGAGCAAAACAACGAGGACCTATTAACTGCAGCTCTTGCCATCGAAGAATTCCTCAATCTCATTTTCGATATAGAAAACGATAACCGTCTTCACTCCCCATCCGACCTCGCCTCCGCTTCGCCCAGCCTCATAATCCTCCATCACCTCAACCATGGGCGCAGATCCCCAATACGCGAAATGGCCGCTTCTGCCTCTCTCGCAGCACGTCTTCACCCTGACTAACTCGTACGCCTCCCGCGCATCGCAGCAGATTGCAGTCAAGGGCCTCCAGGATGCCATCGCCGAGCACAAGATGGCACCTTTCTACCGGTACCTCGCCCATCCGGTGGAAGGCATCCTGAACGCCGTCGGCGAGGGCGGCTCCACCGCCCCGGGCATCCCCCCCAGCAGGAAGTCGAGCGTAGCCGGTATGATTGCAACCAAGAGCCAGACGGCGAGTGTGAGCCTGCCGTGGGACGAGAGCCTGTACCAGCAGCTCAAAGAGGACAATGACCGCGAACTGGAAGCGTGCCAGAAGGAAGAGGACGAGGCTGTTGAACAGGCTGGCGATACCGAGGTCATGGCGGCGAGGGGCAAGAGGGCCGAGTTTTGGGCGAGGGCGGGCGACAAGGTGCGTGGACTGTGTTTTCCTCAATACTAGAGAGAGTGCTGACATCGACCTCGATCAACAGGAGAAAGCAATTGCCGCCTACGAGGACGTTTTCGAGAAGACTGGTATCCTTGGAACCAAGATCGATCTTGTGCTTGCCATCATCCGGGTGAGCCTCTTCTACGGCGATAAGGTCCTCGTGAAGAAGCATGTTGAGCGGGCCAAGACGCTTGTCGACAGCGGGGGTGACTGGGACCGCCGCAACAGGCTGAAGGCCTACGAGGGACTTCACCTCCTCACAGTCCGGAGCTACAACCTGGCAGCTCCCCTCCTTCTCGACAGCCTGTCGACCTTCACCTCCTACGAGCTCTGCACCTACAGCAACCTAGTTGTCTACTCGGTCCTCGCCGGTTCCGTCTCTCTCAAGCGCCTCGACTTCAAGAGCAAGGTGGTCGATGCTCCCGAAATCAAGGCCATCCTTGGCGACGGCGACGACAAGCTCCTCGCTCTCAGCGGTGCCATCTCCGCGGGGCCTGGTGTGGATGCCGACATGCAGGACGCTAGCACGGCCTCCGCCGCCGCCCGGAAGACGGTCGTCAACCTGACCACGCTGGGCAGCAGCACGGATCAGCCCGAGGCGGAGATGGCGGTCGACTTCAGCCCGCTCGCCCAGCTGGTGAGCAGCCTGTACAACGGCAGGTACAAGTCCTTCTTCCAGGCCCTCGCGCAGGTCGAGGAGCAGTTCCTCACCCAGGACCGGTACCTGCAGGAGCACAAGAACTGGTTCATCCGCGAGATGCGCCTTCGTGCGTACCAGCAACTCCTGCAGAGCTACCGCGTTGTGGGCTTGGAGAGCATGGCGAACGATTTTGGCGTCACCGTCGACTTCCTGGACCAGTAAGTTTCCCCAGCGTTGCCCGGACCCCGATAGAACACCGCGCGTGTGGCTGACGTATCCCCCCCAACAATAGTGACCTTGCAAGATTCATCGCCGCCGGCCGCATCCCCTGCACCATCGACCGTGTCACCGGCAAGGGTGTCATCGAGACCAACCGGCCGGATGACAAGAACAAGCAATACCAGGACGTCGTGCGCCAGGGTGACCAGCTGATTACAAAGCTCCAGAAGTATGGCCAGGCCGTCAGGTTGAGAGGGAGCGAGAGGGCATAATTGCATCTCTTGGGAGCGGGTTTTTCTAGATCCTTTGCCTCGAGATTGCTCTAGAGGGTAGAGTGATGTACTCAGGCTACTCAAGCGGGAAAGTTACTTTCCATAATGGCTGGGATCATTGATAAAGGGGGTCAGCCACTGCCAGTCAAACAGCATGATTCTAATACGTGTATGATACCTAGAATAGAAAGGGAAAATTGCACCCTGGGGTTTAAGCTTGTCTCGAGATCAAAGTCTTGGGTCGAGTGGGAACGTCATCTTTTCTCCCTTTATATAAAATCTAGTTTGAAACTATCATCCCCAACTATACGGATGCCTTGCCGGCTTTCTAAGTTGAAATTCTGGGCTGAAAATCCCGTTGACCATTACCGCCGAATTTTAGTTTCCAAGTAAATTCCGGCAGGCCTTACATGTGGCAGAAAATGGTCAACCAAAATGGCGGGAACCAGTGACCAGCCACCCATCATCTATACTTGTCCATGAACTCCTTGTGGAACCCGACGATCCTGTCCACCCACTCCGTGCCCGGGGGCAAGAAGGTAGTCCTGAAGTGCAGGGCGTTCTCCTTCTGGCCGAACCCGCTACCGGGCACCAGGCACACGCCCGTGGCCTCGAGCAGCCTCAGGCAGTAGAACTCGTCCGCCTTGCGGCCCTCCTTGGCGGCGGCCTCGGCGGCCTTGGCGGGGACGTGGATCGTGGGGAACAGGTACATGCTGCCCTGTGGCTCGCCGCACTCAACGCCCTCCATCTGCGCAAAGGCCCTGTGGAGGGCCGTGGCGCGCCCCTTCAGGCCGTTGTAGATGCCGTCGTACTCCCTGGCGTACAGCTCGTGGCTGGGGTCGCCCTCGCGGGGCGGGTTGACCATGAGCTCGACCAGGCACTGGCCGATGACGGGGGCGCAGAGGGTGATGCTGACGAACTTGTAGATCTCGGCCTGGACCTGCGGGTCGAAGTTGACCAGCTCAAAGTAGCCGCCGCGGTGGCCGCACTCGCCGACCATGCCCTTGGAGACGGAGTGCAGGCTCGCCAGCTCGACGCCGTCGAACGCGCCCGGCTGCTCCTGCTGCAGCTGGCGGAGCACGCGCTTGAACGAGTGGAACTCGCCGACGAACACGTTGGTCTGGTACACCTCGTCGGCCATGACAACCAGGTTCTCGGCGCGCGCGAAGTCGAGCACCGCCCGGATGTCCTCCTCGGAGAGCGACGCCCCCGTGGGGTTGCCGGGGTTGATGATGACGATGGCGCGGACATCGACGCCCTCGGACTTTGCCTTCTCGTAGGCCTCCTTGATGGCGGTCAGGTCTGTCCCCCAGTTCTTGGACTCGTCGAGGAAGTAGGGGACGCAAGTCGCATTCAGGACAGCCAACGATGCCGTGTAGAGGGGATACTGGGGAATGGGGACCAGGATGCCTGATTTCTCGTCGGCGCAGATGATGTGGAGGAGGGTGTTAACACCTGCCGAAGCACCCCCTGACATATATATGTCGGCTTGGTTGGCGGGAAACCCATCTCGCCCTGTGCGGTGTCAGTGTCTGCCGCTTGGCGTGTGGGGGCAGGAATTGGGAAACAGTCATGGCGCGAAAACATGGAACTCACTTTCCAGAAAGTCGGCAACAGCCTGCCTGATCGCCGGAACGCCGTTGCTGGCACTGTAAGCCCCGACTGAGCCAACCTTGCTCAACAGCCATTTTGCTCTCGCAAGCACATCGGATTTATAACCAAGTTGGTTAAGCAACACGTCTTCGTGCTCCAGAAGCTTCGGGTTCTCCAGAAGACTCAGCACCTGCCGAAAGAATGTGATCGGCTTCTGGTCCAGTTCTTGTGGGTTTCCGATATTTGCTGAGACGACCTGCTTGAAGGGCAGGTCGGTGTCTCCCCTAGCGAGCTTGGCGCGGTACTCCTCTGACTTGACAGCAAGCTCACCACGCACTGCGTATTTAGCCGCCTTGACATGAGGGTTTATGTTCTCATAATTGAGCCGGCTTCTCGGAGTCGACGCCATTGTGCGAATGTTACGTGACCAGGTGTTGAACCGGTTGTGGGGGAAATGGAGCCGGCAATGTGCGGAGAGAGGGGCACTTAAAGATAATGGCGGGGTAAGGGGTTCTGGAGTTGGTGAAATAACGTTCTCGTTAGAAAAAGCAGACCGATAGGTAGTTAGTGCAGAGAAAAGGAACTGCAACTGAGTCCCGTCTTGAGGTATGGCCTCTCTAGAGGTGCAGGGTAAGTGGTTCCCTTATATCTCTCCGAAAGAGACAAAAGGCGCGGGACAAGAAGTGAGGACCTTATTTATGGACTGGTTGCCGTGTGACTCGATGGCAGTCAATCGAAGCAACAAAATCAGTCATTTCACTTTTGATCATCAGATAGCGGCCCTAGCCAGCGGCCCATTTGCCAACGGGTTTCTAGCAATGGGACCACCTAGAGCTCGTTCTCGGCCGAAACCGGGGAGTCAGGGCGCGGGACGAATAGCGTCGAATAGCAACAAGTTGTGAACGCTTGAAGTATTCTGAGCTTGCCCGCAAAGTGGAGTCAGAGATGGGAAGTGAAGAGGAAGGAAACCCGAGCTTTACCTCTGAGCCTCGCATAACCAAGAGATCTGCAACTCCTTGTCGAGTCATTTGTCACAGTACTCCCGCCCAACGTCCCGACTCCCCTCACCCAGTTAGCGTACGTAGCTCGAGGTTTAGTGAATGGCAGAGCGCCACTGAAGGCAAGCGTTGGGAATTTTGAAGGCATCCGGGCTTCGGTGCGCAGGCGGGAATGTTAGCAGGAATCTATCACTTCAGGACACATTTTTGCAGTTTCTCAAATTTAGGGACTTTGTCCAAGTTCATAGACGGGGTGCGGTGAAGAGCATCCGGCAGTTCCCGACTAGGGGACCTATGGACCCACATACCTACGCCCGGGCAGGCATCTCACACCTACCCACGGCCCTGGCAAGGATTCTCGCGGAACGGAATATTGCAGTCTCCGACTTCACCTTCAAGCGCATTAGCGAATAGCAAAAGCCCAGAGATTCATGATCCCAATATCTACAGAAAACCGCCGTCACTAGGCCGCGGCGGAATTCCTTCAAGATGGCAAAGAAAGGTACCGTAACTAGAGATCTCCGACGTCGCCGTCCCGTCATTGCGCTAACTTTATTGCTCTCTCCAGCGAAATCCCGGATCATCAGCGTGCGTCTGATCTCCATGGCCATGACGGGCTACTTCTACCAATTCTCCCGGCCGCGGACGTCTCTGCCCATGAGCATGCTGAAATACGACCCAATCGGTGCGAACATGCTTGGCAACTTCCCTTACTTTTGAAAACTGGCTGCTAATACGTCGCTGGTGCCCCGATAGTGCGGAGAAAGGTCCTCTTCCTCGAGCAAAAACGGAAAGGCAAGGCATAATAGTCGTCACCGACGGGCCAGCCACGCTACGATTATTGTAATCAACTGCTCTATTTCTGGGAACGGCGCTTGGTGGGAGGTGCGGCTTAGGAGTCGGGCTGACAAGGTTGGCCAAGCACAAAGAAGCCCATCTCCGTGTATATCACAAAAGACGAGCATGACAGGAGTTTCGAAACAAGGGGATCGGTTGCTGCAACATCCTTCACGATCAGGGCGGCATGTACATCTCCAGAGCTCCAATACCCTTAGAACGGAATGGGAAAATATATTACTTCTACCTAGCTAAGAGCAAGCACGGCGGTTTTTCTAAGACGCCAGAACGGCGTCGAGTCTCCACTTCCTACGTGAGACATATAGGAAGACAGTCAAAGAGATTGAGAAAATCGTCTACGACTCGTTCAACATCGAAAGCTTTAGCAAACTGCAGCAAGTGGTTCGAAAAATAGGTTGCGGGAAATCGCCCTGGCGGAAATGGCAGGTATCCTTGCCCATCCTGTGCCCCGAAAGGATAGTTGGATCCTGTGTGGCGGCCGTCAAGGTTTCAAACTAGACCACTAACTACCTCCTCCCAGACTGTTGGGGTCCGCTGATGGCAATGACGGAGCGATGCCGCTAGAACCGTCGGTGATGAGGCTAGACGGTGTATCCGTACCAGGTCCAGATGCGACTTGAGATGAGCTGGCGTTCGTTTGGAAACTCGAGTTTGAGGTTGACTTGTTTCCACCTCTTGCTCGTTGCCCACTAGCACCTTTTCCTCTCTGCTGTGGTTGTGGTGTACTAGCAGAGCCCAACCCCCCCTGATAGTTGGAGCTGTTCTGTTGTCGAGGGGTATTTCCCCGTGCTAGGGTGCTTCTGGTGACTCTTGGTGGTCCTCGCTGAGAGTTCTGACCAGGTAACGCATCCTTCACCGAAACCTCTCTGCCTGTCTCATCCGAAGGGCGGTACTCATCATCAGGAGTCAGTCCCGATTGAACATCTGGCCCTTTCAACGGCGGCAAGGTAAGGGGCTCCGCTGCCATCCCAAGATCGCCTGGTCCTCGCCTATACTTCTTGGTGGCACGTGGGCCGCCAGTGGAAACTTTTCGTTTAGGCGCCCGGAGTAGCCTAGGAGTCGATGTCGGCCTTGGGCCTTCAGGCTGACTCGACTTTCGGTCCTCCCGAGGGACATTACCAGCAACAGGTCGGTTATATGGACCACGGAGGAACGATCCGATGTCAGGGATAACGCCTCCAGCCGACCCTTTTTCCTGGCTCGAATCCTGGATTATGTCCCCGTCTGATTCCTGACGGGTCTTGATAATCGACTTCAGTTGGGTGACTTCCCTTCGCCGTGCCTTCTCTTGCTCGACAGATAGCGATACCGGCATGACCTGCGCAATGTTCGGGCTCTGGACCACGACGCGTCTCTCCGGTTCTTGACTGATCAAGCCCTCTTCTCCGGGACGTGACATCGGCTGATCACTCGGTGCATTGGAACTCGGCATGTCCTCTTCTCGAGCTGCGATAGATCCGCTTGCTTCTGACACAGAACCTTTAGCATTTTGGTTCCTGTCCATCTCACTCCCGATGCTTAAACTGATTGGAAGATGATTCTCTGCGTCCTGTTCCTGTGCCAAGCGCTCGTTCGACGGTGCACTTGTGTTCGGAGACCCGCTACCTGTATGAGGTCGCACTGGGGGCCCGTTTGGCTGTGGAACTCTGTCTGCCAATGCATTCTCTAGGAAGTCGTGAAGCTTGCGCCCAACGTCTGCAGTCCCGATACAGTGACTGAAAAGCTTCTCAAGGTCGTGGGTGATAGCACCGTTGATGCCTCTGGCTTGTGTCCACCGACCGAGATTACCCAACAGGCCCTTCCCCATCTCGTCGACTGCGAGCTCAGCAGCCTTCTGCTGTGGATTCACCGCTTCTGCTCTCGTCTGTGCCTCTTCGGTGAGCTGGTTGATGCGACTTTCTGCAGCGGCCAAGGACTCTTGAAGTGAAATCATCCTGGCGGAGTCATGGCACAAACGCTGATCTGTGGTAGCGAGCTTTGCCATTGTATCTTGCAGTTGAACTTGGAGGTTCAAACGCTGTTTCTCCGCCAGGCGGAGGGAGTTTCGAGTCTCTTGATGCATTCCTTCCATCTCGAGTCTCAGCCGGTGGCGAGCATTCTCGACGGCTTGGCCCGTGGCAGCTCGGCCGGCCAACTGCTGGTCATGCATCAGCTGGGAGAGCTTGCTAATGTCGTCGTTGAACTTTTTCGCTTCAGCCATGCCTTCCTTATCTTTGTCTCGCAACTTGCTCTGTAGGTCTGCGATGAGGGCACCTTTCACCGCAAGTTCACACTTGATATTGCTGTTCTCATCCTCCAAGGACTTCAGCCGAAGCATCTCTTCGGAGTCAACTGGGGGCGCAGTCTCAAGTTCAGTGACCCTGGCAGTGAGCTGGCGTATGCGGTCTTCCTGTACCCTGCTACCCTCGTTCGCTTCTTCCAGTTGCGCTTCTAGGGCCTGGAATTCCACTTCGCGTTCTTCCATCACCCTTGTCACGAGGGCATTCTCACCCCGTTTCTCCGATAGTTGCTGGGTCAATGCATCCTCACGAGTTTCGAGCTTCTGCCACATCTCGTCCACGTGGCTTTTCAGGTCGGTTGAAAGCCTTTCAACCGACTCCCTTCCATTAGCCTGGGAGTTGATTATGGCCTCCAATCCTGCGACCACTCTATAACTAGTCAGTCTATGATATGCCTCAGAATCAGGTCCTTTCGGAAACTTACTTCGAGATACCCTCCTGCTGATGATTGGAAAGCTTTGACAAGGCGTCAGAATGAGGTATAATCAGCTTGCTCAGAGATTCGAGGTGTTCGATAACGGCGTCCAGCCTGTCGAGTTAGCTCGGTAAGGACGAGGCGACATCCTTAGAAACTTACTTGGTCCGACTTGAGTCGTGGGCTACTTTGACTCCTTGGGCGTGGAGCGTGTGATGCTCGTCCATCTTGTCTAGAATGCTCTCTGTCTTCACTTGCAGCAACTGGAATGACTTGTGTGCTTCGCGTTGCTCGTCGAGCTGTTTCAGCAACCTTTCAGACCTTTCCCTTTCCCGCTGGATCTGAGACTCTCGGTCTCCTATCTCCTGAGACAAGGCTTGTATTCTGTCGGTCACTTGAAAACATGTCAGTCTCGCTGAGGTATGAACGGGGGGAGGGCTTACTATGACGAGTTTCTGCCTTGCTCTGGGCCACGACCAGCCGCACTTTCTCAAGCATATGCTCACGCAAAGATTCTGCCTTCTGTCTGGCAAGATCATTCGAGGACCTTTGAAGTTGCTCTTCTGCTCTCATCTGGTCAATAGTATCTTTGCAAAGTTTCTTGGAGCGGCTGTATAGCTGCTGATGCTCTCCAACAGCTGCGTTGAGACGGTCTTTGTACAGACGACACTTCTCGTCCAGTTTTTGGAGCCGTTCAGAGCCCTCTCGCAGCTTGGTCTCCGTCCTTGCCACACGGTCCATCAGGTCTTGCTTATCCTGCTCCAGACCTGCGATAACAAGCGCTTGAGCATTAAGCTGCTTGACATGGAGATTGATCTGTCGGGCTTGACCTTCATTCTTCCGTTTAAGCTTGTCAAGCCTGTATAGGAACTCAGTCTCCAGCTCGTCCTCCGCTTTGGTGACGTCTTGAACATAGCTGTTCCAAGAATGCGCAAAGTGACTCCCAAATTGCTTGACCATTTCCAATTTGGATTTTCCGTGGCGAGTTGGCATGGACCTAAGTTTTGAGGTGTTTGATACAGGAGAACTTCTAGACTGTGATCTCGAGAGCTCCCTACCCTGTGATGATTGTCTCGATGGATCGCTTTGGGAAGAGTCACGTCCAGTGACTGAAGTGTTGCCCCTGGAAACTGTGAACTGCAGATCGCTGATGCATGTTGGGTCATCACTGCCGACTCTCTTCTGACTCCTCTGCTCAAGCACGTGAGGGGACTCCTCCAGTTGTCTCTCACGACTGCCAGGGGTTTCAGTGTCACGGTAATCAGCACCACCCTGAGTCTCTCCAGGATCAAGGCCTAATGGTTGTCGAGCTGGATAAACGGGGGCGGAGTTATCTTGAGGACTTCGAGTTAGTCCCTTGCTTGGGCAATGGTTGGGTGTTGGAGGCTGCGTGTCCGGGCCGGCGGATTTTGAAAGTGGCGCCGTCATGTCGGGAAAAGGCCGCCTCTGAAGAACTGATTTCGTTGCGACATGCTGTGCTCCGAGATGAGCATCTTGGTCTTCATGGTGAGTGCCTTGGTAATAAGTTTCGTGCTGACTTGGCCGGGCTGATAAGGGAGGAGAAGCAACGGGAGTGACCTGGTCAACATGATCGAGAGTCGACCCCTGTCTCGGATCCCCGGGCTGGACTCCAGCGTGGAAAGACGCCTGGTGATTTCCCACGCCAGCATCAAGCTGCGAAATTCGCTTGGATGTTGGAGGCTCATCGTATCGAGTAGTGACTATGTTGCGGCGAGTGAATTGACCGGGGGCAAGAGGAATAGGGGCGCCAAATTGGAATCCGGATGCGAGCTCTAGTGTGTCGAACGCATCGCTGTGGCCTAAAGACGCACCATCTTTGTGCTGATGAGAACGGGCAAATGACTCCACTCGTGTGTGGATTTCAGAGCCGCTCATGTCTTCCGACTCCTGGCTGACTCTGGGGCCAATGGGCATAAATTCCAAGTGTGAGGCCTTTTGGGTGTCGTCCTTGATTCCATCAACCCAAGGGGCCTGGGCGTCTTCCACGGTATCCAAGCCACGGGCTCGGACTACAATGGGAGGAGATGGCGACATGACTGGCAACGTGGTAAGGTGAGCGCCAGCTGGTGTCGGTGCTTCGCCGTGAAGCCGTTGGCAAAGAAAATGGATTGAGACTGGTGGAGTTGTCTGTTCTAGATAGGTATATGAGGTTGAGTGTAACCAACCGAGAGTGAAAATCGAATCGTACGGTTTGAGCCAGGGCTGCGAACGGCAGTGGACGAGATAGATTCAGCTCCAAGTTGGAATGAAATATTTTCCTACCTACCTAGGTAAGGTAGGTTGGCATCTGGGAAGGTATTTGTAGGTTGTATCGTGCAGCCCAGGTTGTGGCACCCGTGGGGAAGAGGTGAGTAGGTAAGATAAAATGAATTCTATCTAGGTACCTATTAAGGTGGGAGGGTAGAGAATCGTAAAAAGAGAAGGGGCGAGGGACGTGGATATTCATGTTGAGATGGCTACTTCGCTTGCATTGCTCCTTCCTGCCTCGACTCGCTGCCTCTTCAATCTCTCTGGGTTTTGAGCGACATCGACCAGGCAAGCTACCTACCACTTAGGTAGATACCTACCTAAGTACCTACCTATTACATTTCTGAAGCTGTATTGGCATCTATCTCGACAGACTGGTCATGATTCAGGAGCGCCCGTTTATCTATGAGGATGCTTGACCATGAGGGCAACCAACCATGCCTAGACAACAACAGAGACCAACACAAAAGCAGACGATCTCCTCGAAGCAATGGATGACAAGCGCCGGAGTCGTGCGAGGTGTCAAATCCCCAAGCGATCAAACCATACTAGACTGTAATCCATTTCCGGCAGAGTTTCTGTAAGTGCTTTGGCATTGCTCTGCCTTGAGCTTGAGAGGCTGTATGTCAAGGAATGTCGCTCGCCAGCCTCCAAACAAACTTCTCCTACTCCTATTATCATCTGTCTATGTCTATTTTCTGGATCTGGAACCTGATTTGCCCGCTGTCCCACTGCCACTTGGCTCTGGGCGGGCATGCTGTTTCCCCTAAGAAACGACGTGTAAGAGACCCATGTATGCGCGAGATACAGCAGGCTGGAGCAATGGGGCAAAGGACGGCTGAGCAAACGAGCAGAAGGCTCATGGTAGTGCTGGCAGTATCTTTTCATGGTCTGTCTGCCTTGCCCCTGAGCAAAAATAGCAGGCCCGAATCAAGTTCGGTTTCAGCCCAAGCAAATGAAAGCCATACTATGCTGGATAGACGACTCCATACTGGGCATCCTGTCTAATTCAATTGAAAATCCAGAAATAGGGCAAAGGCAGCGAAGCAAGTGCATTTTGACGAATGCCCAGCTCTAATACATGGCACGCTGCAACCGTGCCCAAAATATGCTCGCGAAGGAGAGCCACAAATAGAAAAAATACGCTTGGCCGCAACCCGGTTCCCCTTGCAGTGAGAGAGCACGTCTAAAATTGGCGACCAACAAGAAAAATGAAGAGCAATGTAAATGCCCGTCACAGTCACAGGATTCTCTTGCGAATATTGGCAAGATCGCGGTCAAAAAGGGCGATCCACAGACATCACAGCACAGGCAGAAGAAGGTGGTCGAGATATGTCAACCCCGCATGAGTGGTCTCTTGTCGATGTCAAGATGCCGCCGCCGTCACATCACACCAAAATGGTGAGAGGGCGGAGAGAAAAAGGGACGCAAGATCGCTCTGCATGAAAGTTAGCGTGCGCGGCAATCAACCCCTGGCACCCAAGAGTTTTGCCCGTGGCTTTTGTGCCGTTGCACCCCTGGCCATCAGTTTCTATTGGCTGGCTGCACGAGCCATCCAAGAACCTGTCGAGGCAAATGAACCAGTTGGGCTGTGAGCTGTGAAAGTGACACAGAGTCGGCGCTTCGACAGAAATGGTGTCGCCAATGGCAGCGGCCGCAGAAGTGATACTTGCCTGCTTATGGGGTATTTTGTGTTTAGTCTCACACTTCTTCGTGATGCACGCCGTCACAATTTTGGTGCATTGTCAGGGGTCCAGGGTGCTTGACGATTGACCAGGCGCCTTTCTATTGCGAGTCTTCGCCATGGGAGCTTCCGCCATCCCCATGGACTGGTGAGCTAAACTTATCTATATACCCAGAAGGCGCCTCCCGGCCGCGTTGTCAAAACCTGCCCCTCCCAATTCCAACCTCTCCATTGATATATACCCCCTGATCCCGCCGTTATCGACTGGTTCGCGACTTTGTGGCTCGATCATCAACTCATACATACATACACAGGGCGCATTCCAAATCTGGAGCTCGTTCCTGCAGGCGCAGAGCACAGCAGCAACCATCATGGCGACGAGCACTTCGGCCTTCCCACTTGCGACCGAGTCATCGTACCCGGGTGAACAGGACCCCCTGACCGGCAGTGATGCTGGTGCCTCTGGACATAGCACTGGAGGCTTTGCCATTTCTCGTGGTGCCATGGTTGCAATCATTGTCGTCGTCTGTGTTGTCGGCGTGATCGGAAGTAAGCCGCTCGAGAGGTCCCTTGCCGTGACAAAGCTAATGCATCTGGAAGTCTGCTCGTCGATTCTCTTCTTCGTCGCAAAGAAGAGAGAATGGAAGGTCCGGGAGAGGATTCGCAAGTCAGCCAGGAAGGTCGTCACCGCGTTGACCCCTCGACGGTCAGAGTTTCCCAGGTCGGTCAAGGAATCTAGCGGCCGGGGTCGAGGAGGCCGTGAAAGGCTTGACGACGTGCCACCAACACCTCGGATCAAACCCGACGACCTTGAAAAAGGCCTCGGCATGACCGACAAGAAGCGGATCAACTTCAGTCGAAAGTGATCCTGCTATTTATTGGCCAGGATGGCAGCAAACGACACTTGGGAAACATCGGTACGCCTTGATGGTGTGGCAGGCAGCTCCACGAGTTGAATCGAAGACCGCTCGCGTGGAGAGATGGACCGAACATGATGAAATGACGTGTGCAGCCGCAAGGAAAGGTTATCATCACTGTTATGACGTGTGTATTATATACGGTATGCAACTTCGCTGGGCGTCTCAGCATAAGCGTTCTATAGTCGTCGGAAAGTGTTATTACTCGCGCTTCGTCTTGGGTCCGACCGGTTCTTTGTGGGAGCAGGAGGCTGAGGTTGTCCAGGTCTGGCTTTCTTTCTCGACTCCGGGACAAATGTTACTTGTCTTTCACCACCCACATCGCCACCCTGCCGTGTCTTCCCAATCCGACCTGATTTCTGAGCCCTCGAACCTAGTGCTGTATCCTTCATCCGGGAATTGCCCCTCTGATTTGAGGTTGAGACCCGCATGACCATTTCCGGTTGTCGTACTTGCGGGCTCTCTGAATCTTCGTCATCGTTGCTCTCGTCGCTCGAGTCGCCCACATTGCCAGATGCCACAGCACTTCGGCCACCTGACGTCTCCTGTCCGTCACCGACATTGGTGCTAGGATTGAGGGCTCGGAACTCGAAACTCCTCTCGTCCACGGCAAATTCATCGTCCTCGAACAGCTTGGCGAAACGTGAGTCGCCGAGAACGCCAGCTTCAGTATCCACCTGCTCCCTCTTCTCTTGCCTCTTGAGAATCTTGTCTGCCAGCTTCTGGTTGACTTTGACTTTCTTGTTGCCTCTAATCCGACTAGCCCGTTCCTTGTCTACCTTCTCCTTGATTCTCTTGACGCGTTCCTCCTCCCAGACGTATGGGTTTGCAATCAACCGTGCCTGCTCGTACAGTTTCTGGGCTACAAAGTAGCCGTGCATGTACGGCCGTAGGAGGTTTGTCTTGCCAATGAGGTGTGCCAAGCTGAGGGACTTGAGCTCTGCCATAGTCAGGAACTTGTAGTCGTCGTATGTCTCGGTGTGGACCTCCTCGGCCATCTCCTCGACCATATTGTCGAGGAACGAGCACCACCGTGGAGCCGGGCCAAGCTGTGGGATGAAAAAGCTATGCATTTGCTGCCCTTCGTTGGCTGTGAGTAGCATTCCAGAACCCTTGACGTGAGCCACATGGTGAAGGTCCACCACTGGCTCGACGGACGTCCACGGGTCGCCGGTCTCTTCATCCCATATCTTTATAACTTTCTTGTCGCTCGAGAGTATCTTTCGCTCGTTGGACGCCGTCTGTAGGTGGATGATATTCTGAATGGGGAAGCCGTATCCCTGGTCTTTGTTCAGCAACGGGACCGGTCTGCGGAGGTCGAAAAGTTGAACCAGGCCAGTGCTCGTTCCAGTGGCCAAAGACAAGCCTGTTGGGCTGAAATCAAGAGCAGTGATTTCTCCATCGTGGCCACTAAGGATCGCCACTCGCGATTTCGACCGCGGATCCCAGAATTCAACCGTCGATATCGATGTCCCAAAGGCGAGCAGCCCATGAGTATTTTCGGCAATCGCCGCGACATTGACGCAACCCACCCCGATGCTACCCTGCAATCCGTTTCCGGGGTCATCGCCCCCAACGTCGACCTGATATGACTTCATGAATCTTCCAAGTTCAAGATTCAGGCGGAACACCTCTCCACTGTGGTTCTCCGTATCCACACCCGCAGAGGGAATGAGGGCTTCGGTGGAGAAACGATCGTAAACCAAATCACGGCCATATCTCGGCAGCCTCGTCTCGAAATGGCATCCGCTCGGCGTGTGAAATTCAAGCTTCCTGTCTGTTTGCAAGTGCAAACTCTTTTCATAGCCAGACCCTACTAGGACGAAAGTTTCGTTGAGAGAGGTGGTGTGACGGGCAAAGGAAAGTGACAGCTGAGAAAGGTCATGGACGTGGATCTGCTCAGACACACCAAACTGATCAGTAAGAGAACTCAAAAAACAACATTGGCTAATCATACCTGAGGCTTGTAGGTGCCTGTGGACATGACCCAGTTGCCATCATCGCTGACTCTGACACATTGGCTCGCCTCCTCGAACTACACCATCGAAAATGTAAGCGGGTGCTGACTGAAGAGGAAACATGGGGTGGGACGGTGGTAGGCTACAAGACAGGGAGTCCTGCGCCTGTGGTAGCCCAGTCTCTCGTACCTCGAAATCCTGTAGAAGCTCAACTCGGTTTGCATATTCTGGGTCGTTCTTGAGAGACCTCTTCCGACGTCTACTAAGCCAGTCCGGTAATGGTCTTGCAGTAGAAGCGCCAGAGATCGTATAAACGGGCACAGAGCCCGGATTTGTCAACTTCATTCTGGCGGCGAACTCCCCTATTGCAGGAGCACAATCAACGGTTTGATACAGTCGAAGAGAATATCAATCGCATTCTTGGGCGACTTCCTGAAATTTTTGGATGACTAAGGATCAGGGTCTGTTATCGATAAGGAGATCGGCATGAAGTAAATCCTGGCACCGAGGGGTTCCTGGCTCCATCTTTTAGGAGCCTGGGACCAATGGGCAAATGAGCCTGGGCGCCTAGCGTCGGGCCTATCCGAACACCAGCTTAAGCAGGTCTCTGGTTGGTACAGCTGCTGCAAAACCCCACAAACAGGCCTATCCAGAACCCTGTACTGGTCAGCCATCCACAATGCAGCGATTCTGGGGCCTGGTAAGTCCTCCCTGTCGCATCCTTCGTTGCGCTTTCAGCATTCCTCGGCCTCGAAACTTGATATCAGCGCTCGACCCAGCTTCAATTCGGTACAAGCATCCTCCACGGGCATCTTGTGCTTAATTTTACGTGTAGTTCCTAAGGGACACCTCATTTACGTCTGCTTTGATAACCCATTGGGAGTATACCAGTCCATTGCCTTCCGACTTCGCCGCTTTATCCTGAGGCTGCTGTCATGGAGTCCAGCGCCTCGGGGAGCAGAACACGAGCAATCAGATCCGTCCCCTTTTCTGAGCCGGCTTTGGGTGCGCCATACCGGCCATATCGCTCTCCAGATTCCACCAGGGGCCGCCTATTCCTCCGATCTGGATGCTGCGACCGTCAATAGAGACCTTGACTAGATCCATTTCGGTGGACAACCCCCCCCAGTTTCTTGTCAGGCCCCGGGGCATTATACGATATGGACGCTGGGGAGTATGATACTAATACCCTGTTAATTGTAATCAACCTCCCTCTTCCACTGAGCCCTACTTCTCTCTCATGGTTCTAACCGCGTCTTGTGAATCAGAATAATATTTCCTCCATCGCTTTCCGCGTCTACGAGCCTGTTGTCTCCCCGTCCTCGACCTACACCTTCAACGCCTCCGATGTTGAGAGCGCCTTACGCAGCGATGGGCATCTGGCATATATGGATGCCGTGCGGCGCGGCATTTGGTGCTTCTATCTTTCCGGGAAAGAGGCGGCGTCAGGGCACGCCGAGCAATACACACTCGGCACGACAATCGACGTTTGCGGATATCATCTCGCGCTCGTGGAAGAGGGTGCCTTTGAACCCGTTAGTTTGTTGAAGAGTCGGCCGCCAGGCACGAATCCCATCAATACTCCAAGCAGCTCCTCATCTAGCGGTTCGGCCTTGGATGCGTCGGCGAGAAGCACCCTGCCTTTCAATGCGGCCTCTGCAAACTCCATGGGTGGCGCTGGTCCGGTTGAGGTGGAGGGGAAGATTGTGCCCAGCATCATACCTGATCCGAAAGGATATGGGTCTGTGCCTGTGAAGGAGATGCATGAGTTCTTCATCAACGCCCTGCTCTCGTCTCTATCCATCAATTTTTGTCGCAGCACAGGGGCTATATCCTTGACTTCGAGGACCGTACTCCTCCCCCCAGATATATCGCGGCTGAGGAACATGGAAGTTGGCGGGTATGTTCCTGCATCTGCTATGGCAACCTTTCGAGTCTATCTCACGACAACTGGCTCGTTGATCATCAACCTGAGCATATTTCTCGTGGAGGGTCTGGTATCTGCTGCAGAGAGCCTACATTCGAACTTGTGCCCCTCAGGCACTCCTGTTTTAGCCGCACCTCTCGGGGCTTTTGCGTCCTTCCAGGGCTTCCCCGACAAGGACGTCCACAACTCTGACAACGTCGCTGTTCAGTCGCCGGATACCCAGGTTAGCCGATTCAGGCCAGACTCCACGGATAAGTTCTCGCAATGGAGAAGCAATCTTTCCAAACTGCTTCAGATGCGTGGCATATCACCTACGGTACTTGATGGCTGTTCTTGGCTGAATATACAGTTCCTACGTCGGAAGCCTCATGAACAGCGACTCGATGGAAAGCGAAGCCCTCTGGGCAACCCCCCTTCTATAATAGCGTGGCCTTCCGTTCTCTGCTTTCGGAAGCCTATGGCTGGTCTTCTACCCAGACACAGCACCGGGAAGACCTTGGATACGAACGGGAGCAAAGATTTCGACCCTCTGAACGCTGCAAAGGCGTGGAATGACAAGAATCTCGAGAGGGAGGAGACCTTCTCTAAGAGGAGAAAGGAACGGGAGGTGGCTACCGCGGCACGATCGACCGCCGAGCTAGACGGCAGGAATCAACAGCCCAACGGCGCATCTCCACTGATGCTGAGACGAGCCAGCAATGCTGGAGCCGCGCCTGGGGCTGCAGGCGGGGCTGCTGGCGGTACCATGTACCCGACGCCGCCTGATGCGGTTCAGCCTCCTGGAGTTACTCCATCATTCGACGGCGCGGTTTCCAGCCCGGCCAATCCACCAAACGCTACTGCCATTACCGAAGTTGATACCACCATGACAACAGATCAACAGCTCAGTGCCGAGTTTGCTGATGGGTGGGATTCTGACCAGAAGCGCGAGCAAGGGGCTGTTTTCCTTGAAGGGGAGAATCTGTTCGGGGACTTGGGCGAGGACATGTTCAACAACAACGAGCTAACAGATGCCGACTTCAATTTCTTCGATGAGGAGCCGGGCCACATGGAACTGGATCTCTCCGGCCTTCCAGATATGGATTCTGCCATGGATATGCCAGCCAACGCGCCCCAGACCACCGCTGAGCCATCCCAGAGCACGATGCCAACAGGAGGAGGAGGAAACCAGCCATTTGCAACGCCAGTCTCGCCTGAGTTTACCAAACCAGAGCTCAAGCATGCCAGGAGCACGCTTAACGAGGACGGAAGACAGCAGATGAACCTCGAGAGTTTCAATGCCAACGCCTCATTGCGTGGCATCAAGAGGCAGCCCAGTCCCTTCAACCCCGACACAGTGTATAAGCGCATTCGGGCGTCGTTTCAGGGGCCGTCTCCCCCCAGATCCGCCGTTGCCGCCGCTCCCACTCGCCGAAGCAGTGTGTTTGAGAAGGTGGATTTCGACCCTTCCCTTTCTCTTGCCAACAAAAAGTACCAAGAAAGCGGCCAATTCGACTATCCCTTGTCGTTCCTCAGAGAGGAGAAGAAGGGGGTGGATTACAGCGACCCTCCGACTGCGGGCCGCTATCAAGGACGGATAAAAAGCCAAAGTCTCAAGGAGTTGCCCAGCAATATCGGCGCTTTGATTGCCAAGCTGACAGGGGGCTTGGAGAGTAGCTCTCTGCAGCAGGGCTCGGTCAAGCGGGAAGATCAGCTCTCTGATACCGACGATATGAGCCTCATATCGGACCAGGATGATTCCAGCGACACCACGGATGAGCCCTCGTCTCCAGCCAAGTCCAACGTGGTGCGCAAACGGGTTGACGATGACACACTGTCCTTAGCGGCATCCTTCAACGAATTCGAACTCAGCATGGCGGAATCACCTGCTTACGGATCCGGCGAACTGCCTCGGTTGTCGAATCCGGGAACTCAAGAGTTCGCCGTGACGAAGTACTTTGCAGACCCTGAGCCCTGGCCCCTCCAACTAACCTGCCCAGACGATGAATTCATCACCGTCGCGCAGATCCTCACCGAGCAGGCAGTGAGCGGTACGCTGGTTCTGGGCTCGAAGAATCCTGAGGCAGATCCGCGAGAGACTCGACGGGGCATTCTTAATGCTACACGCCGCTCCCTGCAATGTCTCCGCTCCGTTCTTCCAACGTCTCTCGGCAACGCAAGCCATTGCCAGTTCCGTCCGTTCATCGAAGTCCAAGACGTGCCGCTTCTAGGACCGCCGAGCAGGATGCAGCCCCGGCCAGCCGGCCAGGAACTGGTTCGGCCCAATCTTTTCCAGATCCCAGCCCCTCACGTCGAGCTTCGGCGGTACGAATCCACTCTTTCTCTGCTGCCCTCCGCTGTGGCCTTTTGGGAAAGCCTAGGCCTCGGCCCATCTCAAGGAGGCAAAGACATCAACGCCACATGCGTGTTTCCGGACTGGGTTGGCATGCATGACAATGCCGGCTCCTTCCTGGATCGGATACGCAGTGTCTACGAGTCTCTGAAGATGGGGACCTTTGAGCGGATGCCATCGTCGAACGGTGTCGTCGACGGCTGCCTCGCCTACGTCGACGACAGGGATCTGGCTAGCCCTCGGTCCACAGCCCCCCTGGCATGCTCGGCTCTGTCCGAGGGCATGTTGAAGCTCAGCCAGGCACTCTCATCCCTGACGGTGACAGATAAGAACTGCGTCGTATACTTTGTCTACATTCCGGAGATTCCCAGCTCGATCGTCGAATCCTGCTCGGCGTTTCAGGAGCTGTTCGCAAGGTATAAGAAGGCAATGGCGGACAAGCATAAGCCCGTTGGTAACGAACTGGTGCTTCAACTTGTTCCACTGGATTTCCTAGCCTCGGAGTCTTCGGTTCCGATCTTATCGCCCGGGGAGTACACCAAGCTCTGCCTCGAGACGTACGACCGCTGCACACTATTCGGTGGCCCGATGCCCGCCCCGGCCATCGTCCTCGAGCAAGCCTTGCCCAGGATGATCGACTTCAAGTTGACTACAACACCGTCCGCAAACCTGCTGCATGAGAATTCCTGCATTCACATTGCCTACGCCCAGAGCGTCGACGACCGGTGGGTGACAGCGGCATGGACAGACAACCGCGGGAGTAAGCAGATGACTGCGTCGTATTGTCTGGGCAGGAGAGGGAAGCAGCTTTCGACACCTCTGGCGGATATCGTACACGAGATCTGGGAGACGACACACGATCTGACCTCGATGTGGAAAGTCCATTGGCGAGTCGTCGTAACCAAGTGCGGCCCAATGGACCAAACCGAGGCCGAATACTGGACGACTCTGGCGCAGACGGAGAATAAGGCGTCGGTCAGCCTGACCCTCGTGACGGTCGATACCAATCCCTCGCTGCAGCTGATACCCCCCGTTGTCAAAATCCCGCCCACGGCGCCTTCGATCATGTGCACAACCCCGGCCTCGACGCCACAGCCGTCATCGATCGTGTCTCCCGAGCAGAGCGGCAACACACCCACTCCCATGGGTGCGACCAGCTCCATGAGCGCGACAACCCCTGGAGGGGACACGGGCGCGACCGAGCCTGATGCAGACACGACTCTCGTCGATGTCACCGACACTACCTGGGGAGCCGTTGTCTCGCACCGACTGAACAACTCTCCTTCGCTGACGGACCTGAATCCCGCGCTCCAAAGCGGGTACCTCGTCAAGCGCGGGGGCACGAGCGCCGAAGATCCGCCCGTGGCCATGGAGGTCAATATCATCCACAGCGAGGGCAACCCGCACCCCCGGCTGTACGAGGGCCTACTGAGGGAGATGCTCAGCTGCTTTAGGGGGCTGGGGACGCTCGCGAGGTTGAGAGGGGTTGTAGATCGCGAGACGGACGTCCGACCATGGCACATCGCCGCGGCAGAGAAGGGGGTTCGCGCTCTATACCAGCTAATGTGAGCGAGCAGCTTGCTAATGGTTTCTTATCGGTTAGGAGTTTGGCTCGGATTTTGGTTGGCAGCAGACTCGGTGTTGGGCGCCCGCATATGGATGGGGTGTGGTCATGAGTTAGCAATTATGTTGGTGGTCTTACATGGATACTTGTAGGAATACCCGGGAGATGATAGCATCGGTGATAGATATTGGTGCATGGGTGAACAAAGTATGGGGGTTAAGATAATATGAATCTCCTACCCCCTCCCTTTTTTTCACCATGACAATTCTCTCTCTCTGTGTTTACTCACTTGGTTTAAGCCCCAAACCAGCTTTTTACTGTGTCTAAGGTGTATTCGCTCTATTCTCCACGTATGCATAATCATAATCTCTGTCTATAACCCATAAACCTCTCCCTACTTTAGGCCCAAGCCCCCCAAAACGCCATCAACAAGGCCTCAGTTGTCGAAAAATCCCGGGAACAGATACTCGACTCTCTTCACGGCCTCGGGATCCCTGCCCTCAGGCTTCGTGCAGTACTTGACCCCCATGGCGGAGCTGCCCTCCCAGTGCTTGGCCAGGACGAGGTCGCTATGCTCGTGCTTGGACAGCTCGTCCAGGACGGCGCCGACGAGGCGCTTGGCGTTGACGCTGTTGGCCTCCATGTACTTCATGACCATGCCGACGTCGACGTCGTCGGTGGTGTGCCAGCAGTCGTAGTCGGTGGCCATGCAGATCATCTGGTAGGTCAGCTCGGCCTCGCGCGCGAGCTTGGCCTCGGGCAGGGCCGACATGTTGATGACGGACCCGCCCCAGGCCCGGTACATGTTGCTCTCGGCGCGGGTGCTGAACTGCGGGCCCTCCATGCACACGACGGTGCCGCCCGAGTGCAGCGTCACGCCCTCGCCGCTCAAGGCCGCGGCGCAGCGGCGCACCACGGCCGCGGCCCCCCGGTCGAACGGGTCGGCGAAGCCGACGTGGCCGACCAGCCCGCCCTCGAAGAAGGTGAAGGGCCGGATCCCCTTGGTGCGGTCGATGACCTGGTCGGGGACGACAAAGTCCATGGGCCGGATCTCCTCGAGTAGCGAGCCCACGGCCGAGAAGGCGATGATGGTCCGCACCCCGATATGGCGCAGCGCGGCGATGTTGGCGCGCACCGGGATCTCGTGCGGCGCGAACTGGTGGTGCAGGCCGTGCCGGGCCAGGAAGGCGATCGGCACCCCGTTGTGCTCGAGGATCTGGATCGGCGCAGACGCGTAGCCCCACGGCGTCAGCGGGTTGAGCGCCGCCACGGGTGTGTAGCCCTCGATCTTGCCTAGCCCAGTGCCTCCTATCACGGCAATGTGGACGGGCCCTGAGAAGGAGGTTAAAGAGGTTAGCGGAGGTTAGTTCCTGGGATTGGGAAAGGTGCCCCGGGGGGTTTGGCGGGGAGATTGTGGACTGGAGATGGGTACATACGGTCGAAGTGATCCGGTAGAGAACCCATTTCGTCTCGGTTTTCTCTGCTCTCTATGTATGGATGGATGGAGTCGATTGAGCGTACAGGGCCAGAATCGTCTGCCTAATCTGGTATTGCTTAGATTCCCAAGTCCTTCTTGTCGCAACTAGAAAATATCTCACCAGGTAGGTACCGTTCCGTTCATCTAGGTGCAACCCGCCAGGCTGGCGCGGTGCGGCGGTACCTGTCTGATAGCGGGGCAACTTTCGAGATTTCACCCCGCCATGGCGAGAGGTCGTTAAACGTGGGCCCCGCCTGCAGGGTTCTTCTGATCGGCAAAACGCACTGTAATTGGTCAGGAGAAGACAGCTAGGAGACCCCATCCGGAACCGCATTTTTCTTCCAGAGCTTCGGTGAAGTTGCCAGGTACCTAGCCACAGACACCGGCGAAAGTTTTAGCCCGCTGTCACTTGGAAGATCAAAAGTTGTCGCATTATCCTCCTAAACAACAGGCATCCCAGCCACAAAGAGCTGAATCGATTACTTTGTCACAGCAAGTGTCTGCTCGGCTCGGTGCGGCAGCCATGGCTCCCACTTTAACCGCCCCCGACGATGCCGCCGGCGATCTAAGTGAGACCATTGAGGAAAGATGCTTTTCTGCGGCTCTCATCTGCTTGGAGGGCCATTACACAGACTCACCTCCCATGGGCCCCCTCACTAGTGCTAAGGTCACCAGCATGATATCTAGGACCCTAGAGAAAACTCACACTTTCAAAGAAGTTCGGTAAGCAGATTTGGATATTGCTGGCCTGCCACCGAGTTTCAGTTCTAACACCAATCATAGGGAGACTCTGTCGAGGAATGTGGCCATATGGATATGGCTCACCAGGATCTTTGCTGCTGCCATCCCCAACTTGACCACTCGTTCTGTCGGGCCACTGGCCAGCCTCAACGACCCGGAGAGGGGAGTGACTGCACAGGAGAGCACAAATCTCATCCTCAGGAACTACCCGGCCCTGAAGGATGATCTCCAGATTCTGAACAAACTCATGCACATCGCCCGGAATCTGCTTGTCACTGCCGCGCCTGAGGTTGCCCAAGACCTTTGCGCGGCAGTCCATTTCGACCAGATGGTATATCAGACAATCATCCTCTGCGTGAACGTCACCAGCAAGGGATATGATGGCGAGATTGTAGACGACACCTCCAGAGCAAAGCTGAACGAGATCACCGAGATGTGTAGGTGGAGTTCTTGGACAGATGTCTCTCGAGGGAGCTTGCTGACATGACTCCAGACAAGAAGATCCTCGTGACATCCCTTCAACAGTCCCATAACTGGACAGCGAAAAATGACCGCAACAAGATGTCATTTTGGTTCGACGTCCTGTTTGATGACGATCACTCGATGGATGCATTGGAAGAGCAGCTACAGTTCCGCCCGGACATTGCCAAAACCGAGGTCCAGCACTGGCTGGAACGGAATTCCAGAATGTGTGATAACGCTCAGATGCTGTTGAAGGCCTATGCCGAGACCCACGAGAATAAAGCTCCTGGGCCCCTTGCGCCTATCTCACCTCTTGCCGGGAACTGGCTACCTGGGAGTAAGGCGAACGTCAGGGCCGATGATCCCAAGGATGATACCAAGATCACCCCCCACTGGGAGGAGAACGAACCGGACAAGTTCGAACAAGATCGTGCATACGGACGCGTGTCTCGAGAAATCGATACCTGGTGGCTGAGGTGGCGGGATCGCAATTACGAGACCTGGGTTGTGCCCATGCCGTCCATTGACTTTGCCCAAACTCGGACGGAGAACTGCAAGAATAATCTCATGCACCGATATAACCATTCCTATCGTGCTGAGGACCATGGAGAGCCTCGCGAGGGAGCACAGGTGCAGGAAATCCATTCCGACGACGACAGCAGCAGAGTCCACGACGACCTAGATGACCCTATTCTTGAGGAAGACGACCTGGATGATGACGACTCTTACGGCGAGGGGCCTATGGCGGGACTCCTCACCGAGATACCGAACATCCTGGATCCTAAACAAATTGAGGCCTTGCATATGATCGTCAAGTCGTGCATCCTCGACACAGCGGGCGTCGAGCTCACCCGAGCAGGCGAGAACCTTCAAAAGACTCGATGTAGGATGTTCCTGGCTTTAGATTTTGGCAAAAGTCTGCTCCGGGAGATGCTCGTCTTCATCGCCGTCTGGGAGAAGGATGAGCAGTCGCTCATCTTCCAGATCACCACACAGATTGTCGAAGCCATCCACCACAGTGCCCTCATTCCGCACGCCTGGAACTCGCTACGGATACCCAAGGACATAATATCTCCAGCCCAGACAGTGCTTCTGAAACTCATCAACCACATGTTCAAGGCGCGGAACAGCAATCCTCCTGCCCCCGAGTCGAAGGAGCACCTCCGAGACGTGAAGTTGGTCCACTTTCTGTTTACGAATTTCCGGAGCCGCATTGTCCCGGAATGTGTCGCTCTTATGCATCTCCAGGCTCAGATACGTGGTGATGCCTGCGATCCCGCTGATTTCCCAGTCGACAACTGGGATATGGAGCGTGCAAAGGATGGCCTGGCCCAGTTCCTCGATTTCCTTGCGACAATAACCGAGGTTATCGACCTGCGAAAGTATCTCATCGAATGGGAAGCTTCGTACGACCTGATCACCCTCCTCAAGGGACTAGAGGCTGGCGTGCCCAAGAAGCCTCTTGTCGACCTTCCCGATCGGTCTGCAAACAGGCCCAGCGCCTCCTCGACCCCGGCTCACCACGACCATGAACACTGGGACGCTGCATCCCACGACCCATACAACCCACAGCACCCACCACCGCCCCCGCCCCCGCCGATGGTAGAGCACGCCCATAGGTTCGCTTGGCCCGGCATCAAGGGCCCCATTCTCACCATTCTAGCCGGCCTTCTCCAGCCTCCCCCGGGACAATCCAGCCCCGGCAATCCCGACGTCCAGATGCAGATCGTCCGTCATAACGGTATCGTCTCGCTGCTCAACTGCTGCGTCTACGACGACCACAACCGCTACGCCCGCGAGCGCGTCCAGATCTGCCTCAAGTGGCTGATGGACGGGTCTGACGCCGCCAATAACTTCCTCCGGGAGCTGGTCGCCATATCACCCCCGCCAAATATGCGTCCGGCCCCACCGGCCCCGTCGGCAGCTGGCGGGCCAACCGTGCCCCAGACGACAAGCCTTCGGATCGACGGCATCGCCGGCGAGGTCAAGGTGCAGGTGCGAACCCCGAGCGCGCCGGGGCCTGCGACGGCGTCCTCTAGCACCATCGGCAACGCCGGCCTCGCCATGCCCAACGCCTCACAGCACCTGACTCTCCCCAGCAACGGCAATAACAACAACAATAATAATAATAACGACATCGACCACGAATATGATGTGGCCGATAACAACAGCAACAACACCCTCCCGCCGCTGCAGGCGGGCGGCCCGGTGTCCCAGGCCGCCATGCGGAGCCGCTCCGAGGAGCTTCTGCGCGACATCATCACCCTGGCTGACGAGGCGGCGCGGCTAGCCCTGGGCCATAGAGACGCCGACGAGACGGAGGAGGAGGATTTCATGTAGGTGGGGGGAAAGGGGGATTGTTGGCGCGACCTGCCGCGGGTCGGGCCTAGACGGAATTTTTATCTGCCGTTTTACAACTAATAGGGGAGGATATGAGGCTCTGAAGCTTCCGGGAATCGAGATTGGCGAGGAGGCATATTTCATATGGCGGCGCTTGGGCTGTTTCTGAGATCCATCATCTACTAGGGGATCGATCATATTATTGCTGTTGTAGATTGTTATGTCCTATTAAGAGGGCCATCCTAGTATGATTCGGAGAATTGAGACTGGAAGGACTCAGTCAACTAGCCTTCGTCGTTGTCAAGGATATTCCCGCACCGGTTGTCGAGGTACGATCTTAGGGCGAATGTGATTCCATATTGGAGTTATAAGTTAAAGATATGTAGATACACGGCGAACTTTTTTCAGGCTTTTCTTTTTTTCTTCTCACCTCACTCCCCCTTTTGCTTTTCTCTTTCCCGCATTTCCCGCATTCCGTTCACCCTCGAAATATTTGAATACAGTTGGGAGGGGCGAGGTCATCCGGCTTCGATGCCTCGTTCCAAGAGACTCCTCCTCACGCATAGCTATTCCTAGAACACTTCAACTTGTTGGCCCATCTCCATCAGGCTGTGGAAAGAACAGTCGGCTAGGCTAGGCGCAGGATGCACCATCATCTTTCCCGATTGCCGTCGACTCCGTCGCGCACCGCAGCAAGAATGAGTTCCTTGGCCTTCTCAACCCCATCCTTAGAGCCGACAATTTCAATTGCCTCATCCTTAGCCTGGTCGCGAGGCACGGTGATCTTGCAGCCAGACTGCTTGCGAATGGAATTGACCTTGCTGCCGCCTTGGCCGATGACGTGACGGTAGGTTCGCGGGTCAGGAAGGACGAGGTATCCGGTAGCATTCTGTCTCTGGGCCTGTTCTTGCGCAGCTTCAATGGCTTTCTTGGCCTTCTCAATGTTCTCTGGCGAGCCGCGGAGAACCCATGCGATCTCTCCCTCTTCGGTAGAGGTATGCTCCACGACGTTCCACGAGTGCGCGTCCGCAATGGCATCATCATCGTCGGTGATGAGCGGAAGGGCACCACCGGTGGTGCGCGTGGTCGATTGTGGCGTTGGTTTCGGGGGGAGCGGCTGGCCCGCGTGATCAACTGTAACGCTGTGGTCATTCCTCAGCTTCCGGAAGAACTGGCCGCCATTGGCAATGGCGTGATGCAACTTCCGCGGAACCTGTATCGTCTCGCCCTCCTGTTCCTTGACCGTTGACAAGATGTGGGCCTTGGCCTTTTCAACGTCGGTAGCTTGTCCGACAATCTTGACACCAGTCTGACCACTGGCCTGTCGTGGTATGTCGATGGTGACCTTGAACTGCGACTCGAGCCCGCGTTTGATGTCGCCTCCCCTTCCGATCAGCGATCTGTGCTTTTCAGTCGGGACTTCTACGACCTCGGTAACTTCGTTCTCGCGCCGAGAGACCAAGTCCTGGATCTGGGCAACGACCTTATCCACGACCTCGGTTCGGCCTTCGATCTTGATGGTATTGCCATCAGAGTCTTGCTTGGGAAACTGAATAGCCCTCGCAAGCTCTCTGCGATCGCTAGAGCCACCGGCCTTGACGACGATGTCGCGAAGGGTAGATCCTATGCAAGTTGGTTAGCGTCCAGGCAGCAATGTATCGGAAATGGGGGAGGATGGGCTTACCGCCAGCGCCAATGAGGGCTTTGTGGTACTTCTTGTCGACCTCAATTGTCTTGACCACCGTGTCATCGAACACGGCTTTCTTCTCCTCCAAGATCTTTTTCGCGGCAGCAACCTGTGACTTCGTGCCCTTGATCTGGATTTCCACTACGCCGTCAGCCGAGTCCCGGCCGTTGGGGATGTCAATCTTGGCACCCGTCGCCTGGCGCAGTTGATCCATGCCAGAGCCACCCTGGCCGATGAGGGAGGGCAGATGCTTCTGTTGCATCGAAATAGAGGCGGTGAAGGAGTTATCCTTCAGGTACTGCAGGAGGGAGAGGATCTCATCTCGAGCCTCATCAGCGCCCTTCTTGGGACCCCGGACTATGACCTCATCCGGCGCTTGTTGGCGTCGGGGCTTGCCGGCCTCGCTGGCTGCATCGGCAACTGATTCGTCCTCCTTCGTGTTCTTGGCGGACCGCGGGAAGAAGATGAGGACCTTGTATCTTGTCTGCAGTTTATTGATCTGGTTGCCCTGCGCGCCAATGAGCTCCCTGTGGAACTTGGGATCGATCTTAAGGACGTGGTTGGCCTCGTCTGCCAATTGCCGACCGAGGGCCAGGATGTGCGTTTTTGCGGCTTCGGCCTTGGCCTTGGGTCCTTTGAGTTCAACTTTCCCGTCGTGGACTTGGATATCGACGTCGAACTTATCCCGCAATTCTCGAATGTTGCTGCCACCCTTGCCGATAAGATGGTTGGCAAACTTCTGGGGGAAGTCGAACTCCAGCGTGAACCCGCGTTCCTTCTCATCTGCCTTCTCTTGCTCGATGAAAGCTCGGCATTTTGAGGCCAAGCTCTCGACGGCAGAAACAGGGCCCCTGATATTCACAGTTGTGCCTAGGTTGGAGACTCGTACGGGAATTTGGCTTGCCGCGCGGTTCTCCTGTTCCTTCTTGATGAACCTTCGAAGCTTGTCATGGAACCTAACCCAAAAAAAATTAGAGAGGTCTGGGTGGCGGACAAACGGATTGCTAAAACTCACTTCTGAGGCACATCGATGGACACCGACGATAAATCTTCCTGCTGGTTAATGAGGTCGATGATGTGCTTCTGGGCGTCACGCAGCCCCTGCTGGAAGTTACGAATGTCTTCCGAGGTGGGCTGAGTCCTTGGGACCTGGTAAGGAGTGTCCGGGCTTGAAGGCCCTTCGTAGACAAGCAGAACCGGGGCCTCTGCCTCGGAAGTCTCGGGAACAACAAGGTGCACCCCGTAATCCCCACGAACCCGTGGGTTGACTTCAGTCCGAAGGTATTGGTGAAAGAAAGGGTCGACGGCAACCGTGGCCATCCGTGAGGGAGGATGGCTGTCGACAATCCCCTTGATTTCGGACTGAGCTCTGATCGCGCTCTTGCCATCCCGAGAGAATAGTTCCCAAGGAAGCGCACCCTCTTCTGTAAACGGAGTATTGAAGTGCACGTTATACAGCCTCTCCAACCGTTCAATCTCCTTCCTTTGTCGGAGGTAGCGAGTAACATTCCGGGCGTGGGAAGCGGCACCTCCGGGAGCCTGGCGGTGGAAGCGGGAGATGTCGATGTTGGAGCACTGCATAGTTGTCGCCAGGTCCATAGCCCTCTCCAAACCGACCTGGATTTGATTCGAAGGCCCGATGACAGTGACCATGTCGTCGTCCTCCTCGGTGGTTGGCAGAATGATGACACAGCCGGTGTCGTCAAAGAACTCATCGACAGGAATGCCCCTAGCTCCAATGATGAACTGATGACGGCCGCGCTGGATGGACAGCTGCTCCAGCACGAGTTGTTGATGGAGCTCCTCGACACGACGTTCAATCTCAGCCCGAGCTGCCTGCACGGCGGCGCGATCACCCGCAAGCTGGATGTGGTTGTCGTTGGCTGCGGGGACAAAGGTTGGCCGCTGACCCGGAGCCGGTGCGCTCGGTGGCGGTTGGGACGACCAGACCTGGTGAGGTGGGATTCGGATCTGAACCCCATTGTTTTCCTCCAGGCTCTGAGCAAAGCTGTTCTTGGGGCCGGCAAGGAATGGGTAGAACTCGGCAGGAATGCCCTTGACCTTGGTGTTGACGTTTGCAGCTCGCTCCCCTGCAATCTTCAGGATCGCGTCTCTCGCCGTTGCCGCGGACAGCGCATTTCCCTCGACAATGACGTCGATTGTACCATCATCGTCGTCGAATTGCGCTTGATTCTCATCAACCTTTGGCAGTTGGATCCTTGCGCCTGTCTTCTCTTGCAAAGACTTAATCGTGACTCCACCCTTGCCAATGATATGTGCCCTTGCCGATTGGGGGATGGCCACCTTCACAGATTGCTGTGTGCACAGTCAGCTGGCTGCCGAGTTCGAGTTAGCTGATTAAAAGAATGGCCTACCTTTGTGCCAATCTGTTGGACCAAGTCTTTTAATGCCTGCTGGGCAACGTCTTGGGGGCCAGTTGCCTCGAACTTGAGCTTTCCATTGCCCAAGGTGGCCATGTTGATGTTGGCTCGAGACTTGCGGTTGAGATCCTTGATGATGTCTGGGAGCGGTCGCTTCAACTGATTACGTGCCTGAACATGCTGGGGTTCGAGGTATAAAGTTTCGACATTACGGCCGGGGATTGAAATAGAAGGAGGGCCGTGGAGTCCGGGGCCGGTGGGGGTGGTCACGCCGGAAGCTGGGGTTGAGGTTCGGGGAGTGCCATTGGCGGAGCCGACGCCATTGGTTTTGCCATTGGCATTGCTCTTAGCACTCCAGACAGGCGCAACACTGGCGTTTGCTTTCGGTTTAGGTCCGCCGAGCTCGGGGAAGAGCTCATGCGACTGGGTGTCCAGATTGGCGGCTCGGCGGTCGGAGTCCTGTGCCTTCTGCTTACCCACCGACTTCACAGACGCTGGCTCCGCCCAGGATGGTTTCGCGTCGCTTCCACTCGCTTCTCCTGCCGGTTCATGTTTCACAGCGTCCTCGTCCGGGACTTCTTCGATGGTCGTGCGATGGGAGCTTTGGGCATGCTTGAGCTTCAGCGCCTCAGCTGAGGTTCCAAGATTGTCGCTGTCGGTCATATTGGTGCGAGAGGACTTGTTTGTCAGAGTAGCGGAGGTGATTAAGCGAGATGGGTGTAGGATTGGTTCCTAAAGGGTATCTACCAGAGATTGTATGTTAATTCGACATGCAGTCCAGGAGAAACTCGCGGGGGCGCAATCGTCGTCAAAGGGGCACATTCCCAAGACTTACATTAAACAGGACCACTACGACAGTGGGAGTCGGGTCCAATAGGTAGTCAGGCTCTGAATGGAAATGAGCCTTCGGTCCAATGCCAAGTCCCTTAACGAGCCCTGTTGAAGTGGCTTTTCGTGCGTCGTAGAAAGCCACCAAGATATATGGATCGGGGCTGAAAACTTTAGAACATGGCGAAGAGGAAACTGGCTTGGATAATACTCTATAGGGAAGCGGGGGATTGGGAATTGAGCTGAGAGATGGCCGCCAGGAAAGGGGGGGGAAGAATGGCGAACCCTTTTAAAGTTGCGTAAGGGGTGATGTGGAAGTTTCTCTGCCAGATGAGACGTATCTCGACGACTTCAACCCTGGCGGGGCGCACGTGACTTCCCGGCGTTTTGGTGCCTGTGTCGGGACTGCAGGCGTTCAACTTCCGACCCACAGTGCTTACTTGGCCTCAAAATTTACGGATACCTTCCATGGTATTGTGTCCGTATAGCACATGTACCTAGGTTAGTGTCCGTATAACCCCTATATCAGAATCTGCTAATGGCTAGGTAGTTGTGGACGTTGGGATAGGTGTGGACTTAAAAGACTTTGCCGCCAACTTGTGCGGTGCCTTCCATATACATGCGTATATATGGGTCGAAAAATGGGAGGAACAAAGTCGACAGGGAGGCAAGCGGCTTAGAAGAAGGGTGGAATAGCTCACCGGATCACGAGATACTGACCAACCTAAGTCAAAACTCGCAAAAAAGTGTATCTCCGGGCTAATGCAATTCTCGACGAGAGGTACTAATTGAATCAGTAGACACGATCCCCATATACTTTGGTAGCCGTGGATTACTAGCAGCTTAGGTAGACTGACGACAGGAGCAGATCTATAGAGGTGCCTGAAGATCTACCCAATGAGCCCGCGCTTGTTCCATCTAGCCTCGACCTATGTAGATACCCCTTGGTCATGGCACTCGCGAGTATGGGTCGGGCTATCTTGTCCGCGACGGCTTTCGAGTCTACGAGTCTGCCCAGAGGTTGAGATTGCCTAGATATCTCGTACAAAGTTGGGCATGGGATACCGGACATATGGACCGGTGTACTGATGCACATTCTCTTAGGACACCCTACGTCAACAGACGGAGGACGGACGCTCCAGATATCCCTATCGTATCCCTGCGGGGCGCCACCAGGGGAACTGTGACGAAATTCCAGGATCAGACCCAGGGTAGTCCGTATCATATCATTAGTATCTACCTACTGAGCGAGGATGGTGTTTTGATCTGGGAGTACAGGGCGTCGCTTTGGCGCCCAACTGTTATGTGAACCTTCCTGTATTGGACCTGTCTGCACCCGCTTCATATCGGGGCTTGGTTCCCAAGAAAGGCTTATTCACCAGGAACAGCTGTATGCATTCTTCCCATGCGGTACGCATCGTTGCGGGGAAAGATCGGGTCGATGTGCGCTTCAAGATCGTCGGACATGATCAGAAAATAATTGGTAGGGTTGGAATGGATTCTAGGTCTCCAAGGCAGGGACCTATGTTCATGAAAGATGAGTGTCTACTAGGTTAGGTAGGTAGCTACCTGTACGCAGTAGGTAGAGGTAGGTAAATTCAGGTATGTACTGATTGCAGGATGGAACCTTCCATTGATATTAATCTGTGGAGACACGCTACAGAAAAACCCAGGGAGGATCAATCTGGTTAAAACCAGGCTTGGCATCGCCTCTGATACTGTGGCTTTACACTGACGGGAGAGGTCCACCTAGCCTCGATGTTGTTGGGCAAGCCAGGAACCTAGGTAGGTCCTGCAAACTCGGGGTCTAAGGCTTGTACTATGCAGCATACTTGCTGAGTTTGTCCATCCTCCGGAGACTTACAGACGATGCATTTCGCAGAACTGGAGTTTTCGGTTGATGTGGCCAATCATTGAATCCTCCTTCGCTAGCTACCTACCTCCAGCCGCACCTTAACTGGCCCGGTCTTTAAGAAAGCCCCAACATTCGAGATCGGCGCGAGGGCGACGATATATAGCTTAGAACCAAACCACCTATCCAACTCAAACTTTGACACGGTCCTAGACAAGGTCCTCCTTGCCGTTTTAGCTCTCGACGGTTGGGATCCTCTCAGTTGGCGCCGACAACATCGTGAAACCGCCAGCCAAAACGGGGCCCAATTTAGGTGGGACAATTATTCGTTCGGGCCTTTCCCCACTGTCCAATGTGTCACTACGCATACATACGGCGTAATTTGTACACCTGGTAGTATACCTACCGCCTCAGTTTTCAATGGCACTGTCCTGAACGAAACGGATTATATATGCACGATGCGACACATCTACACTAATAATAAGCACGCTGGTGCTCGTCACCCATGCCTCGTGAGACTCGAAGCAGCTGTCTGCTAACTCCTCCCGACTGAGTCCTGGGACGGTGGGATTCTTGCGGATACTTGCCTCAGGGCGGAGGTTGTGGCGGCGGCGGCAGGGGATATCAACACGCCTCCCTGCTTGCTGGGCACCACCTCTCTCCACTGAATGGCGAGATTCATCAATTCAATCCTGCTCGTGTTGCATGATTCCCCCTCTGGGCCATGCCTCGCCATGGTATACGGCAAGGGTTGCCAGCCGAGTCCAGGGCGATTTGGTTGATTTACAGATAGATCAGGTTTTTGCATTAACTACACTAACTCGGATTCGTACGAAGTACCTTGCTTTGCTCGGGTTGCGTTTACGCCCCCCCAGCGGGGGCCGCACCTGCCTCATCTTCCTCTCCTCCTCTCCACCGTTGTCCATGCCCAATACCTGACTGGGGGTTGCTGCCTCTTTCGAATGGAGTCATAGCTTTCCCTTTCCATCTTCTCCAGAGTCCATTCCAGTTACAAGAGGCTCGTGAATCATTGACGACATTTCCCATCTGTGATTGACACCCCGAAATCCCAAACTCCGAGCCGCAATATTACCGTAAAACCACCGGCGGCGACCAACGGCAGCGTAAAAACGGAGCGAGACCTCCGTCAGGCGCAGCGTAACTCTACAATTATTGGCAGCCACTGACATAAAAAACAAAGGTCGAAACGCAATTTTTCCTCGCACCCTCCTATACCCCGTACTTCACACACCTACTACCGCCCCTCGGCCTCCTCCCACCTCAGACCATCGCTCTCTAGCGGCCGACGGACGTTATTCTGCTACACCCAACTGGCTTTTTCCCGTGGATCATGGATAGCCAAAGCCAGCATCTTCCTTTCAACGGCAATTCTCAGCGTCGCAAACTGACTAAGAAAGCACCGCCCTCTACTCATCTCCACTCCAGCTCGCTCAGCATCGATGGTCGCATTGACGCCCAATCCATCCAGAGCAAACGGAGCTTGACAAGCCTGAGGCGGGCCCCGAGCGCTCCACCTTCCAGGACATCAACATCAAACGCGTCCAACAGCTCATCACCACGATACCCCCCGACCGCAATACGATCCAATCCGTCGCCCGTCCTTCCCAGCAGCGAGTTTGCCGGCCCCTCCTCCTTCTACTCGCAGCCTCTGCCCCCTCTCTCCAATCGCGGAAACCGCCACTCCGACTCGGCTTCACACTCCCGCCCCCTCAGTTCCAAGACATCCGAGGAACTCATTGGGGCGCCTTTCGACGGGACCGCGATCCTCAGTCGATTCGAAGCCACCAAATCGTCGACTCACTACCTCCCTCCTCCCCGCCCTGCACCTCCCCCGCCGCGCGCCGGCCCCGACACCAACGCCAGAATCATGAGCCCCCCCACACTGCGCCAGTCGGCGAGCTTCTCCGCTGCCGACTCTGGCGCCGACACCCTGGTAAACGACGACAAATTCCCATCCAAGGTCGAGAGCTCCGCGATCGCCCCGAAGCGATATTCCGACGACGGCAAAGAATCCAAGCCGCCCGGCGTCCTGAGGAAGAAATCGGGCTTTTCGGGCTTCATGAACAGCTTGGTGGGGTCGCCAAAGAAGCCTCTTATCTCAGCGCCTGAGAACCCCGTGCACCTCACCCACGTCGGCTACGACAGTGCAACGGGTCAATTCACGGTTCGTTCATTGCTCCTCCGTTTCGCCTTTGCTTTCCTGTTTTGATGTCTTCTTTGCTGCTAACCAGCCAATAGGGCCTTCCGAAAGCGTGGCAGCGCTTGATCACGGATGCGGGCATATCAGAGAAGGACAGAAGAGAGAATCCGCAGATCCTCGTGGACGTGTTGACATTCTACAAGGAGACAACTGAGAAGCCGCAAGAGGACCAGCAGCTAGAGAAGTTCCACGATGCAAGAGCGACCGATTACCGCTCTTTGGCCACCACACCGTCATCCACAACAATGCCGTCGCCCGCCACGCTGACCCCGGGCAGCTATCCACTTTCCCCCATGATCAGCCCGCCCGCCAGCCCCCGATTTCCACAGGTCAACAATGAGAGCAGCTTTATGTATCCGCGAGAGCCACCTCCGGTACCGAATAAGACACCGGGGGCGCTGCCCCCCAAGGATATCAACATGGTGCCCAGTCGGCCAGCACCAAAACCTCCGGTTAATCTTCCCAATAGGGTGGCTCCCCATCCCCCTTACCCTGCAAAGGACTCGGGCATCGGCATGCCGCCGCCTGGCGAGGATGCACAAAGCCCCACGAGCGTTCCTCCCAAGGACAATGTGCCAATGCTGCCCGAGGAACACCGGTCAAGGTCGAATTCCCGGGTAAATGGCGCACCTCCCTACACTTCTGCCCAGGCCTCCTCGATCATACCGCCGCCTACAAACCAGGCCGCGGCGTACCAGCAGCAATTAATGCAGCAGCAGCAAGAGCAGGCCATAGCCCAGGCCCAAGCGGCGATGACCGGCCAGCTCAGCCGGCAAGCAAGCAAACGCCAGCAACCTACACCTCCCACTTCTCAACACCAATACCCTAGGCCACCCGATGCAAACGGAGCAGCAGCCCGTGTTCCCCAACCCCAAGCCCAATCCCAACCAGGCCCTGTTGTCCCCGGCGGAGCACGGCCTAGACATCGGCCTCGCCAGAGCAATAGCATTGATGTCATTGCCCACCTCAAGAGAATATGTTCGGAAGGAGACCCGCGGGATATCTATCGCGGCTTTACCAAGATCGGACAGGGTGCCTCTGGCGGCGTATACACAGGCCACGAGCGGGGCAGTAACCGGCTTGTTGCTATCAAGCAGATGAATCTGGAGCAGCAGCCCAAGAAAGATCTCATCATCAACGAAATCCTCGTCATGAAGGAGAGCTCACATCCCAATATCGTGAACTTCATTGACAGCTATCTGTGTGGTGGAGAGCTGTGGGTCGTCATGGAATTCATGGAAGGTGGGAGCCTGACAGACGTCGTCACGTTCAACATCATGACCGAAGGCCAGATTGCCTCGGTATGCCGGGAGACCCTCAAGGGGCTCCAACACCTTCACTCCAAAGGTGTCATCCACCGGGACATCAAGTCGGACAACATCCTCCTCAGCATGGATGGTAGCATCAAGCTGAGTAAGTCTTCCTTGCACCCTCCAGTCGACCGCCTAGGTTTCTTGTTCTGACAATCAATATAGCCGATTTTGGATTCTGTGCCACCATAAATGAGGCCCAGAACAAGCGTACGACCATGGTCGGTACGCCTTATTGGATGGCACCCGAGGTTGTCACCCGGAAAGAATACGGCCGGAAAGTCGACATCTGGTCATTGGGGATTATGGCCATCGAGATGATTGAAGGAGAGCCGCCCTATCTAACTGAGTCTCCATTGCGAGCACTGTGGCTGATCGCCACAAATGGCACACCCCACATCAAGGAGGAGCAGAATCTGTCAGCTGTCTTCCGGGATTTCCTCTATTTTGCCCTCAAAGTCGATCCGGAGAAGAGAGCCAGTGCCCATGACCTCCTAAGAGTAAGTCATGCATCCTTGTCTTGCAGCTCAATATATAGGACCTATCTGACAATTCCTTCAAGCACGACTTCATGAAACAATGTGTCGATCTATCCCAGCTCTCGCCCCTGGTCCGAGCAGCAAGGGAAGCTCGTGCACAAGAGAAGGCTCGCAAGGGACAATAACTGCCCCTTGTCTCTCATGGCCTCCCCCTTTTCTCGAGAAAACACATTTATTTTTTCTTTACACCTGTACACTGTTGGCAACTCATCCAGGACCCGCACATTTCTAGAGGAGACATGGTCCCCTTCAACCATCAAAACCAAGAGAAAAAAAACAAGAGCCCCGGTTCATGCCCAGAGATTCTCTGCACATACTTGCACCACGCCTGGGACATTCTACTCACTTCGCCAAACTAAAAACATACACAACGTTTTTTTTTATCTTCACCTGCAAAGTCTTGGCTTTTAAGCTAGGACAGGGCTCATAACCTTGAGGCCCTGATTAGCCTTGTCTTTGCACATACTCCACAGCGGGCAGTGGGCTACTTTGCTTTATGTTGGGATGCCGCCGACGTCAACGAAGATATCGTGGCATATAATTCTTCAGCTTTGTTTGGTGTCTTGCTAGAAGGGAAAAGCGATTCCACTGCAGTTTACGGCGATGAGGATGGATGGATGATTTTGATGACGGAGAGGTCGACGGAAACTGACCCTCCACTGCGGACGAGGAAATCTCAAATGGGGAGATGACACGAGTTGAGAGAGCTCACGGGGCAACGGAACAAGCAATGGGAATCAGGATCACTAGCATCTCCATTCCTTCTCCTGTTTGTGTTTGGAGTAACCTAGGAGGGATTTGCTTGCCTATCTCAGTGGTTGCTTGTCATTCCCTCGAAAGAGAGCGGGCTGGGGCCTGGCCTGTGTTTTTTATACCTTTACTTTCCTCTCGTCCATCACAGAAGGAACAGATATGGGAAGTTCCAAGGGGGCCAGGCATGGTTGATGCCCAGTGGAATTCACAAGAGAGGGTGTGTATATACAGGTAGCCATTCCCAGCTCTCCACATTCCGGCTGGTCAATAGAACTGCCATCAAGGTTGAGGTCACTTGTACGGATCCCTAGTTAGCGGTTTTGCATGTCCTAGCAAGCAAGGATGCCTCTGCCTCAAGCCTGGTTTGGAAATACCCGGCCTCGGATGCTATGCATCGTGGCATTACAGCAAGGGCAGGTAGGGGACAGGAACAAACGCATTTGAGAAGGGGAGATCAAGGATAGCAGACACCAAGGGGATCACACACTCTACGTATAATAAGAAGCATGGAAGCATGGATGGACTATTCAAGCCAACGCGAGAGTTTGTTTCCTCGGCGCATCCCAAATTAAGCAAGCTTGCTACGTGCTTCCCCTTCTCATAGTAGAATGAATGGCCCAGGTTGGTGTGACCATCCATGACAATGGAGGAAGAAGCAAGCACCGTCACCCCCTCTGGGAGCGATTAGATTCAGATTGCAACGACTGCAACGTTTGTTCTTGCCTGCTCACTCTTTGCACAAGGGGCCGCTTCATTAAAGGGGGCAAATACCACGGAGCCTAAACCAAGCTCTGGCCTGCCTAGGTGGAGAGATGAAGGTTCACCATTATTCTCTCGCTTGGCAAGATTTTAAGGAGAGTCCATATATAGACAAGATGATCATCGTGTAATATTAGGGTGGTCTAGCCATCTATGTACCGGGCCAGTATTTCTCTATCCTTGGTAGCAAATCCCTGCACCAGGTATTCGTCGTTGGCAATAAATGCGTGCCAGTTCCCCTTTTTTGCCGTGTGGAAAGAATAATAATCCCAGCAAGACCGAAATGTGATCAAAAAAGCCCCTCCTTATCACTCCTAAACCCCGAGGCAAACCCAGTGTGCCAGTACAATGAGAAAAAGAAGAAGAAAAACGCAAGCCATGCCATGCCAAACAAGACCAGACCAGAGACCAGACCGGCCAGACAAGCTGTCGACGAGAAAATGGGGGTAAAAGACAGAAGGGAATTTGAATGCCGGGATAGGCCGATCCATAGTATATCCGCAGTGTATATCTGGTGAGTTGCCAACACCAGCGACTTATGGAGATCCAATGGGTATCAAGCTAAAGCACCACTTTCTGGAGACTCTTACGAGTCGAGACCCGAAACCAAGCAACATTAGTAGAGGGAGTAGCCTCCATCAATGATGACATTGGAGCCGGTCATGTAGGAGGAAGCGTCGGAGGCCAGGAAGACACAGAGGCCATTGAGTTCGTCGACGTCGCCGAGGCGGGCCTGGGGGGTGAGGCTCTTCCAGATCTTCTTCTGGGCATCCAAGGCCGGGACCTTGTTCAAGGCAGTGTCCATGTAGCCCGGGGAGATGCAGTTGACGCGGATGTTGTACTTGGCCCACTCAGCTGCGAGGGACTTTCCAAACTGGATCACGCCAGCCTTGGAGGCGTTGTAGCAGCTCTGCTCCTGGGGGTAATTGACGATGCTGCCGGACATGGAGGCCACGAGGATGATGGAGCCAGGCTTGCCAGCCTCCATCATGGAACGGCCAACAGCCTGGGCCATGAGGAAGGAGCCGGTCAGGTTGATGTCGATCAGGCGGCGGAACATTGCTGGGTCGTACTTCTCAGCAGGGATGTTGGAATCGGCGATACCAGCAGAGTTAACCAGGACATCTGGAGCCCCATAGAGGTCCACAACGTTCTGCACTGCGGCATTGATGGCATTTCCGTCACGGACATCGACCTTGAAGAAGCTGACAGGAAGGCCAGACTTGTGGTGCAGTTCACTTGCAGCTTCATCGCCGAGTTCCTGGTTGGCATCAAAGATGACAATGGCCTTTGCACCAGCCTCAGCACATGCAGAAGCCATGTAGTGTCCAAGACCGCGAGCGCCACTGGCAGATAGATTAGCGTGGGAAGGAAAGTGAAATATTGGCGACAAGGACTTACCCAGTGACAATGATGACCTTGCCCATGACACTCATCCTCTGCATCGTGGCAGGCATCTGAGAGAAGACCTTCTCAGTAAGGGGTTTAACCACATCTGTGTCGGCTACAGGTCCTTGGCCCTGAGAGGTATGGCGCACAGGGATGCTGAAGTGATCCGAGTTAGCCGAGGCGACTCCCTTTGAATCCGGGCTGTAGACCGACACAGGCACTTCGGTTTCCTTGATGACTTCTGATTTGAGCCATGAGGAAGATGCGGAGAAAGTGGCGCGCTGTGTGAAAGCAGGAACTGCGTTGCGGGCAACAGGGCGGGTTGCCAGGCGCATGGTTGCCCGCACGGCTGAACGAGCGATGGCGACCATTTTGAATTATGTGGTAAAGAAGCGGAGAAATGTGAGGAAAGGTCTTGGTGATTGGGTCAACGAATTATGTCGCCGAGGAAGGTCGTGGTGGTTTGGTTTGGCTAGTGGAAGAAATAAGTTGTTAGGTGGTTGACCGAAGCCGAAATGCTTAAGTATCTCAGCAAGGCGGTGATGGCAAATTCCTGGTGGGTCGTATAGAAGACCGAGGTGAAAACTCCTCGCTTGGATTATGTCCGAGTGAAGGTGAGGTGAGTGAATGATCCAAGGCAGTGGAGGTCCTGAAATCCGTGAAGGCGATCCTGAGAAATCAGGGGACTGTGGTTTCCACTTGGTTTGATAAGAGTCAAGATTCTCCAGAAGCAGGTGGAGCAGAGACGACCTTGTAAAAGGGTAGCGTTTTGCCTAGTGAGTGGCCTCTTCCTCGAATTTCTTCAAGTCCGTTTTGGGATCTCTGCTGCTTATGTGTGTTTGCAACCGTGATGGGGGCTCTCCAGAACTGAAGGGCTAGGGTCGACAAAGGGGGGTGAGGGATGTATAGGCTGGGAAGTGGCGATATGTCAAGGTACAGCAAATGTACCAGGGCTCCTCAATAGCGACCACAAAACTGCTTGATGCGAAAAGAAACCCGACAGCTGTCGTAAACTGCCAGGCTATTATATGTGGACAGAGAGCACAGGAAGGGGGGCAAGGGGGGAATATGTCGAGCCGACCGGTTTACAAATTGAGGCGGAGTGATTTTCTGGACCAAGAAAATTGCAGATGTGGCGAGTCGAGATGGGGCCTTTTTCGTATCCACGCAATCCACACAATCCGCTGCAAATGCCGACTGACACACCTGATGCACACCCGGAAATAAGCTTTTAGTCTAGACAAGTCTACGGGGACCACAAGCCGCCGAGAGACAAAATCAGCTACCACACCTTGCAGGGTCACCCCGAACAAGACATGGCACCACCATTGCTAGACACACAGCAATTTGAAAGCAGCCTCGACAACCATAAGGAACACAACCAGAAGGAAGCGGCAATAGTGCTGAAGCTGCTCCTTTGGCTGTCCATTCACTGGGCCTGGCAGGGTTGCTAAAGGGGGGGGAGGGGGATTGGGGGTGATGGGGTTGATTGGAGAATATCGAGTCAAGTTGCACACACCTTTCGGTTCTTTAGGCTCTTCCTGTCTTTGTTCTTTTGCGTCTTCTTGTGCAAGTCCCCGAACAATGGGTGATAGACTGGGTTTGTATATTTGCCAGTCTCATGCTGGAGGTCCAGTCCGGAGTATTTATATGCAATGGGGGCCCAGGAACTAAAGGTCGGTTGTGAGAGACAATTTCCCCGAGCGAGTGGAATTGCAAAGAGGGCCGATAGCGGTTCCGCCCTCGATCCTCCTGCCTCCTGGTGTTACTGTTTCGGGTCCTAGAAGCTGGGGAGGTCTGATTGCTGCTGCTGCTAGCCCCCGCCAGCCTCAAGTGTGGAACCCTAAGATTGGGCCACCGAGTCACAAGACCAACAAAGTAATACGAGTGCCTGTCTGTTATTTCCCAGTCCGTGTGGTCTAACGGAGTTACAGACGGACAGGGACGATATTCAGACTTCTGCGACAGAGACGACGGCAGGTGTTGTTACACAAGCTGTTGGCTATCATTTCCAAACGCCCCCAATCCCTGGTTGCCGGGATGGACATTTTTGTTTCGACAAAGGACCCTCGATCCCGCCAAACAAACCTACGTTTAATTTCTACCTTACGTTGTACGTGTACGTATACGTGTACGGTGCTCTACAGTCCACACGCGCATCCGTACACTCGAGGTGAGATATCCTAGCCAGTTCGAGGCATTCTCACACGGCGCCGCAGTCTTCTTGGCAGCAGCCAAAAAGCCGGCCCCCATCGCAAGGATCGCCATCTGATTGTTGGCATGCGGTCCACCATGATGTGGGGGGGAAGATGAGGGAATTACGGGTTTTCTTCACACGATTGTCTGATTTTGGGTCACCCACTTGTCGAGATTTGTGCTGGTGTTTTGCATGACGAGGCAACATGCTGAAAGCTTCCCGCAACCGGACAGGGGTAGCTCTCCACATCTCAAAATGCAACCCCAACAATAAGCCAGTTAACCTTGGGCGACAAGGATACACCACACAGGAAGGGCGTCCAGGCTCCACCAGTCCCAGGGTTCATCGTTGTCCGGTCCCTCCAGCAAAGTCCAGCGGGCATGCTAGCGTAGCGTCGTCGGTGTGCTAGCGCTTCGGTATGCACCGGTATCTGCTGTTGGCTTGCTGCAAAGAGAACACCTTGCTTTGTGTAACTTGGTTAGTGTGGGGGCGGCACCATTTTAAGAAAATTTCATGATTCCACTTTTGACTTGGCTGCCAGGGTGCCTCCAGTCCCACATACTAGCGCTCCCAGCTTGGGGGAAGCGGTGAGCATCTGCGGCTGTCCTGCACGTCGGCAGGGGTAGCTGCAGCAACCCCCCCGCACCCTGCTCCCAGTGTTTCCACTCCCCACTGTTTCCAGTGTTTGCAGTGTTTCCAGGTGCTCGTGCTTCGAGTCTTGGTTAGAAATCATCGAATTGGCTGGATGCGGTTGCCTTCGCAGGCCCTCTCACAACAAACATGGGGGCTATCGCAATCAGCAGCTATTGCATACCTCAAGAATTACACATAACCATTACCCCGGACGAGGGACGTTTGAGGTTGGTAATTGCCTAGCTTCACAAATTATGAGATTGGTTGAGATATATTGAACTGCAACTGCACGCGTAACTGACAAGGCAAGGTACCCCAGAGCCAAACAGACTCTGCAGGTCATGTGCACCACTGCATAGCTTAGGTCTGCAACCTGCCGTTCCCGGCAGGGGTTCCGGCATCAGGCTCAGCTTCAATCAAAGAATCTGATTGCAAAGTTTCCAATTCTAAGCATTGATGAAGATCGATCTAAAGACGGGACCGTCGAATCGGTCCCATTGGAATTTTTCTTCAAGGATCGGCTTGCCTCCCCGTGAGACCTGCAGCAAATGGAGCAAATGCATGGGAAACTGATTTGATCATATCTAATGTGGTTTGGTTTGAGGAATGAGGCGCCATTCACCACAAACACAAACTCACCTCAGAAGCAAGCAAAGCGGAAATGCACATCAGTCACAGAGCTTTGTTGCTTCGCGTTCCCCTCCCACCCTGTTGGCTGCGACATGGGCTTGTTTCGCACACTAATGGCGGTGTATCAGACAGATCAGACAGGCCTTATCAAATTGGTCATGGAAACATCAAAATGCCAGCACACAAGGTGGACCGTGGTACGCAGTCAATTATCTACATGGCTTGGTCTCCTTTGCGTGCTTAGGCCCAGCCTCTTGGGAACGTCAGATGACCCCCTCCTGCATGAGAAGGAAAGGACAGTCCGCTCTCGGTGGAAACTCTGTGGATCCCGGAGCCTCGCCTCGTCGCCGTGGGGACTAGGATCTGCAGCCCTGGTCAGAATTCTACGCCGCAGTAGTGCGAGAAAGTGTGGGTGTCGAGCCGGCGCCAACACCGACACTCCTGAACCTATCAAGCATCAAATGTGCACCCGCTTTGCATCTGAACCTTGTTTCTGATTTTAAGGCTGGGCCATCCTGCTGCCCCGAGCCCCCGACAGGTGCTTTCGCTCACCCTCCCCAGCAGGACTTTGCTGTCGGAATTCTTCTATCCAGAGATTCCAGACAACTCCTAGCCAGTCGGAGCCTCAGGATGGTGCACAACCCATTCGCTAGCGATTCTGTCCCAGGAGGTCTTATCTCCGGGGTCCGCACACGAGCTGGAGGTGCGGCAACTTGCAGCAAGTGGCTATCCTGGGAAGGCATCTGAAGGCGAAGATCCCGAAATGGCGAATATTCTCTCCCCTCGCATCGGGTCTATTTTTAAAGAAATTTCTCCCCTACGACTAGAACCACAAATGTCAAGATTTTACTAGATGCGCACGGATCACTTGACCATTGGCATCTACAAGTTCGAGATCCGCTTTCGGACTACACTAAATAGGTACCTAAGCCAGGCACAAAAGGACAGTGGGTTTTGATCGTATCCGGCAACACTACCTAGCTTGAATCAAATACTACAGTAAACGCAGCATACCTGAAGAATCTTACATTCTTCTTCAACCGTATCCTCCAGCAAGATCCTGATGGGCATTCCGTCTTTGCCTACCTTGCCTGTCTACCTACCTACCTAGGCACATGTACAGTGCGTACCTACCGCTAGGTTGTCAAACTCGGAGCTTCCGAGTGGCCCGGCCAGCGACTAGCGCGGCTAAGGGCCTTCTAGAACGTTTTCCGCGCCCCACAGAACCTTGGACCTAGTGTTATGATGCGTGGGGGCCACAAGATCCCAGGAGTTGTGAAACGGAACGAAATCCACTGTTCGTTGCTCCCAAAGATGGTTGCTAACCAACATGACGTTCCATTCGCGGCCAATAAGGCCCTCCCCTGGTGGACCTGGCCAGTCCTAGCCCTGAGACACCCTCAGAAATCAGAATCGGCAGTGGTCTCGACGTTTCCGGCCCTTCGGAGCCGAGGCAGCCCCAGCCCCAAGCCCCGGATCTAGCCCAGAAACTCACGATAGCCTCAAAAGAGCTCGCCACTCCCGCAAACGAGGAGCTCGGGCCACACCTCCCATTTTCCTCGCATTGCCGCGCCCCCTCCCCCCCTGCACCCTTGAACCGGCTTTCGCAGATAGCGACGGGATGTATGTCCCTTTCCGCGCGGCCCAGCGGATGGTCCCGCCCCAGAAAGAATTGCTTGTTTTCAAGCAATGCACCTCTGCATGTCGCACAGCTGCCGGGGGATGACGCTAGAGGGTCTAGAACTGACTGATGGCCGCCAGTCGACCTCCCTAAAGAGGCTGCAAGTGCTGACTGGCGCGAGGTTGATTGATCGATTGATCGATCCATTGATTGATTACATAGAAGCTACATCCACATCGTTGCGACTGCTCAGCAAATAATTCGTGTAATAGGCAGAAACCAGTCCTCGTTATCGAAGTCCCCTTGGACAATAGAGCCAGGTCCCCATCAGCAATCGAAGCCAGTTGACATCCCCTCCCTTTAGATACCTCACCAAGAACGCCAGCAGAGGGTATGTGTTCGGCACATAAAAACCATGACTCTCAACGAGTTTTACCCTTGGGCGCTTCGGCCGATGGACGTCTTTCGCGCCGGCAGACACTGCCGTAGACACGAGCTTAGGAAATTAACCCTGTAACGCCTTCAACCAGGGCCGCTAAATCAGCGCATTTCCCCTGTTTGCCTGGCCACGGCCACTCAAAACTCGAGCAGCTGCAACAGGCTTGCAATATGCGGCGCAAGACTCTTGTTCTCCGCCATGATTTCATAGAGGCGTGGCAACATGGGCCGGAAGAGTCGTTCGTTCCAGCCCCCATTCTCACCCTCACCCTTATTCTCTTGGAGCTTGAGTAGCTCTTCCTCGGCCTCGGTCTTGACAACGTTGCGAGCAATGTTCCGGAGAACGAGGATTGCGCTCAGCGGGATTCCGGCTGCCTGGGGGAGCGCGTTCGGGTTGCGCTCGTCGCGGACGGTGACAGTCTCCTGGTAGGTCAGGTTGATGATCCTTGCCGGACGGACATACGGCGGTTTAGGACGCTTGTTGCTGCTGATGATCGAACCACCGGGTGTCTGCGAAATGTCGGTGTGCTGTGGGGCGTTGTACTTGCGCTCCTCTATGACTAGATGTGTTTTCACATGGGCCATGAAGGTGATGAAGGGAAGCTTAATGGGCTGCGGATACTTCCTGCAACCACCCCACACGCATGAGCGCGCGACCCCATCGTCCTTGTTGCTGACCTCCTTGTTGCTGCCGTCTTCACTGTCGCGCAGTTCCTTGCCAAGGTGGTGCTCGATGATATGATAATACATCGGCTTGGCACTGGCAAACCAGACGCCGCACTTGACTGGTTCACCGGGCTTGGGTTCATTGCGTGCCCACAGGCAACGGAAGTATTCCCGGCCGTCGGGGCTGATCGGTCGCGAGCGTGGTCGGATTCCCTTGATGATAAAGCGATTAACCTCGCCCATAGGGCCGTGGTCGCGCACTATCTGAGCCCCCGCGCTCTGGTACACCTGGCTGATGTTGCGGATGAACTCGGCGGCATTGATCAGGCTCCGTCCGCTCTTCTTGAGCGGCTCCAGGAAAGAATTGGTATATGCCTGCCAGACGGCGATCTGGGTGATTTGAGATTCCGGATCTTCCTCGAACAAACACCGCAACCACTGATAGCACCGCTCCGGTTCCTCTGCTGCAAGAAGCCGCTCAAAGAGATCTCTGGGGATCTCAACGATAAACTCGCCTCCAGGAGTTTTATGCTCCGGCTCGATGACGAGTTCCTTGCTCTCGCGCTTTGCACCATGCGAGAGAAGTCGGACTAGGTGGGTGACCAGGTGCTCCACTTTGACGGCCTTCAGGAGACTATCGACATTGGTGACAACTGCTGTGTACTGGTAGAGGAAATCAAGGCAGGCATCCAGCAGCTCGTCATCGTTGAGCAGGAGCCAGTTCATGACGTTTTCAAGGACAGAAGCAGGCACTCCACCCAACTTGTTTGTCTGGGCCAGGTTCATCGAGACGCGGCCGATGGCTCGTAGAGCAGTGAGGATGCAGCCTCGATCATCTGAGTCGAGTTGGGCCAGCAATGTCTTGTAGAGAGGATCATCCGATTCCAAAATGAGGCATGGTGTGACTTGTTCGGCGATGTCGAGGGCGAAATGCTTCAGTTCCACCACCACCTCCTTCTTCGGAAGATGTAGGATGATGCAGAGCAGATCCTTGAGAACAGGGTATTCCGAGAGATAGGAGGCGTTGTCGTAGAGCATGGCCATGTTGCGGATTGTGAGCATGGCCTCAGTAATCAGCACCAGCTGGTCCGAGAATTCCGCCGGGCGAATGCTATCTTGGACGTCCTTGGGCGTCAGTTTCGCAATCCTCTCGAGGATATCCGGTGTCCCTTCGCTCCCGTCTAGCTCTCCAATGGGACCGCCCTCCTGGTCATGGTCGAAGGTTATTGTCCAGTTCACATGGTAGAATAGGTTTCCAACTTCAAGAGCCTTCTCAGCCAATCCGTCAACAAGACCAGGGAATTGCTCAAAACGGAACTTTTCCCCGCGCTCAAAGGATATTTTGACCAGATGGTGGAGACCGAAAGTTTGTTCCGACCGGATTCCGCTTCGAAGAGCTGTTACGCAGCGCAGATAGATGTTCGGTCCCTCAGAACCAGCTGGGCCCAGTTAGCATGGCGATTCCAACCACTTTGAGGAGCATCTGTGCATTCAACTTACTTCCAGGGGGCCGAACCTGCATGCTCCCCACAGCCTGCATGCTAGCTAGTCGCCGCGAGCGAGAAAACTCCTCGGGGGCATTCATCGGTGTTGGTACGACGCGCACGGGTGTCCCAGTGGGGTCTTGGGGTTGGTAGCTATGAACAACCCCCAGCTGCTGCTCGGGATTGGCGGGTCTCCATGCAGCTGTTGGACTGTCGCGCTGGGATTGGAGACGGAGAGCCTGCATGTTTGGAGGCTGGATGAGGTTGTGGGAATGGGAATGGGGTTGGGTATGAGGTGAAGGGTGGGAAGTGTGGGCAGCCGGGGTGGTATGCTGGCCAGAAGCTTGCCGGGACTGTCTCGGAGGGGCAGTATCGGGTTGGAAGATGACCCTCTGGGGAGGCGCCTCTCGGAGCCCTCTTGAGGCTCGAGCAGAGCCTGGAATATCCTCGGGTCGCCGATCCCTGACAGGTGTACCATCATCTCCATCCGAGCGCTCATGGGCTGTGTCTCGGCGGTTCGTCTTGTAGGTCTCCAATGTCCGCGTAAGGAGGCCACTACCTCGAGCAGTGATATGTTCGAGGATCTCCGGAGGCGGGGGTTCTTTGTTGTGGACAGTCCTGATTTCAAATGCTGCAAGGTTCTTGTAGAATATGGATTTGAGGCCAAAGGCAGCTGCCGGGGGATTGGTCGTCATCAGGCCCAATCCCTCGCACATCCTTCGCCAGGCGAGTTTCTCGTCCGAAACTTTGTCGTAGCCGCCACGCTCAACAATGTAGTTGAAGAGCTTGAAGAGGTCAACATGATTGAGGCCCAATTTTGGCAAGGGGTCAAGATTTGTGCCACGCTTCTCATGGAATTCTCTGAGCCTTGCCATGAACTCTTCATATTGAGGAGTTCGATCGACTGTGTGCACCGGGGCCATTTCTGGTGCCTCCACCGATCTTGGCGGCGCCATCTCTGCGCATGAACCCGCAGGTTGTGATTGTCTCGATCGATTGACACTATCTTTATTGATGTTTGTGTTGACGATTGTTTTGTCGGGCAGGTGGAGTTAACAATGGGGACGGAAGGCTGATTGTTGTGTGCAGGTCGCGTTGCGTTCCCGGTAACGCGAGGCTGAGTGGTTTTTTTGTGCAGGCCAGGTGGCCCCACCCAATAAAACGCACGGGGCAGTTTAGGTAGGTACCTAGGTAGTTATCTCAGGTAGGTGGGTACATACCTACTAAGTAGGTACAACTATGGCACGGACCACTGGCTCTCTCTGGTACGAAGGGGAAACAAACCGTACCAGAACCCGTACCTACCTACTATATGATATTCCATATGGCTTATGGACTACACCTAGGCAAACCATCGGAGATCCTCGAGATCTCTAGTAGCGACAGACAGGACGGGAGTCTACTCAGGCTGCTAGTAGGACCTACCTTGGTTACCCATAACTCAGGTGATTAATGATTTCCCCGTGGTCGGGGCTGCCTTCCTCTTTTGATGTCCATCATTCGGCTAGAAGCCCTTGATCTCTCATGGAAGGAAGAACCAAGGTCTTATGGGTACTTACCCAAATAAGTCAGATTCCCATTTATATGGATGTTGTGGCCTTGGCTCTAGAAGCTGGCCTTCCCTGTGTCAATTCCACCTATTGTTTTCCTTGCTTCTGACGTCGATCTCATCTGCCCTACTTACAGCATCGTGCTGGAATATCAGTAGCTTGATTAACGATGCCGACCCCAGCACCTCATGCTCTCCCACAGATGCCGTTCAGATGCCCACTGCGTTGGGTTCTTGTATCTGGGAAGCAGAAGGGTCAAAGTGAAGCCCAACTGGTCATAAAGCGCGAGGCAGGAATCTCCCCAGCCACGGATTCGCAAGGTACACAAACAGTTGCCAGACATGTCATGCTCGTCTATACTGGAAACAAGCCAGGTCCAGAGGTATGTCCCCCTTGGCTCTCTGATTCTCAACAGGCCCCTATTCCTAACTAGCCGGTGGAGGTATCCTTGCTCCTTGATCTGTTATCTCCTACTCCGAATGAACCTTTTCCGACGTTCCGATATTTCATGGCAAGCAAACGCTTGCTCTTCGACTGTCCATCTGATAATGGGCAAGTGGTATGAACCCGTCTCTGCACGCCTGCCGTTCGTGAACTGACTGGCTCACAAAACATAGGGAAAGATTGTCGACCTCTACTTCTCGGACGCTCCAATTTTGCAGAAGACTCTGTCTTTATTGAGTAGTCTCGGTATCAAGTGTCAGAGTTGTGGCGGAACCTTGGCTACAGTCACAAGATGCCAGTCCAGCGCGAGTTATCTCCAACGGTCGATCCTGAATGCCAGTCCTACCTACCCGGCCTTGTCTCCTGACATGTTACGGACTACGCAAGCCTTCTCTCCGCCTCTGATGCTTCAGTCCCCAGAGGGACGAGTCACCCCGGTTCAGATCCAACGGGTCGGAAAACGAAAGAGGACCTCAACGCCGGCAGTTTCTAATCATGGTCCCTTGATCGGAGGTCGGCTCCAAGCAGAGAATCCCATCCAAGGGGCTCGTTTCCATTCATTTTCGGAAGGGGCAGGAATGACTCGGCCTAGCTCAGTGCCGGTTGGGTTGCAAAGACATGGCGGCCCTCATATGGAGGTGGACGTGGCCGTTTCTCCCTATTTTGCGCGACCCAGTCTGCAAATGCACTCGTTTCCAGAGGTGCCTCTCGAACAAACACCTTGGCAAGACAACACGGAAAACAGGCTCGCAGCATCGGGGTCAAAACACCACGGAATGGGAGGTGCCATTTCAGGCGAGGGCAGTATTGATTATGACAATATTGACTGGGTGGATTCATCTTACGCTCCAATTGCCGAATCTTCAGCGAAAGTCACACCACTTCAAGGCGATGACCAAAGAGTTGCAACGAGGCAGCCACCAAAGCCCCCTGTCGTCAGTCACGAACCAACGATATCTGGGAACTGTCAGCCATTTCAGATATCTCGTTCAACTCAATGTGTTACCACATATAAGGATGCTAAAGTCCAGGTTGGAGACGAAGACACCTTAAGTACACTTATTTCAGATACCTTCTCTCACCGACTCCTGGACGTTGTCGACGTGTGGGAAAATATGAGGTGGGAATTGCGGAAGAGCGTGGACTCAACTGAGCTTGATGATGCAGCTCTAGAGGCACTTGTCTTGGATTATCAAGATAGTCTCGAGAAAGTCATTGGTCAACTGCCCAGCATCTGACCGAGCTACTGTTCCATGAATTGTAGGTTGCTAATCCTTGGCCGGGGATATATGCTCAGCTCCCTCGATTATCATGCGTATCTCGGCGTGCCACTGAAGTTCTCGATGGTTTTATTACAGTTTAGCGTCGTGAATTACTTCGAATGAACCGCAAATTGTATTAATGCTTCAAGGGTCGACAAGTTCGTTGAAAGTCTTGACCAACCCCATAGCGGCCCCCGCCGCAGCGCCTCCAATGATGACCATTTGAATGCCTCCAAAAACGCCTTGCCGTATGTATTTCGACCCTCGCCAACCCGTTACAATGCAAGTTTTCACATAACCGAATGAGAATAGGGCAACCGCCATGACGCCGATCGAGATGTACAACGCTCTGAGCAAATCATTCTTCTCGACGCAAAAGTACGGTACCAGCGGAAGCAGTCCGCCCAGGAAATACCCCAACGCAATGGTGATGGCGGACGTGAGGGCCCTCGAGGAGGCCGGCTCCTGCGCGCAGTGTTGGAACTGCATCGCGAAGTCGACCAGCCGGGGCGAGGCCGACAGGTGGGCAGCCAGGTCATCGAGAGTCTGGGCCGGCAGCCCGTACGGTGCGAACACATCCCGGACCTCAGCGACTACGGCCTGGGGGTCCTTCTGGACGAGCCTCTCTGTCTGGCACCGGGTTTCTTGGTATGAGGCCCTGCGGATGGAATTCCGGTGTTAGTTCGTTTTGCTGAAGCTGAGCCGAGAGATACGATATGCCTGGAGAGTACCGGGTTCTACGCAGTGAGGATAGCACTTACAGCTCGCTCTTCGCACCGAGATACCCGCCGAGCCCCATCGATATCGCGCCCGCTATCAACTCGGCTAGGCTGCCGAATATCACGATCCTAGTATCTCCCAGGGCAGAAAGGCCTGCTGTCAAGGCAAATGGGACAGTTAGGCCGTCCGAGAGGCCAATAGTCGCGTCAGAGATCACCCGGGCGTCGACCTTGAAGCTCTTTGGCAGGGGTGCCGTGACCTCCTGGCCAAGTAAAGGGATGCGTTGCTGGGCCTCAAGGTCGGCGTGGGTGATGGTTCTTGCTGAGTCTTCGGAGCTTTGCCGTCCTGAGCTATCTCGTTGTCGGATCACACACCGTCGCGACTCCGCGTCTGCGTCGGCGGTCCTCCAGAAGAGGTTTTTCAGGGCTACTAGGGACATGGCGTGGGCAGGATGTCCACTTTGATATCCGACTGAGGGTAGATTTATCTGAGATGCCACCGTGATACCGCCTGATAGAATGAATGGTTTGGAGGGTCACGGAGACCAACTGCCTGGAGGGAATTCCCTAGGTACTGAGAGGGTTATGTTGGGGGAAGGGGGTGCGGCGGATGATGGGCGGACTTTTGAGTGCCGCTTACGACGTGAGTGGTCGTGTTTGTATTGTATTTATATTTGAGCAAAACAGGGGACTCCAATATCTCAAAGGTACGGCCATGAGTACTTTATACATGGACACACCTACCCGTTTGTGTTGCTCTGCACCTTGACGGGCTGCTATACCTGCGTGTGGCCGTGGACAAGTGACGAATGGGAAGACAGGGAAGTAAGCCGGTTTTTTAGGTCGACTATCATTGGCTGTTCGGCGTCCTTCCCCTGCCTGCCCTCAAAGACGGGCAGGCACTTATATCGGTACGGTAGGTACCTTCCTGCCTGTTGTCATTGAGAAAATTCGGTTAGGTTGAAGAGGCAAACTGCATGCTTGCTTTTCTGACGTTGCTCTCGGAGGTTCGGAGCTGGTGATCTGTAAAGCCGGCCCTTGAAACATTTGTTTTGCGTATGAAATGATTGGTCAAAAATTCTGGGCAGGCACAGTCTCGTCGTATACCTACTGTGTAGGTATTGTAATTCGAGGATGCACATTCGCCCAGACGTATGCATGTATTGTATTGTACATACATAGCAATATGCACTGGCCTTCTAGAATTTTCAGGCACTCTTTTGGGCCATCTATTTGAACATCTCTTGGCACTACTACCAATGTGACCACTGGCAGTACTCCTTATTCCAATGCTAACTCCGGTCCATGCTATCGTCCCCTCCTCGTCCTGAACTTGGTTGACAGGACCCGAGGACCCCAAAAGGAATCATACCATGCGAGTTCATCCTTGCGTCACCAAGTGAGTGATTCGCTTTAGCTCGAAACGCCCCCAATGCTTCCAATGTCCGAATAGCCTGCTTGTCACGGTTCCCTCCTTTCTTTCCCCCTGCTCCTACGCCTCCTAGTTGGTCTACTCTCGCCAGCCGTAGCTTCCTCCTTCAGCTCGTCAGTCAATTTCTGAGTGAGCTTTTCCAATATCCACTCCGTCTCGTCTTGTGAGCACATCAAGGGACTCCCGTCCCCCACCCAACTCCATTTCGGTTTCCCATCATCCTGGGTTTTCATCTCCCAGTCGCTAGACTTGTTGGTGTGGGCATCTGCACTCCCATTCGCCTGCTCGTCGTTATTGTGAGATCTGCTTTTCCCACGATCGCTCAGCCCCCATTTCAGATGTGTCTCGGCGCTGGCTTCGTCCTCGCCAATGAGCTTGAGATACCGCACCCACTCGTAGTACGTGTATCTACGGGGCGGGTCATGTTTGAGATCTTGTGTAAGCTGTGCAATCTCTTCGATCAACACTAGGTGATACTCGGCATTCCGGGTTGGGATCTTGGCCAGCCCTTGCCGCGTCACTGGCAGGCTTCGCTGACGACTTAGTTGTGTTGAGGCACCGCTTCGGGATGGTGGCTGTCGACTTTTTGCCCTAGATCTCTCTCCAGATTTCGATGTCCTATTCGCGGACATGCTGCTTTCGGCGGCTTCGTCCTCGGCCTTGCGCCTATCTCCCTTCTCGACGTCAGGCTCAGTATGACCTTGTTCTCGTTCTGTGACTCCCTCTTCTTCAGAGGTCTCGTCCATGTTCGTATCGCTTGGCTGTGCATTCCCGAGGAACCCGGGCGGTAATTCTTCGACGTCCTCCTCAAAGATCGCCCCGCACGATAGCATCTTAATCACGCTCTTTAGGTCTTTTTTGAACCCTCGTTCACCGGGTAAGATGGTGATAGAACCAAGCTTGTCTGTGACATCCCGCACACCCTTGACGACTGTATCCCCGGCATTGGAGATCAAGACCGTCATCGTGGGCAAAGCCAATAAGGACCAAAAGACGAAGAAGGATTTGCCAGCGTTGGAAATAGGCGTCACGTCTCCATAGCCGATTGTGAGCAGACTAACGAAACAGAGGTAAAAAGCATCAAAATATGTCCAATCTTGATACTTCCGTTCGCAGATAAGAAAGATCTCGGCGCCGACCAGCCACAGGACTAGCCAAACGCCTGTGGACACGGCCAAGGCAAGCCATCGCCGCCTCCGTGCGGCCTGGTGCTGGATACGGCGCATCAGCTTGAACTCTTCTCTTCTCCGCTCGAATTCAGTTAGGCCAGAAGTCCCTGCACTTCGTGTCCTCTCAACCGTTGAATCTCGGATCGGCTCCAGGACTTCGTCTTTGCCCCTCTGAGTCATGCGGCGCAATTTCCGACGTCGTTTCTTATCCATTATGCGAGCACCTAGCCTCGTTTTGCCTTTGTCCAGCATCAGACTGCGAATGGAACCGATGACGAGACCTAGGCTGATAACACCGATCAAAGCGTAGGGGAAAAGAAGGCAGCGTCCTAGGATGGTTTTGCAAACATAATCGCCAAAGCCAATGGTGAAGAGTGTAACATCGGCAAAATACAGAGCGTCAAGGTAGTTCCAGTCCTCGACGGTGGAGAATACGAGGGCGCCGATGAGCAGATACATCAGAAACATGATGGTCTGCAACATCAACGTCCTCTGGCTCGCGGTGAGGCTAAAGTCCTTAACGTAATATCCAAACTGCGCCCCAAGGAAGGTTACAGTCATGAGGGAGGCAACAAGGAAGTAAAGGACAGCAGCGTAAATCCCGTAGTAGAAGCCCTGCGACCAGACATGGACGTTGGCGGGCTGGAGTTGCAGATGGCAAGCAGCGGAAATTTCTAGTGCAATCAAGCAGAGGGACGAAGTATACCAGCCGATGATGGTCACCGGTTGGGCGATGGCGAACCGTATCCGCTTGGCCATGTTCAGTAGGAGGAAAAGATTGGCCACGATGGCAATGGCCAGCTGGATGGCGTTAATGGCGATCAACCATGTCGGATCAGGAACGTTCTGGGCGTCCTGGATGTCTTCCCCGGGAGCAATAAACTGCCTCCATGGTCGTGCAAGAGCGCAGATGCTAAAGGCATTCGCTACTGGCCCCAGGGTGCCGCATATCATGGGGAATGCCGACGATGCGAACCATATCCAACTGGATTTGGGTTATTTATTTGTTGTAAAGAAAAGCAAAGCAAAGCATTGTCCGTAGTGATTGGAGCGGGATCCTACCTGGGCTCGACTTCCGCCGGGTCGTCCTCGCTGTCCATGGTCCTAGCACGGCCGCCACCTGCGTCACTCATCTTGAGGGGCGTCGGCAGGGGCTTACAGTTGCAGAGACGTTATCCCCGACTAGGACATACAGATAAGCTGGCGTCAGAACTTAACAAATAGATCGTTACGGAGCCCTGTGGGCATTCGCGGAGGCGGCATTATGGCAGAAGTCTGGTCGTCGTTGCCATCCGCATGGCGGTAGGTAGTTTATCAGACCTCACGGATCAGGTGGTCCGGCGCCAGCTAAACACCAAGGCTAGAAAGAAAGGAGACAAAGATCGTGGTGACGTCGATTCCCGGGAATATGGTGGCACGTGTTCCATACCCTGCAGGGTCCTCATTTTCCGCTGATCAGTCCTTTGTGATTGGTCAGACACCAAAGTCCTCTCAACCGCATCTAACAAGCAAACTCACGAGTTGATGGAGGCACTGACGAAAGGGCGAGGCCGCCTAGAAGTATAAGCCAACGGGTATCTGACTGGAAGATGCGAGGATGGTGGGTGAGAACGACACCACAGTTCTTGCAGACTCGGCACCCTCGCAGGTTTTTCAGCTCGCCGTCCCGCGTTGAGACTGTTGCTGTGCCTTGCGCATCCTCTGGCCATGTTACACTCAGGTAGGTGGAACTGAGCTACGAATCTAACTCTTAGACTCTCCGCAGTTGTTGCTAGGGAGGAACGATCGAGTGCAAAGCTGATACGACTAGCCTTCACAATGTATCCCGTGCAGACCCCTCGAGGCCCTTATTGATCTACCTCCCCCCTTTCTTTCACCTGGGATCTGGTTCTGGGTCGGGGCCTGTGTTGCCGGCATTCCTAGAGCCGTACCCAACGGCAGTGATCAACTACAGGTGGCCCGAGTCCTCGCCGGACCAGAACGCATCAGCAGCACCCAGACAAGCCTATGGGGGACCCAAAGCCGCGTCACCCCTGCATTGGCCTACTCCTCTCCATGACACGCTCTTTGGTTATTCATGGATCGCGGACAACCTCTCCCCACCCGGCTCTGGCCGGCGGGATATCTACGTATACGGGTCCTATCTCGGTGCAAGCCTTGCCGCCTCCCTCGCTCTGACCGAGTGTTACCCCCATCAACGAATGGCCATTCGGGGCTTGGTAGCCTATAACGGCATTTACAATTGGACCATGTTCCTCCCAGACCATCCAATCCACAAATCCAGGGGCCTAAAGCCACTCTCGAGAGAGGCACTCGAGACTCCGGGGTCCATGTTTCACTACCTCAAGCAGCAGATGCCTGCTCTCTTCCGTTCGCCGGCGAATCTATTCGACCCCTTCGCAAGCTCCTCTCTCCTCTTCCACAACCCTGGGCTCCTCATCCCCGACGACTTCTACCCGTCGTCGCTACCATCCTCCTTCCAGAGGGCGGTGGATGAACTCTCGCTCCACCCCCTTGACCCGGACAACGCGGATTCTACCACACCGCCGCCCAGTCCTCCCAGGAAGGGGTACCTCGCCTTCCCTCCCCGCCAGTCCACGCTCAGGATCCCCGAGACGTTGCTACTGCACGAGTCGCCGCCGCCCATCCCGAGGCCGACCACGGCTCGGCGCAGGATCAGGACCGCAAAGAAGGGCCCCGTCTCGGGCGAGCACAGCTTCAAGATGCAGGCCATGGAGCTAGCTGGCCTGATGCGGCGGAGCGTGGAGAAGCTTGAGCTGAAGGAGCGGGCGAAGTGGGATCCAGACTTTGAGGATTGGGACGACGAAGTCCACGGCAGAGTGCAGGTGGCTGATGTCGGAAGTGCGGATGCAGAAGCCGAATTGGGCACTCGCTGCCAGGGGCTTGTCGCGGAGTGGCTGGAAGGGAGAGCTGGGACGCGGGGAGGACAAACGGGGGCGTGAAGTAGAAGGAAGTGGGAGTTCGCGTTCCATTCCAGTCATGGTATTCTCTTTTATCCCTACTCTCTTCTGTGTAGCGTTAACGGAAGTGAACGGGGTATTTGAAGTTAATCCTTTGTGGGGCTACACCACTCAGTCTACGATGGTTAGACTGGTCACCCTGCTCAGCTTAAGAGAGCAAGAAAAATAATCGAATACTTCAAGGGGTTGCAACTTCTTCAGAATACACTGTATATTACATCTCTGCTCTTCTATGGATCTATTCGCTCGCTGGATGTATTAAAGTATCCCCTGAACGGGCATAGTTGCTCGCTCCAAACTGCAAATCCTGCGATCCTCTAATGTGCATATTGCCAACACATGGGGTATCCTGCCGTACACTGATATTCTTAACAGAAACAAAACATATCAGACACTGGGCGCTTTCAGCCCAGGAAGTACGCCCGCTGAGTAGAGTTTTCCAAATACACTCTCCCCCCAGCTCTCTGGTGCCTAGTAAACGGCACCGATCCAGTCGAGCACAAGACAGACAAACTCGATTGCATAAACGCCGCCCTTAACCAGCAACGCAACGAAACACTCGACCAGCGCAATGGCCAGCCACAGCGCCGCAAAGACGGCGCCACCCAGCCCGTCAACCGCCCTTACGGTCCGCAACAGGCCCGACGAGTCAGAAAACTTGGACAGGTCGAGCGGTCTCGGTCTGGGCATGATGCTTGAAGATAGTCAATGGCTCCCGCCGCCGCTGCTGATGGTGAAGAGCCGCCTGTTCCTCTTAATCAACTGGTTGAGGCTCTTCTCCAGCTTCTCCGTCTCCTTGCGCGCCGCTGCCAGCCCTTGCTCTGCGTCCTCAAGACTCATGAGCGGGACGCTTCCGAAGGGACTGGGTGCCATGGTCGGGCCGGACTTGCCGGCCACACCGGCGTTGCTGTGGGAAGGTGGGGCGGAGACGGCGTCCGGGCTTGGACCCAGCACGCCGCTGGCGGTGATTTCCAGCACGGACGCGAGACCTGGGTGCGTAGACGTGTTGGACAGTCCTCCGATCGGAGCCGGGTAGCTCAGTTCCGGAGGCGCGGTGTCGTCCGCACCGGGACCGCTCCTGTATATCCACGGGGCGAAGGAGTTGAGGTTGGCCACGGTCGCGGCCACGTTGACTTTCCCGTCCGGGAATGTCGACTTCCACGAGCCGGGGAATTCCAAGTTGATGGTGCCCAGATTCAGCCGTGGCAGGACGTACTGGTTGATGTAGTAGATGGCCTCCTCTCGGTGGATCTTGCTTACAGGGTCCGAGGGGTAGGCCCCTGGCGCCTGGGGGAAATATCCTGGTGGCCCGTTTGGGACAGCCCTTCCCTTGATGAGGCTGAAGCCACCGGCGGGCTCGTGGCGAGATGACACGAAAGCTGCGGGGCTGGCCGCTGCTTCAGCTACTCGCGCTTGGAGTTCCAAAAAGGTATCCTCTTCCTCCTCGCTGAGGTTTCGCACACAGTCGCCATTGGGTGTTAGCAGGATCCGCACGCCGTCGATCACTTTTCGAACCGGCTTGCCCGCCAACAACGCAGCTTGATCCTCCTCCGTGACAATGGACTTCGTGGGTATGGGCGTCGCTATATCTGCCGCCGAAATGCTTGGAGGGTGGTCATGTCTATGCCTATCATTAAGGCCGGGCACTGGCTTGGCGAAGGCGAGATTGTCGACCACCTTTGGGAGGACACCGGCACTTTGGAGGTCTAGCAGAGTAGACGCAGGACTTGGCAGAGGCTGTGTCGCAGGCGCTGTAGCGGTCATCGTCGAATTGGGCAGCGATTGCTCCGAGCTCACGGCTTCTCTGGCCTTGCCCTTGATATCCGCAGCCTTCTTTCTCTGCGGCGGCTTCTCTTCCGTCAAGGTTGTCGTCTCGTGGGCTGTTGAGCGATATGTCGACGACTCCTCCCGGACTGGCTTCGCGTCCTGGGTCGGCTTCGCGTCCTTCGCAGACTTTGCATCCTTGGCCGGCTTGGTGTCCTTCGCAGACTTCGCCTCCTTGGTCGGTTTCGTTGCCTTGGTCGGTTTCCCTTCCTTGGCCGATTTCACTTCCTTCGTTGGCTTTAACTCCTTCGTCGGCTTCGATTCCTCCACAGGAGACGGTTGCGGTGCATCCGGCACCGGTGTTCCAGAACGACTTTCTACGGGTGTAGCAGTTGAGCTACCCGTCATTTCCTTTTTCTGCTTCTTCTTTCTGCCGAGAATGGGTCCGAGCTCCACTTCGGCCTCCTGCTTGGGCTGTACGGTAATCACCGCAGCGTCTTTCTTTAGAGCCTCCTTTCTTGCTTTCCGCTGCTGGCTCTTGGTTGTCGAACGAACGGGCGCAGTTCCCACCTTGGTTGGAGGCGGTGAGCTCGTCCGCGACGCGGAAATTGACGCGGATATGATCGAGGCGCTATCAGAGATTAATTCGCTCGCAGGTGTTTCCGGTCGCATAGAGACAGCGGAGCGCAACGAAGGTCCACCAAACACTGCCCCCCCTGTTGCTCCGGCAAAAGTGGGGGGCGGGACTTCGCTCTTCGGTGTGGGCACAACTCGAAGCGTCTTGGGCGCGTTCCGCGCGATGGGGGACGAGACCGAAGTCATTGTCGGTGTAGGCAAAGCGGGGAACGCGGAATCCTTGGCGGTAGGTTTGTCTGCAGTCAGTTGCGAGTCAGGTAGCCTGGCCTGTGAAGTTTTGGTAGGAACCGCGATGTTCGAGACCCCCGGCGTCGGTTTCTTCTGATTGGCTCGCGATTCTGGCTTGTAAGCTGAACCGACCGACGACTCAGCAACGGCTTCCCGGCTAGGTTTGTTCTCGAATTTATCGACAGGCTTCTTAGCCGCAACAGTGGCAGCCTTGGTCGAGGTCGGTTTCGATTTCGCTGCCGCAGTAGTGCTCTGTGATGGCCCGCTGGGCTTCCGAGTATCGAGGGCAGGGAAATCTTCGTCTTCCAGGAGCTTGTTCGATTTGGACTTTGAAGCTTGGGAAGCGATATCTTTCGAGAGGCCAGACTCTAGAGCCAAATCTTGTATGGTCTTCTTCGCCTCCGATCCCATTGCAGGGGTAACGGCCTTCCCGCCCTGACTGCTCATGAGACGGGAGGGAGGTATGAGTGGTGTAACTGGTACTGCGACTGCGGGCGGGGTTTGCCGACCGATGAGGGTTCCTTGGGCGAGGGAGTGCGACACAGCTGGGGACGGATGACCATGTGGAAGCCCCAGACCAGGTGGGATTGCCGGTGTCACCGGAGGAGCATGGAACACCTCGAAGCCACCTCCGAGGCGGCGACTTGTGTCAGGCGCCGGTTCATCTGAAACAAGCGCATCTACACTACTGGTAGCTTCATCTAGTGAAGGCAGTTCGTCTTCTGCACCGAAAGGTTAGCCCAGTCAAACGACAAAAAGTGGGAGTGAGGCCGGAAGGCAGCGAGAGGGAGGCCACTTGGCAGGAGGCAGAAGGCAGGAGGCTAGCCGCAACATCGCATCGTGTTTATATACAAGAAGTTGGAGTCACGTCGAAGCTGCCACCATCGTCTTCCGCAGTGGGATAATACAAGTGGCGCACCATGGCTGAAAAATGCTTTATTTTACCAGTCCGACGCCACCCAGCCCATTATGTACGTGCGGAAACTGGGTTGGAAGTTAACGTACATGTTGCAAAATCGAAGGAAGACGATGATGGCTTGCCTGACGTGACCCCCCGTGACCCAAACAATGCAAAGCTCCTTAAAAGTGCCAGGTGGATGTAGAAGCGATCGAGGGAGCTCGGACTATTGTCTCGAGACTTCCCTCCTCTCCAGAAATAGAACTCGAAAAATGACGCCAATGCAGTCGAACCCTCCCGGTGGGGCTTAAGACCTTGCAATGCTCGCTCAAGCCCCGATGCCAGATTCCATAAGTTGTCCCTTGAAGCAAAGCCTTTCAGGTCCCAAAAAAACGCCGCCTCCAGAGTACATGACGCGCAAGACGGAAATAAAGTGAAAAATAAGGGGAAACGGAGCAAGGATAATAGGAGGGAAACGGATCAGATCCAGATTCCCCCCCACCCTACCCCCACTGGATGTAGAAGCTGCTCAGGCCTACCACCTCCCGTACCCAGTGCTGTACATCATGTTGGGGTTGTACCCACCTTGCGACTGGCCTCCAAACAGCCCTTGTCCGACTGCGGCATTGCTCTGTTGCTGCTGGTGCTGCATCCTCGCCTGCAGGATACTCGGGTCCGCAAGATCTACTAAGACACTCCCCCTCGAGGAGGAAGTGTTAGCGTGTCTGTGCTTCTTCCCCTTCTTCTTCTGCTTTGAGCCAAAGTCTTGGAAGGCTCCAGGCTGGGGACCGTAGAGCGATGCCAGGAGGCCCGAAGCAGGAGCTGGGGTGGAGGAGGTGGAGGGTGGGTACTGATTAGGAAATGAAGAAAACATGTACTCACGCTTCCCAGCCTCATGAGCCTGGCTGCCGGTCCCGCGACCGCGGATGAGGCTCTGCAGTAGTTCGTTTGAATCCTTTGCCGCGCCACCGAATCCCGAAGCCCCAAACCCGTGGCCTTGTCCAAACATGTTTGGCGGGGTGCCCGTCGACTTGAGCCCCGGAGGGGGTCCCGGCATCGAGCTAGCATAATACTGGCTGCCCGGCTGGGAGTGGAACGAAGAAGGCATCATGGATGACTGCTGTGCCATGATTCTCGGATTCGCCGCCAGCTTGACCGACGTCGATGACGAGACGTTCTGGTTCTCGTTCTGGGCTGCGAAGCTAAACCGCGATCCTTGCCGACTATGTCCCTGGCCTTGGAAGAGTGTTGACGACGGTGTCGATATCCCGGGGGGAAGATGATCGGCGAACGCCCCTTGGGGACGGATGAACGCCTGTTGCTGAGGCGTCGATGTGCGGCTACCGATCGAACCCATGGTGGAGGAAGACTGGCCGAAAGTAGAACTGAGAGTGGGCCCAAAGAGCCCGTCGTTGCCGGATCGTTGGATGGGTGGTTGGGTTGCTCCTCTTCGGGCATCGTAGCCATGCACATCTCGCCCATGTTCTCGATCCTCCGGCTCCCCGCCTAGAGCCAAGCTGCCGCTGCTCTCCGGTTCGCCTTCAGATGGCTCACGCACGTCTACTTGTTGCTGGTGATCCTCGCCGAGCCGAGTCGAGTCATCCTCTCGCATGAGTCGTCGCTTTTCCCAACCTCGGACATCGAAGAGGGGTGGATAATCGGATTGGTCGCCATCAATGGTCGGGAAGCAAATAGAGCAGCCCTCCAATGACTTCAAGAGCCGGCGGAAAGTAACGTCTTCAGGATGAGGATTTGGCCCTGGAGCCTCGGCCGGCGTCGAAGCAGCCGAATCGCCGCCGGTCGAGTGGCTCTCCGTCAAGGGAGCGAGTATCTCGTCCTGGGAGCCCTCTTCAATGGCTTCTTGGGGTGCCTCGGCCGTGACAGGTAAAGCATTCGAGATGGCGGGACTGGGGGCCGCGCCGCTTGTGGCATAGCTACCCCGGCGGCTGCGAACCTGAGGATTGCGAGCCCAATTAGCTGATGAGGGCAAAGCAGATCCATCGCTATTCTCGGAACCATCCTTGCTGCCGGTACGAGCCATAGGCTGGGCAGTTGGCTGAGGTGGTTGGCCATGAACCTGTTGCCTCGAAGCAGAACGGGATGAAGAAGCGCCACTTGGCAAGGGGCGCTGGGTATTGATGCTGTTCATGGAAGAGAGGTCTTGGCGAGTATAGCTATCCTCCTCATCCCCAAGCTCATGGAGAAACATGCATTGCCGGTTGGTGCACTGTTCATGGCGGAGCCATGCCGAACAGTACTTGGTGGTGCCAAGCTGTGCTCTCAGAACCCTGTCACCGTTCTGGGAGCCGTTAACTGCTTGGATGCAGCGAGCTGCGTCCTCTTTCTTCTCAAAGGTGACGTAGATTCCCAGTGACTGGTTCTGGCCGTCGGAGCTTTTCCGGTTGCTGATGGAAATCTTTTGGATATTGCCGTACTGGCCGAAGAACTCTTGCTTTCGCAGGGTCTTGAGCAGCTCGTCTTCCCGGACAGTCGGTGTCAGTCCTGTGACGTAGACCAGATTCTTCTGGACGACTCGGACGCCAACAAGGTTCTTGCGATTCTCCTTCTCAGCCTCCCGTTTTTGTACTTCTTTTTGCCGCTGCTCGGCAGCTCTCTTCTTCTGATTCTTCTGAATGTTGGCCCTGAACTCGGCGATTCTAGTACTCGGTTAGGTTCTGTTGAGGCAAGTCAGGGTACGGAAAGACACATACTCTTCCTGTGTCACGACCTTCCACTGGATTGTCTTCTCATCATAAGGTCGCCGGCAAGCAGGGCACAAGCCATTCATGTTCATCTTGATGTTGTTGAAGCAAAACTGGCACACCTGGTGAACGGACCGTGGTTAGCGTCCCCTGTCTGTGAGGCGAGGCCTGACGCGCTGTAATGCCATACCTGATAGCCACATGGGCATGGTCTGAAGTTTCTATCTGAGAGATCAAACTCCTCGATGCAGAGGGGACTGAGAGCTGTTAGCAACCAGGGATGTTTGTGAAGGCGTGGGTAGCCACCAGAGTGAGAGAGAAGGGCCAGGGGCGTGATAAGTCAAGCTTGGTTGGGTACTGCATACCATGTGTCGTCCTCCTCATCGATAAATGTGTCTTGTGGTGCCATGATGCCGGGCTAACTGAAGGAAAGAAGATGCAGTAAAGGTTGGCTGGTCTTTGCAAGTGCGAGGAGGAGCGAGGAAATGTTGGCGATGGATGGATGGTGGCAATGGGCCAGAAGGATGTCGCGCAGGTCGTACTGTGATTTCGAAGAAGGGAGTTAAGGAAATGCGTGGACAGGAGGTCTAAATTATGAACCGAAAAAGACGCTCTGAATTAAGTACAGGACCAGAGCGTTGATTCTGGATGCTCGGCCGTGATGATATTTGCGAGGTGGGAGATAGGTTGGTAGGTGTGAGACGGAGAAGAATCAACGAAGAGCCTTTCTTCGAAAGGTGCTGGATTCTACGCTAGTCATAAAATGGTTAGATTCATCTCAAGCTCCGCGCACGTGTCGAGTCACAGTTGGCGTTGGAGACGCGAAGCGTGACTAGGTTCTTATTAGTTAGATTTGAGACCCTCCGGAATCAGAGCACCCAAGGCGCAAAGGCTGATATTGTTCTTTGTTTGATTTTCAAACTTACGTCGAGTTACCCGTCCCCAGTATGCAAGTTGGAAAAGAATGCCGAAGCAAAAAAGTCTGTTCATGTTTGTGTTCGCGGTAAGTTTTACTCGGGAAGTACCTACCTAGGTACCTAACCTTACCTAACCTCCGGTACCTTACTTAAGTACCTAAGTACATAGGTACCTTAGGTTGGTAGGATTGTTTTACAGTCACGTGATTTCCAATTACATAATCCACACTTCGGGTTTGCGACTCCCGCCTCTGCTATCATCGTTTGTCTCGACTTCCTCGACCTCCCATGGTATGAAGGCTTGAGAGCCCCTCGATCAATTGGCCTTCCAGCCCCTCACAACCAGCTATGGCAAGCAAGCTTTGCAGAAGCAGAGCAATGGCTCAGGCCTTGCGGCCTGCCAATCCATCCATCCAAGTTCGGAGCGAAACCCTCTTGCGCTGCCTGTCAACCACCAGCCGCCAGAATGTCGCACTCCCCAAGGACGCCCAAAACATGCGCGCTGCTCCCCGAGACCACATAGGGACACTCAAAGCTCCACTTGTCAACCCGGCCGACAAGTACCAGTCGAAGGCAGACAACTTGCACAAGTACGGCTCATGGGTCATGGGCTGTCTTCCCAAGTACATCCAGCAGTTCTCTGTTTGGAAGGACGAATTGACCATTTACATCTCTCCCTCCGGGGTGATTCCGGTTTTCACGTTCCTGAAATGTTAGTTTCTACCCACCGATATCACAGGCGATTCTAATTGAAATATACAGACAACACCGCGGCCGAATTCACGCAGCTCAGTGAAATGACTGCTGTTGACTTCCCCACCAGAGACCAGCGGTTCGAGATCGTCTACAATCTCCTGAGCGTGCGCCACAATGCTAGGATTCGTGTCAAGACCTATGCCGACGAAGCGTCCCCTGTCCCTAGCATCACCAGCCTCTATGACGGCGCCAACTGGTATGAGCGGGAAACTTATGACATGTTCGGCGTGTTTTTCGTTGGTCACCCTGACCTTCGTCGCATCTTGACGGACTACGGCTTCGAAGGGCATCCTTTGCGGAAGGACTTCCCGCTGACTGGCTACACCGAGATCCGGTACGATGAGGAGAAGAAGCGCATTGTCACCGAGCCGCTGGAGCTCACCCAGGCGTTCCGCAACTTCGAGGGAGGATCCAGTGCGTGGGAGCAGATCGGTCCTGGTGTTGACCGGAAACCCGATACGTTCAAGCTGCCGACACCGAAGCCGGAGGAAAAGAAGGAGGAGCCGAAGAAATAGACAAGCTTCGAGGCTGTGTACATATCACCTGTCAAAATTCACGGTGGTTGAATCCCACCTTGTTTGTCACTTGGCCACTTGGTGCTATTGGATCACGCCTCACCAGGGCGATCATCGTCTTATCTCGAGTCGTCTTCCGCTCGCTGTGACTCTACCGGGGTCAGGCATGTCGTCGAAGGAGGCGGCAGGTCAGGCATGTCGCAAATCGATTTTAACATCAGACCTAATCCATAAGCTTTCTCTAGCAGACCGTAATTTTTGGTGCTGTAGCCTTTCACCACCTGTTTGTCCTGTCACCTCCGGTAAGAAAGTCAAAGTTGACTTCATGTTTCAAACTATATCCATAACCTTCCAGGGCTATTCGCCGTAACTTTAGGGTCCGACACAGATGTATAAATGAGCACGATTTCCTCGAGATGCTCAACTTGGTCTTGCACCTTTTGCACCCAACTCCTCCGTTGTCCTCGTGAAGTGAGCAGTAGTGGTTCCTCAGGTCAAAATTTCAAAACACACACCACACTAATACTTTTCATAACCTTGAACGTTCGATATACTATAGCTTCGGCTGATACGACTCGAGCAGGGCACTCATCACCTGCCATAGTCATGTACTTTGTTGGGAACGCTTCCGAAAATTGCTTCTGAGCAGAGATTTTGCTCACCAAAGAGAAGCTGAAGGAACTGGAAAAACACCATTCTATCATCCGGGACCCGTTTCTCCCCCTCGGCGATGACATTGCCTTCGAGGACAATATTCGGGAGCTGATCCGTCGTGGCGAACTGGACCTGCACAGCCAGTTGAAGACCACGTCTCATAAGAAGGAGACAGGTAGCCGAAAACCGCAGTGGTCGCCCATCGGAATGAAGATTCTCAGGAGGTGTGCGAAGATTGGAGTGTTTTTTTTTGGCTACCAGAAGCTAGAATACCAGGGATTGTCTAGACGCCTCTTCTGTCAACTATAGGGTATCCGACGAGGATTCGAATTATCAACCAGATATCGACGTCCGTGGGGAGACAAGTCGAGATCCTCCTCGCCATTCACCCGAATTGCCCTGGAAAATATAATAACAATGGAGAAGAAACACATGGGAGTTCGGTCTATGGATAGTATTTCCTGGAGCGAATTCTAGATATATGACAACCCAACGAAACAAGGGCAAAGGCAAACACACAGCTAAGCTCTCTACAGCTTCTCCTTCGGCTTCAAAGAACCGATCCACCCTCTTAGCTCGTCATCAATCATCTGCTTCTCGACGTCGGACTTCTTCGCCCACTTCTGATACTCGGCCTCTTCTTGGCGCCATCTCTCGATCGCGGGCACTATCGAAGTGGCGGCATATTCGGCACAGACAGTAGTGGCCTCCATGGGGACCAAGTGACCGAACCCATCAACCGTCACGTCCGTTACCCGGCCAGCCTTCACACCGCCGCTGCCCCCGGCCCCCACACCAGTCATCTCCCGCTTCTCCTTCTTCGATTCCGGACTGGAAATATCACTCTCCCCTCCGTACACCCACAAGACGCTCGGCCTCAACGCAGGTAGCCTCTCTGCCGTGAGGGTCCCCTCGGGGCGGTAGAAGGGAAAGTCGGGGTACTTGTCCAGATGATCGCCCGCGTCGGGAAGCTTTTGCCGATCCACATGTCTCTTGCCGTCCTTGCCATAGGCTTGTGCCGTGGGGCGGTAGTAGGTGAAGACCTCCATGTGCTTTGTGGTCGTCAAGGTCGCTTTGCCAGCGTCTGGATACAACTTGGTCGGTGTTTCACGAATACCGTACTTGACCCAGGCATCGAGGACACGCGGATCCCACGTTTGGTAGAACTTGTTGCGGCGGAAACTCGCTTCGGCCTCCTCCCTGGACGCCCAAATGTCACGTCGGAAGGACGATTGCTTCATGGGGGAGAATCCATAGGCAGGACCATGTTTGGCAAAGCGGGATAAAACAGGGTCCAGGAGCACCAGATGCTGGAGCAGCCGCGGGTGCATGAGGGCCAAGTTCACGATGATATTGGCACCAAACGAATGGCCAATCCCAACAAGAGGGCGAGGCATCTCCCTCCGGAAATGATTGACCATGTTGAGGAGGTCACGGGTGTGGTCAAGCCACGAAGCTTCGAAGTAGAACAATTGATTAGCCTTGAGACCGATAGGGTAGGTATAGAGAGCAGTGCGAGAGAGACTCACGGTCATTTCCAATTTTGTCCTCATTGATGATTCCACTCTGACCCTGCCACGCGACATCGGCTATCCAAATGCCTCGAACGCCAACGCCTTGCTTTCCGAGTTCCCTCACGAGATCCTCCCACAGCGGCTCATACAGCTCCTGCAGTATTCGATCAGAATAGGCTCTCTAGTATTATCATCAACAAAATACAAACTCACCTTGACGAATCCATTGGCATGGGAAGCGATGACTGTAACATCACCGGGTTTCGGGTGCAGGTTGTCCCTGGGAATGTATTGTTTTACAGACAGATGGAGAACTTCGTCTTGTGAATGGGCAGTGGCATTGGCATATTCCCGGATGTGTTGGCCCTCGACGAGGTGCTCCTTGACATAGAAGGCAGACGTCATTTTCGTTGGTTCGCAATATGAGCTCTAGAGTTCTTCAGACTTTGAAGACAGCTAGGCTTGCGTGGCGCCTAATGCCAGAGATATTTAGAAATGATTTGCCAGATGCTGGCAAGGTAAGGCGAAGAGAGAAACAAGGTAGAACGGGGCAGTCACACCATCATGCAAGGTACAGAGACAATAATGAATAGAAGCTACGTTATAGGAAACTCGAGAACTCAAGCGACTAACGAAGCACAAGCTGAAGGTGGTTGAGGATGTCAGTTTCAGTGGAGATAGCATCCATCCTAATTGCCGAGGCAGCGGTTGCCGGCAAGATGGACGGCTTCGCTAGCCACGTCTTAATGTCACCATCTGAGCAACCACCGAGGAAGTACCTAGGTTGCCTAGGCAATCAGGGGAACAAGTTGCTATATGTAGTTTCTCATCATCTAGAACGCAAATAAGAAATAATCCATACGTAGTCCCGACGCTATCGATGTCGAAACGGACGTTGCTTGAAAGGAGAGTCCACCGAAACTAACCCCAACCCTTAGGTAGGTACCCCGAGATCCCCACTTCCATCTTTCAGCAGGGCTGTCAGGTGACACGTTCCTGCCTCGCGTCTTGCCGCCTAGCGCGTAGACCCCCCATTTAGCTGACCTGCAAGTCGCGTCCCCCCTCCCCGAAAAAAAACAGTGACATAAGTCAGGCCCTCTCTGCCCAGCATTTCCATCTTCCTTGCTTCCCACAGCTTCAGGCAGGCACTGCTAACCAGCTGATAACGAATGCAATATATTGCAGCCTTTCCGTTTGCCCCTACCATTTCACGTATTCAAACTTCACCACATCTCATGCAAGTTCAACCAAAATCTCACCAGTCGCGTCCGTAGTCAGGATTAAGATGGCGGAGGACTACCAAAGCACCTTGTTCGACTCTTGCCTGATTGCCTTCGTGATCAGCAAGTCGTTGTCACCTCAGGCTATTTTACAGGTATGTTGCAAAAGCACCTGGCCCTCGGCGTTTCTCCCTAGATAGACGCGACAATGAAGTAGCCTCGACTTGATTCGCGTATTAATAGACATGGCTCGCACTTGTAGTTGTCGGACGTCGTCAAGAAGAACGGGGCTCAGGTCCTCGAACCCGACAGACATGGGAAAATACGGATACCCCAGGCCACACATATCGTTTCCAATACCATCGACTTCGACCAGTATGCCGAAGCTCAGGCAATGATGATTCCGGTTGTCACCGCCGACTGGATCAAGACTTCGCTTGCAAGGAATAGACAAAACCAGGTCCGGCCATACTCGCCTGACCCGCGAAACATATTCTCCAACGTCACCCTCACCTGTGCTGACATTCCGTTGGGCGACAAAGAGGCCATCATTGGCGCGACTATGGCCCTGGGCGGCATGGAATCTAAGGACCTTACGCGCCTAACAACTCATATCTGCGCTCTCTCCATGGACCATCCCAAGTGCCAGCAGGCTATTAAGAAAGGCCACCCTTGCAAGATTGTCCTTCCCCACTGGTGAGTACGCCCCTTCTTCTGTTCATTCCTGGTAGCATACTCACCGCTTCAAGGTTCGACGACTGTTTCAAGTTGGGAAAGAGGATAGACGAGGCACCGTACCTACTACCGGACCCGGAGATTTTACGAGTGCAGCCCGAAGACCATATCAAGGTTCCGTCTAGCCAGCACCTGGAAGGCGCTACATCCGTCGTTCCAGACACTCTGGCCGCAGTTCATTCAGAGGCGAGTAGTCGGCAGAGTCTGGTCGTCTTCTCGCAGAAGAAGGTGTTGTTATCGGTGGACCTGCCGATCAATACGCGGCTGCGCAACATTCTTCAGGAGCTCATAAAGAGCGGCGGAGGAGAGGTCGTTGACTCTGTGGATGCCTGCGACATGTTCATCTGCCAGTTCCGCGACGGAGAAAAGTATAAACGCGCTGCCCAGTCTGGGAAGGATGTCGGGAACCTGGCATGGCTTTACCACCTCATCGTACACAACGAGTGGACCTCGCCATTCAGACGCCTCCTCCACTATCCCATCCCCAAGAACGGTATTCCTGGCTTCAAGGATATGAGGATCACCCTGTCCAATTATGGGGGCGAGGCACGGATATATCTGGAGAATCTCATAACGGCAGCTGGCGCGACTTTTACCAAGACGATGAAGGCGGACAACACCCATCTCATAACAGCTCGGATGAATAGTGAAAAGTGCGACGCCGCCAAGGACTGGAATATCGACATCGTCAACCACCTTTGGATAGAGGAGAGCTACGCCAAATGTGAGGTACAACCGCTCACGGTCCCGAACTACACTCACTTTCCTAGCCGTACGAATCTCGGTGAAGTCATCGGCCAGACCTTCCTTGACGAGACGAAGTTGCATGCATTATACTACCCCGGCGGGGACAATAATCTCGACGGTGCTGCGAAGAGACGGAGGAAGATACATGACGCTGCCCAGGAGAATCTACTTGCGATCGGGCAGAGCCCAGATGTTGCCAATGGGCGTCGGGAATCTAGAGACTTTGATATCATGAAGGATTCAAGCCTAGACAGCTCGGGGACGACTCCTAAAGCGGCCCCCCAGCGAGCACAGAAGACCCACACATACGCAACGCCGGCCAAGGGGCGCCATGTTCGGTCAGGGAAGGAGAACGACACGCCATCCATACTGTCAAGCGGGAGCCGCAGCGCAAAAGCACAGGCTCTTTCAAAGCTCCAGGACATGTCGGTCGATATCGCTCTATACGAGAAAGAGAAGAAGCGGGCGGCGAAGGACGGCGGCCTCTGGGGCGGCAAGCGGGCTGCGGATCAGCTCGACAAGGAACGTAGTGGCACAAAATCGAGCCCGGTACACGACAGGCCAGTGAACGATGATGACGAGGAAACCAGGCGTCCGGCCAAGAAGCACAAACCTTCCCTGCCGCCAGCAGAAATGCGGGTTGTCCTGACAGGGTATAAACGGTGGATTGCGGACACGAACAGAGAAGACATTGATCGGGTAAGCTACAGGTCTGACTTTTATCCCTGGGTCGTTTACTGACTGGCGTTCAAACGCAGCGCAAGCTTCGCAAGCTCGGCGTCCAAATTGTCACGGACAATGTCCCATGCGACTACCTTGCGGCCCCTCAGATGGTCCGTACCATGAAGTTCTTGCGCACTCTGGCTCGAGGCGTTGACGTTCTGGACTCGTCTTTTATTGATGAATGTTTGGATACTGGCAAGTTGCCCGACGTCCAGTCCTATCTTCTAAAGGATAAGGAGAATGAGAAGAAGTTTGGCGTCGTCCTTCAAAAAGCGACCGCCAGAGCCCGTGCCAACCGCGGGCGCCTTCTTTGGCATATTCCTATCTACTGTACCGCTGAGATTAAGAATGGTGTCGAGAACTATCGGACAATCGCTGAGGCAAACGGTGCCATTTTCAAGGTCTACCGCGCCCGGAGTGGCACTACCATCCGGCCGACGACGGCCGAGGAGGACGGCGGTGCCGACCCCGAGCCGGTATATCTACTGACTTCGACCTCCGAGTCGGAGAAGCAGCTCTGGCCGCGGTTCGAGGAGATGGCGAGAAAGGGCAACATGGAGCCGAGGATCGTGGTCTCGGATTGGCTGTTGGATGTCGCTATGAGGCAGGAGTTGTTGTTCGACAAGGCGTACCTTGTGAAGGAGTACTTCCCCAACGTGTAGGGAGGTGGTTTGTTGGATTTTAGCGAACCTGGCGTTTTGGGTTTGTCGATTTGCCGCGCGTTTGACTCGTTTCTGTTGGAGCTGTTGCTTCCCTGACCACGCCGCCACTGAAGATCGCTTCCGTGTATTGTACCATAGCCAATAAACAGACAGGGCCTGGAACTCATAATCCCCCAGATGATCTTCGGTCGTTGATATCAGAAGAACTTAACGCCCTGTGAATCGTCCTGGCCGAATATCTGTGCCTTCCCTCTCTTGACCAGTATGTTTAGTGCTTTCAGTAGCAACTCGGGATCCAGACCGTGGAATTCTATGAACCAACAATTAGCTTCTCGGGCAGGTTGATCTGACGGATAAAAAGAGAACAGTACTGACCCGCACCCCTCGTCCCCTCGCCCTCGGTGAGCTCGTACACGGTAAGCACGCTCCCCTTCTGCGCCGTCTTCTCCACCCAGCCCTCCACCACGGCGGCCCACTCCTCGGGCGTCCGCCAGTAGATCCAGACGACGTCGCCGCCGGTGGCCCCGCTGCCGCCCCCGACGTACTCGGCTCGCCCGTCCCGGCGCATAAACTCCATCACCTCCTTGACGTCCGCCACGCCCAGCCGCCGGTTGATCTTCCTGTTGTGGAACAGCTCGTCGGCTCCCGGGGCGGGGGTCGTCGTCGTCGTCGTCGTCTGGCCTGAGGTGGTGGTAGCGATGGACCCATTGCTGCTGCCGATGTTGCTGCTGTTACCGGCAGCGTCGGACAGTGTGAGCTTGTAGATGCGGTAGTGGCGGCAGTAGGAGAGGACGAGGGCCGACCATTTAGTCAGCTGGGCGTGGTGGGTCGTCAGGTTGGTCTGGCGCGTGAAGAAGGGCGGGAAGAAGTACTCGCGCGGGAAGTTGAAGGTGCCGGGGGGGCTGGCGGCCATCTTTTGTCGGGCTTCGACGTTGTTAACGAGTGCGGGATGTGTAGAGGTAGTGAGCTCGCTCTGTGTATAGCGAGGTTAAAGAATGTCTCCTAGTTTGGTACATGGCTGAGATTCAGATATCTCGAATAGTTCTAGGTGGGGATACATATATATTATGCCCCGCCATGGTCACAGAGGTCTATTGGATTCGCCCCACCAAAACGGTCATACCTGCCTGGGGTATCGGAATGGAAGTTTGTCATTAAGCTCTTCACAAACCTTAGCTCCAGGAAACTACCTCCCTACCTAGGTGCGAAGGAAGGCCCGCCTTAGCCACGGGAGTTACCTAGGTAGGCAGGTACCTAGGTATATGCCTCTATTGTCAACCCCGACAATTCTTTCTCCCCGAATCTGGAACAGGAGCGAGGCCTGAGCCGTGGCCGCTTTAACCTGAGCAGAGGGTGAGTATGGGGGAATCATCCCCGAGTCCAGCACTGAGTATCATTTCAACGCTTGCATGGGTTGTTACACTCTCCGCACAGGCCAGCCTCCAGGCTACAGGCGCAGACTAACCTGGTCCCGAGGCCACGGATGCAGATCACCAGGCAAGGCTTGAGGTATATTACACAGACTGAATGCCACAGGGAAGAAGCGCACGAGGGCAACGTCGCATTTCCCTGCTATTTTGCGCAGGGGCATCAGATCGTATCTGTTGCCATGTACTGCTGCTCGAAGGGCGAAAAGGTGGCGCAGGTGAAAGCGACGCTGGAGGCGAAAACCAAGAAGGTGCCTCTGTGGAACTCTATATTGTAAACTCAGCCAATCACCAACATCGACGTCTCCTCTTCGCACAGGAAGAGCTCGGCGAACCAAAAGCATGTCAGCAGCCAATCACCAACATCGACGTCGTCTCTTCACAAGGCGTAACTCGGCTCCACCAGGCTTGATAGTGGTATAATATGCGACAGTCCCGCTTCTCTGCGGTACCAGGTTGCCTTGGATGATCCTGCCTTCGTCTGCTGCAAGCCACTTTTCGACAACACTCTCGTCGCCATTCTCGGAATCATTCTCAATATGGCCCCCCACTCCGGTCACCATTTGCAAATTATCAACACGGTGCCTAAAGGAACCGGTGCCTTTCCGCAATTCACCAAGCTTCCCCTCGAGCTTCGCTCCATGATATGGGAGCAATCACTCTGTTACGAGCGTCTGATCCGAGTGGACCTTTGGCCGGGGAGCTCTCTCGAACATTTGAACGAGGATCAGAAGTGGGCTGTCGGCGACAGGCTGAGGCTTCGCTCCAGCTCTCGGAAAGCTTTCTCATCGTCTTGAGGAACAGGCATGAAATAAGCAAGCTCTTTCGCGTTTGCTCCGACTCGCGACAAGCTGCTCTGCGTTTCTATCGGGTCCAAGTGCCTTGCTATTAGAAGCAGCTGGGCAGTCCTCCGATAGAAGGGACTTTTTATTTCCACCCGGAGCTAGATATCTTGGATATATCCGGGCAAGGATTCCTTCCCAGGTTCGCGCATCTGCTCTGGACCCGTGATCCTCGGCGTGTTGGACTCGTCAACCTTGGGCTGGCTAAGAGGGCTCACGGGGGATACTTTGATAAGCTTTTTCAACCAAAAAAGGATGAAGATCTTCTACGTCAAGCTTTGTCAAGACTACGGTGTGTCATTTTCGGATATGACGGACAACTTGGACGTGGGATTCCAGACTTCTCGACTAGCTGCAACAGCTTCACGAAGAGCCAGATACATCGCTCCCGACCCCTTCAGGCCTCCGTCTCAAAGTTTCAGCGGCTGCCACGAGATCCCAGATCAATAGAAACAGAGTTGAAGAAGGTTTTTATGGGCTTCGGAGATCCACGAGTCCAAATTTACCGCTGGTTCAGGCTACTTGAGAAGTGGCAGATCGAGTACCATGATTACTCGGTTGACTATCGTTTTATGATCACTTTCAATTGCAGGCGGGTGGAAAACCGAGAGGAGGCATTTCTGGCGCTTCGGGGGGAGGAGGAGGATTGGACAGCGTGGCGGAAGGCATGTGCGGAGGAGGGGACAGCCTGCGAGGACGATGAACAGGCACTTCCTTCGGCTTATGGGTTCTGGCTCTTCCCCATAGATGCATTCGGGCCTATTCCAAGTGCCAGCAAGCAGATCCGCAAGACCGGCAGGGCCAGAACAAGAGATCGGTCTCGAGTTTGGGACCACTTCAAGGCATGGGATCTGTCGGAGCACAAGCCTGAACTCTGCCTGCAATATCTCCCCGAGGCACCATTATCTGAGCTTGATGTGCGCCCTAAAGGGTTGAGGCCTCTGCGTTCTCGCCCCAAACGTCCTGCTAAAAAGGAATGGCGGTTCCGTCGTCCAAGAATGAGCAGACGAGCATACAGGTATCCAGCCTAGTTGCCTGTTCAAAAAGTCTTACAACAAGAAGGAAGAGTCTGATTAGCAGTTCAATCGCCCTTCAAGCCCTTCAAAAGCCATTGATAGCTTTTAACGACTTTTAATAGCCCATCGCCGCTCTTGCTCACCCTCACGTCACCCGCACTCAGTGATTGATGCTCAGTGATGCTAGGGTTTCCATAACCTTGACTAGCCGCTTCGGACGCTCGCTAACTGTCTACTGGTATTCAAGTTCAACTCGCTCTTCCTAGAGAGACGTCAACTTTACGCGACTCTGCAATACATAACGTTTTGGCCACCGTTACTAGAAAAGGGGACAAGAGTAGGACAAGCAGGGGCCTGGTTTCTGGCATCCTCTATTTCCTCAACGACGCGGGCGAACACGCCAGTTGCCCGGACTCTGGGCGAGAGGCTTAGTACAGCCAGAGGATAGGATGGCAGACCTTCAGTGTAGGAGTTCCGTTAGGCCTTCTTTGTCGCATGCTTGCGTCATGATCGGGTAGTCTTTGGCCGCTCGTCACGCTGAGGACTCAAGACTCAAAGGCGTCTTCAAAATTAAACAGGCTTAGATCTATGCCATCACAAAGATCACAGGGCACAAGCTAGCAGGGCATGTCCTTAAGTCTCAATCAAGAGAAACAGGTCGCATTCCCACTATCGCAGCAGGGGGCTTCTAGCCGAAGGGGGCTGGATTGTACAGTATAGACAGGCGCTCCTCTGGTAAAGAGCTTGTCTCCACGGGCAGGGCATTTAGCTATTCAGTCAGGGTGTTGCCAAAATTATTTGGGCAGTTGGAGCATGAAAAAGGCCAGCTGGCCAGCACGGAACAAGCGACGGCGACGGCGACGGCAATGGCGATGGCAACAGCAGCAGAGAAGGCGACGGCAAGAGTGCTTTAGCAATAGCGACAGCGACGGCTAGCCAAATGCTCCTTCCTACCCTAACAGTTAAATGCCCCTGCCTGGATAGCTGAATGCCCATGCCCCCGGAGACAACCTCCTGATAAAAAAGACAATTTTATTACCTCACTCATCAAGCATAGCCAGTGACCAAAATTACTCACCCGTCTCAGGCTCTCGTGATATTATCAGATACAGTCCAACTCTTAAGTGCAGTCCGTGGCGAGGATGTGGTGGTCCGTCGTCGGCACTGGAGCATCCTCGTTCGTGACCTGCACCGACAATAAGACCGTGTTGAAAAGCCACTAAGTCTGTGAAGACGGCGAGAACTGGGGGTCGCTCTTGGTGAGCTTTGCAGACACCCTCCGCCGGCAGGCGTCGGTGTACCAGCATCTCGGCACGCATCCCAACATCCCCACCTGCCACGGCCTTGACGAGATCCATCCCGGCGTCCACGCCCTGCGGCTCGAGCTGGCGCCGTTCGGCAACCTGAGAGACTGCATCCGGAAACACAAGGACATGCCGCCGCCCGTAGGCGTCCGCCTCGACATGATGCCCGATGCGGCTCGGGCGCTGGGCCACCTGCATTCCCTATCCGTGTAACACTCTCCGACGTCAGCTGTCGTAACCTCCTCCTCTTCGACGACCATCGCGTCAAGCTCTGCGATTTCGACAGCTCGCTGATGAAGGGACAAGCCTTTGACGCCACGAACTACGAGGAGGCCGCGTACGAGCTGCCGCTTCGGGGCCGGACGTTGAAGGGCCGGGCCGTCACCAAGAGAGAGCTGTTCGCGCTGGGATGGTTGTTATACGAGACCATGGCGTGGGTGAAGCCGTTCGAAGGGGACGGCGTCACCGAGATCGAGGAAAGCTCGCTCAAGAAGTCTTCCCCAGCTCGGAAGGCGTGGTGGACGGCGAAGTCATCGAGAGATGCTGGCACGAGAAACGCGAGACGGTCGCAGCGGCGCTTCAGAAGGTAAGAGCGGGGGGGGGGGGGGTAAAGCATCTCCTGTTTCTGCACTGGCCAACGCACATAGCCAACATCTACCTTTCAAGCTCCTCTCGAAACTGTGATTCAACTCACTAAGCAAGTTTGTTTCCAATTTTTATTTTACCCACTCCCTGAGATGGAAAAGATTCCCCCATCCATGCCCGTTCGTTTGCAAGAACGCGACGTAGATAAAAGTTTTTTTTAAACGTATGAAACAAAGCAAGAGGCGGGTGCCTCTCTTCTGCTTTGATTTTCATTCTCTTCTCTTACATACCGTTTGCCTTCTCCTCCAGAACGGAGATGACACTGGGCGTCTCTTGAGGAGCAGCGGTCGCAACGGGCTCCAGGGTAAGGCTGGTGGGTCGGCTCGTGATGAACTGCAAATCAAGGAGCGTCGTCATTAGCCATCAAGTCCTTACTCCCTTCCCTCCCTTTTACCACCCATGCGGATAAGACTTACACTGCTCGCCGCGCTCAGCAGGGCGATGAGCGAGCTCTGTACGACGTCTTCGTGGATACCGACGCCCCAGACTGTCTGCTTGCTGCCTCTAGGCTTGCACTCGATATATGAGGCCGCCTTCACACCTCCACCCTCGCCGATGGCATGCTCCTTATAGTCGTGAACGTCGAGGTCAATATTGACTTCCTTGAGCGCAGCTACCATGCTAGAGATTGGTCCATTCCCTCGACCACGCAGTTTAAACTCTTTACCGTCCACGAGGATGACGCCCTCAAAGATACGTATCAGGTCTTTCGTGTCCTGGGTTTTGCCTAGCGCTGGGGGCATAGGAGACTGTGAGCGGTCAGGGGTGATACTATAGTCAACAAGGCCAAAGTGAGGGTTCTTGTTGAGGAAATAAGTTGTCTCGAAGAGCTGGGTAATCTCGTTGGCTAGCAACTCGCGTCCAAGCTCCTCCGTGCGGCGCTGGACAACGTTGGAGAAGGCGACCTGGAGGCCGCGAGGGAGATCGAGCTGCAGCTTCGCCTGCAAAATAAAGGCACTTCCCCCCTTTCCAGACTGCGAGTTGACGCGAATGATAGCCTCGTAATTGCGACCGATATCTTGGGGATCTAGTGGCAGGTAGGGCATCCCGTGCCATGGGTCCTCGCTGGATAGGCCTTGGCGCTGACGGTTCTGGAATCCTTTCTTGATTGCATCTTGATGGCTGCCCGAGAATGCTGCACATACGAGACTACCGCCGTAGGGAGCACGCTGGTGGACGGGAATCTTGGTGCAGGATTCGACCATCTGGATGACTGAGTTCAGATCGGAGAAATCAACTTGTGGGCTCACACCCTGTGTGTAAAGGTTCAGAGCCAAGGTGACAAGATCGACATTGCCTGTTCTCTCCCCGTTGCTGTGAAAGGTTTAGTATTGTCTCATGAATCACAAAGACAAGGAAGGATACGAACCCAAACAGACAGCCCTCTACACGGTCAGCTCCCGCCATCTGGCCAAGTTCTGCTGCTGCAATACCTGTACCACGTCAGTGCCCGCACCACGGCGCCAGAATTGGATACACTGACTACATCCACGATCGTTGTGAGGATGCTGCCGAAAATCGTTAACATGGTTATGATACAGACATGAGAGACGGGAAGGGTATGACTTGCCAGAGACACGCACACGTTCTCCCTGTCCCCGATGTTGTTACAAAAGTATTCTATCAGGTCCGCATATACGTTGGGTGTTGACAGCTCGACCGTAGCGGGCAAGTTGAGGATGATTTGGTCCCCGGTTTCTCCATTAGGGCCCCAGGCAGCTTTCACCGCGCGGCATACCCTCAGGGCATAATCGGGATCTGTGTCGGAGAAACACTCCGGCGAGAATTCGAACTGCCATCGAGTTCCAGAAGCTTCGGGGTTGTCCTTGGTCAGGGATCTGACCAGCTTAGTGCATTCCACGGCAAGCTCCAGGGTCTGCTCTTCCGAGTAGCCGAAGACGACTTGCCGGAAGCACTCGCTTGTAGCGAGATATATGTGGATGATGGCGTTTTTCGCCCCGCGGACCGACTCTACAGTCTTCTGGATGAGATCGGGGCGGCAGGGTGAAAGGACCTGTAGGAATACGTCGTCCGGCACGGCTCCCGGGGTTTCGATCAAGCGGCGGGTGAAGTCAAAGTCGGTCTGGGACGCAGAAGGAAAAGAGACCTCAATTTCCTTGTAACCAAGATCGCACAGCATCTTGAAGTAGCGCCACTTCTCCTCGCCGTTCTGTTTGTTGACCGGCCCATGTCAGTTCCGGGACGCAGGTATTCTAGCTCACGCAAGAAGGTCAAGGAAGGGGCCTGCGCGGGCATGAAGAAACGTACCATTGGATCGGGCAGACTCTGGTTGCCATCGCGGAGGCAAGAGCTTCGAGAATGTTAGCAACGCCTCATGTGCTGAAAGTGTATATTGGGGAACATACGACAGCCAGCGAGGGGATTTGTCGATGACCTTGTCGGGCCACTGTCGGTTCGGCAAATGCGGCGGCTAGCCACGTTAGTGGAAATATAGAAGCTGAGAGCATAGAAGCACGAAGCTCACCTTGAACGGCTTGTACTTCTTCCACGGTTCCTTGAGGCTGCAGAGGAGGGTCGAGAAGGTTAGCCCTGCATGTGTCAAAATTCTCGATTGAACAGAGCAGCGTTCGCGGGCAGCTCCAGCGACTTACATCGGCATCTTGGCGGCGGGACGTCGGCCGACGTTTGGGAAGGGACCAGTTGGTGTGGGGTGGTTTCGAGTGTGAAAAAAGGAAGGAGCGAGGAAGGCGAGAAAACAGGGCGAGTTGCTTTTCCAATTCCAACAGAGAGTATCTCCGAAGAAGATAAAGAGGGAGGGAAAGAAAGAATATAAGGATAGAAATACGCAGGGCGTGGCGGGCTTGAGTCACAGAAGCGGGGTGGAAGTTTGGAGGGGCAGCACCTCTAGTGGGATGGTCCCACTGAAATTTTCCTAGCTCCGAATGTGGACGGCCGGACTGGCGGCTGGACCCTTTTACGTAAGGCCGCTGGATGGTCACTGACTGGGCGGGGTCACAAACTGTACGGGCGCGCCCTTTCCTCAAATCCTTACCAGCAGCACCTTGGTGGCCGTTTGCCGCGTTGAAGCGACGACATCCGAAATGGTCTGCGCCGATCGTTGGTTGCTATCAGCCCAGCATTGCGGCATCATGACTTTTCCATCAGACGAGAAGTATCATATTTCCATTAGAGCTATCTTTCAGTTCCTTCCTCTCATAGAGATCTCACGTTAGTGATTTGTAATCAAGTTCGAATGCTTTCCCTTCAAGAGCTGTTCCTCTTCGAATCTTCGTCCTGTTCTCGACTGCGCCAGTGCTCCCAGGCTCGAGATGCTTGACGGCATCAAGGCATTTTCGGAAGAGTTCGAGACCCAACAAAGCCTCTTCATCGCATTTGAGATCTTCCAAATCTTGGCTCGAGTTGTCGTCGCATTGCATTCGCCTTTCGGGGCATGCTTGTCGAAGTTGTCATCGTCTTCAGTCAAGTCTTCATCATCCTCCGGTAGGTCCTCATCGTTTGCTTCTCCGAAGGCGGCCTGCCATTCAGGAGTTCCCGGCACCGCCTTCTTCGGCTCAGGGGGTTCAGAGTCTCCAAAATACACAAATTCTTGGTGACGTTTGATATCAGGCCTAACACCCAATCCAGAGTTAGGACAACTCTTGAGGTAGGTACCTACGTAAAAAGATACCTAATTCACCCGTAAATTTAGTCGCGTCCGCCGTTGCTTTGGGTTCAACCTTCGTCCAACACCCAAACGACTGAGCAGAAGAAAGTTACTTCCAAAACTCTCACAAAGTCGGGTGTCAATTGTCCTACATGGATGAAGTGGGTATAGAGTAAATATTGTAGGTGCAAAGGGCGGAAACAGCATGTTAACAATAATCGTGGCTCATTACAAATGACATTTACAGCTCAACTGCACGGGTCTCGTCTCTCATCTCATCGCTCCCCAACTCCTTCTCCAGCTCGTCGGCGACGAAGAACTCGTACTCCTCTAGGCTCTTCTGGACGTGCATCTTGAACTTGATCACGTCGTTAATCATGCGCACGAGTTCCGTGTGAAGCTCCTCTCGGAGAGCGCTCGAGCGGAGCGTCAGTTGCTCATGTCTGAGAAGTCCTCGTTAGCGCGAGTCTGTTGCGAGCCCTTGTTTGTCGCTTCTACTCACTCAATGTTGATGTTCATCTCCCGCTGCTCCATCAGCTGTACCGACTCGGTGAGCTGGGCGCGCATCTTGGCAAGCTCCTTTTCCATCTTCTCGATCTGCGCATCTGATGCCATCTTCTGTGCGGTGGTGACCTAGGGGAATTACTGTCAGCTGCGATCCGCAAAGCGTCAATCTCGAATTAAACCAACCTCTTTCGTCTTCTCGTACTCCTCTTCGGCTGCACGCACACGGTGCTCCAGAGCTTCAACCTCGTTTCGCTTATCCTCGATCGCCTCCTTAGCACGGTCAAGCAGATCGTGGTCCTCCATCATCATATCCATGGCGACCTTCCTCCGCTCCGAGACCTCTTTCCTGAGAGTCAGGAAAGCGTTCTTAACCTGGCCCCGGAGATCAAGGTTGAGAATGTGTGCTGGCTGGTAGCCCGTGATCGGATCAACAAGAAGTCTGTCGTTCTCGACCCCTCCATTGCCGTAGGATCCTTGCAACTGGGATGACGTGAAGTTGGATCCTCCACCGACTACCACTTGCAGTTCGTAATCCTTCCCTTTGGCATTGGTCGCGGTGCCGGGAATCAGACCGATCTGGTATGCCACAGTATTGTACTTATCGGCTAGGCGCTCCAGTTCGTCGAGTTTGCGGCTGGCTTCCATCTCCTTGTCGGCTACCTTCTTCTTGGTCTCCTCGAGGCGCTGGGCTGCGGACTCGATACCCTTCTGAAGTCGCTCTCTTTCAGAAGTCATCCGGTCAATATCCTGCATGCTGATTCCTTGGTCGTCAACGGCCCGCTGCAGGCTCCTGCGCTCGTCCTCGGCCTCTTTGAGCTCAACCAGCAGCTTGTCCAGTTCCTCCTGCAGCACTTGGATCCGGTTCTCGTATTTCTCGGAGCGTTGCATGGCGAGTGCATTGTACTCCTCAAACTTCACCTTATCCTCTTCCATAATCTTGAAGTGGTTGTCGAGGACCGCGGGGTCCGGCGTCGACTTCTCGAGGTCATGGATCTCCTTCAGCAGCCTGCTGTTCTCAGCTTCTAGGATCTCGAGCTCTTGCTGGTACTTGGAATTTGATTGCTCAAACGCCTTGGCCATGTTCTCGACGTGTGGCCCCAGGGCGCGTTCTGCGTCCTCATCCGTCGCGTCCTCCTCCATTGCAAGCCAGTCTCTGTACGCCGTGCTGAGAAAATCGAAGATGATGTGGTCGCCCGTAACATCAATGCCCGCCTCTATGCAAGCGTCGTCATAGTGGTTGTGCTGGTATCGCTCCAACATCTGCGCCAGTTGCATCATCCAGTGCAGGAGTCCCAAGAAGGTGCTCCAGTTCTGACCTCCGACAGCTGCGATCTGGCTCTTGGTGATGCTTTTCTCGTACGGATACCGGAGCTGCTTCAACAGAGGCGGCACCTCCTGGTCGATGTTCTTCTGGAAGCGATAGCTCGGATCGATGCGGTGGTAGAGCCACTGGAACATGTAGTTGAAGTCCTTTTGCGTCGGCGACTTGATGATATTCTGCGAGAGCATATGCTTCATCTCCATCTCAAAGTTGTGCTGCGCTAGGTACTCAAGGAGTTCCTGGCCGATCCTGGTCTGGTATGATCGATCCTTTAGGGGGCGTGGGTCGCGTGGCACGCCGGCGGGTTGTGGCGCCTGCTGGAAGAAGCTCTGATGCCCACCCACCGGGCCGGCGGTCAACGAACGCGAGCGGTAGACGCTACTCCGTCGGTCCCCATCTGTCGACGCCCGTCCGGGAACGCTGCCGGGCGTGTAAGGCTTGAGCGAGTTCGTGTTGTTGTTCTGGAAGGAAGAGCGCTTGACCGAAGACAACCCAATATCTGCGAGATTGGTTCCCGACGAGCTGCGCTGGAAGATTGGCTGGCTCGGTCGCGACATGGCGAGCGATTGCCTGGAGCCTGACATAGACCGGACATGATTGTTGCCGGCGGTTGAGTTGGGTCGCTTCATTGCTGAAGCTGGCTGAGGGATACTCGTGTTGAGGCTGATGCCCCCAAGAGTCTGTATCAATAAGTCAGTATACGTCGCGGCGCAAAGCCCAAAGCGCAAGTGCATCACCATACCTCCCTTGGCCTGCGGACGCTCCACAGACCAGTATCCTGCGACATGATGGGCAGTGCCGGTCTCTCGGTACAGTTCCACGAAGGTAGAATTCACAATTCTAAAAGGCGGTTGAACTGGCTCAAAGTCGAAACGTGTAAATCGTCTGCAAGAGAAATTACGCCGCTTGGGTGTTGAGATTGAACAAGGCAATATCCAGGTTGTTGTTGCTCCGTTGCCAAAGTAAACAAAGCTGCACACATGCTGATTGGCCCCCATTTTTGGACCCAAACAAGGGTCGACGCTAGTGCAGCACGTGATGCAGCCGGAAAACTGGGTCCTGGATCGTGACGGCATGGCAACTGGAAGCCGCACATGCCTCGGCCCAAACCGGCCACCACTTTTCTATGTGTTCCCGTTTATCACCTCTCCAAATGCCAGCCTAAACACTGAACTTGTCGCCGTTCAGATGAAGTAAGGAACTGGCCAGAAGCTATCTATCAAGATGACTATCCGCGAGGATATCGTCGCCTCGGCGGCCAAGTGTAAGCTCCCGACAAGTGCATGGACCTGGTCATCGTACCTATCTAACTATCCCCTCTTAGTCTTACAAGATCCCAGCGTCGCTGCATCCCCAGTCGAGAATCGCATCGCGTTCCTCCAATCGAAGAATCTAACTCAAGAGGAGGTCAACGCTGCTTTGGCTCGCGCGGCATCTGAGAACGGAACCGCGCCACCGTATGCGCCTCCCCCTTCATCATCAGCGCCGGGCCAGCCGCAACCATACTATGGACAGTATTCCCAACAATACCCGCCGTATGCCTGGCAGGCGACTCCATTGGAGCCACCTCGGAGGGACTGGAGAGATTGGTTCATCATGGCGACGGTGGTGAGCGGCGTCGGATACGGACTGTACTCTCTGGGCAAGGTGAGCAGCACGCTAGCTAAAGGACGTTTGTCTCCTGTGATCTGACGAGACTACCCATGAAGCGTTACATCTACCCCTTAGTGGCGCCACCAACACCGGAACGCCTCGAACAGGATAAGAAGTCAATTGATGAGCAATTCGAGAAGGCGTTCGCGCTGGTGGAGCAACTGGGCAAGGACACGGAGGCGCTGAAAGCCGCAGAGCAGGAGAGGACCGAGAGACTAGACACGGCGCTCTCAGAACTAGAGACAGTCATGGGCGACCTGAAGTCTGCTAATCGGCGGAGAGAAGACGAGGCGCAAAGGATCCGAGATGACGTGCAAACCCTCAAAGACTCGATCCCCAAGGCCATGGACACGCAGAAAGACTCGACGGACAACCGGTTGCGAGAGGTCAATGCGGAGCTCAAGAGTCTGAAGATGTTGATCACTCAGAGGATGAACCCTACGGCAACATCGGCGAGCGTCAGCAACTACCTCCGCCCCTCGGTTGCGAATGCTGCTCCCACCAGCCCTGGCCAAATCTCGACCGCGAGTGAGAATGCGGATGTCAATGACAAGCCAACGGCGGAGGAACCGAAGGCGCAAGAACCGCAGGACTACATCTCTGGCCTCAATCGGAGCTCGCCGTTTGGGATCGGAGCTCAGCAGTCCAAAGCATCCATTCCAGCCTGGCAACTGGCGATGGCGACCAAGAACTCGGGCTCATCATCGGCGACTAATGGTGCTGAGGCTAGCAGCAGCAGCTCGCAGTAATGGAACTGCCGTGCGGTCCATTGTTTTTCCATGCTCAGCTGTATGACGGGTGACAGCATGAGAATCGATCATGTATTATAATACCGTGAGACACGGGATGAAATGCCTTTTGTCGGATTTGCCGGTTACGGTCCTGATGGGGAGTTCTGCTGTAGCACAACATATGGATTGTTCATGAACATGTATATTTCTCTTTAGATGAGTACCTATGTGATGGCAGGGTGGCGACAGTGGATGCTCTACATGAGTTACCCTGAACACTTCGCCTCGGGTAGTTTACATTCCACAAGAAAATGTAGAGAAACTGTTAGACGCCTAGCCTACTCGTTATGGGTATATGCTATGCAGTAAGAGACGCTCTCTTCTGAAGTATGTAGGTATAATTTAAAGCATCTACAAAAATATGTCTCCGACTTCTTGCAAGTCCGTTTCCAGTCTCGTCGCCAGTTTCATCAGAGCCGTTGAGCCTTGGCCCCACCCTTTTCGGCCTTCCTTCCTAACAGAGGCTAGATCTATCCCGTGATCCTTGAAGTGTTGTGTGCTTATGGTTTCTTCGTTTCTTGTATATCTCTCTCAAATGTGCATGTGTTTCTATCACAATAATTATCATTTATTACAACATCTGTGAGGGCTTCAATTAAACGTTCGATTCAGCTCAAAAAGCTTCCTGCTACGTTACAGCTACCCCACCTCCTTCCTCTCACACGCCCTCGACAACCAAACACGTTATGAGTCTGGAAAGGGTTCACCGGCTCGGCTCAATGTTGCACGCAACCGCCCTCGTCTTCCAGGCGGCGCTGCTGCATCTGCTGCGCGTGTCGGAACAGTCCGAGTTTGTTGACTTGAAGACGGCGATCACTGTCGCAGCGCTCCGGTCCTTGCTCATGCTGCCTCCCAAGAGTGTAACGGCAACCCAAAAGAAGCTCGGTGTCGATCCGGGCATCAAGGGCAGGATATGGGTGAGCGCGTACACGGCCCCGGTGTCGCCGGAGACGGGCGTTCGGGATGCCATGGTGCGGGCTATCGAGGGGCTGAAGAGCCCAGAGATGGCTAGCGAGGACATCAAGGTCCCAGACGCCGTCCCCGTGGAGGCCGAGTGGACGGGTTACCGGGCCGGAGCAACGAAGAAGGAACTGCCGCCTGCGATACCCGAGTCGGAGAAGTATGCTGAGATGATGAAGGAGTGCAGAAGCCCGACGACCATTCTGTACTTCCATGGCGGAGCCTACTGGCTCATGGACCCGGCAACTCACAGGCCGAGTACGAAGTTGCTGGCCAAGCTAACAGGAGGCCGTTGCTACTCGGTCCGGTACAGGCTTGCGCCGCAGAATCCCTTCCCGGCCGCTCTTATGGACGCATTGGCCTCGTATCTCACCCTGCTTTACCCTCCACCGGGGGCTTTCCATGAGGCAGTCCGGCCGGAACACATTGTCTTCGCGGGCGACAGGTATGTTAGGCCGTTTCCCCATACAACCCTTTTCTTCTCTTTTATTTTTTTAAGCCGAAGGACAACCTGCCATCCCCATAACATCCCCCGCTGACATCAAGCCTCTCACCTAGCGCGGGCGGCAACCTCTGCCTAGCACTAACCCAGGCCCTCCTCGAGCTCCGGCGGCAGGACGTCCGGATCTCCTGGTTCGGCGCCGAGCGCGACCTCCCCCTCCCCGCGGGCGTGGCGGTCAACTCTCCCTGGACGGACGTGACGCACAGCATGCCGTCGTGCGAGGCCAACGCGCCCTTCGACTACCTGCCGACGGCGCGGTTCCAGCAGCGCGTGCCGTGGCCGGCCTGCGCGGCGTGGCCGTCGTCGCCGCCCCGCGCGTCCTTCTACGCCGCCGACGCCCTGCTCGCCCACCCGCTCGTCACCGTCCTCCTCGCCCGCGACTGGGCCGCCTGCCCGCCCGTGTACGTCTGCACCGGCCGCGAGCTGCTCGCCGACGAGGACGCCGCCATGGCCGCCCGCCTCCACCGCTCCGGCGCCGTTGTCGTGTTTGACGAGTTTCAGGCAATGCCGCACTGCTTCGCGCTGTTGTTCCCGCGCACGCCGCTGGCGAGGCGGTGCATGGATGGCTGGGCTGGGTTCATCCGGCGGGCGGTCGAGGAGCCGGCGGGTCTGGAGAGTAGGTTTACGTCGGTCAAGTCGAGGACGCTGGAGGAGGTGGGGATAGATCCCGGCAAGCTGAGCCCGTTCACTGAGGAGGAGGTGAGGGAGATGGTGCTCCAGCAGATTGACGTGATGACTGCGTCTCGACAGCCGGGGGGAAAGGCGAAACTGTGAGGGAATTGGATTTTAGGTGTAGGACATGGGTCGTGGTACATAGATATGGTAATAGATGCGATAATACCCCTTTTATAGATGCAAAGCATGTAAACACGCTGGATTCTAGAATCAGAGAAAGCACTTAAATCGATGCTGCTCATAAATCTAGCAGGGCCTGTCAAAGTATGTCACGCATCTTGAGATCCCAAATGTGACTTCTCTAGGTGTGTTTCCATTGACTTCCATACGTGTATGCAACATTCTTCAACCCAATGCTCAGGACTACCGGTTCTATACTGTATTATGGAAGTCGAGACCATCAAGGTTGCCCGTATGTACATACCAGGCCCGTAGCCCACCTCTGAAAAAGATGATGTGACTTCATCCCGTCCACATGGCTCCCCAGGACGTCTCTCGCCCTGATGCAAACATTAACCGACGCGTGAAGTCATGCAGGCCTGCTAAATATGCGCTGATATGACAGAAATACCCACTCGCGTCTTCTATCAGGTGCGGGGCGAGATTGCCGCAACTGCTCTGCAATATTCTAGACGCTCTATGCTCTATGCCTTGACCGAATAGGATCGCTTGAACATGTCGTCAATGTTCTCGAGGTAATACACGTCGCTAGCGATAGTATCGACCTTGCCCTCGGGCTTGTAGTCCTTCTGAAGGTGAGCCTTCTTGCGGAGGTCGCACATCTGAAGATGGGGGGGTCAGCCTGCCTGTGCACCAATCAAGTTAAAAAATGCAAGCGGTTGAGAGTATCCTTACAGATTCGTATTCCTCGGGAGGAGCTGCCCGTCTCCCGGTGAGCCTGTTAGGGATATCCAGGATGTCGGAAATCTTCTGGGTGCTGCCGTTGACGCGGAAAGAGCAGAAGCTGGATGCCAAGCCCGAGCCGTAGCTGAAGAGGCCTATCCGCTTGCCCTGCAGATCCGAGCTGTTGATGTGAGAGATCAGGCTTGCCAGACCACCCCAGACGCTGGCGCAGTACATGTTGCCGCACATTGTGGCGACCTGGATGGACGGGTTGACACGCTCCTGAAAGCGCTTCTTGGTCAGGGTCATAAAAGTCTTCTCGACCACCTTGTCGGTCAGCGACTTCTCGTAGTCCATGTCTCGCACTTCGGGGGCAACCTCGGAGAAGGCCGGGTTCTCGGGGTCTGCGAGGTAGTCATGGTACAACAGGCGAGCGTACGACTTGGCAACCAGCTTGCAGGTCGGGGCGTGGAAAGTAAGGTAGTCGAAGCGGTCAAGCGGCGTCTTTACCGGTCCGGTCTCGGCGTGGGCGCCGTTGCCGTTTGCCTGGCCATTGACGGCGGTCTTGGTCAGCAGAGCCTCACGCTTCGAGTATGCGCGGTAGGCAGCGTCGAGGGCCTTGGTGTAGCAGTTGACCGAGTAGTGGCCATCGACGTAAGGGTACTCGCTGGTAAGGTCGGGCTTGTAGAAATCGTAGGCGTGCGCCATATAGGTGCCTCTCATACCGGGATCCACAACAATCGGGGCGTCGGGGCCGATCAGCAGGGCGACAGCGCCAGCGCCTCCGGTGGGGCGGGCATTGCCCTTGGCGTACAGGGCAATGTCGCCAGCCACGACGATGCCATCCCGGCCGTCCCAGCCGGACGACTCGATCCAATTGACGGTATTGAAGAAGGCGTTGGTGCCTCCATAGCAAGCATTGACAGTGTCGACACCCTCGATGTTGGTGTTGTCTCCGAACAGTTGCATAAGCACCGACTTGACCGACTTGGACTTGTCGAGGATGGTCTCAGTGCCGACCTCGAGGCGGCCGATCGAGTTGGTGTCAATGTCGTACTTCTTCAGGAGCTGGGAGACGACAGTGAGAGAAAGGGAGTAGATGTCTGGTGGTGGGGGGAGTACCCCGCGGCATCAGCATCTTGGCCAGGATGAATTGGGCTTGGGTGTCACAGCGGCACGCGACAGCGCAGCGCGGCACAGCAGCAGAGGAAAAAGCAAGAAGCACGGAGACTCACCCTCGCGATCGTCGCAGAAGCTCATCTTTGTCTGGCCGAGGCCAATGGTATACTTCCCCGCGCTGACGCCATCAAACTTCTCGAGCTCGGACTGCTCGACATACTGCATTGCCAACTGTCAGCCTCGGGAGGTCGTGGCTGTTTGTCTGCGTGGGAGAGGGGCTGCGATGTCGGCGCACCCACGCCCCCACAGAATGGACGAACCTGGCTTGGGAAGTAAATCTCGATGGCCTTGATGCCGATGTTCTGAGGACGGGAGGCCATATTGGACGGTTAGAAATGGAGGAACGGGTCGAGAATAAGGTAGCGTCGCGGGAATGAACGAGTTGAGGGTGTCTGGAGGAGGAGGAAGATGTGTGTTAGTAGTCGTTCGTCTTTCCTTTATTTTAGGATGCCCCTCTTTCACCGCCCTTTCGAGAATCTCGACCTGGACAAAGCCCGGGTCCCCAAAAGGCAGGATTTGCTGGCAACTTGCACGCCAACACAGCCGGGGGGTTGATCTAGACAACACACTTGCCTTGGGTGCTCGAGTGATGGCTCTCTCCTCTCAATTGGTCTTTTTTCCCTGGATGGCAGAAACTGAAAAGAGATCAGGAACGGTTTGCAAAGATCTCAGGGGGTAGGGGCACTTGTTTAAATTCCTACCTTATCTTCACACTAATAATACGTAAGTATCCATAGAGTGAATAGCTACAAGTGGGAGGAGACTCTTAGTACCCTATACCTGAGATATCACGCTTTGAGCTGGTCGCATGCACGGATTACATACAAGCAGCAAGCCTAGCCGAGGCCTCCCAGATCACAGGAGAGGTACCTTATACTGCCAATCTGCTTCGTACACCCCAACCTGCCCACGGTTTATTGCCCACATCACATCAACACTAATTCGAGATTTCCACTTTCGACCCCGCCATCAACTGCCAATTGGGCACATTGATCTTGCTGCGTTAGAATACTACGCCGTCCTGCATGGGCAACGCGGTTGGCTCCCGCCAGCTGTCACGGGCGAGCAATCAGGGTCCTCCTTCACCCACCTAGCAGCCAGCTGTTGTGCGAGAGGGTACAAAGTAGTATCCAGGTACCACGCCGCTGCAGGAACGGCTGCCCCGCCAACCCCACCTTCGTGGCTGCGCTCGCCAATCAAAATCAAGCATGGGGGAGACGGTGAGATCCTCCCTTTTTTTCCCTTTGTCCCGATAAAAGGGGAGTGTCTCGGAAAGGGATGTCTTGGGGCAACAGATGAGCAAGACGGGCTAACTAAACACCTAGAGTGCTAAACTAGAGCGCTGAGACGGGGCAATCCGGACTGGATGGTGCAACTTTCGCCTTGGAAGCAATTTTTTTTATGTACTGCGCTGTTCCAAACGCAGGTACCAAAGTACTATATGTACAGAAGTGGAAGGGATTGACGACCCAAAACGCCATAGCGCCACGCCCCTTTATTCTCAAGGCGTCCCATAACCAGAGTCGCCTCCATGCTTGCTCTCTTCAACCTGACTGACACTGGTCTCGGAGCTCCCATCCTGAGCCTCAGCGGGATCGGACTCTTTGGACGCGGTCTCATCTTCAATTTTCGTGCTCCCACCAGCCTCAGAATCCGATTGAGCCGAGGATGAATCCGTCGCGTTCCCGTCCTCCTTGCTCCGGCGCTGCTGCTTCTTCTTCTTCTTCTTGCTCTCCTCGGGTTTCCGCTCGGATCCTTCTCCGTGCTTCGTCCCCACTTGTTTCAGTTTCCCCTCCTTCCCACTCCTCTCCTTCCTCATTTCGATGACCCACCGCTCCGCCCCGTCAACCGCTGCCTCGGGGTGTCTCTTGTGCTTAAGTAGGTAACCCTGGATCTCGGCGGGGCTGAACTCGTGCGGCGGGATCACGGCGGCAAACCGCCCAGCCAGGCCGTCGACGCGCGCGACCACCTCGTCCTTAGCCCCGGCAGTCCCGGCAGGCTTACCCACCTCATGCTTCTGTTTCTCGGGACCGCCAGCCTCCTCCTCGTCATCAGAGGCCGCGCGGGCCGTCGCCGCCGCCTTGTCGTCGACTTCCAGGGGCGCGAAGATGGCGCGGAAGATGGCGGCCGTCATGACGCAGTCGGCGCGGTCGAACTTGACGACCATGTCGACGCGGCCCGGCCGGATGAGCGCCTTGTCCAGCTTCTCCAGGTGGTTCGTCGTCATGACGAGGACGCGGCCCTCCTGCGAGGCCACGCCGTCGAGGATGTTAAGCAGGCCTGACAGGGAGAGGCGGCCGCTGCCACCGCTGCTGGCCGCGGTTTCGCCCTTCGGGGTGGGGGTCTCGTCCTTGGGAGTTTCGGCGTCCTTGCCGACGTCCTTGGGCGCCTCCTCTCGCGTGTGCGAGAGTCCGGCGGTGTCGATATCCTCGAGTAGGACGACGCACCGGCGCGGAAGGTCGGCGAACAAGCTCGCGAGGCTCTCCTCGCCTGTCGTCACCGAGCTGAGGCTGACGATGTAGATGCGCATCTTGAAGTGCCCCGCTAGTGCCAGGCTCAGGGACGATTTGCCAGTGCCGGGCGGCCCGTATAGCAGATAGCCGCGGCGGTATGGGATGCCGCGGTTCGAGTACCATCGCCTCGTGGCCGGGTCGAGATAATCCTTGACGTCCCTGATCAGCTCCTGCTTAACCTTCTCGTCGAGGATGACCGTCGACAGGGGGCGGGAGGTCCGAGCCATGCAGCGTTGCCAGGACGGGTCCATGCCTCCGGACCGGGTTTGCCCGCGGTAGATCAGCGTCTTGTCTTCGTCCTTCTTCATGTACGCCTCGCGGGCCTCGTGGAGGAGCGCTTTCAGGACCCAGGTGCCCCGGCCGATGCTGCAGATGGAGATTTCCTCCCGTGCGCTGGCCAAGACTGGAGAGCCCTGCTCGCGGTTCTGAGTCCGGCGGAAGATTAACAAGCGGCCCTTGTACCAGAAGTAGTGATCTCCAAAGGTGGGCGTGTATGACAAAGGCTGCTTCTTGCTGCTGTCCTCGTCCTCGTCATCAGAGTCACAGGGCACATAGCAGAACCGCGAGTCGAGGTTGACGTTGGCGATGAAGCGGCGGGCCCCTTGCGCGAATCTCTGGGCCGAGACCCAGGCCATGACATAGTTGTAGAGCTCGTCGTCGGTGCGGATGTCCACCGTCGACATGAAGTGTTCTTCGACCAGTCCCCAAAAGGATTCGGTGAAGTAGCGCCAGATAAAGGTCGAACCCCCAAAGAGCAGGGCAAGGGTGAAGTACACGCTGAGGTCGACATGCAGATATTTTGCCAGCGAGCCCGAAATGGCTGAGAGCCCAGGGAAGAAGAAGTCGAGTAGGGCTAGCTGGGGAATCGCAGGCACGCTGAAGCCACCTGGCGACTGCACGGGAACCCCTGTGCTCTGACAGGAGTCCATCGTGGGCAGGAATCGATAGGTGCGGGCTCTAGTTGGCTAGTAGAAAACGAAGAACTGGTAGGGTGCCAAAGAGACGCTGAAGAGCAACCTTGATCAGAGCAAAGAACCCCCCCTTTGCGCTGGCTACGGAGATATCGCTTCTTAATAAGGACTGAGGGTTATGGTGAGACGAAACTACCTAGACAGAGGAGCAATCCAAACACTTTTATAATGCGGCGAGTTGCGGGGGAACAAACTCGTAGATCGGGGTCCTCTTGGCTGGCGAGCCGGCGAGGCCTCATGCCGACAGGGAATGCACTGGGCTTGCATTGGGTCACTGCGCCCGCCCAGGCAGATGCAGTACTTTGAACCTGGATACCACGCGAGTCGTCATACCGTAAGCCTTTCGCGGTTGGGCGACACGCCTCAAGGGGGCCGGCCATGACTGATGAGGGTGCTGATGACTCACCCGCCGAAGCGTCGGGGCTGTGAGACATGGGCTTTGTCTGCCTACCAGGTCGCCTTGCAAGGAAGGAAATGGGAGCAAAATTGCTGCCTGATTCTTCGCCGTCAAAACATGTGGGAACAACCCTGGTTCTTTGTTTGATCCGTAAAATAATTCATTGTCTTGTCATCGCTTCATAATTATTGTCCTCAATCCACACCTTCATCTACACACAGCTGCTGATGCCCTTAGTAAAGAAACGCAATACTTCAGCAAGATCCTTGCTAATATGGGTCTAAAACCCTTCCAGATCATACCGTGCTTCTCTTCTGCCGGACATTGACGAAAGACTCGTGGGACATGTGAAATCTAGATGGGATAAGACACAAAGAGGAATAGAAACCAGATTCGGACGATGGTATCGCGAGAAACACGGGAGACCTGCGACCTGATTTAACGCCGCGCCACCAACCCTATAAAACGCCGGACCCTAAAGACTTCAATGATGCCGCCTTTTCAGGCTGGTCTAAAACCCGGCGGTGGCGGGCCGCCACCGCGGATGGGCATGTTGCCAGGCGGTGGTCGGAATTGCTGCGGGGGCATGCCAGGCCGGGCTTGGAAATTGGGAGGCGGCTGCGGAGGATGCGCTGGGCCCATGGGCCTCATGCCGGGATGATGCATGCCTTGATGCATGCCGGGATGTACGCCAGGACCGGCATTTGGGGGCGCCGGGACGTACTGGCCGTATGTTGGCCCGCCGTCCCTCGTAGAGTCATCATCCGAGTCGTCGTCGTCGTCGTCGATGACGCCGCCGTCGCCGGTGCGCCTCCCCTTGGCCCACGGATCACCACCGCTCCTGCGAGAGGAGCGGGACGCGCGGCCGCTGACGTCCTTCCACTCGGACCGCCGCGTGTAGCCGGAGCCGTCGTAGCCCCGGCTGCTCGAGGACTCGACGAAGACGACCGAGTATTCCTTCTTCATCTCCAGCCGGCCGCTGCGCCCGCTGCTGCTTCCGCTCCATGAGTCGTTGTCCCTCTCATATGTGTCCTCGTACACCTTGACCTTCTTCACCCTGGAGGGGTTTCCCCCGGCAAACCAGACCAAGGTTTTGACGGCGGGAGTGTCTGGGAGGCGGTGCTCCTTCGACCGGGTGCTCGAGTTGGTCCACTGGGAACCCGACGACTTCCGGGACCTCCCGTCGGATTTGACGCTGCGGGACCAGGAGGAGCCGGTCGAGCCGGTCGAGCTACTGCTAACTGACATTTGGGGTCGATTGGAATGGGAATATATATGTATTTGTATATATATTTATGGCTTCTTGGGCTCGCCGGCGGCCTGGTGTTGTTTGATAATAAGGGTTGCTAGTCTACCAATCGTCCACTGTTCACCCGTCACATCGGCGAGCGGGCTTCAGGGTGGGAGTGGAGGAGACAGCCAGATAATGGTTGGAAATTTTTGAAGGAGCGAGTAGTTTGACTGGCTAGAGGTTGAATGGTCTCGAATTGAAACAAGGCTGCGATGGAAGATACAGAAAGCTGGCAAGGACAGGGCAAGATCTAGTTTTGGGCAAGGCGTTGTTCTTGTACTCGTCCACAGGTAGCGGAATTGAGGCTTTCATCCCCTCACCGGATTCACCTGCCCTGCTACGCCACCGGGCAACCCCAGGGCACCCAGGGCGCATAGCATGGTGGAGGTGAGCGGAGGAATGGACTGGCTGAAAGCTGGCCGCAGCAGGCAGCAGCGGCGAGTGCGGAGAGTTACATGCAGGCAGATTCCTGAGGCCGAGGATTTGATTCGTTCTAGGTTCAGTTATGAGGCTCAAGAAGGACAGAATAGGTTAGCAACCAGAGGCCTGAGTACAGGCTATACCCCTCAGTACAGAAGCTGGGCGGCCACACACAGAGCCTGCTGGCCTCTTAGGGCCCGATCCAACCCTCCAGGAGCTTGCTTTGATACACATCACATCGCACAAGAAAAGCCACTCCGCCCTAGTTTCGAGGTGGAATACAGATAGAGCCTTGCGAGGACAGATGATCTGCCGTCTGTCGGTCGCTGACCAACGGCGCAATCGGAAACGGGCACAATGGTGAGTAGAGTCTGGTGAGGTGAACTGATCAGTGTCGGACTCTCAGATGGATAGCTGCCCAAAATTGGAAATGTTATCCATTTGAAGTGGGTAGAACGGACGAGACTTCGGGAGAAATGGCGTTAGAGGGCCGACAAGGAAAGACGGCAGCGGCAGCGTGAGGGAGGAGGGCTATGAGGCCTCATATGAGGACCAGAAGTCGGTGTACAAGCAGACGATGCGTAGATCCCCCTCGTCGAACAACGTGGCTATCGGCGAGGCGGTCCACCGAGCCCGGTGTTAGACTGCTACGATTGGACTGCCCGAAAGCGGGGCTTGCCCCGGTGTAAGGCGTCCAGTTGTGAGCTGTCAAGGGCGGGGTTGAAGCCAATAGGCAGGACCGACCAAGCCCTCGACTCATGACTTCTGTGGAAGGGGAGTAGGTGCCTACCTAGCCTAGTAAGGTGAGCTGTTAGGTTAGGTTAGGTTAGGTAGGTAGGTAGCTCGAAAGGTCACATCAGGGTTATTATGATGAACCAAGTCCAAGAAACACAACATCGCGCATGGCCGCAACATCGGGCGTGCATTTTCTGGGTCCGGTCGTCCTCGAGCACCCTATCAAATTTTCTGCCGGGAGGCTTTTTTTTTCTTTTTCTTTTTGCTGAAGTTGAGGCCCTGGGCAAAGCCGTGTTTCTTTCTGGGCGTCATTTATTGAAGGCTCTTCAGTGGATGAGAGACGTTGTGGAAGGATCACTGGTATCCAGCGCCTACATCTGACCGACTGATCGATATTATATAGAGACGCGGCGCAATGTCAACTCAACAACCATCCATTGGCAATCGTACGGATAACAATTATTCGCTGTTCCATGATGGGATTCTCTTTGTGTGCCCCCAAAGTTGATGGCCAGGAATGTCGGGATAAAAGGAAATAATATCGCGACGGCTGTCGTACTCCTTACTGGGCCTTACTGCTTGGAACTCGGAAAGGCCATCCCCGGGTCCTCAACTTGATTGGACTCGTGACTCCGCGACATTTTGATCAGGAATTGCCAGTGAGGCCGGTTGGTATATGTTGTATAAGTTGTATATGTATGTACCTTGCATACATTGGCTTATATTGCTTAAAATAAAACAAACTGGTGCCAGCAAGGGGAGGCGTCTCAGTGGGGTATTGAGAGACGGTTTGTCGGATTGCAACCTGGCATGCAGCTGCGGAAAAGATGTGTGTCCAACAGACTGGATCGCAAGTACTGAATCAATTCCAGGAGGGAAGACCAGGGAAGACCAAAAGGCGAGAAGGGAGAAGCGAGAAACGAGGGCGATACCGTTCTAGACCGAACTCTACCTACTGTGGTAACACTCTGGGGTAACATGGATATTAATGGGCGAGGGACTTTTGACTGCCGGAGCTAGTACTTTACAGGGTATACGCCCAAAAGGCTACCATTCCGTCCAGCAAATGTATTGTACGAATAGAGACGGATGAAGAGGCCCACCCTCATAGTCGTATCCCTCATATACTGGGCTATTACCTGCCAGATATGGGGCATGAACGGGGAATTCTGGATAAATGTTCAAAATCCCCATGAGCATTTTGTATTGACAAATGACGCCAAGTGTGCAGCCCGAGGATACATTTTAAGACCAGCACTTCCTCGGACCTTAACCGCGGTATCGCATCGCATCGCATCGCATCGCATCAGCGCCATTCATTCTGCTGCTGCTGTTGCTGACCTACCTAAATATCGTAGGGTAGGCACTGCACTGTACCTAGGGTAGTTGGTGTTTGAATAGGAATAAGCTTCAGCGAATCAGCGAAGTCTCTGGTCTCGGTGCCTTTTGCTACGGATACTCCAAACGTGCAAACCCGCAAGCAGGTTTCTTCCAAATATATCCTTTGCCACACAACCAGTGGCTCGGGGACTTTCATTGGCGTTGTTCCCGTGGTGCCACTGCCGATCACTGTCACTCTTGGATATAGGCTCAATGGTTTGGAGCAACGTTGAACCTTCGGAAGGGCAGAGGGATGGGTATCATCAATATCTTGCCTCTCATTCATTAGGTGGTAAGTACTTAGGTATTTAGTCTTCCTGCGGTCGATGCCGGATCGAAGGTGAGCAGCGCCTCGTCGGGTCTCCTGCATTCGACCATCAGCCGTGAGCGCCAAGACGCCAAGAGATGCGACCCGAAAAGTACCTAGCTGGACTTGTGGTTGCAAAAAGCCAACTTGACAGACCCATGGAAAAGGGGATGGAGATGATAAGAGGTTGGAGGACGGAGATAGAGTTTGACGAACGAGACACGAGCATAATTTTCTACAATTCACGAATGCTCTTTCGCTCCGCTGCCGTGTGGAGTTTGAGCAGATTGTACAGATTAATCCAGATGGGATGGTCGTACAGGTACCTCCCTTGGTACATCTGTCGATCGTGATCGTGCCACGCCCTTCCCTGAATAAGTGGATCAACCGGACTGACCCACTCCCTTGTATCCCTGAACCACCTCCAGCAAAAAGATGGATGGCTCCACAAAGGTGGTGACGGACTGGAAGGCCATAGCACCGAATAAGCCAGCCCGCCAATAACGGCCCAGAGCTCGTACCCCCCAATCCAAAGTCCGAAACCCCAGCCATGGCTTGTTCTGGTTCCTGAAGCAAACTGCCCTTGCTCCCCATTTGGCTGTCCTGTCCATCCATCTCGAATCGCTCCTCGCCAAGTCCCTCAACCATAACACCACGACACCACGCCACCGCGACGTTATCTGATACACCTGGATCCCATCCGCTGTCGCTCAATCGTCCGGCGTACTGGGCGTGAGGAGCAGGAATCTCTTATCGACGACCTTCACGGGTCCGGGTGACCGTCGATGAGGAGGGGAGACTGATGGTCTTCACTCCCTCCTTTCGCCCACCACTTCTGTCCAGTCCCGGAGTTGAGGCCCATCCCATCACAAGAACCCCATGGATTCAGGAAACTTGAAGGCGTCGGACTTGGAGCGGAGGTTGTCGAGGAGGAGCTCAGTGAGGGTTTCGGTGCACGGAGGGGAAGAGGAGGGCTTTGATTTCACCGCTGGCGCTATCTCAGACGGGTTCAGGCCACCCGAGCCATCGTCATCCACAGTCGAGCCCGAGACGCCTGCGCTAGAAACAGTATCCCCCGACTCTGCCAACCCCGTCGAGAACAATTCTCCTTCATTGCAGACTCGCCCTTCGAGCATTGCGAAACACTCGAGGGCTGGCGATTCGTTCTCCCTGCGGCATGATGGAGGCATGGGTGCGATCCAGGAAGCCGCGGCGTCACGGTCATCGAGCGTGACGACTGATACGGAGCCTTACATCGCTACTGAGAGTCCTTATCACGGGCCATCCAATCCCTCACACCCTTACCAAATGTACCCGCAGAATGTCAGAGTAGCGAGGACGTTGAGTGGAACGACGACATCGACCGCGCCCGCACCCGAGTCTCCATATTCCGGTCCGGGTGGCCCAGCGCATCCGTATTCGATGTATCCTCAGGCAACGGTCAACGAATCGAGCCCGGCCCCGGCCACCGTCATCCCCGTCGGGTTTCCAGGCATTGCGGACCCATACCAACGTCGTATTGGCCCCGAGGGAGAGGACGTGGGCGACATCATTGGGCCCGACGGTCACACAGAGCAGTTGCCGCCTTACACTAGATACCCGGATGAGCCATTTGCTGCCAAGGTGGCCGTCGCGGGGCCATCCACTGCCGCTCCGGCGCCAACAGCGGCGGCGCCTGCCCCGCTGGCAGTGCCTGAGACAATTCCTGGGGCTGGCGGAATTGGCTTAGCAACCAGGGATCCCGAATTCGAGTCTATCGACGACCTCGATTCTCCTAGGTCTCGAGATTCGTGTAGGAGCTTCACGACAGAGGCTAGCAACCGGGCGATCAACGAGACTGCCACAGGAATATCGGAGAAACAGAGACCGGAGAGGGGAAGCCTCTGGGGAAGACGGCGGTTAGGGGGCATTGTACCGTACTGGGCAATCTGTCTCACGATCCTTGCCCTCCTCATGATGGGCGCCGTATTGGGCTCGGTCATGGGAACTTTCATGGCAAAGCACAAGAAGCCGCCACAGCATGGAGGCAACAACAACAAGTGAGTACACGTCCATCCCGCGCACACGCACATGCGGGAATTGAAGGCTGACCCCTATCAGTAACGAACATCCCTTGCCCTCGGTAACCATCACATATGATGCCACGCCTATACCCACGCCATCCGACCTCCCGCCGCTCGTCACCGGAACGTTCGGCATGCCGCTGATGAGCAGTAGAGTGTCGAGTGTTTGCTTCAACGACTCGCAGCTGTCCCAGGCCTGGAACTGCAACATTCTCATGTTCGCAGGCCTGACCATGACCATCGGGGAGAACCAGGTCACGCCCGAACTCGTGGATTACACCATCAGCCTGACGTGTAACGAGTCATTCACTCTGTCGAGCCATGTCTACAGCTATGGCGAGCAGCCGCCACTTATTCCGCTCCCGCTCGCCCTGGAGCTTGTCAATGATACCTTGGAGCCGGGGCGAGGACCCGCCTGGTTCAAGATGGTGCCGTACAACAAAACTATCATCCTTCCCGAACCTGTGCTTGAACCACCCAACGGGCCTGCGGCATCAACACAACCTCGTTCCTTTACCGCCTTTGGAGGCGGGCCCGGGGATCTCAAGCGGAAGGGCACTGCACAGTCCGGCGACCGCCCCTGGATTTGCACCTGGCCGGAAACCCTCCTTGAGATCTTCATCTACCCCATGCAGAATTCGAGCTGGAACAGGCCCCCTCCAACCGGGGCCTTTCCCGCCGGGCCCTTTCCAACCGAGATGGCGTCGATGGGCAGTTCGACTATCCCAGGGGCCCCCGCCCCGACAGGCGAAAATCCGTATCATGGTGATGGTGGTGATGGTGGTGCTGGTGGTGGAGAAGGTCCATTCATACCTCCTGCCTCTGCCCAGGGAGATTATTCCACCGCAACCACCGATATTCCACCCCTTGATACTAGCCACTTCGACTTTCCGCTTCCACTTCCACCGTATCCGAAGGTCGTCAAGTTGGAGGAACGTCGTACTGCCGGTTCGCCGACAGCAACGTGCCGACAAGTCGAAATAGTAGCCGACGACCAGCCTGCCCGCCCCGTCAAGGATGCTAATGGGAATGATGTCGTCATCTATATTATCGAGAATTCGCCGACGCCTCAAACCGAATCATCGAAAATAGCCGTCGACAATGGATACCGCCACAACGGCAACCCTCTTCTTCACCGAGACAGCAGTAGCGATTTAAGCGACTGCGGTTGTATGTGGTTCATTACTTGAGAAGCTTTCGGGGCGCCTTTGAGCCCCGTTACGCCGTTCTTGTCAACCGCCACGAGGTGCGACAGATAAAAAAAGGGGTATTTTTTTTTTTTTTTTTTTTTTTTTTTTTAATTGGCTCGAGATCCTGCGAGTTACTATTGGCGTTCAGAAACGGAATCGGCGAGTTGGAGTATGTGGAATGATTGGAGTTTAGGCGCGCAGCACCACCTCATTTTGGCCCGTTTGGATCCACGGCAGCATGGCTGTTGCGTTATTTGGAGTTGAGGCCATGTTGATTGCCCCTCGAGCGGCCCGAGCAAAGTGAGCAAAGTATATGGCTGGCTTTGCGTTTTATGCCGCATTTCTAGAGGAATATCCTGTCATGAAGAATGACAATGTGCTCGGGCGATATGTCGCTCGCGAGTCGGGAAGAGCCGTAAATACCTTACATATGTATATGTTATATGTAGGATCAAAATCATACATCTATCTATCCACCTAGCCCGAAAGCCTCGCGCGCTGTTTGTGATAACTCGAATCCTGTGCTGATGGGAGCACAGTGCATCATGATATTCGAGATCTAGTTGCAAACATACACCCCTCCAGCCGGCCCCTAAATCAAGGCCGTGAGAATATGCTCATGACGGATGACTTGACTCGTCTTCAGCTTTTGCGTTGTTGCTGCCACCGCCACCGCCACCACCCATCCCCTCCACCCCTATTATGTCCTTACCGAGGCCGTCCAAGAAGCTATCAGCCATCTTCTTCGCCCTCCTCTCACCGATCTCCCTCCTCCGCTCCTCGACCTCCTTCTTCCTCGCCGCCAGCCTCTCCTCCCTCTCCCTCCGCAGCGCCTCCGTCCTAGCCCTCTCCTCCTCCAGCGCGGCCATCTCTGCAGCCCGGCCCTCGGCGTCTGCGCTGAAGGCGTAGAACCCGACGCCCCTGGTGCGGACCTCACGGTCGGCGCGGTAGTGCGCCGCCTCGGGCGGCGTGGCGCTGCGGTCGCGCCGCGCCGCGATCTCCTCCATGCGCCCCGCGTCGGCGGCCGCGAACGCGTCGACCTGCACGGCGTCGCCGCGGATGATGTTCTCGGGCGCCCGCGGCCGCGCCGACATGCGCTCCAGCTCCGCGGCCGCCGTCGAGCCCCGCGCCAACAGGCGCTCGTGCCGCAGCTTGTCGGCCGCCGTGCCGCGCCGCAGGCGGCCGAACTCGTCCTCGTACTCGATGATCTCGTTGTCGTTGTTGTCGCCGCCGCCGCCGTCCGACTCGTTGTCCGACCCCGACGTCGAGTACCCCTCGCCGCCGGCCTTGTCTCGCCCCTCGGCCCACTTGCGGTCAAAGTCCACCAGCGGCGCCGCATCCCCTTCCTTGGCCACGTAGTCGCCGCGCTTCATGGCCGCGTACAGGCGCGCCTTCTCCTCCATCTTGCGCCGCGCGCGCGCCGACTCCGCCTGGTCGTCCTCGGTGCCGATGGGGTCCCGGAGGTTCAGCCGGCCTGTCGCGCCCTCCGCTGCGGTGCTTGCCGCCGCAGAGGAGCCTCCGGCTTTCCGCTTCGCCTTGGCGCCGGCGAAGACGTCCGGCTTCGAGCGGGAGGGGCGCGCGCGGCCGGCGGTCGTCGTTGTGGTGGTCGCGGCGGTGGAGGAGGAGGATGACGCGGAGAGAAGGGCGGCTGCTTGCGAGGCGAAGGATAGCGAGCTGGAGAGGTCGATCTCCTTCCTTTGCCGCTTCGGAGGCCGCTGGCCGTAGAGGTTGGGGTCTTGTGGCATCTCGGAGGGTGGGTGTCTTGCAAGGTTGGGCGCCAGTCGTCGGAAATATATCGTTTTGGAGTCGACCCGGGATGAAACTTTCTTGCAATCGAAATGTCTGGCTCGATGCGAGATTTATAGCTTGGCGATTAGTCTTCTACGTGATAGGGCTGTATAGTGACTAGGTATAGTCCGTACTCTGTAGGGAATGGGGAGTACGCTGCGTTGTGCTGCGGTGTGGGGCACCAAGGCTCCGGGATTGATTGACAGGGGTTTCGTCATTGTGGAAGGAGCTTGGCCATCGCTCGGGACCAAACCACCACCTCCGCCGACAGATACGAAGAATGCTATCCACAATCCTGCAACCAACAAGCTGATTTCCGTGGTTGGACGGCCTCCGCCGCCTTATCTCTTACCCATCACTCTTTCCTCTTTCCCTCCCTATGAAAACCGTCTCTCGCATTGCAACATGCCCTCGTTGGACCCGAATACCCGACTGACGCCTGATTTCTTGCCTTTTCATATGCCCAGGCGCAGTCGTGTCTAACTCCCTATCCCTTCTGTCGCGGACAAACCACCACTACCTCAGTTTCTGTAACTGCATCGAGAAACCTGCGGGATACTATCAGCACTACCCCTTCGTGGTTTTTGCGCGCAACGGCGAAGATGGCCAACCAACAACCCAGCTGGTATTCCGGGCTCACCGAGCTGACTATTGTACCCGGCGAGTACTACTACATCGTCCGCATGATCTCGTTCTTTTTTGTACGTGGAATCGTTTGATGCTCTGCCCCTAGATTCACCCTGATAAGCTCTAACACGATGCCAGATTACTCTTGCCATCGCGCTCATTCTTCCGGTCCTTGCCCTCGTCGTGTACGACTTCGCTCTCTGGATTTGGAGACTCGCCTCGTCGAAGCCCACCCCGGTCACCCCAGCGAGCACGAGGGCAAGTGAAGTCGTTGAGGGCCAGAAACCTGCAATACACGGGGTCGCAGAAGAAGAATACGGTCAAAACACAACTACCTAGCGGACGATCCCTGGTAATGGTGGCGGGCCCGGGAGCCTGTCGCAAATTGCTGGGAGAATGTTGCGGAGACGGCAAAGACATGAATTTTTGACCCTTAGAGCAGCCCCAACGGGCTTATTCTATTTACGATATCTGTGACAGGACCTTGATAAGATCGCTCGTCACGCCCATGGCCGTCACCTCACCCCCAGCACCAGCGCCCTGGATTATGAGCGGGTTGCTTCCATACCGCTTCGTGTAGAAGCTGATGATATTGTCGCTCCCCTTGAGCGCCGCGATGGGATGGGACAAATCAAACTTCTCCAGCCCGACCTTGACTTGTTTTGTGGCCACATCAATGCTACCAACAAATCTTACCACTTTCCCTTCTTTCTCGGCAGCCGTTTTGGTCCTCTCCATCTCGGAGTCGAAATCAGGCAGCTTTCGCAGGAATTCGTCACCGCTTGCAACAGACTCGAGCGCGTTGGGGATAAGACTTTCGACCGGGAAGGACGTGGGCGATTCGACCGGCAGGCCGGCCAACCTCGCGAGGATAGTGAGCTTTCTGGCGACGTCCAGGCCGTTCAGGTCGTCCCGAGGGTCTGGCTCGGTATATCCCAACTCCTTCGCCTTCTTGACCTCGGTAGACCACTTGCCACCCGACCCTGTTGTTGGGGCGAAAGAGTTGAAGAGGAACGACATGGTCCCACTGAAGACACCCTCAATCTTGGTCACCTCGTCGCCAGTGTCCACCAGGTCCTTCAAAGTAGAGATAACAGGCAAGCCCGCACCGACCGACGACTCGTGGTACACCTTTGCGCCCGAGCTTGCGGATGCCTCGAAGATGTCCTGCCACAGCTTGTAGGACCCCGAGAATGCCTTCTTATTTGGCGTGACGATGCTCACGCCACGGCCGAGGAAAAGCGGATACGCTTCGGCGACTTCCTCGGAACTGGTGTTGTCCACTAGAACAACCTTTGATGGCGCTGCCGCGAGGTAGTCTGCCAGCTTGGGAAGGTCCAGGGGTGCCTGGCTGGAGGACGACAGGGTCTGGAGGGCATCTTCGAAACCGAGGGCGGAGTAGTCGCTGCTGTAGAGCGCCTTCTTGCTGGTGCAGATGTAGCAGAGGGCCAGCTTAGGGCTGGGACGTCGTTTTGCGAGGACTTGCAGTTGGGACAGGAAACATTTCCCTACCCCTCCGGCGCCTGGAAGTCGATCGAATCGGTGTCAGTAACAGAGCCCTGGTGTTTTGGTGTTTAATAATGGTTTTGAGACGAACCGATGATGGCAATGAACACTTGATTAACAGCAGCCATGGTGTACTACTTCTTTCCTCTGGATATTGTGACAAACGCTGAATTGGTCTTGAACGGGGAAGCAGAGAAGCGATGATGTGGGATGGAGGGGTTAAAATGTCGCGGTGCAAGCGATCGACTGATAGCGGGGCACCTGCAGTGGGAAGATACCCGAAAAAAACATGCTCCACCTACCTCTTACTCATCTACATGCATATGTGAATTGAAGTTGAAACTGTGAACTGGGCTTAAGCCATATCAACAGAAGGGGAAGCCCAGGAAAAGTGCACTTCGGCATTACACAGATCGGTCGAATTTTTATAGCAATGGGTAATCCAACTGGCAAGCGGCAGAAGCGGGAGGAATACCGTGCTGCTCAGCAGCATGATGCATCCGCTGGGTTGCCCAGGAAGAAGTTCTACCGCCAAAGAGCACACGCAAACCCGTTCTCGGATCACCGATTGACATAGTAAGCTCATACCTCCAGGTATATACTGGCCTCTGATACTTACTGGTTCATAGCCCCACAAAGCCTGATCAAATGGATTGGTCGTCGTTGTTCCCAGGCTTCGTTGCAGAGAGCCAGCCCTCAGGAGAACGAGGAGGCCCAGCCCAAGAGGAGCAGACCCCGAGCCTGGAAACCCCCGAGCCTAAAAGGCTGAGCAAAGATGTCGAAGTATTGGACATCGGATGTGGCTTTGGAGGCCTGCTAGTTGCTCTGGCGCCAGTTATGCCTGATACCCTCCTCTTAGGTAGGAAACAGCCGCCTCCTTCCTGGTCTCTAGTTTTGGCGTTGACGTGACCCCTAGGACTCGAGATCCGGGTGCAAGTCACCGAGTTTGTGCAGGACAAGATCAGGGCCCTGAGGTCCCAGAGCGGCGACGAGAGGTCCTACCAGAACATCGCCTGCCTGCGAGCGAACAGCATGAAGTTCCTGCCCAACTTCATCAGGAAAGCGCAGCTGTCCAAGATCTTCATCTGCTTCCCCGACCCGCACTTCAAGGCGCGGAAGCACAAGCAGAGGATCGTGTCCACGACGCTGAACTCGGAATACGCCTTCGTCCTCAGGCCCGGCGGCGTCGTGTACACCATCACCGACGTCCGCGACCTGCACGAGTGGATGGTCCAGCACTTCGAGGCCCACCCATCCTTTGTCAGGGTCTCCGAGGAGGAGCAGGAGGCTGATCCGTGCGTGGACATCATGAGGACCGAGACTGAGGAAGGCAAGAAGGTGGAGAGGTACAAGGGGCAGAAGTTTGTCGCCTTGTTCAGACGGATCGAGGACCCTGTGTATTGAGGCTGGACTATGATGGACAAGTATATATTCTGGAAGGTTAGATTTTGTGATACCCGAACTTATTACATGGCTACCTAGCTCTAAACCCAGTGTCTCGAGAGCTTCACAGGGGCGCATGCAGTTCTCTCGTACAGTGTGTGATACAGTGTGCAAATATTAATGCACGTTGTAATCCTAGCCAAGCAGCTGGACTCGGATCTTCCGCTGTTTTGATATGGGCAGCATGCATACCGACGGTATCGATAACGACAAGCCTACAATTGCTCGACAGTAAACCATGTGGCGACGAGCCCGCGGTCCTATTCGTCCGAGACTATGGCCCTTCGAGGGAGAGACATAGCCCTTTCTGGCGTCGCGACCTTTATCGCCTGGGGCTACGCGGTCAATTGGTTTCCAGCCATCAGATGGGCTCTCTATGCGTTCGCAGCGGGAGTCCTGGTTGCCCTGTTCGGCTTGCTCGCCCTAATCCTCCTGACCTCTAGGGGCGCCGCTTACAGCCAGATGCGACGATCGCCTCGGCCGCGTGGTGCCGCGTTTCTCGAGCCGCGAGCTTGGAGGAAGGAGGTGGTTGCTCTTCGGACCCGACAAGAGTACAAGAAGGCGCCGCTCTATGCCGCCTCGCCGAAGGTGTCTGAAGCTCTGGACGAGGTCCTTGCCTACATCACCCGCGATTTCGTCCAGTCCTGGTACTCGAACATCAGCAAGAACCCGGTGTTCGCGAACGAAGTGGACAAGGCGATACGACATGCCCTGTCAAACGTCCGAGACAGGCTCTTCGAGCTCGACCTGGCCGAGATCATGACGACCCGTCTAGTGCCCATCTTGACAGCCCACTTTCGCGACTTCTACGATGCCGAACGGTCGGTCCGGGGTCGGAAGCTGAATCGCTCGGTAACCGAATCCGAGGAGCTGGATCTCGCGATAGCCTCGAAATACAAGGATGGGAAGCTGCACCCAGCTGCAAGCCTATCTTTCTCCGACGTCAAGATGGTTCAGCAAGATTATCTACGGCAGGCCATGTCCAAGATACTCCCCAAGGTTCTGCCGGAGACCTTGCTGGCCTCGAGAGCGGTTGCGGCCATCATCCGCGAGATAGTCGCTTGCGCGATCATGTTCCCCGTGATGCAGATGCTGTCGGACCCTGATACCTGGAACCAGCTGATGGAAAACTACGGACGGAGCATGCTGCAGGATCGGTCGACCGTCCGCAAGCTTCGCGCCGCCTTGGACCAGCACGCCTCGCCGGCCCCGAAGACGCCAAAAGCCGTGGCTTTCCCGCGACTGTCTCCGACCGATAGCGAGAGGAAATTCGAGAAATTCATCAGGGCCATCCGCAAAGTGAACAATCTCTCCGATGCCAGGCGCTTCAGGAGCGAGGTTGCCAGCCAGCTGAAGAGGGACTCTCAGCAGGAAAACGTAGATCAGGTGTACCTACGGCGCTTGGATATGGGCAAGAAGCTGCTGGACCAGAGGGTGCAACATCTTGCAGCTGGGGGTGACCGGCGAGCAATCCCGCGAAACGTGACGGCTCAGCAGCCTGTTGTCTCTCGGTTGGAAAATGCACCTCTCGTTGACCTCTTACGTGACACCTCTGGGCTCTCGTATTTCATGGAATACATGGACAGGCAGCGTCTTTTGCCGTTGGTGCAGTTCTGGCTCGTTGTCGACGGCTTCCGCAACCCACTTGAGGACGATGGACCGGAGGGCGAACAACTGCCTCTCCAGCTGCCGCCTTGGACCGACTCGGACCGACTCGATCTTGCTCAGATTGATGCCGCGTATCTTTCCCGTCCAGAGCTCAAAGTCCCCGACTCGTCAAAACGGACAGTGCAAGAATTTCTCAAGGCTGGGAAGCAGGCAACCCCTGAGCAGTATTACTGGGCCCGCCGTGCGATCCTTCGAGCGCAGAGTGCTGTGCTGGAGGAGATGCGCGTCAAGCACTTCCAAAGCTTCAAGAAGTCGGACTTGTTCTACAAGGCTTTGGCCTCAGAGGAGGCAGCGAACTCCTTCGTTCCGCCCATTGCTCCCACCAATGTTGGCGAACCATCTATTCCACAGCCCCTGAATCGAGGCCCACCATCGTACCATTCCAAACCTACCCCTGTGGCCCGGTTAGCCACGAGATTACAACCAGATAGTCACGCTCGTCGGGCCGCGTCAGCCTCCGATCTAAAATCTGTGGGTGTCAATGGCACCAACGGTTCAGACTCGTCTGCTGCTGGGTCACGCCAATCTCTGGACGAAGATGCGCCCGCGCCGCTGTTCGATGATGATGATTTTGGAGATGATGGCCTGGCGGACTCCGTACAGAGCCTTGACCAAGATATTGGCCAGCCAGTTCCCGACACGCAAGTTGTCCAAGCCGTAGAGCAGGCCTTGACCAACATCATGGAGGACAGCCGCCCTCCGACAGCCGAAGACCTCCGAGACTCGCTCTTCGGACCAGATGACAATAGCTCCCTCACCTTTTCGCATACCGAACCTAGCTCAAAAAGGAACTCAATCGACGAGCCGCGGTCCAATCGTGGCTCCCTGGATGTTCCAGGGTCGAGTCGCGGATCTGCTGATATTCTACGCTGGTCGCAGCCGCAGAAAGAGCCCGAGAAGCCCAGCCTGGCATCCTTGGGCCTCGTTAGCGCAGCATCTAGGATTGGCGTCTTCGTCGATGACGACCTCTTTGGTGACGAAAACAAAGCTTTGGCAGATGAGCTAGACGACGACCAAGAAGGTATCCAGGACGATGACGTGGACGAGGTTCACGAAGCAGCCCCTGGGGACCTTGGTCTAGCCGAGGCGATTACCGTATTGACAAACGATATAGACCGCTTAGTTGCCCAGGACGCCATAGTTGATTCACTGCTTCGGAAGGCAGAGCTGACGAACAACACCGCCGAGCTGAGGATTCTGCGGAAGTCTAAGGCTAGTTTGCGGAGAGAACTTCGACGGAAGGAGCTGCAGAGACAACAGTACGTCATACAGGAGAGCGACAACAGCCTCTACGGTCGGTCGACCATCAAGATCAAGTCGATACAGGTTGGGCGCGACGAGGATGGCAAAGAATTTGCACTTTACCTTGTGGAAGTATCGAGAAACGCGGGCGAGAAGATGCCTGCAGCGACGTGGATGGTCACCCGGCGATACAGCGAGTTCCTTGAGCTCCACCAAAAGCTGCGCACGAGGTATCCTTCCGTGCGCAACCTCGACTTCCCTCGTCGGCGCATGGTCATGAAACTGCAGAGCGAGTTCCTCCGCAAGCGTCGGCTTGCGTTGGAAAAGTACCTGAGCGAGCTACTGCTCCTTCCCGACGTCTGCCGCAGCCGAGACCTTCGGGCGTTCCTCTCGCAGAGCTCCATCAACCCCCAGGGCCGGGATCTAATGGATCGGGACGATAAGAAGGACATGATCACTCGCCTTTACGACTCTGTGGCAGACGGCATGGAGGACATCCTCGGCAGCATCCCGGTCCTTGACCAGCTCTCCGTTGCTGGGCAGAACCTAATCGCAGCGGCGACGAGTCAGCTCAGCACCATGCCGCTCAATGTGGGTGAAGATGGGGCCATAACCGCGGCCGAGGCCGAGGCCGAGCTTAATGCTTTTGAGAACAAGGAGCTCGAGCCCTTTATCAAGCCCATATGCGACATCTTCCTAGAAGTGTTCGAGCTTAACCGTGGGAACAACTGGCTGCGCGGTCGAGCCGTCGTGGTTGTGCTGCACCAGCTACTCGGCGGGACCATTGAGAAGAAGCTCAGGGACAACGTCAGGCTCCTCGTCCAGGAGGAGGCCGTGCTCAAGTACATCGGCCTCCTGCGAGATGGCATGTGGCCCGGCGGGCAGCTTCCCAAGAACAAGGTGCCTCGCACTGCCGCCCAGAAGACCCGGACGCGAACGGAGGCAAGCCTGATGCTTGCCACCCTAATACCTGACCTTGCTGGCAGCGTCGTGGGCCGACTGAACGCCCAGGCGGCAAGTCGGAGAGTCTTTGCGACATTGAACAATCCCCGGCTCAAGTAAGTGGGAGAAGTGGATTCCCCGTGTGATGATCACATATCATTGCCATTTGAGGAACCGAACTGACAGATCGTTTTCTCTATATTTTAGCGCCCACCTCGCCTTTACATTCCTAGACGAAATCCTAGACGTGTTATTTAATGAAGGCTGAGGAGTTAGAACTTCGATGGCATAGCAACGGCGTTTAACCTTTTACGTTTTCGATCGAGTCGCAGCGTTTTGAATTGTGGACCGGCATGCATCCCGGTCGAGGCTGCGCATTGTTTAGGCAGGCTGCATTGGTGGCGTTCTGTGGGCGAAAGTCGTACGGAGAAAGCCTCGCGGTATCTGAGGTGCTAATAGAGCAGGTAGAAGAACTGCTTTTGGAGAGGAAGGCTTGTTTATCTAAGGTACTCGACGGTATCTATCTATTGTAATGTGACGATTAGTGGCGGCAGTGGTTTTATTGACGCGTTATCGAGGTCCGACGACGAGCATCGAGCAAACCTAAAGATCCAGGACTTTATGTGCCCTGTCGAGCCTGTACCTACCTAACAGTGGTAGCATCATCCTACCTGCCGAGAGGTAGGTACCCTGGTACCCTACCCAACTGCCGCCAATAGGTACATTAGTGTAACGGGAGTCGGGTGTTAGTGCACGGGCATTAGTATTCACGTGACGAAAACTGGAGAGCGGCCTCCACATTTCAGCCTCAAGGCTCAGTCGCCCAACTCACTTTTTGCGCAGCTTCCTCTTCTTCCCCAACTTATCCATCCCAAGCTGTGGAGGTTGACCTATCATTCCATCTGCACAACGTTTGACCACTCTTAGGACAACAGAATTTCACAGTGCCCCGGACTGGTCTGGTCTGGTCCGTCTCGCAAATTTTCACCTCCCGTGGCGAGGCTCTCGCTGGAATTTGACTTTGGTCGCGCTCTCTCACCCCGCTCACAGCCTTCCCATCGTGGCCAAGCTGAGGTTTCAGGGACCGCAGCAGCAAACATGACCGAGGTCTCCTCCACCCGCCTGTACTTGGGCAATTTGCCCCGGACTGGTAAGTACCCTGATGCGCTCCGGTCCCATGGATGCGACGAGGCCATATGCCATCCGCTCTTGACGCGACCATTCCCCGTTGGCCATACCATACTGATTCCCGCCCGAAGCTACCAAGGCCGATGTTGAGGCTCATTTCGCCTCCCACGGCACTGGTGAGATCACTGAGATCAAGCTGATGAATGGCTTTGGTTTCATCGAGTACAAGGACGCCATGGATGCCCGCGACGTCGTCCCTGGTAAGTTGCACTCCTAGCCGCGCGCCCCTCACTTCGAGTCCCATCGCTGACAAGATAACTCACTTTTAGCTTTCCGTATGTTATGGACCCCCTATGGATCACCCTGTTCTTCTTCATCGACCCAACCGTTCCCTGGCTAATGGCTTGCAAAGATGGATCCGACTTCATGGGCGAGCGCCTGACCGTCCAGTTTGCCCGTGGCTCCCGTCACCGCGAAGGAGCCCCTGGCGGCGGCTTTGGCAACCACGAGCGCACCGCTCCTCGCCCGCGCCGAACACCCCACCGCATGCAGATCAGTGGACTCCCGACTGAAACCAGCTGGCAGGTCTGTTATACTTCTACTTCCTTCTCCGCGGATTGAACTTGGACATATTCCTCCTACCCTTGGGTTTTGGATCGCACCCAGCTCCTCGGACCCAAGATGGATCCATTTCGGGTTTGGTCGGCCGGCCAGGGACTCTTTCCTCCTGCACAACGTCCCGTCTTGTCGAGCTGGATGTCTTTGCTTCCTGGTCGGCGCCGTCCCTCGAGGACTAGGCTTCCCGTTTGCTGCTCGACTGTCCATTTGCCCCATTACGTCTCCAATGCGGGATTTTCTGATGCTTCTGTACTGGCGATGGATTCTCCGAGCTGGACCATAAATATTGTGACTTCTTACTGGACGTGATACTGGGTCATCCCTCGCTTGGGATATCGCCGAATCACCACACTCCTGGATCTCCACTTACACGGACTCTTGGCTATAGGACCTCAAAGACTTTGCCCGACAGTCTGGACTCGACGTCGTCTATTCGGAGACGGGCCGAAACAGCAATGGTGAAGGGTACGCCATAATCCCTCTCCCTCATGACCACCACCGGCTCTATTAACCATCTATCTAGTTTTGTCGAATTTGAGACCGCAGCTGATCTTCGCACTGCCGTGGAGAAGCTAGACGGTCGAGAGTTCAAGGGCCAGCGTGTCACATGCGTTGCCAACGTAGGTGTCACGCCCAGCATTCCTTCTCTTCTTGTATGGTTACCTTACTGTGGAAACAGACTCAGCCGGACCCCCCACCACGGGACCGTGCCCGCTCCAGATCCCCTGGCCGGCGGCCTTACGCACCTCCCGCGGACGACTACGACCGCCGAGGCCCTCCTCGGGGAGGAGCCGGGTACAGCCCTCGCCGTGATGGTGGCTATCGCGATGGCTATCGCGACCGAAGCCCTCGCCGGGATTACTACGACGACCGTAGCCGGTACAGGTCCCCTCCACGTCGCGGCCCTCCCGGTGATGACTATCCAGCACCTCCACCGCGGGGTCGCTACGACGACCCCTACCGCCGTGACTACCCCCCTGACCCGTATGTTAACGGGCGGCCTTACGACAGACCTCCCCCCCCACCGCGCGACTTCCCTCCGCGCGATGGTGGATACCCCCGGGAGGGTCCTTATCCCCGTGATGGCTATGAGCGTCGCTACTGGTAATTACTACCATTCTTTTATATCGTCGCGGTCCTTGACCTCTTGGTGTAGATCTCGGAACCGGCCAGCCCTCCACCAACCAACCCCACGCCTCTACAGCTTTGTACGGGTCATGTTCATGACGGATGTCGGTTCTTGCTGGCTGTCACAGGATTCTTGTGGTGTTATTATCTGGCTATGGTTTTCGGAGAGGGGGAAATTGAATGAGATTGTCTTCGCTCCGCCTCTTGACTTGAAGGGCGTGGTAATTGTTGCATCGGAAACCCAGACGCCGTTTTGGCATGTTTTCTTCACGGGCGGGTTGGAGATGCGCGCCCATTCATATCTCAAGGGAGAAAAGCACGAAAACGAATACGAATGGTCTCAGTGAGGGGAAATGTATGATGGGAGGGCGTTTCTCTGTAACGTTCAGTGGCTGGTAATCGGCTCTAGCTAGGTAGTTTCCTCATGTTTGTAACGACCCCCTGGCTTGCTTGCTGTCTGAGAAAGATAGTCATGTACGCTTAATTGGAGCAAGTCGTTCCATTTCTTTCGAGGAAGCCGTGATCGTGGGCTCCACCAGCCGTCAACCATGTCTTGAACCGGGCTCGGGAAGTCCCTTACGGCGACGCATACTTGTAATTGTACTGCGCCTTCGCATCCTCGAGAAACTTCTTCACCTGCTCCTGCGCCTCCCTAGCGCCATCCTCGTCATCCGCCAGCCGCTTCTCGAACTCGGCGTTGCCGAACGGACTCCGGCTGGGCACAGCGAGGCCCCTCTGGACGGCTGGGCGGGCGAGCAGGCGGTCGCGCCAGGCTTGGACGTTGGGGAACTGGGCGGCGAAGTCGTCGAGCCCCGAGGCGAGGGTCATGTTGGCCCAGCCGAGTATGGACATGTCGGCGATGCTGTAGCGGCCGCGGCCGGGGCCGGCGACATAGTCGCGACCCGCCAGGCGCGCGTCCAGGACGCCATAGAGGCGCTCCGTTTCGCCGACGTAGCGCTGGGTTGCGTAGGGGATCTTCTCCTTGATGAAGCGGAGGAAGTGGTTTGCTTGGCCTTGCCTGTTTTGTTTGTGTTAGAGTTGATGAAATGAGTCAAATAGAGAAAGCGTCACAAAACGTACATGGGTCCGAGCCCGCCGTGCTGCCAACCCATCCACTGCTCGGCGACGCTGTAGTCGTCCGAGTCGACGGGGAAGCTGAACAGGTGATCCGGGTCGTAGTGGCGGGCCAGGTAGTTCAGGATGGCGATGCCCTCGAAGACGGCGAAGCCTCCGCGGTCGTGGTCGACGATGGTGGGGATGCGCCCGTTGGGGTTCAGGTCAGTGTACCAGGGCTCCTTTTGCGTGTTCTTGCCTATGTGGATGGCCTGCAAGGTGTAGGGTTTCCCATAGGCCTCCCTGAGCTCCTCGAGGAGGACGGAGACCTTGTACCCATTGGGTGTGCCTGCGGGCTGTAAGCGGGGGGACTGGACGTTCATATGAAATCAGGACGGCACCAACTGAAAGTTAAGAGCTCAATGCCGGATTTGGCAATCAGGCCGGTTGGTTCGCTCATCTCTTCAGATGTGGTAGAGTACGACGCTTGAAACTTGAGGGGAGACGCGCGGAGGTCAAGATTGAATCGAATAGGAGAAGTGCTCTTAGTGCGAAGATGAGTTCGAGATGCAATGGCTGTGAGGGAGATGGATGGGACAGCAGGTGGTCTTATAGAAACCAATGGACCCCTCATTAGCATCAAGAACGACATATGAGCTGAGATAGGCAGGTACCGAGTACCTAGTGAAGGCTCTCGAGTTTAAAATTCTATAGAAGAAGGAGCCCCTTGCTAGATTGGGAGCATTCACGGCACAGAGTTTCCGCTGGAAGGAGAGAGAGAGCTCTGAGTCAGCCAGTCAAGTCGCTTGGCAAAGGACCAGGGCAACCAAGGAGCATGAGATGGCTGATATGGGCATTTCTAACTAGGTACCTTGTCTCATTCTACCGTGATCCTGTCGCAGCAGCTGCCCAAGGAAGTGACATCAGATCGGCAGTAGGAGTTGGGGGAATAGGTCCGTTGCTAACTATTGATTACAAACTAACAGGATTAGGTTATTATTAAGCAAAGCATCTCACATGGCAGCTCAGCCCGTCAGCCGTTAAGTCCGAAAATAGCATTTGTCAGTCCATGGGTAGCAAGCCACAACAGTGTCTAAAGACAGGGGTATCTCATGAATGCAAGATAACATTGCGAGACAAGTATATAACATATGGCTCGGGGCGTTGTCCTCGTCGAACCTTGGTGAATACCTATCGTCACATCTCGCTCCCAATAGCAAAGCAGCCAGAGCACTGGAACCCTCGATCTAGGCCTTGCTCTCAGGCTTATCATTGGTCTGTCCCGGTTTATCTTCCGGCGAGAAGTTCAAGCTGATGCTGTTGACACAATGCCGCTCATCAGTGGGTGTCGGAAAACCCTCGCCCTTGAAGACGTGGCCAAGATGGCCTCCGCAGTTGGAGCAGACAATTTCGGTCCGCGCCATGCCCCAGGTGTTGTCCTCGTGTCGGGTTACAGCACCAGGAATGCTGTCGAAGTAAGCTGGCCACCCGCAGCCGGATTTGAACTTATGGTTGGCCTTGTATAGCGGCGCATTGCAACCGGCGCAGGTATATACACCCTCACTGGGAAGGTGCTTGTCATACTTCCCGGATCCAGCCGGCTCAGTGCCCTTCTCTCGGAGAATGCGGAATTGCTCTAGCAGAGACATTAATTACCTTCGTTTGGTGTCGCTGCGGCTAGGGCTCACACTTAAAGTACTCACCCTTGCTGAGAACAGCACGCCACTCGTCTGGTGTCCGCTCATCTGGGTGAGACATCTTGGATGCCGAGGCGGACGAGCTGAAGAGACTACCAAATAAGGGGAAAGATGGCATCGACTTCAAAGTGGGGTTCTTCGAGGGGCGCTGATAAGCCCGTGGTCTGGAGAACTTGGAGAAAGTATAAAGCGCGCGGATAATAACTGCGAGCGGGGGAAGGCGCATGAAGGATGGCTTGCAATAGCGAAGACAGTCGGAAGATGGGAAGATGCAACTTTATATTCGTCTAATGTACGTGCTTCGAAACAGCGCAGAGACGTTGACAAATCGACACGCCTAGGCTTCAATGACGCTATCGATAAGGTCGGGGTCTGACTAAGTACCTAAATGGTTTCACTAGTGATGCCGCTTGGGGCATCAGATTAGGTAATTCAATCAATGGTGATACCCATTTATGTGGCTTGGTGATTATGGAACCTCACTTCCCAAAGGACACCTGCATTTCACAAATACCTGCCTAACAGCTCCTAAGACCTCCCAAACCAGCAGTCACCACCTCTCTTACGACGAATTCCTTGCTAGCCGTATATTTGATTTATTTGACGTTGCGACCATGTCTAGGCGGCCTCCAAATCCCGCAGCTGAGCGGGCAGCTCAGAATCAACTGACTATCAAGAGCCTCCTGAAATTAGAAGCCAACAAGATATGCGCCGATTGCAAGCGCAACAAGCGTAAGCTATTATCTGTTTTTCAAACCAAGTCCGCAATGCATTAACACCTCTTCTCCATAGACCCGCGCTGGGCGAGCTGGAACTTGGGCGTCTTCGTCTGCATCCGCTGCTCGGGCATTCATCGAGGGATGGGCACCCACATCAGCAGGGTGAAGTCGGTCGACTTGGATTCTTGGACAGACGAACAACTACAGAGCATACTCAGCTGGGGCAATGCGCGTGCCAACAAATACTGGGAGGCAAAACTGGCCGCCGGCCACGTTCCGTCAGAAGCGAAGATCGAGAACTTTATTCGAACAAAGTATGAGCTGAAGAGATGGGTGATGGAGGGCCCAATGCCGGATCCATCCAGCCTCGATGCCGACGGTGACGACGACATCCCATTGAGCGTCGTCAAAGAGAAGCAAAACCTCGAGCGGCGAGAGTCAGTACGAAAAGCTTCTATCGGCCAGGCAGCAGCCGCTCGTCCTGTTGCGCCGCCCCCTACTGATCTCATGGGAGCGGACCCTGTTCCTCAAAGACCGAGTACCACCGGTCCATCCGCTGGGCAGGTACCGGCCAAGGCTCAACCCGCTCCTCCAAAGACAACAAGCACAAAGGACTCCCTTTTGGGACTCGACTTTCTTGGCACAGAAACAACGGCGCCCCCTCGGCCTGCGAGTACCACCGGCACCACTGGAGCGAGTGGTCAATCGCGGCCCGATCTCAAGCAATCCATTCTCTCTCTGTACGCGACAGCTCCTCGACCGCAGCCTCCCCCGCAGCAGGTGTCCCATTCGCCGTCTCATTCGTTCGGGGCATTGCAGTCGCCAGGCCAGCAAACCCAAGGGTCATTTGGTGGGGGACTCAATGATGCTTTTAGCAGCCTGAGTTTCGGAGGCCAGTCGCAAGCCAAGTCTCCACAAAGAGATGCCTTCGCCGGCCTGGGCGGCCTCAGTAGTAGCCGACCAACCCCTCCGACCAACAACCCTACTTTCCCCAGCTTGAGTGGCGGTTCTTTCTTTGACCCGAAGCCAACGCCCCCTGCCTCGGCACACGAGCCAAGGCAGTCTATGGGGAGCCCGGGCGCTTTTGGTTCGCTCGCATCTCCAACAGCGCCTGCTGCTCCCAAACTAGCCCCTGTCCCAGCGTCGTCAGCCCTCGGGGATCTGTTCGATTTCTCTTCAACAGCACCACAGCCGAGCAAGCCTTCACCCCCGGTCGCGACGACTGCCGCGACGAACTCGGTGTTTAACCTTTCCGCAAACCAAACCAAGGCTCCAGAACCAGTAGTAGCTAGCACCATTGCTTCGACAAACAGTAACTGGTCCAACGCAGATATATGGGGTGGCAATGCATGGACGACTACCGAGGCTCCGAAGAAAAGCCCCGAGATCCTGAAGAGTCCTGGAACTGCCCCGGCGAACAGCTTCGGCTGGGGGGCTCCTACTAACCCGCTCGCAAATCAGAGTATTGTGCCAGGCGCGTCAGGGGGTTTCGCAACCAAAGTAGCTGCTGATGAGGAGTTTGGTGGTTGGACTAGCGGCACCGGCGCGAAGGGCGGGGAATCGTCGAAGCCGGCTGGGGCATTTGGAACTGGCGAAGACTTGTTCTCGAACGTGTGGGAGTAGAAGGGGGAATGGAGACACCATGCTGAATAGATCTGGCGGTGTGGCACCGTTTTGATAGCAGGCGGCCGACTGGCAACTCACGAGGATGGATGGGATGGATGGGATGGATGAAAGATGGCGGGTGTAGTGTATGGTCTATATACCATAGACCACACACAACCTGAAATAACAAGTCTTCCCCTCAGAGCACGACCCTGTCCACCCGCTCAGGAATAACCAAACCCAGCCTTAACTCCAATGCTATGCCAAGCGCACAACCGTGCGCCAACAAGTGCTTCCATGACCCGTGCTTCCAACTTTAGCAGCCCGATAGACAACTTTGAGAGCCCAGTATTCGCTTTGGGTGACCTCGATCAGAGATACTGGGCCATCACCAGCGCAAAGTATCCCAGGTAGCGCATCGCCTGATATCCCACGACTGGTTCGCGGATTCCCTTAAAAGAACAGCCTCCAGATATAGTACAGCACCACAAACGTCGCGATGAGGATGCCCGAGAGCTTGAGGATCGCCACTTTGTTCCCGGAAGCGGCCATCCGTCCGAGCCTGCCGGCGGAGCCTTTGATCTGCGTGGTCATGGACGCGAATGTGTCGGACTGGGAGGTGGACAGGCGTCAGCAGAGGGTTCATTTATTGCTTATCTTTCTTCTGTTCCCCGCCTCCAAACCCGACCGATGTGAGTTGGTCACAGCATAACCGAAGATCGAATTTCCACTCGTAGGGTTCCTTACCGTCGAGTCGATGACCTCGTGCGCGCGCGAGCTGTCGTAGATGTCGACGGTGACGCCGCGCAGCGCAGACACCTTGGCCGACAGCTCGTCGAGGCGAGCGTTGTTCTGGCGCTCGCGCTCGTATGATTCCGACATGACGGGGCGTGCTTCTGGCTTGTCCCGATGCGGAGGCTTGATAAGGGGTTGGTGTGGTGGATTTGAGACGGTGGCGGCGAGGAGGCGGGTTTCTGATGTCCCGATCGAGTCGACGCCTAGGCTATCTATGGTTTAGATCATATAAATGGAAGGAGGCAGTGTTGAATAGATATCGCTGACACCGAGGTTGGTCGTCTAGACAACGTCGTGTGCCTCATAGAATATGGGGAATTGGTGATAGTTAGGGGCGAATGGATGACGAAGTTGCTAAACTGCGCCGTCTCAAAGCCGTCCCAGCCGTCCCTGTCATTGCCGTTAAGGCTGCACAGCCACAAACACCTAGGTACATACAAAGGTATGTATGCGTAGGCAGGCCTGTGGGGCTATGTGGGCTCGGTGGGGTAAGGAAGGTTCAAAAGTGCGATGGGATATTGTACTGGGCCACTTTTGAATGCCAGTCTGGCCCATTTCGACTCGACATTCACGATCCAGACTGCCTTATTTGACGGGTAGCTGATATATCTCATCTTCGAAGCCACTCGGTGCTCCAGAATCACCCTCTCGGCTGGTGGAACTGAATCTCCCTGCGCGCCATCCTACTGCATCGTGTATATAAGCGCCATCGGCTCCGCTCTGCCAAGGACAAACCTAGAGCGATCACGTACGACGTATCGCAAAGGTGCGGCCACATCCTGTCGACCTTCTCCCCTCCCGATCCCTCGATAGACACTTTCGTAAATCGCAACCTCAGCCGGCTCGATAAATTAAACGGCCATGGGTCTCCACAACCCCCTTCCGTCGTCTATGGCGTGTAAGTTTCCACCCAGAATCTCCTCCGTAGCTTCCGTTATCCCCCGCTCAAGTTGCACTGAGCGACGGACACATATGCGAAACGACCGCTAACCTACTCTCCAATGCAGCGGAATGCAAGAAGTGCGGTAAGATCCTTGCCAGCTTCGTCGACCCGCGCCAGGCCTTCGGTCCCGAGAAGGTCATCCCGCCGTCCGTCCTCATGAACGCCAAGGGCCTCGCCATCCTGACCGTCTTCAAGGCGGGCTTCCTCGGTTCCGCCCGCTTCGGCAGCGGGCTGGTGGTTGCCCGCCTTCCCGACGGCTCCTGGAGCGCACCGAGCGCCATCGCAACCGCGGGGGCTGGCTTCGGAGGCCAGATCGGGTTCGAGCTGACCGACTTTGTCTTCATCCTCAACGACGCGAGCGCCGTCAAGACCTTCTCCCAGGCTGGGTCGCTGACGCTCGGCGGCAACGTGTCCGTCGCCGCGGGGCCGGTCGGGAGGAACGCCGAGGCGGCGGGCGCCGCGTCGCTGAGGAGCGTGGCGGGCATCTTCAGCTACTCCAAGACCAAGGGCTTGTTCGCCGGCGTGTCGCTCGAGGGTTCGGCGATCATAGAGAGGAAGGACGCAAACACAAAGTTGTACGGGCGGCCTGTCTCGGCGAAGGAGCTGCTCACTGGAACCGAGAGGTCACCCCCGCAGGCGGCGCCGCTGCTCAATATCCTCAACTCGAGGGTATTCAACGGCACGTCGCAGGGCTCGATGGACGACCGCATGTACAATGATATCCCCGTCTATGACAACTCGCACGACTCGGTCATCTGGGGGAACAAGACAGGTAGCGCATACGGGGAGGGCCAGTCGCGCGAAGGCGACGCATCCGAGTCCGGGCAAAGCCACGACGAGTTCGGCCGTCCCAAGCGCGCCAGCACCTGGCGAGACGATACCTATGAACCGGCTCGGTTTGGTTCCGGCTCCAGGTCAAACACCTACAACGACGTACCTACCGGCTCGAGGGGTTTCGATGACGGTGGGTCCAAAGCAGGTGGCCCTGGCCGGCCCTCGGCTCCGAAACCGAACTTTGCTAGCAAGCAGAACCTCCTGAAGAAGAACGAGGCTGTTGCACTGTTCACTTTCGAGGCCGATCAGCCCGGCGATCTGGCGTTCAAGAAGGGCGACGTAATCACCGTGTTGAAGAAGACAGAAAGCGACAACGACTGGTGGTATGTGTCTCTGGGGCTTTCCACCGGTAAATATGAACAGTACTTACCAGTGTTACAGGACCGGCATGGTCGGTGGAAGAAACGGCATCTTCCCCAGCAACTATGTCAAGATGAAGGAGTGACCGGGTTGGTTGCTCTATTTGTGGGCCATGATTTGACCGCATTGGGGGATGGGAATAGGGGGGTTATGGGGGATGGTTTTTATGCATTGTGCCGGATTGAGGAACGGTGCTGTTGACAGCGCAAATCAACCCCTATGATGAAGAGTCGGTTGAAGAGGGCGGAGCCCTTCCACGATGAAGGGGGGTAGATAAATCTGAGGAAGACGGGCAGACAGGCAGGCAGACAGGTGCCACTCCCTCCAACATTAGCTACATGCCAGTGGCAAACGACTGGCTGGTGAGTTCGTCCTTTTCTCGCGCCTGTTCCCATATCCCATATCCCATGGCTCGCTTGCTGTTTGGAGTTAAGAGGGCATTGTTGGTATGGAAAGAATGTGGCAGGTATTTCCATTATTTCGCCCCTTGGGTCCTTAGTTTATTATTCACCATGATATCTCGAGTTCTTTTGCAAACTCAGCTAGAGAGCCTCCTTACTCCAGACTATTAACGCAGAGAAGTCAATGCAGCACCATCTTACAATTCCATTTGATCTTACTACCTCTTTACCTACTAGATTTATCACTCCAGTAGCGGGTAGGAGTGGCATGGGTGACTCTATTGACTAATGCGTCACTTATTGTCCCATTGAGGAAGACGCGAGACGCGAGACGGAGAGTCGAAGCACACAAGCCAATAGGGGTTGGAGTTCCTCATCCCCTAACCCCCTATTTACTTCTATTGTCAGTCTACAATGGTTTACAATACAATAGGACCTGTACTTGGCATTAATTGCATGCACTTGACAGGGCACATAGAATCCCCTACCTCCTTACACTACTGGGTTGGTGACAATGTTGTTCCCCCCCTTACTACTCTCGACTCACTCCTACCATCGACTCACTTCCTTCTCCCGTACAGGACACTGACGTGAATGAGACAAGAACACTAACCTGGAAAGGAGAAAATATTTGCTACTACCACCTGTCCATACAACCCATCCTTCTACTAGTCTTCCTCTCATCCAGAGCAAACCAACCCCTTTCACATTTTCACTTGAGCCTGAGCAAGCCATTTTCTTGCGAGACTTCCATCACCTTGTCTACATTTCTTGAAGCTCATCTTCTCAGTCTACTTCACCCAAGTCCTCAGCTGACAAGCACACTTGAAGGATTATCATTAACTGCGACCATCATTTGTGAGACTCGGCGCAACGCAGGAGCGACCGCCCCCTACATTCACTATGTTGTGTCTCTTGGAGACTAGCGCCTCCTGTGATGGCTATATCACGGAGCCAGATTTCTCTCACACCACGGCGCTGGATTTCTCTGACACCACGGCGCCAGATTTCTCTCACACCCCGGCGCCAGATTTCTCTCACACCACGGCGCCGGATTTCCCTGACATCATGGAGTCGATTGAAACCCCTAGCCCAAGAGCCTCGCCGTATCCTGAAAATATCGACGACGAGACGGACAATCTTTCCGACATCACCGAAGTGTACTTTTCCGACTTAGAAGACCAGTCAGAGGGCTCCTCCCCCCCTACCTCTGATTTCGACCCTACAGAGATGAGCCCTCCCGTTGCCATGCCAGGCCAGGCTCGGGGTGCTTCACAGATGTCTGACATGAGTGAGACCCCGAGCTGCGACAGCACATGCTCACACGTCCCACACTTCCCCATCCCGTATGAGATCCTCCGAGACCCAAGCCCGGAATCGGTTTCGGATTCGGACGAAGAGGAGGATACTATCTATGGAGAAGATGCTATCCAGGGTGAGGATACTATCTATGAGGACATTATCCAGGAGCAGGAGCATCCTATTCACGAGAAGGACACCATCCCTGAGAAGGACCCTGCCCAGGAGCAGGCCCCTGTCCACAAGGCTCAGAAGCCAGCCCAGCAGAAGCCCCAGTACAGGGCCCGGGCCCTCGAATGGGGCAAGCGGCGCTTCATCCATATCACCCCTGACGTCGACTCCGGGGCGCCGCCACCGAAGCGGCGGGTGACCTACTTCCGGCGGGGAGGCCTGACGGTCAAGCGCATCGACAGGTTCCGCATCAACCCGTGGGAGGGCATCCTGCAGTCCTACAGCATCAAGGACGTCATCGGGGACCCTCCTCCCACCACCTCGGCGGCCGAGCCCCGTGGCAACGAGCGCGCCGTCACCTGCTTCCAGACGCACCGCGGTCGGACGTTTTTCAGGATCGCGTGGGGCCCTAGAGCGGAGAAGCAGTCGGGGCCGGCAGACGCGGAGGTGGGGGCTCAGGGGCGTGAGGATGGCGAGGGCATCGCCCCTGAGAAGGAGATGCCGTACCAGGGGATGGAGATGTCGAACCAGGGGATGGAGATGCCGAACCAGGAGAAGGAGATGCCGAGCCAGGAGAAGGAGATGCCGAATCGGGAGATGGAGATGCCGAACCAGGGGATGGAGCCTGTTGTCAATCCAGAGCTCATGGGGGAGGATGTTGATGCCGGCCCATATTTCAGCTACGACGATATCGAGATTGAGGAGCATGTTTACGGGCTTGAGGGAGAGCCTGTAGGCGAGCTTGCTGGCGTGCCTATCGACGATCTCACCGACGACGACGCGCCTGCTGAGGAGCTTTACGAAGATTTCCATGCCGCTCTCTATGGCGCACCCGGCGGCGGGTTTGACTACAATTGGATCTGGCGGCAGTACTGAGGATGGCACCGACATCCTTGGCAATGATGGAGAGTCCGTGAGGAGTCTGATGACGTGCTGAGAGCGGCGAGGTTCGTGAATTCAGGGGTGGGGGGCAGAATGAATGGTGAGGACCTCTTTGAGGTTGTACGGCGTAGGAGACTCGGTTTCTTTTTCATTTCCCTTGTTGTTTCCTCTATTTTGAAGAATAACGCTCTTGGCGAGATACCCAGAGGTTTGGACGTGGCTTTCACATCGGATCAGGTTGCGGTGTATTTAACAGAATGGAGGACATTCCCAAAGAAAGAAAGATCTCCAGGTGCACAGCTGGCACTTGCGCCAGTCCCATGGAATTGTTTTGGCTTCAGAACCTTGCTCTAAGAAGTCCCGGGGTTACCTATACAAGCCCATCTTCCCCTGCTCCATGGCCATATCCCTCCATCTTCCATGGATACACTGGTCGGCTCTGATGTCTTCTTATTGCCATACTTGCAAGTGTGGTAGTTTAGCTTCACCGATCCATGGGGAATCCTTACACATGCATAATTACTCATTCTGCACCTCCACCGGCCCTTCCTCCCCCAAGTGTCGAATGTCCCGTGCCCGGCCGACTGGGCGTTCTCTTCAGCTTGCTCCCCGCCTTCGTGTTAAACAAGCTCTTGACCTTCCTCAGCCTGGCCCACCGCTCCTTATCCTTAGCGGTCCGGGTGACCTCATCGTCGTCCTCCTCATCGCCGAGAGCGCCGAGCATCGGTACGGGACTATTGCGCCCGCGCGCAGCCCCCGAGCCCGCAGTCGTCGGCCGCCCGGGCGTGGTGGTGGTGGTAGGAGGCGCGCTCTGCGGCACGGCCGTGCTCTTGCTCCGGCCGTGGAGGGTATCGGCCCTGCTCGGCCGGCTGCGCAGGTAGGCGTCGTTCTTCAGAACCTGCACCAGAACCTCCCAGCCGGCCTTGTCCTCCTCCCCCCTTGGCGTGGCTCTCGCGCCAGGGTTGCGCTGTGCGTGGCCCGACTTCCAGGGGCAGAAGGCGCGGTGCTCTCGCAAGGGGTCGAGGTGATCCATGGGCGCGGGGACCAGGATCGTGCCGGTCTCGAGGTCGACCTCCTTGCTCTTGAACATCCACAGGCCGAGCCTCCGGAGGCAGGTGTGGCAGGATGCGCTGTTTGGGACCGGCCCAATGCGTGCGTCTGAGAGGCCCTGCCAGCCCATCAGCGCCAGTGCGAAGGCGGATCGGTTTGGCTTCTGCGGTGTAGTGGGCGCATTCTCCGGACCTGCGGACTTCTTCGCTGGCGGTGGTGGTGGTGATGTGAAGAAGTCGTGCGGGAGGTAAGACAGAACTGTGTCAAGAGCCAGGCCCTCGGGGAGGCGCAGGTTGAACTCGTATGGTATGAAATCTTTGCGAGCGCATAGCTCGTCGTACCGCTGCCGAAGGTCCTCGAGCACCGTTTTGGGATGTGCAAGAGGCAGGCGAAGGAGTGAATCTAGCAACGGGGGGTCAGCATTGCTCTCTCTGTTTATTAGAAATCTGAAAGAATAGCGTACCATCGCAGCCTCGCTTCCTCCAGAGACAGTCGTCCAGATGGGAGGTGACCATTAACTCGGCGTACTTCTCGACGAGGGCATCCTCAATTTCTGATGCTACCAGGACGGGAACCTCCTTGCCGTCCACCTCTTTCCTGTTCAACTTGACGACGAGTTCCTTATTGCAGAGGGTGCATCGTACACGTTCTTTACCCTGGCACACCCAACCTCTCTTTGCCCACTCGATCTCGTTGACCCTGTCGGGCTTCGGTGTCCAGTCTGTCAGTTCTTGGAAGGTTGCCAGCCGCTTGAGGAGCTGCTCCCGATCAGCGGGAGTGTACTTGGGCTGCACGTCTTTGCTGCTCGCCGCGCCGCCAGTCGGCGTCCACTTTCGCAGGACAATGTTCGATATGCTCGTCACGCCTTTTGCAGGTTGATGATCTGCGCCCGATGGGCCCTGCTTTGCGGGCGTCGAGCTCGGCAGACCTATGCGGCGCTTCTTAGCCAGAAACCGGAGCTCGTCGGCCATTGCTGAGGTGGAGGAGTCGGCTAACGATGTGTCCGAGTCGTTCTCGCCAGTAACAACATTGTTGTTGGTGATCGAGTCGGGTTCGGAAGCCGAGGACGATGGTCGAGCGCCGATCCCATGGATTAAGGCATTAAATTTCCGCTTTACAGTAGCATTCATGTTTGACGCCTCTTATCCCGTGTCTAAAATGGCGGCAGTCAACTTGTCGCTTTGGCAACACCAGGCGATCAGGTTGCTAGCGCTGCAGTGTCTCCCAAAACGTTGGATTGAGCGATTCGATACTGGTTAGAACTCTTCAAGATATTGGGCGCAGTCGTCAGAGCTTGGGCAAGGGAAGCAATAGTCTGGACGTGGAATGTCAGTACGAAGCTACTGCACTCTGTACGTTTGCGCCAGTCAAAGCAATGGAACTTCTTGGCAGCAAAAGAGCAAAGATCCTTGTCGATGGCCAGACAGGGATCAGCAGATTTGTGGCGGGGCAACGACCCCTAGCGGCTACCTAGGTAGCTAGCCTCTGCGCAACCCCACGTATGGAGCTCACAATCACTCAGACGACTTCCATCAAAGCTCAGACAACGGAAGCCGAAAGAACGTGAGGTCAATGGCCTGTCAATGGTCGCAGTCGCCAGTGGAGTTTCGCAAATGAACACCGATCAATTGACTACCTTAACGATCGCCGAGACCTTGATCTGTCAAGAAAAGAGAACAACACACTCTGACCAGCCCATACCCTGAACCGAAAGTACTGCCGCAACAAACGACGGATCCATCACGCCGCACCCGCTCCTATCTCTTGGCTCTTCCACTCGGCCTCCTTCCGTCTCTTCTCGTTATCGAGACAAAATATTTTGTTGTCGAGTTCATCTCTATAGATCTTACCGTCCGGCGTGTCCTCCTTCCAGTACTGGTATCGCTCCCAAGCCCATTCGTAATCTTCCACGGCATGCACTGTGCCCCCCGGTACAGCCAGAAGGCGGCGCACGACCTCCCGCAGATCCTCGCTGTACTTGCTGGAGGTCGGGAAAAGCTTGTTCAAATCCACATCTGGCGTGCACACATGGCTGCACCCTTGCTCGTTGTTGATATGGTTGCACGGGCAAAACTCACACGCATCGGGGCCTGGCAAGCGTCGGCCCGTCATCATACGGTAGAGAATAGCTCCAAGGGCGAAGAGCTCGTCTATGGCCGAGTACGGACGGTGGGACTATAGCACCGCGTCAGTGGTGAGTCGTCACTCTCCCAGTCGAACTTGTCCAGGGGGACTGTACCTTTTTTTGATTCCGGAAGTCGTCCACTGCGTAACCCTCCTTCCACCGCTTGTACACATCCTCCAGTGGCGGATCGCCTTCCTTGGTGGTCATTCCCACCCCCCCGCCTGGGATGCGATTGTTGATATCAACACCAACACCAAGGGCAACCTCGTCGCGCATGCGTCCGGAAATATAACATTTCCCAAAGTTTCCCAGTTTGCACGTCCCATAGGTCTCGATTCCCCTGGGCGACTGGAAATAGATGTTTCGGGGCTCGATGTCGCGGTGGAAGATGGGCATCCAGTCCTCGTCCATCCGGTACACCTCCCTTTTGAACCCTTTGAAGGGATCATACCTAACCCTCCAGCCCTCATGCAGCCACATCAAGGCCTTCAGCATGCTGTTCGCAACGTGCCAGACCAGCGACTCGGGCAGGAAGCCCTCGAGGGTTGGGGAGAAAGGGGGCTCGCGGAGGATGTTGTCGAGCGTGCCTGCATCGCACCAGTCCCAGAGGATGTAATGCTGGGCGTCGTTCTTGCTGCCCCATCCCTGATAGGGGAAGGTTCGGATCGGACCAGTCAAGCCGATGAGGTTCTCATGGTTGAGCACCTCGGCGGCTGAGGCGTATGCGCCTCGATCGTACAGGGTGTGCAGGTCACCCAGCTCTGGCCGCTTGTCGATGTCGAACTCGTAGGAGAGGAAGACCTGGCCGTCGGCAACGCGACGGACAATCGCCAGCCCGTCTTTCAGCGGCTTGTCCAGGACATATTGTGCTTTTTCTTGCGGGACTTCTTCCATGTTGCTTCGCCTCTGAGCGGTCGAATTCAATGTGACAAGTGATACTCTTGGGGAGGAGAATGGTATGTGGGCAGAATCCCAAGTTTATACCCAGTTTCTCGCAGCATTCTGTCGGCTGGTGGCCTTTGGAGTGTGCCTTCGATGGCCGCCTCTTTGTTCAAACGCACATACATTCCTCAGCTGCCTGGTTGTCCCCTTTTGCCAACGACCGATCACAAAGAACCCGCTGTGACAGGCTAGCGTCTGGTGACGACCCATGAGAAATGGCATCTCAAAGAAATGTCTAAGTTGCCTATTCGAATTCCTTCTCATTGATTTTAGTCCATTCCATTCGAATCTATTCTGTCTCATTCTGCCTTCGACCTTTCTACGTACCTACAGATTCATGCGTCCAATCTGCTCTCCAAGTTTGGTATACGCATGTACACATGTAGGAGCCAATAGGACATGGCCAGCGCTGCCCGTGCTTGGCGTCGCCGAGGGATCGGAGCAGACAGGGGCCACCAAACGTCTTGGCCAGTCGGATCCGCCTCGCCGGTGGATCCTGTCCCTCGCCAGCACTCCGGAACCGGTGAGAATAAGTGGAGAAGCCGCTAAGGCGAGAGGCCGTGCAGTATTTCCGGGCATCGAATACCGGTGCCAAGGAGGGCGGAAGGGAAGGATTGAGTCATCAGTCATAGGCGCTTTCTTTTTCAATCTTGACTCATTTGAACAATTCAAAACCTACATCTGTCCAAACCCCAAGAAGCTTGGGTAGACTTCAACGAATATACAATAGTATATATCTGAACACCGAATCCGGAGTTGTGGCGATTTAGTTGTTATTCTCCTCTGGCATCAGACTTCTATTGACGCTTTCAATTGAGCTTCACCGGAATAAGGATCGATTGAAGATGCCAACTTACGTACATCTCATCCGCCACGCCCAAGGCTTCCACAATCTTTCGGCCGCCAACCACCAGCTTCACGACCCAGACCTGACACCGCTCGGCAAGAGCCAATGTGCAGAGCTCTGCAAGATCTTCCCACATCATGACAAGATAACCCACCTAGTGGCCTCGCCAATGCGGCGGACCCTGTACACATGCCTGCTATCCTTCGAGCCTGCTGTCAAGGCAGGGAAGACAGTCACCGCTCTCCCGGAGCTACAGGAAGTGTCTAGCCTACCGTGTGACACTGGCTCGCCGTCCGAGAAGCTGGCTGCCGAGTTCGACTCGACACAGGCGGACTTCAGCCTCCTTCGACCCGACTGGACAGATAAGAGCCGCAGCAGCCCTTGGGCTCCCGAGATGGGCAAGCTCGAAGAGCGCGCCAAGAAAGCCAGGGTCTGGCTTCGCACACTGGGCTCCCAGGTAAAAGACAGGGAGGATGCGCACATCATCGCCGTCACCCACGGAGGCTTCCTGCATTTCCTGACGCAGGACTGGGATGGCATGAACCCGGAGAAAGGTTGGTCAACGGCCTCTGGAAGGGGGGGAGTTACTGAGGGAGCCAAGCGCGCGGCTAATAACGTCTCTAGGCACAGGGTGGGAGAACGCCGAATACCGGTCTTATGAGTTCGTTGACGCTACCGGACAAGATCCGAATGCGAGCCTCAAAGAGACCAAGATCAGCTGGAGGGGCCGGCGTGGCAGCGCAAAGGGCCTAACGGAAACGGAGCAGAGAGAGCTTCGTTCCGTCCTAAAGGAGAGGCTGGAGGAGGAATTTGGCGAGAAGAAAGACGCGAAGTAAGGCGCCAATTAGATCTCCCAAAAGTCGCGCAAGAGCTCAATACGGTTCTGAAACCATCATGGCGGCTAACACGGGCACCGGCCTCTCATTGGAATGGGATGGTGACTGTAGTACAGTATGATCGAGCAGATGGGTTGGGATAAGTGATTGGGGTAGACAGACCCTCGGCGAGAATTTTGAATAATATTAGTCGCTGTAGATACAACACAGCGCTAATCTCTCTGGACAAAGAGCGCCAGAACTGAAAACAGCTTCAAACGAATTCAGATAGGATTCGGGTCATCCCTGTTGTCTGCCGTGTATAGACACGATAGGGCGTGTATGTAGTGTTTTAGTCACGTGGGTTCCTGCCGTTGGATTTACCAAGGTATGGTGGTTGGTTGGTTGGATGTTTCAGCCATGCGGGATCCCTCCCGTCTCTTCAATAAACCAATAACAAGCCCTCGCTATCTCCCGGTCCGCATCATTGGCTTAACCGTGATTGTGCTAGGATCCAATCATGAGGCCAATGCGGAAGGGGTATCTGCGTTAGGGCCCCTGAAGAGGTCACTACCCACGCTACCCCAGGTATCCTGGACCGCCGAAGCGTTTAATGCAACCCCCTTGCTTCCCCATTGGCCGTGGATTCGTGGGCCTCCCTCCCTCCGCCTGCCCCTTTATTTCTAACTAGCGACCTTGACCGCGACCTCGAGATCTGACCTTCTCGTTACTCATTCCGTCACAGTTCTCAACAGACAGGGCAAGCATTCTGAAGCCCGATAACAATCCAGATATCCCAACCTATTGTCGTTCATTATCAATAGCATCCACCAATCACTGACACAATTGTCTCCCTTGACGCATCCTTACCGAATTGGCTTTCCTGATACCCAACCTTGCAAGGCGATCAAACTCGGACACTTTAGCCCGCTGCCCATCTTCACTCCCTCGACCATTCCTCACCACTCCCTGTTTTTTATGCAGCGTGCAAGTTCCAGCCATTTTTGGCAACCGCCCAACTCAGAATCGACTCACTAGCCTGGCTCGCTCTCTGTCCGTCCAATGCGTTGATCGCCCGACAAGACAGCTGGCCTGGGAGGATCCAACAATGCCCCACTGATTCGAGGAGACTGCCATCGTCGCATCTCTCGGTGCCGGTACCTCCCCCAGTCGTCCTCGATCCTCCGACCATACAACCTCGAGGATTCCCTCCCTTTCGCCTTCAACCTCTTTTCCTCTGGCCCGCGACTTTACACTCGTTCGCTGCGAGTGAGTCCTTCGTTCCTTGAACGAAGCACAGTCGATACCTTCGCGGGCGAGGAACGACTTGTGCGAACGGCGGGCCGGAGTCTTTTAACCATCTTCATTCCCTTTTCATATACCCCTGAAGACACATTGATCTGTGTCGTCCTTGGTCAACCCGACCTACCTCTCGACTGCGTCGACGAGCTTTGATTCGCAACAGGCCGCCCCGTTCTAGTTGCCCGCGTCAACAAAATTCGACGCGATGGGTTTTATGAGCCACCGTCGACGGGATGTCGAGGTCCGCCCTGAGCAGAAATGGGACTATATTGTTCGTGATACGCCAAGATTGACACGATTAAATGCTCCGAGTGCTAACGTTCTTGTGCGCGTGGATATAGAGCCTCAACGACTTCAAGTCTACGTCATGTTTCACTCCATTTGCCTACGGTTACCTGTGGTCATCGGTTCTTCTGTCCTTGACCGTCTATGCTGTCGATACCTTCACCGCCGTCAATCTGCTCGTCTTCGGAAAATGGTCCTCGACGATTGAACCGACCCAGCTGATCTCTTTCAACATATCGAGATGGATCTTCTCCATCTGTATCATCCTCTCCTTCATCAACCTCATCTACGAGCATATTCGAGCCAGGCGGATCATGAAGAGGGGCAGTGTGGCCGAATGCTATCTCGACAATCTAGCCGTTCGGCTGGAAAGCATGCGTCTGGGCAAGGGGCAGGGTTGGAGAAGATTCCTGGTGTTCGCAGAATTGACGAAAAGCAAGAAGGGTGCCGAGTACATCGCCCTCTTCACCTTCTTCAACTTCCAGTGTTAGTACCGTTGATACACACCATCTCCCCAGGATTTCTTACTAACCATGAAATAGCATGGATTCGTGTCATTATCTGCTCTGGGCCTCGCCAGGCAGTCAATGCACTTACCCTCTACTCAGTTTACAATGCCATGCTATTGATCGAGGGCCAAAACTTTGAGAACTCGTTGATGAGCTTCTTCGCGAAGCTCAAGGCACTCGCGGAAGAGGACTACCAACAGGCTCTTATCCTGTCCGGCATGCTCTTCACCCTTGTCATTTGGGTCTTCTCCTTCTTGTCGCTATTGTTGGCTGCGCTGTTCTTCGTCTTCTTCCTGTGGCACTATATCCCCAAGACTGATGGAGGCCTGACGGGCTACTGCGAGCGCAAGGCCAACAAGAGGTTGATGAAGATTGTCTCAATCAAGATCAACAAGGCCATGGCCGACGACGAGCGGAAGAGGAAGAAGGCGGAGTTCAAAGCCGCCAAGAAGAACGGCGAGATGCGACCCATGTCAATGCAGGCTACCTTGCCCGATGTTGGCGGCGACAAGCTTCCTAATATGCCAACTCTCCATAGGACCGATACTATGGCAACCCTGCCCCTATACACGTCTCAGCCAGGAACTCCCGCAAACTTCGCAAACTTCGAACTGAACCCTGTCGAGAAGCGCCCATTCCCTGCTCGGACAGGCACCATGTCCTCGGGCACGACACAGTTTTCAACCAGACAGCCTCTCATTGGGGCAGCGGCAGAGTTTGGCAGCCGCCCCCCGTCACCTCCAGCGAGAACGGGAACATCGGCTTCGAATAGGAGCTTTGGTTCTGGGTCGCAGCTTAGCCGCATGCCGACAAACGGACCTGGATATGGGAGTTACTCATCCAGCCAATCATCGTACCCATTCGAGACAATGCCCTCGCTCCCTCCTCCCATCAGGTCGCCCGTCTTGCCCATAAACAACGCAAGAAGTTCTGCCTCGAGCTACGCGAATAGCGTACGAAGCAGCGACCGCCCAGAATATGACGAATACCCGGGCGCGCGCGCGAGCCCGGCTCCTTCCGCCAACTCATATCGGCCAATGCCTCCGTCCCCCCGCGGAATGGGACCAAACGGATACCCCATCCGCGCCAACACAAACCCGGTGCCTCCCCGAGGCCCCGGCCCGTATTCTCCTCGGAGAAACATGACTGCACCAATGCAACCACGTCATCAACAGACTTCTAGTAACAGTTCGTTGAGAAATGTGGCCACGCCGTCACAGCCATATCATCAACCCCCCCAAAGGGCTAATGATTACGACTATTTCGACAGACCTACGACTTCCAGCAGTCAACAAGGCGGGCCGAGACCCGGATATGGCAATGGGCGGAGCCAGGATGGGTGGAACCAGGATGGGTGGAACCAGGATATGGAGAGGGTACAGGGACCGCGATACTAGACATTATAGACGCAGTGTGTGGCCGTTCGTTTAAGCGTCTCACGCCACGCATCTGGGTGCCTATCGTGGTCTATTAAAAAAGGCGTTTCGAGGAAACTGGGTCTCTCGTTTAGAGAGGAAGATCCCTGGATCCCGCAGTATTAGTAGTACGTTCCTACCTGTTGGTAGGCCTTCCTTGGCTGTCTCCGGAAACATGAGTTCTTCTGGGCGGCTCGTTGCGTTTGGCATAAGCCTTGGTTTGAAGAAGGCTTTTTCATTCTGTGGACAATCTCTAGATTAAGGAGATAATGAAGATAATGATGGCGTTGATACCTAGTTCTTGGTAATGCCACCCTGTGATACCCTGAATGAACACCTTTGTGGATTTTGCTCTGCCGAACTACAATCCTACAGACGGCCCCCTTCCCACCTCGGCGATCCCTCCCACGACAGGAACGCCGCCTGAGTTTGTTTCCATGTGGTTGAAAAGCGAGAAGCATGAACTAGCACAACTTTCAGAGGGAGGCGAAGGGGTCATGATTAACGGCCAAGGGATATCGAAGTTCCTGGTTTTCCTTAATGAGCACCTTGGCAAGCCCCTTTTTTCAATTTGGGGGCGGCTCGGGCCGTACCGAGTGATTCGTGATCTAGCAATTCCGTTAATACAACTTATAACGATGCGACTGGTGACGATTAACGCATAAACTATATCGCGTGTTACTATTTGCAGCATCTGTGCACTTAATTCAACACTACTTGTAGAGATGTGGGAAACGTGGTTGCATTACTTGGATTACTAGGGGGTTCAACTTGACGGACTTGCCTCCGGGGCGCGAGCCACTCGGTGCCTAACAAGACAGGTCCGCAATGGAACCTAGATAGGGTTCAAAGATGTAATCATGGAAGGTTTCCAAGCGTAGTCAGAAAGGTAGAAAGTACGTTCATTTGAATCAGCTCAAGATATGTTGTCTGCCCCTCCTCTTACTACCCTCCAATTCAAGGACCGCCTCTCCTTGCGAACCAGACCGTCTTGCTCTTCCGGAGTGATCTTCTTAACATGCAGGCGCAGGAGGGATACCTACAAGGCCTAACACAACACCGCCACAGCCTCATACGGCGACAGCTGAACACGCCCGCCCTCGAAATCCTCCACCCCCTTCCCCGTAGTAGAAAGGACAACCTCGCAGACCCGCCCCGGCAGCCCCTCCCACACAACCACATAGGCGGAGAAGTTGCACACCACAGCGACCCTCTCGCCCCGCCCCCCCCCCGCGGCCGACGACGCGCGCAGGTACGCAAACACCCTCTCGTCCGCCTGGTCGCCGAGCAGCAGCTCGAAGGCGCGCCGTAGACGAGGGCGTCGGCGAGCTGCCTCCGCGCCGCGAGGACGGCTCCCTCCAACAGTGGAACACGGACGCCGGGTCGGCCGCTTGGTCGGCGGCGTTGACGCCCGAGGCGTGGCTGGGGTTCGCGCGTATCCACGGCGTCGTCGAGGAGGAGGCTGAAGCCCCCGTGCGGGGCGGTCGCGTCCCACTGCATCGGCGTGCGGGCGTTGTCGCGCGACTTGTTGCGGTACTCTGCGCGGAAGGCCGCGAGCTCGGATGGGGTGGCGTGGTCTGTGATTGCCCTGTTTGGTAGGGATTAGTTGGGCATGTTTCGGGAAATGTGAACCCGGTCCTGGCAATGCCGCGTCGCGGGGGGAAAGGGGGGACGGGTTCGTCACGCACTTCCAATGGGTTAGGCAATCCACGTCCTTGTACTCGTCCATGGACCACTCCTTCGGCATGTTGTGCATGCCGAGCTCCTGGCCCTGGTACGCAGACAGGGTGCCGGACTGGAAGCCGAGGAAGAGAGCGAGCATCTTGGCGCTCTGGGCGCGGTAGGCCGGGTCGTCGTTACCGAACCGCGTCACCGCCCGGGCCGTGGTCGATGTCCATGCTGTTTTGCTGCGAGACCAGGAGATAGAGTGGGACGAGAAAGTCAGGGCCGCGGACGGGGGTGAAGGGCGATGGCCTATCCGACAGACAAACTCGCAATTCGAAATGGAAAATCATGTTCAGCTCCCCGCGGCCGCTCTGCACGCTCTTGATGATCTCATGCGTGTCCGTCACGCATGGCATCTCGCCGACGCTAAAGGCGTCGTACTCCTCCAGGGTGAAACCTAGCTCCTGGAGGTATTCGTGCAGCCTTGGCCCGGCGGCGTAAAACTCGGTGCCCGGGTATCTCACCTTGCCGTCCGAGTCCGGGAAGGCCTGGTCCTTGCTGACGAAGTTGATGACGTCGATGCGGAAGCCATCGACGCCGCGGTTGAGCCAGAACCGCACCGTCTCGTGGACGGCCCGTTGCACGGCTGGGGTTTCCCAGTTTAGGTCCGGCTGCTCCTTGCAGTAGAGGTGGAGGTAGTATTCCCCTCTCGTCGAACTCCCATGCGCTTCCTTTTCAGGGGTGGAGGTTCGGGCTTCAACATCAGTGACAGTTTTTCTTCCCCACGACTGGTTGCCGGTGGTGCAGGGGATTAACATACCTTGGAAATGAGACTGCCAGTTGTTTGGGGGCTGCCGATTGCCCTGGGCGTCAAACTTGGGCTTCTTCCATGTGTACCAGTCACGGTACTCGTTGTCCTTGGAGGACCGGGACTGCTTGAACCACTCATGCTGGTCGCTGGTGTGGTTCATCACCAGGTCCAGCACCAGCTTCATGTCCCGTCCATGGAGCTCGACTTTCAAGACATCGACATCCTCGATTGAGCCGCACTGAGGGTCGATCTTGCGGTAGTCGCTGATGTCATAGCATGATAGGCTTAGGGAAAAAAAAAAGTACTAACTAGTGGATGCTATGGAGCGAATCATGGGTTTGTGGCAGTATATCAGGGCGAGCAGGTTGCCTACCATGTCAATCTGTGAGCTCTCGAAAATCGGGAAGAGCCAGACGATGTCGACGCCGAGCAACTTGAGGTAATCGACCTTGGAGATTATACCCTTGAGGTCGCCTATATCGGAGCCCGTCGAATCCCAGAATGAGGCCGGATAGATCTGGTAGGCGGATCCCTCCTTCCACCAGGCCCGATGCTGCTCGGCGCCCGTTTGGGGGCGTTCGTCTGTGCGAATGGGCATGGTTTGGTGTAGCTCAAGCAATACGTTGATCCCGAAGTGTGTGTAAGTGGTGGAAGGCTGGAAGGCTCAAGTCCCGGTGTCCTTAGGTGCTTTTTCGTCGGGGTTCAAGGATAGAAATCTCCTAATGCTGGTTCCCTCAAGTTGGTGGCAGCTCCCGTCCCTGCCCTACTCAGCTCCGGCAGCCGGACAACCAGCATCTGCAGGCGAAGAAACCCCACCTATCCCGACGATCAATATCAAATGCGGTATGAGTGGATCGCTACGTGGAACCACTGCAATGCACAAGGACCGTGTGGGCTACAGCGCTGCAGGCTGCAGGTTACGGGCAACTCCGATAATTTCTCCGGCAGCAACTCCGACCAGGATGCCGGAATCGTCACCGGCCCCGCGGCGTGCGCCGTCGGTCTTGGCCCCGGTCGCTTACGCCCGGTTCCTAGTGCAACCTTGGAGGGGCGTTAAGAAACCGGCCCATCAAATCACTTCCAGAGGACAATTTAACCCGGTGACAGCTGGCAGCGATCTGCCGCGCTACCACGGGTACCCGGTGCGGGCACCGGCGCGACCCCGCAGACCTTTTCATCTCCTGCAAGTTCTAGGGAGTGATTAGAAGCCCAAGCAAGCGGTCTGGGCCATCGAATGATGACCAGCTAAGGGGAGGCTTGCGGGATGTCGGGACGAAATTGAACTTGGAACCCCACTGTCCTCCCCGCTACTGTCTGTATCACCGAGGATTTCCCGTAGCTGGGGTCTACTGAATAGGTAGGTATACTTGCTTGATACACATTACACACTCGCAAGCAGAGGGAGGGGGCTTGAACCCCCGCCTCCGGTCTTCCCGCCGATGACATATATTAAGCTGTGCCTCTCTCGTCTCTGCGTGATTTTCATATTTGAACGAAGGAGGCCATACGTTTATTCGAACGCAGACGTTGACAGTCAGCTCTAAACGACAGCGAAGCAGTAAACCGCACAGTTTGCAGTCACAATGGCGTGGTCAGAACCCAGGAAGACTGGCATGCTCTACCGCAAGCTTGGGAATTCAGGACTCCATGTATCAGTTCTCGGCTTGGGAGGTTGGCTCACGTATGCTCGGCGGATCGACGCTCTCTCACCCCCGATAGTGGACTACCTGCTAACAATAAGACAGTTTCGGAGGACATGTTGAGAATGGTTCGTGAATCCATGCCCCCCCGCTCCAGGATCCTCTCAAAAGTTCGTTACCTTACCACAGCTCAGATCTCACATTTGCATGCATGAAGCAGGCTTATGACTGCGGTATCAACTTCTTCGACACTGCCGAGGGGTGAGCATCCATTCATCGACGCTCGAGTTGAATGAGCCGGCCCGCGTTTTCTGGGGCACTCAGCTGACATTATGCCTCCACCAACTCAGCTACGCTGGCGGCCAGTCCGAGGTTGTTATGGGGCAGGCCATCAAGAAGTTTGGATGGAAGCGTAACGACATAGTAGTGACCACAAAGATCAACTGGGGCGCGGCCAATGGCGAGGTGCTGGTCAACAACCACGGCCTATCGCGGAAGCACGTGGTCGAGGGCCTGCGTGCCTCCTTGGCCCGGCTCGATCTCGAATACGTCGATATTGTATATGCGCACCGACCGGACCGGCTGACACCGATGGAGGAGACGGTGCGCGCCTTCAACCACGTCATCGAGCGCGGCTGGGCGTTCTACTGGGGAACTAGTGAGTGGAGCGCCGACGAGATCGCAGAGGCTTGCGGTATCGCCCGCGAGCTACACCTCATCCCGCCCGTCGTCGAGCAGCCTCAGTATAACGTGCTGGAGCGGCGCCGCGTCGAGGACGAGTACCAGCGGCTGTACGAGAGGTTCGGCCTCGGCCTGACCGTCTTTAGCCCTCTCAAGCTGGGCCTGCTGAGCGGGAAGTACAATGGTTCGCCGGACAAGCCGCCCGCGGGGTCTCGCTTCGCCGAGAGTAACGACGATTTCAGCAACATGGTGCGGGAGTCTTGGTATGGCAATGATGAGTGGAGGTCAGCAGTCAGCAAGGTTATCAAGCTGAAGGTAAGCACGGTTCCTCGACGCCCTAATGTTCGCCCACTAACATGCAATACCTACAGCCAATCGCGGACGGGCTAGGCGTGACGCAAGCGCAGATGGCACTTGCCTGGTGTCTCAAAAATGAGCGCGTCTCCTCTGTCATCACGGGCGCGTCAAGGCCAGAACAGGTCTTGGAGAACGTCCAGGCCTTGAAGGTCCTTGACAAGCTTACCCCCGAAATCATGGCTCAAATCGACGAAATCGCGGGCAAGGTCGAGCTAGCACCGGCGAGGCAAGGCTGAAACCGGCTTCTACGCATAGGTAGATAGTGGTGCTTGGGTATAACGGAGGAGGACTCGCCCCTATTGATTGGGTGGCGATTTTGTGCTCCGAGTATATTAAACCAGTACGTAATTACTGCCTAGTTGAGAAAAGCCGTCCGCCAATTTTACCTATATAACCATGCTTATCCCTGCCAATTTACCCTCGAGCATTGGTCAGTGCGTTTTGGGAGGGGATCGCAGACTCATCATCTCTAAGAACACGAGTCGCAAGCTCGGATGTCCGGCCACGACATGCGAACCGACCAGTTCCATATACATCGGCAGCGGGATGGAATCGTATGGAAGCTCCGGCGCCGGAGTGTGGCCTGAAGTGGAAGGACGGGACCGACGCCGGCCGACGGAACGCGGCATTTGTGCGGAGTGGCGACTTTCTGCTAGCGCCCGCTTGTCATAAGCGATCATGGATGGGCAATTGGGCAAACAGGAAAGAACAAGTTCCCCTGGACTTGGACGACTGTGCAACCTAATTCATCATCCTCGCGCCGCTATGACTCAAGGTGATTTTCCGCAGGCCATGATTTGTGAGCATCTAGAAGAATTAGGCACAGGACTGGAAGGTTCATGCGCAAGCGCGCTCGAGCTAGTAGGTCTGGACTGCGCGAATTGTGCGGGAAACGCGACCTCAAAGACAGACGAACGACGCATTCCACACATGTTTAACTTCCCGTCGTCAGCATCAGGACCAAGAGCAGCCGTCTTCCGTCTGTTTCTTTCGTCCACCTTCCATCCTCCGCCGACCCCTCCATCTATATCTTCTGATCGATGCACGAGACTCTTCCCCACATTCTAAACCTTCAATGATCTTGGCTGCCTCTTCAGCCTGTTTGTCGCTTTGGTGCCCTGTAACGGTCCGCATTTCCTAGAACGGTTGCAGTTAATATAAACAGCATAACCGACCTCAGTGCCATATCGCCAATCACCTGGCAGTCTCTATCCGTCGCGATTTCGAAATCAGGCCTTGGCAGCACACAGCACCTGCCAGAGGCCGTCATACCCGATCGCTACTACCCCCAATTTACTTGAAGATGGCGGCATCACATACCTCAGCTCGGCGTCCGGGCTTTGAATTCGCTACCACATCCTTCCTCCTCGGAAACCTGCACTGTCCCACCTGCGTGTCCACCATCCAGACCGTCATAAAGGAGTCGTGCGCCGGCCAAATTAGATGGGTCTCGCCGAACGTCGTTACTTCAGTCGTGACTGTGGAACACAGTACAGACGCTTCTATCAAGACAATGCAGAAAGTCCTCGAGGAAAGCGGCTTTGAAGTATGCGGTGTAACGACATCCGCGGGCGGTGACTCGGATCTCGTCGAGCTAGAACCTATCTACGACCGGAGCAATGGGGACGGTGTCGACGACGCAGCGCGGCCAACTTCCGCATTTAGTCGATGGAGAAGTTATCCGAGAAATGTCGCCAGGAGCCAGACGACTCGATCCTCTCTGGCCCGGACGCACCTCCAGAACTGCGAGCAGTGTCGCAACTCGGTCGCCGGCCACGCAACCGAGAAGGCCTCCGAGACCACTTTGGTGTCGCAGCCTTCAAGTTCATCCATGTCGAACCGGACCGTCTCTTCGGGAGGACCCGTCAAGAAGTCATCAAAGTCGTTCATCACGGTAGAGACTGACGATGCTTCAGTCTCGCTTCCAACCTGGCGGGCAGCGGTTGCCATCGGAGGCATGACATGTGCCGCCTGCGCCAACACCGTCACCGAGGAACTGAACAAACGAGACTGGATCTCGAAGGTGGCCGTAAATTTGGTCACCAACAGCGCCACGGTTGAACTCAACGACAAACAAAAGGTGGGCGACCTTGTCGAGGCCATTGAGGACCTGGGCTTCGAGGCGACGCTAGACAGTGTCGTCAGTGTCAGCCAGGAGAACGCCGTAGCACGGGAGAATCAGGATTCGTGGCGGGCGACCCTTGCGATTGGAGGCATGACCTGCGCTTCTTGTGTCAACACCATTAACGAGGAGCTCAAGAAGAAGGATTGGATTTCCGACTTTGCCATCAATCTAGTCTCAAACAGCGCCACCGTCGAATTCCGCGATAAGAAGAATGTCGCCCGGCTTGTCGAGACCATTGAGGATCTTGGCTACGAAGCAACAATCGACACTGTCGTTAGTGCGGCTCCACAAAGCAGCCAGGACCACGAGAGGACGGTCGAGATCCTCCTCGAAGGCCTCTATTGCGAACACTGCCCTGCCAGGGTGGCAAACAGCCTTGTCGGCTTCCGAAGGCAGCTCGAAGTCCTCCATCAACCGACTCTCCCGAGGCCCATCATCAAGGTCTCTTACACTCCGGACGCTCCCAGGTTCACGGTCAGGCAGATCCTGGCCGCCATTGAGGCCAGTGACCCGGCGTTGAAAGCTTCCATCTACCATCCACCTACACTGGAAGAGCGGTCCAAACAAATCCAGCGAAAACACCAAAGGGCGCTTCTCTACCGCGTCATCTTCACCGGCATTACCTGTATACCGACCTTCATCCTCGGCATCGTCTACATGAGCCTCCTGCCTTCCAGCAACAGATCGAAAGAGTTCCTCATGAAGCCGTGGACTTCCGGCATCAGTCGTGCTCAAATGGCCTTGCTCATCATGGCTACCCCGGTATACTTCTTCGCCGCAGATGTCTTCCACGTGAGAGCATTCAAGGAAATCAAGAACCTATGGCGCCGTGGCAGCCGAGTCCCGATTTTGCGGCGATTTTACAGATTCGGAAGCATGAACACCCTCATGTCCCTGGGCACGACCATCGCGTACATCTCATCCGTCAGCCAAATCATAGCAGCAGCCGTCTATCAGCCCGACGAGGTCAACGACTCCAATTTCTACTTCGACTCTGTCGTCTTCTTGACCTTCTTCCTCCTCGTAGGGAGACTGATTGAGAGCTACAGTAAATCAAAGACCGGAGATGCTGTCGAAATGCTTGGGAAGCTCCGGCCCACTACAGCAATCCTCGTCGAGCGTCATGGGTCCGAGAAGGAGCGCGACTCGGTCGTCAAGGTCGACATGCTTGATTTTGGCGATATTGTCCGCATCACCCATGGCGGCTCCCCACCAGCAGACGGAACCGTCGTGCGCGGTGAGAGCAACTTCGACGAGTCAAGCTTGACCGGCGAGTCTCGGCTGGTCAAGAAAGCCCCTGGGGACGAGGTATTTGCGGGGACTGTCAACAAGGGTTCGCCGCTCCTGATACAGATCACGGGCGCGGCGGGCCAATCAATGCTGGATCAGATTGTCAAGGTCGTCCGCGAGGGTCAGACAAAACGTGCTCCCATGGAGCGGGTCGCTGATCTTCTGACCACGTACTTTGTTCCTGTCGTTACCCTGGTCGCCATTCTCACGTGGATCCTCTGGATGTCGCTCGGGTTCGGAAAGGTGATCCCGTCACATTTTCTGGACGTTACCTCGGGCGGTTGGGTGGCCTTCTCGCTGCAGTTCGCAATCTCGGTTTTCGTTGTGGCATGTCCCTGTGGCCTTGCACTCGCAGCCCCGACAGCTATCTTTGTGGGCGGTGGTATGGCCGCCAAATACGGGATACTCGCGAAGGGAGGCGGCGAAGCTTTCGAGAAGGCCAGTCACATTGACTGCGTCGTATTCGACAAGACTGGAACCCTGACGGAAGGCGGCGAGCCCTCTATCACCGACTCTGATGTTTGCCCGGACTCGGACGGCGTGCCCGAGAAGAAGCGGGCCGGCGTCCTGGCGGCTCTTAGAGCCGTCGAGGAGAATAGCAGCCACCCGATAGCAAAGGCAATCGTGTCCTTCTGCACCTCCCAGACTGCAGATAGGGCTGAAGCGGAGGATATGCACGAGATTCCGGGCAAGGGAATGAAGGCCGCTTTCCGTGGAGTCCTCGAAGAGCCGTTTGAGCTCATCGTGGGCAATGAGGCACTGATGCAGGACTATGATGTGGCAATATCTCCCAAAGTCGCCGAGGCCTTGCAGAAGTGGAAGACAGAAGCAAAGTCGGTTGCTCTGGTGGCGACGAGACTCATCACAGCCTCGGACACGGAAGAGGAGGAGGTCTGGACCTTAGCTGCCATTCTCTCCATCTCGGACCCAATCCGCCCCGAAGCACCCGCTGTTATCCGCGCCCTCCAGGGCCGTGGCACCCGTGTTTGGATGCTGTCGGGCGACAACCCCACGACAGCTGCGGCCGTGGGGAAGCAGCTTGGCATCCCGTTGGACCAGATTATTGCAGGCGTGCTACCGACCGAAAAAGCGGCCAAGATCACATACCTCCAGTCAACGCTCAAAGCACGAGAGGGAGGGAATGCCGAGTCGGTAACGCAGCGGGCCATGGTGGCCATGGTCGGCGATGGCATCAACGACAGTCCGGCCCTCGCCACCGCAGACGTCGGCATTGCCATCGGGTCGGGATCCGACGTGGCCATCTCGAGCGCGGATTTCGTGCTCGTCAAGTCGGACCTGAAGTCCGTCGTCACCCTGCTGGACTTGTCGTCCACCGTGTTCCGGCGCATCAAGTTCAACTTCGGCTGGGCGCTGATCTACAACATCCTCGCTGTCCCTGTCGCCGCAGGGGCGCTATACCCTATCGTGAGCAATGGGAAGCATGTTCGGCTTGACCCAGTCTGGGCTAGCTTGGCCATGGCATTGAGTAGTATTAGTGTGGTGATGAGCTCGTTGGCCTTAAGATCTGGTTGGCCAATTCTGGGATTCAGGGAACGAAAGGTGGACTGAGTGGCGGGTAGCTGAGGGTTCCTTTGTTGATGGTTACTGTTCGGCTCCCACGCCTCTCTAGATGATATTATGATATCAGCTGCCTGTACCTAATAGCCTACTACGGCATGCGATGAGGGCGCCCAGTTGGAGCAATATGCTAGAATACCCATGATTATTTTGTCCCATCACAACCGAGCCTGATGACTTGTATTCTATGGAAGAAATCATGCAATTCAGTGGGCCTGTCGCTAAGCAATGGGATTTTGTCTCAGCAACCACGGTGAGACACTAATGCTATCGACTGGTAACCATGCAGAGGCGAAAAAGGCCGGAAGGTTTGGGATTGCAACATTGTCCGATTGCCCCCGACTACCGTTCCCTTGCCGGTATTGTGGGTAGGTTCACGTGATCACGCCGAACCTCAAGGTTTAGAAAACCCAAAACACTTGAGCCGCGATCAGCGCTAGCTGGATACGGTTAGTACAAGATTGCGTGATTGAAGATTCCTCATGGCAATATGGGATTGCGATTTGCGACAGGGGCCAAACAGACCCCGACGAATTTGTAAGTCATGAAAGTGGCTCCGGTTGCGGTTACTGGTCGGTGTTCGGTAAGTGTCTCTATTTCTTCTCATTGCCTCTTTCCTTCTGTCCCTTGAGATATCAAACTGGTTCTACGGTTTGATATTTGCCCTTCTCCGTATCAATATCGAGACCGACAACCTCGGGCTCCTCCTCTCCTTGAATCCCCCTGGCACGAGGTATTTCCTACACAACTGCCGGCTCAGTAGAGGCGATACGGTTTCGTGCTCGAACCATCGACAGGAACGAGGAGATTTTGCCCCCGTCACGATGCAATTGAAGCAGCAAGAAGGGCCCGGAGGCGCCACGCCCCTGGATGCCCCGAAAAGCTTCGAGAAAGTATCTTCCAGCCTACCACTTGGCCAGATGATTCCGATATCCTCCATCTCCGGCCCGACCTATGTCACGGCGCAGCTGCTTGTCCAGCAGATTGCTTACAAGCTCTCCGATAAGATCTTCTCTTACTCTCCCGAGACCTTTGATCTGGATGTGGCAGTTAAGCGATGGTCCCTCGAGAAGGAGGCGAATATCCACGGGTATCCGACCTCTGTCATTCCCCTCCAGACTCGTGCTGGCGCCGGGGCTTTCGCTCTCGGCTACATCTTCTCGAAGGACTTTGACTTGAGCAAGAGGGCTATCCCCCAGTCGCTGCTTGCTCCTTCCCTGAGCCTTCGGAACCTCCGCTCGGCGCTTGACCAGCTTTCCCTACTCTATGGGGTTGCCAGCCCGTTCGTCGCCCACGTTGCTGCCGCAGACTACTCGGCACAAAACGGTCTCATTCCGGAATACCAATCGGCGCTGCAGCTTGCAGAGGAACTCGGCCTCGCTCTCGTGGCCAGCTCTTCAGCTTACGAGGCCCAGCACATGTCGCTCTTCGCAACGATTCTGGCTTCCGTCCTGCCGACCATCCACATCTACGACGGGCTGCGTACTTCGAGAGAAACCCTGAGAGTGGTAGACGCCCTGAGCGAGACAGGTATTGCCGAGATATACAACAAGATCGGCAAGGAGGCTGGTTCCCTCAACAAGAGGCTCGACGATGCCGGGAAGACGTTGGAGCTCCTCCGAGCCTTCAACAACGAGCTCGGAACTTCTTATGAGCCCTTCGAGTATCACGGCCATGCGGCCGCTACCACCGTCTTCGTCGTCTTCGGCAGCGTCGAGTCTCAGCTGTCGAAGCAGGTCGTTTCTTACCTAGCAGCCAAAGGGGAGAAGATCGGCGCCCTTAGCGTCCGAGTCTACAGACCATTCATCGAGGAGGCTTTCCTCAGGGCGCTCCCTAGCTCTGTCGAACAGATTGCTGTCCTGGGTCAGGTTCATGACACTCTGTCTGTTGAAGACGCTTCCGTCCAGTCTGTTCTGTATTCGGATGTCCTTACAGCTGTCTCTTTCTCAGACAACTGGGACACAGAACCACTCGTCGTCGATGTCAAGTATGCTGCCTCGGAGGTTCTCACTCCCAGCTCGCTTGCTTCGACTTTCCGCAAAGTCACAACCAAGGGTACGGATGCCGAGCCTGCTCTTACACTAGACCTGGCTGGTCAGGCTCAGCAGTATACTTTCTGGGACCTCGACAACTCTACCGCCGCCAGCTCTCCATCCGTTGTTGGCGGCATCCTTGCCCGCGAGTCAACGAACAATGTCTTTATCCACGAGGTTCACGACAACCTCATTCAGGGTGGCATAATCCGAACTGACATTAGGAGCTCCAAGAAATCGATCGAGGCCCCGTATGCCATCGAGCAAGCCGACATCACCGTCGTCGGCGAGGAGAAGCTTCTGAAGGAGATTGCGATCCTCAACGGCGTCAAGGCTGGTGGCAAGATCATTCTCAGGCTCCCGAATTTCAAGGACGAAGACGTGGAGAAGCGCATTCCCGAGTGGACCAAGAAGCAGCTACATGCGAAGAATGTCGGTCTGTTCGTCTTAGATTCCTCGTACTCGCCCACCTTTGAGAAGGACGCCCAGCTCTTGGTTGAGCTGGCATTTTTGCGTCTGGCAAGGCCCGAGATCGCTCCCGAACAGCTCGCCCAGCTCAGCTCCATCTCCCCAGACCAACCAATATTCCAGGAATGCGTTGATGCCTTACCACAATTCTTCCGGGAGATCGAAGTACCGGCGTCCTGGGCAGAAATTGCCGACGATTCCGTGGCGGCTCCCCGTGAGCTAGATCTCAAGCCCAGCAGTTTCGCGGCTTTCGAGAAGGAGGATGCGGAGCCCGCATTGCAAGTCAATGACTGGCAATCAGCGGCCAAGGGCTTCGCCTTCAAAGAGGCTTATGGCACTCAGACCAATCTTCGGCCCGATCTCGCCACCAAGAGCTATACCATCCACGTCAAGGAAAACCGTCGTCTCACTCCTCACAATTACGACCGTAATATCTTCCATATCGAGTTCGACTTGGGCGACTCCGGTCTCACATACGACATTGGCGAGGCTCTCGGTATCCACGCGGACAACGATGCTGCGCAGATCCAGGACTTCATCACCTCGTACGGCCTCAATGCCGATGATCTGGTCCAGGTCCCGTCCCGCGAGGACGCTTCTGTCCTGGAGACGAGGACCATCTACCAGTCGTTGCTCCAGAACCTTGACATCCTCGGCAAGCCGCCCAAGCGGTTCTACGAATTGCTTGCCGAGTTTGCCACGGACGAGATGGAGAAGAAGAAGCTCGAGTCCCTCGGCGGCCAGACCGGCGCCGAGGAATTCAAGCGCCGCTCGGAAACCGAGACCGTCACCTACGTGGACATCCTGGAAGAGTTCCAGTCCGCCCGGCCGGCCTTTGCCGACCTCGTGCGCATCGTCTCTCCCCTGAAGCGCCGCGAGTACAGTATCGCCTCCGCCCAGGCCGTCACGCCGACGTCGGTGTCCCTCATGATCGTCGTGGTCGACTGGGTCGACAGCAAGGGCCGCACCCGCTACGGACAGGCGACGCGGTACCTCTCGGAGCTGACCGTGGGCACGCCCATCATCGCCTCCGTCAAGCCGTCGGTGATGAAGCTCCCCACCAAGGACACGGCGCCGCTGATCATGGCCGGGCTGGGCACTGGCCTCGCGCCGTTCCGCGCCTTCGTCCAGTACCGCGCCATGCAGAAGGCGCAGGGCAAGGAGATCGGCGCCATCCTGCTGTACCTGGGCAGCCGGCACCAGCGCGAGGAGTACCTGTACGGCGAGGAGTGGGAGGCGTACATGGACGCGGGCGTTATCACGCTCCTCGGGGCGGCCTTCTCGCGCGACCAGCCGCAGAAGATCTACATCCAGGACCGCATGCGGCAGACGATCGACGACATCGTCAAGGCCTACATCAGCGAGGAGGGCTCCTTCTACCTGTGCGGGCCGACCTGGCCTGTTCCGGACGTCACCGAGGTCCTTCAGGAGGCCATCGCTAAGGATGCGAAGGGCGCCGGGCGCAAGGTGGACCCGAGGAAGGAGATTGAGCGGTTGAAGGAGGATGGGAGATATGTCCTGGAGGTCTACTAGTTGAGGGGGGCTGTAATGAAGTGTGCAGTTGGCGGTGATTTTCTTTCTTTTTACACTGCATATCTATTCCGTTCTTCCAGCAGATTGCTGGTCATTAGCGTGGAGTGTTTGACCCTGTTGATAAACACGAGCTTCCGCTTGCCCACTACTATATAGAAGACATGAAAATTGCGATGTTTCGCTGTACGATGCGAATACTACTTTCGGCCGGAACCTCTTCCTTGTGGTGCTCTGTGTTATTACACCCATAGCTAACCTAGCTCTTTTGGTCCATCTCAAGATCCGACTAATGTCCGTCTAGGCTGTGATAGCCTGTTCGATTCAAAACTTACCATTTCATTCGTAGACCCTGAATGAAGACCCAGTCGGATATTCCGTACAGCTGTATAATATGGCTATTCGGGCACGGTTGATTTTGCGCATTTCCACCTTATGGCTGTTCAATTCTCCCAGCGGGCACCCGGACCCCCCCGCCTACAGATACTTCGCCATGATGGACTTCAGCTTCTCCAGATCCAGCGCCTCAACGGTGCGACCCTTGAGTCCCACCATGGTCTCAGCCATGCACAGGGCATTGTAGATAGCCTCCTCGGTAGCATCAGCAGCGGCCTCGAACAGGGCATTGATGGAGTTATCGTTGACGACCTGGACGCTCATAGCCGCGGCCTTGAACGGGTCGACGGCGCGCTTCTGCGCCGTGGCCCTCTGCACGGGAATCTCGTTCGCCGTCGAGAAGGCGAGGAATAGGTCCCCCGACGGGTTGTGGCCATAGCCGCCGACGCGCGCTAGCCCGACCGTCGCCCGTTTGGCTAGGCGCTGCAGCTGCAGCGGGTGTAGCGGCGCGTCCGTCGCAAGCACGACGATGATGCTGCCGTCCTTCTTGTCCTTGGCCCGCTCCGCCTCCTCGAACCGCCGCGCCTGCTCCGCCTCCGCCGCCGACAGCCCCGCCGCCGAGGACGCCTTCGCCTCGAGCTCCTCGGCAAGGAGCCGCCCGACCGGCGCGCCGGTCACCCGGAGGTGGCCCAGCCGGCCGTAGTTTGCCTGCACCAGCGCCGCGATGGTGTACGTCGTCGCCGGCGCCGCCTTGTCGTCGTCTCCGGGGAGGGCGACGCCGAGCCCGTCGACGACGCGGCTGCTGGTGCCCGTCCCGCCCTTGTGGCCGTGGCACATCATGCCGGTACCGCCGCCGGTGTTGCCCTCTGGCACGGGGACGCCCCCCGCGGCGGCGTCGATGCCCTCGACGATGTGGTGGGGCCGCACGGCGAAGGTGGAGAGGTCGTTGATGTGGCCGTCAAAGGTCTCTGCGACGACGGGGAGGAGGAACCAGTCGACGCCGTCTCCGCCGTGTTGCTTGATGGCGTGCTCGTAGACGCCCTGGTAGGCGGCGCCGACGGCGAACGAGTTGGTCAGCACGACGGGCGAGCTCAGCAGGCCCGTCTCCTCCAGCCAGTGGCTGCCCGTCATCTCGCCCGAACCATTGAAGCGGAAGATGCCGGCGTAGCAGGCGCTGTGGAACCAGTCCGCCCGCGGCAGGATCGTGGTCACGCCCGTGTTGACGGAGCCGTCGTTCTGGTGGAGGGACTGGGTGTGCACGAGGACACCGGGGACATCGGTGAGGGCATTGAGCGGGCCCGGCTTGTGGGTGCCGATGCGGATGCCCGGGAGGATGTCCCGAATGCGGCCTCTGGGCGTCTTGGTGGGAACCGTTGCTTGAGCCATTGATTTGTCTGGATGTTTCTTACGCTGATGACTAGATTGAACCAACCCTATCTCTCAGCCTACCTATGTACCTGGGTGGACCAGCCGACTTAAGGCTTTTGTACATATCATGACCCCATGGTCGCCATGAGCTTTTCACTTTCGACTCTCACCCAACCATACAGCGCACACGCAAACTAATGACGCGGATGGAATCGAGCTGCCCGATTCGGAGTCGGAGATGCCAGACCTCGCTGGGCGTGACTCACGCCGAGTTCGGGCCGGATATCTTGCAAGATCTACGGATCCGTCCACTAATTTTTCTTGCCATGCAACTAGTCCACACCGAGCTAGCATTGCACCTGTCACTAGCACACCAAAAGCCGTGATTCCATTCCCCGCACCATCGAAGGAGCGCGGGGTACTTGTTCTTGGTTGATTAGCGTCTGTGGAGCTTCAGACCCAGACCCGGCATTCCAAAGGAGCATCACCGAGGCTAACGATTGAAATGACCTCTCCATCTTCGTCGCAGAGAGTCTGTAAAAGTCTCCTGTACATAATTAGACATCCAGACCAAATTCCAAGATGGCCGGACTGATCAGAGTTAGCCCAAATGTAAGTCTGCCAGCGCAATGGACTCGAGAGGAACCCAAGTGTGCTGAATATGGGCATTTAGAGGGCCACCAGAGCTTTGAACTTGCTCCGAACGATTCAGTATACTCACCCGCCATCTTGCCCATGCCATTCAAACCCCGGCCACCATCACCATGCCTCGCCAGCCGTGGTCCCGTTCGCAAGACGGACTTCGAGGCGCAACTATGCCACCCCGCAGGACGCGTCGCAGCTCAAGGAATACGCCTTCGAGATGGCCGCGTCGTCAATCCGCTTCGGCCCAGGGGTGACCCAGGAAGTCGGCATGGACCTGAAGAATATGGACGCTAAGCGGGTCTGCGTCGTGACTGATGAGACGGTAGACAAGTTGGACGCCATGAGGCAGGTCCGCGAGGCCCTGACCCGGGAAGGCATCAACTTTACCGTATACAACAAGACACGGATTGAGCCCAAGGACAGCTCGTCAGTCATGGCCCCTGCCCCATCGCTGTGTCTGCCGTTGCTGCTGCCTCTAACACCCGGCCTAGGATCAAGGATGCTATCGCGTGGGCCAAGCCTTATAATCCAGACGTGTTCCTCGCCGTCGGAGGCGGCTCCGTCATCGACACCGCTAAGCTGATGAACCTCTACCTGGCCTACCCGGAAGCCGACTTCCTGGACTTTGTAAACGCGCCCCTTGGCAAAGGCAGACCGATCGACAAGCCGCTCCGGCCGCTCATCGCCATCCCTACGACGGCAGGCACGGGCAGCGAGACGACGGGCACCGCCATCTTCGACCTCGTGTCGAAGCGGGCCAAGACGGGGATCGCGCACCGCAACCTCAAGCCGACGCTCGGCATCTGCGACCCGCTCAACACGCGGACCATGCCCGCCGCCGTCAAGGCGAGCTCGGGCCTCGACGTGCTCTGCCACTCGCTCGAGTCCTGGACCGCCATCCCCTTCAACGAGCGCGTCCCGCGCCCGACGAACCCCATCCTCCGCCCCGCCTACCAGGGCGCCAACCCCATCAGCGACATCTTCTCGCTCAGCGCCCTCAGGGCCACCGTCAAGTACCTGCCTCGCTCCGTCAAGGACCCGGACGACATGGAGGCCCAGAGCCAGATGCTCCTCGCCGCGACCCTCGCCGGCGTCGGGTTCGGCAACGCTGGCGTCCATCTGTGCCACGGTAAGCACCCGTTCACTCCCCCCTCGCCGAAGCCGAAACATAGAAATAAATAAATGGAAACAACACGCGTGCCCCTACCCTAAGCGTCCCACTAACCACCCCTGCTCCCAGGCATGTCCTACCCCATCTCGGGCCAGAACCCAGGCTACCACCACGCAGGCTACGAGGTCTCCGCGCCGATCATCCCGCACGGCGTCTCGGTGGCCGTCTCGGCGCCGGCCGTCTTCCGCTTCACGGGCGCGTCCAACCCGGACCGCCACCTGGCAGCGGCCGAGGCGTTCGGCGTCGACGTCGGCAGCGTCAAGCGCGAGAGCGCCGGCGAGGTGCTCGCCGACGCGCTGACGCGCTTCCTCGACGACCTCGGCGACCAGCCCCGCGGCCTGGCCGACCTGGGGTTCTCCGCGTCCGACGTCGATGGCCTCGTCGAGGGCACCATCCCCCAGGCTAGGGTGCTCATGCTGGCCCCCGGCCTCGCGACGGAGCTGCAGCGGGAGAGGGAGCAGCTGAGGGCGCTGTTTGAGGATGCCATGACTCATTGATTGGGGGGTTTAGTGTTGTTGGCGTGGCCGTGTAACCCGTGGGAACTGTATTCCTAGCCTCCTAGGTGTCCTAGGTCGGCTTCCATAGCTAGTAGAAATGTATCTGAATACATCTTTTTTTAATCGAAGCATCGAGCGTGGCGGCGTAAGGCTCTAAAGTATTTGCACAGAGCTTGGGACCATGAGCTGTTCGGAGAAATGGCTTAAGCAATCTAGGCAAATCACACTAGGGAAGTAAACAAAAACAAACGTCGTATGGGGGTGCCAGACACCCACTCCGCAAGAGCATGACCATCGAATATTATCTACCTAACTACCATACACACAGCGGACCGCCCCGACGAGAACCACTCATCAGGCCATGCTCGTAGAAACTATACTCGTGGGTCCTGTATAATCGACCCCATTAATGACCCACCGGAACGCCTGTCATCGTGCTCAGTATTTCACCCCTCGGCAAGGATGCTGTCGTGCCAAGCTTCCCCTAGTCCAAAATCATCTCATCCTCATCTCCCGACGGTGGAAAACGCGCTCTTGACCTCGGCCCTGGGCCACTCGAAGAGCACGTCCCCGCCGTAGACGTCGGTGGTGATGCGCCCGATGCGCAGCTCCACGTCGCCGTAGAAGCGCTCGCACTCCCTCAGCACGCGGGCGACCAGCGGGTGCCCGGCGCCGCCGGAGGCGGTCGGGTGGTCGGCGTCGACGTCGCCAAAGTGCTTCTCCACCCGCTTGCGCAGCGCCTCGATGCCCTTGCGCACCTCGCGCGCGTCGTACGCGCCGAGCACCTTGTTGAAGATGGCCTTTGAGTTGCTCGGCTGCGCCGCCACCGCCGACGGGCCCTTGCCGCCGGCGAGCTGCGCCTCGATGTTCTCCAGGTGCTCGAGGAGCTTGCCGAGCGGGCGGCGCATGATGGTGGTGAGGTACAGGCTCATGTGCTCGGCGAATTCCTGCTGGGCCGCCTCTTTCCAGTCGTCGAGGATCTCCAGGCTGTGCGAGTTGTCGATCTCCTCAAGGTAGTGGTTCATGTTCTCGATCAGGAGAATGTGGTAATTGAGCGCCTCCTTGTCCTCCGGGTCGGCCGAGTTGGTGTTGGCCGCACCCCCGACCCCGACGGCCGGATTCTCCCTCGCGATGACCTTGAGCGAGTCGAACATGGTCTTCAGTATGCGGTCATACTCGTTGTCGACGGTGCGGCGCACGTTGAGGCTCGGGTCGGCCCCGGCGAGCATGTTCTCGACTGCCGTCGAAAACTGGGGGAATATGCGCATGAACGAGATGACCCCTTTCCGTTTCTTAATCTTCACCTTGGTCTCCTCGATAGCGCGGACCTGCTCGTCAACGAACTTCTTGAAGCGCCCCTCCAGGTTCGCATGAAGTCTCTGCAACATGTTGTTGAGGAAGTCTTGGTTGGACTGGCCCATTTCTGCCATCTTGCTCTCGAGGGTCGCTAGGACACCGATACCTTGCCTAGAGACAGAGACAGACGGGTTAGTGAAGCTATCCAGGGGGTTGGAAGAAATATGCAGAAACGTACAATGGACCGTTGGACACGACCCAGTCGACCAGGTTTTGCAAGTCTTTCTCCAAGAAGGAGAATATCGCCTCCATTGCTCTGGTCACCCTCCGCGCTAGATCCCGGTCCGGCTCCATCATCCTATGCCGTCTCAAGTCGCCACCTCGGCGGTCTCGAGGCCTTGCAGCGGCAACTGCATCGGGGAAGTCTGCTTGGTCAAGTGTCGTGGCATGGAAGAAATCGATGACGAAGTTCTGCTCCATCTCCACCAGAGGTAAGATATCGTCCAGAACGCCGCCGAAGACCTCGTACGCAAGAGCCCGGCTGTCGGCTGGCTTCTCCAGATTCGTCCGGCTTCCCTCGAGGGGCGATCGCAGAGATCGTGCCAGCGTCTGGCTCCGCTTCACCGTGAGTTTCCGTGCCGTCGTTGCGATGCCTTCCTCCTTCTTCTCCTGCTGGTATGTGAACAGAATCTCATGTTCCTCGCCTGTCGGCTTCCTCGCATTGCGTTTCCATGCCTCCAGCGCGTCCCTGAACTCGATCTTGTAGACGGGCGTGCTCATGTCCTGGTAGATCTGGATGATGCGATTCCAGTTGCCGAGGTCCATTTCCCGGGCGTAGAGGACAAAGGGGCTGTACTTCCAAAGCAAGTCCCTCCCGGAGTCGTGGTTTCTCGGGTCGACTTTCTTGGATAGAGCGCCATCCATTGCTCGTTTCGTCGCCCGGTAGGCTTCGTCGAACTGCCTTGCCATGAACTCGACGAGTCTCCGCAGGAAGAGTGAGCTTTCCGACTGGTACATCTCCTTCTTTTCTTGCACGATCCGCATGGACCCATAGTCGCTGTTGAACCCAATGGCCTGCCCTGCGATCTCGTCCTCGCTCTTTCTAGCTTCGCCACTTCCCGTCCCCGGGTCAATCTTGGTCATGGCCTTATAGAGGGTTACTAGAGCGGTCTCAATCTCCTCAATTCCGCTGGGAGTCTCTAGAGGAGCGGCCTTCAAGGCGTCCAGATCCGACGCGCTAATGGCGCAGGTTTCGAGGAGGGACTCTAGCTCCGTCCGCAAGAGTTTCTGGTTGGCAGCCTGGACCTGAAGACCTTGGCCTTGCGCTTCTATGTACGCGATATCTTCGGAGAGAGTCTGTTTCAAAGGTTAGCAGGCAAATGGAAGATGGTGGATCATGGAAACTTACGGATAATTCGACACTGTACAACGTGAGGAGATTGTCCAGCTCTTCACATTCGTTGATGGCAAGGTCAATTCCCTTCTTGATCCCCTCCACCCTTTCATCTTCTTCTCGGAACCGGGCGAGCCACCCGCCACCCTGGGCCTTGTTTAGTTCTCGTTCGACGTCAACCTTCATGTCCTCGTAAGTCCGAGTCCGCATTTGTTCGCCCGGGACCCAGCCGAAGTAGTCTAGCCATTTCGCAAATTCAGTGCTCCTACTGTCCAGTATAGCGGGGTCAACACCTAGGGTCGTCAGGTACTTGACATCGTTGCCATGAACGATTGAGCGCCTCCTCTCCTCCTTGTCATCTTTCATGTCGGCCTCGTCCGTATTTTTGACTTCCTTCAGAGACGGCTGGAGGCTAGACGCCCGGCTTTGGTTTGGAACTGTGACTTTGACCTCTGGGATTCCAGACGTGCTGTTAGCCACCTTTACCCGTTCTGGGCTTGCAGCTGGTTCAGGAGCTTTCGGCGCGGAAACAGGACGGGGCGGGGCGGGTACGACACCAGTGATGCCATCGGGCCCCTCGGTGTTGATAATCTTGGCTTGACGGAGACGTTCTCCTGCGCCACCGGGCCGTGGTTTGAAAGCTGTTGCTGCCGCCGCAGCTTTCCAGAAGGCGCCTGCAATTTCTCCCTTCGACTTTTTACTCTTGATCATTGGACCTAGGCCAGGGCGCGAATCTCCAGGATCAACTGGCGATTCAGTCGCACTTGTGGGTTCGGTGGGAGGTGCAGGAGGGGCAGATAATGTAGTCGAGAGATTCGAAACTGGGGTTCCGCCTGAAGGACCTGGCCTCACCCCAGGGCCATCTGTGGTGCTAATGTCACTTGCGGTGGCGATTGTTGGGTCGCTGGCAGCAGTGCTGATCTCGGGGCGCCTATTTATTGAGTTTTTGCGTGGGGACATCCGATCCATATTCCGAGGGGGGACTGTTGGCTCCCTTCTCATGCCCGGACTCATCAACGGCGCCGGAACCAAATTGTTGTCTACTGGCAGGGGCCTCAGGGGATCCATAGGTGGCCGCTTCCTCTCAGGCGGCCTCTCCTCAGTGGAAGGAGGTTCCGGCGTGGGGTATGTTCCTCCATTGACTCCATTTCGAGATCTTGGACGTAGCACCGACCCATCCTCGCTGCGCGTGGCAAATGAATTCGCCACGGAATCCTGGCTCCTATTGCTCGATGCGAGGCGTCGGAGTGGTGGTTGGTCTTGTGATACCCGGCTAGATTCTATACTCCTGGCCGGCGAAGAACTGCCGTTAGGAGCCATAGGACTGCGCGATGCGATCCCCTGTGGAGGATACTTTGGCGAGGATTGCGCACCACCACTGTACGCGGAGGAGATGGAAGAGTTACCCCTCGTGGCAAATTCAGGAGGTGGTGGTCGTGCTACCGGTGGCCTGTCCGATCTTCGAGGAGCTTGCGCGCCACCAAGGACCTGGTCAAGCTCGCGCTGGTCAAAGCCTGACAATTCAGGGGTCTTCCCCCCCGTGTATTTGCCATAGATCTTGATCAAACTGGCAATGAAGAACTTCTTCTCTTTGTCGGTTTGGGCCTGCCAGTAGTATGGCTTCCCAAGCGTGATGACGAGGCCCACATCTCCGGCCCAGTCCCGATAGTTTGGGTTAGCCTCGAGGCTCGTGAATGATTCGATTGCACTGAGCTCATCCAGGTTCCATGTCTTCCCAATTGAGAAGGTACCGTTTGGGTTCTCTTTTGACTTGTGTATACGGACACGGCCAGACTTTCGGACAGCGACTATTACGACTCGGGGTTTCTCTGATTGGGGGGTTCGCCCTTGAGGAGGAGGTGGCGTGGATGGACTTGAAGAATATTCGGTAACCCTAATGTGGGTGATGTACGTCTCGGGAACTATAAGGACAAGTAAACCAGGCGTCAGCAAGATATTCCATAGCAGAGGGTCTATGCGCTATGCCAATCATCCCCGATTATGTAGGCTTCAGGAGCTAGGAGCCAGGAAGAGAGGCAATCTGGGCAGTCTAGGCAGTCTTACTCGAGCCATCATCGTCTTTCTTGCCGAAGCAGCTGTCGATGATGCGTCTCTTTTCCTCCTCAAACTTCTCGGCCCTCCCCACATCACGGCCATTCGGCATTGCCATGGCGAACTGATTTCAGGCGCTCCTCGCACGGCGAGACCGGCGCAGTACAGTTTTCATGAAGCTTCGGGTAGCAGATGCCGTATGGGAGATCGCTGCATCTTTGGGTGGCGGCAATTCACAGAGCGCCAAAAGGTTTGCGCCCCTGCCGTTGTTGAGATTGCCGATGGTGCTTCGCCGACTTATAATGGCGCAGGATTCTATTCGCGTGGTTGGAATTTGATTGCTCTGGCCGATGAGGCTGGCTGGCTCTCCTTTCATCAGTCTGTAGCTTACGTACAGGTTGCTGTCCAACTAATGACATGCAGAGGGTCTGTGCGTCTGTGGGGTTAAGGAAATGTGGCTCATGGGTACCTAACTAAGTATGCACCTCAGTGGTATAGTCCAGGTACCTGACATTGCTAGATTCTAGCAAAGGTTCCTCACTGCTTCAGCCACAGGTCATTCACGATGTTATGCGTACACTAATTCCCAAGTATCACACATCCAGATTACCGCACATACTTCACATGCCCCTGAGGCAAACCCGTTCTATCAAGGCTCTGCCACAATTTCTCTTCATCGCTGACTTCAAAAGGTCGTCACTCAGACTTCAATTGTCTGCTAAGGAGTATAAAATCCATTCATGGCTCAAAAGTTACAGCTAAAGTCATTTATGCTCTCATGTAACTTGTTTCAAGTGGTGACAAGGGCCTGGCGTCTCAAACCAGCCAGCTCTCGCCACTCAAGTACAGACGTATGTACCTGTCTCGACATGTATAAATCATAGTGATATGCCATCGCTCGGACCAAGCAAGTTCCTTGGCCTGGATTCCAACAATCCAAGACCCAAAATTATACCTCCATCTCAAATGGAGATCGCTAAGTCCAATGTGCCCACGAAATCAACCATCCGAACCCTCGTCATCCGAATCTAGTATGACCGGTGGTAGCCTCGCGTCGTCAATCAGCAGGCTGTCCGGCAGCATAGGCTGCGAGGAGACCAAGGAGAACGGCCCGCCTCCCACCTGCCTCAGGTGGCTGCCTTCCTCATCCTCAGCGTAGTCCGGGAACGACGGCCCGCTGGAGGACAGCGCCGGCCTGCGGAGCGACTTCTCGGGCGAGTGCGCTGCCGGGCTCGACGGCTCGCTCGCGGTGGTGGCCTGCGACGGCGGGATAGCTTGGTATGCCGTCGCCGCCGTCTTGGTCGGGGTCCGCTGCGATTGGTGCTGGGCCCTCGCCGGCAGCGACGGTTTCGTGAATACGCCGTCTAACCGCGCTGTCGAGTGCCTCTCTACCTCGGGCGACGACGGCCCCTGGCTTGATGGCATGACGGCATCATGTCCTTCCGAGGGCAATTGGGTCGAGTGGATTATATCACTGCGCAGCTGCTCCTCGAGCTCCTGAGAGATCGACATGCCCTCGGTCTCCACTGCCGGATCTTCGTCGAAAAGGGCGCAACGCAGATTCGCCAGGAGCTGTCCCACGACAGCAGGGGGCACGTAGACGTATTTCTGTGGAGGGCTGCCGACCCATCCATTCTCCTTCATCATCTGCAGGGAGACAGGGTTGTTGAGCTGGTAAACTTGCAACAGCTCGTGAGCGAACCTGTAGCCGCTCTTCCCGGAATTGAAGTCGGCGTTGCCGAGGCCACTCTCCCCGTCAATTTCTCCTGGCTGCGCCGCAGGTCCAATGATTGCCATGTATCTCAGTTCGCATATCGGATGGGTTACGTAGATCCAGATGCGGGCGACTTGGGCTGGGATTTTGTAGTTCCGAAACTCGTGGTTCTTCGTCCCGTTTACCATGTCCTCCGCCGGCCCGGGATGCACTGAGAGGATGACGTCCGATCGGTCCGTTTGAGGTCCCATCGACCTGATAATCTCGAGAGGAACCCGTTGACTTTCAAGACCCTGGGTTAGGAACTGAGACCTCGCTTGATTGCCTCGTTCGCCAGCCTCCGGAGTTGCACGAATCTCCCCGGGCATCTCTTCGAGTTCCTGGGAACACAAATCAAGGTGGACCCTTCGAGCTATGGGAGTGGGCGTCCCAGGCGGGCTGGTAGATTCTTCCTCATCACATGGATCCTTGTCGGCCCCAGGGGTCTCTTCACGCAATGAACGGAGCGTTCCAAACCTTGTCTCATCCGCGTTGGCGCCAGGTGCTTTAGGTGTTTTTGGCAGCGTGCTTGGCTTTTCGGGTGAAGGACCGAGGCTTTCCAACTCGGCGTCCGAGTCGGGTATCTCAGTCAAAGTGCGCCCACGGCTTCCCGTGGGGGTTCGGTCGGAGACCTCTTCTACCACTGAGTGGTTCCTCGTCATTGTCTCTCTCAGCTCTACGCTCGCTGGCGGAATATCAGGCCACCACCGCCTTGCCTGGGCCGGTGACACTATTTTTGCTGGCGACTGCACTTGATCCGACGACCAGGAACCGTTCACCGAACTGTAAGAATCTTGAATGACAAGACCGCGCGGTCTCTTCATTCGTGTCTCCAGAGATGGTGGCGGAGCCTTAGCATTGAGCGACTTCTCCTTCAGAGGAGAGCGGATCGGCGAAATAAAGCATTTATTGGGAGCCGGTGTGGCCGGTGTCGACTGTGATGATGGGACCTCGGTCAAGTCCACTATTATCTTCCTGTGACTGGGTGTTTGCGGTATTATTGAAATCGCCCTATCGTCGTCCGTTTCCTGGTCCCGAGACTTGCCATGGGTGTTTCTCTGTTGGACCTCTGGAAACTCCATCTCTGATCCGTCCTCATCGTTGGAGTCCCTTATCTGCAGCAGCCCATCATCTTCTTCACCTTTCTCCGAGAGCAGCTGGGTCAAGGTCTGCGTATGAAAGGAGGAACCTGGCGTGTCACCCATGGTCCTTCTCCGCTTCTGTGGCCTCTCTTCCTCTTCGGCCGGCATCAGGAGGGGGGGCTCCGGGTCGACTGGCTGGATGTAGTCGATCTGTGTCAGGGTCTGCTGTCTCAGGGACCTGGCGGATGACGGGCCTCGGCCGTAGGTTCTGATTGCTTTACGCCGAGCGGGAAAGCGTACTTGGGTCGGCGCGGGCGAGGACCGGTAGGCTCTCGTGGTGCTTCGAGATCGAGTCGACGGCGCCATGTTGGAAATGCAGCTTCTTAATGATCCCTGTCGGATAGGCACGGCATTGGGAGACACGACGGAGGGAGGAAAGTGGTCGAAGCACAATCAATTGTGCGCCCCTAACTAGTACGATAGACGTGGACTGGTGACAATGTTGAATGAATTGAGTAATAGGGTGCTGGATACATTCATACGGCCCGTGCGTTTCTAGGCGCGTCGCGTCCCAAACGCGTGCCACTTTACACGGAACTTCTAGAGTACAACCGAGTTGTGAAAAGGAGGAGGTATTATAGGTAGCTTCCAGCTGAATAAAGTGTATGTTTTAGAGAGCACCTGGGTACATATTTAAATATAGCGGTTCCAGGCTTGTTCTATTTTACCAAGGTCCTGCGTATGCTCAAGTGGTTGCCACTCCTGTCTCCTGTCAAAGCATGGGCGTGTCGCGCGACGCGACCAGGGAAATGACATCACCTCATGCATATAAATGGCATGATGCAATTATGCATCATATCCCTGTGTATTCATCCAAAGAGATGGGAAAGGGGACCTCGTAGAGGCAATGAGGAAACGTCCCATCGCGAATTGGAAGTCCTTGAAGAACACGGAAGGTATTGCCAATCTATCTGATTATCTGAAGTACCTCTTGATTACTACTACCATGGGCGAAATGCGTCTTTCAATAACCCACCTTCATAATTTTGTGCGTCTTGCTTTTTCCCCCGGTTCCGCCCCGATGCTCGAGGCCATCGACCCGAGTCGTTGTTTTGCAATCCCCATCAATGCACGCAAGCAAACTGAGTTGATTGAAGAAAACCCCTTACTGATGCTTCCCATTTTCCGTTTTCTGTTTTCGCGCGAATTTCAAAAGTTGTCCTTCCGGCCGCCGTCCCATGCCAACCCGATCATGATTTCATTATGACGGCCTTCCCAGGTTGAATCAGACCCCGGGGCAAAGTGCAGGAAAAGAAGTAGGCCCCAAATTCTCTGTTAGGTACATGAATTTAAGCTTTTCCGATATGCCGTGCTTTTTACGACAAGTGGAAGGCCCCTTGGCCTTCCTTGATGGCGGTGAAGAGTTGCTTCTGCATCGTCTTGAGGTCGCTGTAGTCGGGCAGCTTGAGGTAGTTGACGCACGTCATCACACTCGGCAGATAATCGTCCGAGCTGTAAGGCGCCTCGCTCGGTTTGCATACGACTGTGAACATCGGGGTCAAGCTCTTGAAGCCTAAGCAAAGCCGTTAGCATCGTCGTCTGACCATCATCAACAACAAACGTGAGTTGAAAAAGTGACTCACCGCCAATAGGGAGTTTGGGACTTCCAGTAGTAAACTGAAGGAAATCGCGACGCTGGGTAGGTGTGAGTTCGCTCATTGTCTGAAGAAGGTTCTTCACGCTCTTGCTGTCCATGTTGAAGCCGTGGTCGGCCTTGACCGAGTCCATCAAAGCTGGGACCATGTTAGTAAAAAAGATTGAGATATTACGGAAAGATTCCCGCCTGAGAATAGGGGGGTGACAACATACTCTCAAGGCTCCAGTCCTCCTCAATCCTCCCGAAGAGGGTACACAGCTCGTCAGGGGTGAAAGCACTCAGGGCCGGGTACGGGAACACCTGTGAGAAACCCGCCCGGAAAGCGTCTACCTGTTGACGAACGCCGCTGCCCAAGGTCATGTCAATAACCTTCTCTAGGTAAAGATCGACGTTGTCAATGGTAAGCCTCTGCTGGGAACCATTCGGGACGAGCTCGATTTCGGGAAAGCCGGGTAGGGTGAAGTCCAAGTAGAGATCATCGATCCGCGTGTTGCCGATGACGATATTCTCCGTGTCCGCAACCTTCTGGGCCGGCATGCGCGAGGGGTCCTCGCAGATCTCTTTCTTAGCCATAGCAAACTTCTTGATCGTCATCAAGGACCTGCCGAGTCCCAGATCGACCGCCTTGACCGCCCCGAGAGATGGCCGAACACCAGATGTCCCGTCTCCGATACGGAAGAAGATAGGGTTGAAGTTGATGTCGATGATGCGGGAATCGATCATCGACCTTGCGACGAACTTGCCCAGCATCTTGAAGAGCTGGAGGATCTTCTCGCCATCTTCAGAAGCAGATTGCTCCTCGCTCAGAGGTCGCGGAAACAGTCCATTCGGTCCAGAGACAAACTCGTCCCCGTGGTTCGGGTCCGTGTCTCGCCAAAGTTTCAGCTTCTTCTTGGAAAACTCCTTCGACACGGTCGAATAGAACTCCAGGGTGGGCCCAAGACCAGTGCCGACCTCCTCGAAATACTCGACCTCGAGAATGCTCTGGGAGGCGCCATACAGCTCCATAACCTTTACGGCCGATTCAAGTATCTTAGACCGCGAGATGCGGACCTTCTGTCGCTGGAGACGCCCGAGGAACGGCCTCTCATCACGACGGTCGCGCCGAGACTCGTCCTGAGACTGCGCATTCTGCCACCTAGTCATCGACCTCGCGTAGCCGAACGAGGTGGACTGGAGGAACAGATGACGCGTCTCGAATGGGAAGAGGAACGGGTAGAGCCTAGCGAGATCCTCGCTCCAGCTCGGGAGGCAATTGCTCGCCACGATCAGAGGCTCTTCGAGCTGACGGTTCAGCTTGGCGGTGAGCTTCGTGTTCACAAACTGGGACAAGGGCTCGGCATTGAGCTTCAATGTCTCCTTATTCTCTACGAGCACGTCATCGATGTTCGCATTCAGATCATGCAACATCCTGAGCAGCCTCAGGATGGATGCCGTGGTGGGATGCTTTGCGAGCGACCCAGGAGTGTCGCCCTCCTCCGTTTCCGCTGCCCCATCGAGGGAGGTGTTGAAGGCGATGGACTCGGCCGGCGGCGGACCAGGCACACGCCTGAACTTTATTGGGTGCGTCCCGGTCCAGATATTGGCTCGCAAATGTTCATCAGAGGATAGATGGGACTTGTGGACCGCGCGGTAGATGGTCGTCTCATTTGGAACGGGTTTCCCGTTGATGCTAAACTCAATGTGCCAGTCCTGAGGAACGGCTCGCATGGCCGCGGCGTAAGACATCGGCCGGGACGACGTCGAAGGTGAAGGCGTGCTTTGCAGCGCAGCCGCGAGAGCACTGCTTCGACTAGGCAAAGCAGCCGCGGAACGACCCTGCGACGGTGTGGGGACGCGGGTGCCGTCCTCTTTGCGCGCGGTTATCCTACCACCTGCGGCAACCTCGAGGTTGACCGCCGAAGGATCCGGGGTTGGGGCGTCGTCCATGCCCTCGTCAAGATCTCGGACCATACTGAGGGCACCTTCTTCGGTATCACCCATGTCTTCGTCGTCGTCTTCGTCGGACATCTCTTTCTCATCCGCACACTCCAGTGCATTCTCCAAAACCCCATCCTCCGGTGGAGGCATGGGCGGAGCTGCTCCCTCAGAAGCCTGCTGTCGACGACTCGATCTTCGCAGCCCCCCCGCCTTTTGTCGGGCCGAGGACGGCTCCGGGGTCGAGGGAGCGTCGGACACAGGATAGGACCTGGATTTTGATTTACGTGACGAGCTCGAGCCCGAGGCTTGGGGTGGGGCTGGAGGCGGGGGCCCTGGAGTCGAATTGCTGGCAGGCGGGAAGGGTCTCTCAGCCATACGGGCCGCAGCGGCACTCAGCGGAAGCCCGGCAGTCCCAGCCATGGCGGCAAGGGCCCGCGACACGGCATCGGCCCTCCTAGAGCCACGGGGCCGCTCGGATAAGCTGATACGGGGCCTCAGGTAGTCGTCGAGCGACTTGAAAGTCGTGATGGCGTGGATCGAGACCATGATGTTCCGGTACGGTTTGGGAATATCCGAGTCGTCATCGGCTATCAGCTTCAGACGTATCTGTTTCGCCAACATCGACGCCGCACTGCTCCGATTGCCGTCAAAGGCGTTCTGGTGAACAGTCATGACCTCAAAATGCTCAGATCGGCCCAAAAGATCTTGTAACTTGTGAACCAGTATGCTGAAAGGGGTGGCTGGCGAATCGGCAGTCGCAGTCTTGGGCCTCGACTGCACAGAGTATCCCATAAATACTTGTAGGAAGGCAGATTGCGCCGCCGTTGCAAGCCCTTCATCCGGATTGTTGAAGACTTCTTCAAGGACTCGGACGACACTCGATGCCAGGAGCTCGGCACTTGTGACGCTCTCCAGGACATCGGCGTCAAAGTACGATGCCAACTGCTTGAAGAGATTGAGGCCCCTGTCCTGCGCTAGATTGCCCGAGGTGCGCTGGAGGTAGAACGACTCGATTTCAGAGGCAAGAGTTGACAAGTCGGCCAAGATCTTTGTAGCCTTTTTCTTCATGGCCTTACCATGCTTCTCCGTTTCATGCTTTTCCAGGAATTTCTTGGCAAGATCGGAGATTATCGCCTTCATGGAAGGGCTTTCGGCCGCGACGTAACGTCTAGGGGGCCCGTCGATAGACATAGTTGAGCCTTCGGTACTAACCGGAGAGGCAGAGAGGTCGTCTGGATGGGGTTCATTCTCGGCATCGTTCTCCTCCTCGTTCTCGTTCTCTTCTTCGTCATCATTCTCGTCATCCGAAGATTGGTGAGACTGATCATCAGCATCAACCTCATCATCCGAGTCTTCGTGCTCAGACGACTGATCATCTGAATCAGCAGTGGGCCGATGTTGCGCCCCGTCTTCTTGGGGTTCCTCTGATGTGGGCTTCGGCTCAGCTTCAATCTCCTCAGTAGCAAGCTTTGTGATTTCAGTTATGACGCCTTCGCGGTAGAGCTGATATCGATAGATATTATCTAGGCGGCTCATCAACAGCTCGGTGGCGTTCAAGGCATGCATAACAAGGGAGGGATGGTCTTGCTGAGACAGGATAGAGGCGAGAAACGAGGCATATGGGACAGTCTTGAGTGCTTCCGTAAGTATGTCCTTGTCCAGGTTCGAGAGCATTTTAAGTTGCGCCGTCAGCACCTTTTGACGAACGCCGAGGTTGACGGTACTCGAGAAAGCGTCTGTTAGGGTAGGAAAGAGGATGAGGGCAAAGTGCCGGACCTCGTCTTTACACCCTTCGAGCAGCTCAACACGCTTCTCGTTCGAGGACTTCTTAGGGGCCCCGGGCCCAAGCGACGACGGAGTGATCGGTCCCGCTGGCGGACTCGCCTCCATCCCTACCAAAGACTCTCCAGAGACAGGATCAGCGGCTCTGGGGAGGCTGGGGAGAAGTTCACAGATGACGTTGAGAGTCTCGAGGATCTGCTCGCGTGGCCTGTGGATCAGGGCCTGCATGATCAGGACGCTGTCCAGCTTCGAGGCGACATCATCTGTCCCGCTTGGAGGAGACACCCCTGTGAGGATCTGGTAAAGTGTCTCGACCACGTTCATCTTGAAGAGCTCGGCGGACAGGCGAGGGCTGGCACGAGCCGTGAAGGCCAAGACGCGAATGAACTGGGTGTGGATGTTGGGGCCTATGAGGTTGGTTGTTCCCGGGAGAAGCAGGCGCAGAACCGCCTTCAGTAGGTCAACGCTCACAAGCTCCTCCAACTTTGTCGGGCGGTACTTGAAACTCTCGACGATGCGCGAGACGCAGAGCGAAGCTTGCTCGACAACCTTCTGATCGTTACTGCCGAGAACATTCAGAAGAGTAGGCATAACTTCCCGGATCACGGGGAAGGAGTCGTCGGGAATGTTGCGGCAGCAGTTGGCAGCAGTCGTCACGGCTACTCTCTGCGTGCTGGTTGCGAAGAACTCGAGGTATGAGAGGCAGGCAGTGAGGCCACCCTCACGGACGATGCTGGTGGGATACTCGACCGAGATCTTCTCAAGAGTGCTCAGTGCCTGCTCTGCAAGGTCGATGAACGATATCTCTAGAAGCTTCTGACAGAGCACGGGGACAGCTCCACCATATACGACGTTGGCTGTGCTCGCAGGTAGAGCCTCCATTAGATTAGCTAGAGAGCGGCATGCCAAAAGCATTATCTCTGGATTCTCCTCGCCCGTGAGCTCGTTAGGCTGCATCAGGCTCACCAGCTCCTTCACAAAGGCGTCGGGAGAAAAGTGCCCCGATAGGTTATCCTCGTTAGATACCAGCAGAAGTTCCGATAGCTCCTGAAGTGCGATGAGCTGGATGGACGGCTCTTCTTTCTGGCGCAAGTTGGTGAGAATCTCGCGTAGCCTTGACGAGGTTCCTGACATCATGCCTGTTAGCGCCCGGAGAGCGCCGGCAAAGGGATGTCCTGAACCGCCGTGTCCTCCAAACCCTCCGAAAGGGTCGTCGTCTTCATCGTCATACGGATGCTCATCCTCGTCAAGTAGGTCATCATCGTCGACAGGATGTTCACCGGGCGGAGGTGGAGGCGGCGGGGCGATGTCTTTCTCAGGATCGTCGGTTCCTGTCATGACTGTATCCTGGTCTTGTGTATTGTTGTAGGACATCTTTGATCGGCGACCGGAACTCGATCTCGCAGCCGACTCTTCTGCTACGGGATTCGATGAGAATTGAGTTCGGGGTAGAGGGGGAAGGAGAAATGACATACCTTGGCCGTTCTGCACATTCTTCTTCTGTCGGCCTGATCGCCGGCTCGACGATGCCGAAGGAACACTTTCCGGTGGATTAGCAGGTCCTGCGAGGGGTCTATTCCAAGGTTAACGGGCGAACACACACAGAGAGAGAGAGGGTGTGGAGAAGCCGAGACATACTCAGAGCTTGACATAGTCGCGGGAGCCTTGCCCTTCCTTCGGCGAGTTATGGCAGATGGTGCCGGTGGTTGTGAAGTTGGGGGTGGAGGAGGCGGAGGAGGAGGAGGCTGCGTCACCCTCTGTCGCTTAGATCGGCGAGTTGTAGACGGCTGCTCCGGAGATGCCCGCGGAGAGCCTGACACTGCAGGGTTCTTACGCTTCTTTGTCGGCGGCGGAATGGGAGTGGACGTGGCAGGTGCAGCTGTCGAGGAACTTGATGACGCTGCCTGGCTGGCTGCTTGGCGGGCTGCCGCGCGGGTGATTCTAGGCGACATGAGTGAATATGTGGTCCTGGGAGAACATCAAGGAGGAGTGTGTAAAGTTGTTGGGAGAGGGGCGAGATGAGAGGAAGGTGGCTGCGGTTTTGAAGAAGAGAGTGTTTGTTGGGTTTTCGATGTCAACTAGCGGGGACAATATTTCCATGTGCCTTGCATCCTCAGGACTAACGGCATGCAGATGTTCGATAAGCGATAAGTGCTGGCGTTATCTTCCTCTGCATTATTTTTTGTTCCTCTCTCTCTTTTTTTTGTAAACCCCCAAGGGTTCGTTTGCTCTAGACCGTGGCGAGGGAAGATGAGGATTTGGGGGTTGGGTTCTGATATCGGGACCAGACGGGGGCTGAAGAAAGAAAGGCGGGATGGAAGGTTTAAGAAAATTGTGGTGGGGGGAAATGATGTATGTACCTTGTCGAATACGATGTATGCGAGGCAGGAGAAGTGAATGTCGAAGAAGAAGGCGTGGCCGAGGCCGGTTCAGTCGCTGAAGAGGATGCAGTCGGAGGCAGGCGCACTGGGTGATCGTTATCGACAGCCGATCTGGAGCGCGGATGGCCTGTGGAGCTTCGGTCTGCCATGGATTACGCCATGAGGCAGGCGGCGGCTGGCGGGTGATCTGATCGGACGGCCGAGAGGAAGGCGGACTGGTCCGAAGATGATTCAGGGGTCAAAGGTCGACAAACTGGTATTCTGTGGTGTGGTTTCGCTGCCACAGGACGATGATGGCGGCATATGTGATGGGAGGATGTATGAGCAAAAGGGAGGCCCAGAACAGGAGCCTCAGGATGGGGGTTTAATTGAAGACGTGATATGGAACGCTAAACTCTAGGTGTCCCGCTCAACCGTTCCACTGCCGATCCACACAGTCCAACGACTCAAGGTTCAGTTGACAGGCAGGCGGCAAAGTCTCCACTCTTCAGCTTATTCAGCAAACGCCGTTTTCCGTTTCCGTCCACAGCATCGCGGCCCCGTTTCAGTGTGCCCGTGCACCACCTATTTTAACTTCATCTGGAGTCACTGGAATAGTCACGTGGTGGCTTCGGATAAGATGATGTGGGGCTCCAGTTTATCACCAATGCCGCCATCCATATGCTCGCTTTCCTTCGGCTCAAGTCCACTCTGTCCCCAGCACTTTAGAACAAGAGATCCCCAGATGGATGCAAAGTTTAGGAGGAAAAAGCATTCCTTGACCTTCAAGTCAAATTTTCCTACTCATAGTGATCAATTGTGTCCTCGCAATGAAGATCTGCCTGCAGAACCTCCATTCAACCCTTCGTCCCCGCGGCCTGCGACGGCGTCATGTCCACAGCCAACTGTTCCCTGGCCTTCTGCCCGTCTCAGGTCAAGGCCGCCGCGCAAGCTCACTGTCCCAACGGCCTGACTCGAACCATGTAGCCTTCCCGGGCGCCGTCAAGTCTGCCTTTGGCAACACCATGAAGTTCGAGCACCCATCGTCCTACCCCGCTCTGCCGACCTACCGGGCAGTCGACCAGCATGGGGTCGTCGTTGATCCCTCCTTCAAGCCCGACTTGACCGACGAGCAGGTTGTCAAGCTGTACCGCGACATGTTGACTGTCAGTATAATGGACGTCATCATGTTTGACTCCCAGCGCCAAGGCCGATTGAGCTTCTACATGGTGTCTGCCGGCGAGGAAGCAGTTTGCGTGGGCAGTGCGTCGGCGTTGGCCAAGGAGGACGTAGTATTCTGCCAATATCGTGAGCAGGGAGTGTTTGCGCAGAGGGGGTACAAGCTGTCCGACTTCATGAACCAACTCTTCGCAAACCAGAAGGATCCGGGCAAGGGAAGGAGTATGCCAGTACATTATGGAAGCAAGGAACTGAATATTGTAAGTCCAATGTTTCTGAACAAAGGGCCACTACCCTTGGGGCTAACTCGGAGACAGCATACAATCTCTTCGCCGCTTGCCACGCAGCTGCCACAGGCGTCAGGGGCAGCATATGCGCTCAAGCTTCAGCGGTTGCAGGATCCCTCTATACCGCCTCGGGTTGTTGCTGCCTACTTCGGTGAAGGGGCGGCAAGTGAAGGAGATTTCCACGCGGCATTGAACATGGCTGCGACTCGGTCGTGCCCGGTGATATTCATCTGCCGCAATAACGGCTACGCTATTTCGACCCCGACGCTAGAGCAATATCGAGGTGATGGAATCGCGAGCAGGGGTGTCGGGTACGGTATCGAAACCATCCGAGTCGATGGTAATGATTTCTGGGCGGTCAGGGAGGCAACAAAGAGGGCCCGGGAGCTGGCTTTGGAAGACGGCGGTAAACCGGTCCTGATGGAGGCCATGACATACCGTGTGAGCCATCACAGCACTTCGGACGATTCATTCGCCTACCGAGCGAAAGTGGAGGTGGAAGACTGGAAGAGGAGGGACAACCCAATTGCCAGGCTGCGGAAATGGATGGAGGCCAAGGGATGCTGGGACGAGAAGATGGAGAAAGAGGCTCGCGAGAGCATAAGAAGGGATATTCTGAAGGCGTTCTCTGAGGCGGAAAGGGAGAAGAAGCCACCGATCCGAGCAATGTTCGAGGATGTGTACGAGGACTTGACACCCGATATCAAGTCCCAGATGGAGGAGCTCAGGGACCATCTCGAGAGATACCCGGCCGAGTATGATCTCGGGGACTTTGAAGGAGGTAGTGATAGCCTAAAGCCATAGGCAACACACGAGAGGAAAACCAAAACTGAAGTAATTTGTGTGTTCATATTGCCCCCCTTCATCAAGGTGAGAGTTAGATGCCTGGGGTAGGTTGCTGGGTCGACTTGACTTGTAACTTGTACAAGGTGTTGACAGGTATCGTGTATCATCGAAACCCTGAGACCGCATGTCGAGGTAGGTATAAACAATGAGTGAATCATTTTCCCTTTTGTCGAAAACAAAACCTTTGCACAACCCATATCCCAAACAGAGACAAACCAGATCCTCCCAAGCAACACTCTTCCATCACCACCCCAATATCCCATCATCCTGACCCTCTTAAGAACAACCAACGAACATCACTTATTACCGGCGATAAGACTCGCAGAATCAAGATCAAGAAATCGGCCTGTGATACGCCATGCGTCCAAGCGGCAAAATCATACTTGCGGTCTGCTGTGTATTTGCAGTTATCGCGATCGCTTCTTACTATTTGAGAAAACATATCCTCCAGGCCGCCGTGGCGGTCCGAAAAGCCAGGGACGAAGAAACGTCCTCGGTCTAAGGTATGGGAGTTCCCCCCTAAATTGAGGTCCTAGAGCAATGGCACGCGAATAGAGTCGAAGCTATCGTCTGCGCGAACCTTTGCTGTCCAGGCTCATATATCAGAGACCCAAAACGGGACAATCATCTTGAACCTCCGTTTTTTGGTCCCCACTCCCCATCCCGTACCCCTCAGCGACGGATACCAGCTTCCCCACACGAGGCTGGGGCTGAGCCACACTCACTAGCCACATGCGCGATGCAGAATTCCTCAGCCTTCTGGTGGACTGACGACCTTTTTTTTTTTGGCAGGACCTACTCGAGCTCACGACGCAGCCAATTCCTCGACATGGCTGCCCGTCCTGCTGCCCGGCGGGCTCTCCGCTCAGTGAGCGCCCCTCTCCAGTCTCGCAACCCGAAAATGACCCGATCCTTCTCCCATGCAACCCAATTTCGGGCCGCAGCAACCGACAGCGCGCGGGACCCGTCAAGGAAGACGCACTTTGGCTACGAGACGGTGACCGAGGCGGAGAAGCAGGAACGTGTGGCCGGTGTCTTCACCAGCGTGGCCGAGTCGTACGACCGCATGAATGACCTAATGTCGTTTGGCTGGCATCGGGTGTGGAAGTAAGCAACGACGCCCCTTCCATTTGTCAGCAGCTTGGATAGCGAGGATGTGAAGAGAAAAGCAAATAGAAAGAAAATGGGGACGAGGACAGGTTAGCTAACCAAACCGCGCCACCGGCCAACAGGGACCACTTCGTCAGCTCGCTGAACCCGGGCTTCAGCCCCCTCGGCGCCGACGCGTCCACGCGCGGCCCGCAGCACATCCTCGACATCGCCGGCGGCACGGGCGACATCGCCTTCCGGCACCTGCGGCACGCGCACGTGCTTAATAACAACCCCTCGGTGCGCGTCACCATCTCGGACATCAACCCGGCCATGCTCTCCGTGGGCAAGCAGCGCTCCGAGACCCTGCCCGCGAGCCAGCAGGCCGCGCTGACCTTCCTCGAGGCCAACGCCGAGGACCTGACGCGGACCAAGCCCCTCTCGCAGACCACGACCACGACCACGACTACGACCGGCACAGACCCCATCCCCCCCACTTCGGGAATCCCATCCAACTCAGTCGACCTCTACACCGTCGCCTTCGGCATCCGCAACTTCAGCAACATCCCCGCGGCCCTTCTCGAGGCCCACCGCGTCCTCAAGCCGGGCGGCGTCTTCGCCTGCCTCGAGTTCGGCAAGACCGACGCCTCGGGCATCCCGCTCCTCGACACCCTCTACCGCCGCTGGTCCTTCTCCGCCATCCCCCTGATCGGCCAGCTCGTCGCCGGCGACCGCGACAGCTACCAGTACCTCGTCGAGAGCATCGACCGCTTCCCCCGCCAGGACCGCTTCCGCGACATGATCGCCGACGCCGGCTTCGCCGTCGCCGGGCGCGGCTGGGAGGACCTCACCGGCGGCGTCGCGGCCATCCACAAGGGGATGAAGCCCCTGGCCTGAAAAAGGAAAAGAGAAAAAAAAAACAGGCGGGAAGGTGACGAGATCACACAAGGTGTCTACCGATAGAGGCCTTTTTTAATCCGGGTTTTATGGGCTATCCGATTTTTATCGGCTGCTTGGTGGAGAGAAGGAGCGAGACTCGTGGGCAGATGACACCCAGGGAGACTGCATGTACGAACATTTCACTCTAGAACGGCCAAGGGGGCATCACATCGTTGTACAGTATTAGACAGAAAAACGGGACCAGGGCGTTGGGTTTTTGTACAATAATATCATCCAGCTCTCTCCGTAGACGTAACGCCGCCCTCCGATCACGTCCCCATGTTGCCAATGAAAGGGTCGATATTGATTACTCTCCAACCATCGCCGTAGGTTGGAAGCAGACCCCAAGAGCACCGAGACGAAAACGTCAAAATCCTCAAGAATATCACGTCACATTCCACTACAAAGCAAGCACCCATACGAAAAGAGATGTCAGTTTCGACACGGATTGATTGATAGAGAAGAAAAATAAAAGCTAATACTCGATCTCTAGAACTCCCTTTCCCCCAAAGTTTGGACGGTGCTCAAAACTTCGAGTCTTTTCCGAAGCCGAAAATTACCAGAAACGCAGGACGGACGCGGAAAAAAAAGGGGGGGTGCCCTGCTCCTAGTTAGGGGGAGCGTGGGAGAAGCTGTGAACCAAATATGATAACAGGTCGAAGTTGTGAGCGACTCCGATGACGCGAGTTTCCAGAATCCAGCGATAACCTCTGTATTCTGGAAAGGACTTCTCGAGCCAGTGCTGCTAAACCAAGTGGTGCAAAACTCGGAGAGCAGAGAGCAGCAAGGTTCGGATGGGAAATCCCGTCAGTCAAGCCCAGTTCGTCACTACGAATCAGCCGGGGCAGCAGAGGCTGGTGCCGGGCTGGAGCTGCCCCCTTCACCCTTCAAGCCACTTCTTGGGCCGCCACGAGGGCCGCGTCCCCGTTCACCACGTCCCCGCGTTCCGCCGCGTCCACCGCGCCGCCCAGCACCTTCGCTATCGCTAGCAGTGCCGCCGCCTCCGCCGCCGCTCCTGTATCCGCTCTGCGCATTGTTCCCGTCTCGGCCCCCACCTCGGCTGCTACCCCAGTTGCCAGCGCCGCCACGAGTGCTAAACTGGCGGCTCGGAGGGGGTTGGAAGATTCTGACTAGGGGCTTAGTGCGATCCTCTTGTCCCGGTGCGCGGTTCTTTGCGTCATCCGGCAAGCGATCCATAGCACCATCGCGATCCTCCGTCGTCTTGAACTGTACGACCTTGTTTGCCGCACCCCATTTCTCAATCTTGACAATCTTGCTCTTGTCCTCCTCGGCAAAGAGATCGCGGATCTGATCATCACTTTGCGCATTCATGACAAACAAGCCAATGATGTTCTCGGCAGGGTTCTTCGGAGCAGGCGATGGGGTGGGCTCGGGACCGTGTGCCGTGCCATTGGCTGCCGGGGCTATCTTCTCTGCCTCTCGGGGGCCAGGGGAGGCCGTTCCTGGTGGTGCAGGCTGCGGTGTGATGGGCTTCGACTGAGAAGATAGGGGGGTTGCAGCGGCGGGCTTCTGAGGTTGCACCTGTGGCTGCTGTCTCTGCGCTCCCGGAACAGAGGCAGACGCTGTTTGGGTCGACGGTGGGGCCGCAGCGGGCATCTGGCCTGGGCCAGTCGAAGACGCTGCTGTCTGCCCAGCCTGGACCTGTTGCTTCGCACCACGGTGGGAGAAGTTGAACCCCTGAGCCCTCATCTCTGTACCAATCCTGCCATCCTGGACCTCGAGGATGAGCCACCCAAACGCGGCATCGGCCAAGTTGAAGTTCCACATGTTTTTAAACGCGCTCTCGTCGACCTGCCCGAGCGCGGCTCCACCAGCCACTGCACCGCCAAAGGGGTTACCACCGGCAGCAGTCGTGGGCATCTTCTCGACGATTCCAAGGGCGTTCTTAAGCAGGTTTTGTTGCGCTTCGTTTTGCTGGATCGCTGGCTCAACCTCGCCCTTGACCGTCTCCCAAACATCGTGGAACGAAGCCTTGGAGGCAGCGAGCTTGCCTCGGTAATGATCCAGGCTCGGGTTGACGCTGAATTCGTTGTACGAGCTGCCATAGCGGAAATGAAGACCCGCAGAGACCGAGAAGTCTGCCTTGAGAGTGACTGAGAGCTGGTTCAGGATACCCTCGCGCGCTGGCGAAGCATGCGTGACAAAGACCCGAGTCTCGGTAGGGTCGTAGACACGGTTTGCAGTGTCCACGAGCTCTCCCATCTGCAGTAGCGTCGTCCACATAGTTCCCTGTCCACCTGCAATTGTAGTTCTGCCTTCGCCATTGTCGAAGAGTTTATGCATGACGACGGCGCCACCGAGACCAAGAAGTCGTAGTTTGACGCCTCCGATCTCGAGTAGCATGGATTGGGCCTCATCGATGATGAAGAGGTTGGGCACCTTGTACTCCTTGGATCGGAACTTCTCGAGCACTCGGACATCTTCGCAGGCGCCCCACACTGTGTAGACGGGAACCTCGAGTTTCACCTCGCCACTGAGGAGGAGGGGGAGTTCCGAGAGGGGAAGTTCGCTTGGGGGGAAGCGCGTCTTGACAGGGCCCGCACCGCCCTGCGATATGGCCTTCTTGGTAGATTCGGAGATCAAGGGTGAGTACTGGGCGACATGTTTGAGGGTCCTGTGAAGTGGATTGGTCAATACAAGAAGAAAGAGTGAGGATTGCGCGGGGCCACCGACTTCTCTGCAATGCGATCCAAAGACGTATCATCGTAGAATCCGAAGTCGCCAGTGTGGATGATATGATCGGCGCGAGCTTGCTTTGCGAGATCGTTCAACGACCGGAGGTTTCCTGTTCAAAATAATCAGTATGCGACGCGAAGATGAGGTAAAAGGAGGCGATTGTCGCGTACCTCGGACATCGGCGACGCAAAGAACTCTGATGGGACCGGTCTGGATGACCCGGCCCTGGTTCGGGAGAAGAGGCGTTGCACCAGGCAGAGGACCTTGATGACCAGGTGCAGCTCCGTTGGGCAAATAGCCTTGTTGATTGTAAGGGTGACGGGATTGCTGGTGACGGACACAAGAGGTTAGTACCAACGTCTTCTGCCCAGAATTCACGACCATAGAGCGAGGAGCACACGCTTTCCAAGGCATCACGATAGATGCTTCGCGTGTCGTGAGAATTGCGAGAGGCAAGGAAATTAATGCTTGGGCAGTGACATGCTCGAAAATAAAAGTATGGAGGAGGGTGATGGAAGAAGCTTACAGATGCCATGCCGGGGGGAAGGTGCTTGGTGAGAAGGGGAGGTAGAACGTCGCTTCTGGAAGAAGGGCTGAATTTCAAAATCCGTATCGGCGCTCCCCAGGATTCGGAAGGTAGGTAGTAGGTAGGTACTGATGCGATAAAATGAGGGGTATCAAAAGGGCGAGGCGGGACTGATTACAAGATAATGGGCTTTGGACGCTGAAGGGGGAGGAAGGCGTCGATGTTTTTCTTGGAGGTTGCGAAGGTGAGAGCAACCAGACTTTCTGAAAACTGCAGGAGCAGCAGCTGGCAAATGCGGTTTACTGACTAGGACTAGCGCAACTGGGCATTTAGGTTGGCACGTGCGCCAAGGTTGTACACTGCAACCTTACGTAATAATGCTGGATAGGTAGCTGAGGTGAAAGGGGGGAGAAGATGAAGATAGGTACCTGAGTGTCTATTGAAAAATCGAACTTACCATGATGGCTCGGCGGCCGTAATCGAAGCTGGAAGGCCGCATCTCGGCCCTGCAGATGATTGTCGGGGGAGAGTAGGGCGTGTGGCGGCGAGGATATGGGATGCGGTTATTAGCTCCCTCGGCGGTGGCTCTTTTCAGTGCTTGGTGGAAGTTTGTCAACTCGCTCGGCGCCCAGTCAATACCTCTAGAGGTAGTTTGTGAGAAATATTGTGTTCGGAGAGTCGCGGTGGGGATTATATCCGCTGAAGGGGGTTTGTGAAGATGATGAAAACTCTCACGCAGTCAGCTACCTAATAGTAGACGCAGGGCTGGGAATAGGTACCACCCATTCACCTCTCTACCTAGGTACCGTACTTTACGTTGCGCATTGCCTGCAAAGGGAAGTCACGGCTATTCGTTCCAGGATAGGTAGGTACACAGAACCAAGCTACAGAAATCGTCACATTCCTCTCCCCAGACCTAACCTTGCTTCGTGCTTATAGAGAACTAGGTAACATGGGGGGGGGTTGTTGTTTCCCCCTGACCAAAAAAGAAAAACTCGCGCCTTGGGACAGTCAGCTCCTGGCATGAAAAAATAGGCTACCGTCCACACTGGTGATCCCATGACTTTGCCCCAAACGCCAAACTGGATGCGTTTGTATACAGACCGCCTCCCATGCTACCCTCCCGGGAGGAGGCGCGCTTCATTTACTCTGATCTCCGGCTTCGTAACTCGTCCTTTCAACGGAAGAGCTACATTAACCAGGTCGCCGTTCTGTCGTCCGAGCCGGAAAACCCTACCACATGTCGCCATCGTCGTCATCGTCTTCGTAACGCCCGTTATTACCCTGGCCATAATAGTAACTCTGATTGCCGCTGCGTTGGCGCTGGTGGCCTTGGCCTTGGCCCTGGCCGTAGCCGTCGTGAGAATGCGACCCCCCGTTCTCGTAGTCGCCAGAGGATGATGCTCCGTCGTCGTGCTGATCGCCATGGTCGTACTGATAGATCTCGGCATCATCAACGTAGTCGACCGGGCCGTCGTGCGGGCCAGGCGTATCGCCGTACTGGCTGCCAGACTTTACTTGTAATCAGCTTTTAATATTCTCCCAGGGGTTACTGACAAGGGGTCGACTTACTCGATGGTACTCAAAGTTGAAGTTTCCATCGTTGGCCGCCTGCTGGTGTGCCATCTGCTGCTCTTGCTGCAGCTGCTGCTCTTCAGCCTCCTTCCGCCGGCGTTCCTCCTCCTGCCTCTTCTGTTGAGGTGACAGGGGCACGTTGAGCTGGGGATGCATGGCCTGGACTTTGGCGAGGTATGAATACATGAAGTTGCTGAGCAAGACCTGGCTCTGGAGGGACCGGCGGGGGTTGGCGAGTTTCAGATGAGCCATTCGATAGATGGCGCGTTCTTCGATAATGGTAAAGCGTGTCCAGGGGAAGTCGACATCTGGGCGAAGCGGACGAGAGGGGGGCTCGGGAATGAGAGACCCTTGATCCTTCTTCTTGGTGCCCGGTTCCTTGTCATTCTTCTTCTTGGAGCCGCCGAAAAGGCCGCCAAAGAAGCCGTCCTTCTCCTTCTTGGAGTCGCCCGACTTCCTGTTGCTCTCCTTTCTCCTCTCCTCGTGCAGCTTGTTATCGATACTGTCCCTGTCCAGGAGAAGGCTTTCCCGACCTTTGGCAACGACATTGTCGATGGAGGACTGGAGGACATCCAGCCGGGCATTGTCGTGCGCTCTCTCGCCAAAGCTTTTGTTTTTGGCTTTCTTGGCTTGCTCGTCCTTCTCCTTCTCCCTTTCCTTCTCACGCTCCCTCTCCCGTTCTTTCTTCTTCTTTTCTCTGTCATCGCTCTTGAACCATTTCCAGCCTAATTTTGACGAGCCAATATTCTCAGAGTCGTCCCTGTCCTTCTGTTTCCTGTCGGATGATTTCTTGTCCTCTGCCGAAGTCATGGTCGGGATGAAGGTGAGGCTATCGGTGCGACTACCGCCACTACCGGGGAGAAGCGATGGATGATTTGCCATATCTGTAAGGGTCTGACCTGGTGTGGGAGCAGGAGGTTCCTGTAGTGGTCGGCCAGCAGCTGGTCGCTTGCTGGACCGCGCCGGAGGCTCCTCTGGCTGCTGGGAATAGAGCTGTTGAACCACTTTTTGAGACGAGGATCTCTCTGGAAAAGGCCGTGAGGATTGCGTGGTGTCGGAAGATAAAGTTTCGTCTGCTGCAGGTGTTTCGATTATTTGGGGCACCGGTACTGCTGCCCTTTGAGCCAGTGCCGCCGGCGTCCTGAATGGGAGTGTTTCGGGAAGCCCTTGTGCTGTGGTGTCGGCAGCAGCAGCTGAAGGGGCTGTAACAGGGTCTCGTGAGAAGTTATGTTGTCTCCTTACCGACCGATTTGGCCGGGAGAAATTGTCTGGTACAGGTTCTGACTGAACTCGGGCTATGCCATGTCCTGGTGGCGGTTCGATAGGTGCTGTTGATACTCCCTCTTCTGGATCCTTCTCGACTTGTTTGGCTGCTATCCTCTTCGAGAAAGGAACTCGGTCGCCTCGCAAACTTCCTCCTTTTCGGTACGTTGTTCGTGTCGACCGCCGTAGACCCATTCCTGGGGCGGCAGGCAGGATTGGCATGTCGACATCCTTACTGCTTTCCGGGCTGCCGTCTTGTCTCTGCGTTTCCTGCGTCAACTTCTGTACCACCCTCGTTGGGTCCTTTACAAGTTCATCCAGGCTAACCTCTGCCACGCCAGCGGCATTTTGGGATCTGTTCCGCTGGAGCCTCTCAGCTCCATCGAAATAGCCCTCTCCGTTCTCGCCCGAATTTACCTGCCTCGAAAGCGTCGACTTCTTTCTCCTCAGGCTTCCCGAGTTGTGCCTTTCCAGCCCGTCCACCGAAAGCATCGAGTCGCCAGACCTCCTCTTCATTGAGTGTACGCGACTTTCGAGAAAGTTTTTGAATGCATTAGTATCCAACTCGGGGTGTACCCTGGCAGGGACCCAAAGCAATCTCGAGGGATCCGCCTCGTCGTCGTCGCGTGTCGGGGCTATCGACATCAATGACATGCTTGAGAAGGGAATCAGGTCAGGATCGGCGTTATTGCTGACGTCCATGGACATGCGCCGCAGCGCCTGCAGGTTGCTCAACTCTTGGGCGATATCGCTGGGGTTGTCGATGTTGGTTAACGGAAACTGGGAGCCCGACTCGTCTGCCCGCACGTCTCGCAGTGAAGGTGAGAGAGGAGGCATGGGGGACATGGGTGACTTTGGGTGTTCCAATGAGCTGCTTCCTTGACTCGGCATCCGCGCCGGCAGGGTGTGGGTCTTCTTAACGCTCGAGCTGCCGTTAGCAGTCGTGGCGATGGTTATGGGGGATTGGTCCGAGGTCGAGCGCATCAGCACTCTTCGAGAGTCCTCGATAGGGTCGAGCTGTTTCAGTTGTTGCCCGTGGAGCTGCTCGGCACCGTACGGCGCAGCCATAAAACTCAGGGGCCGACCTTCGGGTCCCGAGTAATCGTCGTCGTCGCCGTACAGCGTACCGATCGCCTCAGTGACATGGTGGCTTGGATCGGAGATGGACAGCTGGTTCGAGTGGCCGCGCCGGGTCGCAAAGCTGTCAGTGACATCGCGGGTTCGGGATGAGGTCTGGTCAACAACGGTCAGAGGTTAGCCAAGAGAGCATATCCACAAAAAGTGATGATCACTCTTCAAGAAGCCAAACCAGGGATGGGGAATTCCCGAAGCGAAATTGTAACGGCCGTTCGCCTCGGGGCGAGACAGGGAGAGCCACAGATTGTTCCAAGTTCAAAGGGGTTCATTCGTCATTTCAACGCACCATCATCTAGACTGGGGGGCCAGGGCCTCAAGCGAGGCCGAAACCAATGCTCTCCCCTTTTCGTCGGTCCTTCTGTCGAGCAGAGAGTTTCGAGAGAAGTTATGGTCACCGAGATCTCATCGGCAGAGGGACATGGCGGAAAGGCGAGAATGTGTGAACGGGGCGAGGCACGAGATCGGCGTAAGGCGGGCAGCGACACGGTCGCCTCGAGGGGTGGCCAAGAGGGCAGAAAGTTGGCGGGATTCAGGAGGCAGTCGTCAACTCCAAAACTTGGCCGGGCTATTCCGCAGGTTGCATTCGACTCGCCAACTACTGTGGCTGTCGATGAAGACAAAGGGATCGCACTCTTTGCTATGCGCTGGTCGGTCTTGGTGGTGTCTTCGGGGTTGGGTTTTCAAGGCAAGGGCGGTTGTTGCCTCCGTTCACTCTCGACTACCACCTTACGCTATTACCACCCTACCAAAAGTCACGGTGCAGTAAATTGATTGATGATGGACCAAGCCTGGACAGGCTCACATTCGGCTGCGTCCCACTCACTCAGCATTAGCGCAATCAAAACCTATCCTAAGTCACGTGTGGCCTACTGAATCGGGAAGTTGGACCCGGTCTGTTGTAGGAGGTATCTCTGTACCTACTTACTTAATTACTCCGTACTCCTCGAATTCGAATGCGTTTCGTTGCCTTCTTTTCGCTTGGATGTTCCCCCTTTTTCTGTCTTCAAGGATGGATGCGGCACAGGCCTCGTTCTGCCTACTTGTACATACATACCCGACATTGCACCTTGCACATTGCACCCGACATTGCCGTCCCAACGGTCGGCGCTTTGTTAGCCAGGGGAAAAGGTTTTGCTAGTGTCGGCAACGTCGTCATACCCGCTCGGAGCACCTATTTTAGTTTCCCATGATTTTGATGTACATTGGATGCTTGTTTCTCGTGCCGCCCCTTTCCAGGTAGCCGGACTCCTGATCTGTCGTGATCAACCTTGATTCACAAAACATACAGGAGATCTTATGATGCGTCACTGCTTTCCAGTCGGCGCCGGAGCTAGGCATCATTCCCACTGTCTTCCGGCCCCAGACAACAGCCGCTGGCTATTTCCCCTCAACCCTTCTTCCAGTGGTCAAATAAAGTAGTTTCGCATTGAAGGGCCAGGATAAGCGCCACGCTGTACGCAATGACAGCCAACCAACCATGAAGAGCATATGACTGGTCTGCTGGATTATTAGTCTAAAGTTTGCGACGGGCCAGTGCCATAATCCTCGTGCAAGGACACATGTGAACTCTTTCCTTCACTGGCTGCTGACATCCACCATTGAAGGTCACTCCCTCTCTGTTGTTAAATTTCATATACGCTGGTGTACGCAAGACCTCGCCAGTGCGACATACATGCTTATTAGTATGCTACTATGTACTGTACATACCTGCACTACCTGCACTCAGTACATACCTACTGTGGTACATCGTACATGTGGCTGCCTAGAGGCACATACCTAGGCGTGGCCCCCCTGAGCCTTTCGGTAACTTCCGCGTGACACTGCATTTTAGAGGTAGCCTCAGCCTCAAACCCCAAACCTCCCAGGTTGGCGGTGGGGGGATATAAGTCCTGGTTATCTTGGCTTCTGATCCTCCTGAAGGCCAAGTTTTCTCCTGGGTAAGGTTGCTTCCGAAAAGGCGTCCTCAAAATTAGACATCGGAAAGGGAATTACTTTCTCGAACTTATACTGCTATGTGGCTCCAGCTCCAAGTGCGGCTCTTTGCTACCCCGCGAACACGACATCTACAGTGGGATACATACAGGTATTGTCTCGTGGTGGCTATCAAGAGCACAGATATGAGGATCCTGAAGCCGGGTACCTTATTTGCCTTGGAGACTACGTATGTACCAGGACAGCTGGTGATTCTGGTGTTTACACCGGTACAACGTGAGCAACCTATGCTCTCTAGTGCTCTGCGACTTGCCAAGTCGAAAGGGCTGTGTCTTCCCCAGCCCCGCTCGTGGGTGCGTCCTATAACAAGCGAACATTTTGAAATCTATAACAATTGCCTACCTATCTAACCATGGATATCTGGATATCTACGCACATACATGTACCAAACCCTGTTTAGATCGGTCGAACAAAACTCCCTTTCTAATACCAATTCCTGGAAGCACCAAACTTGCACAAATCCTAGGGGCTCTCGTGCTTCGCCAAAGCAACGACGTCAACCCAGACGGGCGGCCTGGCCCTCCTATCGGCGCCGGCCTGCTCGGCATCCAGCCCGAACTGCAACAGCCGCTCCTCGGCGCACCACTCGGCCGTCACCATCAGGCCGACTGGGACCCTACCTGGGACGCCCGCGCCGGCCTCGTTTCCCGCGCCGGGCGTCCCCTCGGGCGCGACGAAGCCGGCCGGAACGCTCAGCGAGGGCAGACCGCAGAAGTTGGCCAGCCAGACGTACTCCATGGTCCTGACGGTCCGGTCGCCGTCGGAGACGCCATGGCGCAGCTCGGCGGCCGAGAGGATGGGCCAGCCGGCGCAGCTGGTGGTCGGGGTGACGATGAGCATGTCGCCGCCGTGACGCCGCCATAAGTGGGCCAGGTGTTGCATCAGGGCGCGGCGGAGCTTCTGGGCGAGCATGTAGTCGGTCGACGGCGTGACGCGCCCGATGGCCAGCAGGATCTTGTTGGCCGCCGTTAGGTTGCGCGTGTCGGGTAGGAGCGTCGCCGCGTCGGTGAGCACCGTCATGGCGTGCGCGATCTGGCCCTCAGGCAGGAGCGGGATGTCGATGGCCACGGTCGTGTAGCCGTACTCCGAGACTAGGCGCTCCACCATGCTGCGGCACAGGCGTTGGATCGCGGGCGTCGAGCGCGCGAACCACGCCTCGGGGATGCCGAGCAGCTTGGCCCGCCTGGCTGTCGGGTTCAGGCGGATCGGGGGCAGCGGCGGGAAGTGCGACGTTGGGTGCGGCTGGGCGATGACCTCGAACATGGCGGCGAGCGACCGAATATCGGACGCCATGGGGCCCAGGACGGCGCAGGTCACACAGTGGTTCTGGCCCGGCTTGAACGAGATTCGCCCGTTGGTGGGCTTGAGTCCGAAGACGCCGCACATGCCGGCGGGGATCCGGATGCTGCCGCCGCCGTCGCTTCCGAGACCGACCGGGATGAGACCTGCGCTGACGGCGTAGCCGGTTCCCGAGGACGAGCCCCCCGTGTAGTAATCAACGTTGTGGGGGTTGCGAGGGGTGCCATATACGGGGTTGTTGCCCGTCGTATCAAGACCGAACTCGTGCATCGACAGCTTGCCCAGGTTGACCACTCCTGCCGCCTCGAGCTTACGCACGCACCAGGTGGTATTGACGTCCTCTTCGATGGACGAGCCAGTGTAGTCGTTCCGCGAGCCGAGGCAGGTGACGTAGCCCTCCATATCGTACTCGTCTTTGACGGCGGTGGGGACGCCGTCGAGCAGGCCCAGTGGGCACTTCTGTTTGTACCTCATCGTCGAGGCCTCGGCAGCTTTGAGCACCAGATCGACTTTGGTGTCAAAAAATGCCAACGAATGTGGCCCCCGTGGCGTGATGTCTCGCCTGATCAGCGGCAGAAGAGCATTGGCGACATCAGTGGGGGTCACCTCTCCAGAGAGATACAACTCATGGTAGTCCTCGACCGAGTAGTACCTAGCACTAGGATAGCTCAGGCGGCGATCTGGGGCCTGTGGCAGTGGTGATTCCGGGCTATCGGCGGTGCTGGGTGATGATGGGTATGGGACGATGGTTGGCTCGAACCACGGCTCATAATCCTCGATGAAGGGTGTAATCCTGCGTAACGATCCAAAGCCAGCGTTGCGCCATACCATTTCTCTCAAGAAGCGGAATGATTCCATGCTAAGTGGCCATCAGCACGTGGTTGTCAAGGGAGGGCATCGGCAGACACGGCAGACTTACAGCATCGCGGCGACCACGAGGACGAGACCGCGAACCGGTGGGTTTGGTTTCCGGTCATTCTTGTACGGAACGTCCGGGCTGTCTTTGTGTCAGCGTCACTTGTGAATGGCCCTGAGATTCCGGGAGTTCCGGAGACTCACCCTTCCTGGGGTTCGGGGTAGTTGAAGAAGGCTTTCGCCTCGCCTACTGAGCCCATTCTGGTTACAGGGCCAGGAGAGCCAAGTTGCAATACAGTTGAACTTGGGGGAATGCCGGGTCAGCAGCACATCTGGGGTCGCCACTTGAGGTTTGGTTTGCGATGCTCGATTCGTCGGTGAGGGCGGGCGTGGTGTTTTGGAATGTAGCCGTGTGGACACTGAGTGTTAGTGCTGCTGAAAAATCAGGTACCTACGCATATTGCAGCAGGAACTTCAGCCTTATACTGCTTTGTTTCTGGCCGGATCCCTGCAACGGTAACTTTCCAAAACATGTGTTCCTGGTGTCCCCGAAGATTCCGTCTCAGGGTGGAGATTGGGAAGCCGGACCAAGTGGGATACGCGGGACTTACAACGTCGATGACTGACGTACCTCGACAAGCTTCCCTGCAATGGGATGATGTAGGTGGGGACAGCCGCGGTTCCGCGCGGCCAATCCGCTTCCCTGTTCATCTCATCCTGGCCAGCTTCTCTCTACCTCAGCCAATGAGAGTCGTCTAGACTCTTTCCCTGCAATACTTTGCATGCCTGAGATAAAGAACTGAATGCATAACTTCAGACGTTGTAGTGCAAGTACAGGCCTGTTCGTGCTCGACAGGTCAAGTTTGTCTCCATTCCAGTTATAAGATCTCGAGATATTCCAAGGTACTTACCGGAACCGTACAACTGGAGTACATGAAGACGTGATGTTGGGAGGTGCATTTGGCCCGTGCGCCCCATTCAGGTCGAATTTTAACCCAAAATCCAGGGACTTGGGTCCAACACACCCAGAAACGGAGATGGAATTTCAAGATTTCTGAACAAATGCGCATTTTCCCACCGCAACCATCCCCCGAGTTGAGACTAGACTATGCAAATCCTTCCTAGAATTGCCAGTTACTATTATGCTTGCAAAAAGCTTCGCGACTAAAACTTTACTTTCCGTTTGAATTCTGCCGTCGCCAGCGCGAACGAGGGGGCCATGGGCGATCTTATCGACACAGGCGATGGGGAGGACAACGTCGAAAATGTGATGCAGAGATTAATTGTAAGCAGTCGTTTATTTCCCTTTCCTCTTTCTATCCAATCGTTCATCCCTGGCTTCGCGCTTGTTCCTCTCAAGTCGCGGGCCATTTCCCGTGTCTGTGACTCAGTGAGGCACGGGTTTGATCGAGGACGTCGCAAACACCAGCTTGCAGTCTTGTTACGACACCGAAATGAGACATATATACATACGCACACATACATACCTACCCACATATATATACTCTCTTTTCATCCCATCGACATCTCAGATATTGACCTCAGGATAGGATGAATTCAGTGCCAGTTTGGACACATCCCTCATCCATGCCATTGCCTCGGATCATGATATCCCAACATCCTACAACCAAATTAGAAACTTGTTGCTCCCACTTGCCGAGAATGCCCTGATTGAAGAGGCTACTGGCTTTGATCCTAGCGGCCTGGCGTCCCTATCCGACCTTGCCAGCCTTCGCTTTGATGACACCACAGACGACACAATTCCAGTGTCGCAGTCATCAGGAACCGAGGTCACTACTTCAAATTCTGATCACTCAGATGTCCTCGAGGCCTTGCGCTTCACAGATGAGACCGACCTCTCCGAGGATGAAAAAATAGCCGGCCTCAGGACGATCTTCTCTAATTTTCAAGATCACACGATTAGATTTGTCTTGAAACAGGCAGGTGGTGATATTGAGAGGGCGTTCGATGAGCTTCTCAACCGCCAATATCTCGACGAGAATGGGGAACTAGCCAAAGGGGTCGACGGATTCTACCTCCCTGGGGAGGAGACGAGACGCAAGAAAGGTAAGAGAAGACGTTTCCTTTGCCTATATAGTTGGTGCCTGTTGCACAGCTTCTGCTTGGCAGATCGGAGTTGACACAACACAAAGCAGGCGAACGGGTCACACAGCAGAAGTCTAGACCCGCCAAACTACAAGTCGAGTACTCTGTGACCCCGCATCTGCAAGACGTAGATGAGCTGGAGGGTGCCCAGGGCTTTGTGAAACTCCGGCCGCGCCCAGGTGCCCAATCCTCGAAGTCCGTCGTGCAGCGAACAGTCGCCAAGCCATCTCTCCCTCTCCCACCACTGGTCCAGCGACCAGATGGCTACACCAGCCAGCAAGGACGGAAAGCCAATGGTCCAATGCCGGCCACCACGGGATGGCAGGTTGTAGCTAAGAAGCAAAGGGCAATCACACCAGCGACTGCTGCTCCTGTTGATCCCGCTCTGGCCGAGACGGTGCCCAGATCCAATGCTCAGACCGCTGCAACTCTTCGCCGCAAGGGGGCCTCCAACCCCCTCTATCGACAAGCTGCTGGAGTCTATGCGGAGAGGATCCGAGAAGACCGCCGAGCGGCCCAAGAAGCAGCATCTGTCTCCTACAACCAATTAGTCGATAGCCAAAGCACTCCTCTGAAAATCGACCTCCACGGCGTCCCCGTTATTGACGGAGTCAGGATTGCGAAGAACAGAGTCCGACGCTGGTGGGAGGCTCTCAACGAGGAAGACCGGGAACGAAAAGCAACAGCCTATGGCTTTACCGTCGTTACTGGTGTTGGCCATCATTGCAGTGGAGGCGTCTCCCGGCTGCGACAAGCTGTCGGAACTGCGCTGAAGAATGATGGCTGGAAGATGCAAGTGTTTACTGGGGAGTTCTTCGTCACTGGAAGAACTTGACCTTTGGATGCTTGCATTGGTTTGCCCAAGATCTGGAGAGGATCATGGTTGGGACATGAAAGATTTAAGACAACTGTGGGATTCTGTTCTTGCACCAATTTTAGATGATGAGGGTTGCAGCATTTGCAAAGTTACGATGTCTGGATGTCTGGATGACTGGAAGACGGCAGAATTAAGCTGTTATTTGTAGACGGAAACAACGGCCTGCGCATGTTTTGGGGCGTGGATCTGGGGTCGCATTGCTGGATGTTGGAGTTTAAGTATTTGCTTCCATGGTGGCATTATTTGAAGATACCCAGCCATATCCTAGGTCAGGTAGTGTGCAAACCGACGATGATGATTAACTTCACTATTGATACACCCTTTGATCGACAACCACTGCCCCTACCTCGTACCTGCCATCTGCAAGATGCAAAGTTACCCCTGGTTTGCAGCTTACAACCGGGCCAGTTGACGACTTAAAGGCCGACGCAATATGCGGAAAGTAGCTACCGGCGTTAACCAGGAGCCGAGCCAATAGGAGCATTGTTGCCCTCGGGGCACGGGCAGACCCCATGACGCAACGACAACACATTGAAATCGCCCATTCTTATCCGGGAGAGAGCGCCATCGGAAACAAGCTCCTGTTCAGCGTCATCCCATCCATTCCACCTCTTACAGCTCATCACCTCTAGACAACCAGCCACGCTCTGCTGCCCCTTCATGCAGATACTAAACTAGGCCTCTATAATAGCCTTATCCCTACTTTGATCATTTACCCAGTCAACCCCATTACCTGCACTGCTGAGCGGCCCAATTCGTTGCGACAATGGCGAAGCTGTCACAGGCCATCGCAGCTGCCGGGCTTCTGCTGATGGGCCTGGGACATGCGGCCGCACATACCGAGCCCTTTACACCTCTTCATGAAGCTGGCCGTTGCGCAATGCGAGGCCACTGCGGCTCCAAGAGCTTCTTCGGCAAAGAACTCCCTTGTTCAGACAACGACCCAGCCGAGGAACCCGACCAAGAGTTGAGGGACCTGTTAGTCGAGACTTGTGGCCCCAAATGGAGCTCAGGTCCTGTCTGTTGCAATTTGGATCAGGTACGTGATGGAGAGGCGGTGGGTAGGGGTGCCGGTCAATTAGACGGTCCTCGCAAGGCTCCCTTCAACAATCTCACACCCCCAACAAGTTGTCGCATGGCGTGTCTTCGCCGCGGTTAGGCCTCAGGGATAGTCTAACTAACTTTGCGACCAGGTCAAAGCCCTCAAGTCGTCTCTCTCGACGCCAAACCAGCTCCTTGCATCCTGTCCGGCCTGCAAAGAGAATTTCTACAATCTCTTCTGCACCTTTACCTGCTCTCCCGACCAATCACTCTTCATAAATGTCACTAAAACGACGGAGAAGAACGAGAAACTGCTGGTGACCGAGCTAGACCAGTTAATATCAGAAGAATACGGAGCGGGTTTCTACGACAGCTGCAAGGAGGTCAAATTCGGCGCCTCAAACGCAAAGGCAATGGACTTCATTGGGGGCGGCGCGAAGAATCACACGGAGCTTTTGAAGTTCCTGGGCGACGAGAAGCCTTTCGGCTCGCCGTTCCAGATCAATTTCCCAAGCAAGTACGCTGAACCAGCCATGGGCCCCTTGGACTTGAAGGCCAAGAAGTGCGACGACGAGGACCCAAGCTTCCGATGCGTCTGCGTTGACTGCCCGGCGCTTTGCCCAGAGCTCCCAGATGTCAAGAAGGCGGGTTCCTGCCATGTTGGTGCCTTGCCCTGCTTGTCCTTTGGCGCCATCTTCACCTACAGCGTGCTGCTGTTCTCATTTGTCGGCGGGGTTGCTGGCCATGTCGCTTGGAGGAAGCATGCGCAGCGCCGCAGTGAGAGGTTGAGGCTCCTCACAGATGCCGCTCCCAGTGATGACGAGGATGAGGGCGATCTTGTGCAGAATGGTGCTATGTTCGACCGGCCGCAGAAGTACTACGTGGTCAACACGTGGTGTGACGCGGCGTTCAGCAAGCTGGGCCATATGGCAGCGCGGTTCCCGGCCATCACCATCTTCACGAGCCTCCTCCTCGTCACAATCCTCAGCGTCGGCTGGGTCCGCTTCGATCTTGAGAAGGACCCGGCACGGTTGTGGGTCAGTCCGACTTCTGCAGCAGCGCAGGAGAAGGCCTTCTTCGACACCAATTTCGGCCCATTCTACCGAGCCGAGCAGGCCTTCTTGGTAAACGAGACGGGGCCTGTCCTGAGTTACGACACGATAGTCTGGTGGATGGACGTGGAGAAGAGCATTAGACAGCTTAAGGGACCAAAATTCGGCGCAACTCTCCATGACGTCTGCTTCAAACCTACCGGTTCAGCCTGCGTGGTGCAATCCGTCTCTGCCTACTTCGATAACGAGCCTAGGCTAGTCAGCCCTACGTCCTGGAAGTCGAAGCTGCGGGAATGTGCCCGCTCTCCAGTCGATTGTCGTCCAGACTTTGGCCAACCGATCGACCCCAGTGCCATCTTGGGTGGCTACGCGGACTCGGGTGATGTGATTAACGCCGCCGCCATGAGTGCCACATGGGTCGTCGACAACTTTCCCGAGGGCACTTCCAAGGTTTCTCGCGCTATGGACTGGGAAGAGGCTCTTAAGGCGCGGCTACTTGAAGTTCAAGACGAGGCTGAGAGCCGGGGGCTCAGGCTCTCCTTCTCCACAGAGATCAGTCTGGAGCAGGAGCTTAACAAGTCGACAAACACAGACGCAAAGATCATCGTCATTAGCTACATCATCATGTTCCTGTACGCTTCGATAGCGCTCGGATCTACCACCGTGTCGTTCCGAGATATGCTTCGCAACCCGGCTCTGTCACTGGTCGAGTCCAAGTTCACACTCGGAGTCGTTGGCATCCTGATTGTCTTGATGTCTATCGCCGCATCTATCGGTCTCTTCTCCTGGCTCGGACTCAAGGCCACGCTTATCATCGTCGACGTTATCCCATTCATCGTCCTCGCTGTCGGCGTCGACAACATCTTCCTCATCGTGCATGAGTTCAATCGCGTCAACATCAGCCACCCGGATGACGTCGTCGAGGTCAGGATCTCAAATGCGATGGGCCGCATGGGCCCCTCGATCCTTCTCTCTGCCATTACCGAGACTTTCTCCTTTGCGCTGGGCGCCTTCGTCGGCATGCCTGCTGTTAGAAACTTTGCCATCTACGCTGCAGGAGCAGTGTTTATCAACGCAATCTTGCAGGTCACAATGTTCGTGTCCGTCCTGACACTCAATCAGATCCGCGTCGAGGATGCTCGAGCCGACTGTTTCCCGTGCATCCAGATTAAGGCAGCTAGGATGCATCTGGATGGAACCAATGGAAGCCACGGCGCGCGTTTCTACGAAGCCCCTCAGGAGACTATGCTGCAGCAGTTCATCCGGAAGCAATACGCCCCGAGACTCCTGGGCAAGAAAACCAAGGCCGCCATTGTAGCCGTGTTTCTCGGGCTCTTCGCGGCTGGCGTAGCTCTGATCCCGGAAGTCAAGCTCGGCTTAGACCAGCGTGTCGCGATCCCCGATGACTCGTACCTGATTCCCTATTTCAACGACCTGTACGACTACCTTGACATCGGCCCGCCCGTGTACTTTGTCACTCGAGAACTGAACGCCACTCAGCGGGAAACCCAGCAGAAGATCTGCGCCAGGTTCACAAGCTGCGAGCAGACATCGCTTCCCAACATTCTTGAGCAGGAGAGGAAGAGGACGGACGTTTCCTACATCATCTCGCCAGCTGCAAGCTGGATCGATGACTACTTCTTGTGGCTGAATCCCGTCCTCGACTCCTGCTGCGTGGAGGGCAAGGGGAAGAGCAGGAAGACATGTTTCGCCAACCGAAAACCAGCCTGGAACGTCACCCTTTCGGGCATGCCCGAGGGCGACGAGTTCATTCACTATCTGCAGAAATTCGTCAATTCGCCGACCGATGAGTCTTGCCCCTTGGGCGGGCGGGCTTCGTATGGATCGGCCATCGTGATTGATGCCGAGAGGGGAACGATCCCGGCCAGCCACTTCCGGACATCTCACTCCCCCCTCCGCAGCCAAGACGACTTCATCGACGCCTACGCCTCGGCTCGCCGTATAGCCTCGGACATCAGCGCCGAAACCGGCATCGACATCTTTCCGTACAGCCTATTCTACATCTTCTTCGACCAATATGCGTCCATCGTGTCGCTGACGGCGACACTGCTCGGCTCGGCCATCGCCATGATCTTCGTCGTGTCGACGCTGCTCCTCGGATCGGTACTCACGGCCGCTATCGTCACGCTCACGGTGACCATGACGATCGTCGACATCATCGGCGCCATGGCGATCATGGGGGTGTCGCTGAACGCCGTGTCGCTGGTGAACCTCATCATCTGCGTGGGCATTACGGTGGAGTTCTGCGCGCACGTGGCGCGGGCGTTCACGTACCCGTCGCGGACGTTCATGGAGCGGGCGCGCAGCCGGTTCAGGGGCCGGGATGCGCGGGCGTGGACGGCACTGGCCAACGTGGGCGGGAGCGTGTTCTCGGGCATCACGGTGACTAAGCTTCTGGGCGTGTTCGTGCTCGGGTTCACGCGGTCAAAGATCTTTGAGATATACTATTTCCGCGTGTGGCTCGCGCTCGTCGTCCTGGCGGCGTCGCACGCGCTTGCGTTCCTCCCCGTGGCGCTGTCGCTGGCGGGGGGCCAGGGATACGTCGACCCCGAGAGCGAGGGCGGGCTCGAGGACGACCTCGCCAACAGGAGGTATCGGGCGCTCATCCGGGACGACTCAGACTCGGACGAGGATGGTGATTAGGGATTGGATGCGATCTGGGGTCGGCGCCGGGGGCAAAGGCGGGCGGTGGACGATGCCGATGCCGATTCTGGGAAGGGTTAGGGCCCCGCAGACGAGGTTGGGGGGTCGTCGGCGACTGCTGCCAGCCGGGGGCGGCGGAGGGGGGAGAGGTGCGGGGACGGTGATGGGCCCTTAGACGATACAGAGAGAGTGAAGGCGCTCGCAGACGATACGGGGAAAGGGAAAGGGCACGCAGCCGATACAGACGATACAGGAAAAGGGAAGGGGCGCGCGGACAAGATTGGGAACTCCTCGGCGAGCGCCGGAGAGTCGTCTCAGAGTGATAGGGAGTCGTTGGCGACCGGTGGGGGGTCTACGGTTGACGGCGAGGCGTTTACAGGTGACGGCCAGGAGTCTGGGAGTGATGGGGACGTGTCTGCGAGCCCTGGGGAGGAGTCTTCGAGTGATTGGGAGGAATCTTCGAGTGATGGGGATGAGTCTGCGAGCGGTGGGGCCCCACTGACAGCGGGCCTTCCTAACAGAAGAGGACGAAGAAGGCGGCGAAGGGTTCCCGTGGATTTCAAGCCGCATCGGCTAGGAAGGATCGAGGAAGAGTGAATTTTGCGGCGGCGGGGGTTGGAGATACTATCGCCGGTGTGCTCGGGGGGTTGTGGGTAGATGCAGATGGGTACATTCGGACGAGGCCCCGGTTTGGGAGTTTGGGTTATGGTGACGCCTCGATGGTCGAGGCCAGCGTCGATGGTTGCCTGGAATACGTTATATAAGTTACAGCGTTGCTTCTCTTTTTCGCTTCTTTTTCTCCTGTATATCACGGTAGAGAAGCAGCTTCTAGCGATTCGAAATATAATAGCATGGTAGTCTTATTTTTGCCTGACATGATATCCTTGATGGCCACTGAGTCACTCAGTCATATTGTACAGGCTGGCTGGCTAGCTGTCTTGTTGGATTTCGTAGCACGAGATGCAAACAAACTGCATTCACACGATGCCCTAATTCACTACTGATAGCGAAACAGGTTGTTCACAGTTAAGAACGTTCATCAAAATTTGGTTGCAATTCAGTTGTCACGCCTGGAACTCGAAGACGTCGTTACACTTACAAGACTGCGAAACGCATCTGCCGAGACCCACGCGTGTCGTCCCACTGCAGGTCCCAGTAACGGTCTATCTTGGCATAGATCCTTATCTGCAGGAAATCATAAGGGGGCGCGAAACTCAATCAGCAGAGCCCTGTACAGCCTAACTTGAACAGTAAGGTGGACAGGTGCCTGGCCATCTCGGGGCTCGGCCTGGTGGGCTATCCACGGCCCGAGGGATGAGAGTATCCAATGTGACCTATTTCTAGCATGGAAGGAAGCATGGCAACGGCGCCGTAGCCCTTATTGGCCGTCGGTCGGTGCATCTTTCATCGGCGGCCTAGTGGGCTGTTCGCCGGGTACGGCGCGGGGGGGGGCCTGCTCATGTGGTAAGAACGCGGCTATCGTTGACGGCATTTGGGGGGAGCGTTCTGTTTCCGTTCTGCTCTGTTACTGTACACAGCCGGGTCTTGATGATGATGCGGGATTGATTGGGCTTCTATTTATTTACTGACCTACCCCAGAGCGAGACACAATGCCGAAACCGACATTGAGCCCCGAACATTGCAGGTTGTGCCGTTTACTGTCTGTATCTGTTGGTAGTTCTACTCGCATATGGAGCACCGTCGTGTGTCGTCTCTTGAGAACTCGTGGCGAGACGCGGCTCGCACAGAGTAGTGTAGGTAAGCAATCAGCATGGGTGCGTGCCACAGCTTTAGCCCAGAGTCAGCCGTTTAGCAAGGGAACCATTGGATATCGCATCTGCCGACACCTGGGCTTGGGAATATTGCCCCCCATCCCCTCCACTGCCCCTCCCCCGCCCCACAGCCCTGACCCGGCAGTCCTCCCCATGTAACTTCTCCTACCCTTCCCAGACCTAAGCTTCCCCAATCGAACGCCATGGGGATGATTTGCCAATTGCCATCTCCAATTTTCTCAACCAGGGCAGGCAAGATGGGAGGGATCTGATCTGCCTCCCCTACAGTTGCCGATTCTCAAGCCGACCACCCTGGTTCTACCAGGAAGCCTGGATCAGTGGTTGAAATGAAATCGACGCCGTTTTTGCCGCGCCCCCATCCATGTAAGCAAATGGTGTTTCTCCATCGAGACCCAGAAACCGGGGCCCCGACGGCGTGCTCCGGCGATCCGCACCATGGGCCGCTTGGCACGCCCCAGATGCTTCTCTCCCGCGCTAGGTAGTTGCGTAGGGTACAACGCCATCAATGTCAGCCACTCAACCAGGAATATCCGAAAGGTCCCCAACCTGGGGGAAATGGGATCGGGGTAAATTAATCCTAGCACATGCCTCCGTCCACACCTCGTTGTGGTCTTACTGCGTGGTACATGTTCCATGCCATCCTTTATTTGTCCCACTCTTCCCTCCTCGGCAGTGACTTCATCATGCGCCCGTTTCCACTTACACTAGGTCCCCCAGGCGAGGCAGTACCGGCAATGCTTCCTCGGAGGTGGATTCATGCAGGCCCATCCCATAAGTCTGGTTCTCCCTGCTATTACTCGTAGACAATTATATCTTGCTCTTCCACGCACCTCCTACCTCCGTCCGGAGTCTACCCTTGCTTGACCCTTGCTCTTCTCTCAACAGAGGGCATTGTCGACAGAGATGCACGGAATAACAGATCGTATCGTCCATGTCGTGCTCGACCACTGGCTGTCGGTTATCGTGACAGTCGTGGTAGCATGGCTGGTTAAGAACAGATACCACAACGGACTCAACAAGTACCCCGGCCCCTTCCTGGCCTCCCTGACGGACTGGTGGCGCTTTCTCGACGTCTACGGCCGGAGACCAGACATAACCCACCTGGCCCTCCACAGGAAACTCGGCGATGTCGTGCGCCTGGGGCCGAACACCCTCTCCTTCTCGGACCCCAAGGCCTTGAAGACCATCTATGGCCTGAACAAGGGCTTCGTCAAGGTTAGACTGGGTCCCCCCCCCCCCAACACACACCTCTTCCCCCATCTCCGATTTCCTTCTGGGTGAGCCTCCGCTGACGGGTTATGTTCAGTCTGATTTCTACGTCGTTCAGCAGTCGGTAGTCAAGGGACACAGCCTGCCCTCGCTGTTCAGCACGAAGGACAACGACTTCCACGCCCAGTTCCGACGATGCGTGAACTCGGCCTTTGCCATGTCGGCCCTGGTCCAGTACGAGCCCTTCGTCGATAACACGACCAAGCTGTTCCTGAGCCAGACGGAGAAGCTCTACGTGGGCAACCCCGAGGGATGTGACTTCACCCGCTGGCTGCAGTTCTACGCCTTTGACGTGATTGGGGAAATCACCTACAGCAAGAGGCACGGCTTCATCGAGCACAACAAGGACGTTGACGGCATCGTATCTTACCTGACGTGGCTGTTCCTCTACGTCGCCCCTGTACGTGATGGACCCAACTTTACCCCTGAACCCCTTTTTCAAACTCTCTCCTGGCGCGTTTCCCCCTAACTCAGTCAACGTTCTCTAGATTGGCCAAATCCCGATACTCGACCGTCTCTTCCTCAAGAACCCCATCTACCTTAAGCTGTCCGAGTGGGGCATCATCGACGCCACGTTCCCCGTCGCGCGCTTCGCCCGCGACCGCATGGCGGAGCGTCTCCCCGAGCTGGGACTGGGCGACAGCAAGCCCCTCCTGCCGACGACGGCGGCGCCGGGCCCCAACGTCAAGTCGCCCGACCTTCTATCCAAGTTCCTGGCGGCGCACGACACGCGGCCCGAGTTCATGACCAACACGTTGGTGCAGACCATGGCGGTGAGCATGGCCTTCGCCGGCTCCGAGACGACGGCCATCAGCCTGTCGGCCGTCTTCTACTTCCTGCTCAAGAACCCGGTCCGCCTGGCGCGCCTGCGCGCCGAGATCGACGACGCCGCCCGCGCCGGGGCCTTCAGCGACAGCGAGTCGGGCCTCGTCACCTGGCACGAGAGCCAGCGGCTCGTCTACCTGGACGCGTGCGTCAAGGAGGCCTTCCGCCTGCACCCGGCGCCGGGCCTGCCGATGGAGCGCGTCGTGCCCGAGGGCGGCATCGAGATCTGCGGGCGCTACGTCAAGGGCGGCACCATCGTCGGGTGCTCGGCCTGGGTCATTCACAAGGACAAGCGCGTGTTTGGCGAGGACGTCGAGGCGTACAGGCCAGAGAGGTGGCTGCCGGACGAGGCGAAGTCCGCCACCGAGGCCGGCAGGGCGGCCGAGGAGCAGCGCATCAAGGAGATGAACGGGACTATGCTCCAGTTCGGTATGGGCAGCCGGACGTGTATCGGGAAGAATATCAGTCTGCTTGAGATCTACAAGCTTGTGCCTAGCATGCTGAGGAGGTTCGAGGTTTGTTCCCCCCCCCTCTTTCTCCCCCTTTCCGCCCACTTGCCCCAGACTGACAATCCAAAACTACAGATCCAGTTCAAGGACCCCAACCAGGAATGGGAGCTGGTCAACGCCTGGTTCGTCAAGCAGAACAACTTCACCACGACCTTTAAGCTGCGGGACATCGTACAGCCCAAGGCTGGCGTTGCTGTGTCCGAGAAGTGAGGGCCGCCCCCCCGGGGGGACCGGGTTGTTTGATATACTGGCCGCGCCCGGTTGTGAATTCGACCGGGCATGAAAGATAATCAGGGTAGGAAGAGGGTTGATAGGTGGCGAAGGGCATGGAGGGGGAAATCGAGGAGGTGAGGAGGGAATACCCAGAGGCTGGCCGAGCTGGCTGTAAATGACTGGAATTTAGCATAACAGTACATAAGGGAAACTACTATTGGGAAGGTGACGTGTAAATCCCACTCCTCCGTTTTCGTCTCGAACCGCATAGCCATCTCCCCGCCCTGTCAACGTGGTCAGTTTGCAGGCCCTGTACGTCTGTTTGTCTGTATGCACCACACTCTCCCTGTTGCGGCAAATTCACCCTCGAGCTTCTTTTGGATGTCCTTGATCTCCTGCTCTCACCAGTTGCGGGGCTGGTCTTGAGGAGTGGATTGGAGCCGTGGCAATGATTGAGGGCGGAGCGATGGCAGAAACCCCACTCGCTTGCTGTCCGTGTACAGTCTAATGGCACACTGCCGAATGTGCAGCATAATAGGACAAGTTCTCTCGTCTCTCTTGCTCCGCATTCACCTTTATCTTGTGACTTCAACTTTCGCATCGTTGCTATATGTTCTACGCTTTCGATTCAATCAGCTCGGAGTAGGCCTGGGGTCTGTGCACCACAGTTGGCGGCGGCCCGGGAGGTTTCCTGACAGGTGGTTTCCGAAATTTAGCAGGCAATCCAGGGCAAGGGCAATAGCAATGGCAATGGCAATAGCAATGGCAATAGCAGTAAACAGCATTAACAATAGATAGTGACAGTCACAGCAACAGCAATGGTGATAGTAATGGCGACAGCAGCAGCAACGGAACAGCAATGCGATGGCGACGGTGAGAAGAACCAACACCTGCTAGAAATCCTGCCAGCCCGCTACCAGCTGTGACGCACATACCCAAGGTCTGATATGCAGCTCCGTACGTCCAGCCAAGGGTATACTTCTGATGATATGCACAGTTCGTTCGACCATTCTTTCTTGCCTCCCTCTTCCCTTTTGTGGAGTTGTAGGAATCCCCTAAGAGAACCATGGCGGCCACAAAAAGTGCCCAATTAGGTCTCTTATTCAGGAAGGATGCTTGTATGCTCCCAAGATGCCTTGTAGCGCCTTCGTCAGCTGGAAAAGATCCGTAACTTCCAGTCCACGCCACCGATGGCAATCACGCAGCGAATCTGTACACCCTGGGGCTTCACTCGTGCGGTTCCTGCTGCTGCCAAGCCATCACTCGTTATCTCTTTAGTATTACTTCCCCCATCGGCAACTCCCCAGGAGCAGTACCGCCAGTGATGGTTTCCACAGTCGCTACATTCTGCACGATGCTCGGTGCCCACTGCAGTGAGGTGATGAAGCGCTGGTGCGGCTCACCAACTACCCTGACACACCGTCCGTCCTGGCTGAGGTCCCAGCACCGTAGTGTCTTATCATCCGCTACTGATAAAAGGTACTTGCCGCCTGGGTGGAAGACAAGGACGCGAACCCAGTTGTCGTGGCCGACCAGGGTCATAAGACAAGTGCCACGCGCGTCCCACACACGGATAGTCTTGTCCCGGGAGCCAGTGGCCATGAACTCTGCTAAGCTACTGGCCTGTGGAGGCCTTTTCAGCCCTGCCACTGGGGCAAGGTACTGGTATGCAGAGGCAGGGACAAGAGCGCAGCATTCGATATAGTGCTCGTGACCAAACATGGTTAGTTTGCTTCCAGTATTGGTGGTGACCGATAGGTCCCATAACCGGGCTGTCATGTCATCCCCAGCAGACAGGAGAAAGCGGCCGTCAGGAGATGGGAATACATCTCCGACCCAGGCGGTATGCCCATTAAGGGTTCTCACACAATACCCAGTACTGACATCCCTTATCCTCAGAGTCTTGTCTCTATTTGTACTAACAAGCAAGTTCGCAGACGCCGGTATAAAGCGCACAGCACTGACGCTGTGATCATGGCCTGGAAAAGTCCGGATGTTCTTGTAATCGTCAGCCGGATCCCACAACTTGAGGGTAAGATCCGAACTACAGTACGCCAGAAGATTATTGCCTCTCAGACCGCCGTAATCAAGATCCAGAACTGCTCTAGTGTGACCTTTGATAGTCCTTTCAAGCTCACCAACTTCCCAGTCCCATATCTCCATTGTATAATCATCAGAGCCGGTAGCGACTGATGAGAAGATTGGATGGAAAGCGATGCAGTTAATGGTGTTTCGGTGTGATTCAAGAGTATATCGAGGGGGGCCTTTGGGTAGCCAAGACGAGGGATCTTTATTCCGCGTCGACAGTGAGCTAGGCATCGCGTTGTCGAGCTCGATTTGTAGTGCCGCATTTCGGGACTCGAGGTCCATGATCCAAGATAACACAGAGGTCAGAGATACTGTGTAAACATTAGATAAATAAGATTTGCACATGACTTCTTCTGTAACCGCACAGCGCTAGTCCATTTTTTCCCCAACAGGCCCTCATACTTCTTGACCGTTGCTGCGTCGAGCTGCTCTTCTTCAAGGTTCAACTCTGTCCTGAGAGCGGCTGCCATTGCGGTTAGGTTACAGGCCGCCAGATAGGCAATCATGGACTTGTGCCTGTCCACAGTAAAATTAGCGGGCCTCGACTAAGAGGAGACTAGATTTAATAGCGAGGACATACAGCTCTTCAGCTTGACGACTTGTCAAGAGACTCATGGTGCGGGTGCTGTGATAATTGCATGTGTTTCCCCGGCGGCCTGCAGCTTTTCGCTCCAAAATTGTTATAATCACTTGCAAATCATGGGTTAATAAGCAGTAATTAGAGAGACGTCAAGTTGAGGATGCAAAGGAAGCAAGTCGGAGGTAGCTGGGAGAAGTAATGCGGCTCCGGCCGACCGCCTTTGAGCACGGGCCATCAAAAACGGCCCCACGTAATATTGCAGGTGTCGTGCAGCAGCTTAGTCATCCGCTTCCACCTGCATCAAATCGGGTTCCTGGTGGAACGCTTCAAGCAATTTTCCATGAATTGGATGACAATCCAGCTGTGCTGTCAATCATAATACTTGACTAAAGTCAAAGTGCCTACCCCTTACGGCAAGCCTCTTAACCGAGAGCGGCAATAATTAAATATAATCATATCCAGAACCACAGGTCTGATCCGAATTCATGTTTGCATCACGACTAGCTTCCCACTATATGTGGAAGTCATCCTTGCTGAGATACCTAGAGTGAGAATAGTGGTGGTAATGGAGGTGTTGGAACGAGTTGGAATGAGAGTTTGCTATGAGTTCGACCAGACGTCCATGAAGGTAGGTTCAGGGGATATATATACCCATCATAGCTTTTGGGTCTGTAATTGCTTGGAGAGGTGTTGTTGGCTGGGACACGACCGCGCTATAAGAATATTGGTGATGTCTAGCAACTGTGAAACGAGTTGGTCTTCAGTTTGGATATGGTTACTTTGCTCTACTTGTTCTAATTGGCAGTATCCACCCGTAGTGTTGGTGATAGCAATATCTATGGTCGTATTTGGCCAACATTATGGACCTATATGGGGCCTTGTTATTCTGGGCCACAACGGCCCGCGACCTTAGCAGCGCCGAGTCGGGAGCATAGCCACTCTCAAGGGGCAAGGCTGATGCTATCGTTACAGCTCGGAACTCCCCGTAGATCCAATGGCATGCCACGATGTTGTTAGCCCGGCGGTCCGGGACCTGATTCGTGCCATACTTAAGGGGCTGGGACAGTGGAAGACTGGTGTAAGCACCCAGGAAAGGAGGTGTGGACGTTAGGTATCTTGGGGGATCCTTTCTATTCGAGAATGTATCATTCACACATACTTCATGATTTCTGCTTGTTAATGCGAGGAGCCCCCGAGGACAACGGTCATGGTGATGTCTAGAAAGACGATTGTGGAACCATGGGAACAAGACATTCGGATAGCCTCATGCCAAGCTAGGCCCGCAACACCCTCATGTCGTGTAGTATCTGTCGTGTAGTATCTACGCCTAGAACGCCTCACCCAAGCCGTGTCCCCGGGTTAAAGAATGGTCCCGAAGCTGGAAGCCGTTAGACGAACCCCGGATAAGGAAGGAAGGGAAGAAAATCCGGTTCCGGCATTTATGTACTCACCCGAAAGTCTTCTTGATGCTCCGCACGTAGTACTCGCCCCAGTTCCGCCTGGTGACCTCTTCCTGGCCCACGGGAACGCCGCTCCACGTAACGCGCATCACCGTGACGTGCTCGACGTCGTTCTGGTCGAACTCGATCTGCAACGTGGAGTAGTGCCCCTTGGGCCACTGGTCAAGCCTCCAGGTCTGGACGATTTTTGTGGGTTCGTGGAGCTCGCGGTACTCGCCAGAGACGTTCCCGCCGAACAGCTCAAACTTCCCGCCCTCCTTGGCGCCCTCGAACACCTTTGGGGGAGCCCGTGTGAAGGCTGCCAGGCGCTGGGGGTCTGTGAAGGTCTGGTACAGCTCGGCGGCGGTCGTGCGGAACTCTTCGTTGTCGGTCACCACCACCGTGTTCACGGTGCTGCCGCTGCTGCCGCTGCTGCCCTGCGTCGCGGTGGAGGTGGGCGCCGGGGACGCCGACGGCTTGGGTTGGAATTTCGGGGTCGAGAAGCCGCTTGACGGATTCGAGCCGGGGGCGTGCTGGAGATCCTTGCCGTGCTCCGCAATCAGAGCTGGCGAGAGCTTGAGGAATTCGGCTCGCAGCTGCGGAATAAGCTTCGCTCGGATGAGGTCCTTGACTGGCTGCTTCTCTTTGGCATCCGAGTAGATGTCAATGTCGAACTATACGATGTGATTCGTGGATTAGAACGGTTTCGGCCAGAAGGGCGCTTGGGCCGCCAACTTACGACAAACTCCTCCTCCTCCGTATCGTGGGCAACTTCGGGGACAGTGATGGTACCAGAAACATCCTCATCCTCGGCGGTGGATCCTACGTGACTCGAGAGTCAGCCCACTGCCAGGATATGGAAATGTGCACTACGCGGAGAAATGTGGTACAGATGGAGGATAAATGTGCTTGTATTCTACGGAGGACGTACCTGAGTATTCCAGAGTTAACTTGACATCGTAGATGGTAATGACCTTCCCTTTCCGCTGGCTAACGTCGACATCCCCATCCATGCTGATGACTTTGCTGATTCTAGCGGTAACATCGCCATCCTTCGCCTCCAGCTTCGTCAGGTTCTCCTCAAACCACTGCTTGGCCCAGGGCGAGGCATCCTTGTTGACCCAGTGCCAATTGTTGGGGTTATGGAGAACCATTGTGTCTACCTCGCGGAATTGGGAACGCAGGTCGCCTCCGGGCCTAGTTCTTGGGAACAGTCAGCTCAATTTCCTTGCATATTCAGCCAGAAGATTGTGAATTTGAGAAAATAATCAGAAGTGGTCAATTGACCACAGCATATTTATCATCAAAGGAGAGAGTACAAGTCACCCTATGACTGGTGCCAGCTGGTGTTTCATCAGGGAGAGAGGAGAAGAGATGGGGGGGACAGGTAGGGAGAAAACGCACCGTTTGTCACAATTTCAGCAATCCCCAGAGATGATTGTTCTGAGAATAGTTGTGGGAGGGAGGAAAGCCCCAGGGGATTTGGGGAAGAGGGCAGTAAAGTAGGTAGTGGAGGAGCTGAGGAAAATCTCGAAAAGATTCCATTTCCTTCTCAAGCGGTAAGGCTGGAAGGTGGGACCGGCAGAACCTCGGCCCACGCCGGCCCTGAGTTCTGTTTCGGCCGATCATTTCACCGGCAGCTTAAGCCCCGGCCCGGGTTCCATTGTAGTTTCGCTCCTCCGAGTCCTTCCGCCATCAAACATCACCTTGCTTTCCACCAGGAGATTTGTGAGATCAAGTAAGGCCCAATTCGCGATATTGGTTTCTTTTGCCGCAATCCGACTACCTATCTCAAGCTACCTGTCGCTGTCCTCTCCTCTCCAGGAGCTTGACCCTCAGATGGAGTTTCACGAGACATAACAGAGATCATCGGATCTCGAGCCCAATCTTCATCTTAAAGCAAGTGCTAGGGAATGGGGGTGCCCCATTTTAGAGGCTTGACGTTCGATTTCCTTCTGTGTCTCTTTGCGGACCAACGGCCGATGCTCCTTTCTGACAGGCAATTCTTCATTCCCGGCCGAATGGCTGCAGGCTCGACTTCATGGAAGCAGTTTCTCGAAACAGACTGGGCCCATGCTCTTTCATCTTCATTTCTCTGTCCCTTGCTGCGCTTTTCTCGTAGGCTGGTTATCTGCCGAACCGGAACCCTCGGCACCGAGCCTACCTCAAAATAGCATACTCTGGGAAAGTTCTCTTGATGCTGATCGCTATCTTTGGATTGTTATGTCACGACTATCCACCAAGTTGGACCTTGTCACGTTCGTCGATCTAGAAGTTCACCCTCTCTAACTCAGTTCCGAACGAGAGACGGAGCCGTGCCACTACGACATCTCTAAATTGGTAAGCTACCGCAACGACTAGCCGGGGCGGTTTCTATTCTTGTCGCGTCTAAGCAAGGGCATTGTTTCTTCGGATCGCCGCCCTAATACGTCTCTATGATTGCGAGGCGAGCCAAAGGTAGGCTGGTATCGTGGCTTCTTGCATCCACTGAGCCTGAAACCAACGCCCGGGAGTGCGAATAACTTGAACTCCAGCAGTTGCCGAACGGCATCAGATTGAAGAGAACCGAAGACTATGGGTCCGTGCCGAGAGATTCTATGATATCAACCCCCGCGAAGCAAGAAAGGATGAAAGTGTATTAGCCCCTATCAGACGGCTATATGCCACACCGGGTCCAGCATATTGGCGGGACGCTTCCCGGAGTTACAAGCATGTTACCATACCCTGGACGAGGTTCACAAATACACGATTTGGATCCGATTGGGCTGGCAAGCGCAGCGCCCTTGGAAGTTGCCCGTCTTGGGGGGTGTACTCGGCGGGTACTCGGCGGGCACTCGGCGGGCCGTCGTTGTTTGAGGCGCGAATCTATATAAAGAAGCGCGAACGCCACCTCGACCCAATACCGCGGCCTGACTAGGGGGGCTCAACCGTTGCCAAGACCATATGAACTAGACCGGCGCAGCTGAGGAGGCACTCGAAAGCTTGACATTGCTTTGGCTGCGTGTCCCTGACAGTAGCGGGAGCTTATATCACCAATGAGAACTTGTTTTCGCCACCTGGGTATTTTGAGACCTGGGATTATATGAAATGATTCGGATTGACTCTTCAAAGCTCGAGCTTCTAGCTGAGCTCTAAAAAAAGGAAGCGGTTCGGCAAGCTGCCCCACGAGGTTGGTCGATGACTCTCCAACGATAAAAGAAGGAAGCAGGGGTCACCGGCTAAGGATGTCCCGAGTGGTAGCTTCCAACTGACTTATAGGGCTGCATCCGACGCTTTATTGGGGTCGACCAACACCGGGGGGAGAAAGGCTATTTTTATTCTAGAAAATATGGGGGCTTGCCGGGCAAGCAATTAAGGAGGCTATTCGCACCAATGGTGCGAACCCACTCATAAGCGCGAGTTGTGATGAGTGACCCCTTTTCTTGAAGGCCTATGAATGGCGCAACGCAGAAACAAAATGAATTGGTGATATCCAGGCTCATTGAAAACGCAGAGGCCACTGCTATTATTATCCCCTCACAAAGTGCTCCAGCAGGCAGGCAGGCAAGTGTGGGGAAGCGGGAGCGAAGGCATGAGGCATGAGGCTTGAAATAGCCTCTGATTGGGCTACCGCAAGGTGGTACTTGCCATGGGTCTACACTTGCGATGTTGCGTACCTAGTTCTAGTTAATAAGTGTGAAGAGGTTTAGCTCACCGTTTGGAGGCTAAGAGGTTGTGATTCATTCGAGGCTCGAGATTCCCCAACCAGACATCAGACCCAGACTCACGTTATCCTGCCTGCATCCTGCAGGTGTCTGCTACTCACATGTTTGCTTATGCATCCAGGGCTCCGTTGGCTCCGTTCTGGACAAACTGATATCGCTGCCGCCGTAACCAGATTCTCAAGCGGTTGGATTGGAGGCGGGCATTGGGTGGGAGGCTGGAATCAGGCTTAGCGTGCTGAGAGAGCTTGGCTCGAGAGGTGACGAGCACAGGCACTAATGCGGCGTGGCCAAGCAGCCGAATCAAATCTCTTGAATGCTACCTTTTAAGCGCCCGACATCCCTTTCACAAAATGCAGATCAGACCGGACCAATCACAGAAAGCCTACGGTACTTTGTAGCCTCCAAGAATAGATTGATCTCCCACCTGCGTCCTATGTACTGTGCTGTCCCATTTCTCCCACAGTTGGGGGGTTCGGGGGGCTGTTGGGTGCAGTTACGTCTGGACAGTTCTAGACACCTAGCAAGGTTGCGCGTTGGGGCCACTGGCAGACTGCTCGGCGGCGTCACAAGGAAATGCCAAGAAACCGGCGGTAATCTGTACATGCCACTGCACCATCCACTGTGGACGGGCCAGCGCGTTTCCTCTCGCCTGTGGACCGGGACCCTCGCTCGCTCTTAATAATAAGCGTGCAGGAAAGGGATGATGAGGTTCGACTGCCAGAGTGCCCTGCCGTTACCTGCCGTTTCGCAGGGTCACAACCGGAATAAACACCCCTCCCGGAACTGGGAAGGCATAAAACCTGTGGAGAGCTCCTGGGTAGGCGCAGATTAGCCCACCTGGGCAGTTCCGTGCTCAAAGCGGAGGCCAAATCCCGCCTTTCCATGCGGTTTCCATCCATCATCAGAGAGTACGAAGGTACATACTTACATTACTTATACAATACAATAAATACAATAATAACACAAATACCAATTTTATCTTTGCTGCATTCTCGCCCGCTCCCATGGTCCCGTCCGCTCATTCGGCGAGTGTTTGACATCTCCATACATACCTCGCCCCTCAGCCGCAACCCTCCACCAAACTGGTCATATCTAGGCTGCGAGCCTAGATTTCTCACTCCATCTCGCCCTGCCTTGGCCGCGTCCAGTCGCATTCCCAGGGTGTTGGTTGGACTGGTGCGATTCCTGCCATGGCTCGGACCTGATCGAGCGAGAACCCCCCGCGTTGCTGCCACTCATTAACAGCGAGGACGGTTCGGCGAAAGGGGAGGGCGGGAGTTTGTGTGCGGGAATTGCAGAGGTAGCAAACGGTCTTGGAAAATCGTCGCCGTCCATTGCGAACCCCCCACCGATCAATTCCGACTTCGTTAGCCATGAGTGTTAGTCGCGATCCGACGGCGCGATTGCGCGCTGGGCTTAACCCACTCTTGACGGCCTCGCTGGGCGTCTACCACAACCAGAACAGTACCCCGCTGTCGGCCATCTCCATGGCCTCGCCCAGTGTCTTATCGACGGCGCAGACACCTGTGAGCGCGATACAGCCCTACAACCCCCAAGAATGGATTGCCTCGCCAGTCGCGGGTCCGGAGCGGGTCCATCCCTTCCGGGATCCCCAGTGTAAGCCTCCGCAACTTTCCCCTCCACCTCTGCAGACTGGCTGCTCACCTACCCAAGCATCGCCCCCTCCGCCTCCACCCTACTCGCCTCCTCGAGGCCAGCGGCCCGTCAGCATATCTTTTGACGCCCAGGCTGCTAATGTCTCTGCAGCGAGAGCGCCCCCGCCCCCGGGCGGCCAGAGGATATCTCCCGATGCGGCGGTGGCCAACACGGCCTTTGCCCCTCCCCCCGGATCCGGTGGCAGGGGCGCCTCTCGCGAGAGGCGGTTTGGTCTGCCCTCCTTTGGGAGAAGAAGGGAAAACAACGCCGAACAATCCAACACACCGCTCGAAGCGCACCCGGCTCCCCATCCTCCCCATCCTTCTCCTGCCAACCCTCCGCCTCATAATCCCGTAGCCAGCCCCTCCCATGCTCATCCTCAGCCGGGGCACCTTACTCTCCAAATTCCACAGCGGACTGATTCGGATTCGTCGCAAACCCTTCCCCCTTCTTCAAGGAGAGCTGTGTCGACACCCGCGATTGGTACCCCGACGTCAGCCAGATCGCGCTCCTCGTCCCATTTCCGGTGGGAACCAGGCATGCCCCTTCCGCCTCCACCCCCAGGACCACCCCCTGCGGCTAGTCGCTCGCAGAGTGTCAGCAGGGTTGGCGGTGGCAGTGACCCAGTCACGTCTCCACCAACAAGGCGGCCCCCTCCTGGCGGGGTTGCAGCTCTGGGACCTGTACCACCAACGCCCGCAGATTGGATTGACGCCGATGACCATCGGAGAAGCGAGTCGCCAAACCGGACATCACTAGTCAGTGAGGACTCTAGCCTTGATAGCTCCAATGCGCAGCCGGAGTCAACAGCATCTACGGTAAGCTCCGCTGGGGGTTTGGCCCGCGCGCGAGCTCTCCGAGGAGAAAAAACGCTCCATGAACGACGGAATGAGAGTAGGACAAGGGGTAGCACTCGTCACTCGATAGATGCATCCATAGACGCACAGACTTTGTCGGATATCGTCATACCGTCTGGCTCTGGCTTGACCCGCAGGATGACCATCGGTAGGGGGACTCCACGGAGCAGTCGGTCGAACTCGGGTACGCCGCAAGCCGGGGAGGTCACGCCGGCAATGGACTACAGCCACGGGTCGAACATTACCCCTCGAGCACCGGGTTCCGCCCAACAAGCCACCGGCCCCGAGACAGCCACCCCGCCTTTCTCCCCCCGTCTCCATAAAGGCAAGTCCACGGCGGACGTCCATCATTCCCTTGCGCCCAAGGCTCTGCCAACTCCTCCACCACAAAGCCGACCTTCATCTAGCACACTCGTCGAGACCTTTGCTGCTACCCCTCGGTCTCCAGGCCAGACGATCACCCGTCAGTCTGCGGTGAACCAGACAGTCGACCAATTCATGCGCAGTACCGTCGAGCGGTTCAAGGCATTCGCACTCAAGGAAGCCTCAGCGGCTGATGATGCGGAGAGGGTTCGCTTATTTTCCGAGTTTTTCGTCAGCGAGTCAAGGATACGCCGGGAGCGGTACGCTGCGGCGATTGGGGTGATGGGTTCGGAGATCTTTGATTTATCTCGCGATCTGTTCCGGCCCATGGCTTCTAGACCAGAGTTGGCTGTCTCTACGACGATCGCCGCACAGTTTACTCCCCAGCCATCCGGACCCAGATCTCACCGGGAATCTATAGGCTCGGCGACAGCCTCCGACCCCCCTGCGCAGTCAGGTTCTACCCCTAGCTCGGCTAACCTGCCAATGTCCCCCGTGGGACCGACTCCCGGCAATCAGAACTGGCAATCGTCAAACTATATGCCCTCTCTGTCGCCCATCCTCAGCATGAGTGTCAGTGATGCTCTCGATGGAGAGGACTCTCGGGGCAGACCAGCGAGTCGGTGGTGGGAGTCCGAGTCGGCCGGGGAGCAACATGGGAGGATGGAGAGGTCTAAGCGGGAATCAAAGTATATGAGTGTTCCTAAGGAGGCCCGGGAGGCCCTTCAATGGGTGGACAGTCCCGAAGCAGGTCCCAGCAAGCGGGACCCGTCAAACGAATACCCACCCGAGAAATCCGGATGGCACGAGGAGCCGGTCGTCACGCCCCAACCGCGTAATATTCGTAACTCGCTCCTCTCGCTTCCGTCCCCAAACACCTCGAACCCTGCTCACCTGGACGTGTCTCGCCTCGTGACTCTTCCTCCTCCGTACCCCCGTCACCACCCGGCAGTCAACAACAGCCATCCGGAACTCGCCCAGACTCGCAGCTCGGTGCGGGCCCTCAGCGATATGACCGAGGTCGACGGGACGAAGGAGAGGTTCCAGCAAGACAGCGCCAAGATGCGAGCCGAAGCGGCCGAGGCTGCCAAGCAACGGACCAAGGCTCTGCGAATCAATCTCCAGGAAGAAATAAGCTCTGGCAATATTGGATACGCTGACGCAGCGGCAATAGAGGCAGACGCAAAGGCGGACGAAAATGCCAAGGCCAAAGAACTGGAGAAAAAGGACTTTGACGCCTTCCAAACGGCGGTGGTTATGCCGCTCAATGACCTCCTGACTGGTCGCATCGCCAAGACCACGGCTCTCTTTGAAGAGTTGCGGGGCAGGCTGTTTGTCGAGACGCACGAATCCAACCCCAACATGCCCCAGGAAGAGGGCGACGAGCAGCCCGAACTGCTCGAGAAACTGACAATGCTCAAGTGGATATTTGAGGCGCGCGAGATGCTCCACCGCGCCATCTACGATCTGCTCTCGGACCGAAACGACCGCTATCGCGAGATGGTGTTGACGCCATACCGGCTTTCCCACAACGAGGAGAAGATCGCCTCGGCAACGGCCTTCTTCGCCGAGGACGCCCAGAAGCGGGCACTCGCCTTCTCCGAGGAGGTGCTCCAGCGCTCGCAAGAGTTTCGCGACGTGGTCGAGGAGACGGTGGTGCGTGGCGTCGAGGCCCAACTGGGCGCCTTCTGGGACATTGCGCCGCCGCTCAAGCGGGTGCTCGACAAGATCCCGGCGGACCTGCACGGCTTCAGCATCCAGATCCCGTTCACCGAGTACGACGAGAACCCGGCCTACGTGGACCACCCGCTGCAGTACCTGTTCAGCCTGCTACTGCACGCCGAGAAGAGCACGTACCAGTTCATCGAGAGCCAGACCAACCTGCTGTGCCTGCTCCACGAGGTCAGGGAGGTTGTCGTGGCGGCCAAGGCCAAGGTCTTGGAGAGCGAGGGCCGGGATCCCGCGAGGGTCGAGGATATGAAGGCCGCCGAGTCTGGCCGGCTGACGGACGACCTGAAGGAGAAGGTCAAGTTCGTTCAGGACCAGTGGAATAGCGCGCTGGGCGGCTGCATCGGGGGAGTCAAGGAGAGGATCGGAGAGTGGCTGCTCGAAACGGGCGGTTGGGACGAGAGCCTCGAGGACGAAGGCGTGGGTGGCGTTCAGATGTGAGGCGAATTGATGTGACGAGCTATGAAATTTTGGGGACATGTGGGAGTTACTGGAAGAGGGACGTAACGGAGTTGAGGAGACATGGAGCACAACTGGCCCTAGGCTTGCCGCTGCCCGTGAGCCGGCGCCATGCGATCGCTTGTTGATACCCCTTTATACTGCACATCTTGATGTCTTTTCTGTTGTTGTTGCTGTTGGGAACACGGGAGGGGAGCTTGGGATTTGGGACGTTAAGCTGGGGGGCGGTCGATACCGACTTTGCCCATTGCTGCCATTCTTGTTGGATACTCTTCAACCTCAAAACCTTATCTTATTCTTACACTCTTATCACCATGAAGAGGATCTTCGACTTTTTCAAATGTATAACGGATGACTTGGTTGATCTGGATAGCCTTTCACTGGCTGTGTCCTGCCAGGGTGCTGACAATGAGAGGCTGGTATTCACGTTGGAGCTCGATACACTCGTCTCGAGGCGCCATGGGAACTAAAATGAATATTTAAACAAGAGGAAGGGAATAAGGGTTGTCAGAGCTAGTTGCAATTCCTGGGCCCCTATTAACACTTCTGGCTGCTTAGGGGAAAACCCCGACACTTCCCCTTACAAGCACAGGATTCCGACACATATTCGTAACATGACCTCCTTCCATAACGCCAGTAGCTGGAATAATACACGGCACATCGCAGTCCTGAGAACATCAGGATACGGTGGTGACAATCCACCTTCGGCTAGTCGACCTTGGAGCTTCAACCAGCCCTCCGGCCGGGAAAGTGGATGAGCGCACAAGTAGTCCTTCTCTCTGAGCAAACAGGTAGTCAGCAAAGGATAATTGTCGGCTCCCTCCGCCACGCAAGTCCGGGTATGGTTGGTTAGGTACCTTCCAAGAATCCACCACAACGCGCTTCCCAAACCAGACGACTCGAGTAGAAAGGTAGTGCATCCAACAATCGACTGGACCGGAGCCGGACCCCCCGGGGGACGAAAACGAACGAACGAACGAACCACAACGGCAAGCAGTTTTTCTTCTACTCCTTCTTCTTCCCCTCCGGAGGCCCACCCTCATCCTCCCCCTCGACGTACTCCTTCGGCAGGTTGACGCCCACGCGCCGCGCCGACAGGCGCACGCGCTCCTCCTCGTCCATGCCCATGCCCGGGTTGTAGCGCTCCAGCAGGCCCGTGTAGGCGCGCTGGGCCTGGACGTAGGCGAGGAACTGCTCCGCCTGCGCGGCGGCGTCGGGGGCGGGAGAGGCGGAGGCGGAGGCGGGGCCGGGGGTGGTGCGGAAGCTGTCGCGGAGCCGCTGGTGGATGGGGGAGGGTGGGGTGGAGAGGATCGGTCGCGGGGGGAGCTCGCGGAGGAAGGAGCGGTAGATGGAGCGCATGCGGGCGGGGGAGGGGGTGGACATGGTTGTGGGGGGGTTGTTGCTGAAGGGGGGTGTTTGGGGAGGATGTTGAGATGTACAAAATGGTTATTAGGGAGCTCAGGACCTGAAGTTGCAGTCGAAGATATTCGGGGTGCCCCTTAGCTAACCCTAACCCTTATCTGTCGAACCAAAAAGTTTTGGCAGGCAATCTACTGTCCAAGGCCGGGATCGATTTTAGAGACTTTTGAACCCGGATGCCCATCCTCTCAAGCAAGACCACTTATTCGCCGTCCAAGATGCGGTCCCAGGCAGCAACAAAGCTTCTGGCCATGCCTCCATCTCTCAGGACCATAATCCTCGAGGAGACGATCCGCTCCTCGAACCGCCAACACCGCCGCCGCATCACGACAACCTCCACCCCCCTCCCCTCCCAACGACAACGACAACGACACAACCTCCCCCAACCCCCCGCTGACCAACCACCCCCGCTCTCCTTCCTCCCCAGCCCATCCAACCAGCCCAACCAGACAGCGACACCCGCCCCGGCACCGGCACCCCCCGCCCTCTCGGCCGCGACGGCCCTCTTCACTGGCGGCGGCGCCGCGGCCGGCCCGCGCGGCCGGTTCCTCTGGGCGGCGCCGCGGTTCCTCCACGTGCCGGCCAACACGCGGGTGCCCGAGGTGTGCGTGCTAGGGCGGTCCAACGTCGGCAAGTCGACGCTGGTCAACGCGCTCGCGGGCGCCGGGAGTGCGGCCGCGGGGAGGAGCCACAGGGCCGTCGCGAGGAGGGGGGAGGGCGGTGGTGCGGGGGAGGCGGGGATGGGCCCGGCTGTCACGAGTGCGAGGGCGGGGAGCACGAAGACTATGAATGCTTTTGGGTTTGGGCCGCCTATGAGGGTGGTGGTTGGGGATACTGGTGGTGGTGGTGGTGGGGATGGGTCTGCTGTCGCGGAGGCGGTGCGGGGAGGGGGCAGGAGTACGCGGTCGGAGCGCCGGGGGACGCGGAACGTGCGCGAGCCCCTGCCCCGGCATAGCCTGGTGCTGATGGATATGCCGGGGTACGGCCTGAACAGCAAGGCGGAGTGGGGCACCGAGATCGCGAAGTACCTGGGCCGGCGGGCCATGCTGCGGGGCGCCGTGCTGCTGGTGGATGCGGTGGCGGGCGTGAAGAGCGGCGACAGGATGGTGCTGGGGATGCTGAGGGACGCCGGCGTCAGGACCGCCGTGGTGCTGACCAAGGCGGACAAGCTGGGGTACGGCGCCACCGAGGCCGGCGAGAGCGCCGTCAAGGGCATGTGCCTGCGCGTGTGGGAGGAGCTGAGGGCCGTTGAGAAGTCCAGCCTGACCTGGCTCGAGGGGGAGGGCTGGGAGAGGGAGATCTGGGTCACCGGTGCGGGGGATCCGAAGAACGGAGGGGTCGGCGTTGAGGGGGCGAGGTTGGCCATCTGTCGCATGGCGGGCCTCATTGAGGATAACAGGATGTTAGATGTCCCCCACGAATCTCCGACTGGGAAGATTGTGCCCTTCGATCAGCTACAGTGGGCACCAAGCAGCACGCCGAACAGCACACCGAGCAGCACACAAACCATACCGACCCCATTCCAGAGCATACCACAGAGCGCCACACCAGTGAGCCGTCCTCGGGGACGCACGCACCGAGCATCATTCTGAACGGACCGGACATAACTGGCTCCATGTATAACAAACCACTCATAGATGTAACATATGTGATACCCATGTATTTTATGGAAGACCAAACGACACTATCCTCCTGTCTATATTCAAAACACATACAGATCCTACCCGGGAGAAACAATACTTTTGCTAGGCACATTTGCCCCGTTTGACATGAAACTAAGAGGTTTGCCCGGCCGACTCCGATCGCCCCCGAAGCTTGTTCAGATATCTCTATCAACCCCGAGCGCTCCTCCTGCGCCGCGAACCTCCACCCTCCGACCTCGGTATATCCTTCTCCCGAAAGGTATGGGCGGGTAGGAAGACGTCGACTAGGTTATCCCAGAAGCCCAGGTCGTACAGGTTCTCCACATCGCGAAGCTTCCAGACGGGCTCCCAGTCCCCGACTCCAGGCACGCTCGCGTCCGCGAGCGGCGGCTTCCCGTCCTCGGCCCTCACGAGGACCTGCTCCGGCTCGGCCGGCCACCTCGTCCAGGCGGGCTCGATGCGCGGGTCCCGAGCCCGGTCCAGGGGCATCTTGCGCCGGAAGGCGAAGCCGTCGTCCATGTCGGCCTGCAGATCGGACCATTTGAGGGTCTCGTTGGTCGTCGTCCCGCAGTATATCAGCCAGACTTGGTAGATCAGTAGCCCCCAGACCAGGGGGCTGGTAAGTAACGCAAGCAGCGTCACGGAGCCCATGGCGGCGTTGCCTTGCAGGCCCCAGCTCCAGATGATGAGGTACTCCTTTATCTCCATGCCAGCGCCATCGTTTGCGTGGCGCGGCCAGAGAGCCCAGTACGGGTAGCGGGTGCGCATCTTGGCTATCATTATCCCCATGCCCAGGGCGGCTCCGTAGGCGGTGAGGATGCCGGTGGTCAGGAGCAGGAGGACGAACCAGCGCTGGTTGTTGGAGCCGACGCAGTTGTTGATGAAGATGCAGTGGTGGTCCGACTTGGAAATGCACCGCTTGCAGATGCTGCAGTGCTTCGAGCGGGCGGGCTTGAGCAGGCGGCAGGTGTGGCACTCGTTACCCGGGTGGAAGAGGGTGAAGTCATACGGGTAGAGAGCCATCGAGTCCGCATGGTTCCCAGGCTCGATGGTCCCCGGATCGCCGGCGGCGGAGAGGTAGAGGAAGATATAGGGGAGGATGATGGCTATCGAAGCGGCAATTTGATGGAAAACCCCCAGCTGCGGCCAGGCAACGGGGAGATACAAGACTTCCGATACAAAGAGCAACAGGAAGAAGAAAATCTGTTGCCTCAGTCAGCGCTGGTTCCACACCTGCTCTGAAATGAAGCGGGAAGAGGCCGAATCAGTAGACGCAGGACAGAGAGAGCCTTACCAAAACCGTGGGATGTCTATCATACATGATATAGTTCCCGAATCTCGCGATCGAAGACGTTAGCTTTCCAGAGGTGAGCCTCTGGTCGAGGGCCAGGACACCATTTGGAATATAAATCCATATAAGGCGATGCAGCCAGGGGATCGGGGTGCGTCTGGGAGGGTCAGCATCCCAGGCACTAAGAGCTGGTAAACGAGGGTCAAATAGGTACCTCAGAGCAGGGAGCCTTCCAAAGAAGGTCACAAAGGTCATAAAAGAGATGCCACATATGACAAAGGCAACTGTAGCGAAAGCCCCCATAATGCTGAAGGCGGCCCTGCCAGAATCTGCATCCTTTGCACGCGTTGGCAGCGAGGGAAGGGACTGAGGTACCTCTACCAATAAGTCTTAGGTAGGTACCTAGGTCCTTGGTAATTGCTTCTTAGGAATGAAAAAGAGAATGGAAGGGAAGAAGCATTGTTGGCAAAGTATCCGTGATGGGCCGCTGTCAATGAGCCCCAAGCAACTGCCAAGGCCAGATATTGCCAGCACGGAAGTCACGCCCAGGCAATGTTGATCGTGGTTGTTACCAGCTGAGCAATCCTGCCTGGCACGGGGCTGAAGGTGGGAAGGTATATTCTATAATACAAGGACGAGAAGCCGGTTTCACCCCGAAGAAAGGAACGATGGAGGCCTGAAGGTCAGTGATCTGGACATTGCCTTGGCCCTTGGGGCTTTCCAGGTTGGGGCTGCTCCCCGGTAAATAGGTAGACACACCCACTGGCTCGGAAAAGTCGGCACCACGTGGACCCTTTAAGCAATTAAGCGAACACCAGAAACTCCCCCGTGAGAATAATAAAGAGCCCCACGTCACGCGTCGCCATCACATTTGAGGCAAAGCCCCAAACAACCGTGACAGCGCGACAACACCATCAGTCTTTGGGCCGTACAAATTCACTTGTGCTCTCAAGAGGTATCCTTTTGCCAATTCTGATTGTTTTCTTTCTCTTTGGCAAGTTATAATCGTCCAAAACGCCTTGATTCATCCCAGAGTTTAGAGCATTCAATTTATCGAGCAACGCTCATATATCCAGGGTTAGGGTTAGGGTCCTCCTGGTGGGCCACCATGGCCCCCAAAAACATGCATACCGACGTGGCTCAAGGGAACGGCATCGTGTATGACGGTGTAGCCCGAGGAAATGACGTTGAACATGGCGGCACGACTGGAGCAGCCTTGTTCCAAGGCCTCAAGTTCTGGATCACCATCCGTGTACCCATGCGAAAGGAGCTGGTGCGAATGGTCGAGGTACGCTAGTCATCCTGGCAGCTCGCCTCTTCTCAGACACTTTGACTGACTCGGCTCAGGACAACGGGGGCGAAGTCGTGAAGCTTGAAAAGCAAGCCGACATCTTGATCGCGGATCATGCGAGGAAGGATGTGCCCAGCGGATCCCTCTCGTGGCGCTTCATCGAGCAGTCTGTCAGGAATGGCAGGCTTGAGAACATAGACAGTCACGCCATCAAGCCTGCGACCTCGGCTCGCCGTTTTGCTGGATCCTCTGACACGAACGGGTCCGCTCGGCCGCCTAGGGGTGTTCGGACCCCGTTCACGGGAGAAGACGACGACATGTTGATGAAGTTCGTCGCACGTCAGGAAGGAATGAGGGCACCTGTCGGCGGCAACAAGATCTATCAAGATTTTGCATCCGAGGTATGTGTGGGCAACGAAGATCCGTCTCCCCATTGTATTCATCACTAAGTCATCATCGTAGCACCCGCATCATTCCTGGCAGTCTTGGAGAGACCGGTGGCTCAAGAAGCTGAAGTTTCTCCCCCGCCCTGAAATTAATGACGAGAATCCAGACGACGACCAAGACGACGGCGAAAACGTACCTGAGGACGAGGCGCAGGGAGCGTCTCGCGCCCTGACGGCCAACCGGAAGCCTCCCCCCAATGCTATCACTATTAAGACTGGTAGAACCGGGGCTAAGGTCAACTTTAGCAAGGAAGATGACGAGCTCCTGGCGAACCACGTCAAGGAAGATATACGACCTCGGCGACATCGAGTCACCGATCCCTGGGCCTTTCGTCACCAAGCGCCCTCGGAGGAAGATGACGATGAAGATGAAAATCTAATGTCTCTGGCTAGTGGTTCTGATGATGAGGCCGAGGGGCCGCGCAGAGGCCCTACGCCGGTCCTCGACCTTCAGAAATTACAGGAGAGCAACCGGAGGCATGAGAGGAGCGATCGCGTGTTTATGGCAATAAGGACAATCCAACGATATTGGAGAGCTTACATATCCCGTCGGGCGCTCTCCAGCGAGATCTGTAGGCTCTCCATCACAGCCCTTCAAGCCGCTGCTAAGGGCGCATTAACCCGTATTGCCCTCAAGCATGATGAAGATGATAACGACGGCACTGGTCCCGAAGAGCAGACCCCGAGCAGGTATCCAACTAGGGGAGAAACAACTGAACGGACAGGGAGCCAACTCTTTTACAGTGATTTGTCGGACTTCATCGAAGTCACAAACCAGAAGATTACCTTCTGGCCAACGGTGCAGGCGCGAGTTCTGAACTTGTGGGAGCTTTGGCACGCTGTCACGGTCCAAGAACATCCTCCCGATATGAGGAACTGGGAGGACATTGCCGAGTCCCTGGACTTCGACTGGATCTCGTATCCATGGGTGACTACGGAATTGAAGCATTGCTTTGAATCGAACCTCGGGGCATTTGAGCGAGCCCTTAATGGGTTTGACGCGGATGACGCGGATGACGCGGATGAAGCGGCTGAAGCGGGGCACGCGGATGATGACGACCCGGAGCTTGTTGGCGACGCAGTTGGCGACGCAGAGTTCGGAGAAGGGGCGCCAACGTATGTGCCTGCAACATCGCTAGAAGGGCATCGTGATGGGCCTTCCGGCACGGTGGAATCCGCATTTGCGTCATCTCCGCCGCGGCTCCATGGCTATGGCTCGAAACGGGGTTTTGAGACACATCTGGAAGCAGAGTCACACCCGACAAGCTCTCCAAGGAAACGAACCAAGTATGACAGTGACGGCGAAATCCCATCGACACCAAATGAGAAGTCGGGCACCTCATACCTTCAGCCGAGGAACAACCCTGGGATCTCCCCTGATGGAATCTCCCCGAACCAAGCAAATCTCGCACGCGTGAACGGTCTGATCGAGGCATTGATGGAAGAGCTGCCCACGCTGCAAGAGTTGACAGCTCCCCGTCAGACACCGACCCAGCCGGAGCCTTTCTCCCCCGCCACCCTTATAAGCAGGACAACCCCCTCGCGGCAGTCACGACCTCAACCACGTCTCGTTGATCCAATACCGCTCTCTTTCCCAGACAGGATCACTAGGACTTCGGCTCCCGAGCCGCGAGATGGTGCGAATGACGCTACGAAAGCCGGCCGAACAACGGCAGCCCAAAGGGCCTCGCTCCCAACCCAGTATCACCCCGATCGGGCTGCGGCTATCAGGCGATCCAGCAGAGCCGCTAATACCACTCCTGCCCGGCGGTCTATGCCACCCTCTTCTCTTGGCCCAGCCTGGCGTGACGTTTCCCCGGCTGCCCGATCAAGCTTTTCCCCCCCCCGAACAAGCGCCTCAGCTCGGCTTCGGTTGATTTCTAGACCGCAGGAGCCTGCAGGGCCACCGACCGGCCCGGTACACCCGAATGCCCCCAGCCCACACAATACCCCCGACTCGCGTTCCAGCCTCCTAGCCTCCATCGACCGGTTCATGTCGATGGGCTACCCGAAAGACATTGTGATCCAGGGCCTGAAGGCGACCAGCATGGCCCCGGGCGAGGCCGGGGTGGTGATGGAGAGCCTGATGGCGGGGCAGGGCATACCCAGCCGCCACGAGGGTGTCTGGACGAGCCGCGACGACGAGGGGCTGGGCATGGTGGACAACACGGACCTGGCGAAGCACACGCGCGACCCGCACGAGGTCGACAAGAAGCGCCGGGCGCTCAGGGAGCTGAAGCGGCTGAGGCATAAGCATGGACAGAGGAGGGTGGAGGAGAGGCTGGACTTCTTGAGGGCTTGGAATGCTGGGTGAATGTGAGGGTGTGAGAAGAGATCAGCGCGGGGTTTTGGTGCTGGACGTGGAGGCGTTTCTTAAGCATTAGCGAGTTCATCAGCGAGTTCATCAGCGAGTTCTTGCAAGCCAAGCAGGTGCTTGTCAGCTACTACTGCCTAATATCATTCAACTCATTTTATCCTCCCTTGATCACCCCCCTTCCATCTCCCCGGCCCCAACCAACTAGTTTCGTGGGCAGGTACCTATTTCCTCGTGATCCACCAGCACATACCCACTCCGGATCGAACCCGCAACATCGTCATCCCCTTCCCATCCGCCGTTCCCATGGCCTACACCGCCAGCTTCGGACTCCGACTCCGATTCTTCCGCAATAGTGCCGTCCGCCGCCGCCGCCGCCGCCGCCCCGACCTCTACCCACGGCCCCTCGGAGCAGAGCCGGCAGGTGAGCGGGGCGCCCTCGTACTGGACCCAGTCGCAGTCCGGGGCGGGACAGCGGCGGGTGAGGGAGAGGGTGAGTCCCGAGGAGCGGGAGCGGGAGTGGCACTCTTGTCGGGAGGTCTTGGCGGTTGTGGCGCTGCATTGGGCGCAGCGGTGGATCTGGGTTATTTTGTGGCACATGGTGTGTGTGGTTTGGCTCCGGGGGTTGGCGTGTTGTAAGTTGGTTCAACCGGTGAGGTGGGTAGGGGGTGTCTGAGCTTCGTCGCCTCGAATATTGGGGCTCTGGGAGAACCAACTTGAGGGTCTTTGGTGAGAGATGGGCGTGGAAGGAGGTCGAGGTCTAGAGAGATGGGGCTGGGAGCCTGGGGATTGTATAATTGGGACTGCTGTTTATGGATAATAATATGAGTGCTTGATCTCTGTGGAGTATTTATACTAGGGGAAAAAATGGAGTGACAAGGGGTCCGATCTGGCTTTATGTATCGAGGCAGATCGCAGCTACCTAGATCTCTTGACCTGTCTGCTTGCTTGTGGGGGAGTGAATCGACGACCTCTGTAACAACCAAGTTGGGTCAGGTCTGTCTATGAATGAATCGTTGACTGACTGCCGGGGGGGCCGAGGGGCAGAGTGAAGACTGTTGTTGGTGATATCCCCGACGCAGTCAAAGGGAAAGGGTGAGGCGCCCAGTCAACCAGTCATGGGCCAAAAGATATTAACAATGAAGGGTATATTAAATGCTAACCAAAATGGAGGTAGGCTGAGAATAATAGACATTACAGGACTTGAATCAGGAACAGGACTATTTCACCCCACCATTTCCTATCGCCCAACTACATCCATCATCAAATCCAGGCCATCGCGCCTCGGCCCGTCAACGGCTCCCACCAACTCACAGCACGAACGGGGCGGCACCGATGAGCAGAGCGACCGCAGCTCCAGCGGCAATCTTGCCCTCCAGCCACGCGCGCGGGGCGACGGCATTCACGTTGCCCGGCCCGGCGGGCGCGGTCTGAGTCGGCCCGGTTATCTGGGTGGTGGTTGTGGTGTCGCCGAACTCGCCGAAGCCCGAGCCGGTGCCGCTGCCGTCGCCGGCCAAACCGGTGGCCGTGGCGCCCGTGGTCGTGGTGGTGGTGGTGCGGGTTCTTGGGGTGGTCTCGTCGCCGTCCTCGGAGGTGGTCCGGGTGGCGGTCCTGGTGGCACTGGTTGTCGTATCCCCCACGCCTCCTCCGGGAGTGCATGTCCTGCCGTTCCGGCAGCAGCCGCCGTATTCGTCGCAGTAGTAGCCGGACTGTGTTGCGCGAGAGTCAGCTTCCGGGTTCCATCCGGAGTGATGGATCGCTTGGGAGAGAGAGGTTGGGCCGGGGAGGGAAAATGGGGAAAAGGGGCTGGGCTTACCTTGCAGTAACCTCCCTCACCATCGTGGCAGCAGACCCCGCTGGAGGGCATACAGAACAAGGTGTCGCAGACCGCCTCTCCCGCCGGGCAAGTGTCACTTCCTCCGCCGCTTCCTCCACCACTGCCTCCTCCGCTGCCACCTCCGCTGCCACCAGTCCCGCACCGGTCGTTCGCCTGGCAGACTTCTCCCGCGTCACAATAGCCCCCGGCACCGTTGTGGTTCAACGGGCAGCACACTTTGCCCGCGGGCATACACCTACGCTAGTGTCAGCACGTCTGCCTGCGGCGCAATTCCCACATCAGGTAGACAGAGGTTCGTTCTTACCCTTCACCGCACAGGACTTTGCCCGCCTCGCAGGTGGCAGGGCCAGAGCAGGTCTTTCCGATCTGAACACGCGCAGAGAGTCAGCGAGCGAAATTGGGAGCCGGGAGGTGGTCGCGGGAAGGGGGAACATGTAGGGGTCGTACCGGGCAGCATCCGCCGTCGGTGGTACAGTATTCCCCAATGTCGCAGTAACCGCGGCCATCGCAGCACACGCTGCCGAGCGGCATGCAGCCGGTGCCGCAGGAGGTGGTGCCGATGTCGCAGGAGCCGACGGCGAGCTGGTTGATGCCCGGCACGAGCGACCGCGTGGAGCCCGCGAACAGGCCCATGTTGTGGGAGCCCAAGGCCACGCCGCCGGCGACGGCGTGGGCGAGGAACAGGCTGCGGAACTGCATCTTGAGAGAGAGGGGGGGTTTTCTTGTTGGATCTGGAAGTCGCAGAGAGAACCGGAGAAGCGAAGGGAAAGCAGGCTGGGGGGGCTACATGGTTATTTATTAATTATTTGGCGACTCCAGGACCCCAGGTCAGAAGCTACTGCCTGGTGTGAGGCACAATCGGCCCCGGCCCCGGCCCGCATGCCTAGTAGACGCCTCATACCAAATTTGATACCGACGATCTGCCTAGGTTTTGTTTTTGTGGCGTCCAGGGTCTGAAGCTTACTTGCCTTCGGTTTAACTCTACGCCGACATCGTTGTCGGTGGAACCAAGTGGCTGTATGGCATTGGAAGAGCCAACGAGGAAGCGTTGTTTTTCCTCGTTTCCTTACCGGAAAGCATTCTGATTAGTCCAGTCATCTTGTGAGCAAGGCGTGGAGAAGGTAGTCCTAAATTAAGACTGAATGTTCTTGGCCTGGTAGGGCTAGTGATTAGTGGGCAGTTAGCTGCATACTATGCAGATGGGTGTTGCATCGGCGAGAAGCCATCACCATGATTGGTGGCGTGCGGCCCGGATCTCGGGCACCGCCACATCGCGGGGATAATTTGGCCGGCATGACACTAAGCTGAATGCCATTAATATAGGTACAGCACAAAAGATGGAGCGGCTCGAGAATTGATTGCAGCCTGTCTCTCTCCTTGGGTATGAAGTTCCCGAGCTGAGCCCGAGCTTGGTGGGCTTAAGCCACGACGCCAAGATCGAGGCTTATCTCTTGGCCCCATATTTGTAGGAGCCAATTTCGACTACTACTGTACCCTGTTCATCGAGCTTTCTGGCCATCTCGGAGAGGAAGCCCGACTTCTTCTGCAGGCTCTTGTGATCTGAACTGTAGATACGTCGCTTGGGAGGACAGAATTACGCACCGCCAGTAATGGGCGACAAGGCAAGAACGCAATCGATACAAAGTTGCAGCCCCTCAAAGATACCAATACCTACAAATGCAGGCACTCAATCCTCGATGTCTGGGACCACTAGGCTGCCTCGCCGCCGTGCTTCGACTTGACGAGCCGGCCCCGGGAACGCGGAAGGGGAGTCCATGGGTCTTGAGAGCTCTCGACGTCGACAATCTCCCAAGGGCCCGCCTCTAGTAGCGTCTCTCTAGTCGGTCTGTTGTGGCGGCAGGCGCCGACGAAGAGAGGCCATATTAGCAGAAACTATTAGCAGAAACTACCATGAAATATTCTCATGGAAAGAATGGCATCGACGGAGCGCGAGAAAGGAATGACATGAAGAGCCACGGGATATCATGTGCCTGCTGCTTTCCTTCTATAAGATCGGGATGAAGATAGTCTATTCTCTTGGCAGCCTATACCGCGGCTCAGATTGACCAGCGCCCCTTTGAGCAATTGCAGAACACTTGGTTTGCGTGTGCTTCTCTAATTACCTACCTGTCTAAAAGTTCTATAAAAGACCCAGCCCAGAAGAATAGCCACATAGCGCCAAGGAAAATGTTGTTACAAAACGTCGGCCTGACAAGACCTCCCATAATGCCATAAAAGGCACAATTAACCTCAAGATGCTAGGAAAGGGACCCCGAGTAGTCCCTCTCCTTGCCATCCCAGCCAATACGTGGCCACCCCTTGGGGAACGTGGACAATGAAGGTAGGGAATACCTACCCTCGCACTGTTGATCCGTACATTTCAGGTCACAAAGACCCCATAAATTACAATAACAGTCTTCGGCCCGAGGACAGTGTATCGCCTCCTTGCCGAAGATAACTGTGCCAGATACTTGTTAGACGGCTGCCCAGAAAAAAAAGAGAAAAAAAATGCAACCCGGAAAGTCGACTTACTGTGCCAAGCATATTCCAGCACCCTCCCACTCAGATCGTCTGTCAGGGGCGTATCTATCAGCCACTGCCGGAAGTGGACGTAGTCCTCTAGAGGCCGCTGCCGCACCGTTTCCCGCGTGACGGCGAACTGCGAGCAGCAGCTGACCCCAACCTCTTGAGGCACCGGGATATCGGGCAGTAATTCCTCAAAGGCCCGCTTGAAGATCTCCTTGGTGGTAAGCCTCCTCCCGCTGGGCTGGGGCTCCTGGCCTGCCGGGAGTTCGTCTGCGAAGGGCCTGATCTCCACGGGGCACCCCAGGACCCAGACGCAGCGCAGGTTTGCGTAGCCGACCGTGCGCACGTAGGTGAAGTTCAGGTTGCGCAGTTCGGGGAGGAGGTCGTAGTCCGGGTCGTCGTTGTGCCACTGGAAGCGGGAGGCGTGGACGAAGATGACGGTGTCCGGCAGGCTGTAGTAGTTGTCGATTAGGTACGTCAAGAACACCATCGCCTCCCGTCCCTTGTTGACGGGGACCGTGAGTGCGTTTTGCGGGTCGTCGACGACGTAGACCTTGCGAGACCATTCAGGCAGATGCTGGTGCACCCAGGTGGTGTTCTCGTGCTTCGTACTCGCGACGACGAGCTCGATAGGTGGTGCCCTGTTTGGCCGCTGGGGCCGAAAGGACAAGCCGCCATGCCGGCTCAGGAAGGGGATAAGAACGAGAAACCAGACGCAAAATAATAGCAGGACGAGGGTGGAAAGGCTGGTGAGCTTGGGGCCTCGCCGTATTGCGAAGGCCATCGTCGTTTAAGTGAGGGACGGCTCACGAACGACGGCACACGGTTGAGCAATGGAGCGCCGCACAAAGCTAAGGGCTGAGGGAGGAGGGAAATAAAGGGAAACACATATTGCAAATTAACTTGCAAGTTGCAATAGATCATCTTTCCTAGGTTCCCGGGTTCCCGGACTGGGGGGCTTTGTTCTCGATGAACCGGAGAGCTGCAGGGCAGCACGTGGGTAGCTCTCAGGGGAGTGGATGGTGTGACGCAAGCATTCACGAATCCCCGGTTGCAGTGGCCCTACAAGGGAATCACAAGCCAATCACCGTCAACAAACCCCTTGGGGCTGTGGTTGCCTTGTGGGTCTGGACTTTCAGGGGCCCCAGATATTTTGTGTACCACAGTCAAGATACGAAGAGGATCATAATAGTATAGTTGTTCAAATGCCCAGGCGCCAGGTCAAACAGATAGTTCACTTATGTGGGTCCAGAAAAGCTCAATTCCCCTCTTGATGTCCAGCCGGGCCGTATTTAAAGGTAGTGCGGCTATGGGGCTTCTGCCTAGGTAGCGTTGTGGACCGTGCTCTTTGTACCCTTTTCCTAATCGGCACTGAGAAATCGTCATCGACAGCTTCGATCACATGTGTAAACCTCTTTTATCGATAGTCTTCATGATGCCTCCATCCACCTTCTCTATGGTGCTTCTAATTACCTATTAATTCCAACTTGGGAGCAAACTTTGGAAGCTCAGAGTACAATACAGTTCAATAAGTTGTCGATCATATCAGCACCCGAATTGGGAATGCGTCGTGAAGTTTCACAACGCCATTGTATCTGATTGCGTATCTTGCCTTGCTTGCTCCTTATCACAGACTTTTCCGAATTCTTTCCGTTTCCGTCAATATCCTCTTAGCAGCCTTTGCTGATTTTCCTCCGAAACATCCAAAAAGACCAGCCATTGATTGATATTTACAAATTAGCAAAGTGGTAACTCATATCTCGTGACTACGTACACTCCTGTGGTGGTAATTAGTTGACGAAAACGAATTGACGACAAAAGGCCGGGTTTGCCGCATCAGCGCAGGCAGCGTAAAAAATTACGATGTCAATGGTTTCCACCCAAAAACATCCACCCAAAAACAAAGCAAAAAAGAAGCCCACACGCCGATTCGAACGACGGACTTCTTGTTTACGAGACAAGCGCTCTACCACTGAGCTATGCAGGCGACGAAAATTTTGCGGGTAGGAGATGTTGGGACCTAGAGCCATTTAAGAGTGCCTAGATCCGTAACGGACTGTCAGGGATATTTACAACCGTAATGAGGCTCATAGAATGAGGGAACCACAACCAGAGCAACGCCGGTTCGATCCGGAGTAAGCCTTAAACATGTTTGCAGCTCGATTCTGATGGTAGGTCTAGGAAATCCCATTTAGGGGTCCTGCACCATTCGGTCAAATCATGAAAGCAACAAGCTCCCAAGCCTCGTCTCACGTCAGCGGGCGATAATCACCTGTTTTGCCTATTCAATGAGTTGCCGATGTCTGCCTTGGCACAAGTTGGAAAACTGGCGGCGGGCATGTGTTGGACATGCTGCAATTGTGGCACAGTAGTCAATCCAACAGTATGACGATGCACCCCGCAAGATCCCCTTCCTCGGCTGCCATCTCGGGAGTTCGGCGTGCCCCGCACGGCTACCATTAAAACAACGCCGGGACTACCGGCCTTTGAAGAGGACGATCATCTCTTTCAATTATGGATCCGTAGCAGAATAGCTCGTCCCAAAAGCCCAAAAGCCATGCACATCAACCTCATACTCGGCGCCCTCCTCACCGCCCTCCTCGCCCACCTCCTCCGCGCCCTCTACGCGGCCCTCACCTCCCCACTCCGGCACATCCCGGGCCCGCCCGCCGCCCGCCTCACCCGGCTATGGTACCTCTGGCGCGTGCGCGGGGCCCGATTCGAGCACGACAACGTGGCCCTGCACCGGCAGCACGGGCCCCTGGTGCGCCTGGCCCCGGACCACTACAGCCTCGACGACCCGGCCGCCGTGCGGGCCGTGTACGGCTTCGGCGCCGGCGGCGCCTTCGCAAAGTCGGACTGGTACTACGGGTGGCAGCACCCGGACCCGGACCGCTGGACGCTGTTCCCGGACCGCGACGTCCGCCGCCACGCCGAGACGCGCCGCCGCTTCCAGGCGCTGTACAGCATGTCGGGCGTGGTGGCGTACGAGCCGTTCGTCGACGCGTGCGGGGACCTGCTGGTGCGCCGGCTGGGGGAGGTGGCGGGGGAGGGGTTCGGCGGTGGAGTGGTTGATATGGCGCATTGGTTCCAGTGCTACGCTTTCGACGTCGTTGCTTGCATCACGTACGGCCGCCGGCTCGGCTTCCTTGACCGCGGGGAGGACGTGGACGGCGTAATCGCGGCCCTGGATAGGACGTTTGTGTACGGCTCCCTGATCGGCATATACCCGCGCCTGCACCCGCTGGCCTTCCGGCTCTCGGCGAGGTTCTCGTGGTCCGGCGCCAGGGGGAGGTTGAAGATCATGGAGTTTGTGCAGAGGCAGATTGCCCGGCGGCGAGGGGAGCGCGAGGAGAGGAAGCGGGGTGGGAAGGGGGAAGGTGTCGTTGGGAGAGAGGGCTTGCCGGAGGACTTCTTGGATAAGATGATGGACCAGAACGAGGAGAATCCGGAGAAGGTCACGGAGTACCACGTCTTCATGATGGGGCTGAGCAACGTCATCGCCGGTTCTGACACCACGGCTGCGAGCCTTTCCGCCATCCTCTACTACCTGCTCAAATACCCGCGGACCCTCACCAAGCTGAAGGACGAGATATCCGTGTTCACGGCCCAGGGCAAGCTCTCAGACAGAGTCACGTTCAGCGAGAGCCAAAAGATGCCGTACTTCCAGGCCGTGATGAAGGAGGCCCTCCGGATGCACGCCGCCACGGGCCTACCACTTTGGAGAGTGGTGCCCGAGGGGGGCGCGCACATCTCGGGGCAGTTCTTCCCAGCAGGGTCGGTGGTGGGGATCAACACGTGGTCGGCGCACTACAACAGGGACGTGTTTGGGGCCGATGCCGATGGGTTTCGGCCGGAACGGTGGATAGAGGCGGAGGAGGCGGCTGAGGCTGGGAATAAGGATATGCTGAGACGGATGGATGCTTACTATATGCCGTTCGGGCTGGGGTCGAGAACGTGCATTGGGAGGCATATCAGCACCCTGGAAATGTCCAAGATCATACCTAGATTGCTGAGGGAATTCGACTTTGAGCTGGAGCGGCCAGAGTGGAAAACCGAAAACTTCTGGTTCGTCAAGCCGAAGGACTTCATTGTCAGGGTGCGCCGAGCTGGAGCCCAGTAATGGAGGGGAGTTTCGACATGGACTCTAGGCGCTAGAAATACGATGGATTCGCATCATTAAAGACAAACATGCCTCAGCTCCTAGTCAGCGTTTGCTAAAGACTTCAAAGCTGTTGCTCACTGTCTTCCCAGTGACACAACCGCCAACACATTCACGGACGCCTGCGTCAGTGATAGCAATGCCGTCTGTTGGTGACGTAGAGGGGATCCAGTCAGCCCCCGAGATTGCGTATATCGAAGACATCCAGTCCTACAAGCATCACCTCCCACCTCTTTCTTCCAATTACAGCTAACCTTCCACTTCAGGTATTCGCCCCTACTCAGACGCCCTCGCTCCTTAACATATCATCAAAATGGCCAACATATTTCGCATGTTCTGGAAAGCATGCACATTAGCTCTCATTTCTAGCTCCGCCCTCGCACAGCTCATCTCCAACAACGCATCAGAGGAGGGGGGATTCCACTCGCAATGTCAGAGTACGTCCGACCACGAGGTTACGCGCAGCAGCGTCCGCCTCCCCCCCGTTTTGTTTTCAACCCCAGTACCCCCACTAACACGCGCAATAACCCTTCAGGCGTCTTCGTCAACCACGACAACGGCGCGCTAATCATGTCGGGCTTCTGCCCGTCCTGCTCCTACTTCTGGGTGGGCCGCTGCTTCGCCAACGCGGACGGCGCGCTGGTCCCCGCGGCTGGCGGTAACTTCGACCGCTCGTGCGACGCCTGCATCGCCAACGACTGGAAGCACCCGGGGTGGATGACCTGCAGCTGTTGGACGGCTGGGCGGGATGGGCCGCCGAGGAGGGTGGAGGCGAGGGTTGACCTTAGTGGGTTCTCCTTTTTTTTCCTCCTTCGGAGTTCAGGTTGTGTGTCTCTGGCTAACTGATTTGGGGTGCGTTAGATGAGTCTATACATGTCCGTGATGGGGTTTTGGGATGTGCTGGGGAGGAGGGCCGTTGGTGTGGGACATAGGGGGAGAGGATGTGCTCATGTCGTAATGAGGGGGTTCGAGGATACTTGGGATAGGCCGTAGGGGAATGGTTTTTCACGTGTCTCAATGCGATGAAACACTTTCCAATTCAGCTCAGTCACGCATCGTTCTGACTGGGAATTTGAGTGGCAGCGGCAAGGGTATAACTGATGGCGAGCGGAAAGAGGGGAGAGTAAAGCGCTGCATCTCTAATCCCGTTGACCAACTCCCTTACCATGGCTCACATATACGTGTGAGTTGTCTGAGATACCTATCAAGCTATGATTTCTTGCTGAACGGCTGACACGTGGCACATGCCCCTGGTCAAGTGAGAAAGTGGATGAGTTGTTTGGGGTCTACGGCGACAAGCTACCACGTAACACCTTCGTCACTAACAAAGGCAGTTTGACAGACACAATCAATCAAGGTGTCATGAGAGCGCAGATATACGAAAATGTAGCTCTCCGTAGCTCGAGATAATACATGATAACATGTGAGACCATAAGGGTGGCTAGGACCTCGGCGGTCTCTGAGGTGTACTTGGTATCTGAACCACCTAATATTCAATATAGTCATCTCGAAGACCTCGTCAGGACCTTCACTAAACGAGATCCCCAAGTTCAAAAAGGGAGGAGTCGACCAGGCTAACTCACAGCTACAGAATGTAGGGCCTGCGTAAGTGGCTCGAGGGAATAATTACACTTTCCTAAGCCCAACTACACCAATTCAAGAAGACCATCTTTGGTACACTGAAAAATGGCACGTTAGACAGGGCCGCCAATGGACCCCTCATACCATAGACACCTAAGTGGGCGCAAGATACTGCAAGTTCCTCGAGCTGGGACCTCGCAGCTTCACGGCAGTGTGACCATCCGTTCCAGGGACAGGGTGGGTAGCAAAGTGATCTCAATATACATCGCTTCGGCTTTTGCGCGGGCATACCGCTGCGATTACTAGCATCTTTCGGACAGGTTGATAATATCGTGTTAGTCTTCATCTTCAGCATTTGACCGCCTCCTATCAATGGGAGGCAAAGCCAGTAGCAAACTTGGGCAATATATTAGCTCTCCAGAAATTTAACACTACTATAACACCTGCACCAAGACATGGCAACGTGGCAGAGGACGTCACCAAGTGGCTCTTCCACGAGATTCTGTCGGCGGTAAAAATACAGTACCCAATGAGTGTGTTTCCAGCTACTTGAAACATCGCGACTTAGTGACCCTCTACGATCTCATCTTCGATTCGTTGTTGCATCCTTTCTTTCCAGGTAAAAGTGCCGCTTTATCCCGGACCCATTTAATAGCATCAGGGGCCCCTTGCTCATTCGCGATTGGAAAACAATATCAGGGGGAATAGCTGGTAAGTCTGGGGAGCGCATACAGGGGAATAAATGACCTCACAGCTTAATATATTCGGCCGCGTCCCGATGACTCCTGGCATTTGCAAAAAATGCCCGTGATTGGTATGTTGCAATATCCAAAGTGTTTCTCTTTATACGTAATCAACATTTCCCAAGAGACTCCAGAAAGCTTCACATTGCCGATTAATATGCTCGCATGTCGGCAAGCAATGTGGGGTGCCATTTTATGGGAGGATGGAAGGAAATCAACGATGACATTCCCCGGCCACCCGTACCTTCATATACGTATGGATATTCGACGGGGGAAGTCTGGAATTTCTCGTGCACCTTGATGCCCTCTTAGGAGCAACCTCGACCTCGACTAGACCGAGCCAACCCAAGACGTAGCTTTCGTCAGCCGTCAAGGCATCAACTAGAGCCCAACATGCATTGGAGATCTCTCGTGCTTGCCGCCGCGGCCATCGCGCCCGGTGCCAATGCCGCCGCAACGCTCCGCTTTTCCTGCTCGCAGCTCGTCGTCGACCGTCTAGATCCGTAAGCCAACTCCACGTCAACGAGGGTGGCGCAACTTGGTCTTTCTAACAGGGTCACTTTTGCCCAGCCTGGTCAACCCTGGAATGCTGCCGTCGCCGCATCTTCACCAGGTCGTCGGAGGGAACACCTTCAACGCCTCGATGGACCCCAGCACGCTCGACCCGCCGACAGCTGCGACATGTACCAGCTGCACACCCACTGAAGACTTCTCAAACTACTGGACTGCCGTCCTGTTCTTCCGTGCAAGGAACGGGACCTTCCACCGCGTCTCGACCCTGGGCAACCCGCTCGGATACGGCGAGGCAACCGGTGGCCAGACGGTCTACTACCTCTCGAGCGGCAAGGTCACAGCATTCAAGCCGGGCTTCCGCATGACCGTCGGGGACCCGACCTTCCGCACGGCGGCCCAGATCAGAAAATACCCCATGCTCACCTACACATGCCTGCAGACCAGCTCGACGAGGAGCGGCGCGACCACGGGCTTCCCGACAGCGGCGTGCAAGGTGGGCATCATGGTCAGCATCCGGTTCCCGACCTGCTGGGACGGGCAGAACCTGGACAGCCCGGACCACCAGTCACACGTGGCGTACCCTGCGGCGGGCGGGCAGTGCCCGGCCACGCACCCCGTGACGATACCGCAGGTCTTTTACGAAACATATTGGGACACGACCCCCTTCAACAACAGGGCCGACTGGCCGGCGGACGGGTCGCAGCCGTTTGTGTGGTCGTTTGGCGACTCGACGGGCTACGGCAACCACGGCGACTACGTCTTCGGGTGGAAGGGCGACGCGCTGCAGCGGGCCATGGACACGGGCTGCAACAGCGACCTGTTCACAAACGCCATCAACTGCCCCACGCTCAAGACGCAGACCATCCAGCAGAGCAATAAGTGCACCCGCAAGCGCGAGGTCAACGAGAACCTCGACGGCTGGCTCACCGAGCTGCCCGGCGGCATGCCCGTCACCGGGAACAAGGCCTGAGATTGTCGAGTCTGACCTGGCAAGACGCTTTTGGGAGGGCTTGGGGAGGGGGTGGGAATCGGAACTGGTGGCATCAAATTAATGGACAACATGGTTGCCACGCTTGTGCTGGAATTCCTGGCGTCACTTGCTTGTGCCGATTGTCAAGGCCTGTGGCGCTGTAATTATTTAGCAGTTTGTACGAATTTAGATTTGTCCTTCCAAATAGGTCTGTGAATTAATTTATTGTCACGAGGCGTTTGAGTTTCATGAACTAATTAGAGAACATGACTCACTTCTCATAGAGATTGTCACCGTCGATTAAGAACGAGAATGGTTTGTTTTGAGTTCGTCTCTTGCGAATATGAAATGGCCTTTGATTTAGACACATCTACTTACGTCCGAGCTCCGTGAGCAATTCTGAAGAGGATTAAAGCTCATTACTCACAATAGACGTTGAGACAATAGGAGGTGGACAATGTTATGGATGACTATGCTACAGGACCTCAAGAAATACCCATGGGCTCAGCACGGCAAGAACAGCACTTGCTGCATGACGGGCTAAGGGGAGTACAAGATGGGGAAGCTACAGGCCAAAGGAAAAGTACAGTTTGCAAGCAGCATAAGACACATCACCGAATCTCCACCTAAAAAAGGGGAATATTCTTCACACCGATCGGCGCACGACCTTGCCGTCCTGGCAGGTCGTGCCCACGGCGAGCTCCATCCTCACGGCGGCGCCGTGGTCGCAGATGCCGAAGTAGCCCGGGTCCAGGCAGATCAGGGCGCCCTCCTCAGAGCAGGGCACCGGGCCGCCGGCGCCCGAGGAGGACGAGCCACCGCTTCCGCTGCCGCTGCCGCCCGTGGCGACTGGAGCGGCCGAGCTCGAGGAGGAAGTCGTCGCCGTGTGCAGCGTTACTGGGATAACGGTCTGTGGGAGCTCGAGAGTGGAGGAGGAGCTTGGCATTGGGCGGTAGCTGAAGGTGGTGGGTGGGAATGAGTCCAAGCTGGATGACTGACCAGAGGGTGAATCAGAACCAGAGCCGGAGCCGGAGCTGCCCTGGCTGCCAAGGGTACCGCTGATGGACCTGTCAAAGTTAGGGCCATCCGACTTTGGGCAGGTGCCCTCGGAATCGGCGGCCGGCTGGGCGAGAAGCACGCCGGCCCTGCCCGGGTTGGGGACGTTGAGGATGCCGTCGTTGGTGGTGCACTGTGCGAGGCCGGCGACGTTAGCGACAAAGATAGGCGGCAGGGAGTCGAGGAAGGCGGTGCCGTTGCTGTCGGAGCCGCCGGTCATGACCATCGGGGCGCAGTTCATGTACATCTCGCGGTTGCCGATCTTGTTGAACCAGGTCCAGCCGAAGGAGAACCTGCCGTTGGGCAGGCCCTTGGGGATGGGGATGTCGAACTGCCGGACGCACTCCTTGCCGAACGAGTTGCCGCACTTCCGGCCGTCGGGCCGCCCGTCCTCGTCGTCGGGGGCCGAGCCCTCGATGTTGCCCTGCGCGTCGGCCGGGCAGCCGCCGATGATGGAGTAGATGACCTTCCACTTCGACGGGTCGTCGCTCGGCTGGTCGCCGTAGTTGACGCTGAACTGGCACGAGCCGCCCCCGTGAATCGCAGACCCGGTGAACTTGACCGTCTGGGTCGAGCCCGCGGTCACGTTGGTGATCTCGGTGATGCTGAAGTTGCCGTGGCACGGGAAAGGCACGGCGACTTGGCCGCCGGTGGCGGGGCCGAGGGGGCTGGTCTGTAGCTTGTGGAGGTTGTACGGCGTGGGTGTGTTCATGATCATGTGGGCGGCCGATGAGCCCACGAGCCCAAGGGCCGCCATGATCTTGGGGGTGTTAAAGTTGACCATCGCTGATGGAAAACGTGGTGTTCTGTGAAGTGGGTATAGGTGGCCCTAGAATCTGTGACTAAAATCAGTCGTCAACAAGGATGGTTTCACTCACTTTTCTGATGTCTGGTGAGATTTCTGCTTTCTCCGAGAGAAGATACTGGGAAGTTCGCCGACCTTATATACTCCCGCAGGGCGTCATGTCTACAAGGAGGTCGCGTGGCATTGTTCTACAGGTAAACAAAGAAGAATGAATTGTGAAAGGGAATATTCTCGGTGTTCCCGAGAACAATACGTGTGACGAGGCAGCGCCTTTGATGACTGTTTACGACAAAGGAAGAAGTCGAGGATCAATCAACAAGTCACCAGATCTAGGCTATCAAGTCAGACACACACAATATCCCAAAACTGCTCTAGTTTGACTCGACATCATTCATCCAGGAAGGTTCTTACAAAGAAGATTCGATCCTATGTGTCAACATTGCAAGGAGATCTAAATTATGTATGCGATGAATCAGAAGGTCTTCTTTTGCTCACAAAAGCCAAATCGCTAAGACTTCTGGGAAATCTGACTTGTCAAATGATTGATGCCCTGGTGGCTGTTGATAGTTAGATTGTATTTATGCATTCGCCATGAGCGGTCCTTTGTTAGCCAACCTTTTAAACGGAAGGGCATATTCCGGTTACTGCCCCAGGAACTTGCTAGAATGAGCTGCCAGCTCGTTCTGACCCACGCTCCGGACTTGAGATCTTGAAGGTCTTTGGCCAGTCTGAATCTCTGTGAGGCCCATATAGGCTCTCCAGAACTGAGAACCCTCACTCCAGTGTGTCCCCCTTACTAGTCCGTCACCACCAAACTGCTCCCTTCACTTCACCAGTCTGATTGTAAGAGAAGTTATGATTTACCTGCATGCCATCAACCCTTAGCATTAGTATACGCCTGAGAGAGCCCACCTTTAGTGTCGAGGCTGTGTTTTGTAGTCTATTAGAATATTGCGACACATGGAGTTGGCGCCACATATGCGTTTCGCTCGATAATTCCCATTGTCAACAGCGCTGTATACAGTAATCACTGTTCCTCTACAGCTTCTCAAACACATCCTCAGGAATTTCATAGCCCCAATCTCCACCCACAAATGCTGCACAATGCAGTAACAAGTGGTCAGGTGGAAGCGGAGGTTCGGAATTGCAAACTCGGAGGGACATCTCTGCTCAGTGTTGAACCTGAAATTGCCCATCTTGGTCCCCACAACACACCTCCAGCCCCTCTTTACCCTCGAGCCACTTGGAGTTGATGCCTTGCAGGTGTAGAGATGCCGGATGTCTCGATCCGCTTAGCAGTGCTGTTCCTCCATCCCCATTCACCACAAGAAACCCCCCGTCCCCAGCACAACCAACCCAACCCACAAAACACAAACCCCGACCGCAGGCCTCACCCCTGCGCTCCCCGTCCCATTAACCTGCTTCCCGACCTCCTCCCCAAACTCGCCAACCACGTTCCCGCGCGGCCAGTACTCGCAGGCGAGGTACCACCCCTTGGCGCCACACAGCCTCCTCCCGCATCCGACGGCCGACGTGTTCTTCCACACCAGCTGCGTGAAGTGGCCCGTCGCCTCGCCGAACTGCGGCTTCCGGAAGTCGTACTCGTCGCGCTCGGCCGCCCACAGGCGCACGCACCCCTGCGCGTCCGAGCAGCCCAGCGCGAGGTTCTCGCCGTACGGCCCGCCGCTGTGCGCGAGCTTGCAGTCGCGCCCGTTATCGGAGGAGTCGAGGTAGCGCTGTGCGAAGCGCTCTAGCGTCGCGTTGTAGGTCACCGCCGAGGCGTTGTGCTCGGCGCGGAAGAAGTTGGTGCTGTTTAGGATGGCGGAGGTGAAGAGCGACTCGGTCACGAACTCGGGGGATGAGGAGGGGATGGGCGGCGCGGTGGTTATGGTTACTGTTTTGGGGGAGGCGTGGGCGGTGGGGAGGAGGAAGGAGGAGAGGGGGAGGAGGAGGGGGTGGAGGAGTCGCATTGGGGGAGATGGGGTGGGTGTAGGGGTTTCTTTGGATTATATATAATAATAATATTCGGGATGAACTAGTCTCGAGATTTTGCACAGATGGTTGGAGATGATTACTTGGCAAGGGAAGTAAGCTGTCTCTCGTGGGGATGGACAACTCTGAGGGAACGAGGAAGACAAAGACAAAGGAAGCCAGAGGAGGGGAACTCCTATCCATTGAAGCTAGGAAATTCATTTGTCTCATCCCTGCTAGACAGTCGCGAGTTGGCACCATCATATATATATAACCTGAAAAAAGCATCCCCGAAAACCGGGTTTGGGAATCGGCGTTGAGATAGGCAACGGTTGGATGTCGGCGGCTCGGATGACGTAGGGAGAGCGCTTCGTTTCCCGTTTTCAGGGGTATGGTACGGCGGCACGATCCACCCCGCAAATTCAGCTTCCAACCCACCCCATCACCTCAATCAGACAGAGAGCGCAACATGCGAAACAACCTCCACTCCCCTCAATCTTCGTCCGGATTCTTGCACACGGCCTCCAGCCTCCACCCATCCGGGCAGACGACAAAGGCGGCGAAGTAGTTTTCGCCGTAGTGTCTCCGCAGCCCAGGCGCGCCATCGCATCTCCCGCCGTGCGCGAGGGCTGCTGCGTGGAAGTCGGCAACGGCCCGCCGGCTCGCCGCATTGAAGGCGATGTGGCACCCTCGCCCCGGCGCTCGCGCCTCGACGTCGCCGTACTCGAAGATGTTGAGGAGCTCGTGCTCCTCGTCGGGGCCGTAGCCGAGAGTCCTGGGTTTCCCGGGCACGGTCCCGGTCCCGGTGCTCTCGCTGTCGTACACCAGCCGCAGGCCGAGCGGCTCGAGGATGGCGCTGTAGAAGCCCTTGGAGATGCTGTAGCTGCAAACACCTATGGAGAGGTGGCCGAGTGGCTGTGGGTGTGGTTGCATCTTGGCTTCTGAGGCTTTGGTCGACATAGTAAGTGTGGCAATCACGTAACGATGTTAAAAATAACGAAAGAACGTCAGGTGAAGACCTGCCTCTGCCTGCACAGGACGGCCGCAGTGCTGAGGAACGCTCTTTGCAAACGGAATGGCACTCGATGGGAAAGCGCCGAGATCAGCTTCCAACTTCACATATTGCATAAATCCAGCCATGCCAAGGACGAATTACGGGGTACAGAGATACGAGGCATTGCGTGCTTCTTGACTTGAGCAGCAGGCAGCGACCTTGGTATTCGACGGGAGCTGGACCACACCGTGGCAGCATTTCAACAGCCTTCAGATCTGAAGTATGGGCATTAGCCCGTTTCCAGGCGATGGCAATATCAATTATAATTAGCTGCCAGACGCTGTCGCTGTCTCTATATATTCATCAAGCCGTCCAAAGTAGATTGCCTAAGTAACTCTCCCAAGCTGGTTGTTCACAAGTTGCCAACGATCGTAGCTAGGCTCTCATGTCAGCGACAGCCCCTTGATTGGGCGACGGGGGAGGCGGGAGGAAGAACAGAGGTAGAATCCTTACCCAAAGAAGAAATTCACAACGTAATTAGTCATATATTCGAAGAAGCTCTTGAATGTATGGCCAAGGCCCAACTCATGTCTGCCGCTCGCCGCCGGAGCCGGTGGGCCGGTGGCAGTCCCCGCCTCAGCTGGCGTTGGCATCGACATAGACGGCGTAGTCGTGGCGGCAGTCGTCGCCACTGGACTCGCCGCCGCGCTGCTCCTCGTCGTCGTCGTCAGCATCGTCGTCGGCGCCGCAAGCACGGGACTCGTCGCCGGCGGTATCGTAGCCACGACGGTCTCGCACAGATCCTCTGGCGGGCCTAGGAAAGGCGCGCAAGTGCCCGGAAGATCAGTGGCGTCGTTGAAATCGTCCGCGACGATGTCCCCCCGCTCGCCGCTGATGATGTCGATCTTGGACGCGAAGCTGATGCCTCCCGGGATAGTCCAGTTAGCCGTGTAGAGCGTGTACTGGCCGGCGCAGGCGCCCCTCCGCATCGACATGGTCATGTTGTGCAGGCCCGCGACGGGGAGGCCCGGCCGGGGCTGCTTGTACGAGATGAGGAGCGTGGCGGTGAGGTCGGCGCGGTCGTTGCGGATGGCCGCCGAGACGCTGACGGCGCCGGTGTGCTGCGAGAGGCAGCTCTGTGGGCGCAGCAGCATGACGGCGTCTTGAAGAGGGTAGGAATGGCCGTTGTTGTCGAATAAGAGGCTGGTGCCGTTCTTCAGGTTGACGGTTACGGTGAAGGATGAGATGCCTGTCTTGGTTGAGAGGACGGCTTCGACCGGAAAGAACTGTTTGGTCGTGTCAGTCCCGTCACTCGCTTGAATCTCTCAGCTTTAGAACTTACAGCAAAAGAGTCGTCAAAGCCCTTGCCGCGACCCTGCACCGTCGCGGTAATGGTGCAGTTACTCCTCCCACAATCGTTTCCACCATTCCGATCTCGGTAAGCGAGCTTGATGTCCTTTATCTCAGTGACAAGAAGGTGCGTAGTCCGGATGCGGATATGGCCCGCCAGTCGCATTATCCTGCCACTTGGGTCGAGTGTCAACTGCATGTCGACGGGCTTTAAGGTGTATGGTTGAATTGGTTCTGACAGTGTCACACCTTGCGGTACCACGTCGATCATTTTCTGCAATATCCGCTGGCAGACGGTCTCAAACTCAGCCGGATCTGCCAGAGCCTTGACCGTGGCATTGGCATCCGAGTCAAAGATGCGGCGATCCGAGTCCTTCCCGAGCGCAATGGCTGGGCCAACAACCAGGGGATTGGTGGTGTTTCCATCGAGGTATTCAGTGACGACTCTGTTGTCGAAACTGGCTACAGTAGAGTCTATACCGACTTCATCCTGAGTGATCAGTTCGGGGAACTCGGTACGGTGCACCCTGCCGAGGGTATGGCCGCAGGCCGTGACCTGGATCATCTCCTCGGGGGTGAACCCCATGCGTGCGAACTGCTGCCGGAACAAGCCGATGTCGTGCTCCGGTTGTGGGACGCCGGTCTCGCCGGCCCCCGGAGCATCGAGTCTTCCCCCGCGAATAGGAATGACGGGACCGCCACAGGCGCGCACAGAGGTGTAGACGCCAAGGGCGATGAGGTCCGAAATACTCGCCCGAGGGGAGAGGTACGCTGACATGAATCGCAGAGTAGTGTTGAAGCCGGGCCCGAGATTCTCGCCGTTGTCAAGCATGTACTGGATAGACCCGTCCAGACCACCGGTTCCGGCAGCCACATTGGCCGTGGACATGTCGTGGAATCCGAGGCGGAGCCATTCGGCAGCATTCTGCCTCCCCGGCCCGGATGCTTCATTCGAGCAGGGATCCACCGTGTCGGAGAACCTCCGACCCTTGAAGGCCTTGAGTTGGTACATGATCTCCTCCAGCTCGTCGGTCGGCGACGGCCATGTCGGATCGGCAACGGTGGGTCCAGCAAGCAGCAGTTGGGCCGCTAGCGGCAGACACCAGAGACGGAGCTGCATCTTTGATGCCGGAAGCAATCAAGAGATAAATGAAAGGCTACGGGCATTACCAAAAATGACGCGAAACGAATGTACTGCGGGCTCGGTCATGACGAGCCACCATTGTCCCATTACACCTGATGAGAAGGGCGAAGGACGAAAAAGCCTTCACCGGTCTTCAGCTGAGATGTCAAGGCGGCCTGACGAAAGGGGCCTAGAACATCCATGGTGGTTGGTCAAGGTCACGTGCCGTCGTATGATGTGGCGCCCCCTTTTCGGGTCTGAATACGAGGTTTGAAGCCAGCCCATAAAATTGCAACACGAGACTGACGCGAGGAGCCTTGACCCAAGAAAATCATCACAAAAGATCGAAACGCAGACAGATTGGGAGCTAACTTCCCAAGAGCATTTATCTCTTTGTCTCTACTCTACTACCGTCCCATAATTGCAGGGCTTTGTTTCTTTTCCGTTTCCTTGTTTCCCCTCTTATGTCGGTTTTGTTGCGTAGAAATATTGTGTGGGAGTGTGATAATGTGGAGACGATGCTAGAGCACAGGAGAATTCTAAGAAACCCGCCTAACGAGGTATTCTAATTCTCGGGACGTTGATTCGGTGCAGTGGCAGGTTGTGGCTGAAGATTTGAGAACCACGATGCCTGAGCCTGTGTGAAACCGGCTATCACGATATTATCAATCTCTTGGCTAGGCTGATGAAGCAATATCCGCTCACTTCCTCACCGTCACTCACGAGCCCATTCATGTCCTGCTGTAACAACCGAAGCAGTTCTTCATCTGTTAATGAGCTTCCAGAGTCTGCGCCCACCTCCATTTTTTCAAGGATGCAGGGGGAAGCAATACCCTGTTCTTCCTAGACAATACCGTAGAAGTTACGATAAGCTGGACCCTCTCCCCAATGCACCTTGGCGTAGTCCCAGCAGCACTCTAGAATTTGCCGATGCCGGCCGACGAATAACTTGGCTCGTGGTCCTCTCCGGGCTTGACGAATGAAGCCGTAAGGTGGTCGTTCTTTGCGCTATCAAGGGAGCAGAACCGTGGCAGGAAGATATTCAAGGGGCAAAGTGGTGAATCGTCGTATTTTCCAGAAGCCCCAAACTAGTCCCTCATTTGTCTCACGTTCAGATTGACCCTCTTGTTCTTCATCCAGCCCTTCCACTCTTCGTATTTGCCGTCTTCGGCGGGCCAGTCTTCCAGATACGACGGACAGGTCCCCTTCAAGACCTTCGGCACCCCATGCCAAGCGAAGCGGGACTCTTTCGTCATGTATATGGCGTCACCCGACCGGAGCCTCAGCAGGAGATACTGCTTGCTGCCGGCAGCGTCCTTTTCCTCGTCTGACATCTTCCCCATGTCGTTCGGCGCGATCATGAACAGCGAGTCGCAGCCGAAGCTGAGGCTTATGAGTCCCTTGTCCGTCTCCTCCGAGACGTCGCGGTGCATCATCATGGTGTCTCCGGGCGTGTAGAAGTTGACAATGGCCGCCTGGGCAACGGTCTCCGGGAACAAGGACTCGAGGAATGCCCCGATGTCTGAGGGAAATTCCGGCGGCCGTTGCTCCGGATACACGCGGCTTGTCCAATCGTACTGGCCCCCGAAGGTTACCCAATGGAGACGCCGGTCCATAACCTGCTTGACGGAAAGAGGCCGGTGGACTTCCGGGTCTTTCGGTTCAAACCTGGCGGATGAGTCCGGGGGGTAGGAAAAGAAGGATATGCCGTTTTCTGAGGTCTCACACGGATAAGGGAGATCATAGTGGGGGTGCAGGTTGGTCTGATGCTTGGGATTGCTCAAATCTCGATGGATCATATATTTCAGCAGGATCTTCTGGATTTCAGGCGGGATCACAGATGGTATAATGAGCAGTCCTTCGTTTTGTTAGGTAAAATACGCTGAGGCAGCAGGAGTAGTAGACAAACCTGGGAGTAAGGGGTGGTAATATATCGGAGCGTCCTGTCCCTCAGGGAGGCTTGAAGACGCTTCCTCGCCCAAGTGCCTGAACGAAGCAGCCATCTGCTCTGCTTTGATCTCGCCGGCACGAAGGAAGCCGGCGGCTTTCTCAGGGGAGCTAAGGTCATCTAGCTCATTACTTTCAAAGAGGGATGTTTGATCCATCTTTGCATATGTCTTCCACTTGGCCCGGAGCTCATCAGATGGCTGCTCATGAGCATCAAGAGAGGTAACATCTACAGTCATCTTAACTGATTGACTGCCTCCAAACAGGATTCTGGGTGAGGAACTGTTGAACAATGATTTAAACTCAGGAATATAACTAGTAGATAACCAGTCTGTGATAGCTTAATCAAGCATATGCCCCTGTAAAATCAAGTTGCTCAGGCGTAAAGGGGTTTAGTTGTCATGTTTGTTGCCATGTTGATAAATTTTAATGTTCTTGGAGGGGTCATTTCACCAGCCCCAGAGAAGGTGGGGTAGTTTGACACTGATAAGCCAGATAAAAGGCTGAAGCGCCACAGCCAAGCCACCTCCACACTAAATAACGCGATTTGGAACCCCTCCCTCTCGCTTGGGACCGCGCTTGGTTGCACAGTAAACACAGCTTGTCGGGGTGATATTTTTTCGGTCCAAAACACAGCAACCGGACGAATCTGAACAAAACAAGGCGCCGATTCCCAAATTATCACAGCAGGACGACACACAAGCCCCTTCAATGGCGAAGCAGTTGTAGCTTCGGCATCCCTTCATTCCCATTTGACCCTCCCTTTTTCGTCTTGTCCTTCCTATCTTTTACTGATCCCTCTTTTCCCTGGCGCCAAATTGCCCCTGTCCCTCGTTTGGCCTGTCTCAACCCTGCCAAGCATCGGTCAACCCACGGTGACCTGCAGCTCAACCAAGAGAAAGCCAAGCGGAGGTAACAACGGCAACAATGGATAATTACCAGAAGCTCGAGAAGATTGGCGAGGGTCAGTGATCACCATTAACCTATCTTTATATGCCTCAGAATTTGTCAACATGACACTGCTAAGTGCTTGAACACGTCGGCTGACTTTTACCTGCTCTCCTGTTAGGCACCTACGGCGTCGTGTACAAAGCCCGAGACCTTGCCCATGGTGGGCGCATAGTGGCGCTGAAGAAAATCCGCCTGGAAGCTGAGGATGAGGGCGTGCCGTCGACCGCGATCCGCGAGATCTCACTGCTAAAGGAGATGCGAGACCCCAACATTGTTCGCCTTCTCAACATTGTCCATGCCGACGGTCACAAGCTGTATCTGGTGTTTGAGTTCCTTGACCTGGACCTGAAGAAGTACATGGAGTCTCTGCCTGTTGCGGATGGTGGTCGTGGCAAGGCTCTGCCTGAGGGCACCGGCCCTGAGCTGCACAATCTCGGCCTTGGTGATGCCATCATCAAGAAGTTCATGAGCCAGCTGTGCGAGGGTGTTCGGTACTGCCATAGCCACCGCGTCCTCCACCGCGACCTGAAGCCCCAGAACCTGCTTATCGACCGTGACGGAAACCTCAAGTTGGCTGATTTCGGCCTCGCCCGAGCGTTTGGCGTCCCCCTGCGAACCTACACCCATGAGGTCGTTACGCTCTGGTACCGCGCCCCGGAGATTCTGCTTGGTGGCCGCCAATACTCGACTGGAGTGGACATGTGGTCTGTTGGGTGCATCTTCGCTGAGATGTGCACTCGTAAGCCGCTCTTCCCTGGCGACTCGGAGATTGACGAGATCTTCAAGATTTTCCGGTAGGTTCTCCCGACTCCCAAGTCCCAAGTCCCAAATCCCTTCCAACTTTCTCCTCTTTCCCAGGGCTACCAGAGCTAGATGCTGACCCAATAACGACAACCATAGACTTCTTGGCACTCCCACTGAAGAAATCTGGCCCGGTGTCACGTCATACCCCGACTTCAAACCCACCTTCCCTAAGTGGGCACGCGATTACAGCGCCCCCCTCTGCACGAACCTCGATGATGCAGGACTCGAGCTCCTGGAGATGATGCTCGTCTACGATCCGGCGGGTCGCATCTCTGCTAAGCAGGCTTGCAATCACCCGTACTTCGAGGACTATAACCGAGCTCATCTCTACGGTAATGGCTACCACTAGTTGCGTACGCCATGGGGGGTTAGCGCCGCGGCTGGTGGGGTGGAAGGGGTGCGGACGTGGACCGTACCGCCAAACTTTCGGCTTGAGCCTGGAAGGCGACCATGGCCAGGCTTACCTCGATGAAAGCATTCCTTATCCGTCTGCTTTCAGGATACTGTCGTGTCCCCTTTTTTTCGTTTTGGCCAGCAAACTGGCTTTTTCCAATTCGGCGTTCTGAGGGATATGGCAAGGGTTTTATTTTTATTGTGAATTGCATTGCTGGCATAACCTGGCTTAAGGCACGGGGAAGATGGATCTTCGCGCGCGACGATGCTGTATTGCCCTGTTATGTGGAGAAGGGTGCCTGAGAGCCGGTCGAGGTTGGCTTTCGAACATCTCCATGGGACAAACGGCTGGCACCAAGGGGAGGAAGATCATCTTCGGAGGCCTGCTTTTCTAACCAGATGACTCAATAACCATGGAAGTCTTTTCCTTTTCCTTTGTCGCAGAGTTAATTCATCGAGGACACGAGGGTCATGGACAGGACGGAATGAGCAATGGAACCGAATAAAATGCACATATTTTCAAACTGCAACTGCCAACACTCCTGTAGGTTTGTAGACATCTCCTAGCTCAATACCCCATGATCCTACCGAACTAATATTGAGCTGGTCGGTCCCTCGCGATGCCGTTATCGAGTCATTGCCATCTGCCATCTGCCGGGTTGGCTCTCACTACCCAGCTCCATGGCAGGATGATTTGGCCACAGCAGAAACACATGTTACTCAGATGAACGGGATAAACTTAGTTACGAAGGGATCCACCAGCAAGACAGGCACATTCTGTCTCTTCCTCTGCCCTACCCATGCATGCTACGTCGTTCCCAGACTCTGACTCTGTAGTCGGCTGGCGCTTGCCCGATTGTTTCGCTCTGGAAATAGAATATAGCGGGAAATGAGAGTGTTATGTGCCGCCCGGGATGTGCCCGGACTAGGAAGCAAGCACCCCGGGGAAAGATGCAGTGGCTGTTGCTGCCTTGGCGAGCGACTAATCTCCTCAGCCGCGTTGCTATCTCGAGCTCGAGAGTTTCAGCACCGACGCAGCAGAAACCCTAAATTACAACTACCCTACGTGCGCGGCGAGCTGTGCCAATCAGGTCTGCAGCGGTACGCACAGACGGCACACGCGCGGGAAGTTTAAGAGGGTTGCTTAAATAAGAAAGGGTCTGGTCTAGCTGCAGATGAGATGAGGGGATTGGATGTGGGTGGTACGGCTCGGAATAAAAGACATGTGAGATGTAAATAGTGCTCTCTTTCCGCCAGTCGTCGAGACGAACCTAGGCGCCGGGAATTGAGGAAGCGTATCGGATGCTGGGCGGTTATCTCGAACCAGGCACTAAGCAGCCGCCTGTTGTGTCAGCTCGAATAAAAGGGCTGTGCCATCGAAAGAAGCAGTGTCTCAAGGAAAGGTGATAGGTCGCCCAGGCGAGTGGCTGAGGCGGCTGTTAAGCGCGGGGGGTAGCGAACCTATTCTCAGGAAGCCCTGATTGGAATTTGCATCCTTACCTTACTATGGTATGGTAGTCCAATGCGTCTGTAAAGAGAGGAAGACTCACGGGGGGCTGAGGATATCAAGTTGCAGTATGCGTATGTAAATACGAATGGTTGGCGGAGTGAGTGCCCAGGAGCCAGGGTAGCAGCAACATGACTCGGTTGTCGCCACACAGAGGAACCTACGTTGGAAAGCAAGGCCATGGTGATTCCGAGCAACCCAGACCCGCAAACCCTTTTCTGCGCAGCTTGTACACGTGTTCGCCGCACGCCGAGTGAACGCCTTTCATTCCCGGCCCATGATCAACTGGGTGACCCAAGACCAATCAGATGGGCAGCTTCCTCGAGGACAGAGATCCCCCCACCACGGAACTCACGGGACCGGGCCACCGGGGAGCCTGCGCAGCCACTCCAACGCAAGCGTTCGCCCCCCGTTCCGACCCGACCAGAAGTTCTCCCCCCCGTGACGAAAATTTTCCCATCCCCCGGCGGCGGCCGGTGATTGGAGCCCGTGGACGGGCACCGCCCTCACGTTTCAGCCGGGTGGCGGGCCAATCAGGCGGCTTGGAGCACTGGGTGTGGCATCTGTCTCCGACAGCCACGTAAACCAACCATGAACTGACAGCGCTGCCTTGGACTCTGGGTGGCCTCCAATGTGAAAAATGGCGGGGTTCGTTAGTTTGTAGACGGGATAATCTGGAGAGAGGCGGTGTGTGGTCTTTTTCTCTCGGCGGCGGCGACAGGAACAGGCAGACAGGGATGGGATGGTCGAGGACGAATCTTGCCAGCCCCCACTGCTTGGCGATCTCCCAATGATTTGCGGAGGGAACACCCCTGCTTGCCAACTGTCGGTGTCCCTTTTCCTGAAAATAGGAGATCACAGTCAAGTTATCGGCAAAAAAGGGGGGGTAACTGGAAGGAGGGGTCATTTTGGCTCCAGCCATGGTATCCGCACACTCATCTCAATCCTGGTACCTATCCCTGGCCGGGGGTGGGTTCTCCCGTCACCTGTGCACATTCCAATGGCAGGCGGACCAAACCATCGTGACAGGGTGGAGGGGTCATTCGCTCGGGTGCTCTGATAGGCCAACAGCTCTGAGGATCGACTTTGTCATCTCGACAAGAGTCCGTGCAGGTGTTTGAAACACAAAGTTCAGATGATCCCAGAACATTTACAAATCCGGGGAAAGACTTGACAATTCGCAATCCCAAGGCTGGGATCGCCGTTGGGATAGTCTACGGAAAGAGATAGCGACGTATCGGTAATGAATGCGATGGAAATTGGAAACCATAGAAGATGGATCTGCCTAGCTACAGGGAGCAGATATCGGAGTGGGAAGGAATGTTAACGGGCAATAGGTAGGTAGTACGGATCCGTGGGTAGGTAATAACCTAAGCTACCACCTGGATTCGGGTCGTGAGGCCATGAAGGGGCGGTTCATGATCCTCCCCTGACCTCCGCGCTATTGGCACCGCAATCACGTCGATGGAGCCTAAAGCTGACGGTGTGGCCTTGCGCAGGGCGGCCTCGGAGGGGGTCTCTGGCAATTTTGTAATTTGTAAACCCAAAACATGTAAACAACCTGGTCGTATCACGAACAGTCATCAGCCATCAGCAACTCAAAACAAATAAACACCGGATGTTGAGGACGCGACCACACGGGTTACGCCATGCAGGACAGCTTGCATGAGAATCAACAATGAATGGCGTCGCTGGTGCGCATCTTACACAGCCTTGGCCTCGACCATGGCGGCCTTTTTGACGTTTGCCTGCCTCCCTAGAGGCCACCGCGTTGCAGAGGCTGTTTGAGGCCGCTCTCATTGGGCTGGTCCCTAACGTGTTGGTTTTTTTTTTACTTCCTCCAGATGATGTTGTGGCCTGGCATGATTGGGCCCGAATGAAGGCTCTCTGGCTGGCTGATCAAGACTCCCAGCCTGGGTCTCGTCATTGGCGCTTTGGCTTCCTTTGGAGGTTCTTTCCTCTCGAGAAACCAGAAGCCACTCGCTGACACATGAAACAAGCGAGGGGGGTGGTTCGTGCGTCTCCCAATGGTGGCCAATCACCCGTCTGCGCTTCCCAGCCATTCATCAAGGGGGTTATGCAGCGCATGGGAACTGCGCCAGGGGTGAAATGCAAATTTGGAGCCAGTCAAGTCATGGACAGGCTCGACTTTCTAGGACAGACACTGCCATTTGTTTCGGAGCTGTGCAGCCATGGGCGGTTTGGGACGAACCACGGGCAAGCCACCCTAGCTCGTTGGCGCACGGCGGTCTGATGTCAGGATGTCAATTTGCTGTGGATTGCCGCGAGACAGGTACCTACCTGGCCTGCCTTGGTTCCGTGCAGCATGCAGTACCTTACGGGATGAAAAGAAACGAATGTCGACATCCAGTCTCCCTGCTCCTTTTGCCCCATGAGCTAACCTTACCTAGCTTGAGGCATGGTTAGATAAGAATCGTCCATCCCTCCCTCTCTCCATGTTGCCCTCCCCTCTCGCCAGGATTCTGGAATCCCAATCTTGGATAGTTACTCAGATTCATTTAAGGGCGGCAAGCTCCCTGAAGAACCATCCTCCGTGCCGCCTGTGGTCTATCCCATACAATCCCCACGAAACGCCGCAGAAAACCTCCGATATTGCGATATTACGACTTGCACGACGACCCGACCCCATCAACCTCCCTTTCCTCAGGCGGACGGTACATACATACTACCTAGACAGCATCGCCCTGGATTTACTGGCATTTTTACTTAATTGTTCCGCCGATATATCGAAACCGTCCATTCCATTCGCCTTTGCCTTGGAACTCCGCCCTTTTCCGTTTCTTCGCCGCTTCAGCTTTCCGTGGCTGCTGGCCTATAATATATCTCAGATTTCGGCCTCGTTTTCTTCTGGATCTCTAGACAACTCATCCTTTATCTCCCACCTGACTGGTAAGCAAGAGACGACTTCGTTTTTCTTTTATTACCATTCTGGAAATCCACCCTGTACACCATCAACTCCACGCACAAACCACCCCGCTTCGCCTCACCAGTGCGCCCTTGTCACCTCAAAAAGAAACAACCGGTGGCATCACAGCGTGAGCACGAGCCTCCTTTTTGGCATTTGGGGGTCAGCGCCAGCACCAGCACAGACCATCTTGCAGGACAGCTGCAAATCATTTCAGCACGATTAATCTATCGGCCGGAGCCCAAGAAGGGGACTGGCGGACAGAGCATACACAGGATTCGGCGCGAACACGAGACGGATCGAACTCTAAACTGACTTTTTTTCCCTCTCCTTCTTCAGATTCTGCTGGATCGGAGTCGTGTCAAATCAGGTTCCCGCCACTAGAGCAAGCGGCAGCGGTCTAGCCCAAACTTTTTTGAAGAGGTTCCTGACTCGCACCCGGTCTTTGGAATCCGCCATCCATTCGTACGGCCGCTGTACTGTACGAAACCTCTACCCCGGATTCTCGGTCATTCTCATCGACCCCCCCGCAGGCTTCCATCCTCGATCCCAGCCACAGCAGAGGACAGGTTGGCATCTTCCAGCTTGTCTGCCTGCTCTTTCTTCCCCATCGATAAATCAAACCGTCAGATCATCAAACCCTCCAAATCACAGCTGGTTTTTTGCAGCTGCCTCGTGTGCTGCCACGCCACCCACGAGTACGTGTACTATCCGAGGTACACCAGATCCAGCGCCAGAGCCACCCCCCGGTCCCGCCGATCTGCCCTTGCTGCCCCACCCACGCTAGCCAAGGAAATAAGAGGCCCAGATCCCTGCCACAGGCAGCCACCCCTCGCTCCCACCGCTAGCGTCACCCAGGCATTCCAGCCCAAAGTGATCGACCCCAACCGGTGGAACCAAGCTGGGCCATCACGCATCGCCCGCACACCCATCTAAAAGCGCCCCCTGCCCACCTGAGCCGGCCCCCTCCTGGCACTTGACGCCCGTCGCTCAGCCTCGTGGCCTTGGTCGTCACCCTCTGACGAAATAATAAGACACGCAGACCTGAATTCTCGAAAGCGGCCTCGAGTAAAACAAGGACAGATTCCTCTTCTTTCACTTTTTACCTCAGCCTTCTTGAAGCATCTGCCAGTCTAAGAACCGGCCACCACCGTCCCGTTGATCATTGATCGGCCTTGGGTGTGCTTCAATAATACTCGCCTCGTATAACTTCTTATTCTCCCCGCAGTTTGGGTACAAAGGCGCACTACCCCCCCTGACATCCAACCTTCACCCCTCCATTTATAATAATTGGCATCCGCACACGCACCTGCGTCCTTGAACTCCTCTTAACTTCTCCACACTCACCTCCAACCAACACACAACACATCTCACTACACAACCATGGAGTCAATATCCTACCTCAGCATGGGCGAGCTCAACGCCGCGGCGCTCGACAACTTTGTCTACCAACCCGTCAGCCGGTCCATGATCACATACCTCGCCGAGGCCGCCCACCAGGTCATCCAGTGCGACCCGACAATGATGCCGCCACCGACATCAGATGCCGCCCGCACCCCGAGCCGAACCGAGCTTCCGCCGACGCCGCCGCGGTCACCGCCCCCACGAGCTGTCCGGAGCGACGATGGCAGCTTGCCCTCGCTGGAGGAGTTCATCACGCAGCTGGTCGTCTCGTCCAACGTCCAGGTCCCCACATTGATGTCCACTCTCGTCTACCTCAACCGCCTCAAGTCCCGGCTGCAACCCATGGCCAAGGGTCTCCGCTGCACCACCCACCGCATCCTGCTGGCATCTCTGATCCTGGCCGCCAAGTACCTGAACGACAGCAGCCCTAAGAACAAGCACTGGGCCAACTACAGCGTCATTTCCAACGAGGTCTACAACTTTGGCTTCAGCAGGACCGAGGTGAACTTGATGGAGAAGCAGCTTCTGTTCCTGCTCGATTGGGACCTAAGGATCACCGAGGAGGATCTCTACCGCGAGCTCGACCACTTCTTGGCACCCATCCGCCAGGACACCCAGGAGCGCCATGTTCGCAAGCAGAGGCGAAAGGCCGAGGAGCGGGCGGCGCTTCGCAAGAGGGAGGAAGCCGAGGCGTGGATCGCGATCGCCAACAGCGGCAGCACTGCTGGTCTGGCATACGCCACGCCCCCGTCGTCGCGGGGCAGCTCGCGGTCAAGGTACGCCGCGCGGCCACCGGCGGAATCAGCCCGCGACGCCTCGCCGCCGGGGCTCAGCTACAGCTCGAGCCGCAGCAGCGCGTCCTCGTACGCCAGCTCGTCGTCGTCGTCGCTCGCCAACTCGAGGGCCACGACCCCGCTCTCGGACCCCGAGGACCCGCAGCCGTACGTGTACGGCACCGACGCCGTCTACGACTCCCCGGTCGAGGTGGTCCTGGAGCGCCCGCAGGTGCCCGGCAAGGACACGTACACGCGCAAGGGCGGCAAGAGCCTCCTGCCCTACGAGATCAGCGCCGAGGAGCTCCGGGAGATCCAGGAGGGCGGCAACAAGGTCAAGCGCATGCGCGGCGTCTTCGGCCGCGTCTTTGGCGGCGGTCAAGGGGTCACAGTCCGATGAGTACCAAATGGCGGGCACGGGGGGCAACGAGTTACGACGAGTCACATTCATCAGGCGATTGGAATGAAGTGCTATCGCATGCATAAATCGGAGTTATATATGGATCTGCATCAACGGAAAATGGGGCAGGCTTTTCGGTCTCTTTCTTTCACTTTCTTTTTGTCTGGCTGGTTTTTGGTCTGAGCAGGATTCCGAATCGAGTGTTTTGTGCTCCCTCGACAACAACCTACAACTGCATAACGATAGAAAAGAAGCGGAGGCTGGCTGGAATCTTTTTGTTTTGCCCAACCGTGTCTTGTCAGAAACGGGAAGGGGCGGCTGGACGGCGTTCATCGGATTATACCAGCTCACTCAGTACCTTACCGTACCTACTGCTGGTACCCACCTCCTTTGTCTAGGTACATGGAGGGAGGGTTGGGGAGGCGAGCATCTAATGAAATTAAGATGGTTATCTTAAAGATCTACCACCTCTATCCTGCCGAGGCCGGGAAATGTGGTTTTGCTTTTATTTTCATGTCTCTGGCTTTTTTTCCCTTTTTTTTTACAGGCTCTGCATTCCATGGGAAGGATGGTATTCTCGGCATGGCATGGCATATATCGCTACTCATTAATGGCGGGGTTGGCAGGGTGATGGTGGGTGGTGGGCATGTGGGTGGGCATGATAGCATTAGCATCAATTTGAATCAAGACGAACCCCCGCGGGAATGAACCCCCGCGCGAGATCGAAACCCATCAATCAATCGCATCAAGCCCATGCATCCAATTACCTTTTTTGTTTTGGGCCTTATCACCATGTGTGTGTGATGTAGATCCCCCAGATTGGGTTTGGAGGGGCAGGGCAGGGGGCAGGGTAGGGGGCAGGGGAGGGAAAGAGCATGAAGCTCTAAATTGGACAGCCGTGATTGTGCTGGCCCCGGCCGTCACATACAGACGAGGGGCGGGAAGGCTACAGCGAACGGGAATGCCGCTGGGCGGGTTGGGGGTGGATCCGTTGGCTGGGAAGATGGCCGCGACAACGATGCCGAGCCCATCGCCCCAAGCAACGCATTCCCCAAAAATGAAAAGGTTTAAGAATGGGGGCGGGAGTTCTCGCGTGGCCGATTTTGATCCCGAGCAGAGAATGAAAAGTTTAAATGTCTGCTTGGCAGGGCCGAGGACACGAGGAAGCTAACGGACTGTGACGAGGGGTCCAGAGTCCGGCCCCAGAGTCCAGACTACACGTGTACTGGGCCTGGAGCTGCTGGTGTGGAGTAGATGAGTTGGGGTACCCGCTTTGGGTGGTCCGTACTTTGTCTGCTACCTTAATGTATACGGCTTCCCTCTTGGTCTTATTTTCTTATTTCCGTTGGGAAATGCGTCTCATATTTGGTATGCGAACGGTGGAAGCCGAAATATGCTGAGGCTCTGCATCTTCCATGACAACGACGTTGCCTGGCGGAGGTCTGTGATACCATGGAACCTACAAGGTCCACGGGCAGGTACAGTACCTGAGTACCTCGCCTAGGTTCCCCCGGTGCATCCATCCGTTCCACACCGAAAAGATCAGATCCTCCGGCTACGCCTAAGAAGGGGTTTGAGCGGCTTTAGCGGCGGCGGGGTTTATCGCCGCTTGTTTTCTTCTTTCCTTTTCCTTCTTTCTCTACGCATGCATGTATAATTGCAGTTTTTCCTTTTTCGATCCTTCAGTCTGTCACGCGGCCCCCTTTTCCCCGCGTTCTTGCCACAGTCTTGTCGGGGTCGACTTTGTCGGTTCGCCGATGCCGAGAGCAAAGCCTCAAGCCACTCACTCCGCGCAGGCGAGTCCTCGATCGCAGGCGGCCAATCGCTGGGACTTGTGGGCAAATCGCGGGAAATTTGGGTTGGGTGGTGTTGGTTGTCCCTTGCATAGGTACCGCGTGATAATCGAGGGATCGCCGACAGGCCTTGAAAAGCATAATGTAGAGAGCATCGGGAGGTTCCCGCACAGCCACCGGGGTTGATCGCTAGGTGTAGCTGGGGGCTCACTTGCCGGTCTTGCGGAACGACGGCGGGGGGGAGGGGGGTGCGCAATCTGTACCGCCCATTCCTTCCTCATGATCCTGCGGCCATGGCGGAGTAAATCTAGTTGAGGCAGTAAATCGCCAATTGTCGGGCCATCGCCATGTTTGAACGATGGCGCGAGAGGTGACGCGGACTTTCAACCTGACAACCTGAGCATGACGAATCTACGTGGTAGCAAGGCTTGACAGGGGCGCTGCTCAGCCCCCCCACCAGCAAGATTAAGCAGTGGCCTGTGCATTTTGAGGGAGCCTCGGCATCCGACGGGAACCTAGGTACCATATGTGGACCCACAGCCAGGCACCCTTGTCAGGTTTTATCTTGGCCGGGAGCAAAAATCGGGTTGAGCGGCGTGGCGATCGAACTGCTTCTCTGCCCTGGTTACGGATACGTCGGCCAGTGGCTCGGTAATTGCCAATATGTCACGATCCTCACCCCGCTGAGGAGGTTGACACGATCGTATTCGTCCGAACACGAGTTTCCCCTGTGCCGTGGTGCATGCTATATCAGCTAGTCTTCGCGATCTATCTTCTTCGCTGGAAATCCCGGTACTCAAACACACTCTACCATCCTAGTTTCCTCTGACATGGTGCCTTTTCAGCTACCTGGGCCAGAATTCCGCATCGAGCAGTTGTTTTAGAGCCTTCAGAAAGACCAGTCAAGCCACAGCCAGCCTCCACAAGATCCTTCCTCTTGCCTACATTGGCATTGTTCTATGGAAGCCCTCACTCAGTGACCTCCCGTTGTCGGCAACTGCAGGCAGCACAAGTTAGCCAAGCGACCTCGCATCAGGTGGCACGGTTGGGGGCTAGACTTACGCCAATCGAGACCTTGAAGGAGTCGTATATGAGCCACTGGAAGGCGGTAAGAGTGCCAATCATCAGGATCCTGACGGGCAGGCCGTTCCAGAGCCCCTTGAAGCCGATGTTGCCGTATATCCTGGCGACGGCCTGGCCGGCGCCCTCGCCGGGCTTTCGTTCGGCGTTCAGCTTGGAGACCATGACGTCAGCCGGGTGGGAGATGACGGCGCAGCCGATGCCGGCGATGTAGCCGCCCAGGAAGCTGACGCCCGTCTGCGCGAGCTTGCTGTAGTCCTCCTTGGGGCGGTCGCCCATGCTCTTGTAGATGGCGGTCACGGCCGACTCGAAGGTCGCGAACTTGACCATGGTGTAGGGGATCTGGCGGGCCCAGAGCGGGTACAGGCCCTTGTACAGGCCGCCGCCGATGCCCTCGCGCTGGGCGATGCGGGTCCAGCCCTCGCGCAGGGTATGGGCGTAGGGCGGGATGGTGGTCTGCATGCGGACCTTGATAGCCTCCCAGGGGCACAGGGCGAGGTCGGCGAGGAACTCGGCTGAGGCGCTGGCGGCGAGATAGACGAGGGTGCGGTTGGCGTTGGGGAACAGCGTGTCGCCGTACGCATGCTTGAACACCTCGTAGAAGCCGTACTTGCCCGCCCCCTGGAAGCTGTAGCCCACGGCGGTCGGGGCCCAACCCGTGAACACGCCGCGCAGGCCCTCCGAGGCAAAGATCTTGCGCCAGGCGGCCGCGTTGGACCGGTAGAGCTTGTTATCGACCTGCCGCCGGCACTTGACCAGGTCGAGGGGCGTGACGGCGGTGTGGGTCGGGCCGCAAGCTGTTTCGGGACCGGACAAAGACGGGTTAGACGTGCCGCCCAAAAATGACTTGCGGTTGCTTTGGGCAGAGAGGGGTGGGGGGTGGGTGGCCTAACCGATGATGCCGCCCAACGTGCAAGCTGCGAAGTATTTGGGGCTGTAGAGCTCAATGGCCCTCGACGGCGGTGCGCCGCGGGCGTCAAGCTTGCTCTGTGATGTGCTCATGTTTCAATTCAGACTCGGGACTCTCGGTTGTGATGAATTGGTAGAGAATTGGAGTTTGAGGAGCTCCTTCAGCTGTCTTACGGATATAATGGCCGGTCCTGGTGGTGACGTCACTGGACAACTCTTGCCCTTACTTCTGAGACGTCTAGTTTAGCTTCCATGCCAAATGCCTGTACTTCGTATTATGGGGCTTGCTGAGTTAATAAAAGCAGAAGCATTTTGAGCGCATGGGAAATAAGGTAACAATATTATTACAAGACGAATTCAGTTTGTGTTTCATTCCGTGATGTAACATGTCTGGTGTTCAAAAAACGAGCTATCTGCTAGTTAGTTTGCTTTATGGCCATTCAGACAGACTACCTACTGAATCCCTTTGTATGTACATACAGACCGCGTTCAATCAACCCAGCAAGTCTGTATGCAAGGCTTACAGGCAGCTGCCGAACACGCGTTGCGGCCCCTGGCTTCGGTGTCAAACAATGCCGGACCCGACATCCGCACGCGGTTTTTGCATGAGCAAACACTGGCAGGGAGTGATTGCGTAGCGGAGTCGGCGCCTAGTTGTGACATGAAGGCCAGGCGCAGATTGCCTACGAATGCCACGCCCTTTCAAGACATCCAGACCACCATCCGAGTAATGATAAAGGCGGCGAACATTGCATTCAACTCAGGCAATACCTCTTCTCTTTCTGACCCTTTGGCCAGTTCTTTGCCTCGAACATTTGCACTCGGCCAACCAACCGAATTCCCAATATTTAATCGACGACGCAATCCGGGGTGGCCTGTGCATTGGTGGCGCCTCGTTTCCGGGTTCCGCGAGAGGTCAGTTCCACTAGGTCGGGTGCCGAGTGATGAGGTAAGCGTGCATCAGAGAGTGCAGCCGTGAAGGTACGACCTCTCTTTCCGCATCCATACAACTGCACCAGCATCTCCACTCGCCCCGACTCGCACTCAACGAGGCAAGAGGCTGAAACTGCAAAATAATTATCCCCGCCTGTTTTTCTTTGCATTTGGATAACCAAAAAAGAAAGATCAGACGTCGACTCGTCAGGAGCCGGGGAGTTTTTGCTGCGGCGACGCTGTAATATTCTAGCTATTACGGATACCTCGTTCTCTTAATACCTATCCATCTTCAATAGTATTGCACCTATCGCGTTGCCTGCTGGCGCTGGATCCTCAATCTCGAGACTTGCGGTGCGTATTCATGTCTCCGGTCGTCTTGGCCAGCACTTTTCCCGCCATTGAATCATGGAGCGGGACGGGCCTCGCGCCTGGGTCTGACCTGGCATTCAGCTGCACGCGACCTGCAACATGGCATCACTCCCTCTCATGCATCTTGTTATAGCTAGCCACTGACTTCAACTTTCTACCTGCAGACGCCACCCTGATCGGGATACTCTTGGAATCTCCCCTCACCCCGAGCTGCCGGCTATAACGACCGAATCGTGACGCCGCCATGGACGAATCCCTCGAGTCGCACACGGCTGCGACCGCGCGTTTCGCTGCCTCGACCACAGCTTCAGCTTCGCGGCTCCTCTCTAGCCACATCCTGACCGCCGATACCATCTCCCGAGCGACGTCGCCGGACCTGCCCTTGTCCGATGCCTCGGATGAGAATGACAAGAAGCGGTACCGTCCGCGGACGTTTAGCTACTTCCGCCTCTTGCCCTTCGCTGTCGAGGAGGAGCCGCATCGCGATGCTGCGCTGGCCGGCATCCTCAAGAATCTATACACTGCGCTCAAGGCCGAAGACTTCTCTCCAGGAGCTCTGCACTGGACGCGTGAGTTGCAGGGATGGCTGAATCTCAAGTTCGAGATGACGAGAGAGCTGCGTGCCCGGCTTGCCAAGATCTATTACCACCTCTGTCTGGCTCCGGGACTGGATAGTTCGACCGCAGATCGGTTTGCGAGGATGATGATCACGTTGACTAGGTAAACACGCGACAATCTCCTCTCCATCCTATTTTATTTTGGCCTCGGTACCGTGGACTGACGAGCCGCACCGCGCTCTAGGAAAAAACACTACCTGAAACCCGGCGAGGACTTGACTCTCGACTGGAGGCCATTGTGGAAAGAGTTCAAGGGGCTGGTTCTCCCATCCGAAATGGCGGCGCACCAGGGGAGCAGGAGGAAGTCTCAGAAGTTCCTCTTGAAGCTCTGCCTGCACGCCAACACTTACTTCGACCCTTCGGAGAGACGGCAAATGCTTGACGAGTTCCTTCCTTACTTCAGTACGGGGGACTTGACCAACGCCTACATCGTCGTCGGCGCCCTGAACGTCATGATTCCCACGACTGCAGCACCTCTGGCCGAGCCTCAATCCCAACCATCAGACTTTGTCCCTACCTTTTTCCACCTGTGGTCTTTAATGACGAGGTCGAGAACCTTCGATGTCTGCTTCATTGACATGTTTTCGCGCATGGCCAAAGACTTCCTGCAGTGTACTCATGTCCCCTTCACGGAGCATGGCATCTTCACCAAGGAGCAGTCGGACCTCATCTTTACTGCCATCCTGAGGTTGACAGACATCCCTGTTGGGCAAGGCGCATCTCCTTACTCGTCCCTCGATAGTTCTCGAGGCGTTGGTATCTTCCTGGATAAAGACAAGAGGAAGTACCCCATCCCCTATATGATAGCTCGGTGGATTGTTCACTCGGTATCGCCCCTTTGCTTCAACGAGGAGCGTTCAATCATGTCCGGTCTAGAGGGTTTAATGGAATCGATTGATACCTTTTTCCATCCCTCGAACCAAGGAAACTGGACCAGTTTCCTGGCCCAGCTGACCTATTACTTGACCGACCTCTTTGTGTCGCGCTGGAACCGCGAGCAGAGCGGCGAACTCGAAACGCCGCCAGAGCGACGCATCAACGCCGAGCTGAAGAAGCGCTTCGTCCTTGCCCTCAGGGAAGTCACCTTCATGGGCCTCTTCGCTAAGAGCTCCAAGGTGGCCAACTATTACTACTCAACCCTGCAGGGCCTCACCTTCCTCGAACCGGATCTCATGCTTCCGGGCGCATTGCAGCGCTTCTATCCCAGCTTGCAGGGCCTGGTGGAGGTCCACCGCACCACTTCCAGCCTATGTGGACTGCAAATGATTGCCAATATCATGTCCAAGCAGAAGGGATTCCGGTGCCACATCACGGCGTTGCTGGCGTTGGCACTCCCTGGCATCGATGCGAATGACCTGGGAAAGACGCAGCACACGCTCAACTTGATCCAGAGCATTGCTTACAGCATCCCGTTTGTGCCGCTCATAAAGGAGCACAGCGCCGTCCAGGATACCAGTCTGGCGATGCAGTGGGTCCAGGGCGAGATGGAGCGCATGGAGCGAGGAGGTCAGGATGTCGCCATCGATTACAAAAGCGAACTGTCCGACGAGGACGAGGCCCAGGTCCTGCGCTCGTCGACGGCCGGCTTTAGCGAGTTCGTCCTGGCCCTCCTGGGCAAGGTCTTCACCCTCTTGGAGAACCTGCCAGATCCCTCGCATGTGCGCACGAGCTCTCCAGAAGAGAACGTCATCAACACCCTCCCTGCGGCGCTGACCCCGCTGTTCGCGACCTTGTCCCCGGAGCTGTTCGACATGACGCTCGACAAGCTTGCGACCTTCGTGTCCTCGCACGTTGTCCACCAGGCCCGGGATGCCATGGCGTGGATCTGCAATGCTCTTTGCAAGGTCAACCCCGAGAAGGCGCTCAAGGTCTTCATCCCCATGCTGATTGTCAGCATCCGCAACGAGATCGACTACAACGGCGCGGCATCCGATCGCAGTAGTGGCACAGAGCTGTTGCCTCGTGATAGGGCGCTGGTGTGGCATGTGAGCATACTGAGCATGTGCGTGGTCCATGTTGGCGGCGAGGTGCTGAGGTACAGGGAAGAGCTGCTCGGCATTGCCCGCTACATGCAGGAGAAGTGCCGCGGGCTGCCTACCATTCACATCTCAAATTATATCCACCACCTCCTGCTCAATCTGACGCACACCTACCCCATCGACAACGCTCTCTACGAGCCGGAGCTCATTGAGCGGGGTCTGGACATTGACGACTGGGGCCGCACCACCGCCCCGGCCGAGCTGACCATACGGTGGCACCGTCCTTCGTCAGAAGAGATGCATTTTGCTTTCCAGCTCTTCGAGAGCGAGGTCTATTCTGCCTCGCAGAGGCTGGAGCAGCTTATGAGCGATGATCCTCCGGTGAGCCGGAAGGGCAAGAACAAGGAGTGGTCCGACGAGCTATCTAGGAGTCTGACGGCAATCCGGCTTGTCATATCCGGCGCGGCGACTCTGTTCGACCCTAAGAGGGCATCGGGGGAGTCGGACGACTGTGTGAATGGCGACGATAGCATGGATGTGGATGGTGATGCCGTCTTAGAGGAAGACGATGACCCCCTCGCCGAGGTAGCAGACGACGAGGAGCTCAGGCGCCAGTTCCACTATCCCGCGGGTTATCTGCTCGACCCGCAGAGCCCCATCTACTCTCGGATCCACAACCTCCGCGAAGGAGTCGGGCATCTCCTCTCGCGGACACACTCGTTCCTGAGCGCGAACCAGGAGGACGATGTAGCATGTTTCACCTCCCTCTACGCCACCTACCGGACCTGGATCACCGACGTCGGCATCGAGCGGTCTGCCCACCCCCTGGAGCGCTTGATCCGACTCTACAGGGCCGATGTCTCGCCGTTCAAGATTAGCGGCCTGCGGAAGGCCTATCCTCGGCCCCTACTCATCAAACGCGCCGACGCATACCAACTACAGCGCGTTAAGTACAACGCTACCTACCGGAAGAAGAGCGAGCTTGACAGGCGGCTCCTACTCGACCTGGCTGAGTCATGCGTTTCCCCGTACGCCGACGTGCGGCGCGTCGCCCAGGGAGCCCAGGACTCGTCCCTCAAAGTCCTGATCGGCGGACGGACGCTCGTCATCCCCGTCCTCCTGGACAAGTTCCGCCAAGCGCTCGATGCTAACGACCACGATCGCATCAAGGGCTCCATGTATACCCTGATCTTCTCGACGCTCCTGAAGACCCTGATGCGCGATTGGCGGTTCGCCCCGAACTTCATGCGCATGTACATAGACTCGGCCGGCATCGACAAGCAGTCTATCCAGGACATTGGCTCGCAGGCGCTCGTCTATCTGCTTGACTTTGGCAGACCCCTCGAGCGCATGGTGCTCGTGGACCAAGACATTGTGGACACGATAAAGCCTCCCGAGGACTGCTCGAAGGCCATCGAGACCCGGCACCTCTTCATCAAGGGACGACGGACAAAGGTCGAGGACAAGAAGGCGGCACTCGGAATCGAGCTCACGGAGCGCGCCAGGGTTTCCCACTGGAAGATAGCGAATCGATGCATCATCTTCGCCACTAACATGAGCGTAAGATTCACAACCTTGGCCCCGGCCCCATTCGTTGACCTTATTGTCAATGGAACCAACGACCCCCATCCGGGCCTCCGGGGTAACTTCCAGGCGGCCTTCTCGAGTCTCTTCACCAGCATCGACATGCGCGCTGTCTACGGCCACTCGTACAAGGACTATCTCCTCGAGCTTGACAAGGACGACAATACGGTCAAGGTCAAGGTCCCGACTGACGATCCCCGATGGACCGAGCGATACCTCGGCTCGTTCGAGAAGCTCGGCGATGCCGAGTACTTCGTCGACAACGACTTCCCCGGTTGGCTGGTCTGGGGCAAGGAGTTCCTGGCGGCCAAAGCCAAGCCCGTCCCGTTCTTGGATTACGATGACGTCGAGACGGCTGTCCGGGAGCAGATCGGCAAGGTCCTGACAAAGGAATGGTTCAAACAGCACTTTGATTACTTGAAACAGGAGCCTAGGGAGTCTAGTGCGGACCGCTTCCGGATGCAGAACGTCATCCTGCTCATGCACGTCTTCGATCTCATGAACTACGGCAAGACGGCTGCCACGTTCGACGATATCAAGGAGCTGGTGAAGGAGGTCTACGGCGACGGCAGCGACAAGCACCAACATCGTGCCACTGCCGAGATCCTGGGAGCTCTGTTGTCGGGCACGTCGGACGACCCCCGCGAGTTCCGGGACCAGGTGTGGGCCTTTGCCGCCCCCATGGTGCTCAAGGTCATCGCCGACGAGCTGACCCCGGACAACCTGTCGTACTGGATGACGTGTCTCCATCTCACCGTCGACACCAAAGATCCCCGGCGCTCCAAGGAATTCATGCAGGCTCTTTCGGCGTTCCGGCTCGACGTAACATCGAACGCCGCCTTCAAGGAGTCATCCAAGGTGCAGCTGCTCGAGATCCTGATCAACGATGCAGGCTGGCACTTCCGCAATGAACAGCCGATCCTCAACGACTTCCTCGCCCACATTGACCATCCATACAAGTCGGTCCGGGAGTCTATCGGCCGAACCATTGCCACCATCTACCGCACTCGTTACCACGAGAGCTTCCCGAACGTCTCCACGCTGCTCGAGCAGAACAAGGCCGACTCCTCGATTGGTCTCCGGCCGTACAAGCCGACGGATGAATTCGTGGCCACCATCAAGGAGGTCTTCTCGCGCCTGGAGGAGTGGCGCAAGGAACGGCCGCCGGGACAGCAAACGCCGTCGAGCTACACGTCTGGGTCTAAGACAGTCCTCATCTGGCTCGACAGCATGATCAGCTCGCAGGAGTGCACACAGCTCGCCCCCTTCTTCCCAGACCCCATCATAGACCAACTCCTGCACATGATGGATGTCAAGGAGGATCCCTCACTCATGAAGCTTGCCTACCACGTCTACCGTCAAATGTCTAACATACCCTTCCGCGACGGCGAAGACGACGCCTTCATGTCGGCCCTCATCCGCATCGGCCGGTCGTCGTCGTCGTGGCACCAGCGGCTGCGCGCCCTGGTCAACATGCAGGTCATGTACTTCCGGCGCATCTTCCTCACGGGCCCGCGGCAGCGCGAGCAGCTCTTCGAGGCCGTCGGCGACATGCTGTCGGACCCGCAGCTCGAGGTGCGCGACTGCGCGCGGGCGACGCTGGCGGGCATGATCCGCTGCTCGCCGGCGGCCATCCGCAACCCGATGATCGAGGCGCTCAAGGCGCGGTTCGAGGACCAGCTGCGGGCGAACCCGATGCCCAAGAGGAAGCTGCCGGGCACGGACACGCCCGTCGACACGCAGAAGCAAATCGTGCGGCGGCACGCCGCGGTGCTCGGGCTCGGCGCGCTGGTCGAGGCGTTCCCCTACGCGACGCCGCCGCCCCGGTGGATGCCCGAGGTGCTCGCGAACCTGGCCACGAGGGCCGCCAGCGACCGCGGGGTGGTGGGCAAGGCGACCAAGGGGATACTCTCTGAATTCAAGAAGACGAGGCAGGATAGCTGGAGTGCCGACCAGAAGGTTTGTGCTCCCGCCTCCCTAATATTTTTCATTCAACAGCCCCACGTCTCCGTTTTTTGATTCTCCCCATTCCCCTTCCCACCCCGTGTAAGACACTAAAGCAGCCGCTGACTAATGTTCCGCGACAGTATTTCACAACAGAGCAGTTGGAGGCCCTGGAGGGCGTACTTTGGAAGAGCTACTTTGCATAAGCTGGGGACCGGAGATCTGGTCTGCCGACACACCCCCGGACAGGCCGCCCGGCTTCAGCCACGCCTCTCTAGATATCGAGATGCAAGAGGTTTCTCTGTAGTCGGCGAGTGCTTGCGCATCCCGGAAACGATAGAGGAACTGCCGATTAGATTGGATTATTATGTAATGGGGGTACGAGGGGGCTTCATCTGTCTGGCTCTCTCCCCGAGCGAGGAGGGAGGGAGGGGCTCATGGGTTACGGGAACAGGGTCATCCGTGCTTTGGACGGGGATGCGCCGCTGCTATGGTATGGCAGCGAATGTGACGAGGGTATGGGCAGTAAAATGTGTCGAAATGGCCGGGCTGGAACCTGGGGGAGAGCGTGGTTGTGTATCAGCGGCTCTTTTCTTTTGCATGGTGGATGATGGGGCAGTCTGTGATGGTGTTGCAGATTGGGTTGTCAGCGTGTAATAATTAGATTCTGAGTTTTGTCTGACGGTATATTGCATTTGACCTACTCGGATTCTGGGAGTGTTGCATGCACACTGCCTGTAGGTTGAAGCCGCGGACAGATGTGATAGCCTGCCTGATACCCGACAAACCTGGCTTTTGGCAAGATTTCTACCCTTGGCTTGGTAGGGACAGATACATGATAACCCATACCGAAGTCCTTACCCCGACGCATTAGATGGGGTTTGGCCCCATACACGCGTATTGTGCCTCAGAGGGAACCAGCAATAATCAAGGTGGTCACAGTGGGGGAGTTGAAAATGAAAGCAAATATCATGGTGCTATTCTCGATTTTGGACGTTGAATGATGCATTATAGTCTGCCAAGTCTATTTGGGGTGCTTTCCCAGGCATACCTCCCCATACCCCTTTTGGCTGGTTAAAGAACGGTGTTGGAATTGCGAGACACTTTCAATGTTGACCTTACAATTTTGCATGATTGACTCTGAAGTGCTCTCTTAGAGAAATCGGAGCTGATAATTCAAAACTTCGAGATCTACCCACCAATATCAAAGTCCCCGACCGACAAAGCCGTGCTAGGAACAACTCCTACAAACTTACCTCTCCCAGCCTAACCAACCGTAATCCATCAACACAGCTTCCGACTAACAGCTGCACCCACACCCGCGCCCTCATCACCACCACCACCACCACCTCCTCCGACCCCGACCACGAACCCCCCCTCTCCCCCTCCCTGCCGACGCACACCTCCTACCACGTGCTGCCGCACAAAGCGCTCGCCGGCGACGGTGGTGACGGCCGGACGGCGTCGGGCCTCTTCCTCGCGACACCGCCGCCGCCCGCGTCCCCCCTCCAGGTCGTCGTCGCCGTTGTTGTCACCTGCGTGGCGGGAGAGACGACGAGCGACGAAGAAGATGAGTGTGGTGAGGGCGAGGCTGAGGGCGAGGCCTGCGAGGGCGATGAGGATGATTTTGGCGGTGGTGGGGGCCGGAAGAGGGGGGTGGTTGGTTGGGGGGGCGGCTTGAGAAGGCATTTTCTTGGGGTTTTCTTTGTTTGCTTTTCGGGATGGAGGAGGTCTGGTTTGGAGTGTTGACTGTGGAGCGTTAGGAAGCCTGGGATGTCGGGACATATACCTGCCGTATGGGAGACTTATATACTTGACCATGGGGGAACTGTTGAAGGATAATTTCATGTATTATTTCCCAGGACAATTCCCTTTGCTCCGTGTTCCTGTCAAAGAAATCTCACACAATGGGCCGGGGAGGGAGGCAAGACAAAGGGATGTCGAGCACAAGGGAATACTGGCGAGGATTCGAGTGTTTGGGAAACAATGTGTGGGAAAAAAGTGGCTGATCACGGAACACCACGTAGAGATAACAAACAGAGCACGAGGTGACAGCTAGAGATGCGGCGTGGTGGCGATTGCTCTTACTTTCTAATACAGAGAGGGGCATGTAGAAAAGCAACGTCAGGTAAGATTCTTCTCTAGTCAGACATGGCATCAAAGGACACAAGAATGCACGCGGTTTTCATTTTTTTGGAAATCGAAATTTAGAGGGAGTGTATTTTAACTCTCTGGCAAGTGGTTCAAGAGAATATAAACGGACTGGAGGGGCTAGCAAACGGCATTTTTTTTCTCTCTTTGTCTTTTTGTTTGTTGAGAAGGAAATACAAATCGGTAGGAAAGCGAACACCTGATGTACAGCACAGTCCCAACCTCGGACCCAAACTTGAGAATTGTACCCAGCTAGGGGTTGTCGGCTATAACCCAACATTGGAAGCCGTCAGGGGCGCGATGAGGGGTTGACCCCTGTGTGAGGCATTGATCATCAAGCGGTCGGCTAGGAGAAGGCAAATGGAGATGATGATGGGCAGTCGGTATAAAGTCGTGCCGTCCCGGGCCTGGTCGCATGTCAAGTCGCCGAGCTTGTCCAGGTCCACCGCAATGGAGAGCGTGGTGAACTCTACGACACTGGGCGTTTTGTAGGTAGGGCGAGGCTCGACGCTGCAGGCGTATATCTTGACATTGACGACTGCGTTGCTCTTGCTGAGCATAGCTGTGAACGTGCCGGTCCGAGGGGAATTGATAGCAGAGTCTCCCTATCACAAAGTTAGCCGCGATCCGGCGAGGTGTCATCGGAAGGAGCAGTTGCCTATCATATCCAGGATCCACATCATCTTGGGCTGGAGAGGCTGAACCCAGGGCAGTGCCTGAACCTCGGCACAGATGCCGAAGCTGGCTCGACTCTCCGGATAGAGGACAGTTGCCCCCACAGCAGTGGCAGAGTTCATCGAGCAGCTTAGGCTGTTGAGGCCATGGACTACCGCGCCTCGGACGGTGGCAAGGAAGCTAATAACCCAAAGTCAGAATCCCCAGGTACGGCAAGACGCTCTTCCTGTGAATAACTCTGTGACTCACCCCGTCTCAGCGTCCTGTCGAATCACGCTGCGGGCTTCTCCATGCTCGTGTTGCAGCCATTCCAGGAGATAGTCATACTGAGCGTAGCCCCCCACCAGATATACGAACTGGCAGATGTTTAGTGGAAATGGGGCCTCTTCGTTGAGACTATTTGGGCGTAGACCTGCCTTGACAGTAGTATTGAAGGTGGCGTTGGCTTTGTTTGCTTGCGACGCAACAGCCTGGCTGATTTGGCGGATCCCGGAGGCAAGGAAAATATCTTCCAGGTCTCCTCTACTAAACGTCAGTATGAAACATTTGATGACGGAGGGTGGGGGACTTAATACCGGGTGAAATCGATCGTTGCGATATTGGCTCTGCCTTCGCCAGCGGCGGAACCGGCAGCACGGTCGAAGCGAGCTGGGAGATTCACGGTGATGCTTGAATGCCGGTCGAGTAGCAACCTCAGATCGAGCGAAAGCTGCGAACTGGAGATTTCTGCAACTTCGTGGCGACTCAATGGGGGCTCGGACGGAAAGACCTCGGTTGCCTTGCGCCGGAGCGCCGCGACGAAAGCATCGTCCACAAAGACACCTCCAGCGAGGATGGCTAGGCCCGGTTAGCAGAAGGGTGAAGGAGGGGAAGCTTGATGGAGACTGACCAGTTGGCCATGTGCACTGGTCAATCTCGATTGGATCAATGTTCTTGACACGATATGTCACAAGGTACTTTCGATTCGAGTTAGAAGCCGGGACGGCGACCAATAATTATATAATTATCGTGCGGGGGAGGAGGGGGAGCACGAAACATACCACGGTCGCACCACCTGTATCAACGATGGTGAATGCATCGCCCACCTACGTTGAACGTCAGTGGTAGTTCTTAGTTCGGAATATAAAACATACCACCCAAGGGATCTGATTGCTGGATCTGGCGAAGTTAGCGGCGACATGCAGTGCTGCTGCATCGGCTTCCGTGATCAAGGAAACAGTGCGTCCCGGATAGGAGTCGAGTGACATTCCAAATCGAAGCGCCCGTAGCATTGAGCGCTGAGCTTCCTTCGGCCAGCCGGCTGGGAGAGTAATGACGAAATGGAACGTCGGATTCGTAACCCGTTTGTGATCCTGACTGACATGGTTGACGATGTGTCGGCGAGCGTGGTCCCAAACACATTGCAAGAAGCCGGCAGCAACTTCTTCTGGCTGCCTGTTACACAATCTGGCCATACTGGCGGCGTCACGGAAGTACTCGCAGTTCTGGATCTTGGGGGTGACCATGCCCGTCGGAAGGAATAGGAGCTTGAAGAATTCAATGGGTTTCCTCGGACTGTCGGGAGATACGTCGGGGACATTGGAGCCCCAGGAGATACCTTGACCCGGTTGGTCGCCGAAGTAGACGGCCGATTTCACCTTGAAAGGGTGCAAATGGTCTATTTTGCGTGGGTTAATGGGCCAGTCGCTCACAGTCGCAATGTCCCCAAGAGACCTCGCGAGGTTCTGGTCTGGTGAGTTCTTGACCGCCACCTAGGCGATTCCGGAATAGCTAAAGTAGGAAGAAGACGGTCAGCCTGGCGCTCTTCTCAAGCGAGAATATCATGAGTTGGGAAGTCTAGCGAGCCAGCGGGAATGAAATGCGATGTGAAAGGGATCCAAGAAATAGAGTTGCCCTTACGTGGTCCCCATATCCACGCCAATGACGATGTGGTGAGACGGCGTCCCGGTTTGCGTCGCCATATTGCTCGGGTCTGGCACTTCTCGGCAGGCGATGGATCGTGGATGGGGGAATGATGCATAAGAGAGACCGAGATGGAGGGCCCAGGAGAGTTGGGAGGATCCCGAAAGTGCGGATCCGTTGCCAAAAGCGTGACGGGGAGGGGTGCAATTATATGTAGACGGGGCTGGGCGAGTGCCTTGATTGACACAAGGCAGAGAGACTGACTGAGGCCATCTTGGAGCGCAACAGCCCTGGCCCCTGAAGAAGCAGAAAAGGCACCAGAAACGCAAGGCGCAGGTCGAAAATAAATTAGGATTCTCTGACCGCCATGGGGAGCTGACATATGGCCAAGGATCGTGACGCAAGAGGCAAGTTCCCAGATGGGGACCAACCTTTGACCCTCATGGAGCTTGCAGCTCCATATGATCAGTCAACTACAGCCTGGTCTGGACTTATCAGGGAAAGTGTTGGCAGGATGGCTCTAAACCCAGCGGGAGCGGTCAACGGTGCCAGGTCTGTCAGGACGTATCACCAGTGTGGCGGGCAAGCCTCTTCTTGGCTCCACCAACTGCGTTTGAAGGGCCCGTTTCCGGCCCCCAGCTCTTCCTTGGACCAAATGCTGGAACCCGGCGAACTCCGTAGGATGACGATCGGTTGGGACGGCGTATGGGGAGGAAGACAGTTGCCTGGTCCCGTATTCGTTGGTCTGGTCCCACCCCTTCACACTTCCCAACTCACGCTACGCATGTAAATTCTTTGTCCAACCCGGAGGATGTCGGACCAGGCCATGTCTTGTCACATTTCCATGTCTCGAACTTTCCGAGATTACCAATCCCGCCCCATCTCCCTCTTTCTCCCACTGTCTCCGTCTGTCCGTCTCTTCTCTCTCCCCCTCTCGCTCTCTCCTCTCTCCTCCTCCCGCCCTCTCAATCTCTCTCTTCCTACATCCCTTCACGAGTACCCGCTATTCTCCACGCCAGCACATCATTTTTCCAACTTTTCATTCCGCCGTTCCTCATGTCTGGATACTCTCGGCCAATGACCAGGAGCCGCAGCGCCAAGATGAAGGAGCGAGCCTCCTAGGCTGAAACCGCCCCCCAAGCTATCTCCCCAACAGCTGACGAGGTTCCGGCTGTCTCGCAGCCTGAGATGCCGCCATCGGTGGTCTCACCTCGCCAGTCCGAGCACGGAACGCCGCCCAAAGTGGCAGAGGAGAACCTCGCCACAGCCGATCGCGCAAGTGACTCTACCGATCCGCCCGCCGAACAGGGAGATACGCACGCCTTCTATAAGCACCCCATATGGGATCGCATTCGCGAGGGCCCCTGGGACCTCCTCGGTGAAGAGAGTGGCAGCTCCGCAGCCGGCCCCGAGGGCCAGAGCGCGGGGATGCCGCTCTTTGAAGACATTCGCGAAGTAGGAAAAGACGCCTTCGACCAATGGATTGCAAGGTACAACAAGCAATACCTGGTTGAGACAATCACCTCGGTCTTCGCCAGCGAGGAAGACTCCGACACCAAGTTGAAAAAGCTGAATACGATCATGGATGTCATTATGGCACCCATGTGTGATACTTTGGACATCTGCTACTGGAAGCCGCCGGCGCTCGTAGGTGTCATCGAGAAGGTTATTGATTCCATCGGTGGCAACATAAGGGTACTTGCCGGCTTCTGTCCTGGCGCCAAGTCGAGTGAGAAGGCAAATTCGGCGAAATACGACATCGTAAAGCCGGTGACTCCAGATTTCGCCTACTACCTCACGCACTGGGTCCTACACAGGCCGATTTTCGAGGCTGCCATCTGGCACACGGTGATTGCCGAATTTTTCGAGGCCGAGTCTGCCGTCTGGGTCGGGCGTGTGGGGAAGGATTTCAACCGTCTCTGCAACGAAGTCGAAGGTGAGCGGGGAAAGGAACCCCATTTCCCCAGACTTTTCAACAAAGGCTAAGCTGACTGGTTCTTCAGGCTACGTGATGAGAAGCAACTCAGACTACAACTCGGTGGTCGCCAAGTTCCACGAGTCACGCGCCCGGTTGGCCTTCCACATCGTCCAAGAAGTTTGGAAGCCTGGGGACTTCAATCACGAGGACACGCGCGAGACGTTTGCAGAGAAGGAGCGACTCGCAGAGGATGTCATCTTGAAACGATTCAGACCGTTCATAAACGAGGATACCAATGGCAAGGCGGCCAAGAACTCCGCTTTTCAAATCCTGAAGTATGCCGCCATACTGAGGCGGGAGCTGGAGCAAGCGAGAGAGGTCTTCAAGCTTGTCATGGCCAACGGTCTCGACGATTCACGACAGCACTTTGACTACAACTCGGTGTACATGGAGCAGCACTGGACCGACAAAATGAGCGGCCCCTTGCCCAAAGACCCGCCCAAGGTTGCTTTCGTTGTGAGCCCCATGCTGGTTAAACGCGGCCATAGCCGTAACGCTACTACCCCGGCAATGGACTATGACAAGGTTTTCCGGGTCCTTCGCTCGACCGTCCTGCTTGAGGACTGGGATGAGAGAAGGACTAGGGGGGCGGCTGATGGGGGCGACAAGGGATCCGGAAGTGCAGGTGGCAGCGATATTGGTTCTGTTGGGGATTCGGCAAACTGAGCCAGAATCAGCCCGTTTCTCCAAACACCGTGTTCGGAGAGTGTGGGCCTAGAGCGATCCATTTGTTGCATGTGTAATTGTCTCTTTAGTATGCGAATAGGTAGCTGTTGTTCTTGCTCAACCGTTGGCTTATCCTTCTTTCACGGCTTCCCAAATGCGGTGTGATTCCCCCAAGGACTGTGCTCCTCCTTGTTAGGTACCTTGTGCTGGGCATAAGCTGGAGGGAGGGACGCAAACGAATGAGGACGAGGAGGTGTGATGTGCTGGAGAAAACAAACAAAGGAACCCCAATCTGGCTGAGGCTACGACCCAAGGATCCCCCAGGAAAGCCTTGAAGAAAGGTTACTTCGCAAAGCCACAAAGTAAGCAGTCCAGTGCTTGCTGAAGATTAATGGACTTCTAACTGGCCGCACCTGACGCATTCATCCTATGCCTGAGGGAGGAATGAAGCTGGAGGTTCATTGAAGGTTGGAAGGATAAATCATAACCCGGTGCCGGCTGGAAGCTGGAGCGCATACCTGTACCAACTGCCGTCAGCTGTCAAGCAGCATGGAGAGAAAACCCGACCAGCCAGCCAAAAACACGACTGGACCTGCATACCTATTTTTCTCCAAGGTCTCATCGTGCATATCCCTCTAACGTGTGCAGGCATTTCAAGCCCTCCCCACCCACTCTTGCAGACCAGCTCTCGACGGCAATGCTCAAGTCGACATACACCCCCTCGCCAGGTCTCTCCCCGGCCGCCCTCCCTGCAGGCTGGACCGAGCACAAGGCCCCGACCGGCCACACCTACTACCACAATGCCTCGACCGGCCAGTCGACCTACCGGCGGCCAGGCGCGCCCCCGCCGACAGACCCCACCACCAGCTTCCTGCAGCACCAGGCCGCCGCCCCGGCCATCAACCTATCCGACCCGGCCACCGCGAACGCCTTCATGGCCCAGTACGCCAGCGGACCGCCGGCGGCGCGCCGGGCCCCCGACGGGCGAGGAGCTGGTGGTGGTGGTCGCCCCCGGCCGCAGCCGACGGACAGGCCGCGGGCCAAGGTTGCGATCCCCGGCTGCGAGCCCTGGCTACTGGTGTACACGCGGTACGGGCGGCGGTTCGCCCATAACCCGGCCCGAAACGCGAGCTACTGGCGCATACCCGACAGGCTGAAGCTGGGGATCCTGGAGCTGGATCGGGAGCGCATACGGCGCAAGGCCGAGGGGCTTGGGAGCGAGGACGAGGGGGAGGACAAGGGGGCTGCGGACGCGGGCCCTGGGACTACGACTACTACTGGTGATGGTGGTGTCGTGGAGAAGGCTACCGCGGGGGAGCAGGGGCCTGCTTACGATAGCGACGAATATGAGGAGGTGGAGGTCACCGACGACGAGGGGGACGAGGAGGACGGGAATGCGGCGAAGCGGCAGCGGACGGGGGAGCCCGGTGAGGACGAGGAGGCCGTCGTCGAGTTCACCGAGGCGGACATTGCGGCGCAGCTGCAGGCGATGGGCGAGCAGTACGAGGAGGAAGGCGCGGAGGATTGGGCTGAGGGCGAGCAGGGACTGCCGCTGTCCGACGAGGATGCCAGGGAGCTGTTTAAGGACCTCCTCAACGACTTTGGCATCAACCCCTACAGTCCGTGGGAGAAGCTGATTGAGGAGGGCAAGGTCTTTGACGATGCGCGCTACTCGGTCCTCGGCACGATGAAGGCGCGTAAAGAGGCCTGGGAGGAATGGTCGCGGGACAAGATGAAGCAGCTGAAGGAGCTGCGCGCCAAGGAGGGGAAGAAGGACCCGCGCATAGCCTACATGGCCTTCCTACAGGAGCGGGCTACGCCGAAGCTCTACTGGCCCGAGTTCAGGAGGAAGTACAAGAAGGAAACCCCGATGAAGGACACCTCGCTCTCCGACAAGGACAGGGAGAAGTGGTACAGAGAACACATCAACCGCCTCAAGCAGCCGCAGCCCACGCTGAAGGCCGACCTCAAGGCGCTGCTCGAGTCGGTGCCCCTGTCGGAGCTCAACAACCGGACCAACCCGTCGCATCTCCCGACGCGCCTCCTCGTCGACATCCGCTACGCCTCCCTGGACCCCGCGGTCCGGGACCCCATCGTCGAGGCGTACCTGCAGACGCTGGGCCCGCCGCCGGAGGAGGCCGAGGCGGCCGAGGACGAGGCGGCGGCTCGGGCGCGCGAGGAGCGCGCGAGGAGGGAGAGGGCGCTGCAGGAGCGCGAGCGGGCCGTCGCCGAGGAGAAGAGGAGGCAGGAGAAGAAGCTGCTGCACGGGAGGGCCAGCCTGCGTGACGAGGAGCGCGAGCTGGAGAGGGCGATGCAGGTCGGGAAAAGGGGTCTGCAGAGTCAGCTATCTGGTGCTCAGAATGGGGGAGTATGAGTTTGCCGCTAGCCCGAGATTGGTTACTTGTCTACTGCAGGAGGACCACGTACGATCCGCCATGAGACAGTTAGATAGGCACAACTCTCGGAGCAGATAAATAACACATGGACAACTGGATCGATTTGTGCCGTTCCGGATAAGCCATAGTACCCAATAGTTTATCGCCAAGTCAGCAGGCCAAACCGTGAACAACATGCCAGCGTACATCGCCAGCTCGGTATATCAAGCTCTTTGTTAACCATCATACCTCTAGTCAACCACAGAGGCAAGAAAAGGTCCCGGCGATACTCTGTAAATGCGTGAATCGACTTATCAACCCCCATCTAACGTATAAGGCTAGGTTGTAAGCAGGTAGTCATAACCTGTTAAACCGACTAAGAAAATAAATAAACAACACCTCGTAAATGCCTGGCAGGAAGCAATACTACAAACATAAAAACACACATCCACCCCCAGCAAACCCGCTAAAAGCAGCAAGCACTACCAGCCTACCAAATCCTCTTAGCAACCATCTCATACCTCACAATCTTATCAATATCTCTCTCCCTCTCAGGCCCCCTCTCGGCCCTCCGCTCCTTCGCCCTCGCCTTCCTCAGCCCCTCAGCGTCCTCGGCGTAGATCCACCTCCGCCGCTCCTCCCCCGTCTCCACCTCCCCGTGCCCGCCGACCCGCTTCCCCCTCGCCTCGTCCGACGGCAAGGGGGGCTCGCGGCCCTGGGCCACAGCGTGCTCGCGCACCTTCATGCGCGCATACCGGTCGCGCGAGTACCGCAGCAGCGCCATGCCGAGGACGAGCTTGACGACGAGCAGGGCGAGGAACACGAGCAGGAAGACCACCACCATGGTGACGGCCGCCACGGCGTCGTCACTGGTCCAGCGCGCCCAGGCCGGCAGGATGCTGCCGGTGCCGACGGTGCCGGTGCCGTTGCTGGGGTGGTGGTGGTCGTGGTGGTGCTGCTGCTGTGGGTCGCCGTGGACGGCGCGGCCGAGGGCGGAGCGGATGATGGTGTCGAGGCGGTCGAGGGCCGAGACGACGGCGGGGGAGGAGGATGACGGCGTGGGGGTCGAACCGACGGAGAGGGAGGTCTGGGTGGATGGTAGGGGAGGGGCCGGGAGGTGGGTGGCTAGGAACATGTTGTAGGTCTGGACTGAGGCGCGGATGAAGAGGCATGAGAGCGGGATGAGCGGGAGTCCCAGACGGCGGGTGAGCGATGGGGCGGCGAAGGCCTGCGAGGGATGGGGTTAGGAACGGTTTGGAGGGGATAAGGAGGGGGAGAAGACGGAAATGACTTACGCTGGTGTAATAATCCTTGGACAGGATGTCAAGGATTCGACTGTATAGTGTAGGTCTGATGTTGTTGAACTTGTTGATGTAGGCGTGCTTGATCCAGTCGACAATCATCTCGCTGCCGATGACAATCAGGAAGGGCGATAAGACCTCCCCGGAAAGGAGCCACGAGGGCACGATGGTGAAGCTGGCTGGGAGGACTGAGGCTGAGTGCAGGGGGACTCTGCTCGTTGGGTCATCGCCGCCCGTCTCGGTTCCAGCGCCTGGTACGGAAAGACCGCCGACCTCGACGACGTTGCGCATGCCGATGATGAGGAGCATGATCCACATCTGGAAGCGCTCGACGATGTCGGCGCACGTGAGTTGGAAGGTGTTTTCCTTCTCGAACCGCTTGAACACGCTGCTCTTAATCTCGACGAACTGGTTCGAGATGAGAAGGGTGAGCAGGGCATTCGAGTACGAGTTGACAGCAACGTTGAGAGTGGTGACCTGATAGAACAGGACGACCGAATGCAACGTGTTGTATGTCAGTGAGAGCAGGAACATGCCAAACGGGAGGAGGATCTTGGAACGGCCGGAGCTGTTGCGGGACAGAGTCTCGGAGCTGAACAGACACTCGAAGATGTCCTGGCCGAGGGCAGAGAGAAGCCGGTCGCTGACTTCGAGGACGTTATAGATGACGTATAGCTTCATCGCTGACTGCGCGCGGATGAAGTGATACATTCTACTGGCGTCGAGATTCATGAGGAATATAGAGCTGCAAATGATGACAGCCCCCTGAAGGAGGTCGGCCTTGTGAACCGAGGACAAAGTCGATGGTACAGACTTTGTCCGTCGGTGTCGGAACGCGGATTGCTGCGACTTGGAGGCTTGCTTCTTGGGCCCACGGGTCTCGCCATTGCCGTTGTTCAGTCTCGCGTTATCCATTCGATGCCGAGTCTGTCCATCGGGGCCATTACCAGCGGCGGCAAATCCAGTACCGTTGGCAAAAGCCCCATGCGACCTGCTTCGGCTTCGGGATTCCTCGGTGGCGCTGCTCCCAGCCGAGACGTTGCTGGCTCTTCTCGAAGAGTGTCTGCCGCGCCGAGTCCTCGTCCACAGTCTGCCGAGCCCGGACCACACAAAAACAAGTAGCCAGTGAACCTCCTTGCGGATTAGATACCCCCACCACCGAACCAAGACGCCCAGCGCGCCGAAGAAGCGCATTGGCAGGATGGTAAAGGTCCAGAGCCATGCATCCAAGCAAGCCAACACGCCAAAGTTCATGGTTCTCTCGAAGTACGAGGGAAGTAGTAGGAAATTCTTCAGGCGTTCAAATTTGATCGCGCTCGACTCGTACGGCAGATCGCTCGCGTAGGAATGGTGGATGTACAGTGGACTGGGCCGTTGCGCGGCCAGTTCCAGCTGGAGCACGGTGGGTATGGACATGGGAGGGAGCGGGATGGTGGGCGGTATGGGAGACGGCGGCGGCGGGGGGTCGTTCGCGTCAGGTCTAGCACGGGCAGCCATCTGGGCTGTGGCGGGAGGAAGGCTGCCGCGGGCCGCAAGATTTAGAGGAGGAGGATGGGGTGTATGGTTGGCCGAGTTTCGGCGCTTGGCGGATGGATCGGTCGGGGGCTGACTGGTCGACTTCCGCCGACCTGTGGGAGGAGTAGAGAGAGTTCGCAATGGTATTCTCGGCCGTGGAGGGCGAGTCGCTCGCGGGTTTGCCCCATCTGAAGATACGGTATCGGTACGATCCCGCCCAGTCGGTTGGATTGGCTGACGACAGATCGTCTCGGCGAAACCGGCGGACAAAGGCTGTTGCCGTTGGGGAGGTGGGTGGTCGGAAATAGAAGCAATGGGCAGAGAATCCGGTGCCGCAGTCAGCTCCTGCATCTGAGAGGCTGATAATCGTCGAACTCCTTCACCCGCCCTGGTCTTTGTTCCCGATCGACTCCGTGTCTTCCTAGTGCCGTCTCCATATGCATCCATGCTCAAGCTCGCGGCTTGGCCATTTCCCATGGTGTTGTTCTCTTGCATCGAAGGCGAATCGGGAGGCGGCGGCGAAGGGTTCGGCGATTGATCGGTGGGAGTCAGTAATGGCGATGGAAGATAGGCACCGGGTCGGCCTTCAATCCCATTCATAGCTGCCATCTTCGGCAATTGCGCTCTGGAGGTCTGCATTGCGTTGGTCGAGGTAGAGGCCGGCATTGGAGGAAGGCCAGCTTCCTGGCCATCGTCGTTCGCGATTCCCTCCATCTAACTCCGCAGTGGGACTCGGCTCGGCTCGACTCGACTCGGGGGACAAAATCAGACCATCGCATTGATGTAAGGCTGCGTGCGGGAATGTGAGCTCGGTTGTGGCGCTCAGAAAGGACAAGTTGGGATTTAGATCAGCACTCAGCCTCGCATGGCATGTGCGGTTGATTCAACCCTCCATGTGTTCTTCAAGCAGGGAATGCATTAGCTGGCCCCGCTGTCACGGGACGCGGTGACAGGCTACGGAATAATTGCCACAGGGGCAGCGTGCACAGTGATTAGGCACCACCGGATTACGGAGTAGGTAACGCCTGCAGCCACTTTGGACATCTTTCTTCTTCCTATGGTCAATTGAGTCAATCGCAAACCCAGTCTATCTTTAACAAAAATCCAGGCGGTAACCGATGGCAACGGGTCTCCCGACCGGCGGGAGCCTCGGTAGCGAGGATCTGGCCAAAGTACAGCAGTCACTCAAAGCCCAAGCCAGGGATGCCCCCGGAGGAAAGCGCGAGATCGCCTTCGCGCCGGCATCGACCGCAGAGGACGAAGCAATTGTTGCCCGTTTAACTGGCCTGATCAACACCGCCTACGCGACGGAGGAGGGTGGTTTCTGGAGCGATGGCTTCGTCCGCACATCAACCGACGAGGTCCGCCAGTACATCCGGGCCGGCGAGCTTGCTATTGCATGGCGACAGCCAAACTCCCCCTCGCAGCCGCCGTCCTCCGAGCCACCCGATATAATGGGCTGCGTCCGCACGCTGCTCCTCGACGCTCGGACGGGCGAGTTTGGGCTGCTGGTGTGTGACCCGGCGTTTCGTGGCTCCGGCATCGGGCGGGACCTGTTGCGATTTGCCGAAGACAGCATCAGAAAGCGTGGTGGTGGCGTCATGCAGCTGGAGCTGCTGGTTGGAGATGGCTGGACGCACCCGCTCAAGGAGAGGTTGGGCAAGTGGTATGAGCGGGTTGGCTACAAGTTAGTCCGTACAGGCTCGGTGGCGGAGGCCTTTCCGCGCCTGGCGCCCATGATGGCGCGGCCTTCGCTATTCAGGGTCTACCAGAAAGTGCTGTCCCTGCAGATCGGCAAACCGGAAAGCTGAAAGTGGGCGGAAAATGGAATGCGGAAAGAGAAAACCGTGGAAAACATGGGATTGTGGAAGGATCCTGCTGATTAATGTGACCAATAATAATGGATGACCAATGGATATTACCGACTACGGTACCTACGGGTACCTAATAGGTTGCTCCCTAGTGGGGCTTTGGACGGAGGGGGGGAGGGGCAGAGAGGGGCACCGGCAGGGGCTTCAGGTCGTTGTATAAACTTCAAGGCCCATCCCAGCTCCAGAACTACGAAAACCCATTCGACAATCTTTCTAACCTCGCACCAGAAAAATAGCATAGGAAGATCTCCCTTGAATCGCCAACCTCTCGAGCAATAAATACCACCATGGCCTCGAACCCTCCAGGAAAATGCTGCACCGTCGGCGTCAGGCATGAGTGAGTATCCCGCCCGCAAGCTCCACGAGCCAATTGCACTGCACCGTTCAATTGCCTTCGGAGAAGACAAACTCGCCGCCAACAAGTTTGCTGACCGCCCGTTTCCAGAGGCCAGCCAACAGGCAAGTCGCTCAAAGTCGCCAGCAAGTGGGATGGCTATCTTGCCGTCCCCCCTGCCGACAAGGAGCACAAAGACGTCGCCATCCTGTTCATTCCCGACGTTTTTGGCATCTGGCAGAACAGCCAGCTCATTGCCGACCAGCTCGCCGCCAATGGCTACCGCACTCTCATAATTGACGTCCTCAATGGCGACCCAATCGAGCTCGATATGCCCAAAAACTTCGACTTCATGAAGTGGCTCACCCAGGGCTCCGACGGGAAGAACCCCCATACCAAGGAGGCCGTCGACCCCATCGTCGAGGCCGGCATCCAGGAGCTGAAGAGCCAGGGCGCGAAGAAGATTGGCGCCGTAGGGTACGGGATCCCACATGACCAACACCTGCTCGGCGAAGTTTCTGCTAATCTTAACCCTAACCCTACCTGAAGATACTGCTTTGGTGGAAAGGTAAAAACACCCCCCTCCCCACTTTCCCCCAGGGGCTGGCAAAAGGGCTGACTCTTCTTCTTCTTCTTACCCCCGCACACCAGTACGTCGTCCGCCACTACAAGTCCGGAATCGATGTGGGCTATGTCGCCCATCCGTCCTTCGTCGACGAGGAGGAGCTCGAGGCCATCACGGGCCCGCTCTCCATCTCGGCGGCCGAGACGGACAGCATCTTCCCCGCCGAGAAGCGACACAAGTCGGAGGAGATCCTCCAGAAGGTTGGCCATCCCTACCAGATCAACCTCTTTTCGGGTGTCACGCACGGCTTCGCTGTCAGGTGCGACCTGAGCATCCGGGCCCACCGCTGGGCCAAGGAGCAGGCGTTCGTGCAGGCTGTCCAGTGGTTCGATGAGCACCTGGCTGGAGAGGCTGGGGCGAAGCTCTGATCAGCCTAACGAGGTGTCGTTCACGCTTAGTCTGAGCGTCGAACCGAGCACATAGTAGACTAGGGACTCCCCGTTCAAGAGCCAGGAGGGGCAGGCATTGTCCACCGGGCTCTCGGGTGTACGGAATAGACGATCTCTCGCCACGAGCCTGCCTAACAGGCTTGTAAAATCACACAAGCTCCCTTGTTCAGTTTGGGTTGGTAGTGATACAACTGTTTGCTACAAACAATTGCTCAGCAGGGCGATATCAGGTACATTATTTGGGCAGATGGAATCCTCCTGAAACTCTGGTACTTAATCCCACAGGTTGCATTGATCTAGAGGCCATTGTTCAAAATTATATGTCTAAACATGCTTATAAAATCGCTGCCGTGTCGATATATACCACTAGAGTACTCTGGCATCAACTGGAAAATTTGGCTGCGTTAATCACTTGTTTGGAAGGGGCGAATGATGATCAATGTGATCAACCATCAAGGGAATGAAGGTATTCTACGTACTTGATTCTGTTGCAGAGTGGGTTTTCAGTCAACTATGTATATTCACCATGCCAACATAAAGAACCTAATAAAACCACAACGTCTTGAACAAACATGCCACGAGACCAAGACAAAGGGTTGTGAAGAAACCACAGGTTGTCCATTGACAGCCGCGCTAGGCCATTCAAATTGAACGTAAAGGACTCGGCCCCATTGACCTCGTGTAGGTAGGGGCATTGTTCGATTTCAACTTCACCGGCAGGCACATTGCTTTGTAGGTTGTCCTGAGGACAATCTACCATCTTCTATTTTAGTCCCACAACTTCAAGAGAGTTCCGTCAATACTATTCTGTCTGAAACCTACCTTGGATATTCGGGTATAAATTGGTGCAGAATCCCCAGTCCCCAACGTCTAGCTACCCGGAATCAACACCATCGACACTCTTAAGCTTAAGCAAACCACTACATCTCACAGCTAGGCCTCATCAACAACTTAACGGATCATCTCGACGATAAACCACCAATCTTCCACGATGTCATCCACCACGTCTTCCACGATGTCTTCCACGATGTCTTCCACGATGTCTTCCACCATGACTTCCACCAAGTCAACCCCCCCCTCATCAGTCTGTTCCACCAGAGAAGTGACCCTAACCGGCCGCATCCGCGGCCTGCCCAACCCCAAGCGCCACGAGCTCCTAACCAGAGACTACGGCTCCATCGCCGTCCGCGGCCCGGACGGCAAGATCCAGATCCTCAAGCCCGACGTCCCGCTCAAGCTCGTCCTCCACCTCGCCCCGAAGCTGCGCGGCTACTGGGTGCGCACCACCACCCGCGGCGACCTGGTCCTCTTCGACCATAACCTCCGCAACCTGCCCGTCGCGCGCCTGCGCGCCGACGCCGTGCACCGCGTCGTCGACGGCATGGTGGACCACGTGCGCGACGGGACGCCGCACGCCGTGCCGTTCGCGGGAGATGTCGAGGGCATGATTGGGGTTTTCTATGCGCTGCGCGTGTTTGGCATGGCGGGGACGGCGGACCAGTTTCGGGCGCAGATTGGAAGGATGCTGCGACGGAAGTTTGGGCGGATGCGCAGGGATAAGGGTGGGTTCCGTGGGTACCTTGAGTCGCTGGATGGGATGTGCGACCCGAAGGATGCGTTGCTGGACGAGGGGTATGAGTGCCTTTATCAGAAGAAGCGTTAGGGGGAGGAGAGGATGGATATCTTTTTTGGGGTGATTTGTGCTCGACAAGAGGAGTTGGGATAAGACTCGTCGGAGGAAAGGGACTCTTGTGGTTGGATCATTTGCACGGGTAGCCCTCTTGCATCCCAGGGAATAATAGAGAATGTCGCCCCCTTCCTCGTAGATCGTACTTGTGTATCGAGCCATGAACTGGAAACTGCACTGATGAATAATCATGGATATCAGAATAGAACGAAACCAGCCTCTCATTTAAGTAATGCATCGACCTAATGCCGTCTGCTTGGCGCAACTTGTTCTCAGGTCTTAGGACTGTCAGCACCGGCCCGCCCCTGCAACTCGACCGCGTCAACAATATAATTCGCGCTGAGGAACTCCTGGTCCCCCGACCCGGACACCCCGAGCGTTAGTGTGTTGTCGCCCTCGCGGAGCGCGCTGGCCGGGACGTCCCAGGTATACACTTCACCGTAGCCCCGGTAGGCGCCACGAGTGACGCCGCGGGAATCGATCAGTTTCTAAGAAGTCTTGTCAGCCCAGTTGACTCTTTCGAATGTAGGTGTGCTGAGGAGAAACGGAGGGGGTATAGGGGAGTCACGGCGAGAAAAATCAACAACAGAAAGAAAGAAGTCCAACCATACCGGCGCCCCCGGATCCTTCCCCGTCCACCCACCAATCTTGACAGACGGCCTCCCCCCCTTAAATGACAGCGTCGTGCCGACCCGCAGCACCGCCGCCGCTACCTGATCAGCCGCCAACCGGAACGTCACCTCAACAGTCCCGCCCTCCTTAGAAAACAGCGCCATGGGGAAGTCCTCCGCGGGCTTCGACGTCCCAACGACATACTTCCCTCCCCAGGCGCCCATCCGCACATCGGCCGGGTGCATGCGCTCAATCTTATCACCATTGCGCAGTTCCATTGGCCTCCCGTCGAAGTCGCCGATGCGCCAGACGACGTCCGGCTTCGGCTCCGTGGACGCGACGTCCCACGTCACGTCTGCGCCGGCCGTGACGGTCACGGTGCCGTTGGCGACGGGGAACTCGCCGCGGTACATGGTCGCCGTGTAGGTGCCGGGCTTCATGGGCGGGGAGGCGTATCTCCCGTCTGCAGATGCCTTGGCCCAGTACTGTGCCGCCGTGTTGTGCCAGTGGAGGACTGTCTCGAAGGTGGGCGGGATGCCGGTTGCTGCGCCGGAGACGGTGCCGCGGCTGGTGCGGGGGACGTAACCTTGTACGGAGAGCTCGTCGAAGAAGGTTGTGTCGAGGTCGCCGGAGGGTTGGGAGCCGTTGCTGTTTGGGGGTTAGTGCTGGGAACCTGCCCCTTCGGTCTGGATGCGAAGGGAGAGGATGTGTTACAGAGGCTTACGTGAACTTCATGGCGTAGGGTCCCATGAGACCGAATCGCCAGGGCTCCGTGCGGACATGGCCGCTGTTCATGTACCAGTATAGTTCCTGGTCGTCTCCGCTCTGGGTGTTGATGTCCCTCATGAAAGGGCCGCCAGAGGAGGTTTCGTATGCAACTCCTGGCATGATCATCCATATACCCACATCCTTGATCTAGTGTCAATAACTGGAATCTCGTTCACGATGGTTCATAGGGTTGCTCACCTTGCCGGTCACGCCGTGGACCTGGTCGTCGATGAACCGATCCGCGGTGTACATCTTACAGCGCGTCTGGCCGTTGGGGCATTTGAAGGTGTCCTTGCCCTCAAACGCAGTGCACCCGTCAAGAACCCCGGCATCGCCGTGCCAGCCGTTGGGAACGGCCGAGCGACGGAGCCGTGCGAGCCACCGAAGCTCTCCGGGGTCGACCTCGCCGGTGATATAGGTTGCCATGTATATGGTTGGGTCGTCGGGCTTTGCGACGTAGTAATGGGTGACCGGCTGGGAGCCCCCCGCCTTCACGGTGATCTTGACGTAGTCACCTATGGTCTCCGCTGATACCTGCGAGGTTCCCAGACCTGAGTTGATCTGGGACATTTTGGACGTCCCCTGGTACTGGACCCCATTGTACTGAAGGCTGGTGATGTCTCCATTGCTCCTGTTTCAGCTACGCAGTTAGTCTTGTCTTTTGAAGACCTCCGCTCAGTGCAGGAATTAATGCCCCAAACGAAGTGTTTGACTCTTCTCAGGAATGACAAATACCTGCTGACATCAAAAACCAAACCGGCGTTGGTGTCAACGCTGTAGGATTTTGTAGTGGTAGTAAGGCCGAATTTTGCCTCAGCTGAGGTCCCCAGCCAAGCCACCAGGACACTGCTCAAAATGGCAAGTCGCATGATGGTTTTGTCCTCAAAACCCGAGATCTCAATGTATATAGAGTTGAACTACAAGTATCTGCACATTAGAAATCATCGCAGTGGCTCTTATGTGAAGATAGGGTGGGATTTGGTCGTCGTGCTCCGTCCCTAACCCGGATAAAGTTTCCGTCTCAATTTGAGGGTTAATGTTGGCCATTAAGGGCATACGCGCACCATCGAGAGGAGCCAAAGAGACGCCTCACTCCCCACCACTCCGTAACGGAAGCTTGGCCGCCGTAATTAATTCATATCGGGGTTGGGATTTCCCACCTCTCGGGGCCAGACAAGACCTAGGAGAAGGGGCGTACGTTTACTTAACCTAAGCGCAAGAAATCACACTGAATGGAAACAACCCGGTGCTGGCTTGATTAGATTTAAAGAGTAGGGTGCTGTTGTCTCGGACAAGAAGTAACCCCTGTGATAGCTTCAGCCCAGCCTGAAGTGGTGATGTTACCCCAGGAAACTGATAGTACTCCAGACAGATTTAATTTATAGAGAGCAAGAAGACTGCTGGAATGAAATAGTCACAGAGGTAGAGTGTATGGAATTATCGAAAGACCGATTAAGTACCCAATCCATGTCTGCAGATAGGAGTAAATCAATCAGAGTAAAGTTCACATTTTGCTGAGTTGGTGCAATTGTCTAAGATGGTTGGTGACCCTTGAAGCTGACATGGAATCCCGAGTTTCACAACGGTATCTGCTTGAATAGGCTCTCCTGAAATGTTACACTAAAGAGTGGGTTTGAACTTGGGCAAATCGCTGCTGGCAATCTTGTCCTTCCGGGCCTCCAGCTTGCCAAAGCCTCAGTCGTAGCTGAAGAACCAACCTGAAAACCACCCTCTGCATTCAGCGGCCAGCCCGCAACGACATCGCCGGAGAGCTCGGTCGCTGCCATCCTCGTCACATGCAGGCCACGCATGGCCCGGCGAAGCCCCGTCACAGCTTCAGTACAGCTCGGCCGATAACCTCGTTCCTCTCCATCCTCTTGTATATGTCGACGATGTCTTCCATCCCGTGCACCACCACGTCCGGCTTGACAAGCCCGCGGACAACGTAATCAAGCGCCTCAGCTATATCAGCCCGCGTGCCGACCATAGACCCGCGGATAGACACATCACGGTGCATCAGCAGCCCAGGCGGGACCGCCATCCTAACATCCTCATGAGGGATGCCCACACACACAACACACCCCTGGCAAGCGACATAGCTCAGCGCCTCATTATACGTCTTCTCCGCCGGCGCAAGCACAAGCACCGCCTTGGCGCCTTCGCCGCCCGTGATCTCCAGCACCTTGGCCGCCACGCCGCCGTCGAGGTAGTCGACAAAGGCCGCGGCGCCGTGGCGCAGCGTGGCGGCGCGCTTCTGCTCGCCCGCGTCGATGGCCACCACGCGCATCCCCATCGCCGCCGCGTACTGCACCGCGAAGATGCCCAGCCCGCCGCCCGCCCCCGCCACGGCAACCCAGTCGCCGGCGCGCGCGCCGGATTTCTTGAGCGCCTTGTAGGCCGTGACGCCGCCGCAGAGGACGGGGGCGAGGAGCGCATCGTCGTCGATGGCTTGGGGGGAGGTGGAGGTGGAGGCGGGTTTCCCCTCGGGCAGCGGGACCAGGTACGAGGCGTACACGGCGATGTACTGCTGGTAGGTGCCGTTGCACTGCAGGCCGTGGAAGCCCGTGTTGGGACACATGACCTCGCCGTCGGGCAGGAGGCAGATGGAGCATGTGGTGCAGGGCCGGCGGATCAGCGGGACGCCGACCCGAGCACCCAGCGCCGGCGCCGTGGTCGGGTCGGTGTCCGGGTGGTAGGCTAGGACGCGGCCGACGCCCTCGTGGCCCGGCACGTCGCACGTTATCTTGCGGTCCCAGCTGCCGTTGATGCCGGATAGGTCCGAGTGGCACACGCCCGTGTATGACAGGCGGACTAGGGCCTGGCCTGCCTCTAGGGTCGGCACCGGGTAGGAGTGGTCGACCTCCATCTTCCAATCCTTCCCAGCGTGCTTGACGACGACGGCGCTCTGCGTCGACGGTGGTGAAGTGGGGGTGGCCATGGTTGGCGATGGTGGCGATGGTTAGGGGAGGGAGGCGTTGGGGTAAGATTAGGTTGTGCCGGGGCGCGGTGCGTGTAGGTGTGCATGTGTATGTGTGCCCTCCCACGGGGTGGGAGACTTCATATACAGTCCCACCATCATCCCCAAGAGCCGATGTTGTGCCGCTTCCACAAACATGATGGGTGGAGTGCAGGGCGCGTGCGGAGGCGGCGGTCCACTCGTCCTCGTTTAACCCCTGCCTCGGCTTCCAGTCCGGCCAGATCCGGACTGCCGGATGCTGTTGAACTTGGCATTGCTAGTGACATCGTGGGTAGCATTCTTGCTTGCTAGGGCACGGCTTGAGGAGTTTGTGCACCTCCCTCTTCGACAGCCTGTTCATGGGATAGATGGGAGCTAGGAGAGGAGGGCTGCGAGTTAATAAGGGTCTACTCGACATCAACTTGCCCGAACCGACATCGTGGTTGTAACTACAAGATGAAGTCCGGATGGACCCCGCACCCAGGAAATCGGCTAGCCAGGCAGCTAGCAGCTAGGGTACCTGATTCAACTAGCGACGCATCCCCACCATGGGATTTACGATAGTGTGGATGTGGCACTAGGACAAATGTTTCGCCATGTTGTTTCGCGACACCCGACGTGACGGGACGGGGGGCAGAATATCGGTTCCTTTTCTAGTGATCGATCTAGATGTTGACGATTATCGAGAACACGCCCTCGAGACCCCCCTTAAGCCCCTAAAAGTGGATGGAAGTTCCGGTTCTATACAATTTGAACGCAGTTTGAAAGTCCTTACCCAAAGGCGGCAATGACAGCAAGGATTATCCAAGAGAAGTTACGGGATGCTTGTTAGCCTCGACTTTTGCTCCTCAACATCCCAGTCTAGACCAGGCCCAACTGTGAAAGAAAGTAAGACGCGTGGGGAGACTTGTTTGCCCTGTAGCCCTCTATATCAAATACAAAAACAAAATCCGTAATGCCTTTCCTCTCTAAACCTAATCGTCCGCGTCCTCGACTTCGAAGACACGGCTCTCTCTATCCTCGTCCCAGTAAGGACACAAATGTTGCCGTCCTTCCCAGAGCTTCTCAAAAATGCGTCGAGGGTAGTCTCTTGTGTATCGTGCTCTCCGCGGGTAGTGCCGGCGGAATTCGGAGACTTGATAACCGCAGGCAGCCAACACACTGTCCCACAAGTCCCCGGGATAGCTGCCTGAATCGACCGAGAGCCCTTGGTATGCTGTTTTAGATACCGAACGTCCCCAGTCGTCCTCAGCACGAACATCGGCACCTGATCTGACAAGCACGGCCAGAGCAGCAAACTCTTCTTCCAAGCGATTCGGACCCTTAGTTGCCCTAATGGCTAGGTGAAGGCATGATCTGCCATACGTATCCACTGCATGGACATTGGCGCCGCGTTGTAGTAAGAGAGCAATGACATCCCTAGAGTAGCCATCTCCAAGCCCCATGCAGTGCCGAAGCAAGGGCGTGCTCCTTTCTCTCATTACATCGCAGGTCTCTATGTCGATAAAGTAACTGCCAATGTCTAAGAAGGCTTTTATTGAGCCCTGGAAGCTGGTCAGTTCAATTTGTGATTAATTGGACGAGTTCAACTTACCGGAGAGCCGAAGTCTATGATATTTTCGAAAGAAGAGAAAGGAATGCCATCTATTTCGGTTTTTATTGAAGGATCCGCTCCAGCCCCAAGAATGAGTTTTCGGCACTGGATGATATTGACGTTGTCGCTGTAAAACTGGCCATTGAGTAGAGAACTGCTTCGGTCAAATGAAAGTTCAACATGTCAAGAACGAGACGTGGACTCTTACACACGCAATTCTCCTTTCCCATCCCACGACGCCGGCGCAATATGGTCTACGTCGAGACCACATTCAATTAAGAACTTACAGATATCTGGTTGCTCCGTCGCATACTGGCCAATGTTAGCGTCGGCCCCTCTTTGGGGAGATCGTTGACTACGACTTACAGACAGTAATGACCTCCCATGCTCATCATGGTCTCTGACAGATGCCATCCCTTGTGCGAAAGATCTCCGAAGGCCATCTAGATCGCCGATTTCGACTAGAGAAAACACTTCCGAGTCTCTGGGTCGTACTCGGTTAACGGATATGCTAGGGATTGTCAACAAATTTCCCTTCATTAGCTCGCTCTGACGAATAGACATTGCCAGCATTCTCTTCTGTATGGACCCTTTTGACGGGAAGAAGGTCAATGTCGCTGAGAAGTTCCTGGCATCCGCTTCTTGCGTTTCGTCAGAATCACCAGCGCAGCTTCTCGTGGTACCTTCTCGAAATCGATGTCTCCATTCTGTCGTAGAAATGGCTAAGCGGCCAGCGCCGATATCGAATTCCCTCCGCTGCCGCTGTTGCCGAAGAAGGCGGATACCGGCAGGAAGCGCCTTCTTTTGGACTGTTTTTTTATCAGATTTCATCATTTTCTCTCATGGTAAGATCCCTACTGACCTCCTTCATTGATGGATAATCTGGTCGAGGACATGAGGTGGCGGGATACGCGTCGAATGTCTCTTGAAAGCTCGCCTCGCCGGTCAGAGTCTTCTGGGTCGAGAACCCCGCGGATAGGCTGGAGCTGGTCAGATTTGGCATAGCTGAGAAGTTTCTCCAGCTTTTCCATAATGTCGTCGGCGTCATCGGACCTGATGGTTCGCTCGTTGTCGCCGATAAGCACGCACAGTTCGTTGATTGTTTCACTCAGCTGGTTGCAGACATTGCTCTCCACATCTCCGCCATCTGTTGTCTCTTCTACCACAAGGTCTTCGTCCGATATTTCAACCACAGCAGGTTGGTTGGTTGGTTGGGTTGGTGTCTGTGCTTGTAGTTGGCGGAGGATCTGCAGCATTGTGTCCATTTGGGACTGCAGGGCAGGTGGGACTTCGTTGCCGCCACTACTGCTGGAACCATCTTCCTGTAAGGCAGCTCTATCTTGCCGCTTGGCAACATCAGTTTTGAGCAAGAGAATCTGGTCTCGGCATTCAATTACGACGTCTCTGTCGTCCGGGGTTAGATCTCGACACTGGAAACGACCCCTCACTGCACTTACTTCTGCTGGACGATCAGTCGCAGACTGAGAGCAGATGAATGGCTGCTGAGGACCTTATTCATGCGGTCGAAGTCTTTCTCGCTGAGCGCAGCCTTGATGCGCTTCCAGATCTTCCCACCGCGTTTCTCCGACGGTGAGATGTGGAGCCTCGCCAACTTGTTCGCGATAGCATCAACGTCGTCGGCGCATTGCTTCAGCTGAGCTTCTCCATCTAGATCGGTGAGGGATTGTTGGCGCTGGAGCTGCTTGACGATGGAGCGGAGCTGGCCGACGCTGTTTGCAACTAGCCGCACGTTTTCGGGGCCATCCTTGATGGATGACAATGTCTCGTAGACCAGCTGGAGGGAGTTGAGAATGCCAACAAAGGCAAGTACGCTGGCTCCAGCGCTCAAGGGATCCATTGTCGGGAAGTGGCCTCGGGCCGATCCGAGGCGAATGCACCCGGCCACGGTGAGGAGGAGATGTTGGAAAGGAGGAAAAGACTGCCAACATTTTAATTTAAGGTCTTGACGGCGGTGACACAGCGAAACGCCTCGCTGCCTTATGACTGTGGCAGTGCAAAACGCCTCGTTAATGTGGCAGCTTCATACATGGTAGGTAGAAGCAGATGATTGGCGAGAAATACACAGTGAGGCAGCCAGAATGGGAGAGCTCCCACAAACTCGTTCCCGACTCTCAAGCCACAGCGTTAATCAGAGCTACTCCAGCCCAGCAGCTTTAACATGTCGAAGAAATACGGGAGGAACTCCTCCGTCTCGACTTCGAAACCCTGATGATGCCCCGGCACATCCATCCTCGGGCATCCTAGGATCTTCTCCTGCTCGTACGTCGTCCTAGCGTAGAACGCATCCCCGCTCCTCACCCCCCTCATGAGTCCCACTCTCGTCCCGTTCTCCCTGATCCTCCACAGATTCGGCATGTACGTCGAGATGATGTGGAACTCGTTCTCCCAGAAGTTCCGCAGGTTTTCCGGCTCCAGGGGCGCCGTCGCGGGCACGCCCTCGGCGTCGTACCCGACGAACCGCGTCACGAACTCGGCCGCCGCCGCCTCGCAGCCTTCCGCCTCCTTGAGCTCCATCAGGTGCACCAGCCACTCGTAGACGGCGCTCGCGTCCGGCAGCAGGAGCAAGGTCGGGGCCTCGTGCACGATGAGCTGCGCGACGGCCGAGGGGTGGTCGTGGGCGAACTGGAAGGCGAGCACGCCCCCGAGGCTGTTGCCGAATATGATTGACCTCTCGAAGCCCACGGCCTTGATGATGGCGAGGATGTCTCGGGCCTGCTGCGGTGGGTTGAGGGGCTTGTTGACCACGGCTTTGCTGGCGGACATTTGACGCCTGTCGAAGGTGACGCAGGTGAATCGGTCAGAGAGGGCGGCCATTATCTTGTTGTACTGCTTGCCGTGGCCGTTGCCCCCGGGAATGAAGGTGACCAGGGGGCCGGTGCCCTGGTACCAGTAGTGAAGATCGCAACCTTCATTGTGAACTATTCCTTGGATGGGGTTGAACGACATGATGTTCGAGTGATGGTGGAAGAATTATTGACTCCAAATTTGTCCCCTCTCCGCAGGAAGGAATTTATAATGCGGAAGGATCAGCGGAAGGATCTAGGTTGGATTTTGGAGTCTAGCATATTGAGAGGGGCGAACTAGTTACGGGCTCCGGTCCGTGTTTCCTGGCTCTCAAAGGAACCGAATACGGGTTCAATGATTCTCTATCCCATAGCCATGACTGTCCCAGACTGAACATTTCCAATGCACTCGAATGTTCATAACAATAAGCTGGTATAGCATAAACATCGACAGCCCATCTTCAGGGGCGAGCTGCTGACCCTTCAACCTGTGCCGAGAGATTAGAGACTCAAATGTAGACCGAATCTTGCCCTCAGCCATTGCCATCTTTGTGAGCGGGCCGGTGCCGCTGCTGCTTTACCCAGTGTAGTGGGTGTGCTGGGGCGTGCAAGGTGTTCTCTCAGATCTAGTACAGGGGAAACGATGGGGGAATCGACTTTTTGCTCTGGTTGGATTAAACCCTCAAACGCTTGAAGTGATACATCGTTGACCCCTCAAGTTGTTGGGCCCCTTGACGTCGGCAAGGATTTGACTGCAGAAACGATGGCAGAGACCTGTAAGGGCCACTTTAGACAGTCCTAGCAGGCCAATTTCTGTGGACCCAGTGCGTGTGGAGAGTAGTCTGACAACAACCTTCAGGGCTGCGAGCCGTTGGAACGCAATCCTGCATCTGGATGAGGCGGCCGTCTTTCTGATCGGCGCTCGGACAATCCGAAGCTCAACACCCACGTCCCCGTAATCATTTTTCCGACAACTAGAGCAGTGACGGTATATTATTCTATACTGGTAACTGAGTGCAGTCATTTGACGAAGCAATGGTCGGCAGAATCTATCTTCCGTTGGAACATAAACTATTGGCCAAAGACTCCCGCAAGGCAGCTTCTTCTTGAAGCAGACTGGACAGGGCAAAACCAAATGCGGCAGTCCGGGTTGCGCAAAGATGGTTGGTTGACAGGCTGGGGGACATGGAACTGAATGGCCGAGAGATACAATTGCCACATTTTGTTCGAAACCAGTTCTGACTAGGTATCGCCCAGATTCGAAACACGGTTCATTTGTGGCGAGGTCAATGGCAGAGTATAAAGATACGATTGTGTGCGAAACTCATCTCAAAGACTCTACGGTTGCGCAGAAACAGTTCCAGCGTAATTATCATAGAGCAGGTAGCAGGTGTCATCGAGAATTTAAACCCTTCCTTCTGATGTAAGCACCCTGAGTCCATTTGAATCATGTCTTGGCTCTAGTGTGGCCACTACAGTGTTGAACAAAGTTAAATTGCAGCCCTAGAATAGCGTCACAGAGCTGCTTATTTTGTCATGCTATAATTAGTTTATATATAAGGTTTGAGAGATTTGGCACACTTGTATGCTGCAAAACTTAGGAATTAACAACCTCTTTTCCCGTCTAATCTAGACAAAATCTTAGACATTGTTACTAATTAACAGAAACAACTGCCTTTATAGACACATACCTAACTGTCAACCTATTCCTATCCATATCAAGACAGCCAAGCTATGCTATGCATACTATATATCTTTGGCAGTTTAATAATGCATATGCAGCTTACACTATAATTATTCTCTAGTATTGCCTTTTTTAATCATTCCTATGCTATCTTTATAGATGTGACAAGTCTTTGTGTCTTTCGAACCAACGATTCTAGCGCTGATGACGAACGCTTTGTCGGCGGGATTGAAGTGCGACTGGTGAACAGGATTGCCATTTCTAGATCTAGGTTGGTAGTTCAAGGTCAATATTATTCAGCTAAGGGATATCCACATTTCTGAACGACTTACTTGATGTATACCTCCTTCAGCGTGCCAAGTTTCTGGACGAGACCGTATCAGTGAGATGCCTTGTAAAGTGTCGAGCAGCCGCATGGCGCTGTCTCTCAAATCGGGAGACACTGCTTACTTTCTCAGCACTGCCTCCTGGCTTCGTAAAATTTTGTGCCGCAGTTTTATAAGGCCCAGGCAACTTGTCAATATCGAATCCGAGAAATCGCACGAGGGCCCTAGCCCTAGCAGAAGTACTGAAGAAACGAGACATGGTAGCGCAATTTGTCAAGAAGCAAAGCAAGCACTTGATAGCTCTGAAAAAAGACGACTGTTGCCTTGGGTCACTCCGCCTATCATGAAGGGGACGCACGCCACGAGCAGCACTTTATATAGTGCCTAGATATATATTATGTAGATGGTGAGAGGGTCGATTGATGCTCGCCAGTTCGCGCCTTCGAGTCCCTTCCACTTGTCTTTGAAACTCGGTCCCTGGCATGACCAGCGGCTACTGGGAGGCTTGTCCAATAAGTTTCCCTCCAACACGGCCAGTTTGTCTTCTCAGTCGCTCTCGAGGGGTCATTGTGCCTGCAGCCTAGGCCAATGGCGGCTACGTTTATTATTAGCTGAACCAATGCCACATAGTGTTTGTCGGCCCCAACGAGGTTGGCAGTGGAGATGTAGGCCTGGTTGGACAAGTTGGACAACCCACTGTGATAGTGGAGTTCCTAGCGCTTCGGCGACCAATTATAACGTACATGTCGCGGCTGATGATTGAAACCAAATGTTTCAATCTCAAAAAGCTTAGCCGAAGCGTCACATGCATATGTACCTGGACTGCCTTGGAGGAATGACTTACCTCAGCAAACTCATAAGACCATTTTACAAGAGAAAGTAAGGGACATTTCAGGCTGCAGCTGCCTTTTCTGTTCTCTGTTCCACGGTAACCACGATTTCACGACGTTCTTTCTCCAGCAAGTTGCCTTTCTGCCTCAAGCAAAGATGAAATCTCTTCTCAATTTGATGAAAAACTCATTGCGACGGGCCCCATCAATCCCGTTACAGTTTCCAACGACAGGGTTTGCCATCGTCAAGGATCCGCTCATCCTCGAAGAAGAGCAATTCGATGAATTCAAGGCCGGGCAGTACTACCCGGTAAACATTGGGGATGTCTACGCTTCTAAATACCAGGTTCTGGGTAAAGTGGGCTTTGGGACGACATCTACTGTGTGGCTAGCCCGCAACCTTCAGTAAGTTGACCAAGCCCCGACAAAAGGCAAAATCATGAATCTGACGTCCACTTCTAGGGAACACAAATACGTGGCCTTGAAGATTTTTAGACGAGGAGTAGACCGAGCTGAGTTCGAGATATACGCGCATCTCGGCAAGGCTAATCCTTCGCATCCCGGCCACCGTCATGTCCGGACTGCCCTGGACACGTTCGAGCTTCAATGTGACCAGGGAAACCACCACTGCCTCGTGCAGAAGCCAATGTGGGATAGCTGGAGAGACATGCTACGTCGAAATCCCACACTTCGCTTCACCGTGGAGCTCTTGAAGGCAGGCTTAGCTCAGCTGTTCCTTGCTCTGGATTACCTGCATACGGAATGCCATCTCGTCCACACAGGTAGGCGAGCAAACAGTCCTCCCTTTCTGCAAGATCTAACACCTTTCCAAGATCTCAAAGGCGACAACATCTTGCAAGAGCTAGTAGACCAGTCAGTGCTAGAAGCTTTCACCAAAGCTGAGCTTGAGACCCCGTCGGCAAGGAAATTTGTGGATGGTGCCACGGTATACGCATCAAGACGGTTCGATTTGCCCGATGACTTTGGCAATGTTGTTCTCGGCGACTTTGGTGCAGCGGTTCGAGGCGATGAGAAACGAAATCACGACGCGCAGCCGAATGTGTACAGGTCACCTGAGGTTATGTTGATGACGGAGTGGAGCTATCCCGTCGATATCTGGAACGTGGGCGTCATGGTAGGTGTCTCACTTCTCGATTCCCATTACCAAAGACGATGGCTTTATTAACTGCTTTGCAATAGATTTGGGACCTCTATGAGGGTAGACACCTCTTCTACGGGGACGACCCTGAGAAAAAGAAATACACCACTCGAGCTCACCTCGCCGAGGTAGTCGGCATGCTAGGGCCTCCACCTCTAGATCTCCTTCAAAGAGGGAGACGGAGCATGGAGTTCTTCACGGAAGATGGTACAGATTTCTGCTCCGAGCTGGCCTCCGAGCTGGCCACATCGTGGTACCACACGTATATGCTAAATCCTTGCTTGAATCAGGAAAATGGAAGGCCGATGTCGACGTGCCGCAAGGCACGAGTTTGGAGAATTCGGTGATGCACCTCGAAGGCGAGAAGAAGGAGGAGTTCCTAACATTCGTGAGGGGGATGCTTCAATGGCGCCCCGAGGATAGGAAGACGGCCGCACAGCTCCTCAATGACCCTTGGCTTCGGAGCTAACGAATGTCACCCGAAGGGCTGCCTACGAATAGGCCTCAGCTCAAACTAAATCTCACCGACATGAACGCGTGTATTACGGACAAGTCACAGGACGAATACGCCTGGGACCATCGGTGCGAAGTCGAATACACCAGATCCCGTGGATGCCATGCGGAGCCTCGGGGAGAATACACTTGGTCTTGGGACGACCACACCATGCGCCAGGACGAATGCATCACGCTTTGGGTCGACCGCGCCTGGCCTCGGAACGGCACCTTCACAGACAAGCTTGCTAGACTCAGGGACATACTTATTGCATTATATGAGTGTCTTCGCTCCACAGTCCTTGGACCACCTACACCACAGTTGTTCGGACGACATGGAGAGCACAGTATAATACTGTTCTACCAAACACATATATATCCCCTCGGGGGCCTGGGCGGGCGGTGTGCAGGATAACCCACATGCGAAGCACCGCTCATGCAATGGGTATCTGCTCGCACTGGGATAACCCTTCTAATTGGTACGGAATTTGGATGTGCATGCAGCAGAAGGTAGTGACGATTCGGGTCAGCCAGAACAGTGCCAACGGAGGAGCGGATTAGCAAGGATTCTTCGAGCTACATACACAGAGAGAAAAAGACTAGGAAATATAGAAACTCTAGTTTGCCTACGATAGATAATATCACCGGAAATATTTTGTTAATCCACTCCATCCTTCTTAGGCTTGCGTATCTCGCTCGGCCCAAGATCTCCCAACGCGACCTCAACCCAGAGAGGCACATGGTCACTGGGCCCACGCTCCGCAGGCGAATCCAAAATCCCCGTGCCCAAAACCCGCCCGCTCTCCCACAGCGCCTTGGACACGATAACCAAGTCGACCCTATCGCAACTACTCCCCCACTCCCTCGTCCGCGGATAATACGTGTACCTCCTCTCCAACCCATGCACCGCCCTAAAAGCATCAACCCCATCCAGACACGGCCCCCTCCCCTCCCCCTCCGCCCCAACATACGCCCCAGCCCGCACATTATCCCCCTCCCCAAAGAACCGAACATTAAAATCAGCCCTATTAACCGCATGCCTGGCCGGCCACGTCCGCAGCCGCGGGTAGCCATCCAGCGGCCCGCGCGCGACGTTGAGGTCCCCCGCCACGACGACGCCGAACCCGCGGCGCTCGAGACCGAGGCACTCGTCGCGGAGGCGCGCGTGGAACGCGACCTTGTGGTCGTGGCGCGTCCTGCCGCCCGCCGCAGGCGCGCCCGTGGCCGGGTCGCGGTACGGCGCCGAGGTGCCGTTGACGGCGTAGACGTTGATTAGGGCGAGGCGGGAGGAGGAGCTGGAACCCTCTGTGTCTGCCTTGGTTGCCTGGGGTCGGGTTTCGCCCGCTGCTGGTGGTGGTGGGGCTGGCGAGCGGGTCTCGACGATGCTGACGCGCCCCTCTAGGTCCCAGTCGACGGCGCGCACGCGGGCGACGTGGGCCCGCGCGAAGTCGGCGCGCAGGACGGTGCCGACGCCGTAGAGCCTGCCCTGGAAGGCGCCCGCGTTGTGTCTGTCCCGCGGCAGGGACGCGTCTAGGGTGTAGGTCCTGTCGGGCGTCGATCTGTCGCCTGGGCCGAGGCATGGGGTGTTGACTGCTGAGAGGAGGCGGGCTAGCGCGGTGGGGTTGGCTGGGTCGACCTTGAGCTCTTGCAGGAAGAGGACTTCGGGCCAGTTGTGCCGCGATAGGAAGGCCCGGAGGGAGTGGCTGCTCCTCTGCGGGACGGCCTCGGCGCCACTTGATGGTTTGAAGAAGGTTGTGATGCGGCCTGACGAAGGAGGGGGGACGAAGGGCCCTATGCCGTTGACGTTCCACGAGAACAGGCGCACCGTCTTTGGTGCGTCAAGTGGTTGTGGAGGCGGGTTTCCCTCCGGTTTTGCATCTTCGACGCAGTCAGGGGGTGCAAGTTTCCTGCGCTTCAGGGGCGGCGGGCTGATTTTTCGATCCATTTCTCTCAGACATTTTAGAGGGCTATTTGCTCGGTGCAAAGTTGAGCATAAAATCCACGAACCGCTTTAATTATTAACTAATGAACTTGCGCGGGACGGATCGAAAGTGCGTGATGACGTCACAATATTGGTGTGGTCTAACTTAAGAAGCAAACAACATCTCTACCAGGAGTTATTAGAGGTCGAGATGTTGAAATGTCGATATGTCGATGCATCGCGCCTTGAACATACGTAACCGACTCTAGTTGAAGTCTTGTCACCCCTTGTGTTACCCTAGGCGGGAGTGGCGGAAGGATCAGCATCGTGCAGGTCAGGAGCTATCAGCTTGAACTCGATCTAGGATGGAGGGTGAACCACCCATCGCTGGGTTTCGCGGAGATGGAGGGGACGGGCCAGTCGTGTCAACCTGGTTCAGTCCCACACCCTCATCAGTTAGCTGTACGCAGTACTCGAACTGAGGAGTGAGGCGCAATGATGACACCCAAGAAAATGCGGCTTAGGGTAAATTATTTTTTTCATATGGGTTATATTCGTTGAGGTTGACCTTGTAGATTTGGAGATGTTGACGATGCTTCGGCGTTCTTGGCTAGTGAAGACATAAGCAAGAATGAGTGACAGGTTCGTTGTGCTCTGTGGACGAAGTGATCTCTGAAATACACAGGGCCACATGCTGACGTGGCACACAAGACGGGACTGAACAGCTGTATGCCCAAAGTCGTATTTAGAGAATGAAAGATTGCCCCTCCCCGAGATTCCACCCACAACCATCTGCCCGTCTCTCCACCCCCTTCCACTGCCCAGACTCCTCACTCACTGCTTGTAGCACCTAGCATTGGGGCCACCGCAGTCGTCGGCGGCGCCGTAGTCGCAGCAGTCGCCGTTGGGAGCGCACTCGAAGATGTGGTTGGCCACCCGCTTCTTGGTGATGACCCAGGCGCCGTTGTTGGTCCACACGCAGTTGCCGCACGAGTGGAACTGCTTGCCGCGGCTGTCGCACTTGCACCCGTTAGCCACGCACGCCCGCTTCTTCAGGTGCCCGCCGAGCACCTCGCCCCGCGCCTCGACGCCGGGCTGGATCTCGCCGATGGCGAGCTGCTGCAGCTCCGGAGTGCTGTCAGCGGTGGCCGCTGCGGCGGCGATGAAAAGGGCAAGGGGACCGAGGAAGCGCATGGTGGTGGGTTTGTTTGTTTTGTTTTGTTTGGGTTCGTTACGGTGCCTTGAGAGAGAAGCTCTGAGTCAGCACTACAAGGTCAGGATAGCGCATCGAGAGAGCACATGAGCGCTTTGCGGAACCTACCGAGGAGTGCTCAGGATGGCTAAGGTATTCAGCGATGGTATTGAGAGACTTATTCTCCCCATCACCATCCCCCGACAATGCCTCTACTTATATATCCATTCCATGCCCCAAGAGCCTGCCCCAAGAGCCACGGGATTATGTGCCATCAGGACGGCCAATTCGATCCCCGTCTTACAGTAGCTCCCGATGTCTCTGCCTCAAAATGCTCAAATCTTGTCGAATATTGTCCAGCTTCACGATGTGTCGGACGATCAAGGCCTAAGCCGGTCAATTCCATGTCCGTCTTATGCGACACTCCAGATACCGCTGGTCTCAGACATTGTATTGCCCTATCTTTAAAAGATAAATTCCTACAGCGGATGGAGATCAATGCCCCAAGTGATGCTACTCCAAGCCGGGGTTCTTGGTGATTGGGCAGGGATGTTGTATTCAAGAGTCAAAATTACAACATCATCCGGTGTTAAAACCGCGTGGCTGGTCGCCAGCTCAACATGCAGCGGCTTGCCGCGTACGTGTGATGCGCCAGTTTTCTATTCTTGGCCGAAAGGTAACCCAAATTGCGACCCTGATTCGTCCGTGAGTCCCAAAATGAAACATCCGGTAGCGTTGACTCGGTGCTTGCTGCATTTCAGCTGTGATTTTAATTAATTACCTGCTCAATGACCGCAACGTTTCAATCGGCGAGATCCCAGTCAATTGGCTGTGAGGTCACGATCTCAACCGGGCCGATGGATGCTTTTGCTTATTGTCACCGCCGAAGCCCTCGCCTAGGAAACATCGTCGGCTCGACCAGTGATAGGAATTGTCAGCTCTGTGTGGGCTGACCGGGCACCAATGTAACGGGACCAAGCGCTTCGCCACAGCTCTGCGCTGGCCGGTCTTGACGATCGGCTCTGTAACCTGAATTGGATCTGCATTCCGAGGTCCCGATCTGCATCAGCCTTCCCTATAGTGTGGCAGGCAGCTGATTACCCCACAACCCCTTACATGTCAGCATTGTAAGATATGTTCTCAAAGTTCAGCTGCGAAGGGGCAACCTCACTCCGCTGTGTTACGAAGTACTCGGGCATGATTGACAAAGTCATCACTATTAGTCCAGATAATGATGGTGCTTTTTGAAACTCGGTGGAGTTGTGTGAATAAGACGGCCCAAGGCGTACTTTTGAACCAGAAAACTTACATTTGGATTACCAAACTTCGCCAAGCCATACATATAGGGCGGGCGAAATACAGGTAAACCACGCATTATTAGGAATGGAATAGAACTGTCTGATCTGTCAGGATAATCAACCGGTGGGCGAAACGAAGGTAAAAGCAGACGGGATTCACATGTCCATCAGCACAGCAAAAAAGGGTAACGCACCGGAGTTGCCTAGTAAGGCCACAAACAAACAGCAGAGACAAAGTAGTGATTAGTAGATAATTACCTAGTCAGCTAAAGTTAGTGGTAGTCTCTGTCTATCCTCACACTAGGTAGGTAAGATTTGAAAGCTCTACCCCTCTACCCCTTCAGTCGAGTCGGTTGAGACGCAATGTTAGTCGTCAGGGGCAAAAAAAAGGCCGCATTTCAATCCTCGTCCCCCCGCTTGGACTGGAGGAATAATTAAATAAAAATGAAGACAAAAAGAATGGTGACCCTAGCCTGACTCGAACAGACAACCTTTTGATATGTTCCTCTGAAAATCAGTTGGAATCAAACGCGCTACCATTGTGCTATAGGGCCGATGATTTAGTGCTATGCAACGATTCAGTCTAAGCATGATTATATAGTAACGATGTTAGCCAACCAATAATGCAACAAGCTGCGGAGAATGCCAAGCCGCAGTTTTCCTTCAGGTGGGTCTAGGGGCGGGTACTTGGAAATTTCAGATGCGGGTTGCACACGGGCTCGACGGGGCACCCTCGGGCCTAGACCGGCTCTTGGGACGACGAGTTGCACCACCGCCACCGCCTCACTGATGTACTTCATCACCGTGCCGTGGGGCGCCCCTATTCATTTACAGTAGGGTAGGCATTCTGCCTTCATCGCTCTGCGCTGGCTCTAGAACTTATGAGTCAAAGTAAATAGAACTGACCATCTCGTCATCCTCACACATTAATTCCCGCAACTCACCCTTTCGCAGTTTCTGAGCTGAGATGAGGTTCCCATTCACAATAAAAGCAGTGTGAAAGATAAGTGATATCCTGCCAAAGGCGAAATTTGCAGGACAAAGTTCCATCACAACAAATTAGTGCAGGTTAGACGGCGTCTGCAAAATGGGGCACCGCATTTGCCGGAGCGGGGAATCTTGGGATTTCGGGTATCTCGATTTTCTCGCCCACGTCATGTTGAAAACCATTACCATCCGCCGACGAATTCACAACTCTCGATAACTCTTGGCTCCGACCTCCGGTTTCCGCATAATTCGGCCCAACCAGTCGGGGGTGAAGAGCCAGTGACCGCCTTCTGACCGGCCCTCCCCAACCCCCTATCCGCGCCCCCCCACAACCTCAACAATGGCCCAAACCCGCTGGCCCAGCTCAGCCAAAGCAGCCATAAGCTTCACAATGGACAACCTCGGCGAAGCCCAAGACGTGAACAAGGGCCTCTGGCCGCCGCACGAGCCAACAGGCCACCACCCCTCCGTGACAACCACCCTCCCGCGCATGCTCGACTCCCTAGCCCGCCACGGCGTGCGCGCGACTTACTTCGCCGAGTCGTGGAGCCTGGCCGTGTACGCCGCCGCCGTGGCGGACCTGCGCAACCGCGGCCACGAGGTGGCCTGGCACGGCTACCAGCACGAGCCGTGGGCGGCCCAGTCGCCCGCCGACGAGGACCTCAACTTCCGGCGCAGCTTCGCCGCCGCCTCCGACGCGGGGATCACGTACGCCGGCTTCCGACCGCCGGGGGGAACCGTCAACGAGCGGACGTACGGCCTCCTGCGGCGGCACGGCGTCGAGTACGTGTCGCCGCTGGGCACCTTCGGCGTCGGCGGGGAGGGCGTCGTGGTGCTGCCGTTCGAGTGGCGGGGCGTCGACGCGTTCTACTACATGGACAAGTTCGCCGACATCCGGGAGGCGCACGGGGAGCCGAGGGAGTGCCTCGCGCCCGGCGCGTTCAGGGAGTTCCTGCTCGCCAAGATCGACGAGGTCGTCGCCGCGGGCGGTTACCTGTCCGTCCTGTTCCACCCCTTCCTGCAGACCAGCGAGGAGAGGTTCGCCGTCATGGAGGACGTGCTGCAGCGCATCGCCGGCGACCCGGATATCTGGTGCGCGCCCTGCAACGAGGTTAGTCGGTGGGTGAGGGAGCACCCGAGCCTCTTTGGGTCGGAGAGTTAGCCTGAATGGACCAAAGTCGAATTAATTGGAGAATGAAACTCGGAGTGATTCCCCAAATTTGGGTACTGGTCCAACAGCCAACCATTTTTGGTTCTTGGACATTCAAGGCGAAGGAGGCACGGGAGAGATTGCAGGCGAGCGACCGGTATCCAAGGGCAATTTTCAATCTTTGGCAGACCTGGAATGGCTCGCTGACCTTAATAGATAAGGTAGAAATATTACGAGTGCTGGGCCCCAGAGGCTTTGCATGGCACAGAAAGAAGCCAGTGGGTCTTAATATGTACTATCTGAGCACGTAGTTATACATATCATAAACGAGGTTGCCCGTTCGTGCGCAACTAGTTTACGCTCAATTACGAAACATGCAAACAAATCAAACCAAGTATTTGGTGTATGCCAGGACTGGATCTCGTCAGTCCATAAAATGCTGGTTGTAAAGCAACTAGGCGGCCTGTAAGCATAATTATGGTTGGACATTTTAACTCGTCCCAAGGCATTCTCCCTCAACAAGCAACGGGGAATCGGGGTGGGTGGCGCGCCAGATCAGTTTGCTCCCATCGTTCAGACGAAGGTCACATAGCCCCGGAATAGGTCGACAAAGTCTTGGTCAAAGTCCTGGACCCACGAAGGCTCACCGTCCTGCTTCCCCGGTCCCTCCCCCGCAACTGTACCACCGCCATTGCCAGGCTCCGGGCCCAGATCGTCATGGCTCGTTTGCATACGGCCTAGGGAAGGGGCTCTAGTGGCTTCGTCGTCAGCCATGACTTCGCCTCCGAGGTTATGGCACGTGGGCTCGTCAAAGTCGTTCTCGGGAGCATCCGAAGACTGGTCGCTTTGGGAGGACGGGGAAGAAGCCACATCACATAACTTCGCGGCCTCCCGAATTGCTTTCTTTGCCGAGCGGTTGTCCAATTCATCCATCGATTCTGGCTGGTTTGCGATTGGCGAAATAGGGAGGTTGGCAATTGTGGAGTAGAGCATGGTGTCCATAGCTCCAGATTTGAAGGGCCCTTGAGAACCATGTCCATGTTCCTGTTGTGGTTGTGTGTGCTTGCTGCCAACAAGTTTGTTTCCGCTGCCGTGGTCAAACTCATCCAAGTCACCGTAGTCCGTCGACTCTCCCCGCGACGAAATAATCTCACCGCCCTCGTTGGTACCTGGGTGGACAACTGATGCGTTCGAGCGGTAACTCACCTGCCCGCCTTGCGACTTGCCGTCGATATCGTCTTGGACCCGACCTCTTGAGATGCTCTTCTTTCTGCTTCTCTGCCCCTTTGGTAACTCCGTGTGCGGGTCCGCATCATCATCACTGAAGGCGGAGAGGTCAATGCACTCGAGATCAGAATCGTCCCAGACAGTGTTCCGCCAGTTGGTTTCCTCGGCTGGTGCTGGATTGAGTAACTGGTGGTCGGGCTTTCTGGTGCTAGCCATGTCGCCGTCTTGTACCTTTAGACGCTTATTCCAGGCAACTGATCCGTCTCTGGCGATAGGATTGGTACGGGGCAGTGCAGGCTCGGAAGGACTACCCCCATCCTCGCCGCCTGTCTTTCTCTTTTTGGAAGAAGGTTTGATCTTCCGAGGCTTATCAAGGCCATCTTTACAGCATCGGTGGGTACATAGTTTGCCAGCTTTGGTTGGAACACCTCCGCTGCAGGCGTGGTTGCACTGCCACCTCCCGTTCGGCAGCTGGACAGGCTCACGTTGGAGCTCAGCCTCAGGTCCTGGGGCGTGCCGACTGCTCAAGGGACCCGAGCCCCAAAGTCGGAACTGCGACTGCGGCGTTGTCGATCCGAGCAGCTCATTAATGAGCGGAAACTCGTCGTCGTCGTCTGGTTCCGGAACTTCTCCGGCGCGCTGTTCTTCAACTGTGTTCACGAGCTCTGCCGCCTCCAGAAGTTCAGCATCACAAATGTCCGCGTCATTCCCCTCCTCAAACGTCCTGTTGATGTGAGAATGACGAACTTGGGATTCGTCGTTCTGTGCTTTCGGGAAGGCCGAGGCTGGGATATTGTGCTTGACGGACTTTGAGACACAAGCGCCAACAATCTCCTGACAACCGAAGTTGCACTGTATTTGATCACTCGCTCCGTTGAGCTCGGCGGTAAATTTCAACTCCAACCCGCTTGTTTTATCGACCTTGTTGAGACTCCCACGCCAGAAGTAGACCAGCGCACCGCTAGTGGTCTCTGCGAGGAACGTCGCAAACGGAATCTTGCCGAGCCAGTTGGACTGGCCTTTGGGGTTCATGTGACGAAGAACTGCCTTCACGTTGACTGCGAGGACGTCTTTGCCGCCGAACGAGGTGATGCCGTGGCCTGTGACCGAAGCCTCGATGGCGAGGCGGGGAAACTTGTCCAGATGGTCGAGCGTTTTCTTCCCAAACGGCGGGTTCCGCGCAAGGAGCCTCTCGATCTCGCTGTAATCCTTCTCCGCAAGCTGCAACACTGTCCGCACGTCCTGGCTTACCAACTTCCTCATGCCGACTGCTCCAATCGATGGGATCTGCAGCAACTGAGACGGCCGCCCTTCCCACGCCTCTGCGGCCACGGATCTGGCAAGTTCAAGGGCTGTTCTAGTACCAATACTGTCGCGATCATGGCCCTTGCAGTCAATGACGCAGCACAGGAGGCGCTGTAGTCGCTCAAAGACGAGTCTCTTCTCCATGATAAGCTGCCGTTTGAGCTTCGACCCTTCCGTTGAGTCGGGATATTCGCCGCCGCCAAGGTGAAGCTGAACGAGCAGGGATATCTTGTGCCAGGTCTGGGTGACCGACTCCCTGATCGGGAACATGATGAAAGGAGATCTGTTGACTTCCCGGAAAAGGACTCTCTCTGCTGGCTTGAAACGAAACTCCTTGAATTCCGCCGCTCTGGAGACAGTATTCAGCTGGAAGGTATGTCAGCCAATGCTCAGCCGGTCTTGGAACTGCGGCTGGACTACCCACAAGTTCTTCCATCTTCACTGCTCTTGGAAGCTCAAGCAGCAGCTTCATCGTGTTGAACTCGACCATATACTTGGCCATGGCGCATCCGTACTCAGTTGCCGTGAATGACTGGCCTTGGGTCGTTAGGCCAAGCTCCTGCAATAGCTTTATATCTCGCTCGCATATTTCCGCCAGCCGGTCATCAGTGTCCTGTATGCACGATGCCGACTCGGTTAGCCGATAATGGTCAGGGTTTCGTCGCATTCGAACACTCAGAAACGTCCCGCTCAGCCACTTCTTCGCGGATGGGAGGTCGCCAATGGTACGCAAACCAATCTCGGAATTGAGGTGCTCAATGAGGTGAAGATGAAGGGTGCTCTCCAGGATCTCCTGTCCCGATACCATCTTTTCGTACCGCCCTTTGTTGGCGTTTCTGGTAAGGATGATGGCATTCGCACTGTCATCGAACTGTGGCCTGCCGGCGCGTCCCAGCATTTGCATGGCCTCCAAGTCAGAATAGTCCTGCAGCCGACCGTCTTGAAACCCGACAGTACCCTTCAGCACGACCGTGTGACAGGGCAAATTGACGCCCACGGCGAGAGTGGAAGTGCAGCAAATGACCCCCAGATCGCCCTTAAGGAAGTGCTTCTCCACGGTGTTGCGGTCCTGGGCATCGAGACCGGCGTGATGGAACGCAACCCCGAATTGGACGATCTCTTGAAGCTCCCTGCTGACGACGGGAATGCGGCTGGAAGGAGCGTGCCAAATTTTGTCGTCGTTGCCCATGGCGGCCCACAGCTCAGCAAGCTTGGCGGCCGTCGTTTCACAGGATTTCCGGGTGAAGCAGAAAATGAGGATTGGCTTTCGGCGCGTATGGTTTGCAAGCAGCATGGGGAGCTTTTGGTCGAGGAACTTGTCGAAGATGTAGTCATTCCCATTGCAGTCGTAACCGTACACGTACTTCTTGAGCTTGACTGGTCGGAGATCCTCGCCGAAGACCTCTCGACGAGCGGGAAGATGCTGGTTTGTGTGATCTCGCCCAAGCCATTTGGCGATGTCCCCAGAGTTGGGTACGGTCGCGCTCAGTGCCACAAAGCGGACATTTGCGCCAATGGTCTTCATGCGTGATACCACGGCTTCCAATGTGGCCCCACGAACATCCTTGAGGATATGGACCTCGTCAATCAGGAAAAGCTCAACCATCTGAAGAAGCTTTCGGTGATCGTGCCACTTTCTGGTGATGGAATCCCATTTCTCAGGGGTCGTGATGATAATCGAGGCGTTGCCAACGCGCCGCATTTCAGAGTAGGAAGTGTCTCCAGTCAGTTCGGCGCATTGGAGATTCATGTGGCCGAATTTCTTCTCCCAATCCCGCGTACGCTCCGAGCAGAGGGCTTTTGTCGGGGCTTGATAGACGATCTTGAAGTTCTCGTTGCCCCGTTCGGCAACCAGTTTGCACACTGCTAGTTCCAGGATCACTGTCTTGCCGCTCCCCGTCGGGGCCGAAACCACAACATTGTCATTAGAGCAGTATACCGCATCGAAGCACTTGGATTGTACTGCGTTGAACACTTCGTAGGGAAACAGTGCTCGGAACTTGTCGGGCAGTGCCTGTCGAGGGCTGATGAGAGGTATCCCGTTTGCCATCGGAGGCGCGTGAGGAAGCTCCATCTGAGAAGACAGGATTTTCTGCGGCTGGGAGGGCGACAAGCTCATCTGTGTCGGTTGTGGGTCGGTTGGATATGACGCGTGAGAGTGCTTGCGAAGACCGGCTCTTGCAGCTGGGCTTGAACTTCCAGGTTCTGAGGACGACGTTGCAGTTGTGGATGGCTTCCTCGTGCCTTGGCCATGTTCGTAGGATGCTGTCCTAATTAGTATTGAATAATCAGGAAGAGGCGGAAAGTACTCACCCGAGTAGAATGGCGGTGTATCCTGCTGCAAGCCGGGATGCAGTTCTCTCAACCGATGAGCTGGCGCTCGGGTCGCCGTATTCAGTGTTGCAGGGTTGGGCATCTGACTCCCGGAGAATTGGGATCCGAGAGAACATTGAGTTCCAGGGAAGGGACCATTGGGGAATGAGAGTCCAGAGTAGCTTGTAGGATGTCCAACCGGGACAGACGAACGGGTGGGAAAATTACTTGGTGGGAGTGAAATCCGCTGGGTGCCGTGGATCGTTGCACTGGAAGTGTGCGGTGACGGAATGCCCAAGAGCCGTCGATCTACACCCGTACCACAGTCAGCGTCATCATAACCGCCATATTGGGCACGGAGGACGAACCGAATTCATCAAGTCCGTGGTGATCAAAGCCCGACAACATGGAACGAGGGACATGGTACGTTGATGTTTGTTGAACATGTCTCGGAAACCCATCGTTCAGGGATGCATTATGCATAGATTCGGGAGTAAAGTTTGGTTGGACTGGGTCCTCTCTCGGCTCACCGCCGGTTGGGAAGGGAGTCCGTTGGCCTGGGATCCTCTGGCCAACTCGGGGCCCGTCCCAGTGCCAGCCTGCCGACATGATGGCGGGTTCTTTTTTGTGGCCGGGGGGAGGATCGGGATCGGTCGGCCAGATCCCCTCCGGTATCGTAGAATTGATTGACAAAATATTTGGAGGCGATTAGAAGATGAAGGAAATAAGACGCATTGGACTCGCCCGGGTTCGACGAACGGGCATGGGGGATTGTCTTGGAAGATACTCAACTCGAGTGGCCAAGAGGCTTCGGAGGGGCAGGAGGTACAACATGGTCACGAGCGTCTGCACCTACTTTGTTTGGATAGATAGACCGGTAGTACCTGCCAGTTGAGAAATGATTATACGTAAAGGTACCTACTGTCCAAGTCGCCCCTTTCTCTCAGATTGGGGAGGACATTGCGGCCACATGCTCACGTGACCCCCCGACCGCCTACGCAAGACCGGAGATCCGGATCTATACAGGGCTTATTGGAGTAGCTTCGTTGTGGGGAGCCCTGCCAGGTATATGCACCAAGCTGGTTAGTATCGAGCGTGGTCGACCTCCCCGGCAATCAGCACCGACACTTGTCGAGCTGCCAAAGGGATAAACCATCCCAAGAGACGTAGAAAATATCAATATGGGCTCGGCTTTCTTGCGGGCCGACCCGGCGGTGCCCGGTGGAACCAAGGCCGGCCTTCTGTGTCGATCGACATGGTGACCAAACGGCCTCAATCCTCTCACATTGCCATCAAAACGAAGGTCCGCCCCACTCCCGAGATTGTGCTCCGATGCAACCCGCAAAAGGCAGCCATTGAGAAACGGGTGGTAGAAAAGAGTGTTTCCCTTTTGGATACGTCCTTCTTCCAATCCATCCATCATTTAAAGCTCCGATACTCTGGGTACTTGTCCAGTCTGCCGAACGGTCCAAGAACATGGCACTATGTGACGGGATTCCGGAGCCCCACGTTTTTGCCATCCGTACATGGCCGGAACGCACGGGGCACTTCGGATGCCTAACGGCTGTGTACACTGATCCGAGGGACGAGGTCGGGGCCCGTAAGCTTAATACTCTCCCGGCAACATCGACGGTACTTATTACGCATATACAAGAATCCTAGTGATCAGCTACTGCCCCGGAAATACCACGGGGGTTTACCAGGCTAGCACTCGTGTGCCGACCATACCCCCTGCATGCCGAAGATCTTGGCGTACATACCTGCGATTAGCGTATGCAAAGACACTCTGACGTCAGTCCACCCGAATCATGGTCGCGAATCTGGGCGTACCTCATGACTTGCTAGTGTTTGAAGATTCAGCCAAACTTTGCGTCATGGCTTTTCTTCACAGTTTCGAGATGCTGCAGTCCATCCTCGCATCTGCATCTGCCGAATCCCATTAGCTATCCACCTAGGTTGCCACGGTTTCGAGCAACTGTTCGAGAGCACACCAAGCAACTCGATGGAAGAACCATTGTCTCGCCATCCGAGGATTGAGTCTCCATAATCTGTACTCAAAGGATCTAGTGGCATGTCCGGTGGATACTTCAAGCTCAGATCGCCCTTGGTTAGGGTTTCCCACTAAGTTTCAGGTCCTATAGGCAGCGTTCTAGGGACATTATGGCGGAAGAGACAGTGGGACTCCGCTCCGGCGAAGCCGAATCGGGGATCCGCCAGTGGGTCGGTGCGCCTATCAATGCAGAAAGTTTGGTGGCAACATGCCGTCGTGCAAGATCCTGCCTCGGCTTGAGAACATTGATGGGAATATCCTTGATATACGCATCATCCCAACGACCTCCATCTTCTTCCCCAGCCCACACTGCATGCAATCTTATGCACACATAAACAATATCACAAAACTCTCTGCGCTTGGGCTTTTTATATCGCACGCGTCTTCACCACTGATAACGACGTCTGGAGGGTCCACATCGAAACAAAATATCTCGAAAACTCTAAAACAGACCCCCCACCCCTTTCCCCTCCCCGCTGGGGACGAACCTCCCACCTATAACCTTTTCCCATGGCCATCCCCCCGACGTTTTCTTCTCCATCCCCCTCCCCCTCCTTCTCGCATGCCTCCTTCCCGTCCTTGGGCTCGGCCGCCAAGTCCGAGCAGGCAGTCCTCCCGATGGGGATCGAGTCGACGCACGACGAGCGGGCCTTCGCCACCGCCCATGACGCCCCCGTGAAGCCCCCGACGCCCGCGCCGGTGCCGGCTGACGAGCCAGACCTGGCGTGGCCGAGGGCCCGGACCGTGATGCAGGACGCTTTCTCCGAGTTCTTCGGCGTCTTCATCATGATACTGTTTGGAGACGGGTCTGTCGCCCAGGTCACTCTAAGTGACAAGAAAAGTGGTGACTACCAGAGCATTTCTTGGGGCTGGGGGTAGAGTCTACCTTTTTATTTCCCTCTACTGCTTAATTGTTGCTTTTCTCTGTTCTTTCCTCCTCGTATACTGACATCCTGCCCAGTCTCGGAGTCATGCTCGGGTTCTACGTGGCCGGCAAGTCAGGCGGGCACCTGAACCCGGCCATCACGCTGTCCAACTGCGTGTACCGCAAGTTCCCCTGGCGCAAGCTCCCCGTGTACGCGGCGGCGCAGGTGCTGGGCGCCATGGCGGGCGCGGCGGTGGTGTACGGCAACTACCGGTCGGCGATCGACAACTTCGAGGGCCACGGGGTGCGCACCGTGGGCGGCAACATGTCGACGGCCGGCATCTTCTGCACGTACCCGCAGCCCTTCATGACGCGGACCGGCATGTTCTTCTCCGAGTTCCTCGCCAGCGCCATCCTGCAGTTCGTCATCTACAGCCTTCTCGACAACGGCGCCGGGAAGCTGATGCCGCTCTCCCTGTTCTTCCTCATCTTCGGCCTCGGCGCCTGCTTCGGCTGGGAGACGGGTTACGCCATCAACTTGGCCCGGGACTTTGGGCCACGCCTCGTCACGTACATGATCGGGTACGGCCCCGAGGTCTGGTCTGCGGGGGGGTATTACTTCTGGGTGAGTGGATTTACCTCTTGATTTACCCGCTGTTGTGAATGCGCATTAATGCAGCCCACCTGTGCAGATCCCCATGGTCGCCCCGTTCCTCGGATGCTTGACTGGCGGCTTCCTCTACGACGTATTCCTTTATACTGGAGCCGAAACCCCGATTAACACGCCTTATATGGGCTTCCCGAGGCTCCTTCAACCGAAACGCAGTGTTTGGTCCAACACATACGTCAAAGACGAAGTGAGCAAGGCGTAACTCTGGGGAAATTGGAACTTGGAACTTGGAACTTGGAACTTGGATCCCGCTGTGGACCAGATTTCCTCTTTATGATGTCTGATTAGTGATGATAATGCCGGCGATCTTTGGTGCCTTGCCCATATCCATCGATGAGTTTCACGAGCGGGGCGTTTGGGGCTGGCTTTAGTTGTATTTGAAGGGGGGCAAATCCCGTGTAGACTACCTATATGGAGTGTAAATAGAATCTGAATAGAAGCTGGAATGATTTTGACTCAGGATAGAAAACAATGCAGTGTCCCTGGACGGGGCTGGTTCCACGGCTTCGGAAATTGGCAGTGGGTTTCTGCCGAACATAAATGCATGAAGTTGTCGATACTGGGCAATTGACTCTAATTATCTCCTAACTGCGCGGTTGGAAATGCTGTGCGTTGGGAATGGGGCAGTCGTGTGACAAATAAAAATACTCTGGGCCCGGCTCCAGATGTGGAGCAACGGCATTCGGGCCTTCATGTAACCCAAGTCATGTTAGTGTTTGGCCTATGGAGGTGGTTCCGAGGCTGTGCTTTTATCGAGTGGATTAAATTATGCCCGGCCTTGACCTGTACTACCACACCTTGGCCTAAAGAGTGTTCCTTGCCGTAGCAACAACTCACTGGGTATGTCGTAAATATTTGGTGACTCGGGGTATCTTCAGCATAGGGTGCAGTATTTAGTAGCCCTTGATCGCTTGATGGTTGTGCCAAGAGATAGTCAACAAGGGGGAGAGACTCGCGGTGTGGTTCTGTTGATTTTGAGCAGTTCGATTCGTCCATTTCTACCTCGATGACTTGTATTAACCCTTTGAAAGTGAAAAAGAGATTTCGTAGGTTCTGTCTCAATACTTACTCACGAGATCCAAAAGCTAGCTTCAACTCGACCTCTCCCGCTTTAACCCCCTTTGCTTGCCCAATCATTTAGTTCCGAGGGACCGTCTAATTATGCGGAGTATGAGGATGGTTTCCTCAATTTCGTAGTCGTATAACTGCTGTACGAAACGTTCTATCAACGTAAGTTTATTAAAGAATATCCACCTGTTTGTCTTTTGGTTCTCGGGCTCCTTTGGAAGGCATATCGCAAGGGCAGTCGGATCGGAGTCTTGGAGCTTGAGAGGACTGCTAATTACCCGGGGCGGTGGCGAGTTATTATACGTAGATGGCTGCACCGCAAATGGATGCTTGCTCTCTATGGGGGCTTTTGAAGTTGCCGCCGTGCCTCTTTCTCCTGCAGTGTCCACTCTGTTGTAGCAAGCTAGATATTTAAAAGAAGGGCGTTTGGAAGTCGCAGATACGCTTTTCGAGTTTGTTAGTATCGCGCTTATCTGAACAGAGCTTGCCTCTCGCGCAGTATCCATGGTCGCGGTTCCACAGCTAAGGAACGCGGCGTCATGTAACCCAATTTGGCCATGCATGTATGACAACCCCTGAACTTTAGGAATTGCAATTGCCACTACCTAACGAACCAGCCAGCTTATTCTCTGCGCCAATTCAGTGATGAGGATAGTCTCAAGTGCCGTGTCAGTGCTTCATAGACGGAATAATGCGCGGGGAATATCCTTCAAGAGACTGAATTCACTTTAATAGAGAACCAGTACTAATACATTACCAAGTGGAAATTCCATCCCAGGTTACAGAGACCAAATCTTTAGTGAAACTCTCGGGTATATTGGCATTACACCACAGGGCCGGGCATTAGCAACTCGGCCATGTTCTGGTCTTGACTATGTGGCTATTCACCTCCCTATGCTGTCAAATGGCTGTCATGTCGTGCCTTAGAAGTCCATTCACTCGGGTGCCTCCCGCAAGTATATATTGACAGTCCAAGCCGTTCAAATTCCGATCCTCTCATCGCCATCTCCAACTGCGACATTGCACAATACTCGGCAAGGACACTACCAGCCTGAAGCATTATTACCATACCTACCTTCTACGCGACTTTCCGCATCCTCCCACCACTTCTGACAAGATGTGCACAGTGGTAGTTCATGACATACGATGCCCGTGCCAGTATGCCCGCTGCCCTCAGCGGAACGCTGCTAAGGAGACGAAACCCGGCCACCTCATCGAGATCCGGAATACGCATGCCTATGACTGGTGCATCCCGTACTTTACACAGACCAACCCGACCCTGCTAGCATTGAACCAGATTCCCGTCTGTCCCGTGCGACCCATCCAGAAGCACCACCACATCAAGTGGAGGGATGAGCCTTGCCTGCCCTGCAAAAGGACTTGCCCGGCGCCGGAGGACAACTTCTTCTAATTGCCCGAGGGTAGTTACTTCGAATACGGTGGACCGAATTATCTTGGGTTTCGACTGTGGGTTGGAAGCGAGGCGTTGGCGTTGGTCTTGGAAGGCGTTGGTTTGAGGGCAGATCTTTCTTTCTGGTCCATAATTAGAGAGCATCTAGGGGCGAATTGCTTAGTCTACGTTTAGACCAACTCATCTCAATGAGTAGTAGACGTAATTAATCGAACACCTTGCAGTTTTGGTATTTTCTAGCTTGCTCAAAGTCTCCGAATATGGGAGAGTATTGAGAGTTAATTGAGAATCATGACTCTAGAGGATCATGTTCGATCACTTGCCATTGATTTGTTTCCTCAGTGACTATTCGCGATATAACCTTGACCGGCTATAACACTTGATCAATGAGCTTTGATTCATGTCCATTAACTCCATTTAAATTGTCGCGACATGTGTACCCAAGTGTGGTAACAGAAAAGAAGTCAGTTGTTAGTTAGAAGTCTAAAGGGTGATGAAACCTCAGAGGCTAGTCGAGAAAGAGAGGGAAACATAATCAATCACAGTACTTGCCCCCAAGCCCGGCCCTGGGGAATCGCAGATATTCACCAAACAACCAATTTCCACCTTTAGGTCCTCCCAGCTGGACATGGCCCGGCGGAACAAAGCAACACTACCCATTCTCTCACTACCTCAGTTAACCAGTGAAAACAACCCTGTGGAGAAGTAGCCAAGAAGCTAAGAGGCCACGATGGAGAGACGGAAGCACATGCGTTTTTATCCCGCTCACGTTGGCGTGTTATCGACATGCACCGACAGATGGTGGATCACATGTGGAGAACGTATTATCTACAGACTCTGCCAGTTCTGGCCAGTCACCGCAAAACAACGTACATTGAATGATAGCTTCAACTATCAGTCTTCCCAAGTTCCACGACACTGACGGCCATGCCCAAAGCAACCCTAACCTAACTACGCGCTGGTGCGCCGATTTCCAATTGTCGAAACCTGAATCTCAGTCCTCAGATTTACTGAAGAGCCTGTGCGATGGCATCGTAGGCAGGCTTGGGGTTGAAGGAGCTGTCAAAGAGGAGGGGGTTGCCCTGGGGTCTCCACGAATCCTAGAAGGGGGCCAACAAGTTAGACATTGATTACTCTTCAGAGCTAAGGAGACGCGCCAGCAACAAAAAGGAAAGTGAAAAATAAATGAGTCTTACCGGATCCCTAACACCCCAGACGGTAATCCCGACGCACTTCTCGACGGCCAGGCAGCCCTTTGTGACGGCGGCGTAGTCCTGCGCGTTGTTGCCCTGGATGTCCAGCTCGGTGACGGCGACCTCGGAGACGCCCGTGTCGGCGAGGGCCTTGATGGCGCTGGCGAGGGCGGAGCCCTGGCCGGCGTTGAGGTGGCCCTGGGTGCCGATGCCGTCGATGGGGATGCCGGCGGCGAGCCACTTCTTGACGTGCGCGACCATGCCGTTGGTCAGCTTGGCCGCCGTCGGGCTGTCGAGGTTGTAGTCATTGATGTAGAGCTTCGCGTCCGGGTCGGCCGCTCGCGCAGCCTCGAAGGCGATGCGGACAAAGTCCTCGCCGAGGACGTCGGAGAAGACGGACGAGCGCAGCGAGCCGTCCTCGTTGAATATCTCGTTGGCGACGTCCTGCATGGTACGCAAGTATGTGAGTCTCTGGCCCACCGATTGCCCATCCACGGTTCACTAAACATTACTCACATATGCCCTGATCTTGCCCTTGTACCTCGTCATGATGGTCGTGATGTGGGTCTGGATGGCCTCGGTCAGTTGGGCCTTGTCGCGAATGCCGCTAACCCATCCGGCGAGCTGCGAGTGCCAGACGAAGGTGTGGCCTCGGACCGTCTTGTTGTTCTCGACGGCCCAGTTGACGAGGTAGTCGGCCTGGCCCCAGTTGTACTGCCCCTTGGTGTTCTCGATGCTCTGCCACTTCATGCTGTTCTCAGGGGTGACCTGGCCGAAGTCGGCCTGGATCACGGCCGCGTTCTTGCCCGACGTCAGGCGGCCCTGGTCGGTGCAGGTGCCAAAATACAGCTTGCCCTTGGCCTTCATTAACGCGTCGATGCTTGTTGTCGACTGACGCTTCTCAACATCCTCGCCGGTGGGCGCGGCCAGGGCCGCAAGGGGCGCCAACAGGAGGAGAATGGCGGACTTCATCCTGACAAAAACAAGGGCAGAAGGCTGAGTTGCTGACCAACGGAGTAAGGGGAAGATGGCTTGAGATAACCCACGAACGGTCTCCACGACCCTGAGGGACTGGGCCGCATATATGTAGAGAGGTATCGTGGGGCTGACATTGCGACCTCCCGGGCTCCCCAGTCATCTACTACTATGGTAGCTACCTTGAGTGCCATGCTCGTTGCAACACCTGATTGGTTGGTTTAATGAACCCCGGATGCTTTTAAATGGCGGTTGCCGGCTACCGACGACGGAAGCGTCCATTTGATGAGCAATGCGCTCCGAACAGCCTCATGTCCGAACCAGGATCGCTGTAATAAATTGGCGGTTCCTACACAAATAAATATGCAGTACCGCACGAATCAGCGGTCTTGAAAGCTGCGGGGGTGCCAAGCTTGCTGTAATGCTCGACGGCTAATCATATGGGTAATCCGTAATGGGGTCGTGAATTAACCGGCTTTTCGTAGTCTTTGCCTGAACTTCTAAGATCCACGATGGTTCCTACCCTTCCATCGCTCTACCGGTCCAGCGGCTCTGTTAGGAACAAGCCTATTGCGGTAGAGCGGATTCCAATATAGTGATCGTCCCCTGTCCTAGCACAGGGGCAGTCACTGCACCGGGCATATTTGATAACCACTTTTTATGTTCGCATGGTGCGACAGTGTTCTCCCTATCTGTCATTTCACACGTCCGAATTATCAGAAGAATACTTGCTTAATTTAGCCAGATTATTGCTGTTTCCAAACTCGAAGAGAAGAAGGCTTCTGCAGGATAGAACAGGCAGCTATATATACCTACCAAGGTACCGAGCCAAGCGATCATGAAGCCCTGGTCAGCCTAAGGTCTAGCTCCTTTTCAATAGAAGAGAGGGCCTTGAGGACCGACCCCTGGGGACGACCCCTATATGCCTTGGTAGACTGAGGGCCAGTAGGCTTAGTCAGCAGCTTCTTTGCACTGGAAGTGTGGCAAGACAACTTGAGGAAATATTCGTAGCCTCAATAAGAGATGAACAAAGGACGGAGGAACTCAAGGAGGAGAACCAGAGATACTTAACGAGTTGGAACAGTCTTGTTCCAAAAGCTGACTCGTCTTGCTGGAGTCAACTCAACTTGAAGTCGGGTAGGTCACGTGAGATGGGGCTTCCTTGAGCCACAGTTCTTGGTTTTTGCTGTGTTGAACCCCACCTGCCCCGCACCGCTGTGGCTGTTCCCTCGACGCCTAACTGGGTAAGGCAGTTGTTGATTTTCACAAAACATTGGCAGAAAAAATTGCTCGTCGAAATTTCTTACTTCATTCCTTCTCCCAAAGCACCTCTCTCTGAACAAGTCCTCTTCTGGAGGGCTGTGGTTCTCTCCGTTTCCCTTTCCTATCGTCCATATTTGCCCTTGATACCCCTTATTTCCTTTCGTCCCAGCTTCTCACACTACCATGGATCAACAAAAGCTTGCGAGCCTCCTGAAGGAGAGCCAAGTTCGTGCGTCTTCCCCTCGGGCAGCCTAGCCCCCATCAATTGTTGGGCTCCGTCCCGTTTTCTGCGGTTGCTAACAGTTTTCTCTGCATGCAGCCGACACACAGAGAATCAAGGCAATCACCGCGGAATTGCAGAAGAACTTCTATGTCCATCCTGAATCCCTCCTTGCCCTGATCGAGATCATCGCGACCCATGGCGACCTCGGCGTCCGACAGCAGGCAGCTATCCAGGCTGCCCGGCTGGTGGACAAGCACTGGAAGGTCATTCCCGCAGAGCAGAAGGGTGCCGTTCGGCAGCATCTGGTCCAGGCCACCTTGAAGGAGCAGAACCCGAGGTGTCGACACGCAGAGTCCCGTGTCATCGCCTCCATCGCCAACCTTGACTTCGAAGATGGGGAATGGCTTGATCTTCTCCCTTCCCTCTTCACCCTTGCCCACAACAGCGATGTCGGTCAGCGCGAGGTGGGCATGTACATCATCTTCAGCATATTGGAGGAGAACCCAACCCATTTCATGGAGCATCTCTCGAAGCTCTTCGAGCTCTTCAGCCACACTATCCGCGATCCCGCCAGTGCAGATGTCCGGATCAATACCATGATGTCTGTCGGCGCCATTCTCATGCTCGTCGAGCCCGAGGAGGACGAGCAGTCTGTAAATTCCCTACAGGCGCTGATCCCCCTCATGGTTGAGGTGCTCAAGGACGCAGTCCAGCAGGGCGACGACGAGAAGACCAAGCAGGCATTCGAGGTCTTCCAGCAGTTCCTTGCCTACGAGTCGGCATTGATTGGGGGCTTCCTGAAGGATCTTGTCCAGTTCATGCTCGATCTCGCGTCGAACACTGACGCTGATGAGGACGTCCGCTCGCAGGCGCTCTCCTTCCTGGCCCAGACGGTGCGATACCGCCGGATGAAGGTCCAGGGGATGCGGGACATGGGCTCCCAGCTGACCCTGAAGAGCATGGTGATCCTGACCGAGATCGATGACGACGAGGATGAGGAAGAGATGAACCCTGCCAGGCTGGCCCTTGCATTGCTTGACCAGCTTGCCAGCGACCTGCCGCCTCGCCAGGTCATCGTCCCCCTGCTCGACGCCTTCCCCAAGTTCTCCACCTCGGAGCAGGCCGGCTATCGGAAGGCGGGTATCCTCGCACTAGGCACATGCGTCGAAGGAGCTCCCGATTTCGTCGCGTCTCAGCTCAAGTCGGTGATGCCCCACCTCATCAGCCTCCTCAACGATGCCGACGCCGGTGTCCGACACACAGCCTTGGTCGGTCTCGCAAGGCTTGCAGAAGACGTCGCCGAGGAGCTTGCTTCGGAGCACGAGGCCCTGATGACTGCGCTAGTGAAGAATCTCCAGGCTGCCATTTCCACTGCCTCGGATCCCCAGCAGGCCAAGAAGAGCACCGGCATTATCCGCTCCGTATGCGGCGCCCTTGATGCCATGTCTGAGGGCCTCCCAGCCGATGTCATGAAGCAGTATGCGGGCGAGTTGGTCGGCAACATTGGGGCGCTAGTAGACCATGAGGACTTCAAGGTCAAGATCGCCGCATCCGGCGCACTGGGCGCCATCGCCAGCTCGCTCGGGGAAGAGTTCAAGCCGTACTTTGAGCAGACAATGCGGGCGCTTGGAAACCACCTCTTGGTCAAAGACTCGGAGGAAGACCTCTCTCTGCGCAGTGGCGTTTGCGACTCAATGGGACGCATTGCCACGGCTGTCGGGGCAGAGATGTTCCAGCCGTATGTAATGGAGCTCATGAAGGCCAGCGAGGAGGGCCTCAAGCTTGACAACTCGAGACTCCGGGAGAGCAGTTTCATCCTGTGGAGCTCGCTTTCCAAGGTCTACGAGGCCCAGTTCGCCCCCTTCCTCCCGGGCGTCTTCACCGGCCTATTCGACAGCCTCGAGCTGGAGGAGGAGGAGGTCACTCTCCAGCTGACCGAGGAAGAAAAGGCCATTATTGGAACCCAGGATGAGCTCATCACCGCCGGAAAGAGGATCAAGGTGCGGCAGACGGATGACGTGGATGACAACGTGATGGACGACGAAGACGAAGACGACTGGGAGGATGCCGGTGTTTCTACCGAGGCCCTCGAAAAGGAGGTCGCCATCGAGGTTCTGGGAGACGTCATCACCCATGCCTGTGGTGCTGCCGAGGTCTCGGAATACCTCGAGAAGGCTGTGGAAAAGATTGCGCCCCTCGCCGAGCACTCGTACGAAGGCTGCCGCAAGGCCGCCATCTGCACCCTGTGGCGCGCGTATGCCCGTGTCTGGCAGCTCATGGAGCAGGAGACGGGTGTCAGCTGGGAGCCAGGATTCCCACCCAAGCAGGCACCGACCCCTGCCCTTCTCACGCTTGGAGAGATCGTCTCGAGTGCCACCCTGCAGCTCTGGTCGGAGGAAGGTGAACGGTAAGCAAGGATTCCTTTTCGCGTCCCCATCTCTCCTCGTGATTCTTCCGTGATGAATACCTTTACGTTATACCCAGCTCACTCAGACGCAATTTATTGCGAGTGCTGAGAAAACGTGCTTATCAATATCTGATCTTCACATATCAACGCCCAAAATTTGTCCCGCAGGCTCTGTTCAGGATCGTGGCGCTAACTAGTCACAGTGCTGTCGTGACCGAGGTCAACCGGAATGTCGCCGCTACTCTGAAGGCTTGTGGTCCCGCTATCCTGGCCCAGCAGGACATGCTCACACAAGTGGTTACCGTTCTCGGCACCATCATCACCCGGTCGCACCCTTGCCAGCAGGATCTCGGCGACGACGGCGAAGAACAAGAGGTGGAAGGCTCGTCAGAGTATGACTGGCTCGTTATTGACACGGCACTGGACGTGGTCATCGGCCTCGCGGCAGCCCTCGGCCCGTCGTTCGGCGAACTTTGGAAGGTCTTTGAGAAGCCCATCATGAAGTTCGGAATTTCCAACGAGGACATTGAGCGGTCCACTGGTGTTGGTGTTATCGCCGAGTGTGCTGCCAATATGGGATCGGCGGTGACCCCCTACACGTCGACCCTCTTGGCCCTGCTCCTGAAGCGCCTGTCGGACACTGACATGGAGACCAAGAGCAACGCCGCCTATGCCGCTGGCCAGTTGATTATCAACTCGACAGACAGCAAGGCATACCTGCCCCAGTACGAGACCATCCTCCGAAAGTTGGAGCCTATGTTGCAGATCCAGGGTTCCCGGATCAAGGACAACGCGGCCGGGTGCCTCTCCAGGATGATCATGGCCCACCCCGAGCATGTGCCGCTCGGTGAAGTCTTGCCAGCCATGGTAGATCTACTGCCGCTCAAGGATGACTATGAGGAAAATGCTCCGGTGTACGAATGCATCTACAAACTCTGTAAGTGGCCCCCCTCCCCCCCCCCCTTCTGCTCCCTTGTCCACCCCGAAACCACACGGACTAACCGATGGCGCCGCACAGATGATTCAAACGAGCCGACGATCCAGCAACTCACTCCCAAGCTGATTCCCGTCTTTGAACAGGTCTTGGGGCCACCGGAGGAGCAAATAGAGGACGAGACTCGTCAACTCCTCTACCAGGCTGTGCGCGTTCTCTCCAAGGCACATCCTGAGCTGTTCAACGGCCACGAGGCTCTCCTCAAGTACGCCGGCATCCTGTAGATACCCCATCGACCAACGCGTCGAAACATGAAAAAAAAAAAAAAAGGAGCTGGGATGATGCACTTGACGAGAATGAGGGATGATTGACGCATGTGAAGAACTTACAAAGGGGGAGGGGGCTAATGATTTGAATGCATCGTCGGCGGATTTCACCCAAAAAAAAATACCATAGATAGACTTCTGTTAGTTCAAACCGTGGCACGAGTAAACAAACTCGTTTCAGCTCGGGGTCTGCCCTCGCAGATTCTATACCGAGATTAGATCACAGTTCCTAATAGTAATTGAGAATTGCTATAAACAGAAGATGATGTTCTCAAGCAGACCCCTTTTGTATCGTGGGGAAATCGATGAATGACCGGTTTGGAACTTGATGATGCTCCCAGGACCTAGCTTGATCTGTTGCCACGAGTCCTACCCCTGTCTTGAAAACAAATCCCGACTCAACCCCTTTGCCCTCCTAATTCCCTTCCACACAGGTCCTCGCCTTCCTCAACACAAATGTCACCCAATCTCAAATCCCTCAATCCCAACTCAGGCCGCACAAAGCGTAAACGTGACGCTCTGGTCAGCAGTGCACACCTTGACCTGGCTCCCAGCAGGCGGCGTCCCGTTCCCCCAGACGATGGCCGGGCACGACGCGTCCGCGCTGGCGACGACGACCTTGTGGCCGGCGAACGGGTCGCCGAACACGTCCGACAGGTCGTACCACACCTGCGCGCCGTCTAGGTTGTAGGCGAAGTCGGCCTGCGGGGCGCCCGTCCACAGCCCGTCGGCTGGCACCGTCACCTTGAGGGCCCGCCCTCCCGTCTGCGGGTCGCGCGAGAAGGTCTCGCCGTAGCTGCCGCCGTGGGCGGAGAGGCGGTGCGGAGAGGAGACGGCCGAGCCGACGGACCATACGGAGACGGCGAAGTCGCAGTTGTTTACTACTTTGGCTTGGCCGAGGGCGGTGGCGGTGGTGGCGAGGGTGAGGGTGAGGGCGAGGAGGGGGTTGTGCATTTTGGATGGGGGTTGGGTGTATGGAGGTATGTGTTTTGACTTTTGTGGGTTTGTTGTTTGGATCTGGTGGGATCGAATGGGAGCAGAGCTGTGGTTGTGATGGTCGAGCCTGAAGAACAGAACAGAAGAGTCTCTTTCTCAACTTACCTCTTCCCCCTTTATATACCCAGATCTCGAGACGGACCATGAGCTGCTTACCTGCAATCCCAGGCAATGATCAGCAGTCAAGTAACCCAAAAGAAATAATACGACGACATCATGGCCTCTTTCTTGGGCGTCCCTTGACGTCTGACTCCGTATCCTGCCGTGGCGAGCAACCTACTGCTACCATGAGATCACAGCACCACTAAGCCTGGCGGTGTGGACTCTTCATGGCATCGAAGCCAAGGGGAGGTCCTGCTTAGGTTACACGACCTTGAAAGAGCCCTATCCGAGGCCCGAGCGTGGTGATTACCACGCATTCTGTCCATGCGGTTCCATCCCGCTACGACACCACCTGACGATGGAGTCAGTTGAATACGAGCCTCCTTCAACAGCGTTCTCTGTTGGCGGACGAATCACAACGGGGCCTGGGTCATTCCACCTTACAGCTCATCCCACAGTGTCGTGTGCCAAGAGTCGTATTCCTATTGCGGGGGTGAGAGGATTATATTTAGTGCTTGCAGATCGCTGACTGCCGTGAGCTGTCAGCATCGCCCGGTAATTGTCCCGTGCTCCCGGGATTGGTCTGCCGCGCTTTTCTCTGCCGCGCTGCCGAGCTGCAACGTTGACAACCAGAGATCCTGTTTCCAGAAGCCCAAAATTATGAGTGTGTTGCCTTTGACGTGCGACAACTGGTGCCCGCTCCTAATGAAGGATCCCCTAATTAAGAGTTTGCCAAGGACTGCGATCATCGTCATCTCACCTCATTGAAATCGACCATAATCACCTTGACTGGATTGAATATGACCCTGACGGTGCAGTAAACGAAATGGATCCGTTGGTTTCGACCTGGAGTAGCCCAATGCTCATCTGCGAATGTCCTTGGGGTCAGAATAGACGGTGCATCAAACCCGGAACCGGGCTACATCATGCCAAGTATAAAAGCATGCGTTGAATTCTCGTTCCATCACCACTTCCCCACCTTGTATGGATACATGCGTTGTCAGTGGAAAAGGGGTGCGCAATAACCCTGAGTCCACCCACCCTAGTCAAAGTGCTCGTCATTTCCCTCTAGTCAACACAATACTTCCTCGGTCGCTTTTTTCTGCTGCCTCTTGGGATGAATCGGCCAGCTGTTGTGAGTTGGCGGGAATGTACTGTACCTAGTCCCCAGTGTAGGTATGCAAATTGGCTAAAGCGAATAATGCATACTTGAGTCTCGAATTCATGCTGGCGTTATATTTGTTCAGCCAAGTCGCTGTGTTCTGTATTCAGATGCAAGGTTTCCCTACCACACAGAGTATACCGCATCAACCGCTTTGCCAGTCAACTTTCCAAGTAGTTAGATATACCTTAGGGAGTTGTGATCAAGTCTTGCCTCTGAATCGGAGTCGATCCATTTTCAGGAATGAGTCTATAACTAAGGGACGGCGGTGAAAATCTGTCGCTTTGACAGCCCAGCCCTCTCTCCAATTACTAGCAATTTTCCCGAGGTTGTCAAGCGAATAACTGCCCCTCAAATCACATCTTGATCAACTGACTGTCATTTTTTCACTTGATAATGGGAGTCATAATTATACTATCTGAGATCCAACTATGGCCCCTGCGTTCCTTCCTTATTTCAGGACCCCAGTGTCTCTATAATAATGTCGGAAACCTCAGGAACTTGGCAATGGAGTGTCACCATTTCCTCTCTTTCATTTTGACAACGCTGCTATGACCTCTACAACGGATAACGAAAAGTCGGATTCCGACAAAGGGAAACCAAAAAATGCAAAGGACTCCGAAGAGAAAATTGCCGTAAACTCGTCGGCAGACTCGATAGCAACGGCCAAAGAAGAGGCCCCCGAAAAAGCAGCTGCGGAAAAGCCGAAACATGTTGGGAAAGACGATGTTGAGAAGTCGACATCAGCTTCTCTAGCCGTTGACGACGAGCGCAAAATCCAGAAGGGGGAACCGGGGCAGTCAAAGGAACCGACGGCCAAGAAACCGTCTACGGCGTCTTCCACTGCTGAGGAGAAACCCGACAGCCGCAAAGGGACACCAGAAGGCAACGAAGATGCGGCGTCACGGCCGACCACCCCTGAAAACCAGCCCTCAAGTGCTCCGCAGAGTGGGAGCTCCAGCTCCGAAACAGAAGTCAGGGATGCATTCACCAATTTCTTTGAGGCTATAGTCTCATGGGCTGACGACGTTACTCACGATCCCAAGTTTGATCACAAGCGTTTCAGACAACGGTATTCCCGGCTTATACGTACGAATGATGGGAAGGATGCTGCTGCACTCCTGGGGTTAAGCAGCCGGTGTCAGAGGCACGACTGGCTTAGTAGGCTGAGCAAGCACGACTACCTTGCCATCTCCTTCGTCGTCGCGAGGTGTATTCTAGAGGATGTATTTCCTCCCAAGCAGTCACCGTTGGGCATTACCTATCCGGTTGGACTCACACGTAGACAAATGGACTTTATTTCTGATGCTGAAGTGGCGATGGTATCAGAGCTGAGGAGGGGTTTGTCCCTTTTTCCTAGAACTTGCCGAAATTTCGTGCTAACAAGTCCTACGCAGATTTACCCAGAATATCGAGGTGGAGAGGGGAGACCATAACCGCCGTAATGGCGACTGATTCCTTCCGGCGTTCGTCTAAGGAGCTGTCGAAGGAGATCCTCGAGTTCCTCAAGCAAGATCTCCGCAGCTTAATGGGCAAGGAAGCGATAGAGAAGCACTTTCCAGCCCTGCGACGTACGGTCATCCAGCCAGCTATTAAATTAGGGGAGACGATGGGTTGTTCCAACGATACGTACCTGGTATCCGTACCCCCAGTCAACCTCTTGCTGGCTGTACACGACGCCGTTCTTTGGAACGTCGATACCTGGTCCCCAGTAACCAGAACGGAGCTTTCCGAGAACCTACATTGCCTCTTTCCCGGGCTTGTACGCAAGAGAGAAGTTGGCCTTCACGGTGAGGTATTGGTCAGGCCATTTGTTGTCGGCTTCCCAGCCACAGATCCGAAACCGAGGGCTCCGAGCCGGAGCAAGCCCACAAGATCCAAACGAGATGGGACACCACCATCTAGAAGAGATACGCCATCGACATCCAAACACAGAAAACACTCGGAATCTAGACGTGAGGTGAGAACAGACGAAAGGGAAGAGGGGAAATCAAAGACCGGGGAGTCGCGGAGAGAATCTATCGGCAGGCGGTTTGCCAAACTGGCCGTTTTAACAAGCTGAAGACTCGTCCCTTTTTTCTTTGATCGTTTTTCAATTCGCTTTTTGGACTGATACAAGAATTGGTAGAAGACATGGATGATTCACAGGAAGTGAAAATAGTTTGAAGTTCCGTTGCCTTTGAAAAAACCTTTTCTTTTGTTAAAAAAAGGAGTAATCTACTTGCATAGAGCCCACCGTATTGACACTATCTGCGACACTGACATGAAACAATCTAAACTAAGGCTCCTCTCCAAAGGGGGGGAGACTTCCGTAGACAAAAATACCCCAACGGGGCATACGAAGATAATATACTGAAACTTCCAGACCGCCCTTCTCACCCCCACCCCCCCTTAAAACGTCGGCGCCATCCTCCGACCAGCCTCCTCCGCCACCACACTCCCAAGCCTAAACGACCTCAACGAACTCGTCGACGCCCGCACGCCGCCCGACCTGCCAAAGCTCAGCGACCGACCGGCCCGCCCGCCGCCCATCGGCGGCGAAAGCAGCAGCATCGGCGACGGCACGCTGGTCCCGCGCGGCCGCCTGACGTTCAGCCCGCTCATCATGGCGCCCATGGCCAGGCTCGCGTCGGCGGCGGGTGGCCCCATGCCGGCGGCGGATGGCGAGATACCGGTCCGAGGCATTGACGGCGACATCATCATCGTCATCGCGCTCGGCGAGAGGGAGGCGGCGGCGGCGGGCCTGGATGATGCCGCTGGTGAGTGGACGCGGCGCACGTCCGTTTGGGCGAGGAGCCGCTCGAGCGATGGGCCGCGCGAGTGGGGAGCCCTGGCGGCGGGGAAAGATGGTGGGCCCAGCTTGCGTGAGGGTGAGCGGCTTGATCCGCGGCTTGAGGGGGGGGTTGGGGGCATGGCTGAGAGGGTGATCTGCTGTTGCTGCTGCTGGTGTTGTAGTTGGAGTTGCTGGAGTTGGTACTGTTGCTGCTGCTGTAATTGTTGCAGTTGAAGCTGTTGCTGTTGTTGTTGCTGCTGTTGTTGCCGTTGCAGTTCTTGCTGCTGCTGTCCAACATGGTACACCACCTCCTCCTCCCCCACAGGATCCATAACACCCCTCAGCCCCTCGAGCGCAAGCGGCGCGGGCGGCAACCTACTAAGGCGGCGGATAGCGCGCAAGTTCCCATCGATGAACCCCGACATGGCCCGCAGCGCCCCCGCGTTCACACTCGCCGACGCCGCGGACGCATCGCTCGGCCCCACCGGAGGAGCCGTGGCGCGCGCGATATGCACGGCCGCCAGCGTGGTTGGCGCTGGCGGGGAGACGGTCTGGCGCGGCGCAGTCGCCTCCCGGATGCTGGCCTGCACGCGGGCCATGACGCCGTCGAAGCCGGTGCCGGCAGTGGAGGCGGTGGTGGTAGTGTCGCCCAGGACGGCCTCGCGAGCCAGGGCGAAGAAGCTTCCGTCGCGGATGCGGCGGCGGACGAGGGTCCAGCGGGTGCGGGCGGGGTTGCGCTCGAGCTCGGGCTGGTAGACGCGGTGGCGGGCGAGCTTGGCGTAGAAGAGCTCGAGGCGCATGGCCATGCGCTCGAGGGCGGCGAGCAAGAAGGCCGACAGGGCGGCGACGCGGTCGGAGGCGGTGTCGGCCCCCTCGAGGGTCGTGATGTCGGCGAAGGCGTCCATGCCGCGGCAGGCCTCGTCGCGTATGTCCTCGAGGAGCTCAATGTCCAGCTCGACGCTGCGCGCCGCGTAGGCGAGGATGCCGCGCTCGGCGAAGCGCGCCGCCGCGGCGCTGTCGGTCACGAACTGGCCCACCTGCGCGACCTCGTGCGAGGTGGCCATGGCGTCGCGGGAGGTCTTGGCGCGCGCGATGGTGCCGAGCACGTCGGGGAGGCGCGTGTTCATGCCCGAGGGGGCGGCGTCGGCGAGGGCGAAGGAGAGCTTGAGGACTAGCTCCTGGAGCTTGGGGCCGAAGAGCGCCGAGAAGCCGCTCTGCAGCAGGCGGGATTGGTAGTCGTAGAAGGTCCGCACGCCGATCATGTTGACCATGCTCTCCCGGAACCAGATGTTGGTCACCCCCGCCGCGTCGTGCTTGCCCGCGTTGTCCATGCCGGAGCCCATGATCTCGTACATCTCGAACTGGTGGGCGACCAGGGTCTCGACGGTTGTGCGGAGATACGAGGCCCACAGGTCGTAGAGGCTGCCGAGTTCCTCGCTGCCGTGGAAGTCGGGCTTGGGCGTCAGCTGGCCGATGAAGTACTTGGTGAGAAGGCTGGCCACCTCGGGGTTGTTCGTGTGGGCGAGATTGTCGAATGACTGCGAGCAATCCACGCCGGCGTTGGACTTGATGATGGATGTGCCACCTGGGTGCATGGGGCAGAAGTCGGTGACGTCGTAGACGCTCCCGTGCACGGCAATCCACATCCTGCTGTCCGGTCGGTGGCCGGTGTGCTTCGCCAGCTCGCTGAGCGGGATGGTCGGGAGATTGCACGACAGCGGCTTGGGGGTCATGAATACGTCAAGCATGAAGCGGCGCTCCGCAAAGGCCTTCTCGACGATCATGTCCGTCGTCTCCATCGTCGCAGACCGGTGATTATAGATGGCCTTGCGGATGCCGCTCATGACCGAGTCAAACACGGATACGGAGCCGCACACGTAGAGGTAGCCGCCGAGACCACCTTGCTTCTTGGACATGACGAGGTCGCACACCGTGGCGCCCTGCTCGACGATGAGGGTGTCAATGTACCTAGGTGAGATCTCCTTCTCGACGAGATCGTTCAGCCTCCGATCATACACGAGGCCGCGCGAGTCCCGCGAGAAGGCAACATGGACCTCCATCATGCCAGCGTCCACATACTCGCGGATCTCGTCCTCGTAGCAGAACCTTTCCCGCGACTGGACGCCGAGGTAGAGGATGTCCCGGCCCGCCGCCCTGCCGCGCGACGCCACCCGCGCCTGCCAGAAGCTGCGGAAGGGGGCGATGCCGCTGCCGCCCGCAAAGTAGGCGCACGGCGCGGCGCGGTCCACAGGCAGCTGGAAGGCGACGGGCCGCGAGACGCCGACGAGGATGTCCTCGTCCGACGCGATCAGCTCCTCGCCCGACGACAGGAACGGGTTGAGGAATCCGCTCCCGACGCCGGCGCACGTTATCTCGGCGTCGCCCGCGAAGGTGGAGCACAGCTTGTATTCGGCGCGCGAGATGGTGAGGTCGACTGTTGAGGGCAGCATCTCGTGCGGGTGGTTCGAGATGGAGTATGTTCTGGGAACCTCGACGGGGATCAGATCGGCTAGCCATGCGAGATCCCCGTTGAGGTCGAATGCCCTGTCCCAGATCTGCTGACTCGTATCCGTGACTGCCCCTTGCAGGAGATCTCCGAGTGTCCCCCGTACTGGCCATTCTTCGGTGGCGAGAACTTGGAGGACGGTGTTTGACGAGGCCCGCAGCAGGTCGTGAATTTTCAGAGCCAGATCTTTGGTGACTGGGGCAAGATGACCTCGTCGCAGGATGTCTTTGACGGTGAGTTGGATAGGTTTAGTCCTGGAAACGGATCCGAGGTGCTGGGCAAAGCGCTGCCACTTCTGGTTCAGGGAGACGGGGGCGTCCAGCAGTTCTGCCAGGCCCAGGGCTGCGGCTACCTTGGCGCACTCGGTCCAGTTGTTTAGCGGCATGACGGCGAGCCGATCCCCGGGCTGGAAGGTGATGCCCGTGTTCCGGATATCGAGGGTGACCAGAGCAATCGATCGGTTCGGATCACTGTCGACGAAGGATCTGCTCATGACTCGGCATTTGTAGCGGCACTCCTCGAACGTGCCTCGCATCTCGTTGGGCTCGAGGTCGATGTTTCCCCGAAAGGGTTCCAGCCGCTCCTTCATCGCCTCGGAGAATTGCTTGTGCGTCTCCTCCCAAGGTCTACCCGTGGCGTCGCTAGCACCGGACGCCCCGTTGGTCTCGGTCCGGCCAGTCTTGCTCGCGACCTCGAGGATGCCAAATACCTTGTATCGATGCGTGCCCATGAAACCGCGCTCTCCGGTATAGGCCTCGACAATGCCATCCATGACGCCCATCAGCCTTGGATCTCCCGACTGGGCGACGAACTCGGGAGTGCGGTAGTGGTACTCGATCGCGGCGATGAAGGCGCGCCAATTCGACGGCAACCATGCGCGCAGATGGACGCCCTCGGCGCCCAAGAAAGAATCGTACTTCTTCCTCCCCAGGAACGCGTCCATGACGAGGTACGGCGGGAACTGCAGGCCGGATGCCGCGGGGCACCGCTTCGACAGCGGAGCCGAGAACTTGCCCCATCGCACCCAATGCTGCGCCGAGACGTAGTTCTCGCCGGCGCTGGGATTGGTCGAGATGGAGTGGAAAGCGTTGGGCATGCGCTCGAGGATCTCCTTGAGCCGGATCATTTCCCGGAGAAGACCTTCGATGTTTCGGTTCATGACATGCTCTTGACAGGCGGCAATGGCATCCGCGCCGTGCTGGAACGATGCCGATGTCTCGGCGCATCCCTTGAGGAAGGCGATCTCCGCCCGCTCTCCGAACACCGGCCATCGGAGCTCCATGTTGTCAGTGCGGCCGATGTACGGGTACGACGACGCGGTGTCCTTGATTCTCAGGTTGAAAGATGCCTGGTCGAAGAAGGTGAGATGGGGTATTGCCCGGCCAATCCGTTTTGAGACTTGGTAGTACGGCAGGGCAATGCTCCGCGGGATGCCGGCCAGCTCCTCGACAAGATCGTCCCCCATCTCACAGTCCGGCTTCCACCTGCTCGAGTTCACCGAGATGCCGTTGTTCCCGTCGTTCTTGTCTTCGTATCGGTAGATGGAGCATAGCATTCCTAGGGCGACAACCGCGCCCCATAGTGCCTGGTCGGGGATGACATCCTCGGTCCCCTCGACGATCGGTAGTGCCGCCACGGATTCGCGGACACGGCCTCGTGCGACGCAGCCCGGCATCCTCTCGCAGAGGTCTGACCATATCCTTCCAGGTGAGTTGGCAAGCGCACCGGGGCTTTCGTCGTAGTCGGGCGGACAGAAGCCGTGTTCGGAGCTGAGGTAGCCGTCTTTCCAGCCCGTTGCAGGGCCGATCTCTTCGGCCCTGATCATTACTTGCCTCGCTGGAGCACCGAGAGCCACAGCAAGGAGGTCCTGGTCGGTGGCAGTGAGAGAGTCAACGTTCTTGACACTGTTGACATACTCTGGTGAGGGCATGTTGGAGTACAGCAGTTCAGTGATGGATTTACGCTCCCTATGGAGGGTTAGCCCAGCCCCAAACCTTCACCACTCCTGACTGGCCGCCCTACCTCATTCGAAGCCATTCTTCAGCAACGACCCCCCTCGGAATCTGTCTCCTACGTCAGCATTGCAGGCTCGTGTGGAATCCGGCCGTACAAACGTCAAATGCTGTGTGGAGATCTCCCAGCTGGCTGTAGCCGGAGAACGCACAGCCTCTTGGTCCAACCCGGCTGTTGCCTCTGCTTCGTCCCGTTGATGATGAGGCGGGACATCGTCCACTGGCCATGCCAGATGCTGGACATGATTTTACCGACATGGTTCCCGTTCAAAAAGCACTTTTATTAAATAAGGAGTGAGGAAGCGAAGAGTGAAGGTCTGGTGCCGAGTGCCAGAGGAAAAATCAAACTCAGCCGCCAGGGCGAAAGAGGAGAAAGGAAGCCGAATTGAAGGCGATGTGACGCATCAATCGTAAAAACAAACATGAATCGTCTAGGAGAAAGTTTAAGCTTATAATTTAACATAATTGGGTGTTGCGTCCCCTGTCAGGGGGGTGTTGATTCGAGGTGGCTAAAATTAGGCGATCCAGGGTCAGCCATGGCTGGCTAGACCTTACGAATACTGTTTTGAGTTCTCGGTGGGTTTGCCTAACTGAATGTTCTGAGACCTTTGGGCCAACTTTGTCTCGTTTATTCTAGCGTTGAAACCCGCCAAGAGAGGTTCCCCCTGTGATGTCCAGTTCGGGTTGGGGGAACAGGGAGTTGAGGCTCCCCAAATGTGCATTTGTGGGTCAGGAATGAAAACGGTGTGGGGGTGGGATTGGTCCTCTTTTCGTGACCCTGGCGGTGGTATGCAGAGAGGTGCCGTGCCAAGAGGAGGGAACTTGTCTGAAGACCGGGTTAAATCACGCGGCCGTGATCTAGAAGCAGTCTCCTGTCACTCCAACGGGGACGAAGATGGGCATGGTTCAGGCCAAACACTGGACAGCAACTGCATCCCACCGAATGTGCTGCTTGTGGTGCACGGAGTAAGAACACACTTCATCGAAATAGAGGCGCTGTTTGCTATTCTGCCGACCACTGCGTGACGATTCTGGCGAGTTGGTGGCGCGATTACAGACACTCTCAGCGCCGCGTTCCGCGAACATGTTTCTTCCTTTCAAACAGAGCTTGGCAGTTTGACAGGTTGACAGCGGAGACAACGGACGACGAGTCGAATTGGGATGAGACCATGTGATGATGCCAGTTGGTATCCAGAGCTCTGGCAAGGTAGGTAGCTCACCTGTGCGTTCAGCGGGTGGGGCTGTCGTTCATAGCGCAATGCAGGGATTGTCAAACTTGGTCGTACGTTGTTGTTTTCTTTCTTTCTTTTCCCTGGAGCAAAACAAAAAACAAACGTCCCCACGATGATGATAGGTTGGAGTACCCCTTCCCCTATGATGGAGCACAGCGCATGAAGCAGCGCGGGTCGCTTCCCCAAAAGCAATACGCCGGCGCGTGCATCACGACAGGGGACAGCTTGGCATGTGATGAAACGGCGCCTCGACTTGGGGGGTGCTTGGCTGCGCGATGGAGAACATGGCAGCCTCATAAACCTCCTCCACAACCCGAATCCCTGGGCAATGGCCATCCATGTCTTCGAACCCTCTTCTTTTTTTGAGTGTATGCAGTTGAGGATATGTGGTCTGCTCACTGCCCACTTCGTGGCCAGTCAGCCCACTGGGCGCCTCGCTGAACAATGCATGGATTTGTTTGGTTGAGGCACGAGGCACGTGCTAGATTCTCGAATCTCGGGACCCGTCACGGACCGGCATCATACCCTGGCGGCACAGAGATGTCGCACCTGGCAGCATTCTCAGACGAATTTGATGGCATGACCCCATTCGGTACGTTGGGAATAGAGGCTCGAACCATTGAAGTGGATGGCATCTTTGAAGTCTAATAGCCGAATGTGTTCCTCGGGGCCAAGCCGTTTGATCCCCTTTCTTGTCTTTGCCTGCCGTAATCGCGTTTCCACCACGAGTCCAACCCGGCCCGACGCCGTCCCCACCTCTCCGTTATCGGCACAACCCGGAGCCGCGCCGTTGCGGAGCCTCGCATTTCGGGGATGTGTTGAGGGTTGGTTTGTTGGGTGGTAGGTTAGAGTCAGTTTGAAGTTAGTGGGACGGTTGGGGACGAATTAATATCCATCAACCCGGCCACCCCGCAGCCCATGACTAGTGGATTTCCCAAAGAGGAAGGCGGTTGACGACACCACGGTCCCTGCAGAAGAAAAAAAAACTCCGCAGCTGTGCCTCCCATATTTGTGACTTCGAATTACCATCACGGCGAGCTCGCGACCCACAAAAGACATGGTTCCTGTGGCAGCATCGCCCTTCTTGCTGGCTACGGCCTTCTGGGCTTTGTTCAGTCCAATAGCTGCCCTGCCCTCTCGCAATAACCAGCATGTACTGACATCTACTGCCCCGCACTCGGGCGTGACTCGTCCCCGGCCAGCCCACGCCACGCGCCAGAATGACAGTCTCTGCGATGCCGGCAGCGCGCAATGGACAGGGACAGTGCCGCTGGGCAAGGGCCGCGACATGTTTTTCTGTGAGCTCCTTTCCGCCAAGGACTGACCTGCTGCAATATGGACTCATCATTCACAAAGGGTTCTTCGAGAGCAGGGGGAATCCAGAAACGGACCCTCTGATCATTTGGCTAAACGGGTGAGCTTCTATCCAGTGGCAAGATTTGGAGATAGAAAGAGGACGCTGAACAGAACGGGGACGAAAACACAGCGGCCCCGGTGGATCTTCAATGATGGGGGCCTTCTTTGAATTAGGCCCTTGTCTCGTTACCGAGGAAGGGGATCACACGGTCCGCAACCCTAGCAGCTGGACCAATGTGGCCAATATGGTGTTTGTCGAGTATGCCTCTCGTCCACTTCCCCAAGCTATCGGTCAAGTCTGCCATCTAATACGCACGCACAGCCAACCCATTGGTGTGGGATTCTCAGACCCTGGGGATCCAAGTCTCTGGGCGGAGAATCTCGATGTCGCCGCCGTTGATTTCGACAAGTTTTTTGACGGCTTCTTTGCCCTGTTCCCCGAACAGGAATCCGGCAGGGAGCTGATCTTTGCCGGGGAGTCGTTTGGTGGCAAGTATGTGCCCATTTACGCGTCTCGGTCTCGACGGACTTTCGATTCCATCATCCTTGTGGATCCGTATATCGACTACACTCACGAGGCCCTTGGGTTGTACGAGCATTTCTGCGTCAGTGGCGAGGAACGGGTAGGTATAAATAAGACGGAGTGCGAGGCCATCGAGAGAGCGTATCCGACCTGCGAGAGGCACGGCGAAATCTGCCGGTCGACCTACGATCCTGTCCTTTGCAAGACTGCCATGGTTGTCTGCGACGAGACAGTCGCGTCCCATCTCGGCGGCGGTCCTCATGGCCGAAACCCCTACGACGATAGGGTCGAATGCGGCGAGTTGCCCTTATGCGGCACCATCGGTACGTGCGCGGCCTGGCGTAGCCTTGCCTTATATGAGCGAGCTCCCAGCTGAATCATATCATAGGGAGAGAGCAGCTCGTCAGTTTCTTCGGCAGAGAGACGGTTCAGAGCGCACTGGGATTTCAAAATTTCACTTTTGAACCGGTGAACTGGGCGTTCAACGATAAATGGAACGAACAGTCCGACGTGACCATACCATCGTCTAGGGAACTGACGCGGCTGTTAGACGAGAAAGATACCCCAGTAATCGTCTTGAACGGGAACAATGATATCGTGGTGTACGTAATTCGCAACCTCAAACCGCGAAGACATAAAGTCAAGGCTGACGAACCACAGGAACACGGAGGGTATCATGCGTATCCTAGACAGCCTGCCGTTCAGGGATCACGCGAGGTTCCTCACCACGCCGCTGGAGCCGTGGTACTTCTCCAGTTCGGGAGTCAAGACAAAGGGAGGTATGACCAAGCACATTGGGAATCTGGCCATCGTTTCGGTTGACGAGGCCGGGCATATGAACCCCCATGACCAGCCTGAGGCGACACTACATGTCCTGGAAAGATGGATTCAGAAGAGGCCTTTAGTCAGCTAGAACCATGAATCAGATATAATCAAATTTATTTCGTAAGGGCAATTGATAGTCTCCATAACGACGTGGAGCAATAACGACCAAATTACGCCCAACAGTGTCTGCCGTTAGCATCTCGCTTTACTCTGTAGTCCTGTCCTAGCGCTAATATCCAATTTGGTTAGCCGTGGCGTCCCAGGTCTCCACATTATTTGGACCTCGAGAACTTGTCACCCAACTTTAGGTGGCATTTTGCAAAAGTGACGTTTGACTTATTTTGGTAGATACTATACAGGCAAGGCAATATTAATCCCTTCCTTCGAGTATGTCGACTGCGTATGACAGTACCAAAGGGACTGAAGAGAGGGTCCATTTGGCAGTAACAACCTAGTTACTCACACAGTACAGCCAGAAGGATCAACGCCAGGTGGTATACGTGACTCAGCACAAAGGAACTCTCAAATTGAGATTGGGCGTATGTTAAAATACGAGGACCTTGGAGTTGGAAGGAAGAAGCAAAAGACAGAAACAGAAAGCTCTTTAATAGAAACGGTAACCCCTGTGCCCAATCCCTGGCTGCACAAAATTGAAGAAGCCAGGGGCAGAGAGGTGCAAGAAGTGCAAGAAGGTATCATTGTAGCGGCTGTTCTTGATTTGATAGCATCAAAGCCGTCTCCTAGTATTATACCTAGTCTAAGTGATTCCTTGCTACTTGAAATGCCATTCTTACCGTGCGAAGTGGCTAACAAGACACCAACCCCAGGCCTTAGTGTCCCACCGCCTACCTCAACCTCTGCTTGACAGCCTGCTCCCTCATATGCACCCGCGTCTTCTCGCCGAGCCCATCCACCATCTCCAACGGCGTCCTCCCCTCCAAGTCGCGCGCCGCCAGGTCCGCGCCCGCATCGACGAGCACCTCCACGACGTCCCCGCGCGCCCCATGCACGCGCGGTGCAGCGGCGTCCTGCCGAGGTCGTCGAGCGCGTCGACGGAGGCCGCGCGCACGAGCTCATGAGGTGCAGCGGCGTCGACCCTGTCGCGCAGGCGAGCTAGGTCCGGGTTGGCGCCGCTGCGCAGGAGGAGAGCTCCACCACCGGGGCGTGGCCGCCGTCGGCGGCGCCGTGGAGGCACGTCGACTGGCTGTCCGTGATGGTGTTGACCTCGGCGCCCGTGGCGATCAGGAGGCAGGCGCGCGATGGCGGCGTGGCCGTTGGTCGACGCCGATAATTGGGTGCCGGAGGCGGCTAGCTCTGCACCTGGCCGTAGTGGGGGCGGGCGGGGACTAGGGCAAAATTGTTCAGGGGGAGAAAGAGGGGAAGTCCACTGTGAATAATAGGGGCTTGGGGTCAAGCGTGGAGGGATTTGGAGAATTGAGGAAAGCAGGCAATGCCAAGGGCTCTCTGACAACGAATCTAACGGTAGTTTACCATGTATCCACAGCCCCCGAAGGTGAGACCCTTGATTGGACGGCGAGGAAGGAAAGAGGGCTTTGGCGACGGGCGCCTTAAATGTTGGGCCAGCCCAGGCAAGCCGCCATGGTCTAATTTCGTGATAAAACCCAGATTTTCGTCAAGCAGTTTTGGGTTTTTCAAACATGAGCAATGCGCTTCGAACACTTGCTAGCTCTTCCTCTCGCAGTCTTGGGGTGGCAGACCTCATGGCTGCAGACTGGCTTCTGCAACTACACATTGGAAGATCGTGGAAACCCAGACCAAATCTCGTGTATAAATCCGTAGAGTATCGGGTGGACCGAGTTCTCCTGGCCGCCACTCTTTCCCGGCCGTGTCAAATTCGTTTACGCGGCGGACGAAATCAATGGCACCGAGTGGGCTCAGGTCGACGAGACTGACGAAATCAACGCCAGCGACGTGCAGAACACCACTTCCTCGCTTGTCAGCTTCTGGCTGGAATACGATGAGGTTTCGCTCAATAACACCGACGTGACGATGCAGACCGAGATAGTTGTCTTCTACACCAACGCCAACACCGAGGTCGGAGGCTCGCACAACGGCTGCGAGAGGGTGCTTGGTGAAGAGTGCATCCAAAAGATCAATACCACGTTGATGAACAACTACTGGAACACATACCATTCCAGGGCCCTCCCTCTCTACTCGCTCCGCAACCTGACCGACGTATGCCCTGAGATTCTCGTTTCTGAAAAGCAAGTTATCGGCCACCGACTGCCAGAGATTCGGGATTACTACACGGTCGTCAATACCCGGTGTATGTGACTTATGCCTACCCGTCCATTCTTGTGAAGCCCAGACTCTAATTTAACGGTTCTGCAGTGCTCGCGCTAGAAAAGGCCCCAAACGAAACTGCCCAAACGTACTCCGACGAGACCCAAATCATGTACACGGGCAACTGGTCCTATACCTATTCACGCCAAGTCAATGGAAGGCGGCCCTTGGCGCAACAGAAGAGCAGAGTTGCCATCGCCATCTTGATGCGGCACCCTGAGCAGCGGCTCCCCCACCAGCCAGACTTGCACGTAACAACAGTCTGTGCCAGGTTGGACGGCAATGCAAGTTACTCGGGCGGCGACAATGATGATGGTCGGTTCTACCCAAATGGAGGAGCTTATGTGGCATCGTTCGTAAATGTGGCTCTCCTACTCACTGTCACCGGGCTTTCTCTTGGGTTTACAGTGGGAACTAAGCTATGGTGATTGAGATAGCTATATCTCCTGGCCCTTTACTGTATGCGGCGATTAGGTCTTACTCACGTTAGATAATATTACCCTTGAACTACTACTACTAATTACCTCTTAAAAGGCAAGCAACTAATTATTTGGTAGGCAGGTAGCTAAGGTAGGTATCTAGGTAATTAGGTAGACATGGTTGGCGCAGCATGGCATATCCCTCATCTGCAAACTAGACGGTTTGCACAACAACCTTCTCATCATCAGAGACCTGCTCCCTGTTGAGAGTCGCGGCGATGTGGCTAGTCATGTACTTCTCCGTGTTAGGTGCCCACCACGTCAAGCAGATGGCAACTCCACTGAACGCCAGCGTGGTCAGGTACACGGTCCGGTACGCGTCCGCGTTCGCCTGCTTGTACGCCGCCGACCCCAGCGCGATGATCCGATCCGTGACGCCCGGGATCGCCGCAAGGGCGTCCGTGGCGCCGGCGCCGATGGCCGCGATGAAGTCGGCGACCGACGACGGGGGCAGGCCCGCGTCCATCAGCGCCGGCGGCATCTCGCCCCCGACGGTCTGCCCCAGCCGGTTGGTCAGCACGGTCGTGTAGACGGCCACGACGACGCCGCAGATGGCGGAGCGGATCGAGCCCGCGATCCCGCCGGCGATGCCGATCTCCTTCTGGTCGCGCACGCAGATGGTCGAGTTGGCGATGCAGATGGTCTCGTTCCAGCCCGTGAAGAACACGCCGATTATGATCAGCGCCAGCGCAGTGTTGAAATTGTTGGGCTGCGAGACGGCGACGCCTGTTGGGCGGCGTCAGCAAATGTCTCGTGTCCAATTGTGACATGTGGAAGAAAAGGGGGGGGGGGGGGGGGGGGGGGGGCCCAAAAAAAACCCCAACAAAAACCCCCGCACCCGAGAAAAACGCCCTTTTCTGGTGCCGGGCAGGGCCCAGTCGGTTTGCCAAAAAACA